CGAGGCTCTTCGGAGCTCCGGTCTCCGATGCCCTCCAGCCATAGTGGCATAGCCAAGAGTCTGCCGGAAGGCTCGGACACACAAATGCAACTATTGCCCTTTGCGAGCCACTAGGACGCGGTCACTTGACCGATGACGAGATGCTGTGATGAGTCGGAAGGCAATTTGAACAAATGCCTTCTCCTCATGTAATTGAATCTCGTGTTTTGCCCCACGGGGGAAGACCTCTCGGCAAACACGAACAACCATGTAAGCTGAGCAAGCAACGAGGGGGAATCGACTGCTGTGGGTGCGAGGACTCAGCACTCAGAATCCTCGAGAAGCTCACAAATTCGGTAGTGGTTCACATGATGACAGATTTCGAGCTTCTCCAGAGCAGCAAATACCAAGTATACGGTTTGAGAAGTTTACAGTATCGCCCAAGACACCAGATCGACAGGAGGGAGACGCTACCATGAAGCCTCGTAAGAAAGTGGTAGATTCTCGGATCCCGGAGGGCGTGGTGGCGCCTCGGATCTAGCAAGTCTGAGGGAAAATGATGTCGGCGGCGTAAACAAGCATCTCATGGCTTCCTTCGGTCGGTTATCCACCGAGCTTCGCAAGAGTCAGGTGATATCAAAACCCCTTTCCTGGCGAATCACTGGCGTTTACAATTACCGAGACGGACAAACACCTATTCGCCATTTCCTTTTTTGAGTCATTAGGCCATCGTGCCACCGCTGTCCCCGAGTTCGTGAAGCCAACCCGGGTATTACGAGTTGGAGTAATACCTCCTTTGCTTGTTTGTGTAGGTAAGGCTTAATTCCAGCAGTTTAGCCTGTTTCAGGATGGCGCGTGGAAGTCAAGACGTCGGACCATGTTTTTCCTGGTGACATTTGTCGTGCATTAATAATGCGTCATTAACCTTGCCTGATCATCATAAGGGTAGCCAGCAAACCCTGTTTAGTTAGTCCGTCCCGAGCCATTGCAAAACTCTCGAACCACGCGGGCAGATTTCTTGATGCTACGCCATGGCCTGATTTTTGAGTTTCCCAGGGTAAGCATCACCTTTTGGCAAATTCGGATTTTCTTTGTATTTTGAACGTCGTTCCCGCCTCCCTGTCAGCTCACCGTTACCAACGAGGAATGTAACGTCGACTGATGTGGAGAAATGCATTTGTGCCTGGTCGCTTGCCGTGTTACCAATTGTCGTGGCGAAACAAACAATTCACATCTAGCCTGGACGCACCTTTCGCACATCGCGATCTGTATATGAAACTACGAGCTCAGCATCGACGATCTTCGACCAGATCCGGTTCTGTGCTGACCGGTTGCCTTGCATTCTTACAACCCTTCCATCTCTTTTTCTTTCTCCAGAAATCACCTCGACTACTGTTTCAAATGTGACAGATTTTTGGGCGAGCATAAGCTTTGAATGTGAAGGGTGGGGGCATGTAGCTCCATGAGAAAATGAACGATATGGTGTACTCACAGCGTTCCGCCGGTACCATGGCTTGTCCTGTCGTATACTCAGAGAGCTCGTACCGGAGGCTCTCACTGAGAGACCCAGCGACGCAGTGAGACTTTCTTGGGATTGGAAGAGAGGAGAGCAGAGTAAGATTTCCTGGGGATTGAAGGGGCCGAGTAGTGAAAGGCGGTCCTTAATAGGGTAAGCAGGAATCCCCCACAGATGAGAGCCAGCCTGCCTGGTGGCGGAGCTTTCTGTGTCAAAGCAGCCTTCGTTGGCAGGAACTGATTCGGTGGAGGACTTCATGGATACTAGGAAGAAGGACATCGTTGGCAGGAACTGGGTTGGTGGAGGACTTCATGGATACTAGGAAGAAGAATATCGTTGTGAAAGAGGAGAAGGCTAGGAAGAAGAGCGCGAGGAATAAATGCAGGAGAGGCCAGCCAGCCGACTATTCAACTGAAGCTATTGCCATTGGTGGCAAGCGACCGCCGTGGCTGAAAAGTCGGCGGTATCGAGAGGGTCGGTCCGTGGATCGTGTGGGAGGGCTGGACGGTGCTTGGCCGGCGTCCATGGTTGCGAGAACAGGATTGGCTTCAGCAGCTCAATAATGAAGGTTACAGGATCAACTGAAGCTCAAATCAATGTTGCAAGAGGTAACAGCCCAAATGAAGCTAACTGTAGGGTCAACAGTGATGAAGGTGAGAGGATTAATAGTAACGAAGGTGACCGGATCAATAGAAGCTCAAATGAATGTTATAAGAGGTAACAGCCCAAATGAAGCTGATTGTAGGATCAACAGTAATGAAGGTAACCGGATCAGCAGAAGGTCAAATGAATGTTGTAAGAGGTAAGAGCCCAGATAAATCTGTTGTAGGATCAACAGCAATGAAGGTGGGAGGATCAACCGCCATGAAGGTGGCAGGATCAACAGCAATGAAGGTAACCGGATCAGCAGAAGGTCAAATAAATGTTGTAAGAGGTAACAGCCCAGATGAATCTGTTGTAGGATCAACAGCAATGAAGGCGCTGTTGTATGTTCAACAGCAATGAAGGTAACCGGATCAGCAGAAGGTCAAATGAATGTTGTAAGAGGTAACAGCCCAGATGAATCTGTTGCAGGATCAACAGCAATGAAGGTGAGAGGATCCACCGTCATGAAGGTGGCAGGATCAACAGCAATGAAGGTGGTAGGATCCACAGCCATGAAGGTGGCAGGATCAATAGCAACGAAGGTGACCGGATCAACAGAAGCTTAAATGAATGCTGTAAGAGGTAACAGCCCAAATAAAGCTGATCGTAGGATCAACAGTGATAAAGGTGACAGGATCAACAGCAATGAAGGTGATAGGATTAATAGCAATGAAGGTAACCGCATCAACAGAAGCTCAGATAAATATTGTAAGAGGTAACAGCCCAGATGAAGCTGTTGTAGGATCAACAGCAATGAAGGTGAGAGGGTCAGCAGAAGGTCAATGAATGCTGTAAGAGGTAACAGCCCAGATGAAGCTGTTGTAGGATCAACAGCAATGAAGGCGCTGTTGTATGATCAACAGCAATGAAGGTGCTGTTGTATGATCAACAGCAATGAAGGTGTAGATACTTCAGGATATCTCTGACTTGATATTTGCATACGCCCACACGCCCATCATCAATGCTATCTATACATGGTAGTAGGGAGCACGTGGTAGACAAGCTGAGGGTTACTGGTACGGACCACCATTGTCTTCAACGAGGGCCAAAAGGTCAACTCCTCTTACACGCCTGTATATTTGCTTGTTTAAAGGCCGCCTACTAACAACATCAGACCTCTCTCTCTTGGCTTCGGGGCAAAAGTAGAATACAACGCCGGCAGACTGGCAAGCACTGTAGCAGTCGGGATAGGTCTTCTTGATGTCCACGGCGAGTCCACAATCAGATCAAAAACATATAACCCAGAGAGATGCGTACAGGCAGAAAAGGCCTTACATGCAACAGTCAGGAATAGAGGTGCAAGCACTTATTGACAACCGACAGTGCCGAAAGCGAGAAGCTCATGCTAGCCAGAGCCCTCGCAGGAAAGACTGAGGGTCCAGAAATGGCGGGCAAGAGGTTGAGATGTAGGATGAATCTGGGCTCAATCCAACAAACACTAGATAGCTAACCAAAGTTTGCAATTGCTCAAGCCAGCTGGTATAGGTCACACTCACTGCCACGTTCGACGTTGCCAGTTGAGGATCCAAACCGCTAGTCATGCGGAATCACTTCATCCTCATTCACCATAATACCAAGGAACGCCTCGATATGATTGGCTAGAGAGGGGTAAAGGGTACTACCTTGAGAGGTGCTAAAGTACATGGTGCAGAGAAATCTCGTCAAGGGCCGTAAGCAAAATACAGGGTAAGGGTACTACCTTTGAGGGTGCTGAAGTAGATGGCGCGGAGAAATCTCGTCGAGGGCCGTAAGGAAAAGGCCACTACCTTTGAGACTTCCAATGTACACGGCGCAGAGAAATCTCGTCAAGGGCCGTAGCAAAGAGGGGGGGGGCGGGCAAGGCCGAACTAACGAGGCTGAGTTCTAGGACAGGTGGTTTTCTTTTCTTCTTTGCTAGATAGGCACCTAGACAGAGCCAATGTTCTCAGATATTTTGTTACCCCTAAAACTGCCTCTCTTTTCCCAGGCTGAGAACATGAGCCTTGTCAATATGTAAGGAAACGAGGTAAAGGGCTTTTTCACTGCTCCAGGTAGGAACAGCCTTACCGACTCGGACGTTGACCGACGACACCATAGGTAAAGTGCCAATATCTACACTGCTTCTGAGAGAAACACCACCGTCGAAAACTAGCACAATTACTGGAACAAACGCTGCTGAAAAAAATGCCAACGCTGGCACGACTGATTACCGAAGACCATTCGACATCGATACCGATGCTGAGGCATTGCCTCTAACCCGATACTTGAGGAGACCAGAGGAAAAGCTTCGGAGATGATGTTGTTCAGGTGCCGATAGACTTGCATTTGACCCGTAGAGCGACGAATCGATAATAGCCACAGCGAACTCATCACTTTGTCCGTGATCGACAGCGTCAGTAACAAGGCGGCTGTATCTCTCGTCTTGCAGAATATTGGCTTCAGTCCGGGCATGTATCAGTCATCTTTGCGGGGTGAGATGGGCGATGGCTGAATATGACAACTCTTCATTGTATCCGCAGCAACGATCAGGCTATGCATAAAATATGAACGTCTTATTTTATCCAGACTTGGTGGCAGTATTTTGCATGCTTACGTTGCGAATGTCTATGAGAACATCACTGAAGCTGCGTGTTGAGTAGATTACAATGTGCTTCTTGGTTGCTCCTGCAGCGTTTGACGATTCTCGGCATGAGGGCTGCGGTGGTTCTGAAGTAAACGGAGTGAAACATTTTGTCGCCAAGTGAAATCTTCAAGAGTCAGGCAGATCGAATCAGTATTCCTGGGGCGTAAAGCCCTCTAGTCCCTTGGTATATTCCCCGATGATTTCATGCCAAAGCCCGCGTAGCGAGGGTCTCTTCCATCATCATCATCATCATCATCATCAGAGGGCGGACTTTCGCACAGCGTATTCCAGCTCGACCACATGATCCACAACCTCCCCCTTGGCAATCTTCTTGTTCCTGCTTGTCGAAGTCTTCCACGCGGCTCTACCAGAGAAGAAGTACTCGTCGATTTGCTCGAGCGTGAGTCTCGCGGTCTCGGGGACGAAAGCAAACGTGAGGACCAGCATCGCGAAAGTCACCCCTGTACATTCAGCCTGAGCAAACGGATCCTCACATATCTTGTGGATGTCCTGCTTACCTGCGTAGAAATACCCAACGTTCAAGCCCATGTTCCCATAGTCAACGCTGAGCATATAAGGCCCGTAGAAGCTCGCCGTAAATCCAAAGATCTGGTACACCAACGTTGTCGACGCCTGTCCATATGTTCTCAGGCGAATGTTGTGTTGCTCGGGCGCGGCTATCCACACGCTGGTCCCGATAAACATGCCAAACAGATAGGCCCAGAGGAACAGGAACACCAGCAACACCACCTTCGCGGTGCTGGAACCCGGGCCCAATGCAGATCCCACGATGGCGATGATCAGCATGCAGACGGTCATCGTGCCGTAACCCCAAAGCATCGAAAATCGACGACCGCCGTACTCGATAACAACTGGACCTGGGATGGATCCTGCCATAGTGCAAGCCGCAATGATGAAGTTGTTCAGGAACGGATTCTTCACCCCAACCTTGGCCAGGAAAATTGCACCGTAGGGTCCTACGAATTTGGACCCGGTAATGGCCAAACCGACCATGATCAATCCGCTGACCGTGGTACGCCGGAAATTGGTGCCGCGATAGATCTCAGTCCAGTTCGAGGTTGTGCCATAAAGCTTTTCCATGTCGATGTGGCGCTGGACGTCTTGGACCTGGAGAAGAACGTCTGGATGGTCCGGACTCTTTGCATAGAACCAGGCAAAGGATCTTTTGGCAGCATCTTCCCGACCTTTAGTCAGAAGCCACCGAGGGGATTCCGGGAAAAGTAAGACGGCGGTGCCTAGGATGACCGAGAGGGGAATCTGACATATGATTGGGATCTGCCACGCTAGGTTGCTGTGCGTGTATGTTGAAGACCCCCAGCATACTGCCGCCGCGGCAGCGTTACCCGAACCCAGACCGATGTTGTATAGGGCGAGGAGCATCCCACGTTTGCTGGCAATCGTGCACTCGGCTCCATATACCGGCCCAGCCGCGATGATATGACCTAATCCTACCCCGCCGATGCATTTGCAGACCAGGTAAGCGGTGAAGTTCCCCGAAGTACCAAGCATCCCTCCGGCACCGATCGCGGCGAGCAAGGCACCAACTTGTATCGTGCCCCGGCGGCCGAGGTAGGTTCCAACAACGCCACTGCAAGCTCCACCTACGGCAACGAAGAGTAATGTCAAAGAAACAAGCCCTTGTTGAAGTGCAGTCTGTGAGCAGACAACCGCTGTCTTCAGGTTCTCAGGGTCGGTGACGGGAGCACATTGGCCGAATGACTTTCTGTATGACTGCATCTGAAGGACTGTGCCGCCATATCCAAGATCGAAGTTGAAGATCCAGCCAGCCAAAGAGATAAACATGGAGAAGAGCACCATTTGCTTTGTAGCTCGTTGACCAGACGGCGCACTGGTTGGCAACCCGCCTTCAGTTGCATACTCTTTCGTCTCTGTGTTCGCAACCATATTTGCTTGATGTTCGCCGTGGACAGTACAGTGGAGCAGTTACCACAGTATGTTTGAGGTTGTAGGAGAATGGACACTCCAGAGCTAAAGTTATGGCTTGAGTTGCCTCGATGCCAACCGTCGTCTTCCTTCAACTGCAAGTCTCGCGCACCTTAAAAGGCCCCAGCATTGATGTTATTGCACCCTAGGACTTACCCCACATCTTCGTCCTATATACACCCGCAGGCATGACCGAGACAGCGAAGCGATGGACATATTTTGTCTTAGTATAACTTGGCATGCTTGGTGGTATGCATTTCTGTTGTGGGGATGGGGGCGTTTGATATTGCGGGGTTTAGTCGACGGGCTATTATCGGATATCGATTCGTTCTTCTCCTTTTGGGAGGAGAATATTTGGTGCCACGCCAGCAGAGGAATACAAGCTGGCATGGGGGTTTTCTAGCCTCTCCATGTCCGCCGGATAAAGGGATGAGGAGGATGATATTGAATTGGGAAGTTCGGGCCCACATTTAAAGACGGCACAAGGCTGCGATATAAGGATCGCCCCGCCCTTTGTGCCGGCGGTGAGTGGCCGGTGGTAGTCATCCCACCAAACCATTGAGTATCTCTGGTTAAGCTTATATAGAAGGATGACGAGGCTGATGGCAATCCGAATCTCCTTTCATCCGGATTGCAGCCGTGGCGAGATACACTTGAGATTGCTGCGAGTTATACGTTGGTACTTCACTTCAAGTATGCCTCGGGTACATATCGGGGATCAGCACCAGCTAAGAGAGGGACGAACTCGATATCATCCTCATGCACGGTGATGGCTCAGCTCACATCTAGCAGAGGCAGTAACCTCTTGACTGATATAAACGCGCTTTGGCAAACAAGCCATGTTCTTCTCCCGCAAGATCCCACCAAGGATCAAACATTAGAGAATCTTCCATGCGTCCTGGATTTCCCATGAAGTTGCCACGTGAGCGCTCATAGGCAACGCATGTGTGGCCAGCATACCATGCAAGCCCGGAACGGGATCAAAACAAGCATCCTCCATCACAGTCACAATGTATCCACGATCCGTTGCAGCGCGAGTGGTACTCAGCACACAGCCAGACGTGCTAACCCCGCCAATGATGAGCGACTTGATTTCTTTTTCTTTCAACACACTCGACAATCCATGGGATTCAAGGGCGGAGATGAAACCCGGTGTTCTCAGGACGGTGAACTCCCGAGTGGGATGTTTTCTGACCGCCAGTGTCTCCGCTTCACGGCCCAGCCAAGGCACTTCAACAAGTTTGGCTTCGTACATTTTCCATGTGGCCGACATCCTCGAAGTTTCAGGAGGATTTGAGCCGGGCGAAGCATCGATGAGGCAGTGAATGACGGTCATCTCTTTATGGAGTGCCCAGTCGCGCATGTGTGATGCAATGTTAAGGACACTGGTGGCGGCCACGTCCCCAATCTTTGCGAGAACCATGTTTTGATAGTCCATGAGCAGCATTGCGGTTTCATGAGGTGAAATCGAGAGTGGAGAGGCCGGGTCGATGGGTGAAAAAACTGCGTTTCCCATGGTTTGCACGAGGACCGAGGTGGCAGGAGAGTAGGCAAGCGACACGAAGCGGCCGAGCAAGATATCACATTTGCAGCTCAGAATAGACAATCGAGGCCCAGAATGATCCAGGACTTAAGTGGTATTGACTGTACGTTGGATGGCGGAGATAACAACTAAAGCCGAGATGCATATGCAAAGCTGTGCCTCAGCCAGAATTGCGCCGCGAAATCCTTATCCGGTGCCTCGGAAATTACCGTCCGTTAAGGTGTCATGGGACGCTTTTTGTTGAAGGCGAGTAGTCGCCTGTGGAAGGCAGGGAACCGCAAGGGAGGAAGCGTGCCACCAGGAGCAATACTCCAAAGGCGTAATACCGGCCAATAGCTCCTTCGGCGCAGATGATTTTTCTTGGATATCGGGCTTATTTGGAGCCCAATCAAGGACTGTCAATAAGCCTTGCCCCCGTTGCTTTCAAGCTTCGTACCCAGGTGGGCGGTTTTCAGGCCAATCTGGGCTCTTTATTCGTCGGTGTCCCGCTTAGAACACCTACGACCCTGTAATAGCGCATGCCACTTGTTGACCCGACATCCTGAATTCCTGGTAGGACGTGTAGGGGTAAGCCAGAGCAAGACATTTCGCAAAAATCTTGTCGTTCGGCCAGATGAGGCCAGGTGGGACGGAGGGAGACAAACTTCAAAGGAAAGCTGGACCAACGAAAGGCCCTGAATGCCGGTCGGTCGGCATGGCATGGCGCTTTGAATGTTCGATGCAGACGTGCTTCTAGTTCTCAAGGACTGTTGCAGATGATGTAACACGAAAGAACCAGATCCCGAGTCCCAGGGGTGTTTGGCAATCGTGGCACATTCATTAGCTGGGAAACACGGACAGAGGTATAGACTCATGTCGACATTCGGTAGCCCTGTTCATTTGGCTTTGATGGTAGACATCAGACAAATTTAACCTGGAGAAGCGCCTTCAGCATTCTAGATGTTTCATTTTCAGAGACACAGGATGATTTTGGAAGTGCGAGATTCTAGTGGGCCATGAAAGACATTCAAGAGCGGCTTAGACAACCAGTCTCAGATATGGTCTCTGGAGTCCTCGATTCTCCACATTGTGAATAGTCTTCATGGGCCTATTTTTGAAAGGATGCTTCACATCCGCAGTGCCACCTGACCTGCGAGATGAAAAGAGCTCGGCCGGCGGCAGCAATGCACCATGCACATTAGGTTTCGGACCAACTTAATCCGCCTGATGAAGGCAAGCCGGCTGCCTCAAGATGTGAAGACGATCTGAACTGCAGCAGAAAGAAGAAAAGGGCGACGACTGGACAAGAGAAGGATACAATAGGAGGAGAAAATTGGTGAAGGGGGCTTCGATACGTGAGAAAGCGCCAAGCCTTTCTTGGGCGGCTGCCGTGTTGATGCCTCGTGCCTTGCGGAGAATTTGGCACAGAAACATGTTCAATCACTGTGTCGCGTGCAATTGACCATACTTAGCAACAGATTATCTCATTCTTGCATCCATTGTCACGGCTCCTGGAAGACGTGAACACTGGTCTCCCGGTATTGTCTGCCCCCTCCACTGTCTCCCTCCTTCTCAGGATCGTCGAGTCGTTGTTTGCAGGCATAAACGTGACGTACCACGTCGCAAGGCTGCACAGCAGCTTGCTAAGCGCTTTTTGCCGCATACGACCACGTTGCCTGCCCACCTTGGTGCGACCTTTATCTCGAGCAGAGAAAGAGTGTCGCTCAAGTCCTGGTGCCTGCTTCGGTCCACATCGGTATGATACAGGACAATTGTCAAGCCCTTACTCCCTCGACTCGGATGACCTCCACGGCTCAGCAGCGAAAGAAATAAACGGCCATGGAAACACCCAAGCATCATTTGGAAGAGCTGGTCAATGGTGGCAGCCACGGCAAACATGGCTCTGAGATCTCAAGAGCCACCTCTCCAGCCGGGACCATAACCATGCAGGATGGTCATGCGAACGATGGCGGAAATCAGAACAAGCGCAACAGACCGCGAACATATCCTTACTTTTCTACCTTACCATACCCGACGGAAGATGAGGCAAAGAGACAGGCAGATCTGGCGGAGATACTGAAGCGTCTGTACATTGCCATCCAGGCTAGCGACTTCACTCCAGGTGCGGTACATTGGACAAGAGAACTGCGCAGTTGGCTCTCACTGAAGTTCGATCCCACCAAGGAGCAGCGTGTAAAGCTCGTCAGGCTCTATTATGAACTGGCTCTAGCTCCTGGGATTGATCCCGGCGTGGGCGAGCGCTTTGCCAGCATGTTCATGCTGCTCACCAAGTCTGTTGTTTCTCATTCTACGGCTCTTAAGGCCCTGCTTGACTGACTTCTCTGCAGACGGAAACACTACTTGCGACCCTTGCTTGACCTAACCCTCGACTGGCGACCCCTCTTCCGAGAAATCAAAGTATTCGTGCTACCAAGCGAGTCAGGCTTGATGCAGACAACAAACCTCAAGAGAAACATCAAGACACTCATTAAGATCAGCTCGTTTGCCCAGCTCTATTTTGATCCAGAGGACATCCCCGCTATGCTAGAAGAGATTCTCCCTCACTTCACAATGTCCTCGACTGAAGGCGCATTTGTGGTGATAGGACTGCTCAATATGCTGCTGCCAACAGGACCGCCACCGCCGAATCGTTCGGACCTGAACCCCCAGCGTTTTCTTCCCACCTTTTTCCACCTCTGGTCCTTGGTAAACCGATCCCGGACAGTTGATGTCGCCCTCGTCGATCTTCTCTCACGCCTCGCCCGGGACTCGCTGCCTAGTAAACAAGTCGAGTTTTCCGAGTTTGGGATATTCACAGCTGAGCAGTCGACGCTGATCACAACTGCCGTTCTGAGGTTATTAGAGATTCCTGTTGGGCAATCCACATCGCCTTACAGTGCTCTGGTGGACATAACAGCGGGCATGGGGTTTCTACTAGACCGTGATTCGCGCAAGCACCCTGTCTCGCACCACATCGCTCGCTGGTTTGTCATGTCGTTATCACCAGCTTGTCTGGAAAAGAAGACCTCGGTTCTTTCTCTCCTCGAGACTCTGATCCAAGCAATTGAGACATTCTTCCATCCATCGAACTCTGGCTCCTGGACTCGAACTCTAGCCCAGCTTGTGTTCTATCTGGCCGACTTCTTTGTCATGCGGTGGAACAGGGAACGCAATGGCGAAATGGAGGTCCCAGAGGAGCGAAAGCTCAACGAAGCACTGAGAAAACGATTTGTCCTCTGCTTGCGAGAAGTCATCTTCATGGGCATCTATGCCAAGAGTGGAACGGCCATGAGCTATTCGCTGTCAACCCTTCAGGCTCTAGCGTTCTTGGAGCCAGACTTGATCCTTCCCGGGGCTCTCCAACGGATTTATCCCTCAATGCAAGGACTTGTTGAGGTACACCGAACAATTTCATCTATGCGGTCATTGCAAATATTAGCGAGGACGATGATCAGAACAAAGGGCTATCGATGTCACATCACAGCTCTCCTGGGACTGGCTCTGCCGGGCATCGATGCCAACGATCTCGACAAGACTCTGTGTACACTGTCGTTCTTTGCGAATGTCTGCTACAATATACCATTCGAAGATCTTTCCAAGGGCAGAGAGGATGTCCAAGGTAACATGCTGGCTATGGAGTGGATCACAGGAGAGATGGAGCGAATGGAGCAGGAGGGCTCTCATGTCGAGTTAAATTATGCCGCCTTGAATGAAAAGGACGAAGAATTGATACTTGCTTCGTCCACCGCCGGGTTTGGGGAGTTTGTTACATCGTTCTTGGGCAGGGTCTTCACTCTTCTGGAAAATTTGCCAGATGCAGCGCGCGTCAGAAGTGGCTCTCCGGAGGAGAACATTGTCAACACGCTGCCGGCAGCTTTCATGCCCTTGCTAGCATCTCTCTCACCGGAATTGTACGACATGGCATTGAACAAAATTGTTGACTTCGTTGCCAACCACGTCATTCATCAGTCGAGAGATGCCATGGCCTTCATCTGCAACTGCCTATGCAAGGTTGACCCCGAGAAGGCTTTGGCGAAATTCGTTCCTGTCTTGATCAGCGCCATCCGCACAGAAATCGATGAGAATGGCGCGGGCTCGACACGAAATGCCGCCTCAGATGTCCTGCCTCGAGACAGAGGCTTGGTATGGAATATCAGCATGCTCAGCATGTGTGTGGTTCATGTGGGCTCCGCGGTGCTGAAATACAAGAAGGAGCTCTTCGACATCGCCGTGTACATGCAGCAAAAATGCAAGGGTATGCCAACTGTGCACGTTTCCAACTACGTGCATCATTTGCTGCTAAACCTTACTGTGACTTACACTGCCGACTACGCTTTGTATGAACCGGAGAAGGTTAAGAATGGGATAACTGCAGATCTCTGGGGAGTGGCGGAACCCCCAGCAACCATCAAACCAAAGTGGCATGTTCCATGCAAAGAAGAGATCGATTTTGGTGTAGAATTGTTCCAGAACCAGGCTGAAAGCGCAGTGCAACATCTACAACGCCTCATCGACGGTTCATCCAGCATTAAACGCGATGGCAGCGGCAAAGAATGGTCGGATGAAGTTTCAAGGAACCTCGTTCTCCTCCGTCTGCTGCTCGCAGGGGTATCAGTTCTCTTTGATTCCAAAGGAGTCAATGAGGGTCTGACCACGACTGCGACAGGCATCGATGCTGATACTGACACCTCGATGTCTCATGCGAATGGTCACGCTCCCGAACAAAATAATGAAGTTGAGACTGACGCTTCTCTTGATGGCACGGACGAGACATCGATCAAACCCTCTTTCCAGTATCCCGCAGGCGAGCTGCTCAAGCCGGAGGATGCGAACTACAAGCTTCTTCACCGGCTTAGGCAGAAGATTGGCCGTGTCCTACATGATGTCCACGTCTTTCTGACCCGAGAAGGGGAGGACGATGTGTCGTCTTTCGCTCCCCTATATACAGCTTATCGGTCATGGTTCGTTGATGTTGGCATCGAGCGCTCAGCCCACGTTCTTGACAGAGTCACTCGACTGCTACACGCCGACGAGCAGCCGTACAAAGTGAGTGGAGTACGTAAGGACTACCCTCGCTCAATACTCGTTCGACGTGCCAATGTCTACCATACCCAAAGGCTCCGGCATAATGCAGCACCTAGACCACGGTCAGAGCTCGACGAGCTGCTTCTGCTAGACCTTGCAGAGTCTGCTGTCTCTTTATACACCGAAGTTCGTCGGAACGCGCAAAGTGCAGGCGAGTCAGCTCTAAAGGTGATTTTTGGAGCTCGACTTTTCGTCATCCCGCCCCTCATCGCGGCCTTCCAGAAAGCAGTGGAGAAGAACGATTTCCCCCGAATCAAAGGTGGACTGTTTGCCTTGTTGTTTGGTAGTCTTGCAAAGACAGTGGGTAGACATTGGAAGTACACTCCTGCCGTCATAAGGACATTCATCGAGGCTAGCACTGCCGACAAACCTTCCATCCAGAAACTTTGCAGCGGCGGTTTGTTCCAAATTATGGACTACGGTCGACCAGGCGATCGACTGGCTATTATCGACCGCACAGTTGTTGACCCGTTTGCCCCCGAGGAAGACGTCGATGAGAAAATCGCAAAGAAAAAAGCGTTTATCCTGAGCAAGCGTGCAAATATCGAGCGCAAGAAGGCAGAACTTGCGGAAGAGCTCATTGAACTGACTCGCGTCTCACATTGGAAGAAAGCCACTCGTGTAGCGACGCTAGTCATGTCATTAGGGATGCGTTTTGACACAGTTGCTTCGGACAGCATGATTGATCTGATAACCCTGGGCACGATAGATCCTCATCCGGGCCTGCGAGGATTGTATTCCCAAGGATTGGTGGCTCTGTTCACCATGACGGACGTGCGGGCTGTGTGCAACCACGAGTATGCGAATTACATCCAGGCAATTCAAGAGTTCCCCGCGAAAGTCAAGGTCGAGACCAGAGCCGGGGAAGAGTCGTGGACCGAAACATTTTTGAAGGCATTCTCTCAACCCGATGCCGAGGTCTACATTGACCATGATTATCCCGGTTGGCTTGTGTGGTCAAAAGACATGCCTGGCTACAAAGCCAATGTGCAGAACGATATCATCTATGACGAACTGGAATGGAAGAAACGAACAGTAATCGGCAAGCACTTGGATCGACAATGGTTTGTCACCTTTTTCAAATACCTGAAGCAGGAACCGCGAGACCAATCAGCGGACAAGTTCCGCATGGCCAGTGCTGCAATGTTGACTTATGCCTTCGAATTGATTATCAGAGATGGTCTAGCGGTGGCAACATTCGAAGACATCAAAGAAGAGACATTGGCCGTTTTTGAGGACGGCAGCGACAAGCACCAACATCGTGCAACAGCAGAGATCCTGGGTGGTTTGGTCACGTCAGTGATGGATAACTCCATTGAGCGGCGGACGATGGTGTGGGAATTCGCGTTCCCCATCATTCAGCGAGTCTTTTCGGACGGCCTGACTCCAGAGAATTCCGGCTACTGGACGACTTTCCTTCATATGATTCTTCAATCTCGGGACCCTCGAAGAGCATGGCCTTTGGTGGAGTGGCTAACTAGCTTCCGCCTTGACATGGGATCTAACGCTGCTTTCAAAGAGAGCTCAAAGATTCATCTCCTCCATCAAGTCATCTTAGATGCAGGGTGGCATTTCCAGCTGGAAAAGCCCATCATGGAGAACTTCCTAGGCCACATTGATCACCCATACAAAGGCGTTCGAGAGGCTATGGCTCAGACACTTGCTGCTATTACCCGCACTCGATACCATGAATCGTACAAGAATGTCGAGGAGCTCCTCGAAGCCCAGAGAAAGGCGGGCCCTATTGGGACCCAGCCCTACCTGCCAACCAAAGAATTTGACGAGACCATGAGCGAGATTTTCGAGCGCTTGGACAAGTGGCGACATGAACGCACCCCAGGTCAACAGACCCCTTCGGCTTATACATCTGGGAGCAAAACCATACTATTGTGGCTTGACTCGATGCTCTCGTCATACGAGTGCACACAGTTATTGAAGTACTTCCCCAATTTGTTTATGGAGCAATTCCTGCACATGATGGATGTCAAGGAGGATCCAGAGTTGCAATCCCTGGCTTATCATGTCTTCCGTCACCTGCCGAATATTCCCCATCGGATAGGAGAGGATCAAGCATTGATCGAGTCGCTGATCCGCATAGGGAGAACATCTCCGTCATGGCATCAACGTTTGCGTGTCATGATCAATATGCAGATCATCTTTTTCCGACGCCTGTTCTTGCTGTCCGAAGAAAGTAAGCAGAAACTATTCAACTGCGTGGCTGATATGCTCCAAGATACACAACACGAGGTCCGTGCGGGTGCTGCCACGACCTTGTCTGGGATGATCCGGTGCTCGCCGCTCGAGCTGCGGGAGAGGATGATCATCCATCTGAGGGATCGATTTACACAAATGCTCATTGACAATCCCCTACCGAAGAAACCCAAGGGCCAACTAGCCGGGCTGTCGTCAGCACGGACTTCAGGGACCAACACACCTACCCCTGAAGCACAGCGGCTTGTCATCGTTCGCCATGCGGCAGTGCTCGGGTTGGGCGCTCTGATTCAGGCATTCCCTTATTCAAGTCCACCGCCGGCTTGGATGCCTGACGTCTTGGTCACTTTGAGCAGCAAGGCGGCGAACGATCCAGCAACTGTGGGCAACAGCGTCAAGAGCATAATTAGCGACTTCAAGAAGACGAGGCAGGATACTTGGCATATAGATGTCAAGGTACGTATTGTGTTGAAACTATTGTGTGAACCCAAGCTGACTAGTTGCAGGCATTCAAACCAGAACAAATTGAAGACCTCTCTGGTGTATTGTGGAAGAGCTATTTTGCTTAGCTTTGCACTAACTTGTAGAATGAAAACGCAAAACATCTATGTGTTTCAGGCATAGCGTTGGCGTCTTGTTTGAAGGGCATTAACCGGTCGCACCGGCGTTGTTATCTGTTTCTGCAGCAAGTTCTTCTTCTGGTCGATTCTCGGTACCTTCCTCCAATGTGTAATTACTCCTCAGGGAAAACGATTGAGCTCTCCAGGGATAGGACCTCATGGTGCCTAGGGGCCATTCTCTTGGTTCTGTCAGTAATTGGCCGGACAAGCGAGAGATGAATGCAGGGATGCGAGTTTTTTTTTTCAAAGGTCATGACCTAACGGGTGGGCGAGGATAGAGTGGATCGTGTATTCTCTGGGAGTGAACGGATGATGAAAGGGCGAGCAGGATCTTAGTGATTGGCATCAGAGGACCTGCAAAGTCCTTGATGTCTTGGTATGAAATGCGAATCACGACTACTATCGGCCTTGACAGTCATGCTGCCGAGTCAAGTGTTTGGAGACAGAAATGGCGAGGCTGCCAGCCTTGTCTGCGTTATGCACTCAATGCTCGACCGTAATTTCCAGGTAGAACCTTTAAGCGGCTAGCGTGCCAAGCTCGAGACTGAGCTGCGACGCAATCATCAAGGTGATACCTCCCGCAGGAACCAGGCTTCGACCTTTTATCTTTCCAAGCTCTAAGTTAGTCCAGCGAGCCACCGAAGCTCTTTGGTGTGTCTCATTTCTCAATTCCTGCTTCGTCAAGGCCTGGGCGGCCTGTCCTCTCCTTCAACATCCGCCCAGCATGGCCCATAAAGACACCCTCTTCCGCTCGGCGAGCATGTCCTTGACCCAGCTCTACATCTCCAACGAAATCGGACGCGAAGTCGTCTCTGCCCTTGGTGAAATTGGCGTTGTCCAATTCCGCGATCTCAACGCTGAGACAACTGCCTTCCAACGCACCTTTACCAAGGAGATCCGCCGACTAGATAACGTTGAACGCCAGTTCCGTTATTTCAAGGCCCAAATGGACAAATCCCAGATTGAGATGAGGAGCCACTGGGACTTCGACGAGAATATGCTTGCGGTTCCGCAAGCCAATGAGATTGATGCCCTGGTGGAACGCGCCGAGAGCTTGGAACAACGCATCAGCAGCTTGAATGAAAGCTATGAAACATTGAAGAAGAGGGAGGTCGAGTTGACCGAGTGGCGATGGGTTCTTAAAGAGGCTGGAGGTTTCTTCGACAGGGCTCATGGGCAAACGGAAGATATCCGCGCAAGCATTGACGAGGATGACGCCCCTTTGCTGCGAAACACAGAGGTCGAGGAAGGCAGAGCTAATGGTGACGCCGCTCAGCAACAACAGAGCTTCGCCGTTATGAACATTGGCTTTGTCGCCGGAGTCATCCCCCGTGAGCGTCTACCTGCGTTCGAACGCATCTTGTGGAGGACCCTTCGTGGCAACCTTTACATGAATCAATCTGAAATCCCAGAGCCCATCATCAACCCCGAGAACAACGAGGAGATTCAGAAGAATGTCTTTGTGATCTTCGCCCACGGCAAGGAAATTATTGCGAAGATTAGAAAAATCTCCGAATCTCTAGGCGCAGACCTCTACAACGTCGATGAGAACAGTGATATTCGGAGGGACCAGATTCATGAAGTCAACACCCGCCTCAGCGACCTTGCGAGTGTCCTCCGGAACACCAAGAATACCCTCGATGCGGAATTGAGTGCCATAGCTCGATCTCTTGCTGCTTGGATGATTGTCATCAAAAAAGAGAAGGCCGTCTTCAATGCCTTGAACATGTGCTCTTATGACCAGGCCAGAAAGACCTTGATTGCTGAAGCCTGGTGTCCCACCAATACTCTGCCACAGATTCGACGCACCCTGCAAGATGTCAACGACCGGGCTGGATTGTCGGTGCCAACCATTGTGAACCAGATCAAGACCAACAGAACTCCACCGACTTACAACAAGACCAACAAATTCACCGAAGGCTTTCAAACCATCATTAATGCCTATGGAACCGCTAAATACCAGGAAGTCAACCCTGGCCTTTACACCATCGTCACGTTCCCGTTCCTGTTCGCCGTCATGTTTGGTGACTTCGGACACGGATGCTTGATGGCAATGGCTGCAGCAGCAATGATCTATTGGGAAAAGCCGTTAGCCCGGTCTAAGCAGGATGAACTCTTTGCGATGGCATTCTATGGTCGCTACATCATGCTGATGATGGGTATCTTCTCCATGTACACCGGTCTTGTCTACAACGATGTCTTCTCAAAAGGATTTACCCCTTTCGCCTCCGCCTGGGAATTCCCTGAAGACGGTCGTCCAGAGGTTACTGGTCACCTCAAGGGTAGCTATCGGTATCCATTCGGTCTGGATTGGGCATGGCATGGCTCCGAGAATGACTTGCTTTTCAGCAACAGTTTGAAAATGAAGCTGTCGATTCTCATGGGTTGGGCTCACATGACCTACGCTCTGTGCTTCTCATACATCAATGCCAGACACTTCAAGTCTCCGATCGACATCTGGGGTAACTTTGTGCCGGGGATGATATTCTTCCAGGCTATCTTTGGATACCTTTCTTTCTGCATCATCTACAAATGGTCAATCGACTGGGCAGCGGAAGGTCGCAACCCACCATCCTTGCTCAACATGTTGATTCAAATGTTCCTGTCGCCAGGGAATGTGGAAGAAAGCGAACAGCTTTACGCCGGTCAAGCGGTGGTTCAAGTGTGCCTGCTTTTGCTTGCCGTCATCAACGTGCCTATTCTTCTCCTTCTGAAGCCCTTGTACCTGCGCTGGCAACACCAGAAGACCGCTGCTCAAGGATACCGCGGCATCGGCGACACTAGTCGCGTCACCCATGCCACAGATCTGGATGATGACGACGAACATGCTCACGCCAACGAAGGGCGTATGAATGGCCGGCCGAGCGAGGATGATGATGATGAGGGTGCAATGATAACTGAGAATATCGGAGACGGGGAGGAAGAGGAATTCGAGTTCTCAGAAGTTATGATCCACCAGACTATTCGTAAGTCGCTTCGCACTCTCCTCTTTCCAAACCCCGTTATGGTGACGAAATCTGACGTGCTGGTGTTTAGATACGATCGAATTTTGCTTAAATTGCGTCTCGCACACGGCTTCGTATCTTCGACTCTGGGCTCTCTCGCTTGCCCATCAACAACTTTCGGTTGTTTTATGGACTATGACATTGGGCAACGCTTTTGGAGCCTCCCCCGGCGCATTACAGGTCATCATGGTGGTGGTCACCTTCTACTTCTGGTTTGTGTTAACGATTGCTGTCTTGTGTGTCATGGAAGGAACAAGTGCCATGTTGCACAGTCTCAGGTTGCACTGGGTAGAGGCGATGAGTAAGCATTTCATTGGAGAGGGCGTGGCATTTGAACCCTTCAGTTTCAAGTTGTTGTTAGAGGAAGAACCAGTGGATTGATCGAGGGGATCCAAGGAGGGGCTGCACGAAGGATATTGGGAACACCTACATGGTGCAGATTATATAGATTCGTAATCCATCCTTCTATCCACACCTCTCTTGTCTCCTGCTTGATCCTGACACCGGTGATCAATTGCTCCCCAAAGCTCCCACTCAATCGCAATTTCACGAACATTTACGATGTCGGCGAATGTCTAGCACCGCAATTTTTTGGTATCTGCGCCGCATTGTAATTACCACTCCAGCAGAAACTAGCTCGACAGCAAAGACAAAAAGGATTTTATTTGCAGCCTTCCTGACAGATGTCTGAAAAGACTGATTTCTGATTCCTAGACTTTGAAGACGGAAAAGAAGCGCTGCGGACAAGGCTGAACGAGGCTGAGGACCTCATCCGCTCCACCTTCCCTTCTCGGTCGGGACAGTCTTGGCGCCAAATCTGCGTCCACAATCAAAGACGTCTCGCCACCCCTCGCTTTTCGATATCACTGCTGCTACACATCAACCCCCATTGCCAGTGACTAGAAGATCTTGACAAGAGTAAGCTGTGAATCCGTTCATTTAGCGAGAGAATCGCTCATTTTACTGACTTTCGTTTTTCAGTGCAGATGTAAGTTTTCCCGAAGCGCTTGCACGAAGCCGACGTTCCCTTTTCATTTTCGAAATTATTCCTCGTCACTCGAGCACATTTGCGGAAATTTCCAAGAAAAGAAGCTGCGAAAAGGGGACAGGAAGAGCTAACGAGATCTCGTCTTTTCTTTCAACACAACAGCTTCGTCAAGACCCTCACGGGCAAGACCATCACCCTTGAGGTCGAGTCGTCCGACACGATCGACAACGTCAAGTCCAAGATCCAAGACAAGGAAGGCATCCCGCCCGACCAGCAGCGCTTGATCTTCGCCGGCAAGCAGCTCGAAGATGGCCGTACTCTGAGCGACTACAACATCCAGAAGGTACACACGCTTCTTTCCCAACTAAAACCTTCTCCTCGAAAGGGAGAAATCTACCGGCTTCTCCAACCCCGCCAATTTGAACCTGACTGACCTGCGGGCGCTGTTTTTTTGAACAAAATATAGGAATCCACGCTGCACCTCGTCCTCCGTCTCCGCGGTGGTATCATCGAACCCTCCCTCAAGGCGCTCGCCTCCAAGTACAACTGCGAGAAGATGATCTGCCGAAAGTGCTACGCCCGCCTGCCCCCGCGAGCCACCAACTGCCGCAAGAAGAAGTGCGGGCATTCCAACCAGCTCCGACCCAAGAAGAAGATCAAGTAGTGGTCTGCGCACGCCCTCAGGAGTTTGTACTTTGCGATGCGTGGTGGTGGTGGTGGTGGTGGTGGCGGCGCTGGTTTCGTGCGAGATGATGGACCGGGTGCACAGAATCTGCAGGAGCAAGATCACAAGAAGTCTGTGGTGAGCTGTATCTTTCGCCGGAAGTGATGCGTGGTAGAGAAAATGCAGGACCAGTCTCGTGAGCCCCAGAAAAGGGTGGCCACGAGCTGGACAGGTTAGATCGTCAATGCCACCTATGTTCAAAGCACATTTGTCACACGCTCCAGCGTCCGCACATGCCCCGCCCAAATGCGGCAAGCAGATGATAATAGGGGAAAGTGCAACGAAATTTCTTGTAGGAATCCCTGTCCTTGGATGGATCAAGTTTATCATTATTGAAGGAGCCACTCCAAATAGAGGAGGGACTCTTTCCCATTTCCCCGTATCCTCGTCGTGTTGTTGATACATGTACCGTTATAACCCCCGTGTCCGCCAGCCCGCCCTCAAGTCATTGTGAAGCCGCCTCCAATGCCATGGGGTACAAAGTATGGACTAGAACAACAACATCTTACTGTCATCATCCTTCGCAGGGCTCTTGTGGCTGAAAAACAAAATCTTGATGGCGATCGCCAGGCCGGCGTGGAGCAAGACCACCGCCAGCAGCAGAACCTGGCTGATCTTCTTCTCCGTCGCACTGATCACCGGATACAGGTTCTTGACCAAAAAGAACACACTGACCCCGTAACCCAGCCCAACGAGGGCGTAGTTAAGTCCATTCAACGGTGACCACGACACCAATGCCACGGCAATCCAGAACAGGTTGCTGTACCCATAAAGCGCCCAGCACTCCACCAGTTCGAGAGACTGTGCACCGAACCAGCGCAGCGCGCCCCAGAGGCCTAGGGGTATGAACAGTGTGTATCCGTAGATCAGGCCTGCGGCACCGCTGAGCAGTCTAAAGTCATACTCGAAATGCTTCTTCCCTTCCGTGGCCAGCTTGTGACTGATCGTCCCCGTGAGAAACAGGATGACCACGACGGTGGTCGCGATCCAGAACGGGCCGTAGAGGTCCGGATTGCCGTCCATGATGTCGAGAAACCCCGGTGTGTTGGGCACGAAGGGCAGGATGGCGGAGCGACACCGGTGCAGGACCGTCGAGGTGTCGACGTCGAAGAACTGCGCGTAGAAGGAGAGCGACCACAGCATGTGTTTCTGCGGCATGGACGAGGGGTCATTGGGCAGGCCGGCGGGATTCGTCGAGCTTGAGAGGAAGGGCGTGTCGGGCTGGATTTTGCGGTTCGAGGAACCCGATTCGAAGTCTGTGAAAGTGAAAGAGAGCGCGCGCGCAGTTAGTATTCAGGTCAGATTCGACGTTCGTTTCTAGAATTGTGAGGTTGCGAGCGAGCGGACGTACTTGACGGGTGGAATTCCAGGTCGTCGTCTTGGAGGTCGGTGTGACCCAGGTCACCCTAGTGGTGGATGTGATGTTAGTTTTCCCACAGGCTTCAATCTATTTCTCGGGGCGGTCATGCGAGGGATGATGGAGGGAGGGAGGGGAGGGAAATACGACGGGAATCCATACTTCTGTGTCGACGTCGACAACGACATCATAGCCTCTATTTGCCATCTTGAGCGGCGAGTGCAGATGGCGTGGGTGCTGGAGAACGTGGTCGGTGTTGAACGAGGACGAAGTGCGAACACGTTTGCCTGTCTCTGTACGAGGTACCTCGTAATAATAGTTTTAGTGAGTTGGAGATGTAGGGCTGCCTGAAAAAGGCTGCGTAATTACCGATCGAAGCATGCAGTATGTGGGCCGAATGAGTTGATGAGATGCATGTCATTACAAATAATTTAAGCCACCACCCTCCCCAAAAGGGCACCCCTGGCACCCCGCCGGGTAGTAGTAGGACCTCCAACAAGCTGGATACAAACATGCTTCTATTTCATCTTCTATGTTCTGATGCCTGGAGCATAACGCTTCTATGAGGTAGATGTATATCAAGGCCCATGTGCCCCAAGTAGATTCTTCGCCATCTCTCGCAAAGAGCGTCCCTACCATTGTAGATCCCCCGTTATGTTGAAAGCAATAAGCAGGTTTCCTTTCCTTGCGACCTTCCGCCTTCCATAGCTTGCTCCCTTTACTGAGCGGAATCCTTCGTCGCTCTTCAATGAGTTCTTCCACAGACAGGTAGGTCGTGCATGTTTCAACAGGGCGTAAGAACCTTTGCTAACGTGCGCAGGTTCAACGACGTCTCGTCAAGTCTTCCAACGAGGGTTACTTCTGTCATCCCAAAGCAGCTGCAAGTCCGAAGTCAGATCTATTCAGATGGACATCATGCTCAATGCTCGCCGTGAGTGCTTGCAACATTCCCTTCCATGTCACAGCCTCCAAGAGACCACATCACAGCTCTCATCCAATCCTTCCTCGCCACTGCCCTCAAATCCCCAGTCCATGTCACTGCCCGCAGACACTCACGCCCGCTGATGAGACACCCGTGTTTTCGCGGAACTTGGAGATGATCATTTCCGAATCATGATGAGAAGAAAAGGTGAATGAGTGCCGGAATTTACATGTTTCGCAGTCCTAACACGCTTACATTACGTTTTGTAATGTGAGTGGCGGACTGGGCCAAGACAACCTGGGAGTTTTGGAATTTTTGGTGCCGGTGTGCAATAGGCATACTACACAGAGGTATCGGTCCGTATGGCTCCGGTTGTCCTTGGAGGGCCAGCCAGGGGGCAAAGTCTTACCAAAGCTATACCCTGAACAGGCGCAAAGGACGACGCATTCGCTGACCTCTACCACTTCGCATCGGCATGCAGCGTACATTGCAAGAATTGGAAATACAAGGGTTGAACTGCATCAAGAATGGCTCAGGTGGGGTTGTGTGATGGTGATGCAGCAAGGGTGGATGGTGGAGGTGGCTGCAGCATGGGCATATGTTGATTGTTGTTTGGTTGCAAGCATTTGACGTCGTGGAGATGGGAAAATACCACGAAGCAGAGTTATTCCCTTGTTTCGGGAGGCTCCCGAGCCCTGGGCGCTCATTCGAACTAGTCAGTGTAGGATCGAAGCCATGCCTTCTCGCTGCTCGTCGATCTGGTGAGACAGTCTATCGAGAGGTAGAAAAAAGCGTAGACGCAGTCGATATCATGGACCACAAGATCCTGTCGTGGCCCGTCTTTCGCAACCAGATTGAGAAGATGCCCACTAAGATTACGGCGGTCATCGATGCGGCGGATTTCCGATACTTATACAATAACAGTGCTCTCTTTCGCATCAGCTCATGGCTGTGGATTTGCTGGATCTGCTTCTGGCAAAGAACCGTGGCCTCCTCCAGACTCTGAGGATGGGCAATGCAGCGTGATGTTTTGAGGACGCTGTAACGGGATAGGCGCCACCAGATGAAGCCCGGCAACTTTTGAGGCGGATGATGGCGAAACAGGGTTACGGCATCCTGGATCCGTGCATCAATGTCGAAAGTCTGGGGTAGCTTGGATATCACAAAGGTAAGGATGTCGGACTGATCCGCGGGCATCTCGAGCAACTCCGATCGCCTCGATATTGTAACCGCCGCAAACAAATAGATGCTCATGATTGGCTCATGCGCAAGCAAGAAATCGTACAGCCTGGCAATGTCGCCATAGTCGTAGATGTCGTGTGCAAACAGGGAATGGGTCGCCGACAGAGCGAAAATATTCTCAGCCTGGGCAATGTGATTAGCCAGTTCAGGGTCAGCGGCCGTCACAACAGCCGATACAAGCTCGAAATGTCTCGTCGCAGGGGTGATTGTCGGCAGCATGTAGTCGCGAAGACGGAGCAAAGAAATTCGTGGAACCGCAGGCATTGCCTGATGTTTTCCCAGCACAAGGAGGAGGACCTGTACGACATCGTGGTAGCTTTGGAAATAGGAGAGGACTGGATAGCTCCTCAATGTCGACACAATCAGCTCAAAGAGCTCTGCCTTCTTTTGCTCGAGCGATTGTTCGGATTCATCTAGCTGCATTCAGACCAGTGTCACATTGTAATCGTCGGGGACGTGGCGCAAACCTTTAGGGTAGTATACAAAGGCACGATCAACATCGAGTTGTACTTGATCCTCGTCCGGGTGACGGGGCAGTGATTTCCACCGGCGCTGATTTGCGTGCTCTGGCTGGGCCGGTGTTGTGTCTTCAGGTGTGCAACCCAATAGAATTGGCCCTTCCAAGTTCAGGTGTCAGTTCCAAGTGCCACGGAGTGTATGGGGGGACCTACAAGCTTGCCGGCGCAATTCGTCGGTCAAAAGACCCCCAGTCGAAGTTGCAAGCGTGACCAGGGCGGCGAAATCCCTCTGTCGACAGGCTTCCAGGATCGATTGGGGCTTCGCAGAGCATTCCGGGTCGGTCAGAGAGTTCTTTTCAGCAGAAGCCATGGAAGCTGTCATTTGCTTCTGATTGACAGCTGCACCCACGGTGTCGGCGCCGCAATGCATTGTGCCTTGTTTAGCTTGATCGGACGATCGCCATCTGCGTGTGTTGCGAACTGTGGGTTTAAGCGACGGGCACGGGCGCAGACGGGCTAGTGCACGCCGCTCTTTGGGTCGAGATTCAAACGGGCCGAAAGAAGACAATGGCCGGTGTCACCTCCACGCCGTCAAGACAAGTATGGGGATGGAATTTGACGCGGGAGGTAGTTGATAATGTGACAGGTTGCACAAGGCGGCCAGTTTGACCCCCGTCAGATGTCAACTTTGTCCACACCCAGACCCAGGCAACCCTCCCTGGTGTTCATCCCGTCATGGGTGGTTCGTAGGGGGGGTGATTGGAGAGTGTTAGGCTTCACAGGCCTCGTCGGTCTTCCTTGGAGTGGTTTGTTGCGTGGTGATGGGTGGATGGGTGAAGGGAAAAAGGGAGAAGTGAGGTGAAGAAGGATGGACCAAGAAGTTGTGGAGGTGGGGAATGGAGAATGCAGCGCCAACTACTTCCACCGTCGACCTGCAGAATCTGCTGTCATTTCCCACACCCTGCATTTGTTTGTGTTCGCCAACATCCTCCTCAAGGCCTCGAACGACAGGTTGATTTCACTCGCAGCTGGACTGTTTGCATGCATCGTATGCCGACCCCCATGTTGGATGAACCGATGGCGATCCAGTCGGGCGTAAGGCCAGATTTGCTCCTGTCCTTCGGCGTCCTGGACCACCAACCCCGTATTCTGACCGCTTCATCTCTCTGTCGGCGCAAGATGTCTCTTTCTGGACACTACTAAACTTGTGAGAGAGAGAGGGACGGAAGGCGACGGAAGCATCATACCAATTCCCAAGTCCGGTCAGGGCGCGGATTGCACACACAGAGAAACCCAGTACGGGGTATATCAACCTCCAGCTCTGCCGCTCTTGTTCGCCCTCGTCGTCTTTCAATCAAACGGGGCGAAACCTTGTCCTCTCACATTGTCACAGCCATCCTCCCGTTGGCTTTCATTTAGTTTGTGCTTCTTTTTTGTTGCCCAACTACATGCAGCCATTGCATGGGTCAACGATGGCGTCTGGGAGCCGTCGTCAAGGGAGGGAATCCCCCGACGGCCGTGACCATGGCCAATTGACCATCCAAGACCGCGTTGGCATTCTTTCCAGGACTCTCAGCTCCAGCTCCACGATCAGATGGATTCTACCTGCCCGTATTCGCTCGCCTTCCAACAACGACGTTGTCTTTGTTGGACCAACCTTCGTCCAGCTTCACGAATTCAAAGACAGCGGACAGTTGGTTGTCGTGACCGCCAAGCTCGACTTTGGCACCACAATCACCGATGCCAAAATCATCTCAGCAGAATTGAAGTCTGTGCCAATTGTCGATGCCATATTGAAACAAGAGCGGGATCAAGAGCAATTCAGTATTCGCGGTCAACCTGTCCAAGATTCGGAGCCACCACAGATCCTCGTCCTCATCACGAAAGACAATGATTTGATTTACGTCTATGCAAGAAAGGATGCTGTTGGAGATGTCAAACTCATCTTCGCCAAAAGGCCGTTCTTGGGAGGGGTGGATCTGCCTTCAAGAGAATGTCGGGATATCGCTGTTGATCCAGAGTATGCATCGCCAACAGACTCCCATCTTACTTGGATGGGCCACTGACTGATGGTTCAGATCCCGTGCCCTTGCAGTAGCTTCACCATCGGGCTATTTTGGAGTCTTCAAACTAAACTATGTGGATGAGATCAAGTCAGAGATTGATACCTGGGATCCACTCAACCCTACCTCTTTCCGTCCCTCTGAAGAGGTATGTGTGACTGGCTTCATGAATATACGTCGGAGCTAATCATCGCAGCAACGGTTTATTCAAGTGGCTGGCAAGATTTTGATGATGACCTTCTTACGCAGTCCCGAGGGCGATCCCAATAAGGTCATCCTGCTTCTGCTGGTTTACTCTGGAGAGGCGGAACAGGGAACGCATCAATACCTCTACAGATGGGACACGCGCCAACCACTCCAGACAATCCAGCCAATGACATGCAGTGGGCGCAAGTTGAGAGAAGATCAGCTGCCCTTGATGTTGATTCCGTCAACGCGCCCTTTTTCGTACATTGTGGTCATGGCGGCTGGCATCAGTTACTATGAGAATGTCCATTCTTCTCAAATGAAGCGAGTTTACTGTCGATGTATGGACAACATCAACACAAATCTGGAGTGGGTGCAATGGGTCAGACCTAGGCGCCACAACCAGTACCTCGAGCGATGCGACGATATCGTCGTATTGCGAGAAGACGGGCTCTTGAAAAACTTTCTAATCGACAAAGCGTCCAGCACAAAGTTCAGCACCAACAACACTATCGGCCATCTCGGTTTCAGTGTTGACACAGCATTCTGCATGCTCTCTGGACCCCCTAGGACAGGCGGTGATATCATCATAGTGGGTGGCAGCTTGACCGACGGAGGAGTCTTTCATGTCTCTGCCCGAGGATCGCCAGAACGCATTCAGCGTATCGAAACACTCGCTCCACTGAATGATATTGCCCTCGGACCTCCGATAGCCGTTGACTGTCAAGACCTTGCCGTGTGGCAAGGTACGCCAGGCAGGCTCTTTGCCTGTTCGGGTCCTTGTGATAGACATGGTCAAGTGTCAGAAATTCGTTATGGATTGGAAGCTCAAATTGGCTGGGAAATGTCGTTCCCGGAGGCCGCTTTGGTTGAACGGCTGTTTAGCTTGGAGATACCTGGAACAGATGAGCTGCTGCTGCTGGCCTCTCATACAACAAACTCGTCAATGGTCTTATTCGGATTAGAATCTCAGGACATCTCGCTCACTGATACGGAGAGTCACCCCGGGTTTGATTTCGACCATCCCACGCTTGCTGCAACGGTTTTGAATCGCGACACTGTTGTACAAGTGACTACCCATGGTGTGCACGCCATACTTATCGAAGCTGACGGCGACGTTGGAGAGTTATGCCACCTAGCATCACGTATCGCCCATGCGGGCTTCTTCGCGGGTGACCAGGCCATTGCCACCACCCACCGCGTCAGTTCAGGCTTTGAGCTTGGTGTGATCGACATCGAAGCCTCAGAGGACGGAGACCTTCGTTTCACACAGCGTCCGCCTGCGACACTGAGACACATTCCCAATGCGATTTGCTGCCTCCAGGTACAGGGCATGCAGCTAATTCTGATCGGTACATCAACTGGAGAGATTCTGGGTTACACTGACACTTTAGAGCTTGTTTTCAAATTTCGAGTTCAAGATCTCGGTGCGAACGTTGAGAATACCGCAGTGTCTTCGTTGGTCGCACTCAAACAGGACGCAGCAGGCCCCATCTTGCTTTTGTGTGGTCTCCGCTTGGGCACCGTCATGTGCTTGGAACTCAGGGTGAATTGTGAAGACCTCTCGAAAACAGGTATGGTGTGTAGGTATTCGATACATATCCTCGGTGCTGACAGCTTCATAGCTTTGAAATGTGACGACATCTACCGCGTTGGAGCAACTTCTGTGCAGATTGTCGAGGAGAAGAGTCCACCTGGCGGTCCACAGTACCCATCTGCGCTCGTCCTTTGCGAATATACACTTCGCCGCATCACGCTCCATCCCAATTCGGCCGTGGTCGACTACACAGTGTCTTCACTGTGGGTGACAGATAGGACGAAGGTACGTCTGGTTATGGCCGTAGTTCGTGCTATGCTAATATACGATCAGCCGTCATTCCAACCGCTGATCAATGCAGTCCACCGCATTCCAAAGCTTGCATCAGGAGACGAACACCCTGGAGGCTTCCTGATTTGTGCTGTGGCAGAGGATTTGCTCTTCTGTTCTGTGATTGCTCAGGAACACGGAATCGCAAAGCATCTGAACCTGAATGGTATTCCCCAGCGTATAATCTACTCACAGTTCCTCCAAAAGCTTGTTGTTGCGTTCTCCAAAGAAGGCGATCCTACGGAGCTTCGAGGCACAAGGCACACCGGTATTCCCCTGCCCGAGGGAGAGAAGGACGTTCCCAACCAACCGTCAAATAAGGTTCAAAGGGTCGGACTCCAGCTCATCACTCCTAATTTGCAATATCCTAAGTCGAGAGAATCCGAAGGCGCTCTCTTTTCAACCATCGTGACTGGAGATGACAGCGACATAATCCACGATCTCATTGATTGGGCACCAACAGACGGACACAATCACTATGAATGGCTGGTACTCGCTTTAGAGCAGTCGAGCACCAAACCCGGTGTGCGAGGACCTGGTCGAGTTGTCTGTGTCAATGCCAAAAGCTTGGGTAAGGGCAAACCCGACGCGACTCCAAAACTTGCCTTTACCAGTCGGGAACCCATTACGGCCATATGTGCGTACAAGATGTCATCTCTCTTGATTGCCGCCGGAAAAGAAATCGTCTTACATCATCTTGATTGGTCCACACGCAGATGGAAGACGTTGGCGAGGTACGGACTCCCCTCATATGCGAATGCCATCTATTGCCAAGGTTCTCTCATCTGCGTAGCCACACAGCAACACTCGTTGTTTGTTCTCGTGGAGAAGGATAACGTATTACGCCACCACAAATGCGACACCAAGATGAGATATGCCAAAGATATTGTCGTCTTGGATGGTTCCACCGCCGTGTTTGCCTCGGCCGATGTGGGAGGCACGGATATCATTGGCTTCTCAGGGTTGAACAAGGGAACTACCCAAGCAACCCCGGCCTTTCATGCGACGGTGCCGGGTCACATCCACCGCTTCCGACTCGACATGTCACAGGGCTCTCGAAAGACTGATCGAACTCGCTTCTACGGCTGCACTCTCGACGGCACCGTTCTCCATTTTGCGCTCTTGAAGCATCACGAGTGGAAATTACTCCACTTCATCGAAGAAATGAGCTACCTGGCCAAGAAACCGATCAAGGCGGTGCCCATCAAGAAGAGAGACGTGGACAACAAGCCATACCTCTGGCAACCTCCGGCTTTCCGGCCAAAGGACATGCATGTCCAGGGAGATCGACTTCTCATGATGATCGAGCAAGGCCCATACAACCTTCGAAATGTTCTGAAAGGGTCAGACAGATTGGATAGTTTCAAGGCTTTGGTGAAGGAGACCTTGGGGGAGACAGTGGAGCCTGTGGACGCTGTGGTTGCTTGGATCAGGAAGTTGATGGTATACCCGCCGCGAACCTAATGGAGGAGGTCGGTCTATGAGGAGGAAAGGGCCACAGGCTCTCGCATCTCCAGGTTCTCAGGGGCCTTATATCGATGCCCTAAGCGATTGGAATGCATGTTTTGCTTGTTGGACAATGAACGACGACACTTCCCACCCATCACCAATATCACCATGTCCAGATAATGACACTCAAAATTCTAGTGTGAAAATAGTGTCCCATTCCAACAACTGTGGCACGGACTCATCTCAGTATAATCATATAAACTCAGACAGTGATTCCTCAAGATCCCCGAGGAGTGCCAAGCCAGGCAACGATGCCGAAACTCCGCCCGCACTGTTTCTTCATGAAACGTCACTTTATTTTTCCTCTCAGTTGCCCCACCACCTCCATTCCTTTCAGCTTGTTTGTCCTGGGAGACCATCGCGACCAGTATTCAGGACTCTTTAAGTCCGGTTCCCACTCACCGTTCTTCCTGAGATATTGTGGCAAAGAACCTAAAAGATCCGAGCCCTCTGGCCAATAGCCACCATTCGCTTCTACGCCACCTTTTGCTCGAGAGCCTCCCCGCCCGTCTTGACAAAACCTGCACACGACTTTATGTCGCCGCCTCTAAACCGTGAACGCTTCATATCAAGACCCAACCCCCTTCACAACCATCACTGCAATGGCGCCCAAGAAGAAGGGCGGCAAGAAACAGGCCGACGATTGGGAGAATGAGCTCGGTGAGACTGTCGACCCGATAGCCCAGGCCACCGAAGATGCAAAGAAGGCAGAGACAGAGAATGACGCTGCAGAAGAGATGAACGGTGATGGTGGTGGTGGTGGTGGTGGATTGCTGGCGGCTCTACGCAAGAACAAGGACAGACGTGCTAAGAAGGGCAAACCCGTTGTCAATGATTTTGTTGAAGGCGAAGATGCGGATGGTGTTGCCCCGCCCCAGCCTGAGAACGACCTGGACGCCAAAGCGCCCACTGAAGCAACATTTGACGACGACGACGATGTCTTTGCAGGCAATGCAAACAAAAAGGGCAAAGGGGGCAAGAAGCCACAAGACAAGGACGAGTCATCTGCTCCCGTGGACGACGGCGAAGACGCTGGCGAGGGTGGAGTAAAGTCTAAGAAGGAGAAAGAACGCGAGAAGAAGGAACGTGAGAAGCAGAGAAAGAAAGAACAGGTAAGGGCGCCGTCTCAAGGCAGGTTGCTTGAAGGCTGACACGGAAAATAGGCTGCGAAGAAAAAGGCTGTCGCCCCGGCACCAGGTCCCAAGGCTGAGGAAGCTAAGCCTGCTGTGGCCGAAAAGGTCGAAGCACCTGTTGTCGCACCAGAGAAAGAGGACAAGTCTGGCAAGAAAAAGAAGATTCCGGCACATCTGGCTGCCATCCAAAAGCAGCAAGAGGCTCTTGCTAGACAACGAGAAGAGCAGGCCAGAATAGAAGCCGCCGAAAGGGCCGCCGAAGAAGAGCGCTTACGAAAGGAGGCTGAAGAGGAGAAGAAGAAAGCCGAGGCAAGACAACGAAAGAAGGAGAAGGAGAAGGAGAAGAAAGAGCAGCTAAAGAAGGAAGGCAAACTCCTCTCGGAGGCTGACAGGAAGAGGAAGCAGCAACAAGATCTTCGCCTCAAGCAACTGCTCGAATCTGGAGTCAAGGTCGCAGGTTTGACTGAAGGTGTCGAAGAAAAGAAGAAACCTGCGGTCGATAAAAAACGGAGAGGCCCAAAGAAGGAAGAGATCGACCTCGAAGCTGCTGCTGAGAGAGCGAGACAAGAGGCCGAGGCGGCCGAAGCAGAACGCCAGCGACTGGCCAAGGAAGCCGAAGAAGCCGCCGCCGCTGCAGCTGCAGCAGAAGCCGAGGCTGCGAAGCAGGAAGAGTCATCGGAGCTTGATGACTGGGAGAAGGCTGCTGATGAAGACGTTAAGGATAGTTGGGATGCCGAATCGAGTGACGAAGAAAAAGCGGCCGGCGTGCCCAAAGCAGCTGCCAATGGAAGCGCTTCGAAGACGCCCACAACCGGCACGAATGGGGCAGTGTCCAAGTCCGCGAGCCGAGATTCGGGACCTCCGCCAAAGGAGAGGCCCATCGAATCCGACACAGATTCAGAAGACTCATCCTCAGAAGAGGAAGGCACTGCCACCCAGCGAGCGCTCGCCAAGAAGAAAGCAGAAGCCGCCGCCAGGAGAGCAAAAGCTCACGAGGAAGCCCTTGCTGCTCGGTCTAAAGATAACCTTCGCTCACCTATCTGTTGTATTTTGGGTCACGTCGATACGGGTAAGACAAAGCTCCTGGATAAAATTCGACAGACAAATGTGCAGGAAGGTGAAGCAGGTGGTATCACTCAGCAGATCGGTGCGACCTACTTCCCTGTGGATGCCCTGAAACAGAAGACGGCTGTTGTCAACAAAGATGGCAAATTCGAGTTCAAAGTGCCTGGCTTGTTGGTCATCGATACTCCTGGCCACGAGTCTTTCTCCAACCTTCGATCCCGCGGTTCCTCGCTCTGCAACATTGCCATTTTGGTCGTCGATATTATGCACGGTTTGGAGCCGCAGACTTTGGAGTCGATGAGACTGCTTCGCGACCGCAAGACCCCGTTTATCGTGGCCCTCAACAAGATTGACCGTCTCTATGGCTGGAAGAAAATCGACAACAATGGCTTCCAGGACAGTCTCGCTTTCCAGTCCAAGGGAGTGGTAGCCGAATTTGAGAGTCGACTTGCCGAAACCAAGCTCGCCTTTGCCAAGGAAGGATTCAACTCCGAGCTCTTTTACGAGAACAAGGACATGCGCCGATACGTATCACTGGTGCCCACTTCGGCGCATACAGGCGAAGGCATTCCAGATCTGCTCAAGCTCTTGGTGTCGCTGACTCAGGAACGGATGACGTCCAGCCTGATGTATTTGTCTGAGGTAGAATGCACGGTGCTTGAAGTTAAAGTTATCGAAGGCCTCGGGACGACCATTGATGTGGTCCTGTCGAACGGCGTGCTTCGAGAAGGAGATCGGATTGTGCTGTGTGGCACCGACGGCCCGATTGCCACGAATATCCGAGCGCTTCTCACGCCTGCCCCGCTCAAGGAGTTGCGCCTCAAGTCGCAATATGTACACAACAAAGAGTGCAAGGCCGCCCTTGGTGTCAAGATCGCCGCCAACGACCTGGAAAAAGCCATTGCAGGTTCCCGCTTGCTCGTGGTCGGACCTGAGGACGATGAGGAAGACCTGATGGACGACGTCATGGCGGATCTGCAAAGTCTTCTCAGCAAGATATCCAAAGACAACCGAGGTGTCAGCGTCCAAGCCTCCACTCTGGGCTCTTTGGAGGCGTTGTTGGAATTCCTCAAGCAAAGCAAGATTCCCGTCGCCAATATTGCCATTGGGCCGGTGTACAAGCGAGACGTCATGATGGCGGGCACCATGCTGGAGAAGGCGAAAGAATACGCGGTGATGCTCTGCTTCGATGTAAAAGTCGACAAAGAGGCACAGCAATACGCGGACGAAAACGGCATCAAGATCTTTACCGCGGACATCATCTACCACCTGTTCGACGCCTTTACCCAACACATGGAGGCGTTGCGGGAAAAGAAGAAGGAAGAGAGCAAGTTGCACGCTGTCTTCCCGTGCGTGCTCAGCCCTATCCAGGTCTTCAACAAAAAAGATCCGATCGTGGTGGGGGTGGACGTGGTTGAGGGCAGCCTGCGGCCGTTGACACCAATTGCGGTGGTCAAGACGAATCCGGTCACGGGTGTGAAGGAAATCATTACTTTGGGCAGAGTGTAAGTGAACCAGCAACCCACGAGACATGGGCGGAAGAACTAACATGGACACAAGGGCATCGATCGAGCGCGAACACAAGACCATCCCAATATGCAAAAAGGGGCAGCCATCAGTGGCCGTCAAGATTGAAGGACCCAATCAGCCCATGTACGGACGACAGCTGGAAGACAAGGATACGCTTTACTCCCTGATCTCTCGCCGGTCGATCGATACGCTGAAGGAGTTTTACCGAGACGAGGTGACACGGGATGAATGGGCGTTGCTGAAGAAGCTCAAGCCCGTTTTCGACATTCCTTAGATGACGAGAGCATGAGATGACATGGATATCAGAAGGGCGTTTTAAAGGTCTGCAGAAAAGCATGCATGACATGACTTGCATTTTTGGGCTGGATGTGTTAGCAATACTGCGGGTATGGGTCACTGGCGGAGTACTGGGATTGACCAAGCTTGTGCTCCGTTCTGGAGGACTTATCTCATCTCTCTCTCTCTCTCTCTCTCTTTCTGTTGAATCGTTGTTGTTCAAAACTGCATTCTGTGGCTTTGTAGTGATTTGAATAGAATATCTGTCCCGATTGGTAAGAAAAGAATATTATCAGTAGCTCGTGTGATTGGCTGACAGGACAGCCAGTGTCGCCATCCGGGAAGTTCATGAACCGACGCGGAGATTGAATCGTACCACGAGCCCGCGCCCAATCATAATGGAAGGAGCACCCGTGGCCGAACTAGAGCAAATTTGGCGGTGAGAAGAGCACGCCCCAGATTTTCCCATTGAAAAAACCCGCCTGCAATCTTGTCGGTTTGGTGGTTGTCGTCGTCGTTGTCTGGATCTGACACACCCTCTACGGCCGTGAGGAGAGGAGGATTGATACAACCAGTTGTTGCCGCTGTCGCCCTCGTCATACCTTGTTGCCCAGCTGCAAGGCACAGTGCCCCCATTCGATCGGGCTTTCAAAGCACCCATTTGCCGCGGCCCCCTTGAGAGCCCCCCTCCAACCAATACGCCATGGACGTCCTCGCGAATGCCACCAGCTTTGCCTCTCCTCTCGCCAACGCCGACCTCAAGGTTCAGGCCGCCTATGCTTCGGGCATCGTGGGGAGAGTGTGGGCGCAGCTTAATGTTTGGACCGTACTCTTGACCATTATCCTACTATTGGCTACCTACGATCAATGTGAGCGCCCGGTGATGACAATCCGGTAGTGCGCGGGGACTGATGATTTGCGCAGGTAGCTACCAATGGAAGAAGCATGGCATCGTCGGCCCGGCGTGGAAGATGCCCTTCATGGGCCCTTTTCTCGAATCGATGCGACCCGACTTTAGGAAGTACAAGGAGAAATGGGAGAGTGCGGAGCTGAGCTGCGTCTCCGTTTTCCACAAGTATGCCGCATTCGCACGTTGCTCACGGGAATGGGCCCTGGTGCTAACCACCGTCTGTGGCCAGATTCGTTGTCATTGCTGGAACCCGAGACATGGCGCGGAAAGTGTTCAATTCGCCGGGCTTCGTCAAACCGACCGTCGTCGATGTCGCGCCGAAACTCCTTCGTCCCACCAACTGGGTCTTTTTGGACGGAAAAGCCCACGTCGAGTATCGCAAGGGGTTGAACGGGCTGTTCACGCGCCAAGCGCTCGAGATGTATTTGCCCGGTCAAGAGGAGGTCTACAGCAAGTACTTCAAAAACTTTCTGGAGATGTCCAAGGAAAACAACATGAAAGCCAAGCCCTGGATGCCCGTGTTCCGCGAGCTCATGTGCGCCGTGTCGTGCAGAACCTTTGTCGGACACTACATGAGCGAGAAGGTGGTCAAGAAGATCGCCCACGACTACTACTTGATCACCGCGGCGTTGGAGCTCGTCAATTTCCCCATCATTATCCCGTTCACCAAGACCTGGTACGGAAAGAAGGCAGCAGACATGGTGTTGGACGAATTCGCCAAGTGTGCGGCCAAATCCAAGGTGCGAATGGCTGCCGGCGGCAGTATCACATGCATTCTCGATGCTTGGGTCAAGCAGATCCAGGATTCCACCAAGTACCGAGAGCGCCTCGAGCGAGGCGAAAAAGTGGACGAGTCCGAGAAGCCACCTCAATTGCTGCGAGAATTTACCGATTTCGAGATTGCCCAGACCGTCTTCACCTTCCTGTTTGCGTCGCAAGATGCCACGTCGAGCGCGTGCACCTGGCTGTTCCAGATTATGGCTGATCGACCGGAGATTCTGGACAAGGTTCGAGAAGAAAATCTCCAGCTTCGAGGCGGCGACCGCAACAAGCCGTTTGATATGGACATGCTGGAGTCGATGGTCTGGACGAGAGCAGTGGTCAAAGAGACGTTGCGATATCGTCCTCCAGTCATTTTGGTGCCCTACGTGACCAAGAAGGATTTCCCCGTGACGGAAGGCTACACCCTCAAGAAAGGCTCCATGATCATCCCTTCCATCTGGCCCGCAACCCATGATCCCGAAGCATATCCCAACCCGGACAGTTTTGAGCCCGAGCGATGGATTACCGGGGATGCCGACAAGCAGGTCAAGAATTGGCTGGTCTTTGGCACGGGGCCTCATTACTGCCTGGGACAGACATACGCTCAGCTGAACCTGATGGCCATGATTGGAAAAGCCAGCATCTTGTTGGACTGGGAGCACGAGCCCACGCCCATTAGTGAGGATATCGAGGTGTTTGCGACCATTTTCCCTCAAGTAAGTTACTACGGCTGTTATTGAAATGTGCGTGTTTGCTGACTTTGACGGCAGGATCATTGCAAGCTGGTCTTCTCTGAGCGGCCATAAAGTGATGGGTTGTGATTGTTTATTTTGCGTTTCAGCGATAGACTTTGCTGGCCACGCAGGTCAACGTTGGAGAGAGATATTGTTGTCCATATTGCCACCAGCGAGGTGTCCCAGCGGCAAGCAGCAGCATAGAACCACAGCCTCGTTGCGTATTGGTCTCGTCGGCCTTCCTAGGCACGCCGGGTCTGAACAGGGGTGGTCCCTGGTCTCCTCGGGGGGTGACTGGCCTTTTTACATGTAAGAGAAGAAGAGTATGGGTGGGTTGTACATAGTTTAGCCGGAAATGTGAGCGAGCTTGGATAGCTAGCATGCGTGGTTAATAGCGGTCGAAGATGGACCAAGCAGATGCTGATCGATGGAACGAATAGAGTCAGTCAGTCAGTCTATCCCGATTTTCTTGGTTTTCTTTCTTTCTGCGGTTCCGATGGCATCTGACCGGTTTCTCTCGTACAGTATGTTTGCATATATGGATGATATACGGGATGAAGTGAGTATACGTTGAGGTCTATTACAGTATATTCCCGACCTATTTCGCTAGGAGTCTAACGAGCGTGTACGGAGTACTGAGTATTGGACCGCCTCACTTATCACCCCCATCGCGTCAGAATCGTCGATCGTCTAAACTTCTCAGGACACTCACTAACTCACTCACTCACTCACCCCTTCCCTCCACCAGTCTATTTATTGCGTCCGTCGCGGATAGGATATGTTATGTGTGTATGTGAGGCATTCAGCCCTGGGGGAAATTCCATAAGATCGAATCTGCCGCGCCTGCCTCTTATCATGCTTCATGCAGGGGTGTGCTCATGCGGTTCGTGGAGGGACGACTCTGAGGTCGTCGTGGTAACGGGCTTCCCTCCTCCGGCGGTCCCATTCGTCGTCGTCGTCGTCGCTTTCGCACTGCCGTTGATCGCTGCGGTGGCGGCCCCTGCTTTGGAGGCGGCGCGTTGGTGGCGTTCGCGACGGCTCTCGCTCGTGGGGTCGAAGTAGGCTGTGTGGTATTTCCTCTCCTCATTTCCCGTCGTCCCTCCTCTCCTCCTGGCCGGCCGGCCGGAAGGAGGAGGGCGAGGGAGGGGGAGAGGAGGCGTTAGTTAGGATCTGGGGGAAATATTGTGATACATAGATCGACGGCGGATAGACAGGCAAGGGAAAGGCAAGATAGGGTTCGGTGCTCGAGTGAGTCAGTCAGTCACAACTTACGCTTCTCGCCAAACACCGTCGTCCGGATCCCCTTGCGGGGACTGTCGTACGTTCCTGGGATGACGCGGTGGGCAGTACATCTGTGGTGTGATTCAGGTACGAGTCAGCGTCACAATCCGTCCATAGTAGGAATATACTGGGTGGTATCCATCTATGGATGGGGGCCATTTGTGTTACACACCTGTTATCCCACATGGCCACGCTGCCGACGGCCCATTTCCAGCGCACGTAGTGGTCGTCGGCCGAGTGCAGGTGGTATTCGAAGAACTCGAGCAGTTTGTCTGTATTGTCGTGGCGCATGTTTAGTTTAGTGTAGGCAGTGAGGCCGCAAACAGAGCGACGTCTATAATGATGGGTGGCGTGAACCGGTGACAAGACAAGACAAGACAAGAGAAAGGGTGACAGGCAGAAAGAAGTAAGGATGAACGGCAAAGGGATAGACGCGCAGAATAGACACCATACCTGATTCCTTCTTGTTGAGCTCCGCGAAGCCCGTGACGAAGCCTGGGTTCACGTTCAGCGCTTTCAGGCCGGTGACCGGGTGCGTGCGCACGGCCGGGTGGTGGGTGTCGATGGGCGGTCTGTTGGGGCCGACGCCCCAGAGGTCGAGGATGGTGTCGTCTGCACGGATATTGTTAGTGGTCAATTCAGTTTGACACAAACCTTGAACATATCCCCTCCATTGTCCTTCTGAGACAACCAGAAGAAGAGGGGGAAACTGACATTGGAGCCGCGACGTGTGGACGGCGTGCAGGCCCTCGACGAACTTCTGCAAGGCTTTGCTCAGGGCGTCGTATGTGCCGTACTGCGAGATCTGTAAATCGGGTGTTAATGAGGATGGCCACACTCCCTGCCGTTTCTCACAACTCAGGTCGTTGGACGTACCCAGGCAGTGTCGCCTCCGACTTGAGGGTGTTCTTCCATGCGCAGGAGGGAGTAAGACGGAGCTGTTCCAATGGGTGTCAGTTGCACGCCCACAGAGACGCTCTTCAGGGCCGGAAAAGGCAAGACGCACGGTTGATCTCAAAGGATGTGTCGGCGTGCCAGTCCCCGGAAGGCTGCGAGGTGTCAGTTCAACCCAATACCAATGACACAAGCAAAGGTAGCTACACACCCAAGGAGTGTATTTCAATATCTCACGGTGGTCTTCCTGGCTCCCTTTGATCACCACATGCTGGAGACTCTTTAGCCGGTGACTTTCCTCCTTCACCTTTGTGAAGCAGGGCTACCTTTTGATCCTGGTTGAACGCCGTGTCAGCAGGAACATCGATTGTGTAGACTGGACGTACCTTTTGAGCCGGATGTCGGTCGAGCGTCCCTACAAATCCATTTTCCTTAGCATCATGAACACATCCAAGCCGTCAACCCGAACCAGCCGTCTGCTATTCCAGGTAAGTGTACCGTAATGTTCAAAGAGCTTGTACTGTCCCTCGGTGGTCAAGTCCTGGTCGCGGAAAAACACCACACCTCTCTCGGTGACCAGCAGGGCGAGTTCGTCGAGCTGCTTGCCGTCCAACTGCGAAAGCTGGACGTTTTCCAGCAGCGTGCCGATTGACTCGGTCAGGTCCACGCGCCGCGCGGCCGCGAAGAGCGCCTTCTTCTCCGGGTCGGCGAACAGGGCGCGGTCCTGCTTGGGTTTGAACTCCTCGCGCAGAGGCTCCGGTGGCACCCAGTCCTTGATCTTGGCGTTGAAGCCTGGGTGCAGGGTGATGGGGAAGCCCGAGTCGGGAGAGACGTGCTTGCGGGCTTCAAGGTGTGCCATCGCGTCCAGTGGTGAAAGTGATCTCTGTATAGACCCAAAAGAATGGGAGGATGCGTCTTGGACAAAAGCCTCTGTGAGCGTGAGAAGAAGCAGAAGAAGAAAGACAGCACTGCCCACGGTTAAAAGAGAAGAACGTCGGTGATCAATTTCTGACCAGGCCGCACGGCAAGCACACTGGGTTCCAATTGTAATCAGCAACTCCATCCATATACCCCCCCATTGCGTGATAAGACTGTGCCGGGAGTCATTGGGGCCTGGGTCTATGGCAATGGATCTCCACGTGTATGTCTACTTCTTCCTGTCGAGGGATAGAGAACCCCATTGGAGGAGTCTTGGATGGCGCCACCAGGAGAAGCGATCGCGTCAGTCCGAGGACCGGTATGCAGTATGTGTGAGACTGATACCATTTGTGATCTGTTCCTGTTTCGTTGCTGGTAAGTTGGGACTGGGTTTTGTCACTGAGGTGTATATATAAATGCTCTTGGGGCCAGATGCCAGTGGTGGGAAATGTTGGCAGAGTAAGTGGCACATGGACCATACCAATCCACCTTCATCGGATTGGTGTCGTGGCTTCTCTTCAATATGCATGGAATGCCTTGCACCTCTCTCAATTTATATATATACATCTTCAGGGTTTGTGATGAAGCATAGAAGTTGAAGTGACAACCAGGGTATCAGTGTGAATCGAAATACGTGCAGGACCAGTATGTCTGTCAGTCATTGTCCCAGCTTTGGTTGTATATGGCAGCATTGATATCTTGGAAGAAGATACTCAGGGCAGCCTGAGCCACGAACAAAGATGTCCCAGCTCGTACATGTATTTATTCCATGAGAGAGAGGGGGGGGGAAGAGAAAGAGAGAGGGAGGGCATCGGATATCAATTCCGACATGATCTCGCTTATCAAAGTGGCGCTATTACATTGCCTTCTTTCCTCGCCGTCGTTGACGTCGCGGCATTCACCCTCACTATCCATCCTAAAAAGAAAATATTTCTGTTTTATCTAGATCCAGCTGTGTACATACACGTCGAGTTGAATCACTTGGCTCTTCTTGCTGGAACCCACAAGTCCTGATAAGTGACTCGCCGACCTCAATTGGTGTCGAGGGAATGCCAGACTGAGAAAGCCTGTTGCCCTCAGTCAGCAGATGGTGTCAAGTCAGTCTCCTGAGCTGCCTCACCGCTGTCTGTGCGGTTGACTTGAACGGAAAGGATATATCGAAACCAAACCTGAGGGCGTCTATCAGACGAGGAGTCGCCGTCATGTCACCGCCAATTGCTCGCACGGGGGCCAGACTACTCTCCCACGGCGCCCCCAAGACGAGAACATTCTCCACGACCAGATCGCTCAGTGTGGACTTTACACATGCAGTACGTGTCTTCCTAGCCACCGTGGCTTCCCAGCAGATGCTGACCGGGATCTATCCAGGTCATCGGCGCCGGAGCCGTGGGTCTCGCGGTCGCCCGGCAACTCGCGTCGCGGACGGGCACGTCGACGATCCTGATCGAGCGGCACGGGGCGGTGGGCACCGAGACGAGCAGCCGCAACTCGGAGGTGATCCATGCAGGGCTCTACTACGGGCCGGACACGCTGAAGACCAAGCTGTGCGTGCACGGGCGCCAGATGCTGTACGCGCTGTGTGAGGCCCAGGGGATTCCATTCCGGCGCACCAAGAAATGGATCATCGCCCAGGACGCTGTGCAGCTGGCTGAACTGGAGGCCCTGCACGCCTTCACGCGGACCATCGACGACGTGCCCACCCACTTCCTCTCGCGCCGTGACATTGCCGCCCGCGAGCCCGACGTCCGCGCCGAGGCGGGCGTCCTCGAGTCCCCCACCACCGGCATCATCGATTCCCACGCCTTCATGGCCTATCTGGAAGGGGCTTTCGACGAGCGCGGCGGCCAGGAAGTCCTGCACACCGTCGTGGAGAACATCGAGCCGTTGCATTCCTCGTCCTCCTCGTCGTCCAGCAATGGCGAGGACATCGCCGGGTACACCATCACGACGCGATCCCGCGACGGCACCGGCGGCCAGGACACCATCACGGCCGAGACGGTGATCAACTCAGCCGGGTTGGCGGCCGTCGATGTGTCCAACATGCTGCTGCCGCCCGAACGGCACCGCCAGGCCTACTACGCCAAGGGCAGCTACTTCTCGTACTCGGCCTCACATCCAAAGCCCAAGACGCTGCTGTACCCGGCGCCCATCCCGGGGCTGGGCGGGCTAGGCACGCACCTGACGCTGGATATGGCGGGACGGATCCGGTTCGGGCCGGACGTCGAATGGGTCACGTCGCCGGACGATCTGGCGCCCAACCCGGCGCGGCTGTCGGAGGCGATCGACGTGATCAAGACGTACCTCCCCTCCATCGACCCCAGCGCCATCGCCCTCGACTACTGCGGCATCCGGCCCAAGCTGGCCCGAACCGGCAGCACCTGGGGCAAGGACGGCAAGGGCTTCGTCGACTTCTACATCCAGGAGGAGGACGGGTTCCCGGGCTTCGTCAATCTCTTGGGCATTGAGTCCCCCGGCCTGACGAGCGCGTTGGCCATTGCCGAGTACGTCGAGGGCATCCTGTACGGCGAGAGGGCGAGCGTGTGAGTACCTGTGGTGGGGGGAGGGGGGGGGGACGATGAATACTGTAAGCTAGGAACAAAGATTCGGTCGGAGGAGGATCACCTGGAAGCGAGATGTCTCTACAGGTTCTGCTGTATATATTTCCATCGAGCAAGCCATCGATTGTAACTGAGCGCCCTTACAACTTATGGTACCCATTCGGGGGTTTCCTAGATTTGAAAGACCGTCGGAAAACTATATATGTATGATGTGCCGGGCCACAAAGACACGCTTGGTCTAGAATATCTGGCGAGAAGACTGCTACTGCTGCCCAGACAAGAGATCCAGAGTCTATCTATTCCGCGCCCTGATCCTCCTTGTACTTGTTCATACCGTGCTTGATCATAGGCGCCTCCATCAGCCTGTCCCAGTCGTGCACGGTCTCGGCCTGGAGGATGCTAACCTTCATCTCGAGCAGGGCGCGCTCCTTCATCTCGGCCTCGTAGGCGGCGACGGCCTCGCGCAAGGAGTGTCTGGTACCGGCGGCGAGCAAGGCCCCGAGCTCGTCGACCAGCTTCGCCGCGTCCTGCAGCGCATTGTTCAGGCCCTGGCCGCGGAAGGGCGGGATGGCGTGCGCCGCGTCCCCCGCCAGTGTCACCCGCGGCCACAGCGGGCTCTGCGTCCAGTCCATGTCGGGCTTCCACACGACAGTGCGGTCCGTGGGGAAGACCAGGTCGTCCGGGAGGTGCTGGCCGATGGTGGCCCAGGGCTCGGCGTAGCGGGCGACGCGGTCGCGCCAGAACCGGAGCCGCGACGCCTGGTCCGGGAGGTCCTCGGGCCGTGGCGCCCCGGGCCAGGACAGCAGGTTCTGGAAAAGCCACGTCTCGGGCCGGTCCGGGTCGCTGACGTCCTGGATCGAGTTCCACCACGAGAAGTTGTCCGGGTGGTAGCTGTGCTTGAAGATCGGGTGAATCGACCGCAGGTACTCGGCCGTCTCCCTGGGGAAGCGGCAGCTGACGTTGAACATCTGGATGTCCATGTATTCCTCCTTGGCCAGCTCGTCGCCCACGAGGAACCTACGCACCGTCGAATGGGCCCCGTCGCAGCCCACCAGGAGAGAACCAGAGGCACTGGTACCGTCGTCGAACACGGCCGTCACCGACTCACCCGCATCGACGGTGACGGACGCCAACTTCTTCCCGTACTGGATTACCCATCAGTGCCAGCAATGCCAGCAAAAGGGATCTTGGGGAGTCTCTTACCTGGACGTCGATGCCCTGGCTCAGAAACGTCCTCAGCTTCTTGCGGGATACTCGCCGGGGGTCCATGCCCTCCATCTCAAAGAGCTTCTCGCCCGTGGCGCCATTGTAGATGGGTAGCGACGTAACCTTGCCCTTGAAGAACGGGTCACAGCAGATGTTCGCGTCGATGTGGTCCGCCAATTCGGGCGGGACGAACTTGGAGAGAAACTCGGCTCCCCAGTGCAAGGTCATCCCCCACTCGCGAGCACGGTTCTGATAGGTGGTGTGGTCCTCCCGCTCATAGACCGTGCAGGGAATGCCATTCTAGTACCACTTTCGTTGGCTTTCTCTGCGTGTATGTATGCACATCTTTCGTCGGAAAAGGGGGAATAATAATACCTGTTTCAGACCCTGTGCCAGGAGCAGCCCGGTAGACCCTGGGAAAACTATTAATTGCCGGCCGGATGGCCAGTCTGCCGAACCGGAGGAGCCTGTCCAAGAAGAGAGATGTTGCACGTACCTGCGCCTATCACAATCACATTGAGGGGAGTTGTGGAAGCCATTGATTTGCGTGTATTCTAATGGATTGTCGGGGGAAATGGTTGGATTTCTAGAGATCTGACATGTCCTTCCTTGTCTCGTCTCGTCTCGAGCTGGTCACTGCCATGTCATTCTCTCTCGCTCTCTCTAGTTGCTGTCCCACGAACCGAATCAGGTTGTACTTTTGAACTTTTGAAGGAGGGGGAGACTTTTGTGGCCCCGATGTGGCTTCAAAGTTTACCACCTTGCTTGCCGTTCGTGTAGAAGCCCGTGATACTGAATTCGCTCTCGTGCATGGCATAGAGTGATACGCTGTGGGGACTCGATATGGAGGCCTCAAACGTGGATGGCTCCTATTCACCGTGACACAAGATCTTCTATCCACCTCGTGGGCCTCCTAAGGCGCATGATGCCCGCGGGTGAGGGTCAGCACACAGTCCCACGCGCCGCTAATGTCTCCCGCCGACTCCGCAGTGGTATCTCGTCAACGCTGCTGACCTATGGGAGTTGAAGGGGTTTTGGTCTGCAAGGATGCCCCGTTAGGACAACTATGTACCTATGTCCCCAGCTCAAGCGAGGGACAGCAAGTTCGACACCCGGATGGAGCAGAGAGGTGATATTTGACGTAGCATCTCCAAAGCAACCTTGTAGGGCTTTGATATTCCTTCAACAACTTGGAACTCGATACTCTCCCTATAACGACGCCTTGGAAACGACAATCGATATGGCCGACAATCAGACTGCCCCCATCTTGTTGGATGAAGATGAAGGAGTAGCTGAGCTGTAAGTAGGGTCAGTCCACTATCTCTGCAAATCGATGAGTTGGTCTTGACACATCCTCTCCACAGTGATGATGGAGAGACGACGACGTCTGTCCGTTCCAGTATTTTTCAGAACAAAGAACAGTTTGGAAGACGATATCACGCGTACAAGGATGGGACATACCATCGTCCAAACGACGAGGTGCGTTCCGCCATCTGAAGTCTCTCGCTTCTTACTCAAGACTGTCACCCTGGCAGGCCGAGCTGGAGCGTCTCGACATCGCCCACGCCCTCTTTGCAATCATCAACAAGGACCGATTGCATCTCGCTCCGCTCAAGCCCGACCTGGGCCGTGTCCTCGACCTCGGCGCCGGCACGGGGCTGTGGGCCATCGAATTTGCCGACGCCCATCCTTCCGCCGTGGTGGTCGGCGTGGACATCAGTCCCACCATGCCCGAGGTCGTGCCGCCCAACGTGCAGTTCGAGATTGACGACATCATGGACCAGTGGACGTACAGCAAGCAGGCCGACTTTATCCACTGCCGGTACATGGTCGGGTCGATCTCGGACTGGCCCAGGCTGATGCGTCAATGCTATGACAACCTCAACCCCGGTGGCTGGGTCGAGTTCCAGGATTTCGACATTGACTACTATTCGCAGGACGGGTCGTTGTCGGACAAGCACGCCATCAAACGCTGGCAGGTGCTGTGCATGGAGGCCGCCGCCAAGGTGGGGAGGACACTGACGGTCGGCAGACAGCTCGAGCGGTGGGTCAGAGAGGCCAGCTTCACCAATGTCCAGGCGGTCAAGGTTCCGGTGCCCATTGGTCCATGGCCGAAAGACAAGACACTGAAACGGATGGGGCTGGTCAACTGGACGCAGATCTTCGAAGGGCTGCAGGCCGTGAGCCTGAGGCTGTTCCTGAACGTCCTCGGGTGGACCCAGCCAGAGCTGGAATCGCTGCTGATGGAAGTCCGACGTGACATGAAGAACAGGTCGATTCACGCGTTGTATGATGTGTGAGTATCCGTACCGCTGCACCTTTGGATCCTCAGTGCTAACCCACGGCAAGGTACACAGTCATCGGCCAGAAACCAATGAACCAGACGGGACAATCTCACGAGCCGTCGACAAGCGCAAGGGAGATATGAGAGCAATAGAGACTCCGTGAGAAGGATCACAGAGAACCTGATACAAGGCAGCACGGAGCCGTTGTCGTGCAGCGCCCAGCATCGTCACCGAAGCGACCAATGCCGATGAGGCTGTTGAGTGAAAATGGCGCCATGGGGAGAAATGGAGCATTCTCAATAAGAACCTCTGGGTCAAGCGGTAAGACTGTCAGCTCTCATATAAGGGAAGTTCCAACCTGAAGACATCGACGCTCAACAACTCGCCATCGAAGCAAAGACAATCGTCGAAATACGACCTGTCCATGGTCAAGGCATGCAAGTACAGCAGTACTTCGTCCACAGATCCTGGAGGGTCTACATGCATGCATGCATACCCTTCCGGTGTATGCACGGACAGAATCTTGCGTGAACCCTGGATCAAGAAACACCCGAGAAACACTGAGACGGAAGGTCTTGAGAGTCTCAACATCCACCGAATTGAATTCACTTCCTGCATGCCCGCTTTGTTGTCATTGCTGTCGTGCTGGCATCCAGTGGGAGAGGATCCTTGGCGATGCCGACAGATTTCGCTTGTCGCTCGCTGGGCAGCACTGGGTGGGCGGACATCTTGAATGTGGAACCGAAGGGAAAGATGATGATGCGCAGGCATGAACAAACACACATTTTACGTCGCCCGGCACGAACAAGTAGTGAGAAATAACCTTACACAAAGTTCGCCGGAGGACCGGAGTGGGCCGGTGGTGGGCTCGACTAGATAGAAAGCAATGATTTGAGGGTTTGGGACCGCTTGATGGCTAACGAGGTTATCAGACTTAGTCACTCGTATATAGGTCTTTATGGGTACTTTACATGCGAGTATTCAGTGGCGGGATGGATTATGTTTTTGTAGTAAATCAAGGTCGAGGAGTCAGTCTATGGTGCAATATGTATGTATAGGGCCAGGACCTGCTAATATATAACCAAACCAAACCAAACCAACTTGCTTTAATATATATTAGGTCGCTTTTCATGCACAACATACTTTGTACCTGGTATGATATGATATGATATGACACCTCCCTCTTTCTCTCCCGCTCCTCAAACTCATATCCAGTGAGTAGGCCGGGCCGATTTTTGGGTGTTTTGATTGTCCACAATGGACGTGCTGGAAGGTGTCAATATTAATCAAAGAGACAATTTTTGTGTCCTCTTCTGGTATTTCGCAAGATCAGGAAAGAGCATGCTTCCCTGGGCAAAACCCAGGAGTCTCCCACTGCTTCCTCCTCTCTCGTCCTCTTGCTGTCGACCAGAGCCACTTCAATCCGCCTTCTCCCGAATCTCGCGCGGGAGCGTGCCGACATTGCGCTCGTAGTCTTCCTGCACCACGTCCAGGTTGAACTCGGCTTCGCCAACCAGTCTCCTCGTCTCGGCCAGCAGGTCTGCCAGGTCCTCGTTGAGCATGGTGGTGCAGACCTGCATGACGGCGAAGGCCGAGTAGCCCGGCTCACAGATGTGCTTGGTGTCCAGGATGCTCGAGTCGAGCGACGACAGCATCTCGTCGATGTGGAACCGCTCCGGTGACCGCAGGTACGGGGGAAGGGGCTTGCCGGATCCGATGGAGCCCGAGAGGATAGCGAGCAGCGACGTGACACTATGCGAAGTCAGTTCCAATGACGAGATCAGCTGTGTAAAATCCTTGAGCCAGGTGCCGGTCTCGTTGGTGGCGACGATGGTGTTGGGCGCTTCAAGGTGGCCGACCGCTTCGGGAATTTCCTTGAAGGTTTTCGTGGTCCATGCGATCATCGCCGTAAAGCGAAGGATGCTGCGAACGTTGTCAGTGGCGAGTAAAGGAAAAGACCCTCAAGATAACTGTCACTTACTTTTCTGTGTGGGCGAGCATCCTTTCATAGATCTCCTTGGGAAATCTGCCGCCAAAAGTAGGTTCCCATCTGATGAACCGCAGATGATTCTTCATCGCCTGGATGAGAATCAAGTTCTTCGCAAAGAGCTTGGTGCGGGCTTTCTCCAGCCTCCGAAGAGGGCTTCTCTCGTCCTTGACGTCTCCTTCCAGCCCCTTCAGGCGCAGCGAGACCGCCTTGTGCGAGGAGCTGTAGTATTGACCGAGTAAATACAACGTATTTCCCAAGTCCCTCCGCATCTCACTTCTCGCGGTGGTTACGCTAGGGAAATATGTCAGTAAACACGCGACGCCCACGCCGCCGAGCACGCATGCAAGCCGGTAAGGCGCGAGCTCGTACACCGGATGGAAAACTTGACCGTTTGATTCGGAAATGGCGAGGCCAACTTGCTTGACTTGAAGCTCGTATCCCACGATCAACACAGTCGTGATCATGCCGATCATGGGGATGACGGGGTCGTTCGGTTTCGTGACCATAAGATAGTGATAGAGGAAGATGGTGAGGCCCAGAAAGACAATGACGCCCGCTGTGTCGCCGTCCACGATATACCAGTCAATATAGGAGAGGACCATGGCCAAGAACGTGCCGAAAATCCTCACAAATTGTCCATACATGCCGGATCCGGCGGTTTGGGTCATGCTGATGGCAACCATAATGGCGCCCCAGATGATACGCTGCTTGATATAAAACTGCTGCGAGTTGCGCAGGAAGGCTGTGACCGCGATAATCATGGTCCCCACGGCGACCTTGAAGCCGAACCAGGATTCCTTGGAGCCGAAAAGCCTTGGAATGAGGCGGAAGTAATCAGTCACCTTCTCCCACCACGTCACCGGCGGAAGGTGCTCAGGATCTCGGTTGATCCCGAGAGCATCTCCCAGATAAACTGTCGGGGTACCGCTTCGGTAGCTGTATGCCGTGTAATCCAGATTGCTGTCTTCCCGGCTGATGATTGCCCATGCCCACTTCTTCCACTGCTTCGCGGTCGGGGACAACAGCCGTCTTTTCCTCATGGTGCCATCTTCGACCTTGGAATCGGCGAACCGGACCAGGTCAAGGATCCCCATTGCCGTTGTCACAACGCAGTATTCGAGATCAAGCAGAAGGTATAGTTGGGATGTATGTCGCTTATGCGAAGCCCGACTGGTCGACTGGCCCGTAGTCTCAACGGTTTCGTTCGTGTGACACCACTCTTTCAGAGGCCCCTCTCGTTCGGCCAAAAAGTTGTTGATTGTCTTTTCGAGGTACTTTGCAAAGCCTTTGCCCTCTGGAAACTCGGCTGCTCTCGCCTCAAGATCAGCTTTGGTCGAAAATGCTGGCTTCTTGGTGATTTGCAGCGTGAGGAATGCGTAGTCGAGTCCCTCGATCATTGCCTGCCACAATAGTTTGAAGGCCCCATCGATCTGGCCAAATAACGCACTCCAGCGCTCTTTCTCCACGTCATTCAAAGCTCGATCCGAAACTTCGGAGTTGGAACCGTCCTTGCTGGTCTTGATTGACGTCCATCCACCTTGTTTTTCAACTCGGTCGTTCACCTGAATTACCGTCTCTAAGCCGGCAGTCGGGATCAAAACATTCCTCAGCAGTTTGGTGATACTCGAGAAATCCTTGCCAGATAATTTCCCAAAAGTGACCTCCCGTTTGACATAACGCATCTCTGACTGAATCTTGACCTGGCATTCGGTCGCCGCCGCAGTGAGTGCTCTCCACTTTTCAGCCTCGGGCCAGGAGGTTAACCGTTCATTGGGGTCGTTCCCGTCACTGTCGCTCTCCAAGCTGCTCGTCGTGCTCGCATTGTTCCAGTCACGAGAAGGTAAAGAGATCAGTAGTGCTGCTTTGGCATCGATGACGCCTTTGAGGACGTGGAGGTACTCAGTCAGGATCAGTGTTGCTAGATCTCGTGATGTGATAGGTAGCACCACAAAGTGGACAGCGAATGCCAGCCCGAATCCGACAAAGAAGGTGTCGAGGAGTCGCTTTACTAAAATGCCACAAAATCAGCGCAAATCCTTCTACAGGAGCACACCAATACCCACTTAGAGAATATACCTGTTCCATCTCCGGGAAGATGGTACCGTATACAGCCGTGATGTTGATAAATATACCAAACACAATCAGAGGCAGAAAATATTGCGGTCGAAAAGCGCGAAACCTGCCTAGGCTATCAGCACAGCCGCGTTGAGACAGAGAACGTCCAGTAGAAGGAACGCATACGTGTTGTAAGCCCAAAGCCAAAAGAAGAACCACACAGCAAGACATGCGCTTGCCGCTGCGTTGTAGGGCACAACTTCGGCTCCTGGAACAGGTCCATTGCTCCGCTGCTCCGCCGACAAATGGGTCGTGTTTTGTCGAGCTTTGATAGCAGTCCACATGTAGAGAAGGGATATTGCCGCTGCGAGGCAAGTCAGGAGCTAGGAACTAGTGAGCTCAGCACAGCTGAGGAGAGACATCCGATATCGTACACAAGTGACGAAGAAATTCTGCAAAAACCTGGCTCGGGGTAAGATGGGTACGACGAAGAGTGACATGATAGGGATGAGGTAGCCGATTGTTGAGTAGTGGTCTGCGACGCGATCATCTTGATATCTGGTACGAGTCAGTTCCTGTGGACGCATTTTCTTTCCAAGTCAACTTACATGGCGATGCCAATGGTAGGTGCCACAGCTCCTCTGGTACAAGCCGTTAGCGTAGGGCCCGAAACTTTGGTAGAGTCTGTAGGCACGTAGCCGTGCTGTGGCACAATTTCGTGTGATACGTCTTGCGGCATTGTCCCCCTACAAGACTTACTTGAACATCAACAATAGGGTAGGGAGATTGATCTTCAACCCCAGCTTGTCGTTGATCCTCTTCAGCAGCGAGGGTTTCTTTGAGCTTGCCATGGTGCCGATTCCAAGGCCTTGAAAAAGTCCGAAGCAGAGCAATTCAAAAGGGAGAGTCCTCCGCAAGGAAAGGCGGATACAGAAGCAGAATTACCGCAGCATTGAAAACCACAGAGGGGAGTGGATTCCAGCTGCTCAACTTCCTTTCGCAGGTCCTCGCCTCCGGGGATGGAGACACGCAGCAAGTAAACAAAGGATGAGACACAGAGGACGCGTTGAGCTGAACCTCACAGCGGAAAGGCTCAAAGCAAGTATCAGGTGAACATCAGGAAAAAGGCTGCTGAAGAAGACCAAATTGAATTCGGCACAGATGGCAGGCCAACGCCTTGATCAAGTGAGGAGACGCGAGTGCATCAGTAAGCTATGGCCTAAGCGTCCATGAGATACCGCATTGGGATACATCTCGGACGAGGCTGAAATTCGTACGATTAGGCGCAAGATTGTGAGGGAAATTTCTTCCGAAACTCGAAGACGCCGAGTGGTCAACATGTCAGACCCTCGAGCATAACTCGATGCTTGGGCTTTCAGGCCGGAAATGTCGTCTTGGGCGTCCTTTGCACATACAAAGGGACTGGCAGGGTGAAGTTGACGTTACCTGAATGCCTGAACGTGTTTCGTAAGCAAAGTCCAAGGCCTGACTCTGGCGTCCCGTCACCTTTTGCCGTATATAGTTTAGCTCTGCCAAGGAATCTCCACAGCCTTGGCATCTTTAGTCATCCAATTTGCTCCACTCCGAAAGGCTGATGGATAATAGCACCTGCGAGTATCCTTGTTTTGTCCAACGCAGCCACGCCAATAGATTGTCTATTCACACAGGCTTCGTTCATGGCTTTCGTGGCTTCTGGGCCTCCAATCGTATTCGACTTGGTCGCAAATTGTGGCACATTTGCAGCCGCAACATCCGAGACGGTGGTGGCCGGTCAGGCTGTTCTTTCAGCCTTCCAGATCATGAAATCGTGTTCATCTGACTGGGTATTGCATTGCAAGGATGCTCCTCAAAAAGAGGACTACACCCATCAAGAGACATCCAGGGATGGCAACTCTAGGATAAATCCTTCTTATTAATTTAACGGTATGTCCTCGATGCCGCTATCTTTACCGATGGCTATCCATCCCATTTCATCCCACTAGCTTCTCTCTGATACTTTGACACCAATTGTTCCAGTCTGTGAAGAAACCCGGCAAAACTTTGCATTTCTTGTCTGTTAGTTGCCTCAATCTTGTTGACGCGTATATCTCGACAATATTTTGGATGTTCGTTGCATCGGCTCGGACGAGGGCCTTCGCAACCAGAATGCTCGAGAGACTTGCCACATTAGAATGGGCGTGGGACGATTCCATGCATGCTTCCTCGTGGATCGACTTGAGAACATTAGAAGCATGTCCACTGTCGGAGTCACTCGCTAGGTTCGGGGCATTAGGTCCTTTGCACCGCGAGCAGAATTGCTGCAGGATATTGCAAGCACGATCGGCCAGCTGCTTTGTTTGCGTCGTCCTTGCGAGCTTGAGGAGCGGCAGAATCAAGTCCATGGACAGCGAGTTGTGTTGTTGGTGCTTCAAATACGACTCGACAAGATCGAGCACACGGTTCTTGAAATTGACAATGTTTTCCTTTGCCTCTTTCGCTTCTTTCTTTTTGTTCTTTGATTGTTGCTCATTTCGCGCGCGGAAAACTTCCGCAAGCTTTGAATCTAGTTGCATCATTTCATCGTCGTCCATGTCAGCGTCGGAAGACGATTCAGAAGTAGCTGGAGCGGCATCGAGATCTTCTTGGTTGAGCCGCCTGGTGCCTAGCGCTGATGCTAGGGCTGCATCGAACGCAGCCAGCTCCGCATCCTCCTCATCCTCGGCTGCATCTGTAGATTGGCCGTCTGAATTGGAATCGGAATCTGTGGTGGATCCTGTTGATTCGCTAGACTCCGAAATAGAAGCGACTTCGACGTCCGAGTCCAGCTCTTCCGTCTCTAATTCTGAAGCAAGGTTTTCTTCATCCTCATTCTCGACGTCTCCTGATTCGAACATCTCTTGTTGTCCTTGAAGATTCTCTTTAGTTTGGAGTACGCGGCATATAGCTTCAAGACCAGTGGCGGTGATGTTGGGGGCGAAGGCATCGAAGATGTGAATAGTGATCCGCCTCATGAATTTTGACGGCCTTGACACAAAACTGAGGAGAATTTCCATAATAGCATCGGCAGGTCCCTGTCCACTGCCAGTCGAGACACTTTTTTTCTTCTTGGCTGTTTCTTGACCCCAATTTTCAAGCACTTCCTGCAAGATCTGCACAGCCTCTGTCTCTCCACTGTAGATTTGAAAAAGTAGTAACGAATAAAGTAGACTCAACCCCTCTGAAAAAGACAAAACTTTTGATTGTACAGGTGCTTTCGAAGTCTTTGCTGGCACTCGGCCGACCGTTGCAGACATCTGGGTGTTGACCTGAATATCTCCCAGGTTTTGCCAGGCTGTCTCCACGATGGCCTTGACATCGTCGTCGAAGGCAGAGATCATCTGGATGTGGACGGCTTCTAAGTCGCGAATGTGAAGGATCACATGTTTCAACAACCAACAGCCTAGCGGTCCGAGTTTGAGAGCTTGCTCAAAGGACAAACCCAGACGCTCTTTTGCAAATTCGCGAATTTCTGGTAGGAGTATAGGCTGAAAATCATGGTCGAGATTCTCCGGACGGTGCGAAGTAGGTGAGACACAGACTTCTCTCAGCCATGATTGGAGTATGCTGGACACAAGTGCCTTCTCGGTCTCCTCGACGTCGTCCTCTTGAGACATCTGTAGCTGCTCCCAGCAACGAAGCCTTGCAGAAACCATCTTCCACTGCAAATTCACGACTGCCTTCTGTTGCAAAAGAGTCGTCTTCTTGTCCTCCTCTTCAAGAGATCTCTGTAGGAGATTGGTCAGAGCAGAATTGATGCCCTCTAGCACATCGGTGTCTCTTGCTTCGAATAGGCTCTGTAGAGTTTTTGATCTTGTGATCTGATCAAAGTCACCGAAAGAAACACTCTGCAACAGTACTCGAACGTAAGTTCCGGCGAGGTTGGCACGCTGATCCCAGGGCGCCAGCTCGGTCAAGCGGGCCTGAATGATCTGGGATACCCTTTGGGCAGACCTCTGTAGAAATCTCTCTGAGCTCTTGAGGGAGTTGGCTAAACAACGGGTCGCTTGCGGTGTAAATGTGTAGATCAATAGTTCTTGGGCGGCAATCTCCCAAACCTTTTTCCAAAGGCTGAGCCCCCAAGATTTGCGCTCGGCGCTGCTTGCAGGGGCGAAAAGACTTTCATCCACCACGACCTTCCAGAACAGGTCGAAAGTGATTTTGTCATCAGCTTGCATGCTATTTTTTGCACCTTTCCCTACCCCGAACCCTTCAGGAGTGTTTCTGAAGGTCTCGGCCAGCACAACCTCCCAGGCAAAATGGAGATTAGCAGACCACCTAGCAGCACCTTGGGAGTTCAGCTCGGAATCTCCTTCCTCTTGTTGAGCCCTCGCATCTTTGAGGATGTCGGCAAGTATATTCACATCTTTCTTGGCCAGTGGATGACCACTTTTCCAAGCTGATTTGGGCAATTTCGCGTTCGGGAAGCGCCTAGACGTCGCTAACCAGATAGCCACGCCTTCGGGCGTACGAATGAGCTTGTTCGCTACCAGCTTTTCGCTTATGAATAACGATAAGGACTCTGGCAGGGCATTCTGAGCAGATACAATGCAGTTGTAAAGCACCCAGCCACATTCTTGACGAAGCCAGGGCTTCTTGATTGCTAAGGCACAAACGATATCTAGCAGGCGATTGAAATGACTTTGATCCGCTTTCTGACTGAAGAGTATCCCCGACTTCAAGATAGCGTCAGTGCCAAACACTCTGCCGAAATAATGATCGCGCTCGTCCTGGCCAGAGGTTCCCTTCTCTGGCAATGTTTCTGCTTCGAGGATGTCAATGACAGTCGAGGCGGAAACATCGCTTTCAGGGGACGCGGCGGGGGTAGACGCAAGCTGAGAGAGAAGTTCGGTCAAGGCCACCGAAAAGCCCAGACGGGCTGATTTGCGGCTGCTGCAGAGCCCGCGGAAGAGTCGTATCAAAATGGTCTTGGTTTGCTCGTGGCTGGTGATTCCTGTCCTGTATAACTTGGAGAGCAAGGTATGGGCCGCACCGAGACGAACGTTCTCCTGGACGTCGGCTAAGTCTTCATAAACTTTGACGAGCTCGACGTCGACTTCTCTCTTTCTCTTTTTGGACATCGTGTCAGCGCTCATCGCAAGTGACCGTGTATGTACGGAGTATTGCAGTCTTCCTCTAAAGTGAACCTTGAAAAAAAAAAATATCACTGGCTCTCCATTCGAGATCCACTTAACGGGCTTGGCGCAGAGGATGCGGGGTGGACGGCGTTGACAGATTGGGAAAGCGCCAAAAGTCAGGTGCAGGTGCGGCTTTGCAGGAATCTTCTCGACTGACACACGGTCCTCTAAGTGACGCCCTAAATACGACGCCTAACATCTCGTATCCCACAAGAATCTTCAACTTGACCAACTGATCCTCGTCCACCAGAACCCTTGGACTGCCCAGAGAGCATATCCCCAGAGCACCACAGCCTTGTGTCTGAATCGCACGCGACCCATCGCCCTGTTCAGCTGCCTGTGTCCTCCATCCTTAACCCCGCAACGATGCAGGCCTTACCGGAGTCTCGTCAACAGACGTTCGAGGAGATCTATGGCCCTCCAGAAAATTTCCTCGAGATTGAAGTACGTTCGAAGATGTTCTCTCCGCTGCAGAGCTTCCATGCTCGCTGTGTCAAGATCGAGCACACCCCTCGGGCCAGCCAGACTAACCCCTCTATGTACAGGTGAAAAATCCACAAACCCACGGGTCCTCTCCCCGTAACATGTACACTTCGTATGAAATCCACACCCGCACGAATATCCCTGCGTTCAAACTCCGTCACTCGGTCGTTCGCCGCAGATACTCGGATTTCGAGTACTTTCGAGACATTCTGGAGCGAGAAAGTGCCAGAGTCACAATTCCCCCGCTGCCCGGGAAAGTATTCACGAACAGATTCTCCGATGACGTGATCGAGCACAGGAGAGAAGGGCTTCAGAGATTCCTACAAATCGTGGTCGGACATCCTCTTTTGCAGACTGGGAGTAAAGTTCTCGGGGCGTTCATACAAGGTAAGGCGAGGCATTTCTGCCATGGAAGGGAAATGAGCCCGGGCTGACAGTGGGCCAAACCAGATCCGAACTGGGACCGCAATGCCTGGTAAAGAGGCCAGCCGACCAGCCACAATAAAACCATTGCTAAAAGAAATGACAAGACCAGAATGATCCATGAGAGTGACGAGCAAAACGACAATGGGAAGCGAGGCTTTCTGCGGGCGAATCTCTGCAGCATTATTCGACTTTGTATATTTGTTTCTTTCCTTTTAGCATGCGCATGGAGGAGCAGGGTGGTGACCACGGAGTCTTGGTCGATGGCGCATCGTTTCGGGACCATCACCGCAAACTTGAGCGCGTTGGTTGGATTGGACTACGAGGAGTTGAACCGTTCGGAGCTCCCCTGAGGACAACAAGAAACCACGCCGCAAATCTGAAATCACATGGATGTTCTGGTGAGTGTCTGAGAAGTTCGAGGGACCTTGAAATGTGATGCGCGTTACCCGAATGGCAGAAAACAACAAAGAGGTCGAGTGAGCATAGTTGAGTGAGAAACCGGAAGCATATAGAAGACTAACCATCCACCCGTCCCTTCAGCTGATGTCGTTAAAAGTGAATGCTGGCCAAAACATGCCGTTGAACGTTCTGTCTCTCTCTCTCTCTGTCTTGCTTTTTCCTGCTGGGATGCGTATGAGTTCTTCACCCCGTCTGCCTCTCTGCCTTCTACCTATGCCACCGCCTAGAACGGGAGTCACACGTAGTAGAAGCAACCAGTCACGCGCCTCCATATCTATTCACAGAAGGAGAGTGATCTGTCTCTGGCCACGAACATGATCAAATATGAAGCAGGACTGTCTGTCTGTCTGTCGACATGCTTGCTAACAGCGGTACAGAAAGGCAGTGTATGTCGGGCAGATATCATTCAGCCTCCTCTCTTTGCAAGCCACCCTTGCGAATGCTCATTACCAAGGTACAAATAAAGATGTATGTTCAAACCTAAGGCGTCTCGGCCCAATTCCAACGTTCCCATGTCCGTCAGTCCCAGCCCAAGTCAAGTACCAAAATAATCAATGGGTATCGCAGTCGCAATCGCAAAATGGGTATTCCCTTCCCTTGTCCTCTCCCATTTCCTAGAGGTCCGTTTTCCTGCCCTGTTTCGTCCACCGTTGCGCATCAACCCATATAACCAGTTGGTGTAAAAAAGAATAAACACAATAACCCCGGTCCTGTCGCTGTATTAGTCGCACTGTGTTGCCTTCTGTGGGCTCCCATGCTCCATCCCATTCAAATGCTGCCATGTGGCCTGGTGTGCTAATTTCAAGAATTTTGCCCAAGCATTGATTTCAAACGCCCGAGAAATATCCTTTCCCCGCTCAATTCTTCAACGCATATGCCATTTCCGTTGCTACTCACTATCATCGTCCTCATCCCATTCATGCAACGGGGGCAGCCTATTATCCTCCCAGTCCATATCATCAAAAAAGCCAAGTTGGAAACTGGGTAATGTGACGAGGGGCTGGTGCTCCCTTTCCCCCTCTCGCTCTCTTTCTGTGTCGTGTTGCTCCTGCATATTCTCACGGTCGCCCTCAGTTGGAGAGGTCGTTGGTCGAATCCGGCGGCGTTGAGTTCGAGCTGTAGCGGTCGCGCTTTTATCTGTGGCTGTCGCTTTCTCGGACTCGTCCTGTGTTCTCGCGGTTACTTTGGTCGCATTTGGCTCTCTCCCCGGGACGACTGTAGCTTCGGCAGAGAGGGCTTCTCTTTCTGCTTTCCTGACCTCGGACCTGAACGGCGCAGACTCGGCATGCTTGTACCCATCCGGGAATTTATTTCGGATGCGATCTCGGAGATCTGTTGCTCGTCTGTGCGACAGATTAAGGTCTGGATCATCATGTATGGCAGTCCACTGAAATCCGTGTCGGGCCACGCCTTCCATGAGAAGCTCGTCCTCACGATCTGTCCAAGCGCGGCGCCTACGACGTTGTTTGTGACCCCTACGGGCTGGGTCGGCGAAGTCGCGACAGTGCCTTATTCCTAATATTTCAACAGAAGGAGATGCCTCGTCAATAGGGCTGTCGGCTCTCAAATCTGTGGTTGAGTCCGGGGGAGGCCTCTCGCTGATGCATACGCGATACCGATCTTTCAGATCAACGGAATTCCTATCGCCAAACTTGTAAGCTGGATCCTCCAGAATCTGTTTCCATCGCCCAACGCCGTGCTTGGTCACTCCAGCCAAGAGATCTGCTGTTTCAGCATCAGTCCATCGCCGCCTGGTTCGGCGTCTGTAAATCCCCCGACTTGGATCTGAGTAGAAAGGATGGATTGCTGGAATGGTTTTACGGATCTCATTTGGGATTGCCTTATCTTGTAGGTACGCTCGAGTAAAAGTAAGCCGTTTGTCGATAATGAAGCCAGAAGGATTGGGCCCGATAGGGAGCCGACGCTCTGGCTCGAGCTCTGGCACTAGAACTGGCACTGGCACTGGCATTGGCACTGGCTCTGGCTCTGGCTCAGGTCCAGCCTCGGCTTCAGCCTCGTCCTCGTGCTCGGGCTCGGGCTCCGGGTCGGGCTCTGGTGAGTCAGGCTCATGACCGGGGGGATATGGCTCAGAACTTGGCTGATGGAACTCGGATTCTGTGTGGGAGGGGTCAGGACCTATGCTGGTAGGCCCAGCATCGCGCGGAGAAGGCTCAGGACTCGGCTGATAGAGCTCGGATTCTTGGTGGTGGGAATCCTCAGGGTCTAGGCTAGCGGGCTCAGCATCGCGAGGGTAAGACTCAGGACTCGGGTAGAAAAGCTCGGATTCTTGGTGGTAGGAGTCAGGGCATAGGCTGGTGGGTTCAGGATCGGGTTGATTAGGTTCGGACTCGGGCAGATATGATTCAAGACTTGGCTGCGCGGACTCTGTGAGCATGTCTCTGACGTTGATTCTCGATGTTGATGCCGGCCGCACAACCGCATGCAGCGAATTAAAGTCAATCGATGGTAGTTGGGTCGTCAAAGGAGGAAGGGGTTCACGCTGCCCCGTGCCTGTGGTATGTATCGGCTCCGAATAGATCGGCGGCTGCAAAGGTGCAGGGTGAGAGTTATACAGTCCTGTGATGGCGGCATGTGTCGGATCAAGATCAATCGATGGTAACAGAGCTGAAGAAGAATGAGGTTCATGTGTGCCTGGAACCGCGGCACGTATAGACTCAAGGTCAATGGATGGTAGTAGAGCTGCAGACGGAGGAGGTTCGTGTAGCCCTGTGACCATGGCAGGGAGAAGTGGAGCAGGTCTGGTGTGTCGGTCTTCTTTCTGAGCTGGCAGAGGAAGATGCCTGTTCCAGTCAAGGGCGACATGGTCGTTGTCACCGTCCAACCTCAAACGCCGTAGGGAGTGAGGATGTTCGAGAAACGAAGGAACTTGGATAGGTGATTTTTCTACCACAGACAAACTAATGAACGATGGTAAGGACGTTGGGGCGGGGTCGGGGCCTTGGTTGGCTTCCAGCAGCTCGCTGATAGCCAAGTGTGGTCTTTTGGCTTCTCGTGCAAGAAGGACATCGTTGGGTGTGATCTTTGGCGGCCTCTTCCTCTCGGGGCTATCCACAGCATGTGTAGTGTTTTTAGTTGTTCGTCCATTACCTAGACTATTGTCGGCCACAGGCTCGAGAGGCAGAGGAACATTTGCATGACGGCTTGGAGCAGGATTCCGGAGAGGCGCAATTTGAATGTCGGTCAGAGCAGGCAGATCAGGCAGTTGAAACAGAGGATCATCAAGGAGGCCGGGTAAGGGCTCGAACATGCCGTTCATATTGGCTGTAGGAGGTCATCGCAGGTTGGAAGTGGTGGGGAATCAAGGGAAGAGGGCGAAGGCGAAGTCGGAGGCGAAGGTAACAGGAAGGGGCAGAGGTTGGAGAAGCTCTCTTTGCACATATATTCAGACAGGGACAGGAAAGACAGCAGAAATTCGAAAGGGAGATTCGCCAGAGCAAAGGCCTGAGGAAGTTTGAATGGGTTATTACCAGTTGACTCTGGATGTTGAGTTGAAGTCATGAAGAACGCAGTCGACCGGCTCATTCGCCGGCCGAGCTTGGCGTGAACTTTGGTTGAACTTGATGTTGGTCGACGCCGCACCTCGACAAGGCTTCTGCTCCAACATCCGCAAAATCCTGTATACCACACACAGCATCTCCTTAGCCAGCACTTATACCAAAATGGTTCCTGCTGTCGCATTATCTACCGAGTCGATGACTTGTCTTCAGAGTTCAACCTTTTTCTGCCCCGCTGTCAGTCCATCTCTGATCCCATGCCCCACACCCGCCGAACACTCAGTTCAAGCGGTAATAGGTGATTGAAGGAAGATGATCTCGGTGATTTAGGGCTAGTAGCCAACATTCCCACAAGTACCGAGTATTACACCAGCGTCTCTATGTCAGTTTCCAGTCTTCGGCACCTTCTGCTCAATTCACTCTTATCATCATGTCAACCTTTCCTTGATTCTGAAACGAAAATCTAATTGCCGCGTGCGCCTCCGCCTCAAAGGCAGTCCCTAATATGCAAAGTGGTAACTGTCGCTGCTATTAAACTGAAGGTCCGCTCTACGAAGGGCAAGGCGCTGCAGATCAATCTCAACCAGCACGAAGAGCAGATCTTTCCCATCTCACAGCTATAAAGCTAGCCTGTGGAACTCACGCTCCCTGAAGAATTCACAAGATGGCTGCCGAGCGTATTTGCCCGAAGATATCCGAACATGCAAAGCTGGGAGAAATCGGTCTGCTTTCTTGAGGAGGCTGAGACCCAACCACCGCTGAAGACATTACCATCACCTCTACCACCATTAGTGTCACTCGCAGCGCTCGTGATATGCAACCCAGGAAGAGTTACGACCTTGAAGTGGCATATAGAAAAATCCAGGCGTCCCACCTTCTATGTCCGTACCCAGCACGACGTACGGAGTATGGCTCTATAATTACTCACCTGGGGCCAGGATAGTCCCGAACATTTTGATTACACAAATGGATTTTCGAGGAGGAACGATACCACTGCTCCAAAGTTCAATACCACCTGTGCCTCTATGCTCGTGTTCTCCGATTTCATCTAATAATGATGGTCAACACAAGGTGTGATCCTGTTCGACATCCAAGAGGTTGGCCTAGTCGATAATCTGTGTTCGGCAGTTTAGCACTGAAATTTCCCCATGTTGGCACTTGTTAGTCACAGCACACGGCAGCCACAAGGGCTCCGTCGTTGCACCCTAATTATGACCGATCCAGCCAACTCCTGGTATAGATCAATTGTGCTCGAAAGGATCCGAGTAAATGTGTGGCCCGACAACTTGAGAGATCCACGTGACCATCAGCAGCTAGTCAACCCGGGCCCCAAAAACCGTGAATGGCTTGATTCATAGGCGCTCTCACTGTGATATTGGGTCAAGTATTAATAGTCGCATAAGATAATGCACATGTCACCGACCTATTATTCGACAGTTGCCTGGACCCAAGAATCAATGCAGCCTTCAGGGGTATTTTTGTGGTTCGAACCAGTATGATCCCCGCAAAAAATTGGAAGCAGAGGTGTTTTTCCAGGGCACACAGGCGCTCAGGCAGAGCAAGGGACATGCTTTCCAGGACGGAACTCAAAAGGTGGATGACCTTAACTGAAGCTGGATGGTTGGTTGTGGGAGCTGGACGCCAGTGTTTCATGTTGTCTGTCAACGCCGACAGGGTCGAACAGGTACGAATCGGATGTCTAAGTGGCTTGAAAATAGGCGTCCTCCTAGCAAGGGAGCTTATTCCGGGAAGCTTGCGTCAAGCTCGAGTCCAAGGGGCATTCATCAGTCACACTCTTGGTCCCTTAGGATTTGAGGGATCCAGGATGATGGATGTAAAATTGAAGAACAAGGTGGACAGACAGAGGGTGTTTCATGGCCACCTGTTGGATGGGCTCGGTGGTTTGAAAATGTGGGGCCAAAGTCGGCTATAGGCTCTATGGACCTGAAAGAGCCACCGACCAGCTGGCATGATCCCTCTCTGGGGGCCGATTCTCAACCGCCGGGTGTTGCATTCTGGTAGCAGAGTTGTGGGAGAAATAATGATGTGCGATGAGTCCCAGTCGAGATGGTGGTGACATGGGGCCTATTGCTTGGCAGGTACAGCAAGGAGCACGGGCACTAGGTTGGCTGCGGGCTCTTATTGGGGGTTTCACAGGGCTCCGAAAATTCTTCAGAGGACTCTGGTGGCTCCATACAGGTGACTAGGCCTAGAAGGGTGCCCTGCAGTCAGACAGAACTGGGTGAGTACGCATCGGGTGATTGATTATGGCTCGACCGCTCGTTAGCGGACCCTGCTGGCCGCTGCTCTTCCCCGTACTTTTTCCTTCCATGGCCCGTGGCCTGTGGCCCAGGGCCCATCACCGCCTAACTACTCACCGAAGACGCCCAGCCGTTGACGTGTGTCTGTCTGTAACCGCATTTGTGTCTGCGCAACCCGACAACCCTGTTCCCGATCTGCTCCCAAACCTCACCTTACCCATTAGCATCTCTTGTGCCCCCTAATTCATCCACCACCGCCCTGCTTGCTGCTTCACCTTGGTCTTCTCTACTTTTCACCTTCGGCTTTCCTCTAATGCCCCCTTCAGCCCTGGAGAGCTGCTACATTCGATTCTCTCTATTCCATCACTTGTGTTAATACGGCGGCCGACAGTCTCTCCTTGCCCGATCACGATCCAAAACTCCCCCTCTTAAAGTAATATCCCGCGATTACGAACCCTTCTGTCCCTCGAGACATCCGCCTTGCCTCGACTTGACTCTCAATTGAATACGAATTCATTCCTCATCTGCCGGCTACGGCCTTTTTGAAACAACGTCTCACGCTCAAAAGACGTCTGGGAGCTATACGCACCTGTCCGCAGGTTGCCGAAGATATCCTAACAATTCTGGATACCACCGAGAAACACGGAAAACGAGCATACGATATCACCTCACAATCATTTCTCTTTATACGAAAGTGGTTCTACTGCACAAGAGGCTCAAATACATAATTTGAAATCGTCCCATTGACATCCACCTGGGCCTGCAATCTACGACATACTTGGAAGAGCTCAATGATGGTTCCTCCCACCACCACACGGCCCGACGGGCAGCTCAATATAAACCTATCTGGGTTGACTCCCATCAGCGAGCCTTCTTCGGTGCCCACCAGCAAATCTCCTTTTGGCGGTGCAAAATCCTCGTCGGGACTGGCGGGGATTTCCAATGCAAGAGTAGGAGCTGGCTCTCCTCTTCACGAACAAGCTTCTCGGCTATTTCCAAAACGTACACGAGAACTGCAGTCTCAGACTTCGTTGACCCCTAATATCTGGGGTCCTCCGACCAGTGGCACCTCAACCCCGCTGTTCGAGATTCCGGAATCCCCCAACCAAGACGGGTTCCCAGATTTGGTGCCTCTGACCGAGACTGGGATAAATAGTCCCGCAAGACGAGGGCGTGCCGGCACCCTACCCTCCAGAATATCCCCCGTCGGTACGATCAACGGCGTAAATGTCCTTACATCCAAGACCTCGCGGCCAACTCCTTCCACGAGTCCATTTCGACCCGGTTCAACGTCCGCTGCCGAAACCGCATTCTACTCAACGGCCTCTAACCAAGCCAACTCGGGAACTTCAGCCCTTCTATCCAGGCTTCGTGCGGGAAGCATGCCTCAGCGCTCGAGCCTGCTCGGTCCTTCCGGTCCGTTTGGTCAGAACGCCTTTACTTCTAGCTGGGGAACGAGGACCCGGGCCGCGACTCTGACCAGTATCAGTTCTGCTGAGGATCCCACCTCTCCCCAACCCTCTGGTTACTCCAAGGATGGTATGTCTGACTCCGGGGTCCGAACACTTGACTATCTTGGCCTTGCCGAACCTCCCCAGCACGCGAAACCCGATAGTCTTCGCCAAGTTGCAGACGATCCCGGGCGTTCACAGGATCCCAGCCTGTCTGACGTCTTAGCCGGTTTTGGGATGCGTAACTCCAGTCGGTTTAGGTCTTTCTCGGTCAACACACAGTCCAAGTATGCGACTGAAGCTCAAGACGGAAGCAGTAACTTTCCGCCATTTACCAGCGGATCGCTGACACCATCGGCGGCAGCAGCCCTCGAAGCCGAGTACGAGATGGTCCAAGAGAAGGTTCGGCTGCACAATCAAGCAGTGCAAGCATTTGCGGTGAATGCCAGTGCTGCACGCCCACGAGCTCGAACTGCCGGACTTGTCGAGACACCTCAGCGTACGTCACTTCGCAATCTATCACAACAGCCAGCGGACAGCCTTGGTATCGCGTTTGAGATGCAAGGGCCAAATGGAATGGACCAGTCCACTCTTGCAGACACTCTACAGAGTTTGTCCATCGCCGAAAATGTGACCTTATCATATGAAGGCATGGACGAATCGGAAGTGCAGGTTTCTCGATCCCTGTGGATAGGCTCGATCCCGAATTCCACAACAATGTCTTCCCTGGATGCCATCTTTAACCGATATGGCCCGATCGAATCAACAAGGGTTCTCACTCATAAAAACTGCGGTTTTGTCAACTTCGAATCGGTCGAACATGCCGTCCGCGCTCGACAACTGCTCAACGGGAAAGAAATCTTTCCTGGCGCCGGCCCCGTTAGGATCGGGTTTGCAAAGGCCCCAAATGCGTCTGTTTCCTTGACTCCCGTGCAGAACGCAACACCCCCACCAGGGGCAAATGGAACTGCTGAAGCAGGAGCTTCGCAAGCCAAGGATGCTTCTGGCAGTCCTACCAGTTCTATGAACATGCAGCAAACGCTGAGTTTACCAGCTCCTGACCGGCTAGCGGAGCTGCAGCCGGAGATATTGCAAATCGTGCTCGATTTTGGCGGGCAACAATCGGATCTGCCCACCATCTCTACAAATATTGAGAGTGCTATTCATTATAGTCGTCTGGAAAAAGAGATCCCTCCTATCCCAGAACCGAGTTCTACAAGGATGTATGATGCACCAAGGCTCCGGGACATACGTAAACGAATTGACAACGGAGCCTGCGGACTGCAGGAGATTGAGCAGATCGCCATTGACATGTTGCCTGAAATTGCAGAACTGTCTTCGGACTACCTTGGTAACACCGTGGTCCAGAAGCTGTTTGAGTATTGCTCTGAGCAAACCAAGGAACAAATGCTGGCGTGCATCGCACCTCATCTCGCCGAGATCGGAGTGCACAAGAACGGCACCTGGGCCGCTCAGAAGATCATCGAAGTATGCAAGACGGAAAGCCAAACTCGAATGATTGTCGACTCGCTTCGCCCGTACACAATCCCTCTTTTCCTCGACCAATATGGCAATTATGTTCTTCAATGCTGCCTTCGGTTTGGACCACCCTACAATGACTACATTTTCGAGACTATGCTCAGCCAACTATGGGAAATTGCGCAAGGTCGATTCGGAGCCCGAGCCATGCGGGCTTGCTTAGAGGCTCACCATGCTTCCAAGAACCAACAGCGCATGATGGCAGCGGCCATTGCCTTGCATAGCGTCCAACTTGCCCAGAATGCCAACGGGGCACTGTTACTGACTTGGCTCCTCGATACTTGCACCTTTCCCCGTCGACGCTCAGTCCTAGCCCCAAGATTGATCCCTCACCTCGTTCAACTCTGCACCCACAAAGTTGCATATCTCACCGTACTCAAGGTCATCAACCAGCGAAATGAGCCGGAGGCTCGTGATATGGTGCTGAGTGCACTCTTTTTCAGTCCGAACGACAACGTGCTCGAACAGATTCTGTGTGACCAAACCTCTGGTGTAACTCTGATCTTCAAGATCCTGACCACGCCATTCCTTGACGATCATATGAGGCCGGAGGTAGTCCAAAATGTCTCCAAGGTCCTTACCAAGATCAAGGCTCAACCAAACCAAGGCTACAAGAGAATCATGGACGAGGTCGGGATGTCATCACGGCCTAGCCAACCTGTTATGCAACAATTTCCATCCCACGGGCACCCAACCCTGAACGATCGCACCAGGCCGTTGGCCCAACCGCAACATGTCCCAGTAAATGGAATGCAACAGCAAAATTTTCCTCAGCGGCAATACAGCGGCAACTTTGTTCCCAATGGCAACACCTATGAGAATGGTCTAAGTCCCATCCGGACGGGTTCAGCTGACTCATTTGGTTTCTCACCATACACGATGAATGGATACCAATCGCAGCAGCAATACTCTCAGCTTCCTTATCAACAAATGACACCCCAATCTCAATATCAGAACTTCCCGGCTGCAGCCCCACAGCGGTCCAACAGCGGGTATATGCCGAATGGCTATGCTAGCTACGCAACGCCCCCTGCGACGGTCGACCCTTTCCGTCCATTACAAAACCCGTCGTCTTCACCTCTCTCGTTCTCTGCCCAGATGAGTCCTGTTATTGGCTCTACTGGCTTCCCTCCGCAGAGCTTCCAGCAGAATATGCCTTCCAACATGTACAATTACCCTCAACAGCAATTTTTCTTCTCCCCACCGATGCAGACTGTTCATTCTGGGGGGCGAGGCCGCCGGGTACGTCGTATCTTCCTCTTACATGAATCGTGATACTGACTTCCATCAGAGATAGAATTTTATTCGCGCACATAAAGAGTGAACGTCACTCGACGAAATCTGCCTGACGCCTTCTTGCCATGTTTCATTCCTTTGATCCTTGTTCCACTTGACGAATCTCATATGATCCAGCACGTCTCGAAAGACTTCACAACTTTGGAGAGAGCATATAACATTCTTGTGCAATAAATATCGGAAGGGGCAAATTAAATGATACCCAGCGAGTGCAAAATGGGAGTTTTCTTGAATCTAGGACGACACGACGTCGCATCATGGTCACCCATGGTGTCTATCTGGCGTTTCCTATTGCATCACACTACACCCGCCTCACGTTTCTATATTCGGGAGAGAGTCAGACGATCTTACGGCCAATTGTTTCGTTCTGCTCATAGCACATTTCGGTCATGCGGTGCCGTGCGGAAATTCGAGCTTTCCAGACGACGCTGGAGGATACGCGTTCTGAAAGGATAAATAGTAGAAGGGGAGGCAACCGATCGGACGCAGAGGCCAGTCAGGGTGTCACAAAAGCATCCTCCACGCCACAGAGCCTTTCATGGACGTCTCTTCTGGACTGTGTGGTCCGTGGTTGAGTGAGCGCGCTCTTCTCTTCGAGGGCTTGGGGCGAATTCGCCCCTAGACATGTTGACGAGCTTGTTGAAGACAGTTATATGCATTATTTTGGATTGGGTTCGGCGCGCCATTGCCTTCGAGACAAAAAAGCTTTACAATCGAAATGATTATATCCTTTTCCTATTGATTTCCACTTTCTTTCTTTCCTTCAATCGAGGCCGTGTTTCCCAAAACGACGTCGCACCACGATTGATGTTGTCTCGTCTTGTGTTCATGTACAGCCCTCGCTGGACTAATTAAGCGTGTCTCCTAATCTAGGGTCGGCGCCAAGACCGCTGGGATGGATCTATCTATATAACCGCTCCTTTACGAATGACAGACGACCTGTGTGTAACCACGTGGTCGTGTGTGCGCGTTGGGTGCACCACATCACATCACGTCCCATGTATTACAATAGATACACGCAAGACAATAGGTATGCAATCGGGATATCTAACCCTCATGACTTCATAAGGGAGGCTCGATCGAACGTACGTTGCAAAGAAGCAGGCAAGGAGCCAGGCAGGTATGGATGGACGGGTGAATACATGACAGTGGACTTCTTCGGTCCCGAAATTTGGCCCCCAATGTGCAAATATTGCAGAGGCAATAGACCACATGGACTGCATGCTCTCCACACCACAAGGGGCTCCTGTCCTGGTGGTGGACAGGTTCTGCGATCGATGTCTCTGTCTGCGATCGGAGCCCGCCGGTTCAGATCGAAATGCCAACAGTGTCCTCTCTGTCTGGGATGCGGAGAATAGTATTGCACGAGTGGCTTGCATGATCAATGGCAGCCAGGCTGTATGCAGTAGTAGACCGGTGGGGAACAACTCCGGGCGTCGTGGTCGTGTCGCCTCACACCATCTCAGCCATGGGAGAGCCCCCTTCCCATAAATGTCTGTCTTGCTCTGTCTCGCCAAATCTTTGCCTCTGGCAACTTAGCCTTAGGAATGGGAGGGCGGTGTAGTGCAGGGTGGTGAAGAGCTTCTGCTGATCCCACACTCGAGCTGTCGCAAAACGCTACTGCAGTGATGCAGTCGTCTCCTGGATGGGGTCACACGCGAAGTGCCCATCCAGGATGCATGTGCACGGTGCCGCCGTCTGATGTCCTTGAGAAAGTCAATTTTGAACAGAAGCTCTAAATGAATAGTCGTTGCTCGCTGGGGAGCAAGCAACGAACGGCTGCCTGAACAGGAATGTAGCTGTACGACTGCTTGAATTAGTGTGCATAGACTGTCCCATTGTTCGACTGTCTGTGACGTTAAACATTCCATTGCATTGCCGACCAATTGGCTACCATGAGCGCATGGATCTAAGCGCTCGTAAGAGCAGTGGGACGGGAGGTCTGTGTCATGGAGCTGAAGGACCTGCCAAATTGCACTCGGCAAGTTCTGGTTCGCACGCCTAAGGATCGGATGACTGGCCTCCGGGCCCCCTTGGAAGCCCCTGGGTTCCGATGCTGATTTGGCGAAAGCCCAGATATTTCATGATGGTAACAATCCCTTCCACACCGCTCAATCAAGTTCCCTTTCTATTGCATTAGGACGCCAGACCCCAAAGGTCACTCCAATCAGAGGTGGCGAGTCGATGGCGACGTTGGCCCATCCTCCAACCCGGCAGTCAGCCATGTTTGTGTAGCTCGTAGGAGAAGCAGATCTGTCGCAGTTAGGGCTACAGGGGTCTCTGAACCAGGGAGAAAGGCCGGTACCGTGGCTTTCCAACCTGTCAACGTGGCCTGAAATGAGTGAGCCTTCGCCAAATCATGCCGTGTTGATCGAAGAACCAGGTGCCACCTTGACCTGTGCTCGCATAGGCGTCTGGGCGCAGATTTGGACCAGAATGCGCCCGAGCCATGCCGCTCTCTGAACTCAAAGGTGAATGACAGCAAAAGTACTCCTCCGGTTGCGGGTCTCAATCCTGTACCTCGTAAACGCCCTTGCTGACCTGGAAAAGCCAAAAGCTGCGGAGTTGCAAACAAAGGCATGATGTCTTCGGGCAGAGCGAGTGGCACACCCGAAAAGCTCCAGACTCCCGCGCAACCAAGTCGCTGCAGAAGGCTGCAACAACCGAGGCGAGTTATGAAGTGAACTAGATCGGCGAGTGTAAGTGTAGAGCTCGGACCCAGCACTACGCTGATCTCGCGGCCTATCATAGCAATGTCGATTTGGTGGTGGTGAGGGACAAGCAACACATCATCTGGTTGGTCACTCTGGGCGTAACTAAATTTCCGCCTAACGAAGCCTAGTGAGCCTGTTCTCACTGGTTGACGGGAGGGAGGAAGTAGTGGCCACGTCCCGGGTTGGCCATTATTGGAGAGGGACCTCCTCTTTTCCCAATTCAACATGCGCTTGGACCAGCTTCGAACTCGGATCAACGGCCTTTGTAATGACGGATGAGGCGTTCAAAGTGAGGGACCCGTATCTTGAGGCCAAAAGATCGCGGGTCCTTACCCTGGCAAGCCTCCACAGCCCAGTCAACCAGGAAATGAAGGGTACTGAAACGTAATGATGCACCGGTTGACCTCGAACAAGAGTGTGCCACTTCTACTCATGGAGACCTGGAATCATCGTTTGTTCACGCCATGACAGTGGTGGCCTTGTGAAGGGCAGCAGTCAATGTAGGCTAAGCCAGTCTTCAGCGTCCCTCCATTGATGATCGTCATCAATCTGCATCCATGATGCTGTGGAGGCCAATCTGGGGAACAGCTTGGAGAGGTTGCACGGCAGATGACCTGCAAGCAATGCAGGGGCCAAATGACAGTGGGGAGTCGGACACAGCCTGCCGCATCAAGTGCTGCGCGACCAGCGGGTGCGGATCCCATCAGCCCTGTTTCCGCGAAGGTCTGCATGCGCGGCAAAAGCATGTGTGACCTATTGTCCACACCTGAAGGTTTCGCTTTCCGACGGCCGTTCCTCCTCATCACTAGTAACGCTAGGGAGAAATATGGAACTTTCTTCGACGATGTTTGCTTGTGTCATGGTAAGGGGTTTCGAATCAAGGTGCTCCTTTCATAACAGCTGTGGAGAGCGTCCTTCTGCATTTGGCATAACGTCCGAAGTCCGCTTCTCTGCCCTCAAATCATAGCGAGAATGGTGGCTTCAGGACAAGGGCGTGTCACGAGAAGGAGAAGTAGTGAAGCTCGACACACCCAGGAAGATCTGCCTGGTTTGGAGCCATTGTCATCGTATTGTTCGTAACATGTGGAGTGTTCCCACCGGCCGGCTTTGAGCTGCCATCAAAAAAATGGACCTGGTGAATGAGAGGCGATATGCGGATGTACTGTTACGTTCATACTGGTCTGCTTTCGATGTTTGATCTGCTGGAAAGTCTGTTGGGGTCTGGCGCGCGTACTTGCAGGACATGCATTCTTTGGGCTTAGTCGGGCGCAATCCCTACCGAGCTGGGTTGCTGTAGACTTGTGAAATACTTGAGAGACATATGTTGTATGCACCTCGCTGGCGTGAACCACTCTGTCGGGTCAGGTTGAGGGCCTCTTAAGGCCCTCGCGTTTGCCGCCATGGAATCTGGTGCATTTCCTGAGCTCCTTCTTCCACCACTGAAGGGCAACGTATCTCCTTCCTTGCTGAATCGATTTCACTTGCACAAGTGATATCAATCTGTTCACATCGTGCTGCACTGAAAGCAAAGTCATCATGTCTTCCTCCCATGGCAAGCATGATGAGAAGGCACAGCAGCCCCGCAGCAACCCTGACAAAATGAGCATCGCATCGGTCTTGAACGACCACGATCTGGTCCAGGACCAAAAGACCGGTTACCAGGCAAGCCCACTTGACGATGCCAACTCGACGGACGACGATTTGGAATGCAGAGACTACTCTGCGTTCGTCAAATATCGTGGGAGTGAGACCCCGTCCACTAGCTCCAACGAATCGACAACGTCGGGATCAAAGCGTGGTCGACGTCCTCGCTTGCCCTGCAAGAAATACGAGCTTGAGCAAGCATATTTCATTTGGTATCACCGGATAGACTTGCGCGAAAACTGGGACAACGTCGAACAAGAATTCCACCGCCAGTTCGGCGAAGCCAGAAAAAAGGCCGGGCTTCAATGCAAATTTTATCGTGTTCTCGGCGAAGCAAACGTCGAAAAAATAAGAGAACAAGCAAGATCGCAGCTCAGACTCCGAGGAGACAAGTTCAACAAGTACGGAGTGGTGCAACGAACGGCCCGGCGATTTCCCTGGATGAGGCCAGAGGACCAATTGATCCCTCCATTGCCCTGCTTCACCAAGCGAGGCGGCTGCGGACAGCCGGCCTGTGAGATTTGTTCCGGAAGGAAGAGGACATGAGTGGGTGGAGTATTGTCCGATGTCATTCCGTGACGATGATCATGGTAGGCATTCATCTCTCGGTCTCAAAAATCAATGAGAAGTCAGGTGGGATCCAGGTGCTTTCATGTTGTGTTGGTAGCGGACACATTGGGGCGGCCTCGTGTTTTCGTCGGTCGCGGTGTGGCTCTCACAGTTGTGTTGGCAGGGTCTTCAGAAATCGGTCGTCATCTCTTATCGAAAAGTGTGGATGTTTTCAAAGTCCTCATGGTCAGATCCATAGGTACGATATTTGTACGGGTTGTAACCGTACTCGTCGTCGGAGCTGACCTCCTCTTCCGGGTAGTCATTCGCAGGATTGTCCTCAGCTGTCCAGTGTCAGCATGTTAAGGCTACTAATATTTGGTTGCTCACCGTTTGAATCTTCTTCATCCCAATCACTGTCATCATCACTATCGATATATTTCTGCCACAAGTCCTCGTCTTCTTCATCAATGACGAGTATTCCATAGTTGGAGTGCAGAGCTGCGGCGGTCCCTGGACCATGCACTTGAGCATCGTACTCTACTCGAACATAGGTTTCATAAATGTAGTCATCCTCTCCATCGTGAGAAGTCATCATATCATCCTGGGTTTTGGAAGGAGGCACCGTAGGAAGCATGGCTTCGGTGGTTTCCTGCACGTCCGGATCGAACTCCATTGCAAGCGCAGCCAGCTCGTCAGCAAGCTGATCAGAGTCGAGATCCCACGTGCTCGGGTGATCTCTGATGGAAGTCCCATTTCTGGCTGCTTTAGAACCCGTCTGAACAAACGTGCTCGTAACGGTTCGTTTGGATGCATTCAAGGCTTCGAGGGTCGGCTCTGTCGTTTTATCGGGCTTCGAGCTCCCCACTCCAGCGTCTACTTGGATGTCCAGCATCTTGTCAATGGGTTTATCACGGTATAGTGGATTCTCCTCATGGCTGAAAATGGGGACATGTCTTTCCACGAAGGTAGCGAGAGGGGGTCGAATAAAATTCTTGGGCTTCCGGATCCCGCCCGAAGCGTTTGGACCAAGGACTGATGAAAGGTGCCGAGTGAGGTGGAAACGGCGGGCTTGATGGAGTGTTTCGTTTCCAGTCGACGTGTTCGAAGCTGGCCTGTCGCCACCGTCTGCGCTGGCATTGTCTAGCGCTTTGCTCTTCTCTTCTCGGACCACATCAGCCTTTGCTGCGACGGACACCTGTGACCTCTCCACGTCTTTCTTTATATCACTCAACGAGGTCAGACGAATTGGAGGAACACCAGGTGCGGGAGGTTCCGACCACACGGCGGTCTGAGAACTGGTGGCTCGCTGAGAAACGGGGGCAATCACATCGTTCTGGAGACGCTGGAAGTAGAAGTCCGTGACTCTTCGCTTCTTCTCTAGGCCAGTACCCTGCTCGAGATCTAGAAGTCTCGGGTCAGCTCACTCTCTGATAGAGCAGATGATATTTGGAGATGTACACAATGCCTCGACAGGTTCCTCCTGCCTTCTGCGCTTGACGCTGATGCGCTCTGGGGGAAGTGACATGGTGTTGGTGGGAGTGACGGGTACGGCACCGTTGTGCCTTGCAAATGAATCACTGTTTCCCAGCAGCAATGACAGGAATTCCGGGTGTGTTTTGAGTTCTGTAGGGGGTTATGGATGTTGTTGTTGTTGGCTTTTGGTCCGGGAAAATTCACGGCAAAGATTCCTCCCCGCACCGTTGTCACCGCGCGTCTGTTTGATGGGATGGCGCAGTCAGTCACCAGCGAGTCACGACCAGGTCACCAGGATCCTTCCTTTGCCACATCCCTTTCCAGCTGTTGTGTGAACACCCATGTACCCAGATCCACTATGGGTGACTACATTGCTCTTGCTGATTTGCTAATAATTCAATAGGGGAATGGTAGAGGAGCAGTGTCCCCGTCTGTGGCTCATCCACGACAGGCCATACAGACATTGAAACCACAACACTCCGGGATTGAACCTCTGGGCTCCTACCAATGGTAGGACACTGCGAGCTATAACAAGGTACTTTCAGGCTATATCTGGGACGAATGGACTATGATAGCTATCGCCGGACATACTTGACCCTACAGCCATCGACGCTGGACAGGACGAGCGTCAGCCTCTGTTTCTCCTGGCCAATACGTTCGTTGACTTCGCCATCCGGCAACTCAAAGCTCGAACATGCCTGGAGCAGTCTTACAATCGTATACGAGACCTCCGTCCGTGCAAAGTCTTCGCCCAGACACTGTCTTGGTCCTCCACCAAAGGGGTAATACGCCCAGCCAATCTTTGGAAGTTCGTCCCCTTCCCATCTTTCTGGACGGAACTCATCTGCGTCTGGCCCGTAGATGCTCTCCATACGGGAACTCACGTACTGCGAGAACACGACAAGCTCACCTTTTCTGACCAGGATGGGGTGTTTTCCCTCAGGTCCACCACCCGTTGGCAAGATGGTAGTTTGGATCGCTTGACGGTTGTTGAGAGGCACTGGTGGATACAAGCGCAGACCTGAAAACCCGTCAGACCGACAGACCTATGACACAGATGGCCACCCGTCCACTCACTCTCCTTAATGATGCACGATAGGAACGGCATCTTCCGGATCTGCTCTCTGGTTGGATGTTCACAGTCCCCGACGACAGCGGTGATTTCTGACCGGAGGCGGCCCATCGTTTGAGGGTGACGGACAAGAAGACGTCTGGTTCCATGAAAAGCGTCAGCTTGAAGCTTTGATCGCATTTCTGTCCACTTGAAGAGAGAATCTTACAATGTCCACGACAAACAACAAGCCGTCGAATCGCGACCAGCGAGGAGAATGTTCACTAACTGGTCCCTGAGCTCGGTTGTCCCGTTTGACTCTTGAGCTATCTGGTCAATAAAACTGTACGCTTCTCCATCAGAGCGGTTTTTCTTGTGAAAGAGGTCTCTTTTCTCGATGTATCGATCCACATAGGCGTGGACAGTTTTACAAGCCCGCCGAAAGGCCGGCGGGTTGTACAGAGCATGCCACGGAGCGATACGGAATCGCTTTGCAAGTCCGTCTTGAGCTAGATTGAAGCTCTCAGAAAATTCTCTGTTTTCGGCGTCCTGATCGATATCTGCTCTCAAGCTGTAGACCGACTTTCCCATCAACAGAGCCGTAGCTGTGTCCAGTGTCAGGCTGAAGAACAGAGGTTGCAAATCAACCACTCCGTGATCTGGCAAGTGGCTTAAAAGATTGTCCACATGCTCTTCGAAGTGGCTGAGATTCTGATACTGTGCTCGGACAAATTGTTTTCGCAAAAGCTCGCGGGAACGCTTCCAGGCGGCGCCTTCTTGTGTAAAGATGCCCCGACCGAGGAGAGGAGCGAAGATCTCCCCACGGACTCCGAGGCCGTAATCTATTGTTTGTTTTTCAGGTACATATCAGAAATACGTAAAAGGGAAACCTCTATCAAGTGCTTTCACTTGACGGCGCGCTCACCGATGAAATTTGACGACAAAATGGCCTCCAGGTTCCGGGGTTCGAGGACATGGAAAGCACGTGGGCCGAGGAGCAGGTATTGAGAGAGCATGTTGCGAGGCTCATAGTCTTTGGCGATTGAATACAAGAACGACAACAGACGACCTTCGGCGTTGGAGGTCCAGAGTTCGCAGATGCGGTCGATGCCCAGCGGCCACTTGTTGGGGAGCTCTGGAGGTGGCATGCACTGGACGCGGTGCCCGAATGCCGCATCTTTCTGTGGCTGCTCAGTATACAGCCGAGTTGCCCAGTCACTTCCTTCGGGGTTGAAAAGTACAAGACAAACTCACCCTGGAAGCAACCAGCTTGTGGAAGATGGGACGAAGGATGAAGAGGCACAGGCAGAACAGGAGCAGCCCTGCCCTCATCCAAGGAAGGCCGACGAATTTGGTGTCGTCGGACATTCTTCTCTCTGGATTGAAGGCTCTGGGAAGGTCGAAAGGAAGTATCCGCCTGGCCTGGAGAGAAGAAATAATCGATCATGTGCAGAATAGATGCATTGCGTAGAGTGTCAAGACTTTTGCAGTCTTATTCCTTGATCGGTGCTCGGACTCTTTCATTCAGCCCTATGTATGTATCCCAACGTGCTCACCGACAAGTCACAATATGTATCCTCGCTTGCGTGCATGGTGCCCAGATCAGCTCAGCTCTATGCACGAATAGCGTACTTCCAACCTAACCGAATTCCAGCCTTCAATATCCCGTACTACCTTCCTTTCCATCTTCTAAACCGCGGACCCAGTGTCCAGTCTCTCCACCAGTACCGACTACGAGGCACTATCAACTATTTCCCGAATTTTGTCACCCAGTTGGTGGATCGTGTATCTCTACAGCTTGAGTTTCTTTAGACATGTTCCCTGGCTGACGAGATAGTCCTGTAAACCGACAACACGACGGTCGATCAGCACACACACAGCCGGGAATGGGCCTACGAGGACAAGGCGAAGGAGAAGCGTTATTATGCATGAGATGGGAAAGGAAAAAAAAGAAGAATAACAAAAAGGCGGCCGGTGACAGGACACGACACTGACTCACCACGATGCCAGCGGGCAGCACCATCCTCGCCCATTTCACCACACCCGCCGAGTTGCCCAGGTAGATCTTCCCGCTCTTCCCTCCCTCTGCCAACATGACAAACTTCTCCGCGTATGCGTCCGTGTCCATCTTCGCATACGCGCCGCCTTTTACGCGCTCCTTCAACGCCCCCTCGACGGGTTTATACAGCGAGTCCGTGGGAAGAGAGACTGCCTCTGCAAATCCGGAGCCGAGATTGGAGCCCACGACGCCCGTGGGCATGGTGAGCACCCTCGCGCCAAAGGGGGCCAGCTCGAGGCGCAGGGTCTCGGAGTATGTCATGATGGAGGCTTTAGATGCGGCGTAGGAACCTGGAGTAGATGGGCCTTTTCAGTATACCCTCTTTCCTACGTGCGCTGACAGACCTAGTTCTGTGGGAGGCGGGCGGGGGGGACAGATGGCTCACTCTGAAAGGGCTGTTGATATCGCCCGTAATACTCCCCGTCGTAGCCACCACGCCGTTGGTCGCAATGACCATGCGGGAAAACGCCCATCACACCCCAGAAATTGGTCTCGAACACGCGCCTCGCCTCGTCCAAGCCCGTGCCCAACGCCGGCGCCATGACCAGCTGTCCCACGTTGTTGTGCAGCACGTCCAGCTCCCCGCCCGTCTTCTCGGCCACGTTCTGCGCCGCGGCAGAGATTGACGCCGCGGACGTCACGTCAAGCTCGAGTCATGTGATGTTGTGCAACGTCACGAAGACGTGGTACGTCCCCAGCTTCTGAAACGCGAGTGCCGTGGCGCTCCCGATCCCACCCTCCGAGCAGCCTGTGATGAGGACGTGTTTGAGTGCCATGGCCCTCTCACTTGCCCCCTGCGTGTGTGGGTGTCGTTGGCTTGCTGTACACCGTTGGGAGGAGGTTGATGCTCTTGATCAGTAAGTGGATCGATCGATGGGCGGAGAACCTGTGGGCACGATCTTCCTCTAACTTGGAAGTTGAGGTCAAGTAATAGATAGACCACTCGGGCTAGAGATCTGGTGGAGGAGGAGGGATGTTGCATGAAGTATGTGTCCTGCGTAGAAGATTTTGAAGCAGCAAGGGCCGTGGTGAACTATGTCGATACATACATACATACAATGCACATATGATGCCACATGGATGACTCGTAAACGGATTACTCACCGACTCACTTCTCGACCTGCCGTTTTGTGTGTGACGGTGCCTGGGCATTTGACGCCACAGGCCTGGTTTCTGAGACACAGGAAAAAGGGCGAGGAACTAGGCCGACGGCTGCATTATTGCACCGCGTCCTCACCATCCCTTTTCAACACGGAGCCTTGTTTATATAGGCCGGAAACCCTGGGGTGTAACACACAGTCTTGGGCGGTGGAAGGGGGAGCTTAGCTGGAAGGTATCCTTCACAGCAGCTCTATCTATCCTGGACCTGCCATCAGCGGTTGTCAAGAAAGACACATGAACAGAATGTAACCATGCAGTATACGTGGAAATACAAGGGGGAACAGGATCGTGACAAATGCCAAGTATGTATTCCACACCCCGATCAGAAACCAGCGGAGTTATTTTGATTAGAGAGGGGTCGATGATCGTGTGCTTATCATACTCGGACTGATCCAGCAAGAGGACGAAAGACAAGGCGTGAAATTCATTTTGGGAGTCAGCTTGCGATACGATCATATTGGTATTTTGTGGTTCAGCTTGGTGGGAAGATGCTCGTCCGCGGCCACACGCTGGTCCGCCACTGGAGACGGGGCGCATCAACCGCTCGGAGGACCTCACTGCAGTATCCCCTATCCAAAGCCTACACATCAATCCATCGGGCCATCCATTTTTCGGTCACCTGAAGTTCTGTCAGCCTGGCGTGGCAGATGGCGGTAGCAGGATTGAAGCAACGGAAGAGGCTCTAGGGGGGAAGCGATACTCACAGCTTTTGCTTCGTCCACCAGCCCCAGCTCAAGCAGTAGCTGGACGCTCGCTCTGACGCCACTCTCCAGCGCACTCGCAATCCACGAACTGGTATAACTCGTCCCTTCACCACTCATGATGATGCCCTGCTCCGTGTTGAAAAACGCCGGGATGAAGGACTTCCTCATTCCAATGTCCGGGCTCGCCCAACTGATTGTTTCGTACTGATCCAGAATCCAGCAGCGTCGGTTATATGCACCTGTGTATTGCTGATACACTACAGGCCCGTGGATCTCAGCCATGGCGTCTACGACATATTGGACGTGGACATCCTCCGGAATCGACGCCCAGCGCAACCCGTCATCCGAGGATGTGTAGCTGGCGAGCATCACCCCTTTCCCGGTCGAGTTGATGTCGTAGCTCGGGTAGCAGATACTCCCTATGCCCGGGATATCGGTGGTCGTGCTGCAAGAGCCATAGATAGGTTTATCGAAATGCTCCCAGAAGCGGGTCTGGAACTGGAGCGCCACCTTACAGACCTGGGAGTAAGGATAGCTGTCGATGGCGGTCTGTAGAAGATATGAGAATGCCGGGAGACGCCAGGTTCGGACCAGAGGCATAGGGACAGTGACCACCGCCAAGTCGTAGCTTGCGTTCTGGAAGGTGCTGTCGAGCGGCTTGGCCTTCCACTGCAATGTCACCTTCTTTGTGGTTTCGTTGTATTGGACTCGCTGGATCTTGCGATTCATGTAGGTTATATTGTCCACAAGTGCTACGAGTTACATGTTTGTCAGCATCTGCATCCAAGAGTGCTCGAGGGCGATACGCACGGTGGAAGGCACTGGGAAGACGAGTTAGGCCGCCATCAATTGTCCTCCAGTCTGTCGCAGAGAAATACTAAAGCAAATATAAAGTCAGCATCGCCAGTCGAGACCAGGTCTCAAGATGTGTGGATGGCTCCACCTTGGATATGCAGAATCGATCAGTGGGTTATAGGACGGCACCGGCTCACCATCGACTCATACAAATTATCCCAAAAACTCTCGCTTCCAGAGCCTCCGAGCTCTACGAAAGTGTCATTCAACGCATATCCAAGCACGTTGTGGACATAGGCAAATTCGGAAAAGTCATCCCCTCCCAATCCACCAAGTCCCTGATCCAGGAATGTCTTGTGAGCCATGTATATGTTGCGAGCCATCTGGTCGAGGAAACTACCGTTGTTGTAGATGGCATTGACGTCCTCGTCGAGCGTATCCAAATTGGGGTCATCTGGCTGGGTAGAAGTCGTTCCCAGTAATGATGCATTTGCTTGGACTTCTGACAGAGTCGGAACCTGGCCATTGGGTTTCCGGGCGCCGTTCACGTAGTACAGTCCGTTTGGGGAGTTTTGGTACCACTTGATAAAGTCGACGGTGAAATTGGTATTGTTGCCGTTCAGATTGTTCACTTCGGCGGCCAGATCGAAGACAATGCGATGATCTTGAATCTGTATTGTCTGATTTGTCTCGGATGACGTGAAAGAGAGCGGGAAACGCATCGGGCCCATTTCTTGATACTGCCTTTCGCTCGGATCGCCGAAGTAAGCAGTGTGGACTCTCCCACCAAGTCGTTGAGCTGCTTCAATAAGAGACAGGTTTGTCATACCGGATTGGTTGAGGGCGAGCCAAGTCATCAGACCCGCCATGCCGGCACCGACGATGGCAATCTCTTTGGACTTAGCCTCTTGAGCATTGACCGCACTGATTTCTTTGTTTTTGAGGGCAACCACTCCATCGAACCACGGTCCTTCGGCATCAATGCCGCTCGAGTTGTCCATCTGAATCGAGAAGTCGGTCTGTCGCTTTTTGAGACGTCTGCGCGTAGTCTTCGCATTGGGAGCAATGGAAACTGGAGCACTTCGGCCAAGAAGATTCTGTCGGGCGTCCCATGCTGAAAGGCAATGGCCTGTGGGGGTATATTCTGGGATTTTCCACAATAGCCGGTCGTGGTCACAAGAATGGGAGCGGCCAACGAGATGGTGGGCTTCTCCTGGAGTCTTTGCCATGCAAGGGCCATATGTGAAGGTGACCTCGGTATTGACGGGCACCTCATACGAGACATGGATATTGGCAAGACTCGAATCCACAGCTCGCTTCAAGTGTAGCTTTACCGGCAAGGAAACAGCCAGTACACATGGCAAAAACAAGGCTGACAGCAGTAGGTGACCGGCCATGGCAAAAAGCCCGCACTGCTCGATGGATGTGGCGTGGAGGTAGATGGATAGAGACTCGTAAACCTACCTGGCGAGCACAAGTCTTTCTATAAAGATCCCAGCTCGTTATCCGCAACTGCTGCCTCCAACCTGTGATTCACGCCCATCCTTGCGGAGGTTCTGGGGATCGGAACATCGAGAAACGTCGTTCAAATCCGATATGAAATGCATACCGTGATTGGTTGAGATTAGTAGGTTGCATGCGAAGAGCATGCTCTGTGTATCTACTATACCTAGAAAGACAAGTAAATAGGCGTCAGTCAATCCCAGTGGAGGCAATGCGTGTAGATCACCGTGCGGGCCGCAGGTTCCCGAGGTGGAAGGACTTGCACGACTTGTTAAGTGGGATGTTGGGCCATAGGATTGTCTTTGGACGGTTGAGAGTCCATGACTAAGGCCATATTTATGTAGCTTCATGAGCCATTCCCAGGAAACGGTAGATGTCTTGCTGGAGGCTGTAGCTTACCACAGAATGCCAGGATACCGTTAGATTTACGAGTAGGCATCATGCCCCGCGGGTTGGTAACTAGAATCCTTCCGTTGGCGACAAATTCGTAGGATTCAGGAATCCAATGGTGATTTGCCAAGCGGCCAAGTAGATAAGGATGGGTATTCTCTCTAGTGGAAGAACTCGGAATAGAGGCTATATGTTGATTGAGCTTCCCTACCAGAAGAGGATCATAGGCAGTTCTGGAGAAGCATGCCACTCGTACTCGTAAGTGGTAAACCTTACCCCACATAGATTGCCGGTGACGAGTATGTAGATGTCAAGGCGAAACAGCATAGAAGAGAATGTGGGGGTACATATGATGACTTGATAATGTCACAATATGCACTTCGAGGGACACCCAAGGGAGTCTCAATCCGGAAGCGGCCTGTGTTGTTCCGTGCCAAGCCACTAATGGAATAACTCACGTCCCGTGCTCCGTCATCACGTGCCAGTGCCTCCCAAGCTTACGGGGTGGCCTGCGTCGAGCCGTCCCGCGCCTGAAATCACATGAAACAAGCCTTCATCTGCCTTTTGGTATGCCCCTTTTGTTAGCAGGTCATGAGCGTAATTATAGCCTGGTCTCGATTGCCCCTCCTAGAAGCCCCCGTGATGCTTATATCCATTGCCATCTCGCTATACGCAGTAAGAGTCTTGGATGTCTGAGCGCAACTTACTCCCTCTTGGAATTCCACAAATACTTGGCAAATCATGATGAAATAACGGCTCACCATCATACCACTTACAACTCAAGCTCACGGCTGTGTTGTTGTCTGCCTGTACCCGACCGCGAAGACCCTGGAATGGCTAAGCGCAAGGCATCTTGCCGGGGCGAAGTGACACTAAATATGCATCCAACAATCAAATGTTGCCGTCTGGCGAGCCCTGGCCTTCCTGCCAATTTCCGTGGGGTCCAAGCCAGATCGACCAGCAAATCGAGCTATCTTTGACCACCTGCACGAGGGGTGATACCGCCGAGAAAAACACCAGCGCTCAAAGAGCGACTTATTTGTTGTATTTGCAAGGGCCGAATACCGCAGTGGATTTGGGAGCAAAACTTGCTCATCTGAACCATATTCGCATTCCGTGCTCAGCCGCCTAGCTGCTGTTTGCGAACAGGGCTGAGAAAAGGGCAGCCTCATGTAGCAAAAGCCTTGTGGATGGATATTTCAACTCTTCTCCGCGTTTCTTGTTTGATTTCCCCCCGCGTGTCAATGCCGCCGGCGTTGCGATGGCGAACAGATCGTTTCATCAAACATCCCCAGTGAAGAGGAAGGCGCTGCCTCGAAACTCAAGACACAGCAGTGGTTTTTATGATGGCGTTTTTCAAGATGATGCCGTCCCTATGATCTCCTTCGACGACAGACCTTCCTGGGCGGTACCTGATTTTCCTGATTACGCCCACACAGACGCAACAGACGAGTCCCGGGAAGATATCAATGTGCCAAACGCAACACGAAGTCAGCGGTATGTCGCCGATCGACAAAGTGTTGGAAGCAATCACAGTTCCGAAGTGTCTCCTTTTCCAAATCAATGGGAGGAGCCTGTATTGTCCAACAAAAGCCGGCATATCTTGGAGAATGAAATTCCCCCGGACAAAGGCACACAGATCATTCCGCAGATGTGGAATCCAACGTGGTTACGCAAATCATTTCTTTTCGGGGTCATCTTACTCTTTTTAGCCCTGGTCGCTGGGCTGGTTATCCTGTGGCGTTTTGCACAGATCAGGAACGGAATCAGGACGGCTATCACCAGCAATCATTACGCGTGGACCTATGGACCGACTGCACTGCTCGTTTTGATAGGCGTTCCCTGGAGGCAGGTCGACTTCCACTGCCGGGCTTTAGCGCCATGGTCACACCTTCGGCGTGGTCCAACTCCAGCGAAGAGATCCTTGCTCCTAGATTATATCTCTCCTCCATTGCCTCTGGCTCTGGGTCGAGCGGTTAAGAACCACGATTGGGCTGTTCTGGCGAGTGGTATGGGCTTGTTGTTGCTGAGAATAGTCATCGTCTTCAGCACCGACCTGCTCGTGCTTACACCGACTTCCGATTTCAAAACCCTTTCCGATGCCATCGTGAACTCGAAGTTTGAAGGCACAAACTACACAATCGGACCTGATCTGGTCGACGCCGAACTAATGCAATTCTATGGCATAGAAGAACGGGGGCTCAATTACCAATACGGGGCATCGCCAAATGTCGCATACAATACTCTTGACCTGCAATCTCTGCCCACAAACTCGACTGTGACAGCGACGGTGCACGGGGTGTTCCCGTTCTTCAATTGCGAAGTGCTGACACCCGAAATTGTCGGGAACAACTTCACCTGGAGCAATGATGGCGAATATCCATTCGGAGATAAACTAGAGTTGAGGCTTACTCTGTCTCCTGCAAAATGTCCTCCTATGACGACCTACTATGAGTTGTGTCAGGCACCTGAATGCCCTGTTGGACGATCTATCATCTCTGAAGAGGACTGGAGCGCGTTCCAACCCCCGGTTGACGATCTTGACCCTTGTGCAAACCTCTACGCGCTCAGCTTGATCGACATCACTTTCGAAGAAGTCACAGGACACCCTAAAAACACTAGTGCCGCATGGAACGTGACCTTGTCCGAGCCGGTTGGTATTGTTTGTGGTCTTGGATACACGATCGACAGTGTCAACCTCACGATCAATACGGCTGATCCTACTGCAAGTGGTGGAATTAATACCACCGGACCCCTCCAGCGCATTGCAGATGTTCTTCCTGGGTACTCATACTACAATCTGAGTATGGCTCTCCGGAATGAAATCAACGTGAATAGCCTTCCGCCAACGCCAAATGCTCCGCAGGTCAAAGCATTTGCCAGGTTCTTCGCTATTCTCGCTGGCGGCTCCGCCGTCGAATTGTTAAATGTGGAAACGTTGAAAATCACTGCCGAAAAAGCATTCAAAGGCGTAGGAGTTCAACTCGCCTACTCAAATCTACGCAAGAAAGACAATGCCACGACTACTGCCGATATTTCATATCAGGAACCGAGACTTCAAGTTCGAGTACTCAGCGTGTGGGCCATGAGCGCAGGATGTGTACTACTAGCCGTCGCTGCTGCCGCTGTTCTCCTCTGGCGCCCAAGAGATGTCGTTTCGCGCCAGCCCAACTCTATTGGCGCTCAAGCAACGATACTTGCTGCGAGCCCTACGCTCCAGAAGTCGTTAGACACAGCCTCGAGTTACTCCGGTACCGCCTTTGAGACTCATCTACAGGATCTAGTTGCGGCGTCTCACATCAACAGTGAGCGTGCAACCCCCGAATTCTCCATCATGGCCACCGTGCAGGAAGGAACTCAACGGAGAAAAAAGGATGACCGCAGCAATCATTCTTGGTGGGAAACTAGCTCCACCACCATTTGGTTCATGTCCGCTGCTCTAGGGCTTCCGCTCACTGTCATTGCAGCTCTAGAAGTCCTGCAGCACGAATCAGATGCACATGACGGTTTGGTCGCCATATCTAGCTCTCTTATCTATCGATCACTACCAAACATCCTCGCATCAGTCGTTTTGATATGTATCGCGATCATGTACGATGCCCTTGATTTCGCGACAACAACTCTGGCGCCTTATCAGACGTTGGCCCAGGGAAGTGCCCCTGCAAAGCAGACTTTGCTCAGGACATCGTCAGGCAGCCTCCCAATCTGGTCCACCTGGAAAGCAATCCGTGGGCGTCATGTGGAAGCTGCCGTAGCATCAGTCGCCGCTCTCATTGGCAGTTTGCTGACAATCGTCGCTTCGGGCCTCTACACAATCGAAGCTATTCCGGTTGTCCTCGATGTTACCGTCATCACGTCTGACAAATTTGTGCCATCATTCGGAACTTCAACAGATGGATCGGCTGGTGCTATTTTCACGCTGATTGAGCAGAATAACGTGTCCTATCCAGCACTCACGTACGATGGACTGGCGTTTCCCAACATCCAGACCTCTGGTTTCGGAGCCGAAGCTCTGAAACAGCTGGGCAACTCTACGCACGCAGTCACCCTGCAAGCCAACGTTGTGGCTACGAGAGCATCGCTTAACTGCACTTTGATTCCGAAAGAGCATATGATCATGACAATGTATACGATCCCGGATCCCGGAGTCCCTACTAGCTGTCGATCCAACAACATCACGTTTTACGCAGATCTGCCCCCATCATGCCCACACTTCCTGAATGGAGAAAATCAGACGGCCACGAACATTCCGTTCACTTCTATTGTACAGCATTCCTGTGAAGGTGAGGGTGGTCTTGCTGTCCACGAGCAAGTGGTTCTCAATAACCAGGGCGCAATGGGCGACGCGACCACAGAAACTAGCGCAGGGTCTACTTTGGGAGCGGCGAGTAATCCTCCCGGATGTCCCTCGTTGGCGTTCATGTCTGGCTACTTTGTCGAAAACGTCACCTCGACGGAGAATGTTACAGCCATGACATGTATTCAAGGGTTGGAAGAGGTCAACGCGGAGGCCACGTTCTTGATATCAGGAGGCTCTTTCCAGGTCGTATCAGAGCCAAAGATAGATGAGAGTTCAGCTCGGTGGCTCGAAGCGTTTAACAGCACGTACTGGTTTACGGAACCCAGTACATTCGCACCGTTCAACCGTGAGGCCCCGACTCTCCTGGCCGACTATTTTTACTCACAGGTCAACTACGGTCCCGACGGCATCCCTGCCGACGAGCTGACCGGCCCGTCAAATACCCAACGCTTCATTGACGCCACCCAACGCATCTATCGTCGATATATGGCGCAACTCATCAACGGCACCATGCGGCGCACCCTGAACCAGACCGAAGCATCCTCGGCACCCCAGTACCACGGGTCCGTCACTGGGACGACCCGGTTGAGACTCAAGCAAAACGCCACGTCCAAGCTGATCCTGCAGATCTTCCTCGCAATCATGCTCGCCTGCGGCACGTTCGTGTACGGCCGGCGCAACATGCGCCGTGTTCTTCGACATTGTCCCTGGAGCATTGCGGGCACCATGAGCTTGCTCGCAGGCAGCGAGATCATTGACCGGAAGATCATCCCCGTTGGGGCCGAGTTTATGAGTGATGAAGAGTTGAGGAGCGTGTTCGAGGGCTACGTCTTCAGCTTGGGGTGGTGGGACGGTTCGGCCGGCGGAACAAACAGTCCAGGAGGACAGACACAGCGACGGTTCGGCATCGATATCGGCAAGGCTGACGCAAATCCACGGGCAAAAACATGAGTCAACGGTCCCCTAATCGTTGTGGTAACAAATTCATGAGATTCAGTCATTCACGCTTGAAATAAAAGACGAAAACAAATACCGCTAGAGGAATTCGGACGATTGCCTCAAAACCAGAGACGGGACTTTTGACACAAACAGCTTCCTCAGGGCGCGCGAATTCCACCGTCCACGAACACCATCAGTTTGAGCCAACTGTTTCACCTGCTAAAATCCGACTCCTCTCTTTTGATCGATGGGCTCCTTGCCATATCGGGGGACATCACACTGTTCATCCGCTCATCCTTGGATTACTGGTGACCACTTCTTCAATGCCGGTTTGACCCACATCAGCTACCCGCTGTCTTTTAGCATCGGCCCCGTCCACGGTGATTGATGTTACATGATGCTGCACATTGCTCACATCTCCTAACGGTGTTCTTCTTGCTGCCTGCACGACACGGTCAACTCCGCCCGGGTCAACTGAGCTCAATGCGTGACCGGTGCCTGATTCCAGAGGCCCGCGTCTGGTGGGAGGTCGGTAGGCAGAAGTGTTCGGCCCTCGGGAACCCGCAATCTGTGCGCTAGGGCCCGGGGCGCCCAGTCGTCTCATCGGGTCTGACTGTGGATTGATGACATTCGTCCGTAGAATGGTGGTGTCGGGAGTCAAGTCTCGTTTCAAGGGAATAGACCTGTTGTGGTTGACCCCAGCAGTTTTGCGAATCGACGGACTTTCGGTATGCGGGTTGAAGGCTGGTGCTGCTGCGTCGGGTATCACGTTGTTGTTCTCATCCAGTTTACCAGCAGCCTTAGCCGAGTAAAAGCCAATGCCTTGGCCGGCTTGCGGGGGAGGCAAATGATGGGCGGACATGGGAGAAGCTGCTCGAGAGAGACCGTCACCGGGAAGTCGAGAGTCTCCTGCCGGGGGTTTTATAGAGGGGACTGATAAGCCTTGGTGCCGCTGCCCAGGTAAAGGTTGAGGTATGACATTCGTCGTCGGAAGAGTTTGAGCGGCCTTCGGGGGAGCCATGCGAGGATCAGGATTTGCAAGGGCTGGTGGTCTGGACGGTGTAGTTGTCTGATCCGCTCTGATTTGCGGGCGGGTCCTGTCCGAAGAGTGACTCGACTTGTTCGTGGAATCTGCTGGTTCAGGAGGCAATGCGACCTCGTCTGGATGCCCTGCGTCGACACCTTCAAAATCAAGCTCTTCAAAATCCGCCAGTTCAAAACTGTCTTCGAATTCTTGTGTATCTTGTTGCGCGAGTGCAGAGACGTTTGGCTTTTTCTCTTCCGGCGCCTTTTTGGGTGCGAAGTCTGCGTGTCGATGTAGCATCCCCTCATCCCATTTCGTGCTTCCAACCTTCATTTTTGTGACTTTGGACAAGTAACTCTTGTCGTAGACGCAGTTGCCCAGGACGTTCCCAAAATTTCTCAGCGCCCTCTTCAACGCGTCCGTGGTACCCTCCTTTTTAGCCTTCTCAAACGCAGCCGCCTTTCCCTTACAGTTCTCAATTTGTCCGTAGCCGATGTCTTCGTGGTGTGCGCCATCTTTCAGTGTCACACGGACGATGACGGAGAGACCCAGTGAGATCTTGCCTGTTTGAGGGTTCTCGTCGACGAAATCGATCTGGATGTTTTGAATGGAGCTGCTCCAGCCATTGAAGCCGAAAACCTCGTTGGCAAGACTGATGGCCTTGTCGGCGGCAAGGTAGTGAACCTTTGAGCCGCCTGGTCCTGCTCGTGACGAGATGTACTCTGGTCCCAACTGCTTGTCCAGCCGACTTTGCAGCGTGGCGATCTCTTGAGCAGTATATTCCGCTATGCGAGGCGGTTGCTCTTCGAACGGGTTGGCCGTCGTGCTGCCGTTCGGCTTGTGCTGGTCACCTACGCTGCGGCTATTCAGCAATGGTTCAGTCCAGTTAATGGGGGAACGACTTACGCAGGCATGGCAGTCACCGAGGCACGAATGAATCTACCCTCGAGAAGGTCGTCCTGCTATGACATAAGGAATAGGAGAGTCGACCTGGCATTGGGGGGGAACAATACTAGCTTGGCTCAACGCGCCATGATCATCTCGCGTCGAATGTCATCCAAAGATCCACTCTGGGCAACGCCAATTCACGTGATACTTGGCCATGTCGCCATCACGTGCAACCAACCAACACGGAACTCGGTATGACGCAGCTGCCCGGCGTTGAGAAGCCACCAAAAAAAATTGCTGAGGGACGAGAATGTTGTGGGTGTGGGGTTGAATATTGGAAGCCCATACCATACCGACTCGCCGAGTACTGTCCTCTTCCTATGCGCCCACTGCGCCCAACGTCCAATTCTCCAACTTTCAGAAAACAATTTCGTACCTTGTGACCATCTGCTGCAGATGACGGTCGAGGTTCTGAGCCTGCAACCCTCTATGTCGCTGACCTCCAGACCGTCTGCAATCATTTTATCCTTACCTTAGTTTGTCGTGGAAGCCTTGATTGCTCTCTACTTTTCGTGTACATAGCTAGGTCAGCTCCCCTCTCCGACCCGCCCGATCGATAGCTGCCTACACTCGCCCAACATGTTCTTCCTCTTGCGCTACACTCTGTATTTCCTAGGCTTCTACTTCGTCACCATGCTGTCCTGCTTCGCTCTCTATACCTATCTCCCGAAGCCTCCTAGGATCCTCGGCTTCGTCGCCCGCTCCATGGCCGCCTATATCAGCCTCATCGCCTGCGCCGCCTATGGCACAATATCCTCTGCGATCCTCCGAGTTCTGGGGTTACATTTTGCATATGCACAGTGGACGACGGCCAAGGCGTTCAAGAATCTCTGTGCCTACACGGTGGGCGTCAAATTCGACGTTCTGGACAACGGCTACGAGATCCTGAACAACACCCGCCCCGCGGTTTTTATCGTCAACCACCAAACAGAGCTAGATGTGCTGTTGCTGGGTTGGATATGGCCGAAATACTGCTCCGTCACGGCCAAGAAATCACTTCGCAACGTCCCCTTCTTGGGCTGGTTCATGGCCCTCTCGGGCACCGTTTTCATCGATCGGGTGGACCGAAGTGCGGCCTTGAAAGCTTTCGAGGGCGCTGCCAGGACCATGCGAGAGAAGAGACAGAGCGTCGTTATCTTCCCCGAGGGTACGAGAAGTTATTCCACCGAACCGATGCTACTCCCTTTCAAGAAGGGCGCTTTCCATCTGGCTGTGCAGGGCGGTGTGCCAATAGTACCGGTTGTGGCAGAGAACTACAGCAGTGTGCTGAACCCCAAAACGAAGAGGTTTAATGCCGGAACAATCCGAGTCAAAGGTAGGTTAACGCGTGATGAAACTGTGCCCGAAATAGGCTGTCGAACTAAGAACTAACACATTGCGCAGTGCTCGATCCTATTCCTACAAAAGGCCTCACGGCGGCGGACGTCGATAAGCTAACACAAGAAACTCGCGAAAAGATGCTCAATGCCCTTACGGCTATGGGCAAAGACTCGAAGTCACTATCTATACAGAACAAAAAGGACTCCTAAAGCTGGAACACGAAGCTGGAGACTTCAGCGTTCTACCTCAGAACATACGGGAAGGGCGATGGAGATGTTCCCAGGAGTCAAATCCCGTTCACTTCGGCTCGAAGAGAGAACCAGTAGCTTGCGTCTCATGAGCGCCAGAGACCACGTTCATCTACCCTATACCCTACACCGTTTCTCCTCGCGGAGCACCGATTACGAGTGAGTTTCTATCTGGCCCAACCACCACGGTTACACAAGACATCGAGCAGCCCGCAACAAGAGCTCCGCTATCCACTCGACAGGGGCTGGAAAGAATGCCCTGTTCATGATTTACGGGATAATTGGGAAATTCCGTAGGCTCCGACCAAATGGCAAGATACGAGGGAGACGAAAAACTCATTGGCTGGGACAGTTGCTGTGCGAATGTCCAAAGGGCCTATTCCATGCAACCAGGACGGCCTGGATCAAGACAGCCGGCTAGTGTGATACCCGATAGGCGTTGAGCAGGCGCAATCACATATACCAACCGGAGTTCGCTACTATTCAAGCCAGCATCGTGGTCTTTATCAACGCAACATCAACATCGTCAAGTCTGTCTGATCGAAGCTCCGGCAGACGGAATTGCATCGCATAGCATGGAGTGGCGTGGCGTGGCAGAGAACAAGGCGAAGAAGGCAGGATATAGATATTCCAATAGAACAAATTTTCTTCCCCGACCCCTTCCTTGTACATACATACACACCACGGCCTCATCATTCAATCCCCTTTTTTCGCCTTCTCACCAGCACGTCTATTCGCTGTACAGCCGGCAAAAGTAACCTCGATTGACCTCTCGTCTATTGTCCCTGGACCTCCCCTCAGTGCATGCATGCGTGGCCGGCTGACCCTATTCCAGGGGGAGTTCCATTTTCTCAAAACTCTTCAAACGGCCGCACCAGCAGGCCCGCCTGGCGAGATGCTCCTTGACTTGGGCAACGGTGTATTCACCCCGATGGAACTGGAAAGAGAGCGTGCGGAAATCAGTAACAGAATCAAATAATTAAATAATCCTCATCAGAAACAATGACAGGCTGCGAGGGAGGTAAGGGTGGGTTGGGATGGGAGGAAAGTAAAGGAGAGGACGGGGACGAGGACGAGAAGAAGAAAGAGAATGCGATCCACAGAGACTCACCATACCAGCGCCCAAAGCGGCATCCACACCGGTCTTTCGGAACACCTCCTCGAAGTGATCCGGCACACCGGCGCCGGAGGAGGCGATGACGGGCACGCCGACAGCGGCCTTGACCATGTCGACCAGCTCGAGGTCGTAGCCGCGGTTGCTGCCGTCGCGGTCGATGGCGTTGAGCAGGATCTCGCCGGCGCCCAGGGCCTGCACGGCCGTGCACAGCTGCACGACGTCAAGGTCGCGGGTCTCGCGCCCGCCCTTGATCGTGCACGCGTACCACACGTGCTCACGTCCCTGGGCGTCCGGGAACGCCGTGCGGATGGTGTGGTGGGCCGTCTCGGACGGGGAGGACACGAAGATGCGCTTCGGGTCCACGCTCACCACCACGGCCTGCGCGCCGTAGGCGGCCGAGATGGTCTCGATCGAGGTCGTGCCCGACAGGCGGCGCCCGGCGGCGTGGTAGTCCTCCGCGGCCAGCACGGCGTCGGAGCCGATCGACACCTTGTCGGCGCCGGAGGCGAAGTACAGCTTGGCGACGTCGAGGGCCGAGACGTGCTGGCCAGTGGCCGGGTCGGTCATGTCGCGGATGCCGCCGCCGATGGTGAGCGGGACAAAGACGGTCTCGCTGGTCCGTCGCAGGATCTCCAGCATGGGCAGGTCTGTGATCGGGCAGTCGCGGAAGCTCGTGATGTTGAGGAATGTCACCTCGTCGGCCCCCTGTTCGTAGTACCGCCGTGCCATGTCGACCGGTTTGCCCAGGTTGCGCACCTGGCCGGCGGCCCCCGCGGTCGACGTGGCCGACTTCTCACGCACGTCGTACTGGTCGCCCTTGGTCACCACGAGGTCACCCTGGTCGTTGGTGCGCACGTCCAGACACGCGATGATGCGACGGGTAAGGCCGTTCATCCCGCCGTCTGCCTTCCCGATGGCTCTCGAGCTAGTCCCTGGAACGGATGGAATCACGGGATCCGACCAGGTGTTGCCTTCGAGGAATGCCTTGATGACTCTCAGCCCTGCGGCGCCGGACTTCTCGGGGTGGAATTGGGTCGCAAACACGTTCCCTTTGCCGATGGCTCCCACGTAGGTTTCGTCGCCGTAGGTGGCGGTAGCGACGACCCAGCCATCGGCCTCCAGCTCGCCAGGCACGTAGGGAGCAAAGTAGCTGTGCACGTAGTAATACTTGCTTCCCTGGCTGAGCCCATAAAAGCTCTTCCCTTTGTCTGAGACGGCGGTGAGGTTTTGGTCTAGTTCATGGTGCAGCGTCGAAGCGTCGTTCCAGCCTATACAAGGCACGGACTTCTTCGATCCGTTGGCGTTCTCGGCTGAGAAGCGTTTAAGCGACGTAGGAATGAGATTCAGGCCAGACACACCGGGTGCCTCTTCTGAGCCGGTGAACAGCGCTTGGAGGCCCACGCAGATGCCGAAGAACGGCTTTCCACTGGCTATGTGGGATTGGATGGCGGGGAGGTAGCCTGCCGTGGAGAGAGAGGTTAAGCAGTGACCAAAGTGGCCGACACCGGGGAGAATGATTTTCTGTTCGGAGGAGTGGGAACTTCGTTAGAATCTGGAAACAGATGCGTTACATACAAGGCGACGGGAGGTAAGGAAGGCAAGTAGAGGCATATCAATTGTGGCTCGGATTGCCTTGAAGCAGAGCACAAGAACACAAGTCCCAAGGACAGCAACAAAGAGCTTTTGCAGGAGACCTGCTGTGCCTCTAGACTCCCAGCACGACCTTTTTCCCATCGCCTCGACCTAGAAGCAGAGAGAAGGCCTGTCCACAGGGGAGGAAACCACAAGAAGAACGATCCGAATTTTCCAAGTATCCCGCAGACTCGCTAACGAAAAGAGCAGGACCTGCACAGCACACCAACAACGACAATATCGGGAAAATAACATTGCAAAACTTACATCTGCTTTCTGCACATCCTCAGGGCTCCGGATCCATTCCACTTCCCATCCGCATTTTTCGATGGCGTTCACCAGCGAGCGGATGTTGCCCGCCACGTAGTCGAGAAGGTGAACCTTAGGCATATCTTCCCGGATACCCAGGAAATTCTTTTCCTTGGAAATAGACAGAGATGATGGCAAATCGGGTTTTTGGTCAAGGTTTCTGGCCTGGATGCGGGACTGATGATGGACAGCGATTCTTGAGAGGGTGCATGTGAGTTGTGGCGGTTCAGGGCAGATCCATCTCGTCCTCGATGTCTGCTCAGGCACGTGCTCCTCACTTGACGAGTGGTTTGTCAAAGTAGGATCGGGATGTACTCGAAGAATGAGAAGTCGTTGTTGAGATCAAAAGTGAGAAGGAAAAAAATCACCCAGTGAGTTTGCACACCAAATGCGGAAGTGAGTCACAGAATCCAATTGGCTGCTAGTAGACGACGAAAGAGAAAATCACTTCTTCCACCATCGTCGAGGTTGAGGCCAACGACAACACTCAAGACCTAGTAACTAGCAGTCCAAAGACCCAAACTATTGAATCAATCGTCTCATTCATCGTTGCTCCAGCGCTATATCATATCTGCGCGCTTGCCAGGCACAAAATTCTTTCACAGATACGCCTCCCCCCTTTCATCCAAACACTCCATTCCCTTAATGTACATTTTGGTATCACATCTCTACTCGTTTCTCGCATTCCGCTGGGATTCTGTTCTGGCGATGGGCCTCACCTATTGTGTGGTGGCCCTGATGGCCTGCAGTAAAAGCGCAAAGATCAACCCCCGAGCCACATTCTCCATCTGCAGACAGTCGAATACTTTGCCCAGTGCTTCTCCACTGGCAGCTGTCCCCATCACGCTGGTCAAGGCCTGTGGCATGCCCCTCTCGACCAGCAATTTGCGTGCTTTCAGACGGAGCTTCTCCTTCTCATCCGCTGTCAACTCCTTGGGCCACGTGGACCTCTCTTCTTCAGTGGGTAGACTATTGTACCGCAGAGTATTGATGTGCGTCGCCATTCCCTTGTCGGAAAAGTTCGTGTCGAGCACACTTTCTTGTAGCAATACACGGATTGACTCTAGTTGGGGATTGTTTGGGCGGAGGAGGAATGTCTTTGCTGCACCGAGGAGGGACAGACGGATTGACCATGCACCCGAGAGAGAGTATAGCTCAGTGAGGATGGCGAAGAACAGTTCTATCAGAATGCGAGTCTCTTCTTCCGAGACTGGCACATCTCTTTTGGCTCGTCTCGAGGGTATCTTTGCCGGCACATTAGTCGTCGAGGGGACCGAGCCCGAGTCTTCCCATTTTAACGATGGAGCAGGTGTTGATGGATTGGCTGTGATTGTGTCTTGCCGGGGCCGTGGCGGCGTCTCGGGTTTAGGAAGCGTGATAGGTTGGTAGTCGTCTGTGATGACGCTCGGTGGCGGTGGCATTGATATGACCTCTTCTGATTGACGCCCCGACTCGTTCAAGCTGATCGGTGATTGCGAACTGGCCTCCGGGCCCGACGTGACTCCAGCACTAGGTCTCGCGGGTAAGGGGGGTGGCCTCTCTTCCCCACTGTCGGTGCTTTGTCGCGGCAATTCCTGGCTGATTCGCGAAATCGAGTTGGAGGATTGCCCCGTGTGGGTTCTCGTCGGCGTTGGCCTTGCTGCAATAAGCCTCTTGGGTGCTCCTCCGACACCGGTTGCCACGGCGCCAAAGACGCCCTGTACACCACCCAGCACGGCCTTGCCGCCGCCAGCGATGTTCTTTCCGCCCTGCCCTAAGACGTTGATGAAGTTCTTGCCGACGTTTTCCAATGCAGCACCTCCCTGTACCAGAACATTCTTACTCTGGACAGGCGCCTTTTGGAGACCGGTCTCTTTGTCGAGGAATTTCTTCATGGCTTCCGTTTCGGCCAATGGCTCATACTTGACCACGAACCTCAGGTAGGCCTCGAGGCTTTGGGAGAGTGCCGCACTCGTCTGGCCTCGCCAAGGAGGCAGGGTTGGATACTTTTGCCCAAACTCTGGCACGCCCGAGAGGCGAGCAATGGTAGTCAGAGTCTGATGAAGGGGCTCGAATTCCGGGTACTTGCGGGACACCATCCATCCCGGGTACCGATTCGATGCAGGTTCTATCTGGAGCAGATACTCGTTATTCGGTTTCTGCCGAAATGTGGCTCGCTCATTCAGGTCGCCAAGATCAAGAATGGTGATCGAAGCGTTGTGTAGTGTCAAGGGGATTGCCATCATGGTTTCGATGGGCGCCGGAGCAGTTGACACCGGTGGTAGCACGTTTGGGACCGTCTCCGCCAACTGATCAAAGCTGGTGAAGGACTCCGGTTCTTTGCTGGGGCTTGGAGTTGACGAAGCGTAGGCGTTGCCATCATTGTCGAATACCAAGGAAGTGTCCAAAGATTGTTCTCCTGGCCGATTCCGATCACTATCAGAGGAGGTCGGTGTAGCCATTCCGACATCATTGGTGGCGACGGAGCTGTTTTCTTCGGGCTCGCTGGGGGCCAGTCCGCGTTTCCGCCGGGCTTCATCCTCAGCAATCATCTCGTTCAACCTTTGAGCCTCTCGCATAGCCTCTTGCATGGCCTCTTCAGCCTTACTCATACGGCGATCGTGGATCTTGCCGACATCGTCATTCTCCTTGGCTTGTGACATGGCCTCGTTCATGTCTTCTACCCCAGCATCGATAGCATTCATGAGCTCGGGTTCGCCACCTTCCAGCAGGTAAACAATCCAGCCATTGATGAACTCCGGTTTTGAGCACATGTCAATGGTGGTTTCAAGCACCAGTCCAGACAACACCTCCCTCAGGAACGTTTTGACCGGGGGACAATTGTACGACTGGGGCTCAAGGAAGTTCTGTAAGATATCATCCGCAACCAGACTGAGCTTCCGCTCTTGCTGTTCCTTGCTCAGCACATTGGCCAAATTGCTGTCGGGTTGAAATTGTAGATAGGTTTTCACTGCCGTTTCCGCGTCCTGGTTGGATGACGCCTTGAGGGCGGTGGAGAGTTCGTTGAGGAAGACAATGATGATCGAAGTCGAGTTAGCAAAGAAATCGAGAACTGGATCGGCAGTCCGTTTCCGGGAGAGATGGTTGGCGAAGGAGAGGACGAAGCTGGTGAAGGTCCGTCTGCACGTCGCTGGAAACGACCGGTCTTTGGGAAGCAGTGGACTATACCACGCCTGGACGTAGTCTCTGATAACAGCATCGGTCAAGTTGGTGAGAGCAGCTCTCGTTTCGGGTTCGAAGTCCGTGTAATCCAGCGTCTTCAGCTCGACCCTGGAGTCGACGAGACTATCGTCCTCCTCGTCCTTGGGCTTCTCTCTCCCTTCTCGCCAATCCAGGACTCTCTGCGCAACTTCAATCCCCAGCTCTTTCCTTCTCTGGTTGATCTCTTTACTCTCACCATCCAATCCGCCGCCGTACCGATTTTCCCAGGTAGCATGAAGAACGACGCCGCCTACTGCGCCGATGAGAACCAAACCGACTCTCCCGAGAACTAGGTAGGTGGAGGCGCACAGGCCAACTGCGCAGGCTCCGAGGGTCTCATTGCTCGCATTCGCAAAGAACTTGAGTGTGGCATCGAGCACAGCAGACGTCGTCAGCGCGTTCGACGGAGGCGGTAGCGGGGCGGGCGTAGGATTCGACTGTGATTTGTATTCGGGCGCCGTGGACGGTTCGACTAGGACACCATCGCCCTGAGGCGTTTCGAGAGGATGCGATGTTTCTTCCATGGTCAGTTTCACTCATAATCATCATTCCGGAGTCCACCAGCGCGGAGAATAGTGGCGTAAAGCGTTGTTGTCTGGCTTATGTATTGAGTAGGAAGGCAATGCAAAGGACACCGTTGAGCCCGCATAAGCCGGCCTTGTCGGAGCGCGCGTTGGGCGGAAAAGAAGGAGGCGTGCGACCCCTGTGCGGTTCGAGTCTCCGCACATGTGAGAGGCGCGTGGCATAGGCCAGGCCTCAAGGGATGGATCCCTGTCGCCCCGTCCAAAAGTTTCTTGCCGCATATGAGAATTTTTGATTCGAGGGTTGCACGCTTGGAAAAAAAGTTGATAGATCTTTGGTCTTTAGTTCTGGGCCAGAAAAGTAAGGGATTCCAACCTTTCTATTTCTCTGAAAACACTACCTCTACCATGTCCGACCAACTTTGCTCAAGCTGCCATGAGCCTCTGCTCATCGAGGTGGAGCCAGATAGCGATGTCGAAGAGAGCAAGGCGGCTGCCCAGATATCCAGTGTGCCCGATGATGTGGAATTGTCCTGTGGCTGCCATTACCATTGGTATGTGTGTATCATCGTCTCGAGGTTACAGTCACTGATTCGGTACATTAGGGAATGTTTTCTAGAGTCCTACACCATCACACAATGTCCAAACTGTGCCAAAGACGTATCCTCTCTTTCCCCCAGTGGATCACAACAGGTGTTGGTGACTCTCCGGAATGAAGGTGGCGTCCAAGAGCGTTATGATATCCTCCCAGCGGCCACCGAAGAAGCCTACCTGCGTGCATACCCTGAGGAGCGGAAAGGCCATGCCTACCTCGAATTCTGCCGTGAAGGGGACATCGATGCCATCATTCACATGATCAAAGACCCCGACGAAGACGACGAAGATGAAGAAAATGGGGAGAGTGCAGATATACTGCGATACCGGGGCACGTTTGAGGGCATCGAAGGCTCTGGATTACACGTCGCCATCCGATACAACCAGCAAGAGGTTGCATGGTTACTGCTGGCTCTCGGATCCCAACTCGACTGGGCTAAGTTCCCCTCAATTGTTCTCCAGGCCATGCAAGGTTTGGGGTTGCGCAAAGAGGACAGGAAGGGTGAGCCGGATATCAGGACTCTGGTAGACAGTGACGGGCGAACACCCGCCGCATTGGCACAAGAACTCGGAGGCTTGTGGACAGAATGGCTCAAGGAGGGCCGATTGATACCCTAACTTCATTTCGTTGTGGACTCAGGTCTGTCTCACGCCATAATTCTCATAGCAACCTGCGTGTGTACATGGGTTGCTAGAGATCTAAAGCAATAGGGGTGATATGATTTTGTTCTGCGACGTCCGAGTGAATCATAGCAGAATGGAGGAGTGTTGCTGCCTGATGCAAAGAAGACGCCGGGTTGATGTGAGGGTATCTCGCCCACTCACGAGGTCGTGGTCTGCTCCCGGTCTCGAAGAATGTATTTTGTATGAGTGCCATGGGCCACCACGCTCTTGTTTGTACCTTCGCCTTTGTATATTGTGACGGTGGTGAATCCCATATTTCTTCCCACCTTGCTGGCATTGCCCTCGATGGTCAAAATATCGCCCAGCTTTGCACTCGAGACGTAGGACACGTGGATGTCGGTACTCAACCCGGTCTTTTCCAGGCCGGTACTGGCAATGGCCATCCCCCCTGCCCAGTCAACGATGGTTGCGGAGACTGAGCCATGCAATCCACCCTTAGAATTGAGCAGGTTTGCCGAGACAGGAAGGCGAGCGACCATGGAGCCGTCTGTGGCACTGACCAGTTCGATGTCCGAAAAGAAGAATTTGTAGACAGGGGAATTCTGGGAGACGCGTGCCCAACATGCTTGCACGCTCTCCAAGGGTGTCTTGACCGAACCCATCTCGACAACTGGAGACAAGGACAAAGTGAATGTTCAAATCTTGGTTCTATAGGCTGTTGTAACGCGACAAAAAGATAGAAAACGAGAAAACAGGGAGACAGTTGCTGGAGCTGGCATTCAACAGAATTAATATGTGCGAATTGAATCTCCGAGCGCAGGCAAAAGGAATTTCGCCGCTCACCGCCTTTTGCTCTGGAGCGGCAGAAAAAAAGTTCCTGCTTTGCGTCTCCACAAATTGAAACTACGCAGCAAAACTCGAAATTTCCAACATCTACGCCTGGCTAGCAACGGCATTGAGTTCTGTGTGCGCAGCACCATGGCCGAGTCCAAGAAGCGGAAAGCCGTGACCAGAGATGTCGACGAAGACGCCGCCGTGGTGTCTGGGGACGAATTCGACTTTGCACATTTGGACGGGACCCTCGCGGACGACGATTCTGCCAGTGACAGTGACGAAGACGAACTGAGCAGTGGAGCCGAAGATGAGAGCGATGCAGTGTCTGTAGGGACTGCAGAATCAGCGCCACAAGAAGGTGATGGTGGTGGTGATGGCGAATTGCTCAAACCTAAAAAGAAAACACATGCCAAAAATGTTAGAGAGGTGGACATTGGTGTCGAGAATGTGGCCGATACATCTGATGAGGAGGAACCCAACTACGAGGTCGTGAAAGATGCGAATGGGAACGACAGATACATCTATCCCGAGATCGACCCTGGCGAAGATTCGGACTATTCGGTGCCAGACCACGAAGCCAACACGATTGGGAATATTCCTCTGTCGTTCTATGACTCCTACCCTCACATTGGTTACAATATCAACGGGAAGAAGATCATGAGGCCGGCTCGAGGAGAAGCCCTGGATGCACTCCTTGACAGCATCGAGATCCCCAAGGGATGGACAGGTCTCACAGACCCTGCTACCGGGAAACCGCTGGAGCTCAGCCAACAGGAACTGGAACTGCTGAAGAAGGTACAAATGAACGAGGTTGCGGCGGACGGATACGACCCGTACGAGCCCACAGTCGAGTGGTTCACCAGCAAAACGGAGATCATGCCTCTTAGCTCTGCTCCAGAACCCAAAAGGCGGTTTGTGCCATCCAAGCACGAGGCAAAGCGAGTCATGAAACTTGTCCGCGCCATTCGAGAAGGTCGTATTCTGCCTTACAAGCCGCCTCAAGAGGAAGAGGAGGAGGATGAGGGGGTCCAAAATTATGATATCTGGGCCGACGAACAACCCCGAGCGGATCATGCCATGCACATGCCCGCCCCGAAACTTCCGCCTCCGGGTTTCGATGAAAGCTACCATCCACCGCCGGAATATCTTCCAGACAAGAAGGAGAAAGAAGCGTGGGAAAAGGCCGACGAGGAAGATCGCGAGAAAGACTACTTACCTACAGATCATACGTCGTTGCGGAAAGTGCCAGGTTACGAACGGTTCATCAAGGAGAAATTCGAGCGATGTCTGGATCTGTATCTTGCACCTCGGGTACGCCGCACGAAGCTCAACATCGATCCCGAGTCACTCTTGCCCAAATTACCGAACCCAGATGAACTTCGACCTTTCCCCACGCACGAGGCTGGTCGGTTCCATGGCCACACAGGTCGTGTGCGGTCTCTGGCAATTGATCCATCTGGACTGTACCTCGCCACGGGCGGTGATGACGGCACGGCCAGAGTCTGGACATTGCTGCCCCCGCGCGAGATCTGGTCTGCAAAATTGACCTCGGACGCCGCGGTCAATGTCGTTCGGTGGCGACCTGGAAAAGACACTCCTATCTTGGCTGCCTGTGCCGGGGAAAACATCCATCTCTGCGTGCCTCGACTAGGGACTGACTTCAGCACCGAAGCCGACGCTGCCCAGGCGGTCTTGGACGCAGGATGGGGATACGCCGCCTCCGAGAGCAGCACGTCCAAGTCCACCAGTGTCAAATGGAGCCGACCGAGCTCTTCCCAACGGGATCAGGGTGTGGCTCTGGTCATCCATCTCGGCCATACGGCGAAGACGCTCTCGTTCCATTCCGGCGGCAACCACTTTGTCACCATCTGCCCAGCGACCAGTGTCCCAGCCTCACAAGCCATCGCCATCCACACCATCTCCAAACACCAAACACAACTACCGTTCCGCAAGCGACTCAAGGGCGGCGGCACTCCGCAAGTGGCGCACTTCCACCCCAGCAAGCCGGTGCTGTTCGTCGCGAACCAACGCGTCATTCGGGCGTACGACCTGTCGAAGCAGTCACTGCTGAAGATCATCCAGCCGGGGGCTCGCTGGATCAGCAGCTTCGATATCCACCCGACGAGCTCGTCGACCGCGGGCTCGGATAACCTGATCGTCGGGTCGTATGACCGCCGGCTGCTGTGGATGGACCTGGATCTCTCGCCGCGGCCATACAAGACGCTGCGGTTCCACGAGAAGGCCATCCGCGCGGTGCGCTTCCACCCGGCGACGAACCGTTATCCGCTCTTCGCCGACGCCAGCGACGACGGTAGCATCCAGGTCTTCCATGGCCAAGTCACCAGCGACATGATGAGCAATGCCCAGATCGTCCCCCTGAAGGTGTTGCGCGGGCACAAGATTACGGGCGGGTTGGGTGTCCTGGACCTGGACTGGCATCCCCAGCATCCGTGGCTCGTCAGTGCCGGAGGCGATGGGACTTGTCGTCTATGGGTTTCTTGAGCCCACCACGGTCTCTGAGGTGCGTCTTTGTATGTACTGGACTAGCTATTTAGATTCCTCGTGACGAGAAACCTGGCCGCACAACTGCCAACATGATTCTGTTCGGGAGCACCTCTGTGTTACTTGTGTCTTCTTCCACTTACCTCAGTTGCCTGTCTGTGTCCACTCATCCAAGAGGCTGTTTCCACCCCTCCTCCGGTGTCTCCAAAGGAGCAGTACCCGCCTCGTATGAAACACGATTTAAGGGAGGAAAAGAGGATGAGACTCCTTTTCAATATAGAGAGACGACTTTTCTCAGTTCTTCTGCTGCACACCTACAGGCCGCAGTCAGCAGGACGTCCATGGTGTCCACCTCAGGAACGATTTGTGGTAGGAGCTGTATGGACAGTTTCCTATGGTGCCGCCAGTTTGCCACAGCCGATGCCAGTATCACCCCATTCAGCTTGATGCCAGACGGGCTCTGAAGTCGACTGAAAGTGCCACCATCACCTCTACAGGCTGCCAGCCGAAGAACAGGCTCGGTCACCGGTGGCTTGACAATGTCAAAGAGATCGGGCCCAAGGATTATATCCAACAAGTCGGGATGGACAATGAGGTCTCGTTCCTCCAGAGTGAAAACCAGCTTGAACACAATCTGTCCACGTCGTTCAAACCTGCCTGGCCCGAGTAGTACGGATGCCGATATTTGAGTATCCCTGGGAGACATCTCGCTTCCGATCGAGGAAGGCTCGACAGGACTCGTAATTCTGCGCCAGGAAGGCATCCCTCAACATTCATGGCGTCAAATCGGACAACTCACATCTGTCAATGAACAAATTCACAGGACCGCCGAGAGGACTGAGGCGAGCATATGACCGTTCAGGCACGCGGAACCTCTCTCATAGAAGATCCTTGGGAATCCCGAACCATGAGTTGGCGAGCAATATCCCTTCGACTATTGTCCAGCCCGACGCTGGACTCCACATGGCTGAACGAAGAACGGCTTTGATATAAGTGTACAGCTCTCGTGGCTCGACCTGTTCGAAGACAAATCGTACCAAAGGCAGAGACCCGGCCGGATCACTGGTATTCTGCACGACTTCTTCCAGCATCCTACGCGTGATCGTCCCAATGCAGCCGATCTCATAGAGGGGTGCCACCGAAGCCGGAGGCATCAGGCGCGCCATGTTCAGAGCACAGAAATACTCAAGGACAGAAAGATATGGGCGGCAGCGAGGGGAGTTTTATGAGTGATGTCAAGCAAGATCATGCAAGCCGAAGGCAACCACCAAAAAGAACGAATGACTCTGTGGATCAGCATCTCGAGACTGGAGGGAAAGAAAGTACAAGAGGTGCGGTGTCAATGTAACTCCCACTAAGAGGGTTCAAAGGACTATAAGACAGCAGGATAGGCCGCACCATGGAGTTCCTGAGCCTACCTGAGTACTACAACCCTCTTGAGCCTGAGTTGGGCGAGAAGCAGAGTACGACTCAAACAGCCAAGTTGGCACAGACGCAGGCTCAGAGTCCCGGTGAGAACCGCGAGAAAGACGTCGAGAACAAGAGGACAGGCCCAGGAGTACAACCAGATGTTGCCCACGGGGAGCTCGTCCTGGCCGAGTGGTCTTCTAAAGGCGGTTCTGGCTACACTTTTCACCGCGGATGATCCTGAGGGGACCGCCGCGTTCAACGCTTTGCTCGAACAGTTCAAGCAAGACGAGGAGGCCCAGCTGGCCAAAGTGACAATGGATGACTCAGGCTGAGGAACAACTTTGGAAGAGGGTCGAAAAGTGGAAGAGCGAGATGACGGCAGATATGGGGGCACGAAAACAAAAGTTAACCTAACTGCCTAGGCTCCAGGTGCTCGAGTGATGGAATCTGGGTGCCCGTGGTGACAGACTCTAGGTACTCCAGTGATGGAGTCTAGGTTGCCGTGATGGTAAACTCCAGGTATGAAACCGAGCACAACACTGCAAACATGTACCTGATCACGCCCGGAGGCTGGCTCTCCTGGTCAAAGGACGGACAGATAGGAGGAAAGAAGCGCGAGTGAGTGTAGGCTCTCGCATGTGGTCGGGCTTGGCCATCCTCATTGATCGTAATACTGCACCATAGCTCTCACATTGTACCTCTCACATTATAGCTCTCGCATAATGGCCGAGTCAGCCAAGGACGCAGACAAACGCGCTGAAAAACGTTAATCAGACCAGTAGACCTGTGCGCGCGCGGGGAGGTTCTCGAGGTGTAAAAGAGGGCAACCCGCCATGGGCAGACAATGTCATTATCAACGGTGCGCACGCGAGAGATGAACATGCTGATGCTGGCGCTGGCACTGGCTGCAGATCCAAAATCCCATGGCTATCTTCTCGCAGGGGCACGTGGTAGGTATTCTTTGCTGCTTCATCGCTCATGGAGATTCATGCTGTTACCAACGGGCCATAGTAGTAGTTCACAACCCACCAACACCAGCCATATCTACTACCACTGACTGTCCAAGAAGTCAGTGACATAATGGCCTCCCAGGTGCTAGACGCTCCGAGAACAATCGTATTACACTGCTGGCTGCCTCTTATAGAGGCACTTGCAGGTTAAAACGTCAGTTTTTGAAGAATTTCATCCGTCCTCGTCGACGCGAGGTTCTGCAACAACCACGCTGGCCGGGCGAGCGGGTGTGGAGGAGAAGGAGCGTCGTTGTCGTTGTCGTCGTCGTCATACTCCTCCCGAGGTCTGCTTTTCGAGGAGATGGAATCGAGCGGGTTCGTTCTCACCTTCTGCGTTGCAAGTGGTTCAGAAACTGTGAGTAAGGGGGAGAACTACTACTGCAAACTCATCCTCAGGTGGCAGCAAGTATCGAACGCAATTGGAATCATCCGTTGCTATGGCAGACAATCTTGTTCCGGCTGCGTTCAATCGAAATCTCCCGAAAGAGGGAAGTGGAAATTGATGAGAGGCGCCCAACATCAAAAGCTGTGGGGAGAAGGGTATAAATATGTAGACTAGGCGAAGCTCCGACACCTGGGCTGTCGAGGTCGATTCGGAGTGCAACCCGGACTTCCCTTGTGACTTTGGTGAGAACATCGCTTCCGGACCCCCAATCCACAGGAAGCAGATCCCGGAAGCAGACAAGATATATCGAACCTAGTGGGATCGATGTTGACTCTATGGATTCAACCAATGCAGTCGTTATCCACACTTCGGCCAGCCCTAGCCTCTATAAGAAAACCTGTAGAACACGCTCATGGCCTCGAGATCGTCTGGTTGGTCGTGTTCGGTAGGACCCAACCAGTCCTTATCCTAGACGAAGCAGGACTGGGGGGGATGGCAGTTAGTTTATATAGCTCCGTGGGCAATGTCATGATTGGGATTTTCTCCTTCCGTGCTTGAGCTGGGTTCTCCTAACGAACTGACGATCTGGGCTTCATCTTTCGTCCTCTGCCATGGGTCTCGGACCCACCGAGGACGCTACACGAGGTGTTGGAGGCCTCCTTTGCCGCCGACACCAACGTCGCGGCAGACCTTGACACGCGGCTCCAGCTGGCCAGAAGCCTCGCAGTGGCCGTGTAACAATCACAGTATATCGGCTGGCTCCACCGACAGGCCTCGTCGCACAACATCCTCTTCTTCTCGCAGGATGGAAAGTGCTTCGCGGGAACCCGGCGGTTCTGCAAGAGTGGAGCGAGAAGATCCACGGGATATGCCACAGGGAGCTGGCTGGGCGCTGAGGTCGGGCTAGTGTCCACTGCAGAGAGGTCGTGCTTTGGTGTCTCAGGGGGAGTCCAAACTTGGCAGCAGCAGAACGAGTTCGAGGCGAGTGGTTTTACGATCGACAAGCAGTCGGACCTGGAGCGGGAGATCGGTTTGGAAAGTTTTTCTTCTGGAATGTGGTCAATAGATTGGATCAGGTCAGCGCGGGCCTTGGGGCTTCCGAAGAGCAACAATAAAGGGTAATTATTGATTGATATTCAAACGCGGCGACTCGGGTCCAGGAGATTGTGTGGTGGGCTGAAGGGGCGTTCAGTATACCATGTCAGGATAGTATAGATAGATACCTGGACAACGAAGGAGCTCTGTTCTTACGATCGATGGATCTGATTGGCATTGACAAGTTGCTGTCCATCTATTCTATGATATCTCATGATCATGACCGTTGCTTTTGGGCTTCGCATGCAGAATTTGATCCACCGCTCTGTGTTTCGTAATACAGTCCTGATGATTGTATGATTAGGTGCCAGGTGTGGACCTCGTCGTGGGTGTGTCCTGCCTTTTGTCGTCTCGCTTCTTGTTCTTCATAACCGCCGTTGACGGCAGCTCTCATCTCATATCATGCGGAAAAAGTAAATGTATGCGAATTTCTTCATTTCGTCCACGTCCACAGCCTTGACGACCTTCTCGTCATTGAACAGAACCCACTGTCGTTCCTTGCCTTCGCCGGGGATCACCTCACGAATGAATGCGACATAGTGACCGGCGTGAATGCTGGCGCCTTTATGGCAGACGATGCTCTGGAGCTCAAATTTGGCGGGAAGCTGATCGCTGCCGGGGAGTGCCTTTGGTTGACTGGGTGCCGCAGGGACATCCTCGCCAAAATCCCCTTGGTCATCTGGATGGCTGAAGACCCAGTCCAGAGCTCGGTTGACATCGCCGTTGCATTCTCGTAGAGCTTTGCGTGCCTGCGGTACACTGATTCCCATGTCACCAATCTGAGCAATCTTGTCAGCATCGTCGCTCGAGCCAGTTCCACCGGCGTCGGCGCCACCAAGATTTAGAGGTTCGTCGATATCAGGGTCATCCATATGTGAAAACAGCCAGTTCATGGCTGCTTCGGCATCTGCATTGCCCGTAGCGTGAAGTGCCTTTTCGCATCGTACGAGAGGAAAGCCCATTGAGGCAAGCTGCTCGAGGGCCGCCTCGTTCGGGACAAAAGCAGCAGAAGCCGATGTAGACCCTCCCACATCTGCGTCTTCAGGTAGTTCCTCTTCGCCCGGCTGCAGTCCAGCAGACTTGTACGTGCTCAGATCAAACGGTTCATCTGAGACCTGGACAGGGATGTCGAGTTTAGTGGGCACCCAGTTGATGATCTCAAAGCGGAGAGGATTGATTGCGAGGTTGCGAGGGAACGTCTTAAATTTCGATGACTTCGAGAATCCTCCCTTGGAACCACAAGCAGGGCAGGTCAACTCCACGGAAGTGGAGGCCGTAAAGATGTCGAGGCATTCCTTAAGTGAGACCGGCTCGAATTCGGCACCCTTCGTTGTATCTGCTGCACCACTGTCACCGTTGGTCACCGGCTTCCGCCTGACCGGCACAGGAATAGAGATATTATCTTGCTCGTCGGTTCGATATCGCACTCGCTTGCAATTCAGGCACTGCAAGCGCTGTTCCATCGCGAAGCGAAATGACTGAACAGGGTCTTCCGAAGGGCGAGAGCCATTGGAGATATTGATGAGCTTAAAGAGATGGAGTAGCAATTCAAAAGCGTCCTGTTGTCTCATGGTCGAGAACTCCTCATGTCCTCGTCCGATCAGATGTTTGAACATGGCCGGGGAAAGACCCTTTTGGTGTGGTACTTCGGGGCTGTCGGGAGCAGCATGAACATTGTTTTCGGGACGAGAATAGCGACCAGAGAGTATTCCATCAGCAAGCTTGCGCAACTGTGTCTCTAGGTCTTCGGCGGGAAGTTCAGTGGCTGGAGGCGGTTCGTTGGGGTGGTAATAACGCTGTTGAAAGTCTGGCAATGCGAACAAACATTGCACCGTGCTTGCAAGATAGCAGCTGTTGCCGATATTCTTCAGACCTGTGAGACCCGGTCCAAAGAGCGGTGATAGCTCTTTGCCATCTTCTGTTGTCATGGAGAAGTCCCATTTCAAATTTTGCTCTACCTGCATCTCCATGAGGCTCTTTTCAGTCTTTTCCCGTTCAGCAATGTTGATGCCCCAGTGAGCGAGGTGCTTCGCCAGGTCAGTGTCGATCCGTTCCTCGTTACACTGATAGCAATAGACGTCGGCATTCCCCTCTGGAGTGATGGAACCAAGTTTGACTGCAACAGCATGACCAGTCTCTGTTGCGTGATCCAGGCCATGGGAGTTGCCACCAATACCACCGAACTGTGCGCGGCCACAACCCAGGTTGCCACATTCCAAGCATAGCCACAGATTCTCCTTCAGATCGCACTTGGAACATGATCCCAGGTTCTGTGATTCAATTTGCCGGCTAGGCTGCTGCTCCAGACAAAGAGTATGTTCGCACGGCGTAAACTCCTGCTCCCATGCCTTGACTTCTTCTGATTTAGCGAAGGTCATAGCCTTCATGACCCCGTCCACCACTGCAGGCAAATTCCCCGAGTTCTTGTTCACATCCTGTATTTGGCATGCATAGCACTTGACTCTTGTGACTGTGTCATACTTGTCCTCCTCTGTTTCCGCCGCAATGGCGAGTTTGGTGAGCTTTGGTGGGGGTTCATCTCGTTGGACTTGTTTCCGGCTTCGTTTAATGTTCAGGACCAGTGGATGTTTTGTAGAGGAGTAGTGCAGTAGAGAGTGGTTACGGTCCCCTGCGCAGCCGCCATTGAAGCAATGCAGGCAGACGTCGAGACCAGCTTCATCGTCTATGGAATCGAAGCACTGGGTGCAGTCTTCGCGGTAGACGCTCTGGTTGGGTCTGGGAGGGTGGAGAGTATCTAAATAGGCATGAGGACACTCCATTATGGCTGCGAAGGGGGACGAGGATGGTATGACAGGTAGGCACACCACGGTTGACTTGGAATAAGACGACGATGAGGTGGGAAGACACAGACACCAAAGAGCAGCCCGCACTTCGAGTGACGAGGCTATGCCCAGCTGCAAGGCTGACGTCAACTGTCAAAAGCGGCGACACTGACGGCCAGATTCGGCGTGGAATATATCCCGGCGATTCGCTTCGCTGACTGGCTGAATGACTTGAAGCCAGACATAACCTCCTTCGACGCCTGTTCGTTGTTACCACACACCACACGTCTCTTGTTTCACTGACCTCATGCTGCGTTTGACAACGTCAGTGACGTGGCTTATAGCCGCCTTCTGAACGCTGCTGTTCAACGAAAATTACATTGTAAAGTGGATTACTTGGTCGTCTATGGATTCACCTGGAGATTGCGCGATCTTAGATTGAGGCTTAGTCTCACTCGTCCTGGTATACGCGATGGCCCTTCTACAAAACGAAGAGTAAGTTAGCCTGCGAGCGTGCCTTCATGTACGGACACGGGGCTGCGTGGTAAATACCATGAACCCGAGATTTGCTGACCCTGGACGCCAGTTTCGCCATCTGGTTTCTGCGCACGTCCTACCTGGCAAGTGCGAAAGATGGCACTGCGGAGCGACTCATTAATGTGAATTCATCAATCCTAAACACTCCTGGATTTCGTGCAGCAGGCTGGTCAGCGGATCCTGTTCACCGGACATACTCTCCACCCATTCCGACATCGATCAACAGCGAGTATCTCAAGGAAGGCGCCGACCTACAGCAAATCAATTCCCAAGCCGACGAAGAGGACGAAGGTGGCCTCGTGACTGGCAGGACCAGCAACGACACCATTGGCCCCGGTTTGAACGTCAGGCGACGACGAAAGAAGGAGCATGTCGAGGATGACGATAGCAGCGATCTCACCGACGAGTCAGAGGAGGAGGCTGATGGCGGACAACGAGCGGCTCAGCAAATTCGCTTTGCAAAGATGCCGTCTCGTCACCGAGCCGACTCTTCTCCGATTCGCGGTTCAGACGTAGACGGAGAAAGAACATCCCCGTTGAAAGGTCCTACCGACAATCGACGCCGTACTGGATCTCTTGGTGCCGTCGAGGCCGTCAAAGCTCGCGCCAGGCGAGATACCACCACGAGCAGCGACATGTCTTCTGAAAACGAAGTCGACCCAGCCTATTTCCAGCGCCGTCAGGTCCACGCAGGCCAACGGTCTAAATCTGCACCCAATCCCAATGACGGTCAAATGAGGGCCGATGGAGACCCCGGTCGGCCAGGAGATATGCAGGATGATTCTGATGCTGAATCTGTTGGATCTGCAATGTCTTCCGAACTGGGCGACACCATGGACTCTGCATCCCTCCTCAACACCATGGAAGACCCGAACCTTACATCTACATCACCTACGCTGGGCAGTCTGACCGGCTCGGGCTCCCGTTCATCGCTACCAGAATCACCTAAAAGGCAGCGGACACTGCCGATCCTGCATGAGCTACCTCCTCCTCGACCTATCAGTATGATACAACCCAAGAGCTTGCTTACAGCGGCGCTCGGTGCACAGAAAAGGGCTCCGAGCAACCCCGTACAGGCATTCGCCGGTCTCTCAGGTAAAGGAACCCCCAACCCACTTTGGATCAAGATATACACACCTTTCGCCAACAACCCCGATGAACCCTTCGAGATGCCATTGGCCCGGACGTCCAAAGACGGTAGCATGGTTATCGTTGCAGAAGCTATCGGTCACGCTCTATGGAGATATGGGGAGGAAAAGCGGGAGCCTCCTCTAAGGCCTGAACAGCTCGATGTCAACAAATGGACGCTACGAATGGTGGAAGATGGAGAGGTGGACGACGACTTTCCGCCCCTCGTTCGCACGAGGCCTGTGGCAGACTTCACGTACAACAACAATAGAGGCGGGAGAGGTCGTGCAACGGATCGTCCAGTCGACGAGTTCGCGCTTGTCGAAGCGTCGGCTGCTCAGTATGAAGCGAACAAAAAAGAAACACCGCAGTTCATACCAGAAGCAGCGACAGAGGTTGGCCCTATCCCTACGTTAGATGGGGCTCCGTCACAGTCTCCAGCACCACCGCCTCCCGCATCAAAGGCACCACCATCGCGAACCAACATCCTCTTGGCTGGCCAACCATTCACCTCTGCGCTCAGTAACACATCCTTGACACCTGCCGATCTCCCGGCACCGGCGGCACCACAGGCCACTCCACGCATGGGAGCCACGAAGACAATCAGGATACGATATCTGAACCTCGAGATGACCGCGCAGACAATGACCATGGAGATCTCGACCGATGGCTACATTGCTGAGATTCTAGACCATGTCTGTAAAAGATGGAACCTCGAGAAGGCTGGGTTCGTGCTCAAAGTGGCCGGCACCAATACCGTTGCGCCCCTGGATCGCACCGTGGAAGCTCTCGGTGGGCGATCGGAGCTGGATCTTGTGCGCCGCAGGTTCGGGGCTGGTGCCAGCTTGACGGGCTCGCCGGGCAGCTCTTCGCCCAATGCACCGTTGTTACTGGACATCCAAGGTCCCAAGAAGGGCAAGAGGGGCCAACCCCTCCATCCTCTGGCGCAGAAACAGGACCTGTTGTCGAGTGCCAGCAACTTCAAGAAGTATTATGTCACCCGGAAACAGCTGGGTGGCTTTGCCCAAGGGAGTCAGAGGGTGCTTGTGTTTGATGGCGACATCATTCATGTCATGCCGGCTGATACCAGCTCCAATGCCAAATTCAGTTCGATTGCATTCAACGATATCCTGAAGTGCAAAGTCAGCTCCAAGCACCCCAAGCTTGTACGAATCGTGGTGCGGCGAATCAACGAGTCGAAACGGTACGACTTCGAAGCGCGGACGGCAGGGGAGGCGCAGGAGATTGTGGACGAGGTGACACGGGAGATGAGGCTGGCGCGAGCATGAGCAAACCGTACCTCTCTATCAGACATGCAGAACGTTATCTGCTCCACTGTTTATCTCGATGTCCTCACCTGCTGGGGTATACATGCTCTTCAACTTAGGTGGGATTATGTCACCCGGAGATAGCAGTCAGTCCCAGGCGGCGTGGGCGTGGACCCCGGCAACCCTCGGCTAGGTCGGCCTAGTGCCTGGTAGGCTTCTAACCTGTTCGCTGCACCTAGCACCTCTGTCTACGACATACGTAAGGAGGGGTCGTTTCTGCGGGAGGGGAGCCCACTAGTGGACGGTGACATACGTGGCTGAGGGAGATGAGGTGAGTGGGCAGAACTGGGAATTGAAGAAACCTGCCTATCTGCTTGTGGTAGCGAACAGCACTGAGGGGAACGACAGACCTAGTAGGTAGGAGGAACTGCAGCTCTCGCATTCAGTATCCCCGCGTCTCTCAACAGACCACAAGCCTATCTACCACGGTGCTTGCTTGCACTCCTTGGTGCTGGGGAGCTGGGTGCTTGCATTCCACAATCTAGATCCCAAACAGCTACCCACCGGCTACTGTAACCCTGCACACTGGCTCCTGGACCTCCCCTCTCGCTCGCTCGCTCCCTCCTCCTTCTGTCACCGCCCGGCATTGGCCCCTCACCAACTGTTGCTCGTCACTGGTGCCCTCATCGCCAATAATATCATCCACCAGTTCCAAAGCTTACACTTCGGCCTCTGTCGCTCCCTTTACCTAGCTACTTACTGCTAGTGACGACCCAGAGCACCTCCCCCAGCTCTGGAGAGGGACACAGAGAGTTCAAAGATCCCGTCTCTCTGCTTTCCAACTTGCAGCTCCAAACCTGCCTTCTTCTGATTTCTTGCCTCTGTGTGTGTATGTGTGCTACACAGCTTGTCTCTTCTAGCTTGATTGCGCTTCACCGTTTCCTGAAAGAAGAGGGGAAAAGAAAAGAAGGAGCCAAAGCTCCAATCTCCATCCTGACTGACCTTGTTGTCGCGGCCGTCACCTTCCCCTCTGCCCTCCATTGGAGCTTATCGGCCTGCACTGCAGCTTCCCAGCGGCCAGCCCATTACCCGACCGAATAGTCGAGCAAACCGCCTTGACTTGATCCTGGCCTCTTTCCTACCTTGCTGCGAGCTGCGAGCTGCGGCTGTTGCTACCCCTCCCCACTTCGCAGTCTATTGCCCTCTCTCACCTAATTCCACGTTCCACGTTGCGACTCGGTGGGCAGTCCAACAGGCCTCCGAGCTCCTCTGAATCATTCTATTGTTAGCATTCCAGCCTTTGGGAACGTGCGCTTCCCTGTGTCACCCAAATGCCGACCTTTGGAGGTCTCCTCAAAAAAAAGAAGACCAAAGAGTCTTCTGACGACAAACCTGCGCAATCAGGCGGCGGCAGTTATCAGCCCATTCAATACAAGTCCTCCCAAAAGACCGACACCACATCGCCTGTCTCTTCCAGGACTACAGGCGCCTCCGATGCACCCTCTCAGGCCACCACCGCTGTGACCACCACCTCCACTCCAGAACCTCATGCCAAGACAGTCGAAAGCAACGGCGGTGTCGACATGAACGCTGCCGCCGTCGTCAGCCCTACCGGGGGCGTGGTGGATTCTAAGCCAGTACAGAGACAAACAAAGGGCAAATACACCCTCTCGGACTTCGCGATCCAGCGGACCCTGGGTACGGGCTCGTTTGGGCGGGTGCATCTGGTGCAGTCGAAACATAACCAACGCTTCTATGCCATCAAGGTCTTGAAGAAGGCCCAAGTGGTCAAGATGAAACAAATCGAGCACACCAACGACGAGAGACGTATGCTGCAGCGGGTCAAGCACCCCTTCCTCATCACGCTCTGGGGCACGTTCCAGGATTCGAAGAACCTGTACATGGTCATGGACTTTATCGAAGGTGGAGAGCTTTTCAGTCTGCTTCGAAAGTCTCAGGTAATGCCTTGTCCTTGGCTTGTCCCTTCTGACACCCCGACATTGACCTTCTGTGATAGCGCTTCCCCAACCCCGTAGCCAAGTTCTATGCCGCTGAAGTCACATTGGCGCTCGAATATCTGCACGGACAGAATATCATCTACCGCGACCTGAAGCCCGAAAACCTGCTTTTGGACAGGCACGGCCATGTCAAGATCACGGATTTTGGGTTTGCCAAAGAAGTGCCCGACATTACCTGGACCCTGTGCGGTACTCCGGATTACCTGGCCCCCGAGGTTGTGGCTTCAAAAGGGTACAATAAGTCAGTGGACTGGTAAGGTTGTCGGCCACCGCGTTTGGAGTTCTCACACTGAGCCTTTCCAGGTGGTCTCTAGGGATCTTGATCTTCGAAATGCTTTGTGGATTCACCCCGTTCTGGGATGGAGGTTCTCCTGTCAAGATTTACGAGAACATCCTCAAAGGAAGAGTCAAATATCCTCCCTACATCCATGCCGATGCTCAAGACCTCCTGGTTCAATTGATCACAAATGACTTGACCAAGAGACTGGGCAATTTGCATGGCGGCCCCGCAGACATCAAGAATCATGCCTGGTTCGCAGAGGTCACCTGGGAGCGACTATTGAAGAAAGATATTGACGCCCCGTACGTTCCACCAGTGAAAGGCGGAGCTGGTGATGCCAGTCAGTTCGACAAATACCCCGAGGAGACGGAAGAATATGGCAAGAAAGGAGAGGACCCGTACGACGACCCCAGAACCCGCTTCTCGCAATGCCTTAAGCTGACATGATATAGGTTCGGCCATTTTTTCGTGGACTTTTAATCATTACACTGCCACACCGAAGAACGAAAGGAGCATCGTAAAACAGTGCTTCCGTGTACGGGAGTACCAGATAGAGACGAAGAGAACATCGGACCATGCCCAGCCTGCGGGTTGACAGCCAGCTAGTCTGGTTCGATACGACATGAGGAGCGACAACCAAAAAAGTGGCTCTGAATTGGATTTGTGCTGCAGCCGGTGCAGCCGCCGTATTAACGAAATTTGATGACAGCGGGGATGGCTCTCCTGGAGTGGCCACCTTGAAAATCTGGTGGTGGAGGTGGTTTCTTTGGATTTGCAGTTGCAGTGTTGAGTGGGCCGCGGCGGTTGTGGTTGTGGCTGTTGTGGTTGTTGTTGCTGTGTATCACGATTGCGGCGACGATGCGGGAAGCTGGAATATCTACTCATGACTCCAAAAGCGATATGGAGATCGCACAAAGCGCTCAGTGCATTGTACCAGGACAATATCGCCACGGGTGGCCATGAGATATGTATGGACTTTGCATACTTGCGGTTCGAGAAGTTATCCCTCTGATGCCCAGAAGCAAAGCAGTTAAGCCTTGGATGAGCCTCTGACTTTTGAATGCATTAATTTCTATTCTTCAAGATCATTACATCTGATCTTTTCGGGCTAGTGGTTCATCTGTCTAGTTGAGAAGAGAAGATCTTGAGGTCGTGTTCAATGTGAAGCAGTCCGCAGCACTTCAGCCCTATTTACTTCCGCGTATTTCTTTCCGATTTCGTTTCCTTTTGGTGGCCTCCTGATATCAAAATAGTATACAGCTATGCTATGAAGTGAAAAGGTCTACAAGGACCTGGTGTTTGATGTCGAACTTGGACAGGCCAATCTCAAGCACGACACTTTCATCCGTCGGCCCTAAAGGAGATTGATGAGAAGGGAGGGGTTGCATGGTCGGTTGGACTATGTATACAATTTTTGAGGGGCGTGTACAGCTTTTCAAATGCGCCGATTCTGATGGAAGTTGATTTCGAGCTTCTGGCGTACCGCTGGGTGGCTCTAGACCGGTGCAGCGCTTATCCACTGTGCTCATAGTGCTCCGGGACGCAGTACGGCACGTACAAAGGGTCCCCAGCTCGTAGGAAGACAGCGGCTGCTCGGGTGTGGTCTGAAAATAGCTCAACCTTCCCCCGGTTTTCTTCCATCTCGCCCTGGGCCTGAGTTTTTGTCGGTCACCAGGTTCCCAATGCTCTGAGAGCTTCAAGATCCTGCTCTTTCCAGCGACAACCATTCGATGCCGATTACTTCATGTCAGGGCAGCAGGAGGGACCACCCCAGCTCCGGCACCCCCATCTCGTTGACAGCTCAAAACAACTCCTTCCCTCCTCCAGCCCCGGAGCCACCACCGATTCCGCCAGCGAACGAGGCGCTCTCCCTCTGCAACCTAGCCGTGTACGTCCGACTCGTCACGTTCCACGCATCAATGAACTTCTCCATGCAGGAGGTCAAGCATTTCTGTTCCGTCGAGCTCAGACTGCTCCCGGGGTTGGGGACGCATTTTTCAAAGCAGTTGGTATGGACGTTGGAGATGAGCTGCTTGGCGTTGGCGACGTTGGACTGTTCGCTGATGGCGGACTGGATGCGCTGGAGGGTTACGCCCGGCGTCGTAGTGTTGGCACCGCTGGGAGATGAGAAAGAGGTGGAGGGTAGAGGACTGCTAATGGATGTGGACGACGAGTCGGATGACGATGATGAGGAGGAAGAGGAGTTGTCTTTGGACGAACCGCCACCGAAGAAGCCGCCGAACGCCATTGCGTTACAGGTGTCTGATTGTGTAGAGAGAGGTGTGCTCGTAGTCTTGAGTTCAATAGAGATTTGGGAGATGCTGGGGCTACTGGGGCGTCCTTTTTCGTTAAGCGGAAGACCTTCTGCAGGCACTCTTCGTTTTGTGCCTATGAGTACCTCGTAGTTTGGCTTCGCTAGGCAGGTCTGCCGGCACCGGCGGCAGCCCATCAAGCCTTACTAGCCACGACGGCCGCCTATAACAATTGGCGGAAATCAACTATTGGCAGCGGCCACTGGCGAACCATTTCCTTCGTTCTCCACAAAGCCCCAGTTCACCTGCGTCGAATAGTCTGGCGAAACTGAACACCTTTACAGTAGTTCGACTCGACCATTTCACTTCTCCTGCGCCTTTAAGGGGGTTTCGCGACATTTTTTGAAGACCAGCCGTGTTCTTGCCATGAAGTCTCTGTGACATAGTGTTTTTCTCACCGCGATCGCGAAAACTTCTGAGCACATAGACATTGTCCCCATTGAAGATGTGGCCGCACTCCAATGTCTGGGCCTCGTTATGGCTGCTGGCAGCATGTGCAGTGGGCACGCGAGCGGCCGTAGAGGCAGACCCAGAGATGAAAAGCGTCCCCGTAGGTCCTGGCACAAATACATCCTTTACGACTGCTTCCGGGACCACTGGCTAATCTCCCATAATCCTTGATCAGCTGAGAACACACAGTCTCGCACCTCCATACCTCGACTCGGACATGTCAAGTCGGTGGTTCGACTTTGGCGGCGACACCATCATTCGTGCGGATCAGTACATCCGACTCGCCTCTGACATGCCCTCACAATCCGGCTGGATCTTCTCCCGCATACCGCTGACGGCGACGAACTGGGAAGTGGAGTTCGAGTTCTCAATCCACGGCAAGGGCCACCTGCATGGCGACGGGTTTGCGATGTGGATAACCAAGGAGAGGGCACAGCCCGGTCCCGTGTTCGGGCATGCGGATCGGTTTGAAGGACTGGGGATTTTCTTCGACACGTACAAGAATAACAGACCTGGTGTTGTGTTTCCTTACGTGATGGGCATGATGGGTGACGGAAAGACTTCATATGATGCGGCGAATGACGGGAAGGCGAACGAAATCGGTGGTTGCTCGGTAAGAGATGAGCATTTCAAGGACGATATCAGATGAGACTGACCACAGATGGCACACAGGCTCGAGGGTTGCGCGGTGCTTCCATCCCCACCAAAGCGAAGCTGACTTATTTCCAAGACAAGTCACTTACGCTCCAGCTACAGTACAAAGCGATGGATGCCTGGGTCGACTGTTTCTCTATTACCCCCACGGCGGATCTACCATTGAAGATGCCCAATACGGCATATCTAGGATTCAGCGCACACACGGGCGAGCTCTCCGACAACTTCGATATCATTAGCGTGGAAACACGGAATTTATACAACCCAGTGGCAGCAAACTCCGGGAGAGACAAGGCGGCACAGGCTCGGGTGAGTGGGAGAGGAAGGAGTACCAAGCCCAAGGGTGGTGGTTGGGGATGGTTCTTTTTCAAGGTGCTGCTCTTTGCGGGTGTGGCAGGTGGCGGGTATGTTGGATACAAGAAGTACAAGGAGAAGCAGCGGTACGATGGGTTCAAGGGGTTCTAGGTAGAGTCAAAGGGAGGAGTTCAGGGTGGCATGGGCAGGTCTCGACTCGTGATTGTACAAAGATCAATGACAGATGGTTCACAGCCTGGCTTGCTTGCTGTGTCCACAGGCTATACGGTAGATGAGTTCATTTCTGTACACCTGTAAGTCTTTGTCGCTGTACTTGGTTCCATATGGTATGTACGGTACACACCCGAGGCTGAGATCTAGAGCTGGGCACGTGATGCAGCTCCGAAACTCAAGCCAGCGCCACTAAGCTACAAGCGGCTAGTGATCAGCCCTCCGTGACATCCAGAACACAAAGCAAACCCAACATCTCACAGCCAATCAACAGCGCGCAACCGTGCCTTGTTATGAGTGCGTGATTTCGAGCACCTCTTTTGCCTGATTTTCTCAGCGTCCTTTTCGCAGTCTGAAATCAACCCCCAGCAACCTTCGGATCAACGCCAAGCCCCCGTCCTGACCTGATCTTGCTGTCACTGCCCACCCTCCTGACCTTTCGCTTATAATCCCCGTTCCCTCCTACCGATTTTCTTCCTTTTCTTTCTCCCTCCTTTTCCCGCCCACTTTCGACTATCTCGCGCCACTGCTTCTGGTCGTTCCGCATCTCATCAACCAACCATCAATAACCTTCCCATTTTACAACTTTTCATCTTTCAAACACTTTTGCAAATATGACTGGACGTAAGTTAGCACCCTTGTGCATCCGTTGTTGCGATTATTCTGGTTTTTGCTGTCGCTTCACCTTATCGTCGCCTCCAGCTGCAGGTCGGAGCTGTGGCGCGCCACCGCCGATACCTGTGACGACTGCAACAAACAACAATAAACTCAAGTAACAATATAACTAACGATCTCTTCTACAGGCGGCAAAGGCGGAAAGGGCCTCGGCAAGGGTGGTGCTAAGCGTCACCGTAAGATTCTTCGCGACAACATCCAGGGTATCACCAAGCCTGCCATCCGACGTCTCGCTCGTCGTGGTGGTGTCAAGCGTATCTCAGCCATGATCTACGAAGAGACCCGTGGTGTCCTCAAGTCCTTCCTCGAATCCGTCATCCGTGACGCTGTCACCTACACCGAGCACGCAAAGAGAAAGACCGTCACTTCGCTTGGTAAGTCGAGAGTGAGATGCATCTCAACCATGACCCCAGACTAACTCCGCGTCTAGATGTTGTGTATGCCCTCAAGCGACAAGGCAGAACCCTCTACGGTTTCGGTGGTTAGACTTCGCCACAATGAGGTCGACATCTAGAGTCCGGCGATTGCGAGAGATGTGGATATGGGCTACGGTGGTCATGGATGACGAAACACGGCGCATGGGTCTGGCTGTATTACAAAACTATTGACGTTGGGTTTTTATGGCAAGGGGTTTAAGAACTTTTGTGTCGTGCTTGACCAAGACGCAGCAATCAATACTCGAGATGGATTTTGCGTCCTTTCGAGTGGACCTCTTACAGAAGACAAGTAGTCAATTGTAACACAATCGAACAATTGAGTTGAAATCAAGTGATCCTGCACCATCTGCCTGTGACATTTGCTGTTTTCTGGCTTTCGCGACGTGCTCCGGGTGCTCGAATGTTCTGCTGACGCAAGTCGGGATCTATTTCGGCATCAGCTCATTCCACTGCAAACCCTCGTCCTTTGTAACTGTACGTAGGTTCGCCGTCAAGAGACTGCAGACTGGTCGTGGCGTCCAACAGATGGACACCTGCTCTTAGCTTGGTGACTGCTTGATTACAGGCGCCAGCAAATGCAAGGGACAGACAAAGATCACCATGGCTAAGGCAGCAGAGTTTCCCTTACCCAGCTCGCCAGCTGGAGATGTGTGGCTTAAAGCCTGTCGCCTAACCAGAGGCAGCCTCCGGCCCTTCTAGGCGGGCCAATCTCAGGCCACTAATAGACGGTGCTGCGGGATCCCGAGAGTGTGGCGAAAATTGACTGATGTGTCGAATAACAGGCACCAGGAATTCCACCATGGCCGATATACTCGGATTCACCCCGCCCTGACTTCTTGGGCCTTACGCATAATCAATTCAGCACCACCCGACTTCGACTCTGCCACTGTCACAAAATCCTCTTTTTTGAACGATGCATCGCCTGCAACCTCGTCGCGCGCAATAGCAACAGCCAGGACATGAGACGGCAAAACACACGATAACTCCCACCCCCGACTCGTTCGTCCATCGCCACCATGTTTCAGCGGCGTGGCACGTATCTTCAGCGCCTGTCCAAGCTCTACTCGGACACCAAACAGTCCTATGAGAGCGCCAAAGTCACCCCAGCGGCGGCGAATGTCACGGACCTGCCCGAGCTGAGGGACTTGAGGCGTGATTTCCAGATTCAGCAGGATCGGTTGCTGGCATGGGGGATGCACTGGACCGACGTTGGCGCTCCTTACTCCGCCCAGGGCGATGTCGACATCGACAAGAAAATCGACCAGGCCGGGTTGGGTGAGGTGGTGGCCAGCGTCATGTCGGAGATCAAAAGGCTTCTGGAAGAGAGTGGCCGCCTGGAGCATCCTGAACGGTATGAGATGAAGAAGTCGGCACGGGGTCCGGGGTCGAGTCCTGTGGCCCCACGGAGAGACTGGACCAGTCACGAGGTCATGACCGGGCGTGCGCTGCTGGAGCAGCTGACGACCTGCATCGACGTCCTCTATAGCCTCGAGGAATCAAGGAGGGCCGATGAGAAGGGCGGTGACGCCAAACGGACGAAGCACGCGCATGGCTCGCTTGCTGCCGATGGTACCGACTATGGCCCCCTGTACGACCACCCTCTACACATCGATTTCAACGGTCTCGAGTTCAGTACCTACTCCGCCCAAGCAGCTGACCCACCCCCATATGATCCCGCCGATGGCTCGGTGGCTTCGAGGGAAAGGTCGATCGCCTATTTTCGTCAGGCTGCTTGCCCCGTCCTTGTCGACTTTCTCACGGCCGACTGTCCACCTTATGTTGTCGGAAGCGCCGAGGACGTCTTCGAGCTCCATGAACTTGGCGAGAAGCTCTGCAAAGATCGATCCCTGTCGTGGTGCGGCCACCTGAGACTTCTCGGGTTCACTGTCGATCCCAATGGACCCCGTTGTGCCATGGTGTATGCCTTACCCGACGGACACGACCACAAGACTCTCCAGCAACACAGGACTCTTTTCTCTCTCCTAGCCACCAGTAACGTGCAAGAGGGCTCCTCGCCCGCTCTGGAAGATCGCTTCCGACTGGCATATAATCTCGCTCTGTCGATAATGGGCTATTTCGCTCAAGGAGAAACTCATCAGTACGTCAACAGCAGCAATATCCTTCTCATCGGCAGCAGAGAGCATATGCATCGCTCCCACGTGTCTAAAGAATTGAGATATCCCTATTTACTACAGTCGTGCCAGGACTTTCTATCTCGGCTACAAGCAGAGGAACCATTTGCAGCAACCATCTACCGCCACCCCGACCACGATATTCACGCGTCTGAAGTTGTTCCTGCTTATGACATCTACAGCCTTGGCTTGCTTTTGTTGGAGATTGGTCTCTGGATCCCCCTACAGAAACTGTGGAAGCCCAAGTATGACCGCCGACTTTTCATGGAAAGAGTCCAGCGCATCTACGCACACAAGCTGGCTTCAAAGTGCGGAAGCAAGTACATGAGGGTTGTTCAGAAATGCTTGCAAGCACCTGCGGAATTGCAGTACAGGAACAACTATGAGGATGCTGGAGCGTTCCTACTTCAGGTGGCCAAGGACCTATCACAATGTTGCGCTCTCGATGAAGAAGGGCCTCCTCCTGCCTCTGACATCGAGACCTTTGAGCTCATCATCATTGAGCAGATGTGCAAGGCTGAAGAACAAGCTGCCGAGGAGGAGAAAAGACCCCAGATACCACCCGACGACGTCAAGCCCGAGCTCCCTAAAAGGGCGAACTCAAAACGAAAGGCCGACGCGATCCAGCAATCCACCTTGCCAGCAGAGAAGCCTCTCCGAAAGTGGAGTGATGTCGACATCCCTCAAGAAGACCTGGACCAGTGGAATACCAGGGTGATGCCCAAGCTAGGCAAGATGCTGGAGGCTGCTCTCAAGGATTCGCCCGAATCATCTTGCAGCCTCAGTCTCATGATGTTCGGAAGTGCCCCTGAAAGCGCCAAGACCACCATCTGCATTCAATGTCCACAGATCAACAAGGTCCGTGATGTGCTGAGGAGGAAATTCCGGCCCAAGAAGGGATGGGGCGTCGTCCTGCTCAACGGTGAAGTCAGACGAAGCGGCACCGGCAGAAGGAGAAAGCCGAGGCGATCGGGGTATGGTTCCAGTTGCTCGAAATACAGAGGTCCTCAAGCCATGGCACGAAGGCCTCTGGAGCAGAAGTATCAGGAACGACCGACGAGTGGCGCCAGCATTGGAGCCTTTAAAGATTGCGAACATCTTCCTCCTGTTTCCTTCGGTGGCACTATCCTTGTTGACGGCGAACCTTATGGAATGACGGTGCATCACATGCTCGACCTTCCAAGCGACGACGACGGAGACGATGAAGATGAAATCGATGTAGTTCGACGCAGCGAACAGCAACAACAACAAGCTCGGCGAGCTGCAGCACCACGTAAAATGCCTGGACAATTTGACACTTCAGCCGATGTACGTTTCATGCAATCAGAGGAAGACCTTTCGCGGTTTTCCGATCTTGCCATTTCTGACGAGGATTTTGAAAACAACAGTGATGAAGACGATGACCAGAGTGATGCCAGCACCATCCGACCAGACTATGCCATCATGGACGCGGACGGCAACGAGTTCTGGTTTCTCGAAGACAGCCCTCCCGGACTTGACGATGACGACGGATCCGACGAGGAATCGTCGGAAGACGAAGCGGACGCTGACGACGCGGCCTCTATCGGCGACAAAAGAGGTATCGCACCATATTCAGACGACGATCTCTGCGTGACTCAACCCGCCATCGACGATGTCGACGAAGACTTCTTTCCTAGCGAGGAAGATCGTGACGATGACCACCTCGCGAGCCACGCGTTTGGGTATGTCTTTGCGAGTAGCGGCATTCGACGTGTCGTAAGAGGCGAAATGAAGCATGAAGTCGACTGGGCATTGATTCGGGTCCACGAAGACCGCTTGAAGATCGAGAACGCCATCCCTTTGCAGCAGAAGGGCACTGGCATTCCTCCAACGTCCTCGTCACGACAAGGGTCTCGGATGTCTCCCCAAAGGCGTGACCCCATTCCCGTCCTCACAACAATTACCCCCCTTTCTTCCCTCTCTGGCCTCCGGGTACATTGCCGCGGTCGTTCATCCGGTTTCAAACGGGGACGTATCTCGCAGGCCATGTCGCTGGTGAAAATGCACGGCCGGCAATCCTTCTCGGTGAGTTGGTGTGTCGAAGGCGGCTTCGGTATCCCTGGCGATAGTGGTGCCTGGGTCTATGATCCCGTCTCGGGCGGACTCTGCGGTCATGTCTTGGCCTGGGGCGAGAAGAGCAAGACGGCGTACATTGCGCCCATGGAGGTGTTGTTTGAGGATATCAAGGGCCGACTTGGCGCTCGGTGCGTGGAGTTACCCGTCCCAGAAGGGTTGAGGAGGCGGATGAGAGAGGATGAGGGTATTGGGATGGGCACTACGAATACGAGCGGTGGTGAGCAGGAGGTAATAGTTGCTGCCAAGTTGAGAGACATGAGGCTCGACAACAACACCACCAATGCTACCGTCGGTTCTGGGTCTAGTACTACTGCTTCTGCTTCTGCCTCGGGAGCACCTGGTGGCGGAGGCAAGACGAAGCAGGTCGTCGGCGTTCGGCCGCTGGTCATGGCTGGCGCGGTCTCTTGATTCTTTCTTTTTGCAATGGTTGTGAACGACATGTTGTTGGTGTTCCTTAAGGATGTGATATGTATCTGAGATATCTACCTGCACGGCGCACACGGGCCAAGCTACATACGGAGAGATGTAATCGAAGAGCGAGCGATTCATGTTTCCAACCTTGAACTTACCACCTATGCGTCCCTTGTTTGTATATATACTCCGTATATATGGTCTATTTCCTGGCTGAGAAGGGGCTGAAAAGCGTGGGTCTTAAATCGTTCGTTCATCGTCTGTCTCCATATCAAGGACTTGGCTGATTGATTTTGAATACATGTAAACAATAATTAGCACCTAGCCGATTCCAATGCGGTCCTTCTGCCCTGTCCCACTCGCTCACTCACTCAGTCATCCATCCACTCAGTCATGTCTTTGGTGGGCAATACAGAACGACCAGAGAACAACACTTGTGCATCACCTCTATTATGTAGTACGTCCACAATAATATCCTTTCATAATACTGTTCTGCCAGGTATCTGCTCGCGCGCCCTTCTTCTAGATCAGCACGCGATAGCGTATGTAGCAAGCATTGTGTCCTATGTTCTGGGAGGCGCTGTCGCCAGGACGAACCGGCGATCCTCGTCGACCGGGCACCTCGTTCGTCAGGGTGTCCACATGAGGATGCTGAGGCAGAGGCACAGGCACATGGGGGCACGGAAAGCTTCATAGTCTGGAATCGAACTTTTCTGTGTCTACTTCTATGTAAGAGATCCTGGACGATCGAGCCATGTGAACACCTCTTTGAGGGTTGTTGGGACCTCGGTTTCTTTTTTTGGGGGGAGCCCTACATCGAGCATAATACTAAGTTGAGTCGGCTTTACACAGCAAAGCGAACAAAGCTTCCCGAGGCTCCCTGCATGCGGTAGCATCAAAGCAATGAACGCCACCGTTGAAAACAGGATCACAAAGAATGCCTTGAGGTGGTGAGAAAGCTCGCGCCAAGATGCCAATATTCAATATAGCCATGCCCGGGGATGCAATCTGGTCCGTCGTGGCCATCGCGAGTGACTTCAACGACGTTCAGGACGTCCTTGCAGAACTGAAAGACGGAACTGCGACCTTGACCACGCTATTTGCCGCGGCGGTCAAGTATATTATTCTCATGTCTAAATCCTCAGACATCAGAATGCAATGACCTGGGCAGCACAAGCAAACATCATCCAGAAGTATTCATACGTGACGATGCTCAAGATTTGGAGGACATGCAGACTTGGAAGTATAGCGTGATCGACACTCGAGAGTATGCTGATGATCAACTCAATATGAAAGAGACAGTGACTGAACTGCCAGATAATGTGGGATTTCGACAAGTTATGGAGGACAATGCCCAGGGAAAGAAGGAGTTGAACAAACTGATGAAAGTCAACCCACCATCTGGGCACACATTTTGCTTTCTTTGAAGTTTGAGGTCTGTTGCAATCGCAGACTTGAAGCCAGCGTATATTTTGAGAGCGTGGAACATTCGAAGGACGGCACAGGACAGGGGTGATGACTCTCTGTAACTCGATTTGTATGTTGAAACATCACCGATTATGGCCTTAGCAACTTAGCACCGCCGATATTCATCAATTTTAGCAAGGTGTAGAGGGTATATCTAGGTTATAGTCCTATCCCAGAGCTCGAGGGCCTCCAAACACGAAACTATTGTCCGAAACGGGGCCAGGAACCGACATCAGCGCGAAAGCTAAGAGGCGGGCCACAGTTGAGCTTAGGCTGCTGCAGAGGCACTCGCGGCCTGGGAAGACGAGCGCGGGATTAGACAGCCATGTCTCAAAATTGCCCAGCCAGGACTTAGGGTACAACCTCAGGTTGTTCAGCCCCGGAAACAGAAATGGCTTTTCTATGAGGTCAAGATTTGGGAACGCGTATCGTGGTGTATGTTGAGATATGAAGAGTGGCAAGAGCAAGCGCCTTGGAATGCTTAGGAGACGAGGCCCGTCGTTTACGGCGGCAATTGCACCTACTCTTGTAGGGGGTAATAGGGAGTTGTCTGTGCTGCTGACATGCCTATGTGCAAAGAATGTCGAGGTCACCCAGATTTCCTAAGCTTCTCAGGAGAGAGGATGTTATGCGACCAACCCTAACGCCGGTTTGGCCTGAGTTCGAGCCGCTCAGGCTGACCATGCCTTCCTAGAAATGGGAATCGCGTATGCGAAGTAATCATCCATGACCAGCGCTTCGTTCGGTCGCTCAGGACCTCGGAGTCGCCCTGCGTTTCTGTCTTCTCCGTGCAGTCTCTACGGATCTTTTTCGCTTCACCCTGGAGGACTTCTCCTCGGGTGAACCCGATGAAGCTTCATCAACTTGTCGATGAGATCCCGTGCTTCCATTTTGTTGATTATGCAGCTCCACATTGCTAAGAACCTCGAGACTTCGCACGTTTCCAGTAGATGAATACTCAGGACCACTGCCGAAGCGCCAGAAACATCGATCTGAATCCCTTTCGGATTCCTGATGGCTGTCATGATCTCCGTGTCTTTGGGATGAGGACCGAAAGAGACATACTCGCAGTGTACGTATGTTGAGAGAGCCTGGCACTAGCGGAAGATCAGCTGGCAAGTTCGTCGTCGGGGCTGTATGAAGGGCTTTTATCAGTAACTCTTTGACCCACAGTGGGAAACCCCAATTGCCAACAACGTCGAGCTGCTCGTCGCATGTGTAACACAATGTTGCATCGTTGTTGTCATAATCCACAGCGCTTTCATCAAGCTCAGTTGCGCAAAAGTCGCAGCAATCGATTCCCTGTTGTCTTTTGCGTTCCGCTACTCTGACCCAGGCAGCGGCCTCCGACTTGAAAAGCCGTCGGAGGAATTTTCTCTTCCAATCTGCAAAGGGTCCGCCGTGCAAGAGACGAGGGTCAAGCCAGGGATTATATTCCCGCTCGAAAATGATCAGCCCTGTATCACGGAGCCCGCGAGGAGAGCCCTGTCTGGTTGGTAGGGGCTTTTTGAGCTCTCGAAGCCACTTTGAGAAGCTCGGCCCGCCATACGAGCAAAACACACCGTACGGCTTTTGTAAGTTCCAGATATCACGATATCTCTTCTGTGTTCTCAAGTTTGATGTCCCATTGTTGTTTGTTGTGTGATAAACGTCCTTGTCTTCGAAGGTCCTCTTGATGATTCTGGCCAGGTCGTCCTCGTCTGGTGGTCTGGCAGAATCTTGAACGACATAAACACAGAGTGAAGATAGACGGTTCATGCTTGCGTGGATGAGGACTGCTCCTTCTTTGGAAACTTGTAGGGTATTTTCCATTGGGATGGGCCCGTCGTCGTATGACTTGACGTCCTGTATTTCGTAGGAATTAGAGATGCGAAGGAAAGGAAGGTCAGGCTCCAGGTCTCCTCTTTTGTGAAATTTGTAACAGTAATTCACTAGTTCCCAAATTGTGGCATTGGTGGTCTCGAAACTCCGCTTTGATGGCCACGCTTCGTCAAAAGCAGGTATGAACCCTGCAATTCTTGAAATCGAGGCAAGCAAATTGTGCTGGGCAGTGGCTCGTTTAAGCTCAGACATGTATTGTACGAGGCTTTTATCGACCAAAAGCTCACCATCCTCGTCAATGGGCACATATGGCATTCTTGCCTTCCCATGCCCCGCCTTCAGGGTTGATTCGGCAATAAGAACATCGAAAGCATCTTCAGCAATTGATATGACGCAAAGCTCGCGGATCTGTTCCCAGGATTCAGACAGACGGTAAGTTGCAAGATGGACAGTATAGAATTTCACTTGCTTGATGCTGAAAGGGGTGTGTAGTCTTGCTTGACCAGTCCATAGCTCCTCAATGGCGTTCAAGTCGTTGATGAGAAGAATACTCGGTATGACAGAGTGGAGTTGATCCAAGATTCGACGTATTAATAATGTCCGTACATTTTTGCCTATGGAGCGCAGAAAAGTTTGGATGCTGTCCGCTGTTATGAAAAGGCATAGAAATCTAGATTCAATTGGGCCAATATGGCGAACAACTCCAAGGGGACTGTCCAAAACCTTGAAAGCTGCTTGAACTCCAGTTGATTCGTTTGGCGGTCCAATATCTGTCTCCGCAGCGCTGAGAGTCGGTATGATGTCTCGAGAAGAAAATATGTCCGTATCGGTAAATATGGTCGCATTGTCATTGTCGCCAGACGTAATTGTCCTCAGTTCGGTGAGAACTGCAGTTCGGTAGATATCTCGTGCCCAATCTGACATATAATCCACTATAAGAAATAGCTGAAGGGCATCATCTCGGTCCGTTATGCATCCAGTCCAGACTTGAACGATGTTCTATCTATGACTTAGAGGTAACTCTTCTCTGCCAGGGTTGTGACTGTTGAAACTTACGGTATTGTGAGGAGCAATTCTTGAATGTGGTGAGATCACAGCCGGGCTTTGATAAGCCAAACAGAGTCGCCAGTCATCTCCCCTGCTCATGAAGAACCAGACTAGAGGCCCGGATGCCCACCTCGATCTCTGTCCTGCGGCTGACCTGAGGCTCTGTTGAACATTGAGATATGTGTAGATTGGAAAAGCTGTTTGCAAGCGGATGGAGTACCAGTCGTCAGCTGCTGTGCCTGATTTCGCTTCTATAACCACGAAAGGGAACAGAAGGGCTTCCCCAAGGCCAGAATGTGGTTGCTTGTGCAAACGGTCTTCGATAAAACTGCCGTTTGCAAGCTCTGTAAGGAGCAGATTTTCCATGTTTCTTGTCTGTCGGAGGCCGTAGACGCGATCTGGCTTTTGCTCTTGGGGTAACTTTTGAGCCAACTCAGAGGGATGAATGACTACATCGTCGGCTCGATCTATAAATAATCGATTGAGGCCGACTCTTTCGTCTCTATAGCCAATCAGATGCTGCCGACTTGACAAAGTTCGGGAATGATATACTCGTCTTCGGGTCGTGTTCCTCGAGGGCAACGACAGCGATCGCGGTTCTCCTGACGTCTTCTGAGGTTGGCAGCTGTTTTGTCACCTTCATTCAACTTCGCTTCGATCTCTGAACGCCATACTCGCTTTCTACACATCTTGCTGTGAAAGTTGTCAGCCAATTCCCACCACAGACTACAATAATTCCTACCATGCCACCTCGGAGGTCAACCGGCTGAAAATGAGAGGTTCGCAAGCAAGTCTCCAAGTTGCCTCATTTCGAGAAACGCAATCTCTAGCTCTTTCGGTGAGCTTTCTTGCCTGGTTTTTGGCCTCGCCCTTCCAGGGCATCGCAGCCGTATTATCTTCGTTTTCAGCTCCAACATATTTGCTATACCTGAATTGTTTCAGTCTCTCAATTGACGCGAACACTTCTTTGTGATTGGTAGGCCACTTTTCCCTTGACAACGCGTCTATGTACACGATATTGTGTTCTTTCCGGAGTCTTTCGAATACCGGGCGATTCGTTGTGGAAAGAGGCATTGTCAAGTGAAAGACAGCATTGGATCAAATATAGGCGCGAGAAACCACGGACAATCGAGGAGACTGGTACTTTGCAACATGAGAAATCTGGATTAGGCAGAGGCCTGACAACATGTTGCCACTGCAGCCTAGATGCCTACATGAAACACTCCCCGTGGCTCAGCCTCCACGAACGTGGGATTTTGGATTTAGCGCGTCACAGCTGCCGCCCCCATGTAGTACATCTTCAGAGTCGCCCGCATGTTAATGATTCGCCCCATTGCGCGTTCGTCAAAGTTGGTTCTTCCTGAGCTTGTTCAACGCTTGCATTCCGAAACGACCGTCAGGACTGCAGGGTTTACGATGCAATCGGTGTAGCTGGGACGAGGGATAAGGGCCTGGCGCCGATAAAGCTGGACTCAGAGATCATCGGAAAAGGCCCCGAGCGACTTCTATTCGTCACTCGAAGGGGACATTTGGTTCTGAGTTACGAACATGTCAGAAAAGGCGACGTCGTCGCTCGATCAAAGGAACCCAGGTGCTCTTTATTCTGCGTCGAAGCGGGAGTAGAGCGTATCAGCTGATCAGTAGAGCTTGTGTGCATAGCATCATAGACGGAGAGACGGCCAGGGAGGACAAGTTTGGCATAGTATACTTGTCTAATGAGATACATATGTGAACGCGAGGCGTCCAGACGAGCACGGCGAGGTACATGTGAAGAGAACCTTCCTCCTCCATCCTCTGTTTGGAGTTGCCCTTGGCGTCTTGGCATGTCTGATAATAATACAACGCACCAACTATTACACAGAAACCATGAGGGCAAAAAAGGTAGTAAGCAAATCAGGAGGGGGCCAAAAAAAAACTTGTTACTGACCCAATTCCAATGAGCCAGGAAACAGGCCAAAAAGATAAATGCCTCCATTGAGAGTCGAACTCAAGACCTCGACATTCCAGTAGATAGAAGCTACTAGTGTCGCGCTCTACCGCTGAGCTATGAAGGCCGCGGAGAACTCGCTGTGATGCGCGTCTCCCGGCACTTCTTGGAAGAATTTGCGCGGCTAAAAATTATATAAATATGTATTCACTGGGACTAGGGTGTAAGTGCGACTCAGTTCATGCAGCGAATAGCAAAGGCGGAAAGATACCCCTGGACATTTTAAAGTGAAACTAGTCTCTGTGCGCAAAGCCACTGAATACACGTATTCGCTCGGTGGTGCTCTGTCATTGGCTGTCTTGCGGAATTAGCACTACGGTGTCGTTCTCAGCGAAGTTTCGCAATCCTCGTACGCATCTCAACGACACTGGTGACACTACCTGTGATCTCGCTGGGGGTTCACAAATTCGTCCTTGGGACAGGCGGGCAGTCTAAGAAATTAGACAAATGTTGATCAGCACGTAAATGGTAGTTGCCCAACGCGTCTGTCAATCAAGAGCGGCAAAGTCACCAAAGCATATGTTCGGTTGAAAATCCTCAGCGCACACACTGTATATTAAGGCCCAAATCGGCACAGAGAGGCGCCATCAACCACGAAAAGCGTGAACTACAGCCAATAGCAAGAAACTACATCCGAGGTGTTGATTGAGGGAGAGCAAGAAGGGCAAAGATAGCACCGTGAACAGCATCAGTCAACCCACATCCCAGGCCGACAGGATCAGTAGCTTGGCCGGTATCTTCTACTTCGATCGTTTACATAGTAAGCTACGTACAGCATATTTGAAGCTTAGGCAAAGAGATCGTGCCAGACCTGACTGGTACTGTATTTGTGTTGATACACATCCTCTTAGAAAAGAGGTGAAAATATTCTAACGGTTTTCTCGTGTAGAATGAGACGAGTTTAGGCTCTCTGGGTCTGTATTAGCCAGGCATGAAACTGTACAAAAAAGACGACGGCTGTGCCAAATACTTACTTCATATTACGACAGGACTGTCCCAGTTCTCCCGTGATTCGACGAGGCCGTGAGCTCGTTCAAGATGCAAGACGTCTGGTGATATAGCCCTAATATCTTAACTCTCCATGTGTACCACGGGTCCCTCAGGTCATCCCCGACTTTGTCCTGCAATTCTGTCGAACCCTTGTTGACTTCCATCATCGGCGTAGTCTGCGGGTTCGGGCATGGATCCCCGGACGATATAAAGGTGGAGAGCGAGTGCCGTCTGTTGAGATTTGGTGTGTGAGCCACACTGCACTGTCAAAGCTCGCCCTTCGTAATAAATAGTGTTGCCCGGATCAGAATGCGAGGGCGGGACGCGGGTGTATATTTCATCTCTGCCTCCAGGAGGCTTGTATGCCGTTCCTAGCCCGCCCTAAGGAGGATTGTTTGGGGTCGCTGGGGATGCAGGTGGCGCTGGTTGTGCCCGCCTCTTCGGTTTCATGAGCAAGAGGACAAACATGCCAACGACGAGAAGCAACAATAACAGAAGGATTTTGCGCTTGGTGTTGCGTCGTTGGTAATTGGTTGCAACGATGAGCTCCTTCTCTGCCGCCTTGACATCGGTGGCCATCCGTTCCACATTATAGTCTATACGATCGAGCATGGTGCCTTGGTCGATGACCATTGCCTGTAAGTCGCGGAATATGTCGGCTAACTCGATGATACCTTTGGCAATGTCATTGATTTCTTGTTCTCGTTGTGCAATGGCCGTGTCGTTCCTATGGAGTCGTTTCTGCGCTGTTTGCTGTAACGCCGACTGCCCGAGCCGTTTGTCGGCGTCAGACTCGAGCAAGGCTGGGTCGGAGTATGGGTTCTGAACTGGTATTGGGGTCGAAGATCGGCCAATTGGTGACTCGAAGCCACCCAATTGACGGAGCTTGTTGAGGTAGTTGCTTTGCTTCTTCCTGAATGTTGCGCTGACTTCCTGGACTCTAGATGCCAGGGCGACTTGGATATTCTTCGCCATGATCTCGTCTCCTTTTTGGAGGTTGCCTGTCTCCCTGGCATCCTTGACCATGCTCTCGATGCGCTTGATGGCCTTTTGGCATTCTTGAAAGCCTCTCGTAATCTCCGTTGTCAACTGTTCTATCTCTCGCTCCTCCTGTAGCTTGACCGACTCGTCATCGAACCCCGGAAGGACATGTTTCGAATGCAGCTTGTCCAACTTTGCAGCTTTGAGCGTGATGTCCTTGAGAATATCGCTGACCTCGTCTTGAACATCAATCCAGCGTGGAGGGAGGAGATCCATCTCTATGACAGCGTCGCCATCATTCTCATATGCCCCAACGGACATCAGACCCCTGGTCTCCTCCGATCCTTGGTCGGCATAGCCATTCGTCGTCGATGGCAGTCGCGGTTTCTTTGCGGGGTGGTGGGAGTATGACTGGCGATAGGAGATGTAACTGGAAGACAGTCAGAGATTTTGGCCTCGCATCAGGGATTTTATGGCCGTATATACAGATTCGTTCGATCTCTCCACATGTTGCGACCTGATGGAATTCAAGAGGATCACATGTGTCTGCGGTCTTCCCTTCGATCTTTGGTTGCTCCGACTGGCATGCTGGTCGAGTAGCCCAGCTGAATAGGGAAGGGAAAGGTACTTCAGTCGGCTGCTAGGATCTCAATGGCATGGGAGCAGTAAGCATCGTCAAAGTGGGCATTGAATATAGACTGCGCGAACACCGAACCCAGGCAGCCGATGCGAACGAGCAAAAGAACAACAACGGCGACCTGTGGAGCCGTGACGAAGGCAGGGAGACACGGAGAATCAATGATCCGAAGGTCATGGAATCCTCCCGCAATCCTTCATATTTCAGCTGGGGCCAAATTCCAGATTCCAGGCGCCAAACCCAGTGGAGTTCGAGGCTTGCCCTTTCCACGGACAACGTTACTCGTAACCTTGTCAGTTCAGTTTACGCCGCCGCTTCAGCTGCCTTGGAACAATATATCCTCCCTCTAGGAAACACACATATTTATACCACCCTTTCCACCATTGCGCACCCACCACCACAACTTCGTCCTGACTGCCACGCCCATCGTTCCGTGATCGATTTCCACCATGGTATGGCATCATCTAGCGACGCCGACTGCGGCTGCAGTGGTCAAACATTTCTCGATTGGTGCACAGACTGACGTTTGTTGGATTTAGGCGGACTCCTTGACCGAAGAACAGGTCTCTGAATTCAAGGAAGCTTTCTCTCTGTTTGTATGTCCATCTATCTTCTACATTGCCGCCTTCCATACTGACTCATCGCCCCGCAGGACAAAGATGGCGATGGTATATTGATCCCTTCCGACCCCGCCGAGATTGTCGCCAGACACGGAATCGTTGAGATCTAACAGAATCTGTGCAGGGCAAATTACTACAAAAGAGCTGGGCACCGTGATGAGATCCCTCGGCCAAAACCCTTCAGAATCCGAACTTCAGGACATGATCAACGAGGTGGACGCAGACAATAATGGCACCATTGACTTCCCAGGTATGAAGGGAGCAGTCCCATTTGGAGACGTTGACGGACTTGGCTCACGAATGTGGTAGAGTTCCTCACGATGATGGCCCGGAAGATGAAGGACACGGATTCTGAGGAGGAAATCCGAGAGGCATTCAAGGTATTCGATCGCGACAACAATGGTTTCATATCCGCTGCCGAGCTGCGTCACGTCATGACTTCCATTGGCGAAAAGCTCACGGACGACGAGGTGGATGAGATGATTCGGGAGGCTGACCAAGACGGTGATGGTCGCATTGACTGTAAGCCAATTATTTTCTACGTTCTCCCCGTTCTTTGGCGTGTATTACCCCAGAGCTGATCGGTCCGCACCACAGACAACGAATTCGTGCAACTGATGATGCAGAAATGAGCCACCTAACGACAAGAACCCGTGACGGATACAGAATAAGAGACAGCGGGGGGGCACGAACTTCTAGCAAGGGTAGGGGCCATCAACAAGGTTGTGCGAAGAGCTTCTGAATGGTGATGGCACCGCAGGATCTTCCATTTCTTGCCTGATAAAGACCAGTTCTGAACTGATTCAGGCGTCCCGGGCAAAGTGTGGCCCTTAAAGTAATTGAGCGAGGTACAATGAAACCAACTCGAGCACTCTCTTGCGGCTAAATGCGATGTCATGGACCCGACAGGGTCATCTTCCTGAGTTCACTATTGATTCCCGGGGTATCATTATGGCTCCTACGAGATATCTATTGCCGTCAAACGTCCTAGGACAGAAGCATTAGTGCGCTTTCAGCCAGTTCAGCATTTGCTGAAAGGCCGCTTCCTGAGCTCTCTGGATTACAGGCGAATCATAGTCCCCATAGACCGCAAATCCTGTGCCACGTTTAGTGAGATGCCCCCTTACTTCTGTAGGTTGTGTGTCCAGGCAAGAACTCACCATGCGGTACCTCAGGGTATGTTTTGATCTCATGCTCTATGCTGCTGGCTGCAAGATGTTTCCGACCAACTTCCAGCACTTCGTCCGGGAGTAGAGGGTCGTTCTCTGGGAGAGACTGTGAGCCATGAATCTGCGCGCCGCAAAGACGTTGGTGTGACTCACCGACACAAACTATGGTCAGAGGCGCCTTGACAGCCTTGAAGTCCTCGCGCGTCACCAACGTCGCGTGTGCCACAGCGCCCGCCTTAATAAGCGGCCCCTTCTGAACCATTCCCTGCTCCTCATCCTTTCCCCCTGACCCTTGCAGGGAAGGACTAGGATGTTCTCCGGCGAGCATAATCACATACTTTCCACCAAAGCAGTATCCCACGCTGTAGATCCCTTGTCCATGGGCGACTGCATCCGCATATTCGTCCTTGCATGTCTCGATCACCTTGACTAAAATGGGAAACACTTTCTCCGGCGTCTGGCGGGCGAGCCACATATCCACCAGGAATGATTTGGCCGTCTCAGCGGCCCCAAGCTTTATCCGCTCGAGAAGGCTGGGACTTTGTGGTGGCTCCCCGGTAGAGGTGGGAGATGTGGGCACCGTGGTCTTGTTGGAGCTGGGTGCCGGATCACCGTTGAATTGGTCGGGCATGATCACCACAAACCCTTCAGCAGCAAATATGTCTGCTTGCACCTGATTGTTTACTGAGTGCACACCAGTACCAGAGGTGAGGAGTAGGAGAAGTTTGGCCGGAGTGTTTGGATAGTCGGCGGGTTTCGAGATGTAGACATCGACGTCACCCATCTTGGACATTTCGCCGGACGGCTGACGATTGCCCGGTGCAGGGCGGTCACTTACGCAGTGTTCCCCCATGCTGAAGCCAATTTGGGCCGTCGAATCTGTAGATGAGATAGCGGAGGGTTCGACGTGGGTTTCCATGGCATCGGATTCTGGAGCCCTGGTTGCAAGTTCAGAGTCTGCCATGATGTAGCAGAGAAGTGATAGGCGAGCCTTCTTTTCTCTGAGTTTGAGTCTCGTCTACTTCAGGCCAAAATTCTATGGCTGCTGCGGCGACGACTCAGACTTTTGGTGGATGATGTTACATGAAAGGTTACCTTCAATGTCCAATATGACGGTGTCTTTCCTTGAGGACAACCGAAATAATGGCGAGTCTGACAGGCAAATGGCCCAGCATATTCTGAAGTCCCTGCTTGAAGGTGATCAAGTAGGTCTGTCTCACTGCGGTAGATACCCCATTACTTTCAAAGCTCGTGACTACATAGACCACAGTGGGCATGCGCTATCCACAAACAGAGATATAATTGAAGTATTACGACGTTGTGATTCACCAGTGCTGGAAATGGCGTGTGAAGACCGAACAAAAACACACTGTCAGACGAGAGCAATTTTTGCGCCACTCCGAGCGAGGCTCATGCGGCGGTGGCGGGGAGAACCACTTAACGCGTTAGAACGCGTCGAAAGAAGTGGGAGCCCGCAGCCATCGTCAGGCTTCTCTCGCTATTCAACTCACCAACATCTACTTCAGTCTGCCATTTGGAATCTCTGTTTCGTTGAATTCGTCTCTCAGTGCTAGCCATGAATTCCCCCGCTGCTGCGCTCGCGCGCATTGATGCAGGCTCGCTCGCAGATATTTTTGAGGATCGCCCTGGCAGGGTCGAACACCCCGTCATGCGTAAGTCGCCATCCTACGTTTAGAGGATTTTCCATGTTGCGAGATCGTGCCACTTCCACAGAAACTGACAGCAAACAGAATGTGTTCAGATCAAGCCCATTGCCACTCAACAAGGCGGCCAGGAGCGCCATCGAGTCATTTTTAGTGATACGAAGAACTACATCCAGACAATGCTGGCCGTGCACCAGAATCAGCTTGTAGAGGAGAAGATTCTCCGCAGAGGAGTCCTCGTGCAACTGATGGGATACTCCGCGAACAAGGTTAAGGCTAAACGGTAAGACAGGCTCTTTCTTTGACTTTGAATGATTCTGACCATCTGTCACAGTATCCTGATCGTGACCGACATTAAAGTGCTCGAAGAATATGGAGAGCACGAGAAACTTGGGGACCCGAAACCACTGGAGTTGAAGGTTGAAGAGGAGGAAAAGGCCTACCCAACATCCATCACGAGCAATGGATTCTATGGAAACAAGCAAGAGCAGCCGAAACAGAGCCGCCCCGTGGGCCACGTGAAACCCTCCTCGTCGGCCCACGCGAATATCTACCCCATCGAAGCGATTTCCCCCTATTCCAACAAGTGGACGATCAAGGCGCGTTGCACAAGCAAATCGGACATCAAGACGTGGCATAACCGCAATGGCGAGGGCAAACTGTTCAGTGTGAACCTCTTGGATGAGAGTGGCGAAATCCGGGCTACTGGTTTCAATGACCAATGTGACCAACTCTATGATTTGTTCCAGGAGGGCAGCGTCTACTACATTTCGAGCCCTTGCCGAGTCACTTTGGCGAAGAAACAGTTTTCAAATCTGGCAAACGACTACGAGCTTCACTTTGAAAAAGACACCACTGTTGAGAAGGCTGAGGAGCAAGACGGTGTTCCCCAGGTTCGATACAACTTCACCACAATCGCGGACTTGCAATCCGTGGAGAAAGACACCACCATCGACGTCATCGGCGTACTCAAGGACATTGGCGAGACTTCGCAGATCACGTCGAAAACCACAAGCAAGCCATACGACAAGAGGGAGCTCACTCTGGTTGACAACACTGGATATTCGGTACGCCTGACCATTTGGGGGAAGACCGCGTCCTCCTTTGACATACCGCCTGAATCGGTCGTGGCCTTCAAAGGTGTCAAAGTCTCCGATTTTGGCGGACGCAGCTTGAGTCTGCTAAGTTCCGGATCGGTGACCGCCAATCCTGACATGCCTGAAGCACACAGATTGAAGGGATGGTACGAGGACCAAGGTCGGAGTGGTAATTTCGCGACCCATGCCGGTATCCAAGGCGCCGTTGCACCTGGCAGCGGTTCTCGAGGCGATCCATTCAAGACCATCGCGCAAGTCAAAGACGAGCAACTGGGGATGTCGGACAACGCCGATTTCTTCTCCGTCAAGGCATCAATACAATACATCAAGCAGGACAATTTCTGCTATCCGGCATGTTTGTCGGAAGGATGCAACAAGAAAGTCTTTGAGATCGACCCCGGTCAGTGGCGCTGTGAACGGTGTGACAAGAGCCACCCTAAACCTGAATACCGATACATCATGTCGGTCAATATCAGTGATCATACTGGTCAACTCTGGGTCAGCTGTTTCGACGAAACAGGAAGATTGGTCATTGGCATGACTGCGGATGAGTTGATGGAGATCAGGGAGGTGGACGAGAAGAGACTCGCCGAGATATTCTCCGAGGCCAACTGCAAGACGTGGAATTGGAAGTGCAAGGCGAAGCTCGACACATTTCAAGAACAACAACGGTAAGGCGAACCACGCTGCTTTCGACCTCGAGACACTAACAAGAATACCAGGGTTCGATACCAAGTCACGTCGGCATCGCCGTTGAACTATGTGGTAGAGTCGCAGAAACTGATTGATCTGATCAAGCAATACAACATCGATTAAAGGCCAGAGGGTGCTGTTTGGTAGCATCGAGACGGCGACCCCATTATACCTGAATGATAAGCCTTTTGCCTGACTTCGGGCTAAGTGCTTGTATGCGGATGGAGGCATTGGTCCAACAAGAGGATGGAACAAAAGCCACCCGGAGCTAGGGTGAAGGATGCTTTGTCATAGGGGCATGCAGAGTACAAGTCATGTATGATAGTTGCACGACGGATGTGGACTGATGGTGGTACCGCCCTCAGTACGGAGTAATAGCGAATGTTCTTTCCGGTGGAAGTTCACTAATGCGGCAACGTCGCTTGGGCGACTTAGTAATGGCGTCATGTCATCAGCAAATCGCCCGTCGCACAATGCCACCAAGTCACATGTACGTCGCTGTTATTATTCTTCACCCTCCAACACGCTGTGGGCGGCATTGAACACTGCCTAATAGGAGGAAGAAAAGCAACCAGGTCAGCATATCCCCGTGGGCCCTTTTCCTTCTTTTGCGAGCTCCTTGAATCTTTCACCCGTATGCCGTCGGTCCCGGGGCTGCTATCATCGTCCTCTCTCTCTCCCTCCTCCATCGTGCTTGGATGAACTCGACGGCAAGTGTGGTTTGTTCGAGGATCGCATTAAAAATCCCGCGTCTCCAACGGCTAGGAGCCGGGTATTCCCCATCCACAGTCGCATCCCTTCGAGGCCAGCGCGGTTTTCCGTCCTTAAATATCCTGCAGACATCCCTCAGAGCAACGGGATTCTTCTCAGCATCATCAACACCGCAGCTAAGCAGTACCAGCGGCAACAGCAGGAACAGAACCATCACCACCGGCACCCCCCAAACTCGTGCCCGACGAACACTCACAACCGCATCACCGAGAACCATGGCCACCATGCGCGCAGTCGACATCAAGGGTGGGAAGGGCCCCATCTCCGCCCTCTTCATCAACCCGGACATCCCCAAGCCGGTGCCCAAGGGCAGCCAGGCGCTCGTGAAAGTCAAGGCCTTTGGTCTCAACCGTATGGACCTCTTCCAGCGCGAGGGGGGCTATCCCTTACCACCGCAGGCCGGCCCGATCATGGGTGTCGAATTCTCCGGCACCATCGAGTCCTTCGGTTGTGAGCCCGAGCGGGGCTTCAACGTCGGCGACGAGGTCTTTGGCCTGGCTTACGGTGGCGCCTATGCCGAGTACATCGCCGTCAGCACGCACATGCTGGTGCACAAGCCCAAGGAACTCAGCTGGGAGGAGGCCGCGGGCATCCCCGAGACGTGGATCACGGCGACCCAGGCGCTGTACTTGGTGGGTGAATTCAAGCCGGGCATGTCGGTGCTGTGGCACGCCGGGGCGTCGAGCGTGTCGATCGCGGGCATCCAGCTCTCCAAGGCGGACAACGCGTCGGCCATCTACGTGACGGCCAGCTCGCGCGAGAAGATCGACTTCTGCAAGTCGCTGGGCGCGACCGAGGGCTTCTCGTACAAGGAAGGCGACTGGGCGCAGGCGCTGCTCAAGTACACGGACGGCAAGGGCGCGGACCTGATCGTCGACTTCATCGGCGCCGGCTACTTTGACCAGAACCTCGACGCGGCGGCGCGCGACGGCCACATCGTCAATCTGGGCAACCTGGGCGGCAACGTGGTGCAGAAGCCCGTCGACGTGTCGCGCTTCCTGCGCAAGCGCCTCCGCTTCGAGGGCTCCAGCCTGCGCAGCCGCGACGAGAACTACCAGGGCCGCCTGCGCGACATGCTCGTCGAGCACGCCCTCCCGCGCTTCATCGACGGCCGCTTCAAGGTCATCATCGAAAAGGTCTTCAAGATGGAGGAGATCCAAGAGGCGCACAAGATGCTCGAGGCCAACGTGACCATGGGCAAGCTGATCTGTACCGTGTATTGACAATAAAATGCCTTTCGAGATAAAAAATGAATTCTTTTAACGCGTGCGGAGGTATGAACGAGATGGACAGACATCAAGGATGGATTGACTGTGAGAGAGAGAGAGAGAGAGAGAGAGAGAGAGAGAGAGAGAGAGAGAGAGAAGAGAAAGGGAAAGGGAAAGGGAAAGAGAAAGAGAAAGAGAAAGAAGAAAGGGAAAGACGAAAACGCACCGTTCTTGCACTTCGCGTCCACCGCCTCCAACTCGACCACGACATCGCCGTCAATCTCCTCGTCTTTCCCCTCTTCTGCTCCTTCCGCCCCTCCTCCTCCAGCAGCCGCCGTTGGTGTTGGCGAGACAACGACATGGCGGACCTTGAGCCTCAGAGGTTCGGTCAGGACACGCTCGCGCAGCACCGTCAGCGTGTTGTCCATGAAGTCCTGCTTGGACGTGTAGCGACGCGACATGGGCGAGTGGCCCGGAATGGTCCAGTCGACGTCGTCGGCGAGCAGGGCGAGCGTCTCGGGCTGGCGGCCTTGGGTGGCCAGCGGCGCGAAGAGGCGGGTTATTTGCGCCGCGGAGGGGGGTGCCATTCTTCTGGTGGTGGACGGTGAATGGCAGAGGCGGCGGTTCTGGAAGTGTATCGTTCAACAGATCAGATGGGCAACAAACAATCTCTGTGATGAAGACTGAGATAATATGATACAAGAGAATTCGCGAATTCCCGTCACCCTCGTGCCACTCAACTCAATACACACCCTCTTTTCACCAACCTCGGCCACCATGATACACCTCCAGTTTTCTCCAAGTCAGCCTGTGCTTGCGCCAATACTAATAAAAACTCCGCACTCGATTTCCCAGAGGACGGCCCCTTGTCACTCTTGCTTGCCCTGTTGGCTTGCTTTTTGTGCAATTCTGAGGTAATATGGAGGCTTGCCGGAATGGGCTTTTTGCAGCTACTGATATCCTACTAATATTACCTAGGACCCGGGGAAAAGGCCCGATCAGATGTCCCACAGGCCTTAGGTAATATATGTGTGTGGAAACGTTATCGCGGTTGTGGTACGTATGGACGTACGTGTACCTCGTACTCGGTAAGCAACTCATTCTGCTCATCATGTGGTGTCGCCCGAGACTCTAGCCAGGAAGTCTCCAATGTGTCTCTATCAGGGCGCTTGTCCCTCAAAAGGAGTAAGTGGTGTTCAGGGGGATTCCCCAGTCAAGGACAAACACAGCAGGTTTTGACAGGTGCTTTGTCCAACCGGCGGAATTCCAAGTACCGCCGAGTCCAACCCTTGGATACCTGACCAGTTGGAGACTTGGGGGCCCCAGCGAATGAATACCCGAGGGACGCCGGTGATGGTGGTCGGAGAAGGCTGTGGGTTAGAGGAACCTATGGGCTAGAACCCGCACATCGTCGATTGGCGGGTGTCTGGGTGTCGAAGGTGGTACAGCTGCGTCTCCGCTGCGGACTTTCCCAGGGATGGAAAAGACACAAACATTCACGACACGATGAACACTGACTGGAGGCGGGAGTAGGGGGAGTTATATTTCCACCGCCAAGCGCGGAAGTGGACTTCCCACTCCCCCTTCCGGCCAATCATCGCCCGCGATTTGGCGGAATATCACCACGGGCAAATAGGCGGACCAGGACGCTTCGGGCGGCGAGGCGGGTTGTCAGATCTTCTCCTGATTCCGATCGTGGCCACATAATAGAGTTCTGCTAATTCATAGGCTCATAATTAAGTAGTTCTGCAAACGCGTTTGCCAGCTCAACAAGGTCCCCCCTTTCCCTCTTTCACTAGCGCAGGTGTGTACGTGTAATAGTGCAGAATGTCTGGCTGTTGTGCGGCCCACCACCATCTTCCCTCGGGTCTCCCTTGGTCTCGCCGTCCGAAGTGGTCAGAAAATCGGACGAAAGAGGGTTGCTGCTGGGCCCATACCCCAATTCTCACTTCCACTAATTAACGCATCGGCCCTGTAAGAACTAATTAAAAGTCAACATTTCCCCTCCTAGACCACATTTCTTTGTTCCCTCCCCCCCCCGCCGCCTGCCTACCTTTTCATAAAGAGGACGCTGGACGCCGGAGAACACACCCCTCGAGATCCTCACTCATCCTTACGGTATATCCTCAGGGCGGGTCGAGCCCTCGTCTCGGACCACGTATGCCGCCGCTTCGGGCACGAGCTCCAGGATCTGTGGGCCGACGCTGTGGTTCTTGGGGTTGGAGATATGTTCCAGGAAGGCCGTCGAGAGTGTGTATTTCTTTCTGGTCCGATCCCACCCCAGACACGCTTGGTTACTGTACGGCCAATTGTGGTACTGGCCGGCCTGTAAGAGCGACGCGTACGAGTCCCAGTGGGAGAGGAGATACGTCTTAATAGGGGGTCTGCACGCCTTTGGTTAGCCCAGCCTGCGGCAGCATCGCACAACAGACGCTCACATGGCACAAATGTCCGCCCCGGCCGCATGTGGTTGGGCATATTGCTGCCTCGTGGGTCTGAGCATCACAGGCAAGTCGTCATATGTCTCCTTGCACGGATGAATGAAGTACTGGGTGTCACTAAGTATGCAAACGACGATTTCACACCAAAGGTAAACGCAGAACACACCCGCATTTGAATACCCGCCACGAACACTCCGACCAATTGCACCGTCAACGGCAAAGGATACGCCTTCGCCAGCTCGCAAGCCCAGGTCCAGGCAGTGTGGGGGTCTCCTTCCCGTCGCTCCCGCAGGAACAAATCGAGGTCTGGTGTTTTCGGCCCGATGACATCGAGGACCTTGGCTTGCCCCTGCAACGCTTTCCGGGCTCCATCGCGGAAACTCAGGATTGTCTTGGACAATATGTCATCCGACTCTACGTGGTATGGGTCGCAGCTAAAGATCGGCATGTTGATCTTGCTTAAGTCCGCGGCGGACAGACGTCTCGCCAAGCCAGTCCAGACTCGGTCTCCAGACGTGTCATCACCAGGCTCGACCACCACAGAAGGGCTCCTGGCTCTCTTGCTCGACTCGGGTGCCTTATCCAATGTGGTTCGTCCGGGTGTTTCTCCAGCATGCTGTGCGGCCTCGGGGGACTCCTTCGCAGATCTGGTGGACCTCCAAAGATCTGCCTCAGGTCTGTCAGACTGGTCTGGTTTCATCTGGGTTGGCGACGAGGACTCTCCCGTGGAGGCCTTGCTTGAAGAGAACAGCGCCAAAGGGGTCCAAGGATCCTTGGACGACGTTTTCCGCAGGAGCTCAGCAATCTCCTCGAAGGTGGCACCTTCTTTGACGGCTCGAATGGCCTCGTCGGCATCCGAATTCCTGATCAGGCCAAAGAGCTGGTTCAGGACGACCTGTTGTTCATGTAGTTTCTCGACGTGCCGGGCCGTGTTGCGGTTGCGCCTCCCGTCGCCGCCATTCTTGGAGCCCATGTCGTACGTGCACGGGCGACCAACCTGGACACAAGGCAGACACGGGCAGACTGCGTTACACTAAAGAGCAAAACACAGCAAAATTGCTATTTCAGCATTGGGACCTTCGTTTTCCCCTTCCCGCTCCCGTCCTTATGGGGCTCGAGCTACGAACGAGATCATTCGGGCTTACCTTTCTTCTCCTCTTACGACACTGGTCACAAGCGCGGCTGACATTCTTCCTGGGCTTGACGGCGGTGGTGGACGGGGTCGACGGAGAGGGTTTCTCGACATGTGCCTCGTCGTCGCTGAAGATCTGAGACGACGCCCCAGCCCTGTCTTCAGAGCTCTTTGGTTTCAGGGATCGCATGGTAGGTTTGGTCCTTGCTGGTGGAGGGGAAAGGATTCCTCCTCCTTCTCCCCTCCTTGCAAGCAGACCGCAAACCACCTTCATCTGCTAGTTTGCACCCGAGCCGTAAGCGGATTAGCGGCTATTGGAAATAATAGGCTTCCGACCCACGTATCGAAACTGTCCGGCTGCATTTTCCTACCGGTAGGTCCAGTCAGAGAGTCGGTCAGTGGCGCAAAGGTCGTGTGGTGGGCACCCAACGGGGAGCTCGGACTGGTGAAGAGGCCTTGGACATGCATCTCCAACTATGCGCCGTCGGCGGGAGGATGAACCTCCGAGCATCCGCCAGCAATCATGCCACTTTGGACCATGCTGGCACAATATGAGTTGGTTTGCCAGTGCAAGGAATGGGCAGAGCTGCTTATTTGAAGGCGCGGATAGCTAACAGTCCTTAGAGTGGACACTGTACTTTGCATTTGGAAGAGCTTGCAGTCTCAAGGTGATAGGAGCCAAGCACCCGCACGTCAGTTCAATTTTAAAACTATCGAATACCTGGGAACGCCTAACCGATCTCCAATTCGGAAGTTTCAACAGCCACGGTTCCGACCCTGTCCACGGCTGTCGGTATTTCCCAATGTGCCAGATCCAACGCCTCCGGAGGGATGCTCGAGAAACACTCGCCCGCCACAACATTCAAAAGCATATTTCAGTTTCGCAGCTTACTTCTTGTTGAAGAAGCTGCTGGCCACCGAACCCAGACCGCCCGAGGCAAAGTTCTGACTATTGCCGCCCGCATAACTGCTGCTGTCGTCGCGATGGCCGTGGTTATGCCTGTTGTGTCTACTTTGCCTGTTGTCGTGTTTCCTGTGTTTCTTTGCATAGTCCTCGGTCAGCGAACCGAGAATGGCTCCGCCGATCGCACCCAAGACACCGTGGCCTGCCTTGTGGCCACCGAAAGCACCGGCAGCGCCACCGGCGGCTGCACCGAGCAGTCCACGATCTGCCTCAGCGCCTTGTGGGTTGGTGGTGGTGGTGGTGTTGCTGTTGTTGTAGTAGGAGGTATTGGAGCCGCCTTGTTGGTAGGTGTTATCGGGATAGGAAGAGCCACGGGTGTCGGGGTAGTAGCTCTGAGAGTTATGGTATGTTTGCGGTTGATATGAGCCCGAGAAGCCTTCGCTGGGGTAAGAATTCTGGTTGTAGTATTGGTTGTTGTGGTCGTAGCCTTGAGAGAAAGCAACTTGTTGATCGTAGGGGCCGGACATTGGGGCTGATGATGTAGTAGTCTGGTACAGGTGGGAGTTAGGATTTGCTTTTGATCGTGAGGCGACTATTCGTCTAATAACCGGTGATGGAAATGATCTTGTATGGAATGATGTGGTCCAGAAAATGAAGGGACAGATGCTTTTATGTCATTCCCTTGGCTTGGTGCCTTGATCGACACGAACTGATCTACGTAGGAACTCCCAGTACGTGTTCAAAGAGGCGTACATCCCCCAACTCTCCCAGTCGATTGGGATAACACGGAGGCCTAGCGCTCCATCTCCATCTACCGTACGCACGCCTCTTCGAGAAGATTACTCAATCCGGGGCGAGATGATGACGATGATGATGGTGATGGACGAAGGCGAGGCGGATTTGGGCCAGTTTGGAAAAAGGGATGACGATGATTGGCCGTGGCGCAGTGAGGCGCAGGCGCATGGCTGTGCGCCCCGCCTCCCGTCTCGCATCTGATTGGCTCCCGGGCCGAACTCTTCCCGGCATCGAATCAACGGCATCAACGGGGGACTAAATAAGCGATGACAATCACCCCAAGAAAGAGGCACAGCTCGGAGGACGCGCCCTTTGGGTCGGTCTGTCACCATACCCATTGATTGGGCCCTTCTCCGCGCGCTCGCGGGCGAGGGAATAATACGTCGGGTCTGGAGTCCGAGGCACCAGAGGTACGAGTACGGTAGGCAACGGTAGGGAATGCCTCCCTCCCTGCAGGGTTGGTCGAGTCTGCCTGATCTCCATGGCCTTCCTCGATTTCCCCCCCCCCCTTCCCTTGCCCAGCTGGATCTGGTGGATAACACAGCCTGTGTGAGACTCTCCTCACCGTCTACGTGGGTTCGACGGGCTCTCTTTCCAGCCTTGTGAGCTTTCTAATGCCGGACAGTGATGGGAAGACGTGTTGAGCCCTTCTGAGCAGGGATTGGTAAAAGAGAATGATTAGGAGGAATCGACACGAAACCTCCCAGGTCTAGTTATCCCAAATGCACGAGCGGTATCCATTCTAGCTAGCTTTTGTTTGAGGTTTTGTCCCCCCGAGACCTCAGTACGACCTAGGCAGGCCCAGCACCCTCTCCCCGATGTAGTTCTTGATCATCTCTCGACTGACCGGTGCCAGCCGGGGGATCATGATCTCCCTCAAGTACCTCTCGACATGGTACTCCTTCGCATACCCCATCCCGCCATGGGTCAGGACGGCTCTCTCGCAAGCCCGGAACGCCGCCTCGGCAGCCAAGTATTTGGCCGCGTTGGCGTACTCTCCCGCCTCGTACCCGGCGTCATACATGCGGGCGGCCTGGTAGATCATGAGCCGGGCGGCCTCGAGCTCCATCCAGCTCTCGGCCAGGGGATGTTGGATGGCCTGGTTCTGCCCGATCGCCCGCCCAAACACGACCCGCTCCCCGGCGTACAAGGCGGCTCTCCTCAGTGCGGCAAACCCGGTCCCCAGGGCCTCCGCGGCGATCAATATCCTCTCCGCGTTCATGCCGTGCATGATCATCTTGAACCCGTTGCCTTCCTCACCGATCAGATCCTCCTGGGGCACCTTCCACCCGTCGAAGAACAGGCTGTTGGAGTCCACCGCTGCCCGGCCCATTTTGGGGATCTCTTGCACTTCGACCTGGCTCCGGTCCAGATCCGTGTAGAACAAGCTCAAGCCCTGGCTGGGCTTCTTGACCTCGTCCAGCGGCGTGGTCCTGACGAGGATGAGGATCTTCTCCGCCACCTGTGCCGTGGAGATCCAGATCTTCTGCCCGCTCAGGCGGTAGAAGTCGCCGTCCCTGACAGCCCGCGACTGTAACCTCAGCGTGTCCAGCCCGGTGTTCGGCTCGGTGACGCCGAAGCACGCCCTCTCCCGGCCCTCGATCAGCGGCACCAACATCCTCTTCTTCTGCTCCTCCGAGCCAAACTTTCTGACCGGTTCCAGCCCAAAGATGTTCATGTGCACGGCACTCGCGCCCGCGTATGCGGCCCCGGACTCGGCGATCGTCTGGACCATGACGGCCGCCTCTGCGATGCCCAGGTCGCTGCCCCCGTACTCCGACGGCATGCAGATGCCCAGCCAGCCATCCTTGGCCACCGCCTGTTGAAACTCGGTGGGGAAGCGGTGCTCGCGGTCCGCGGCGAGCCAGTACTCGTCCCCGAATCTCGCGCACACCTTGCTGATCGCTTCACGCACCGTCCGCTGAGATTCGGTGAGGTCGGGGTCGTGGAGCTGGAGGTATTCTGTCCCACGGGCAGCAGCCAGACGAGTTGTAGAGAATGCCGAAGAAGACACACGAGATGGGTGGAAGTAGGATGCGTTTTTCATGGGTGTTGCTCTGGCCCTCCTCCAAACCCCCTGGAGTAAGTCCGTTACCGCCTTTCTAGAAGCCATGCTGATAGACCGCAGCGCCGAAACATGTGATGCGTATCCAAGTTTCCCTTGCCCAAGAACTCTCTAGCTCTTTGCCTGTGAGCAAAGTGGCTCCGTCTTTGATGTCTTATTTCTTCTCCAAAAGAATGTCGACAGCCGAGAAATCACCATCCACTCAGGGCCAGCATGTAGAAGGGAAGACTGTGGCCACACCAGACTTGATCCGTCTCGACCAGACAGGACAGGACAGGACAAGAAATGCTAGAAGGTCTTAAAGCGCCAGAGAAAGCTCCTCTATCCTCAATTAGGAGCTGTAAGATTTGGATAGGTCGTTGGCCTAATAGCTCGCTAGATACCTCGTACATTTAATACCTATGCGAAACCCCCGCACGGCAGCCTCGTCAGCCTCGGTCCGTACAGGTATGTAAACCCCAAGCCGCCTGCCTGCCTGCCTCCAATGCACACAGTTTGTGTGCTTAAAGGGAGGCAACTTAAGTAAGCCCCTATTCACAGACAGAAGAGGAGGGTTATCAGTGGAGGGTAGAGGCCCTCAAAAGGTGAAAGTTCATTCAATAACACAAGCCAAAGCCGGGGAAGGAAAACCTTCCTCCAATCAATCCCTGGAGGGACGAAAACTCGTATGTTTCGCCTACAATGACACGACGACCAACACGTCTACCCGGACGGCACGCTCTGGCTAAGCTCCACGCCGGAATCCTGGCAAACAATACTGCCGCATTGTCGTCGTCCTCATCATCATCGTCATCATCATGGGTACAGATACCCCATAGACCACTATCCACCTTTACTCCCGGCAACAACAACAAACCCCCCAATCGCCGCCTGCCGCTCGAGGGCCTCAAGATCCTGGACCTGACCCGGGTCCTGGCGGGGCCGTTCTGCACGCAGATCCTGGCCGACTACGGCGCGTCGGTGCTGAAGGTCGAGCAGCCCGGGGTGGGCGACGAGACGCGGCAGTGGCGCACGCACCACGAGGCACAGAAGTGGAAGGACCAGCACCGGCTGATGAGCCTGTACTTTGCCGCCGTGAACCGGAACAAGAAGTCCGTGACGGTCAATTTCAAGGACGCGCGGGGGCGCGAGATCGTCGCCCGTCTCGCGAGGCAGTGGGAGGGCACCGGCGTCGACGTCGTCGTGCATAACTTCCTACCGGGCAAGATGGAGGGGATGGGCCTGGGGTACGAGCAGCTGAAACAGGCCATGGGTGAGGCGGGAGAGAGGCTGATCTACGCCGCGGTCAGCGGCTATGGTCCATCGGGCCCCAGTGCACAACGAGCTGGGTATGATGCCATTGCGCTGGCGGAGGCTGGGTTGCTGCACATCACGGGCGAGGAGGGAAGGCCGCCGTCGAAGCCTGGTGTGGCCATGGCCGACTTGTGCAGTAGGATCCCCCTTTTCTTTCGGAAAAACTCTTGTTGTCGGGCATACTGGGCTAACCGAGACTTGCAGCGGGCCTGTACACGCATGGCGCCATCCTTGCGGCGTTACATCAGAGGGATAGGACTGGGAAAGGGTGCTTGATTGAAGGGAGTCTATTTGAGAGCAGTCTGAGCCTGCTCATCAATGTGGGGTTGGCCAGTCTGAATCTGGACGTTGATCAAGGCCCCGAGAAAAGGAGAAGAGGGAAGAGACTAGGGTTAGAACATCCCAGCTTGGTACCCTATGGAGGATTTGAGACGAAAGACAAGAAGATGATGTACGTGGCGGCGAATAACAACAGACAATGGAAAGGGTTCTGCGGGCGTATGGGAATCGCCGCTATGGCCGAGGACGAGAGGTTCAGTACGAATGACGGGCGGGTTGAGCACAGGGAGGAGATCAACCGCATCTTGCAGGAGAAGTTCCGGGCCAAGACGAAAGACGAGTGGTTGGCGGCGTTCGAAGGGAGTGGGTTGCCATATGGCGCCATCAATGATGTGGTCGAGGCGTTGGAACATCCTCAAGCCAAAGCCCGGAATATGGTGGTCGACGTCGAGGATTTCGAAGCAGCCAGAGACGGCGTCCTCAGGTTGATTGGACCTGCCGTGAAGTTTGAGGGAGCCCAAATGAACGTGAGGCTGAAACCACCCTTGTTGGGTGAGCACACGGAAGAGGTTCTGGCGAAGCTTGGGTATGGCTCTGCGGAGGTGGCTGAGTTGAGGAAGTCTGGTGTTGTCTGACTGGAACAACCAAAGATCTTCACAGGCTAGACATAAATATAGACACCAAAGAAGATAGAAAAATGGGAGGTTTTTGTTCAGAGACCATCGTGGAGATCCGGTAGATCTAGTCTTGTGTGATGATAGTACAAGGGGAATCCATTTCCTCACCACTGGAAAATGTACAGTGCATTGATGTTTTTGTGATTCTTGAACCGCGTCTACACCCAACAACCCCCGGCGCCCGGCAAGCACGCATCAGTGTGCGTCAGGTTGGGCGCAAATGTAAGCGACTGCCTGGTCGACTTGATGGTTGTCAGCATGAGCTCTTGCAGAGAGATGGCCGATATCACATACCACTGTGAATAGCATCAGCCTCCTTGTCGGGGATCTCGATGCTGAACTCTTCTTCAATGGCCATCACGACCTCGACGGTATCCAAGCTGTCCAATCCGAGATCATTCTGAAAGTGTGCCGTGCCGCTGATCTAAAGTGACATGTCAGCAGGACTTCATACTCACACCGGAAGAGCATGCTACCTTTGTGGCGTCTGTGACCTGTGGGAGGTTAGCAATGGCAAGACCATCTCATGAGCGAGTGACGGGTGCGCACTTTGTCAAAGTTCTTCAAGAGATCCATTATTCTCCCTTGCACCTCCTCTTTCGACAAGCCGGCGGGGGCCGAGTAGTATCTTATGCTTGGAACCACGAAGGAGGGAGTGACCATCCGTGACGATTGCAGCAGGGAGGTTGAGATTCGAGATCGGAAGGCAGGTAGTTGTCGGGGGACCTGGGTCCGTGTGGCCGCGTAAAGCGCTCTCACGGCGCCTGCCCGGATCATCTTGACCGTGAACTGAGGTGGATGTATAGAGGTCGTGAAGAGTGAGGATGCTGGGGAGGTGGCAAGAGGCCTTTCGCTGGTTGTAGGTAATGATTGATTTTCTGGGACGGAGATGCAGACAATTGCTGCGAGCTTCGGGAAAGGGAAGAGCTTTGTTCGGGTCACGTGCGGCCAGCCAATCACATCGCGGTCAATGCTATTACAGCATCAATGACCTCTGCACCTCAAATCACATCCTGGACCACGCCTCCTCTCCTGCGCTCGCCACGCATCGTCAATTCCCAGTCTGCAACCTGTACGGATGATGGCGTCGTCACTTCGTCCAGCATCGCGGCTCGTCGCGAGGCCGCTGTCAGCTTCGTCCGCCATCCTACGACAAGCAGAGCGATCGCCTTTCCTCCGTGCCACCACCGCAGCTCAATTTCACACGTCGAGTCCCAGAAATGCCTTACCTTCGGGTCCTCCGCCGCAGGGCTACAGACTCCCACGACCAAAACGATTCGACGAGGGCGAGGGTGTGATGGACAAAGCTAGCAATTACTTTCTACTCACCGAGATGCTGAGGGGGATGTATGTGGTGATGGAACAATTCTTCAGACCACCGTATGTCCCATGAATTAGTTGTCGGAGGTTAGATTACCTGGAGAATATGATGCTGATGTTGTGGCTACAGCTACACAATCTACTATCCGTTCGAAAAGGGACCCATCTCGCCACGATTCCGAGGCGAGCACGCATTGAGACGCTATCCCTCGGGTGAGGAGAGATGTATCGCCTGCAAGCTCTGCGAGGCCATTTGCCCCGCCCTGGCCATTACAATTGAAGCCGAAGAAAGAGAAGATGGCTCGAGAAGGACCACCCGTTATGATATTGATATGACAAAGTGCATCTACTGTGGTCTCTGCCAGGAGAGCTGTCCCGTTGACGCTATCGTGGAGACTCCCAATGCCGAGTACGCAACAGAGTACCGAGAAGAGCTCTTGTACAACAAGGAGAAATTGCTCGCCAACGGTGATAAATGGGAACCTGAATTAGCGGCTGTGGCAAGAGCGGACGCACCCTACAGATAAAAATGGCCCTGGAAGGCACTCAACCGGCGCTCGTTCTCAAATTGTACATAAGCTGTGAATCAGCGTGAAGGAGAGAGTGGCTTTGCAGCGAAAAATCACCTTGAATTGCATTTATCTAACAGAGGCTGTTTCCACGCACTCTCATCCTTTACTATGTAGATTGGCTCGGTTTGACCAACTTTGCGCCAGCTCAGAAAGCTCGAAGTGGAACAGGTCCCACGACGATTTCCTTTTCCTCAGTCTTGATGGCACAAGTCTGATGGTGACATTCATCCTAACGCGCGCATAGTCAACTCGACACTGGTCGTTTGTGTTAGCCACGATATGTGCTTCAACGAAAACGAAAGAGAAACTTACACTGCAAAGGTACCTGCACTAACAGGCATCGCCCTCACCAATGTCGGCCCAATGCCCTTCCAAAATCCTCTCATCCCGTCAATCCTCCATGTTTGCGCAAAGCAATCCCTCATGGTCTTATATCTTTGGTCCTTGCCAAAGCCGTCGCTCTGCATCTTGCTCTTGACCACGTCAAATGGGTAGCTGGCAATCCAAAGCGCTTCACCCGCAAGCCCTCCGTAGAAGGCCACCTTCGGCGAAGAGATGTCTTCGCGGCGGATATTGTTGCGTTTTTGCTCGAGAGCCATCAAGTATTCGAAGGTGAGGAACCAGACACCGTAGGCTTGTGCTTCTCGGTAGAGTGTGACCGCTTGGCCACGGTAGAGACCGCGCAAGACGCCTTCGTGCGCGGAGAGTTTCTTGATACAGTCCAGGGGGCCATTGTATAGGCGAGCGGCGCCGTGGGGTTGAGTTTGTAGACGGATACGCACATGCTCGATGGGGCCAGACAGAACAGAGTTCGTCAAACCGGCGAAAGCTCCTGCTAGATAGTATTGGCCGTGAGACAGACCTGCTGGGTGGTTTGCGAGGAGGTTTTGTTCCTCAAATGCCCGTCTAGCATAGTGGAAGGCGCCAAATTGCACCGAGACACACGCCCCTATGCCGATCAATGGGGTGAGCGTGCCCTTATAGAATGCCAACGGTCCTTCATTTTGGAGGATCGATGATGCACATGATAAGGCGCTGGGGTAGGTTGTTGTCGTCTGAAGACGAACCTTGACGATATCTAAAATATTATCCGTGAGAAATGGCTGAACAACAGAGAGCCAAAGGCCAAGTTCCTTCAGGGCTTACCGAATGGTTGACCTGGGAGAGTGTCAGTGTATGATCAAGCAAAAACTAGGACGACCACAGAAGCAAACAGTGTCAACAGTGTCACCTCCTTCAGAGATGCCAGGGAAAATTCAACCCTGAAAGCTTCGATATAAAGATCACTTGTAAACACATCTTGTTGGAACTCACCTAGCAGAACCTGGGCGACACCCCCAGCAGCGCCAGCAAACAAATCTTTGGCGGTTCTCGCCCAGCTCCCATTCCCAACCTCGTGGGCCTCAATCGCTTCGACGCCATCTGCCATCTTCTGATTCTGCTGCTCGATTGATCCGCCCCAGCCAAGGCTCACCTCATTTGTGACCAGACAGGATGTGTGCACGAGTATTCAAAAGCCGACTATTTCAGGAATAATTCGATTCTTTTTCCTTCTGGCGCACGTCATTCGCTAGTCTCCCTCGGGCGGTAATCCGTCGCTGTCGCGGGTTTGACCGCTGGCTTGTGATTGGCTCTCTTGAATACTTCAGGGCGTATTCGTACGGAGTTCAATATTCGCTGTGGTGTCCGACAAGGATTCCTAGAAAGTCGATGTGACGATTGGAGCATCAGTAAATGTGATAGCGAACTAAACCGTCGAGTCGGTCCCAGACCTGCGGAATTGAAAGGTAATGGACCAAAGCAAGCTGATCTGCACTTGACGGTGTCTATGGTCTGCAGTAAATATCTGCACTTAGCCACCTATGGTTCGCCCTAATTGGGTCCACCAAAAAAGTTGTAGATATGAAGTGCATGTGGCGTGTCTCCTATTGAATTCGGCATTGAGACAACCTCATCGACCCGGGTTCGGCAACGTTGGGCCAGTATGCGCAGGGCAGTGACACGGAAGGTATGTTGCAACCTCTATTCCCCCTTTCGAGTTTTACGAGATATTGACCAGCCTGCGCCAGCTACTACAAGGTCAAGACATCTGCTTTTTCTGCGCTTTCCGATACGCTGCCGAGTCTCGCCATGTCGGCTCACTCCAACCCCAGCGTCGGCTTTATAGGGCTGCCGGTGCATCAAAGCGTCCGGCTGGAGCTGCGGTCGCCCGTATAGAAGAGGACGATGATGATTTTGCTGCGCCGACGGTGCCAGCAAGGGAGCTTCTCGGCTGGAGATGTGGTTGCAACCACGTCAATAAGCCTGCAAGATCGGAGTGTACGATATGCTTGAGTTCCCGCCCACAAAGGCCCGAAATGGTCTATACAGACCTCGGTCCCTCCTTGTTTCCGCCGTCGCCTCCTCAACACTCTCCTCTGCCGAACCGTGCACCTCGATCCGACTCCAGCTCGACATTTGGAGGTTCAATATCAGAGATACTTTCCAAGACACATTCAGGATCCCAAGAAAGGCAGCGCAATGGACCTTCTCCGACCTCGCGACCGCCGCCTGGACGACCCCAGCTTCAAGAGCAGTGGTCCCCCATGAGCAGAGCTCGCAGAGATTATAATGGTAACAATGTTGATGGGAGAAATGGCAGAAGTAATGCACCGCCAAGTGAAACCACTTCTGAATCCCAACGTCCCCTTTTCAGGTACTCGCATACGCGGAAGCCATATGTGGAATCAGGAACGGGCCGCAACGATGCAAATGGGGGAATGAAGGAGACCGGGCCATTTCCGACATCCTCAAGGATAGGTAATGCTCTAAAACATCGGGCTACCGAGACTTCGACCGCTGCGCCAAGAACGAGGTCGTGGATAGAGAGATCCAATACTCCTTCACAATCCGCCCAGAGGAATCCAAGAGGAAACAACCGAGAGACCCAAGCAGCGAATCCCGCTGGACGAGATTTTCCAAGACGATCCCCGCAACAATTCGGGACAGACAGAAACCCAAGCAATAGGGTTGCTCGAGACAACACCTCAGTCTGGCGACCTGAGTCAGCGGGTACTTCGCAACGAGCGTTTGACCCACGAACCAGTGGGGACAGACGTGTAAAGAGAGTTTCCGAAGGGTCTGAAGAACCAACCATTGCCGACGAAGAACCCGGTACACTGGTGGAGACCGAGCTTGGAGAGGATGCTGAAGACGACAGGCGCAAGCGAAAGCTCGTTGGCGGCAAAGATCGTGACAGGAGATCTCGGCTTTATGAAGTCGAGGATGAGGAGCCTATGCAGGTGTCCCGCAGGGCTAGGCTTCCAACTGCACGGCGCAGCGGTATCTCTAGGGCAAGTTCGTTGGACTTTCATTACGACCCCGATCTGGCGGATGAATTTCCGGACGAAGCCAAGGCGAGGCGGAAGAGGAAGGGAAAGCAGGCGAACGCGAAACCGCAGACGCCAGCACGGCCAGAGATCGCTCTCCCGGAGTTCATCAGTGTGGAGAAGCTCGCACAAGGACTCAAGGTCAGACTACCAGAGTTCATTGACAAGCTCGAAGAAGAGGGGTTTGAAGGCGCGAGGTACGACCACGTGCTGGACTCGAGCACATCCTCCATGTTTGCGGAAATCTACGGCTTTGAAGCCGTCGTGAAAAGCATTGATGAGACTGGCGATATCTTCCCACGACCTGCAGCGGAAGATTCCTCGGTTTTACCACCTCGACCTCCAATTGTCACTATAATGGGCCACGTTGACCACGGAAAGACCACTATTCTTGATTACTTCCGGAAGGCGAACGTGGTAGCGACAGAGCACGGAGGCATCACTCAACACATCGGGGCTTTCTCCGTCACGATGCCTGGATCAGAGCGGAATATTACGTTTCTGGACACTCCCGGACATGCTGCATTTTTGGAGATGCGCCGAAGGGGTGCTGTTGTGACAGATATTGTTGTTTTAGTCGTTGCTGCGGACGACAGTGTCAAGGCTCAAACGATCGAAGCCATCAAACATGCCCGAGAGGCTGGTGTGCAGATTATTGTTGCAATCAACAAGGTTGACAAGCCGGAAGCCGACATTGAACAAGTCAAGCGAGATCTGATGCAACATGATATTGTCGTGGAAGACTTTGGCGGAGAGTATCAAGCCATCCCGGTGAGCGGAAAGACTGGAAAAGGCATGGGAGATTTGGAGGAAGCTATCCTCACCTTGGCTGATGTCGCCGACTTCCGCGCTGAAACCGACGGACCAGCGGAAGGCTGGATTATTGAGAGTAAGATCGGTGCTACGGGTCGCGTCGCCACCATTCTCGTTCGTCGTGGAACTTTGAGACCAGGTGACTTTATCGTCGCAGGCACCACCTGGGCTCGCATTCGAACGCTGCGAAACGACTCGGGAGGACTGATGGATGCTGCACCTCCAGGCACACCTGTTCAAATCGACGGCTGGCGAGGAGATGATCCCGAGGCAGGCTTGGAGGTGCTGCAAGCCGAAAACGAGCAACGAGCGAAGGAGGCGATAGCAGTGAGAAAAGAACGCGAGGAAGCAGCTTGGGAGATGGATAATATGACGGCCATCAACGCGACACGCGCAGAGGAGGCGGTCGCTCGAACCAAGGTGCTTGAATGGGAGAAAGAACAAGGCTACCTGTCCATGGGCTATAAAAGGCGACCCAAGGACAATGAAGGGTGGATCGAGAAGGAGTCTTCTGGCCCTCAACTTGTCCATTTTGTCGTCAAAGCCGATGTGGCCGGCAGCACAGAGGCGTTGGTTGCTGCCGTCAGCGCGATTGGCAACAACGAGATCCGAGCCAACATCATTCATAGCGGGACGGGCGGTCTGACTGAGTCGGACATCAAAATGCTGGCTGCAACCGGCGAAGTTGCTTATGCAATCTCTTTCAATCAACCCATTGACAACGACATACGGCAACTTGCGGCGGCAGCTCGCATTCAGATCCTCGACCACAACATCATCTACAAGGTCACCGACGACGTCACCGAGAAGGTTAGCGCTGAACTGCCTCCCATCGTGACCCAACGAGTCTTAGGAGAAGCCGAGGTGGGAGATATCTTCGACATTAAAATCAAGAAAGGGTCCATGAAGATTGCTGGGTGCCGGGTGACCAACGGGACGATTCGTCGCTCGGAGAAGATCCGAGTGTTGAGGAAAGGCGAGGTGATTTACACGGGTAAGTTTTGTTCCGCGTTTTCGGTTGTCGGATCCACTAATGGGGCTTCAGGAACGCTCACCTCGTTCAAAAATATTAAGAAGGATGTTACAGAGATGCGAAAAGGCTCTGAGTGCGGGATGGGTTTTGAGAACTGGGACGCCTTCGAAGTGGGCGATCAGATCCAGTCGTTTGAGGAAATCAGCGAGAAGCGAGCCTTGCATTAGCGCTCCGACGCCGTGCTCCATCCAGCCAGAATGTTTCTTTCCAGAAAGAAGCCAAACAGCCTGGGACAAAAAGACACAAAGCTGAAACACGACGGTGGCGTTGGCGGCTCTGGATAATAATGAGGCCACAAAGTTGGCGCCCTTTTCCACGAACACTCCCAGCCAATCAATGCCCTGTCTCGGGATGGTCTTGGCACCAACTCCGCCCCGGCCGGCATCTTGTATGGACCAGCTGAACACCAATCATTTCGGCCTCTGCTCCTCCTTGGAAACAAAGACCGCTCTCTGCACAGACGACTTGCGGTCACTGCGTTTGTTTCACGGCATAGAAGAAACATGTTTCAATAAAAAGACATAGAGTCAGATTAGAACCACGAGCAGGCCACTGCCCAGACATGGCCAATCTGGTACGCGCCACATCACGATACTTCAAAAAGGTCCATCGAAGTATCGAGGAACAATCTTCTCTCATGGACCTGTACCTGTTTGCATAGTTGAGGAGTTTCTGTTCACATCTGTTGTTTTCTTTTCCACGCTGGCGTCATTCTAACAGTCTAATTAACTACTCTCCTCCATCAGCTGCATTGACACCACTGCAACCATCTTGATCTCAAAGACTGCTGGACAGTTATGCATACGTTCATTTCGATAGTTGGCCTCCTTTGTCTGTTGACACCCATCTTGGCTGGTCCCATTCAGAGGTATGTTCTCGTCCATTTTCTCTCGCAGGCATATATTGACTTCATTGCAGGCCCAATAATGTAATACGTCGATTGAACCAGCCACAGAAACACTATGTCGTGAACAGCCTCCTCTCAGCGACTCATCGACGGCAGCAGAGGCGACAAGCTCCGACAGATCCGGCGGACAAGGCGGCCGCAACGCCAACCACGACGAGTCTCAACCCGTTCGCAGCCCAGACCGGGAGTGGAACGGAAAATGGAGCGGTCCCAGCGGTCGGCGTGGGAGGAGATAATACCAGTCTCATCAGCCTGTTGACGCAGACCACGATCGAAGTAGCCACACAGACGGCGACACCCAGCGAGACGACGACTTCGACAACAGAGAGCTCCACTGCTGAACAGACGACTTCTTCTGACGGATCTACGACCAACACCGCTGGGCCGGTGGGCTCCGGAACAGCCATTCAGCCCAATGCAGCGCAGACCGGAGCACAAGACGAGTCGACCACGACCGTGACAGTGCAAGCCCAAACGACCATCTTCCAGACTGTGGTTGTGACCTCTGAAGTCACTGCGTCAACTCCTGACTCTGGCGCCGTGACTGCACCAACAGCTTCAACCACCTCGTCCAACTCTGTGCCAGATGCTTCTCCTCCCGCGTCCAGCACAGGAGCTGGAGATCAAGGAGACCAACAGCCCGCCGGGGCCGTCACGATCGTGTTTGTTACCGCCAGTCCGACGTTTACTGGCCCGATTGCCGGATACACGACGCTGACGCCAGACGACGCGAATGGCAACACTGCAGGCACCGCCACCGACCACCAACAAGAGCCGACGTCGACAAGCACCACCATCACCACCACCACGACTCCAGCGAGTGCAACTGACGCGTCTCCATCGCCTTCATCAACTTTGCCCGAGCCACCTGCGCAAGCCACACCAAGCGCCCCAACGACATCACCAGTACCGGGAGTTGCACCTCCAGCGACCGGGACAACCACCTCTGCATCGGCGACGAATGGACTGGCTGTGATTCCAGTGACGCCCAATCCAGTACAAGCACAGGCGACGGTGACGGTGACTGAGACGGTGACGACGACCGTCACGGAGCGGCGGTAGGAGAAGCATGGAGACAAGAAAGGTGGCCGAAAGAGAGCTCTTGTATATAGACAGAAGTTAGTTACTGGTACGGTATTGGTATACAGTGCCCATAAAGTAAAGAATCTGTAAATATTGGATTTATTTACTGATTGACTGGTTGATTGAACTGCAGTGAGTGCATTGATTGGCTTCCCTTAAGTCTATGATAAGTATCTAACGTTCATGTATGTGTTGCGGTCCACATGTATTCATTCATAGATAATACATACAAGGCCACAACAATATGGATGTAGGATAATAATTTATATAGAAGAGCTAAGAGGAAGGGACTTGGATATATCATATGGCGACGGTGTAGAAGCGGGTGATATCACACTGCGTGTATGTACAGTACTCTCCACACAACGAGAGGGTTCTCACTGTCCCTCCTCTTTCTTCTACCTACTCTACCTCGTTCGTCAACACTCCACTACCACTACCACTACCACATCTCAATGCCTCGACCGTCATCTGCCCCTCCTTCCCACCTCATCATCGTCTGCTGCCACGCCATCTACCTCGGTCGGCGTGCCGGAGTGCTGCCAGACTCCTCTGCCCCCAGCGAGGACGAGTCCAACTGGCTGATCGAGCCCTTCCAGGCCGGCGAGACCGGCACGTACATCCAGCACGTCGAGGCGGGCGTACGGGAATTGGCGAGAGATAGGGAGCACGCGATTCTGGTGTTTAGCGGCGCGCCCACTAAGCCTGACAAGACGCCACTCACTGAGGGCGAAGGGTATTTGGTAAGTAAGTCCAAGTCCCGGCCCGTCACCAGTGGTGGTGTTGGTTGTCCCGTCGGGGTGTCCGGGGCGGCAGGATTGGTGCTGTTACATCTTATGAGAAGAGTTCATCTGCTCGTGACGGGAGGGCATTGATTGACAGCAAAACTTAAAGGGAGAATGGATGAAGGGATGGAACGACCCGATTCATGACTGACTGACGGGATGATATGTAGAACGTCGCCCTCGAGCATGACCTCTTCGGCTTTGACACCTCTCCACCGTCACCATCGCTGAGACAACGCATCTTTATCGACCGCTACGCCACGGACTCGTACCAGAACATCCTCTGCTCGCTGATCCAGTTCCCTCTCTTCGTCCAACAACTCCAGTCTCGGAGACCGCCTCAAGCCACAACAATACCCTCCCCACGGCCACCGTTGTTGTCACAGGGTGGTGCTTCGACTCTTATCAGCACCACACCCCCGGAGGACGACGGCGAGAAGCAGGCCTACTACCAGGCCATCAAACCAACCTTCCCCACCAAGCTCACCGTCATCTCCCACGCCTTCAAGCGCGCCCGCTTCCTCGACCTGCACCTCCCCGCCCTGCGCTTCCCGCTCGAATCGACCGTGTACATCGGCATCAACCCGCCGTTCACGCCGGCCAAGCTGGCCGAGATCGCGGAGGGCGATCGCCTGCGTGGCTTCGGCGCCTGGGAGAAGGACCTGTACGGCGCGGGCGCGGGCTTGAGCAGGAAGCGGGAGCAGAGAGGCTGGGACGCCGACAGGTTCCGAAGAGAGGTGGTGGCAAGGTATGGCGGCGATGAGACGTGGACGAGGCAGCTGCAGGGTTTGCTGTCCTGGCGTGGGGGGAGCGATGGGATCACGTTGTGGCCCGGCGGTGTCCCGTGGGAGTGAGTGAGCGTGTTACATCAAAAGATGATGCCCTTCTGACATTATGATCTATGGCAAAAACAAGATAAAACTCTCCCAATGACAAACAGCCGCAGACGAGCCATTTCCTGCTCCTGATCTCATCAACCATCTTTCCAATGGAACCGACAATCAACACTCAAACGCCACCAGAGAAGCCTGCTCCCCCCCCCAAACTCTTTTCCTCTCCAGGCCTGCAGCAGCCTGAATTCTGAAACCTCCATCCTGACTCAATACCGTGGCTTTGACTTCTCCGTCCACAAATCCATCGCGTCGACGATCGGAGCTCGCCCGATCCTGACCTTTTCCCGCAGCGTCGCTTCGCGATGCCTCCAATGGATATCAGCGCTGTCGACGATCAGTGGCGGGACCATGTCGCGGGTCCACGGGGAGAGGCTTGTCGGTGTTGGGGCGCGTGGGAGCGTCGGTGCTCTTGGTGGAGTCGCTGGGGCACGGGCGAAAGCGGTATCTCGAGCCGGAGTTGCAACTGGTTGAATAGCTATGTGAGCCGGAGACGGTGCGATGGCAGGAACTGAGAGTTGAGATGGAGCTGAGAATGACGGTGGATAGCGAGCCCGAACAGGAGGAGTCGGATGTTGAACCGGGCGTGGCGTCGGAATTGGCCCTCGTTCATAGATCGGATAAGGAGGTCGCGGGAGATCTGGAAGGAAACCGGGTGTTGGAGGATAGAAACCCATGGCTGGGGAGCCGTAGGATTGGTATGGGCTGTAATGTTGAGGACGAGCAGAACCGTAAGCTGGTGGTGGACCCCTAACCTGGTTTCTCGGAGATCGGTACATGTTGTCTGCTGGATGGAATTGTCTAGCAACGGAATGACCCAGCGGAGTGAGGTTTGCGGGTAGGCCTTCATAGGTCTGCCATGGCTGGTATTGGACTGCTGGGCCTGCCGCATGATACAGTGTTGGGAGTGAAGCCGGCCCTGACGTTCGAGGGGTGGTGAAGCTTGGAGGTGCTGTAGTGAACGGGTTGCCCCAGCCCGACGGTGGTGCTGACATCCGAGTGGCTTCTTCATCGCGAATATATTGTGCAGTGTGTAGAACCTCATAACTGATGCCATCTTTCCGGGTGTCTTTGCGCAACCGATCAAGAGTTTTGCGTGTGACAACTCGCCACTCAGAGTGCAAATGGTGTTCTTCGCCTTCTCTCAGGGCCAGTGTCGCCGTGCGGAAGAGCCAACGGCCGTCTTCCTGCGTCAGGCGTGGTGATGTTTGGCCTGTGGTGGTCAGATCGGTCCATCGGAAAAGATTGTTCTTGACTTGAGCAGCGATGGGGGCTGAGGCTTCGGATAGACAGGTCATGAGCTGGCTCCATGTTGTTGCTCGGCTGATTGGAAGCGGAACCCTCATGTTGGAGACCTTGTCGACAAAGTAGACCGGCATTAAGTCTGATTCCTGGAAGGCTGTCATGGCGAAGTCCGGTACACGGGGTTTCGAAGGAGAAAATCTTTTGCGAATTCACTAAAGAGATCTCGTAGTCTCAGAAGGTTGAACCTTCTGCTCTGCGAGTGAGGAAGACCTTGACCAGAAGAACGTTATGCTGAGATAGGATCTTTGGAGTTAAGGAAAGGCATATATCTCTCAAACTTGCAGTAATGCATCTGTTTTATTTGCTTGATTGACAGCCATGCAAGCTTGGTCTTTGTGGGTGTGTTTCTCGTCTTGGGCGAGACCAGAGACACGGCGACCGTGCAAGCCATTGTCCTATGATCATTAATTTAGGCAGCCGATTGCTCTGTTGAGGAACTTTTCAGCCTTGCCTTTGTCAGTGTCAAACCAGCACACGCTAGATTCTGTATGCTCCCGTGTTTCATGATAATACGAGACAGAGTGTGAGCTGATATTACGCGGAAGAGGCATTCTGGCCGTCACAAACAAGGAAGAATGAATCCAGAAAATGAGCAAATAGTTGTCGATAGCCATAGACATGACGTGTTTCAGATGATTCAGGCATACCCTGGCAGGCTTTTCTTGATCTTATCTTACCACTCGGTTTGGCGGAAGGGTATCAATATTGGGACAAGGATTGAAGTCAAGGTTGAAAGGTGCATTCTGTATCAACCGGCACAAAGCCACTCTGCACACCGGCATACTGAGTGCAGGATAAGGAAAAGCAGCATATGGCGGGTCCACGGCGAGGAAGAGATGGGACTTTGTTCTTCAGTCCCTTGGGTTTGTCTACTGTTCAGGAAAGGGGCTCCAGTATCCCAGTATCCAAATATCAGAGTTAAGTATGAGGCATGTAAAAACAGTCTGTGCCTGTGTTCGTTGAGGGAAAGTTGACCGAGCCAATCCGGAGCATGGATGACGAGGCTGAATCTGGCAGCCTTTCTCAAAATTCCCTCAAATGCACTAAACCCGATTAGATCTTCTGGACTTGAGCTCCAACTCCGGGAAGCACTGCGTCTCCCATCCCCCAGCGGCGTTCTGCTCGCTACAATTTCTCAGCACTTTTGCCCTTGCCCCAGCTATTTGGTGGCTGGATTTCTTTTGCGACTTTTGGTCGCTTCCCTTCATTGTCCCCTCAACTCCTTCTCCACTGACACGGTCACTTTCACGATGCTCAAGACATTGGTTCCCAGGACGGGCCGGTCGCTCCTCTCAACGAAAGCTCCGCATCTGGGCCCAGCAAACCTCCGAACCGCTCCCAGCTTCCAGATCGTCTCCCTGAACCAGCAAAGAAGGAGGGGATATGCTTCCGAGTCATCAGAATACGACATTGTATTCATCGGTGGTGGTGTTGCAGGCTATGTGGGAGCAATAAAAGCTGGCCAGTCTGGTCTGAAGGTGCGCATATCCTGTTCTAGGGGAAAACGAACAACCCCAGCCAAGTATCTGACACCCTTGCTAGACAGCATGTATCGAGAAGAGAGGAAGGCTTGGAGGCACATGTCTAAACGTCGGGTGCATTCCCTCGAAATCTCTGCTCAACAACTCACAACTATACCATCAAATACTCCACGACACAAAGAAGCGAGGAATTGACGTCAACGATGTTCAGCTCAACCTCACTCAAATGATGAAGGCCAAGGACGAATCTGTCCTGGGACTGACAAAGGGCGTCGAATTCCTGTTCAAGAAAAATAATGTAGACTACATTAAAGGCACGGGAACTTTTGCGGACGAACACACGATCAAAGTCAACCTGCTCGACGGCGGTGAGACCGAGGTCAAAGGCAAGAACATTGTTATTGCCACCGGTAGTGAGACGACTCCATTTCCCGGTCTGACGATCGATGAAAAGAAAGTCATCACCAGCACAGGTGCCATTGCCCTGCAAGAAGTACCCAAGAAGATGGTGGTTATTGGTGGTGGTATCATCGGCCTGGAAATGGTATTTCAAGCTCCACCCATTCATTTAAGATGTCTTTTCTGACCCCTTACCAGGCCTCAGTGTGGTCCCGCCTCGGTTCCGAAGTTACCGTCGTCGAATTCCTCGGTCAAATCGGTGGTCCCGGCATGGATGCGGAAATCGCCAAACAAGCGCAAAAGATCCTGAGCAAGCAAGGGATCAAATTCAAGGTCAATACCAAAGTTACTCAGGGTGATGCCAGCGGCGACGGCGTCAAGATCGCGGTCGAAGCTGCCAAAGGTGGCAAGAACGAATCTATAGATGCAGATGTCGTGCTCGTTGCTATCGGACGTCGACCTTACACCGATGGCTTGGGTATTGAGAACATTGGCGTCGAGATGGACGAACGCAAACGGGTAGTCATCGACCAAGAATACCGCACCAAGATCCCGCACATCCGATGCATTGGCGACGTCACTTTCGGCCCCATGCTTGCACACAAAGCTGAGGAAGAAGCAGTCGCCTGCGTCGAGTACATCACTAAGGGATATGGCCATGTCAACTACGGTGCCATTCCGTCCGTTATGTACACGCATCCCGAAGTCGCGTGGGTTGGTCAGAACGAGGGCGAGCTGAAAGCCGCCGGCGTGAAATACAAAGTGGGCACCTTCCCCTTCACCGCCAACTCGCGTGCCAAAACCAATCTGGACACCGAAGGGCTGGTGAAGTTCCTCAGCGACGCAGAAACCGACCGGATTCTGGGCATCCATATCATCGGACCGAATGCGGGAGAAATGATCGCAGAGGGCACATTAGCGCTTGAATACGGCGCCAGCAGTGAGGATGTGGCGAGAACGTGCCACGCTCATCCAACGCTGGCCGAGGCGTTCAAGGAGGCGGCAATGGCCACATATGGCCAGCCCATTCATTTCTGAGCCACCAGGTCAGTGAAGGGGTCTCATGCGAGGGTATTGTGCCGAGACGTTGGCTCTATCAAATCTGTGTCGTTGAAGAAAGCGTGTCTGGGACAAACCGGGGAATTTGGGCAGCAACAACAAGCATTGTACTTAAGCTAGGCATGTAAAAAGAAAAACCAACTCAGAGTTCCCCCTCGTTGTTGGGGGCACTCGGAAGTTCACTTCAACAGTGCCCCCCCGTGTTTGAAAAGCTCTTGTTTGTGCTTTTTAACTCTCGGGGTGCATTCATTCTCATCAATAGAAGTACTACGAGGTAGATACGAGGTATAGTCCCAACTATCAACTGAGCGTGGGATAAAGGTTGCGTGGAGTTAACGCCATTGGTCGGTATCAGGATGGATGAATACGCTGTATGTACCTCGCTCGTACTGTATCTATATATATACACTGAGATGGGAGGTTGCCATGCGAAACAATGCAAGAGCAAGGGAACTATGTAACTGCTTACGAAGTATTCATTATACATCCGACAATCTGACGAGGAACACTGCTCGTTCCTGCTCCTTCCTACTGGCTGGTTCAGAAGCACCAGACATCCACCAAGAGAGTACCTCGTAATCAACATGCTAACCTAATGCTCCGACTTCGCAGCTGAGCTCTTCGAAATGGGGGGTTTTTTGGTTGAAGGAATCAATGCAGGAACATTTGGTCTAATTTTTGCATTTCTTCTGCGTTATTGCTACCTAACAACTACTTCTCAAGGTAGTATCTGGTCCATCACAAACAAGTCATGCAGCGCCCAATAATCCATGTGCTGTATCATACACATTAAGAGCAGTTTGACCTATGAGGATCATCTGCATTACCCAGATCTTGCACACATTCAATTCATAGCAGCATTCCATGTCTCGCATTGTTTCCCTTTTTTTTGGACTTTTTTTCAATCTTCATGGTTTTCAAGTTGTGCGTCGAAGCGCCGTGCAGGCGGCCAGGCATGCAAATGCAACGATTCTAGAGGGAGTGACAGATGGTCATTTCCAACGCCGATCGAGGAGTCGTCAAAAGCAGCGAATTATAATAATCCGGGTATTTGTCTTTCAGTTTAGACCAGCTTAACTTCAGACCAATTTGCCGTCGTTGATCCTCATTGGAGTTGTCGTCAACGCGTGATTCGCGACGTCAGTCGAGGAAGTGATTAGACTTTGCAGAACGTTAGCTGTCAAATCTCCCCCAAACTCGGGGCATGTCTCCAAGCATACGTGATGCAGAGTCCGAGAAGCAGGATCGAGCCTCGTTTCCTTATCCGTTTCCCAAAGCGTCTGCTTCACTTGTTTACACCTGAGACATTGCTGGGCGCGCACCTCTAGAGCGGACAGGTCCTCTCAGGTTGACACCCCCACTGCGAGCATCAAGAAGGGAGAAGAACAAGCTAGCCATCCAGGCTGCCCACGTGAACCACAGGAAGGCGGTAGCTGCCTGCTCTTCTCGGCATCGGCCTTCCCTGTCGCGGGCGCCGTTCGTGAGGTGGTTGTGGAGAGTGTAGGACTGTTACAATTAGTGAGCCAGTGTTTAGGTATGAGGCAAAGCGCATGCGCAAAGTAGTCTCTAAGGGGCCTTACGTTGTTACTGCAGGAATGCACTCTGAGCTCGGCAGCCATGGCGACGGCGGCGCAGAAGAGGAAAATGCAGTTGAGGAGATCGACAATGACGGGGAAGATGGCGTGGCCCATGAACGAGTCGTTGAAAGAGACGGCGACCAGGTAGAACAGCGAGACCATGGCAAAGGCCGCTACGAACATATCGTAGTTGATCAGGGAGGGGTTGCCGGCGAAAGCTATGGCAATAACGTTGCCAATGAGGCCCATGATGATGACGATAAAGACGAACTGCGCCACGAATCTGGTCAGTTGCTGGAAGCTTGAGAGACGTTGTGGGCGATTCCCCAGGAGCTTACCTCGACCCCTCGAAGGATGAGGTTGATTGTTTTGGACACCATCTTGTCGGCTTGATTGAGGCCTGCTGGAAAGCGATACAGCTGTGTGGATGTGGTTGGGAGGAGGTACTGTAACCTGAGTATTGGTTGAAAGCTGCAGGAATTGGCAGATAAGTTGAGAAAGCTGGGAAGAGAGAAAGAGTTGTGCGTAAGTAGCTGTCGGTCAAGGTGGAGAGCAACGGAACGGAGTGGAAGGTGGAATGATGATGTACTGGCTGAGTGACGGAGCTCTGCAGATGGCAGATGCCGGGGGCATAGAAGAGGGGAGGGCACCTGGGCGTCTACCCAAGCTCGCTCCTGGTGGGTTGTGACGCGGCGAACCCTGGGTGACCACGGCGACCCGGGTTTGCCAACGACGTCACTGGCCGAATTGTGGTTCCGAGGGTGACGCCAACTGCAAAAAGCTTAGTAGGCAGGGGGGCACCTGGGGGAAGGCCCGGGCTCGTTAGGCTCAAAGCGTGCAAGGGAGCTGGGTGGTAGCCTTACCTGTTTGTGGTGAATCATCACCAGCAAAAAGCGCCCACAGCGCCCACAGCGCCCGCAGCGTTCACGGGTGTTCGGGCATCGGGCATCCAGCAACCCACACCCATTCGGGAGCTTCGGTAACGTTGGTATCTCAATCAGGCGCCCATAAACAGCATGGTGTCACTGTGGCGACCTCTCTTCTCTTCTCATCAGAGCCAATGAGCCACAAGGTTTTATCCTGTCAGGTTCCGCCCTCGCGATGAGCTCACAACGAATTGAACCCCTTCGTGCCTACGAGGATGGTGCTGGCAGTCAGAGCAACCTGGGTTGCTGCGTTTCATCCTCAGCTTTCTGTCCTGGCAACGCGACCAGTGGCTCTGAGAGATTCTCTGGGAACAGATCACGTGAAAGGCGGCGCCTCCGGAAGAACCGGCCAACTGGCTTTCCTAGCAAGATCCTAGGTAATATTCCGTACTACATGGGTAACCCTCAGGGACAATGTGCAGTTCCGAACTGCTCCACCGTCGTCACAGAAACAACTCGAAACAAGGTCAGAGGCCTTGCTGACTGCTGCCCATCTCATCAACCAATCCAGCCTCGTGTCCACCAGGTGATTCAGGGTCAAACGGTTGGTTATTCGATCTATGAAGGACATCTTTTACGAATCAAGTTATCACTGACATTCGAACATTTCAAATTGTCACCGACAAGTTATCCCCATCCAACAACGATCTAGAGCTTTTCAAATGTCGGTGTCCTCTTTTGGAGTCCGCTGAGCATGGCTCTCTGAACATCACTGCTTTGGACCATGCCTGCATTCCATACCGCTGTGTAGTTAAGATTGTCTTCGATGGTCCTTCCCCACGCAGCATCGAGGATGTTCTTTGTGCCTTGCACGGCGACAGGGCTTTTGGTCGACAAGTATTTGGCGTACTTGATGCCTTCCTGAATGAGCTCGGCCTTACTCCCGTTTACCACCTGGCTCACAAAGTTGTTCTTGAGTGCCTCCTGGGCGGAAAAAGGTCTTGCACTAAGACAGACGTCTTTCACCCAGCTGGTCACTCCCCCCACGACCTTCGGAAGTCTGCTTAGAGTCCCCACGTCCGCTGCCAACCCAATGTCGACCTCCTTGACGCAGAATTTGGTGTCGCTGGTGCAAAAGCGCAAATCACATGCTGAGGATAGGTCGATTCCGAGCCCGTACGTGTACCCATGCAGCAGTGCAATTATAGGTTTCTCACAACGAGCGACGGCCGTGATGACTTCCTGTAGCTCAAGTATATGCCTCCGTATCACTGTCGCCTTCCGTGAGGGGTCGGGGAAGGTTGATGATGAGAGAGGATTGTCAGCTTTGGCTGCTTGCTCGACATCCAGGCCTGTCCCACATCTTAGCTCCTATTATTCTTTACTCTTGAAGACATTCGTCACCCACCTGCAGTAAATGCTCGATCTCCAGCGCCCGAAAGCAGGATACACCGGACTTCGGGGTCGTGGGACAACTGTTCGACGATGGCCTTCAATTCAAACCACATGGGCGCGAAAAAGGCGTTGAGTTTTTGTGGCCGGTTGATCTCGACATGCACCACATATTCTGCCGGGACCGTGACATTGTAGAACTTGAAATTCGAAAAGTTTCTCAACGCCATCGTATCGAGTTTAGATCGTGATATGGGGAAACCTCTGTCCCTCCTGCGGCTGTGACTTGGTCTGTAACAGAAAACCAGAAAATAACAGAGAGAGAGAAGCGAGCGGCAACAAGGGATATTAAGTATCAAAGAAGGATGTCTGGGCTCGACAATGGTGCTGGTCAGAAGCCTCCTCTGTTGCCTTTCCTCACTCAATCATCCCTGGCTGACACTCCAGATTGCCACGATTGCCTCGGCTCAGATGCTGTTGGTTCCAGTGTCACGTGCAAACCCGAGGTGTTTCTCTTCTCGAACTTCGGTCGTCGACTCGTCAAACCAACACTCACTCGGTCTCCGCGATCGACCCCTTCCACCTTCGTCAACTTCTCATCAAATACGGCCCGTGCGAACACCTGCAGCTGAGCTGCTCTGGGCCCTGTGAGAGCGTGTCAGAGCTCAACCGTCTCCCAGTGACCAGAGATGTCGCTGCCTCGTTCCATATTTGGCCTGCCTTCCCACCCTCTCGTAATTGAGGGCCTAGACCAACGCCGACGACCTCCTGGTGGCTGAAGTTCTTTCCCTGCCCGCTACTTCTGTCATACCTCTGAACGGCGAGAGTCTTCAGGTCAACCCACCATGAGCTCTAACAGACTCACGTTCATGTCGATCCACGCTAGCTCCCTACCACCTGGGCTCGTCCCTTGCAAGAGCTGTGGGTGTAGTTAGTGGTTGTGGTGTGAATGCAACCAGCGAATGGCGAACGACAGAGAGTTCTATCACCCTCATGCCCGTTGGTGGAGGGAAAAAGTCGATCCAAACGGTGAAGCCACTCGCCCTCGTGGCATCCGACAGGGCAATCTCTCGCGAGCCTGAGGTCAAAAGACGTCGCCCGTGAGGGTGTTTGGACCTTTGGCTGCCTTCCAGTTTGTTGTCTTTCCTTGCACATGGGCCTTCGATGTCTCACTTTCACGACCAGCAGCAGATGGTGTAGGGGCACCTACATAGTATGAGTTTGACCGCCACTTGATTTCTCAAGGGACTTGCTGTGGACCTTGGTGAATCCTGCTTTCTCGACTCCTTTTGCCCCAGTTGTGTCTCCTTTTGCATCGACCTTCATGCTCAGACTACAAATTACTGGTGCGAGATTCTGACGCGATACGAACCTTTGGCATGGAGAGGGTACACCCCTTCTCCACAGGCAACGCAATACTTCGATACTAAAGGCAGTCCCTATATCCTGAGAAACAGGGACGAGCCGTGTCTGACCAACAATTGTCGGGCCTCAAACAGGGACTATTTTTGTTGCCACCGGATACATCGAATTAGCTTTCTGCTTCTGTTCGATGTCAGTTGACCCCTTGTTCGGGCAAGAAACCAGTTTTGCCTCTCTCTCTATTTCCCCTTCATCTCATGGCCAGCAACGTACCTGGACCCGCTGACCCAGTCGTTTACAGAGACGGAGTAGTACCTCGAGGCTTGCCATCGAACCATACATTGCTGAGCAAAAGCCATGCGGGTAAATACCGCTGTCTCTGACTATGGGTATCGACAACCTGACATGAGACAGGCCAATGTCGGCTAGAAGCAGCCCAATCGACTTCTTCCGAACCAGCAACATGCATCTCGCCCGGCTCCTTTGGGCAGTACCCTCACCACCTCAACCCGTTTGGGATTCGCACAGATACATTCTCTTCAATTTGCAACAATACATGATGGTGTCGAGCGCCATGCACGAGGCTCATTAGAGCCGGACTAGTGGGCAAGCCGATGGTCGAACGTAACACGAAAGACTCTGGCTTAGCGAGGCCACCCCGAACCTGTTCTCGAAGGTCGCCGATCTCACCCCTCAACCACCTCAAGTGGCCTTTTCGTACTGCTACACGAAGTCAGTCATACTACTCTCAGAAATGTACCAATCTCCTCGCCAGTTTCTTCAACGGAGACTATTTCCCGTGCCACCTCTCAATCGTTGTTCAATGGCCAGGAGAAGGTCCGAGCGACTGTGATGGGTCCAATTCCTCTCAGCAAAACTGGTCTCTGTCTCCCACCATTTTGTTCGCCGACCACTACACCGCAGAGAGGCCCTGGACCCCCTTTTCCTGTCCGCGAACACCCTGGCACCCTCCTCGGTCTAGCCGTGATCCTAGCTCTGCCATGGCCACGTGGGATTGGATGACGTCCTGTCATGTTTGCTTCCTTGCCCAAGCATGCTCCTTTGGCATTTACTGCTAAGTCTGGCATGTTCACCACGGAAAGAGTGCTGGTCTCTGGCTTCCTCAGCGACTTCCCACTAGGGTTACCTTGCGTAGCAACGTCACGCTCGTGAGACCTATTTACTCTGAAACGTACCTCGATGTAGCAGCTAGGGGAAGTCACCGTTTTAGCTGGACTCGTCTCTTCCGATCGGCTGTTTTTTTTGCACGGTATACCGGTTCCGGTGTTACGGGCTGGAGGTGGCACTGGCCGCTCTCCGGTCTTGAGGCGGACAGCTGATCAAGCGGAAAATGGGAAGGCGGACTCTTCCCAACGTGCTGCCACAGTCGCACAGAAGGTACGAACATTTCGACATGTTTCTCTTACCTGTATTTGGCACGGGGATGAATCTACCGGGAAGTGTCAGATGCAAGGCTCAGGATTGCATATAAAATGGACCTGCCCTACCGCAATCCATCTTGCTCGACTCCTCTGGTCCTTTTCAAAACGTCCAACATTGTCAATCACTGCCAGCCTGCATACGCAAACCCCACCTTGCCTAAGACTCAACACTATTTCGACTCTCCTTTCAACCAACAGAGCATTTCCTCAGCCTCATAATGTGCGATCACCCAAAGGTCTGGGACACCTGCCGTGCCTGCGCAGGACATCCTCCACGGTATGCTCCTTCTCGAATGTTTACTGAAGCGTCTATACCGAGCCTGTGTCGGCGTGAAAGGATTCGTGTCCAGGAGCTGATTTTCACCATAGCGGAGCCCAATGCAAGGCATGCAACGGAGATGGTCACGTCAAGGCCCCCTGCACTAGGTGCTCATCGTCTGGTCGCAAGCTTGAAGATGACACTGCGCGGTCTAGGAGCCATAATAGACAGAATGTGGTTCATGGTCGAGATGACGGTCAAAAAGTGTCGAGAAGTTGATTTTATGCCGAATTGGAAGTGCCGCACTCTACCGGAGACATTCATATATATTCCCACGCGATTTGAGGACACTCAAGAGATCTCGTGGGCAGGGTGAAGTTTACGATTGCAGTACAACCGCAGCCCTTAGGAACACATTCCAAAGCTACTCTTCGCCTCCACTACACTTTCTCTTCTTCTTTGGGAGCTCAGTATTTCCCAGCATAATCACTGCCAGTAAAACTGTTAAGACTCCGGATCGGGGCACCAAACAGAACGCGAAATTAGCCGCCGACTCTCGCACGACCCCTGATCGCGTCTTTGTCTCTGCTGTCCTGTTCAACCTGCAAAGTACATGTCCTTGACACATCGCAACCTACGAATCATGCTCACCGGGGAACTCTCATCTGGCATGGGTGGGGCTGGGAGTACATGCTGCTGGTCCTTTTGGGTAGTTCTGTGTAACGCCTCCCCTGGATGGACTCGTTGGTTTTACATTTGACAGAAGATACAACTGATGCTGTGCTGATGCCTCGAACCCTATGACGGTCGGAAGATATGTTATCGGACCGAATTCGTGATCTGGCGAGCGTGTGATGTGGCTGTCTTGTGGCTGCCGTGCGACTGTGTTAAGTCTAATGACTGTTGATCCCAAGCGAACCTGTCACTCGACCATGCGATTGGCAGGACATTCCATTGGCATGGCCTGTCTGATCCGGTTACAGCATGCTTGAAATGGCATTGTTACAGCTGACAAGGCTGACCTGACTTCGCCTGTGCCTTGCTTGCGCCTTTTCCAAATACCCCGAAGGCCCCTCCAGTTCGAGAGTGTGAAACAAAATTGACCGGTTGGTCCTCAAGAAAGTCTTCCGAATGGAGGAAGTAAGAAATTTGCGCAAGAACGCGCAGTAATAGACCCTTTGGAAGCAAGTGGTACAGATCAGATCTGTCAGTCGGTCTCCCCAGGTGGCATTCCTTTGGTTGCAACGTCATGAGAGAACCATCATGCACGAAGACACACAGCCGGGGACACCGAGCTTCATGCCCGCTGTCACAAGCATGACGTCTTCGAGCCTGCTTTTGTTGTTATGGCAGCCTCTCAGCGCTTTCATGGCCCTATTGCCAGACACCACAAGGGTCGGATCACACGACTAGACTTACTACACACCTCTCTCTACACGCAAGGACTTACTGAAGAGGGTAGTCCTGGGCCAACTGGGTAATCTGCCCGAAGTCCCGAAGCTTGTGATCTCCACGTTATCGGCAGACAGGCGGCCTGGCAGCTTAACTGGCAAGTTCGGCCTTTTGCATATCAACTTTGCAGGAAATGAAGCGCGTTCCTGAAACGACCCCCTTCAGCCGACCTAGTGTAACGAACGGTCCGCCTCTCTGAGATTGAGGAAGTCCCGCCGTTTCGGCATATAAGCCAGGCACTTCGCATATCTGTCATCACCAACGGTAGCAACTACCTGGTTTCGAGTATTTGCCGGGCAAGACACTCCAGCTCCGAGATTGCGTCCGCTACAGCATCTCTCCTTTTAGGCCAGCGAGCGATGACGTGGCGTATCTGTACACCATCCTCGTTTATGATTTCATTTTCTGTGCGCGTGACAGGGAAGGAAATCCTATGGGCAGTGGGGGAGCTGTGACTTCCGGTCGTGGTTCAGGATCATTTCTCCGCTGGCGAGGTCCTCAAAATTCCACTTCTGTGGTCTTGTCAAACTCGGGGAAGCGGAAGATCAGCCAGCGTGTTATGCTAGCATTTGAAATGAGAACGCTGTGGCATTATCGGCATGATCAGCTACCCCTTGCAGCTACGACGGTCTAGAAAAGAGAAGGATCTACCAACAAGACTGGAGCCATCTTGAATTTTGGATGTTGATCGCAAAGCAGAGAGAACCAAGTCTCTCCCCATTCACCACTTCGAGGTTCGAACGTCGCCACGGTAATTGCGCGCACGCACACGCCGAAGCTGGAAACTATCATTGAAACACCTCTCACGGACCACGGATTTCGACTGTCGACTAGCCCAAAAGAAGCCAGTCGGCTGCCGCAAACCTCAGTTCTAGCTATTCCAATGATTGGAAACTCCCTCTATGACTTCTTTGATCGAAAACGACAGTCCTGAACCGAGACCGCAATCGCCATTGCCTCCTGCGAAGCTGCTGAACCCATTGCCACCGAGCGATCTGTGCCAGTTTTTTTCTTGGGTACAAAAGAAACAATAAAACCAGGCAGTAGTGCATGAGCCGTCCGGACACCTACACGAAGCCTGGGGCACATCTATTATTTCACATACGAGTATAAAGATTTCTCAATCTTTTGTGTATGAGTGTTCTTCAGGTTTGAGGGACTGTCCTTCTAAGGTGTCTCGCGGAAAAAGAAGTTCTTTCTGTCGGAATGTTGGCACCTCCTCCTTAAGAAGTGGTGAGGCTATCCCCTTTTCCATAACTCGTTTGTGCAGACAGGGAGAGTTTTTTGACACATTATTTCCGTCTCTTTATGTACATGTCGGTCGGGAGTAGTGTGTGTCACCATTCACTGCAATGCTTCGTTGTATAGTGGGGTTTGCGGTTCGACTCGCAAGGCTCTGAATTCCCCAGAACCCCTGAATCTCGCCCCCGGCAGTACCTGAGCAATCACACTCGTCAGTCATTACGCCATGGTGGAGTTGCAGATCCTTCGGTCTAATATATATTACTCATAGGCGGTCTACTGTACACCCCAAGTATATTCAGCCGACATCGGTAGGCGCAATAGGCGGTATCGGCCAAGATCCCGTCGATGCCGTCCCAACCATCGAGGTCGCCTTCAAAGCTGCTTACGCAACTTAATTCTTTCCATTCTCCTCTTTTCTCGCAATCCCTCCACCTGAGGCCAGTGAGTACGTGGGTGTTTGTATACACCCGAGCAGCCAAGGCCCCGAGGTCATGTCTGTCATCCTCCGGCCCCTGACATGGTTCTATCATGAATTCGGCATCGTGGCCATCCATGAGACTGGGAGAAATGCGTGGCTCATTATCCTGGCACGAACGTGCCGGATGTTTGCCTATGGGACCAATTCGTTGATACTGGGTAAGTCTCCGACCATGTCTCGATGCTTCGGCTTGCGAATATGTGTGTACATGCATAATCCTTCCTCCTCCGTTCCACAGGTAAGGCCAGAGGGTACCGTGCTGCATATATCCAAGTCCGAGGCAGAGTCATCCAACTGCTCTCGCACGGTTGATCCCTGTTTTCTCACGGGGATTTCTTTTTCACAGCAATCTTCTTTTCGGCGCTCAACTACTCCGACCACCAGATTGGCATCTTCATGACCCTCACGTTACTCGGCGATGTCTTCCTTGGCACCTTCTTGACGCTGATAGCCGACCGGGTGGGTCGTCGCCGCGTCCTGATGGCCGGGTCGGTCCTGATGATCTTGAGCGGGTTTGTTTTTGCGATATTTGAGAACTTTTGGATCTTGCTGGGGGCGGCTATCCTCGGGGTGATCAGCGTCACGGGAGGCGACTTTGGTCCGTTTAGGAGTGTGGAGGAGTAAGTTTTACGTCCTTTCTTCTGGTCCCTTGGATCGCTCGTCCCTTTGTGCCGGCGAGAGTCTTGAGACGGGACGGATTGACAGATTGATGCTAACTCACGTCACTTTGGCCAGATCTGTTCTCTCACAGCTAACAACACCTTCAAACCGAGCGGATGTTCTCGCTTGGTATGTCACGACGTCAACGCTGGGCTCGAGCATTGGCAGCGAAGCTTCGGGGAGAGTAATTCACTTCCTCCAAGCTCGCCCGGGATGGACAGAGGTCGACGCTTATCATGCGCTATTTTGGATATACTCGGTCATGGGGGTCGTTAACGTGTTGATTGTCTTCCTCTTGACGGAGGCCTGCGAGTTGAGGCCGGACAGTAAAGGTCACGAAGTGTACGCGAGCGTCCCGCAGGACGAGAGGGACGAAGACGCCAGGGAGGAGGAGGAGGTGGTGGTGGAACTGTCGAGACCGAACGGTACCGCCGCAGACGATATCGAAGCAACAGCACCGACCACTCCGACCACAGCAGCTCCATCACAACCTCAATCACACTCACATCTACATCATCATCATCACCACCATCACGCATCACCGGCCTCCAGTAAGCGCTGGACGTCACGAACCAAATCGTGGTTCTCGGCCGCCTTTGCCCAGATCTCCAAGCCGACACGGACCATCATGTACAAGCTGTGGTTCTTGCTGGCGATCGACTCGTTGGCGGACGGGATGGTGCCGTACTCGCTGACCAACTACTACATGGACATCAAGTTCCACCCGGCAAAGTCGACGCTGGGCGATGTGACGTCGCTGTCGTACTTCCTGGGGGCGGTGGGGGCTGTCTTTGCGGGCCCGCTGGCGCGCAAGATCGGGCTGATCAACACCATGGTGTTCACGCACGTGCCGTCATCGGCCGCCGTGCTGTTCTTCCCGTTCCCGCCCTACCTGTGGCTGACGGCGGGCTTGCTGCTGCTGCGCACGGGGCTCAACAACATGGACCAGGCGCCGCGCTCGGCCTTCATCGCCGCCGTCGTGCGCCCCCACGAGCGCACCGCCGTCATGGGCATCACCAGCATGCTGCGCAACCTGGCCGCCATGACGGGGCCGAGTGTGACGGGTGTGCTGGCCGAGGGAGACCGCTTCGGCATCGCGTTCGTCGCCGCGGGCGTGTGTCGTCTCGCCTACGACTTTGGCCTGTACGCCTTGTTCGTTAACGTCAAGTTGGAGGGCTACGAGAAGAGGGGGCGGACGAAGAGAAAGAGTACCGGATCGCAGGACGACGGGGACGAGGAGTCGGACGACGACGAAGAAGTGGTGGAACGGGACAGAGCTCGCGGGATGGCCAACGGCCTCCTCCCCTCGGGCGCTCACCGCCACGGACACGGACAAGACGAGGTCGTCGAGCTCGCGAGTCTCGCGGGCTCCTTGGAGGACGACAGTCGCACAGGGGATCATGACGGCGGCGAGCTGAACAAACACAGGACCAGAGTAGAGAACGTCGCCGCCGCCGACGACGCTAAAGAAGCGACCGCGACGATCACCACGACACCGCTGGCGCCGCCGCCGCTCTCACGCGCCCTCCAAGTCCCCTCCTCTTCACCCGACGCGCTGGATCGCGTGCGCAGTCGGAGTCCGCACCGCGCGACGGATGTCGACTGAATGAATAATTGATGAATACGGATACAGCGGCCTACGCAAGCAACACAACACAACGTGTACATACATACATATTCATATACATGTACGCATTACATGTACGCAGCACACAATATCGAATGACGGATGGATGATGTGGATGTCGACACTGTGGACATGAACATGGGCATAAACATGGACATGGACATGCAGATATATCTCTATCTAGCTATGTGTCGATACCATTCATGACAGATGAAACTTCTTACGACCCGGAACGAAGGATAGGGGGAATGGAGAATGGAGAATGGGAATGGGACTCGGGGTACAGTGGGCAGGAAGGTAGGGCATGGAAAAGGAAGAGGGCGTGAAAGGGCATACATACATACATCAAGCAGGAAAATCTTATTGATTGATTGATTGAAATGTCCATGACATCCCAAATTCATTATAAATATATATATATATATATCTGACCAAGGCAAGGTAAGTACTCTTTCCTTTGCTTGCTCGCTCCCTTTATCCCTCTCTCTCGCCGATATCCCGTTCGTCATAATCAACGAGGGAGACAAACATGACCTGCTGGCAAGGCACATGGGGTAATTAATACCTTCTTTAGTAATGAATGGCAAGATCGAAGTGACTGAGTGCATGCAGCATGTGTCGACACCCATGTCGACAAACTCCCACTGAGAAAGTGCAGGCACGAGGGGCGAGGGCGCTGATGTCCTGTCCTGTCGTCAACCTTTTGCACTGCGAAACGACATCCACACACAGTAAATAGAGTATAGAACGCAACGGTGTATGTTTGCGGCGCCAGGATGAGGCGGTCAGTCAGGCCACACATATGGTGCCGAGAGCGTCGATTTGTGAATGATGTCTCCCTGCCGCAAGCATCGCCGGGTTGCCCAACGCTGATTCTCTCCCGCCGTGCACCTGAGACCACATCCTTCAACTCGGGGCACAACTTTCCTGTCGGTGTCACTGGCATCGTCGCTTCCGGGAACAACCAAGTTTCTGATTGTTCGAGGGGCTGAATTTCGGAACTCGTTCTTTGACGCTGACACTCCGCATCCGCTGATGTCCGTCACCTGTCGGCCGAGCGAATCAATCCACTACGAACTGTTCAAATGCCGCAGATCGGTCGGAGATATGCCAAGGTCATATCGCCAGCAGAAATTCGCCGGGTGGTCAGCAAGAACGGTGGGAGTAAGCTTCTCGGAAGGGTGGCCGAGTTCGCATGAAAGCGTCGCGACAGTTTGGACATCAGCCAGATCGCCCTGGCGGTGGCGACGAGTTGATTGCCATTGTCTGTGAACGAAGTCCAGGCCAACTTTATCCAGCAGCATAGGTACTCTTACTCCGCAAGGTCTCGCCATATTTCCACAGGAGAATCGGTGCAGGAAGACCAAGGCCTATGGCAATGAACCCAAGCAGGGAGTTTCCCCAATCCACCCCAAGGGCCTGGTACATGTAGGGAGCAAAGAGGGGGCTGTCGTCGGCACACACAATGGTCAGTTTCAATTCCCAGGTCGGTGACATGAGAGGTGATAGGGAATCGCTTACAATCCGAACCCTGCCAGACTCCTCAGCACCACAGCTGAAGCCACAGCAGAGGCTGCAAAACGTGAATATGCATCCACAATGTAAGTCTGACTGCACTGAAAGCCCATAATCGTCCCTGCCGCAAAGATAGCAGCTCCAATATTAGGAACAATCCAGTGAACACTGGATCTTGCGGTCCAGCCGTAGACGAAAAGACCGACCGGCACGAGGGCGGCTCCCGGAATCATAAGCGGTACGCGGAACTCGGGTCTCCCAACGTCATTGTTTCGTGCCTTCAGTTTGCGATAAATACGGTCGTTTATCGGAGCACAGATCTGTGTGCCCAAGAAGAAGCCCACTCCCAAGGAGATATAGTTCAAGCCGCCGATGCCGACGGTTTCGTGGTATGTTCCCTCCCAGACCGAGGGAAAAGTGGATAGGACCAAATACATAAGACCGTACAGGTACGCCCTTGCAAACTTGTTAGTGGCTGCCGTGCCGTGTCTCGACGGGACGTGACTCACATATACATGGCCAAAGCCTGAATAATAGGTTGGGTTCCCAGAAGACGAAACGGGCGGACAAGGCTCGTGCGGAGGACCTTCCCAAGTGTTCTATCGGGACGATCCCACTCAGTATGGTAGTTTGGGTCGCCTGTCTCTTGCCGGAGCTTCTTCGCTTTGTCGTTCAATAATTTCGGCGCATAGGTTTCTCGTAGATAGATCAGGCCAAGAACTTGAATGCCAGCGTCCACAATCGAAGTCGCCCAGAAGCACCATCGCCAGGTTGTCTGTTCAACGTCAGCCCCCCGAAAGATCATCCACGTCAAGATCTGACGTACCTTTAAGGCGATAAATCCACCTGCAATTGGCCCAACCGCAGGACCGAGGAGGGGTGCAAGGGAATAGATACTGATAGACTTGCCACGTTCTTCTGCGCGCCAGCAGTCACTCAGAACTCCTCCACCCAGGGCCAGGGGTGCACTACCACCCAAACCACTGAGAAACCGAAATGCGATGAGTTGACCCTGGGTTTGGGCGAAGCCGCACCCAAGATTCCACGCGAGATAGAACAAATTCGAAAGTTGTAAAACAATAACTCGGCCATACATCTCTGACAAAGGACCCAAAAACAGGGGTCCGATGGCGTAGGCAAGGACGAAAATAGAAAGGGTCAATGACTTTTCGATGTCCTGGCTAATCCCCAAATCTTCGCCGATTTTGTTGAGAGCTGGTGCCACCATCGACGACGACACAGGTGAAATGAACGTAAACGACGACACGATGAGAGTTGCCGCCCATTTCTTCCGGTATGTCCAGTTCTTGGGATTTTCGGGGTCATCGGCGCCCTCCCAGGTGACCTACCAGAGAATTGCCTCAGGATTTGCTTGTGGTCAATGATCAGGGAATGCTACACTTACCAGGTGGGGATCTTTCAGTGATCGAGTCGACTTCTCAGTTTTCAACTCTGGCAGGTTGACTCCTGCTTCGACATCACGGCTATTGACCACGCCAAACCTGACTTCCTCCTGCGACTCTCCCGCGGTACTGCTCGTGGAGATGGCATCCTCCTCGATTATGGGACCTGCGCCATCGTCGCGCGCACCGAAATAGTCCTCGTCGGGCGTCGCATCGACGTGGTAATGGTGGGCACCATGGTCATCCATGAATTGAGGCGAAAACAATTGGTGAGAATCATCCTCGGGAGTCGATCGAGCACGTCTTAAAGAAGCACGCGACGATCGCCTGGCCCGGTTTTCGGGCGCTGTCCGTGTTTTGTTTAGGACTGTGTCCATTGTCCGGCTCGTCGGCGCGCGTTATCGTCCTGCAGAAAAGGTAAAAGCTAACGCGGGATCGCGGCACAGAAGGCACATGAAGAGTGAGGGGGTGGAGAGAAGCCGAGGGCTTTTTAAATCCTTCTTTCCACGCCATCTCGTCTGGAGAAAGAATCGTATTTTATGCATAATGACCGGCCGGTGAGCGCACAACGGGCCACTGAGATGACGAGGCATTGCAAAAAGACCCTGGCTGTGCGTGGAAGGAAACAAAAGAATCTGGGAGAATGTGTTGCCGCCACCCCGGTCGAAGCCTGAAGGATCGCATCGAAGCAGGCACGGAACTCGGCACAGTCAACAAAGACTTACAACAAGACTTTATTCGGCCCGGGGAAGACGTGCCCAACACGTCACCCACGCCGTTGGCCAGGTGCCCACTGCGCCCAGCCAGGGCCGTTAACGGAGAGTTAAGCTTCTGATCGGCAAGGTTGGTGCAGTCTTGATTTGACCTGTGTTGAAGAGATCAATACATAACATACATGGAGATGATGGGAAGAAAAAGTGACAAATTCGAAAATGCTCCGATCACATGATCTGAGCCTCTCACGTGATCATCGTCGCCGCCTCCATCTCCCAACAGCGACCTACTGAAGCCATGGAAATGATCGATGTTGCACGGAAACACAGCACCAGATCTACATATCTGGAACGCTCTGTCCCTAGCAATATGGGCAACCACGGCTATCGCGGCCCCCCCCATCTGCAACCCTATGTGTGATCCGCCAACGCGTAAGCACACAAAAACCCAAGCCTAACTGGAAACACGAGACTACCTTCTCTGACCGCTTTTGATCCCTTGATCCTCGATCGAGTCGATGGGCATTATGAACTGCACCTCCTTTTGACTTAATGCCCTCTCCTCAACCTTGCTCGCGCCTTTTCTCCGCCTGCATGTCCTCATGCCCATCCAGATCCTCGCCGTGCATCTGCACATCCAATAGCGTATCCAACTCCGGCCCCATACCCAAATTCATATCCAAATCCATTGAAAACTCTTCTTGGACCCCCATTTCGTACCCCATGTCTTGCCACCAGTCGGCTGCTGTGTGAGGCACGGTGGCCGCGAGGGAAACTGGGAGGGGCCCAAACAATGGCAAGGCATCAATCCCATCATCGAGCTTAGGACTCGAGGGCGATACGGGCAATGCCATCGGTAGCGACATGCCCGGTGGTTGAAGTAGTGCTTGGTGTGGCGTGGGCATCTGGAAGGAAGATTGGCGAGATGGTGTTGGTCGTCGTCGCGAGGGAGAACCCGTCCCCGGCCTAGGTGACCCTGCCACGCCCGGTCCCTCGAAAAACCCAAGACTCCCAGCGTCTCCAGAACCACCAGCAGGAACATGTGCCGGCACCCCCACAACCAAAGCTGCCAAAAACTCGAGCTTTCTCGTCACAAGCACCTGCAAAAATCGATCCAGAACTCGTTCAACGTAGACAAACCTCTTCAGAACCCGTCTGACGTTTTCCCAAGCTTCGATATTTGATCGTTGCAGCACCATCGCGAAATGCACGCTAAACCAACGTGCGTGGATGATATCGCCAGGATGCTCAACCGCAGGGGAAGGGATCACGCCCGCCCTGGTGATGTGTGGTGGTGCTTGGACTCGATTCGGCCCGTCGGACTCTTCGACGACTGCGCCGGCGAAAAAGAGGAAGAGAAGGGCGTCCGTAGGGACTGGGCTAGCTGGCCTTCTTCCACCACCGTCCTTGCCCACTTCTGCCGCTTGTATGCGTCTATGCTGGCTCATGAGGGCCATGAGCAGGTCCAATCGTGTGCGTAAGTGATGGCACGGTATATATGCCATGCTTGGAGCGTTCATGCCGTATCGCATGACGAATTGGAACATGTAGCTGGTGGCAAGCACGATACTCGAGTGAAAGACATCGTGTATCTGTGCCAACAGCGACTGTTCGTGGTCCTCCGACTCCATAATGTCCATATACCTGTGCGACGAGAGACAACTCAAGGCGTACTGGCGCAGCGACAGCCATGTGTATATCAAATCGGCTCGGTCCTGGCCGCTTTCACCCGCAGATTCGGACATGTTTGGAGAGCTCGATGTGTCGGCAAGGGCGAAAGCTAGTTCATTGGCCGCCAACGCCTCGCGATGCCAGTTGATCAGCTCCAACAAATGCTGCGAACTGTTATTGTCATCGCCCTGGGCGGCAAGGGGAAATATGGCGTGGTCTGTCTCCTCGTATACGTGAGCGTCGAAGCTAAACAGATGATCAAGCGGTCGCAAGGAGGGCTCTTCAGCCCATGGCTTAGGCGCCCAGGACTCAAGGTCCATTGACGGACGTCTTGGAACATGGCTTGCCGTGAGCGAGTCACAGAGGATCAAAAGATACTTCAGCACCGGGTGCAGCGATTCAAGACCTCCTTCAAGACTTTGAAGAAGCCGCATTGATGCCGCACGGTGAACCTGACAGCTCTCTAAATCGTGGCAGTGGAAACTAAACGTTGTCATTCCATGGATCAAACTCAGTGCTTCTTCCGTGCTGATACCTGGTCGGGCGAGCTGAGCTCGGGTCTCTTCGAGGCATTTTCCATAATGGTGGATCGCCCTAGCCCACAACATCGGGGTGTTGTCTGTCGGAGGAAGATAATTTGTGATATAGCTGAGGGCGCCAGAGAAAAGGCCGTGCAGCATGGCCGGATTGTTGATGACCATATTCCGAATCCAGCCGTCGGTGAATTGGACTGCTCGGTGCGAAAGATCGAAATAGATATGAGCGGGCCAAAAGTTGGACATGTAGCACAGTCGCCAAAACTGGAGCACAGAGTTGAAAAATGCATCGGGAGACAATTGCGTGGCACCAATGGGGTCTGACGCGCCGCTGGGAATCAGGCTTGGGGGCGATGCGGCCGTGGTCAGTTGCGCTAAAGAAGCGGCATATTCAGCCGGAAGAAGGTTCGAGGTCGACGGGCGGAGGGTCGAAGATCTCGGGGACAAGGCTGGGAACTCATGCGTCGCCGACTGGCTCTGGGATGGGTCTGGCTGGCGTGTCTGAGACTGCCTTTGCTGGTATTGGAGGACTCCTTTCGCCTGCTGCTCTAGAATGTTTTGGATGGATGGAATGGGCTCGGATGTCGGGCTGGGCACGCTCGTTTGGGCTCGCGGGCTGGCGGGTGTCGTGGACTCTGGTTGAGCCTGGCTCTCGCTCTCTGACGACTTGGGCCGGGAAGTGGGCTTCCTCGACCGCCTGGCTATTTGCATGGCATGGCTGCGCACCGCGAATACTTCCTCTCTCTGCCTGGACCTTAGGTTTGTGGCGTTCTTGTTCACGAATAGGAAAGGGCCGGTATAGGCTGGCGGGCGTTGATCTGGCTGGCGGTCACCCGGGTCTTGTTCCGCCATGACAGCTTTCGGCGGCTGATGAAGACTGGAGCGGCGCAAACTGCACCTCGGACTGCAAGACGTTACGTGTGGGTCGTCCTTAGACTCTGCTGCATTGAGACCCAGGTGATGGATTGGTGAGCTTGCCACCCCCTGAGAGTCGTACATTCTGGGAAGGAGCGCGGTTATAAATCCTGTCGTTGCGGACGCCGCATGTGGTTCATCCGGGATATTCTCGTTGATCAATCGAGCATATGGGTATCAGTCTGGGATAAACTGCAACTCGGGAAGCAGGATACCGAAGTCTAGACTTTGGAAGAGAAAAAAACGTCAATAAGGCCCTCAGCTTGGAAATGTCGCACTCCTGTTTAACGTACGGCCGAATATGCTTGCGCTCCCAACCCAAGAAATTGGACCTTCGTCGAAGCGGCGGACTTTCGCATTTTTTAAGCTGAGAAGTAGCCCAGACACGGATTTCGAGATTACAGTTCAGCAGGCCCCCGTACCCCATACCGTTGAACCATGACGGTGTGGACAAGGCTGGTTGGACCATAATCCTATTCCGGTTTGTAGAACCATACCAGGATGTGCAGACGGGACGCCGGATCTAGTGATTGGCCGAGCGTGAGCAATAGTGCAACTTCTGTTCTCAGTGGCTCAGCCACAGCAGCCCATTCCCTAAGTCGACAGTCGGAAAGTCCAAGCCGACGAGCAGCCCTGCCCGACGATAACCTCATGGGCCCTGATGCGATGAGTAAGGCACATGGCGGCGAATTGAAGCCCTGGCCACACCTTTTTGTCCGAGCAGAACCGCGGCTTTCGTGACCCAATGACTAGGCGAGTGCTTGCATAACATTTGACAAACGAGACCGTTGGTGTTGGTTGCCCACATGCCTGCAAGGCCAAAGCATGCAGAGTACGTCAGGCGCATGGCGAGTTAGCCGTCGTAGATCCGGACTGGGGTATTACAGGCTAGATTGCATCAGGCTCGACCACTCCCCCCCAAGACATGTCAAAATGCATCTGGACCCCTCAGGCGATAAGTCAGAAAAGGAATCATCTACCGAGTTGGGCTCGTGTCAGACATCTGGGCGTGCAATCAATGTTGGCATTTGGTCCGGATCAGAGCGCGGGTGCATGGAGCTTTTTATTTGGCCCCCAGCGTAGAGGTTGTGTGTCTATCAGCAATCACTACCGTGTACCGACCCAGGGTTGATCTCATGATGGCGGTTGATATGGATGAATCAGCATCTCCGAGAAACTAATTTACCGACGGCGTCAGTAAGTCGAGCTTATGGCATCAAGATGCGATAGAACTTACCTCTTCAGCTTTTCCACCCCGCGCACCTCGTCCGTCAGGAGGGGCATCTTGACGACGTTGAACTCGTCATAGAGCTCTTCGATCTGGTCCAGGTATTTCTTCTGCATCTTTCGCCTCGCGTTACACTGCTTACATTCATTGCCTTTCTCCGGGAACAACAATTGGTTGACAACAATGCAGTGGGTATCAATATGGTAATTTGCCAGCTCTTGAATCATTCTCTCCGTCTCGTACAGGGAGAGGAACTCGGCGATGCAGACGCAGACAAAAGTGGTCATATCGGGATTTTTGAATTGGCCATTGACTTCGGCAATAGTCTCTCGCAGGGACTCCAGCTTCTGCGTCAGTTCGTCGAGTGTGGCTCCGCCGGGAAGGCCTCCTCTTGCGCCGATGACGGATTGCAGCATGGGACCGAACTGGGTGGACAGCTGAGAGATCTTTGCCAGCGCCTTCTCCAGCACCGTGGGGAACTGTAAGAAGCGAAGAGTGTGGCCGGTGGGAGCCGTATCGAAGATGATGACTTCGTAGGAGAGAGACTTGACCTGCTTGAGCACTTCGGCAAAGGACATGGCCTCATCAACGCCAGGAATCTGTCTAGATTAGCACCTCACTTTGCAAAAGAATGAAAGACTGCATACGCTGAAAGCCAGATCTTGCATCATGTTGCCCATTCCACCCAGTCCTGCCATGGCATTCTGAGCCTCATCCCCGCCACCACTGATGAGGTCGTTGATGGAACCATTTGGGTCGATTTCCATGGCGCTGAGGTTTGTAAAGCCCTCAACCAGTCGTGCATCTTTGCCAAACTTCTGGCTGAAGGCGTCACTCAAGTTGTGAGCGGGGTCGGTCGAGATCAAGAGCACCGATTTCCTGGCTTTCGCCATTTGAATTGCCAGCGAGCATGAGGTTGTTGTCTTGCCCACACCACCCTTTCCACCCACGAAAATCCATCGTAGCGACTTCTGGTCGATGAGGTTTTGGAGACTGGGGTCAAGGACGTCGTCGTCGGCGCTGATGATCGCAGTCGACATCTTCCTGCGTGCAAGTTGGATTTGTCCACGTCGTCTGACTTGTTGTGACCCTCCTCTTGTGACCCGACGGTTCTGACCACAGTAGCGCGCAGAAGACCACCTGCTGTTCTCGAATGTTCCCCGATCGGTTTTGAGTGCACGGAGCGATAGAAAGGCTGGCTCGAAACGTACTGTGTAGCTTTCGGAATCTATGTCAAGGGAAGTAAGGTATTCTATCGTCTATGGGCTAGAAAAGGACAGCAATCCTGTCAAAAAAGCAGACCTGATCCTAAGGGTGACCGTGACCCAGGCAGGTGGAGATTGGTGGCCAGAAAATCGCAGGCCGCAAGTCGCAGGTGCGATGCTCAAAGGTCCCACGTCATGGCTTCCCGCTTCTGTGATGTATGCGTCGTATCTCGTATTCCGCCGCCCAAGTCTGGCGTTTTGAGTACCCATGGTCGTTATCACCTGTGGAAAGTATGTTAGAACGGAAGCAGTGAAGAAACTGCAAAGTGGAATAAACATGATTTGAAGAAACTTTGCATGAGTTCTCTACCGAACTCTGCCAGAGTTCGAGCCATGGATCTGGCTCATAGTTGTGACACCAGCTTAAATGCTATGGTAAGAAGAGGTAAATTTGCACCCTTGCGACATGAGAGGCGCCACCTCTATCCGACCATAACTCCCCCGAGTGCCATCTACGTACGTACATGCTTGCCTGCTTCTCTGGAAGTCGAAATCGCTTTTGGAAAGGAAAAATGATGGAACATATGAGGTCGGTTGTCGGACTCGCTCAATCGAAAGTTCATGGCTCCGTAAGATGATGTTAGTTGTACAATAGAAAGTGGTATAGGTATGAGGTGCCGCCGAACCGGCAACTGAGTGATTAATCGTCTTCATCGCCGTGACGATATGTGCAGGCGTCGCCCTTGATGCATTTGCCTTGCTCCCAGAACGTGCACATTAGTGTCTTGTAGAGGTATGGTTTTGAGTCCCCCTTTTTCTTCTTGGTTCCGCCTTTCCTGCCGTACTCATAGTCGTTATCGTTCTCATTTGAGTCGCTCCGGCCATGTTTGCGTGATCCATCGTCGAAGTTAGCGACGTAGGGGTTGGGGTTCCCTCCCAGGCCCACAGGCAGAGCCTTAGCAGACGTTCCGCCTTGGGCACCTTGTTGCATCGAGGCCCAGAGTGCGCCTAGATTTGGTGCCAGGGTCGTAGACTGGCCAGCGGATGGATACTGAGCTTGTTGAGGTTGACCTTGCGGTTGGTTCCCAAGGACTGTCTGGAGAAGCGCCTGCAAGTTCACATTTGCAGCCGGCGTGGCTTGCACGGCAGGGCTTGGTTGATTCGGCTGATTTGACCGGCCCAGCATGCTCAGAGCACGTTGAAGCTCCGGGGGAATTGCTCCTGGCTGTGGTTGAGACATCTGCGACGCAGACATGGCTTGGATTTGAGTCGCAAGATCTGTAGCAGGCGTTGTCCGGACTTGTCGCGCCAAGTACTCCTTCTCTCGTCGACGTGTCTGCTCGCTAGGCTCTCCGAAAGGTGTATCCGGCTCGGCAGGCTCAAAATCACCTTCGTCCTCCTTCGTATCATCGGGCTCCTTTGGCGTCGGCGGGCGGTCGGCCTTGGAAGTGTAGAGTGCCATGAGTGTGTCTTGCTCGTATTTATTCTGTGCTTCACTGCTTGGGCTGGTAGGTTTCATCGAGCCCCCGAATTTGGGTGAATTGATCAAGTGTGGTGAATCTTCGCCAAGCAAAGCATCCTCAAGGTAACTAAAATCCACCTCGGACGGTGATGTATATGGCTCAAAATCTTCGAAAGAGTCTTCGTCTTCTTCGTCATCCAGATCATCCAAATTCTTGTGGTGTTTAAGCGCTTCGCCTTCACGACCGGTGTCTCCAGCGTCGCGTTTCAGACGGTCGCCCTGGTCCAGCTCTTCGTCAGGATCATGGGTGAACAGGCGAGTCTCCACGAGCTCCGCATCTGCTTTCCAGGTGACACGGAGTTTCCGACGAGCTTCCTTCCGCAGTCTCTTGGCCTTTTGTTCTTCGGTCTCATTCGGGACCTCGTTTTCCTTTTTGGCCTCTTTTTCAGGCCTTTTCTCCATGTCTGCGAGCAAACCCAAGAAGGACGACGCGTTTGCAGCCTTTGTGACAGGCGCGGAGACGCCATTTCGCGGTGGTGACTCTTTGCCCGTGTTCAGTTTCTTCGCTGGCTGAGCAGGAGCCGTAGAAGGAGATGCCGTTGTGCTGGCCTTCTCTTTCGCAGCTGCAGCGGCTCGTTCTGCGTTCGAGGTGCCTGGCTTTTTTGGAGCCGATGCTAGAGACGCGAAGAGTGAAGACTTCGGGGGTGCAGCTACAGCCACTTTTGCCTTCGCCGCCGGATTGGCCGTTGTTCCTGCTGAGGCAGAGGTTGCTTTCTCTCCCGCCTTCGCCGCATGAGCGGCCTCCAACGCCTTTCTACGTTCGGCATTTTGCAAAGCCAGGGGTTTCGAGGACTGTGGGATCGATTTGGCGACCTTTTTCGGAGCCGGCTGAGTTGACCCATCGCCTTCTCGGAGACGCTTGACCCCCGTCGCGCTCTCCTTTCGTGTCCCGTCTGCTGGACTCCCAACAGATTTAGGTGACATCGGCTTGTCAGCCTTCTTGTCACGAGTGATGGAGGCCTTCTTTGCCGTAGCTGCGACAGCGTTGTCTAGGACAGTCTGTGCCAATGTCTTGACATCACTCGTGGCTTTCTTGGTCAGACGCTGTAGGATCTTTGACATCTTCGTCATCTCTAACATCTCTGTATCCAGCGTCCCGAATTCGACAACAAACTGGTCCAAAGAGGTTAGCCTGGAGTAGCAAAAGTGAACGTTTCTGCTTACCTTGAGGATGGATCTGAGAAGACTACTATCATAATCGGCTGCGTTGAATCTGTCGAGCATGAACGAGTACAAGGCGGACATTGTGAACTGATTTTCACCTAGTCTAAAGGGATTATTAGCAAATGTTATTGGGTGTGATTGAAGGACAGGTATGCCGCGGCCATCCCACAGGTGTACGGAATGGGTCACGAAATGAGGCGGCTTGTAGACTATCTATGGATGTACAGCTATGGTTACAACCATTACGCAAAAGCGACGAGCACATCCATGTCCTTGTGTTCCAGACCGGAGCCAACAAGCTCTGATTGCAATAAAGACAGAAGAATCCGAGCCCCTTGTGTCTACGAAAGGAGGACTCTGGACCATTAAAGGCCATCTCATGACGGAGTGTGCAAGGTGAAAACAAAAAACGGTATGGCAGGGTGGTGGGGGAGGCAACATACCTATCGACGATGTCCGGATGGCCATACAGCAAAGACCTCGTCATGACGGTTTCCATGACTTGGCGGTAGCGCGCCACTTCTTCCTTTAAACTGGGAGCGTCTGCAGCTGTGGGAGAATCAGGAAGCTCTGCTTTTCTCAGACTTTCATTCTTCGTCTTCCAAGCATCTCTCAAGCCTCGCACGACATCACCAAACCTAGCAATGCCACCGCGGATCTGTTCGGGGGAGGCGGGTCTGTTGCGAGGGGTCCAGATAGCTTGCACTGCGGTATAAAGAGCTCTGCCTCGTTCATCGGTTGGCATCGCCACGCACAGTAGGTTTGGCGTCTTCTCTGGAGGCTGCTCATCTTCGACCTCCAAGATTTCCAACTCATCGTCGGAATCCGTCCCAGATCCCGAGGGGTGTTCGGTGGACTTCGCAGATGCATCCTTTCTCGGTCGACCCCTTTTATTTTTGGACGCATCTTGGGGTTTTCCAGCTGTCGGCTTCGCATCTTGTTGTGGCTTTGGCTGGATAGTAACGCCTGCCCACATTAGCTGACGCTGGTGACTTGAATCGAGCTCAATACCTGGAATTGGTGTTTGTGACGTGGCCGGCGGCATCGGCTGCATCGGCTGACCTCCTTGCAGCGATCTCGGGTCCACTGTTGAACCCGTCTTGAAGTACGAAGCCGCCATGTAAGGTTGCTGCGTCTGAAAGCCGTGGTTGGTGTCTGGCAAAGTTACATCAGCGACTAATTCACGGAGAGACCAATGCGTTTTCCTACTCGTATGCATCATCTGATTTGCATTCAACATCGAAGGGTCCACAAAATGATGATTTGCGGGCTGATGGGTTTGGTCTGAGTAGGCCCCGAAGCGCATCATGTCACTGCCCTGGGCCATTGTTAGACATTTTGAGTAGTTGAGACAGCGCTTTTATCTCCTTACCTGGACATGCGACAGCTGTGTCGGGTGCGGACCCATGTTGACATACTGTAATTGCTGTGACTGCCCTTGTTGCTGTTGTCTGGGGGCATAATTCTGCGAAGGAGGGGGAGTTTGAGATTGCATGCTCAACTGCTGAGCACCGAATTGCTGGTTCGGGTAGCGCATCTGATGCTGATACGAATAACCGCCTTCGAACCCCACCGGTGAAGCAGAGGGTCGCGAAAAGAATCGGGGGTCATAGTTGGCTTGATTCAGTTGGCGTGAATCGTAGAAGGGTTGAGAGTACTGATGGTGAGGAAAGGGTCGCTGGGGAACATTGTTGTAGTGTTGTGGATCTGGTGTCCCCGACGGTCGGCCTGTGTTGGGATCGTAGTCCTGCGACATGGACAAGGCGGGTTGAGCATAACTGCTGCCAATGGTGGTAGTGTCGAATAGCTCAGGGTCAAAAAAGCGAGACAGATCTTCTCCATTCTGAAGACCATCGGTGCTCGCATAGGCCTGGATGCCCTCGAGCAGGTTGTACGATTGACCCTTTGTATGCTGAGCGCCATTAAGTGAAGAGTTGGTGGAGGGATCCATGGCGACGCTGATCGGAGGATCGAGAAGCCGCAGTCACGTGGGCGATCGTCTGCCAGTCCAGCGATGGGGGTTACCAGTTAGTCACGTGAAGAATAATAACCGTGTCTGACCGAAGGCCCAATCTGATAAATACCCCCGAGGTAAAACGGGCCCGGAAGAGTCGCTGCGTCGTAGTGGCAGGCAGTAAAGGTTTGGGGCTTATGCCGAGAAATAGTTGCCACTCACAGGCCACAACACGCGCTCGGCTGCATAGAAGGCAAGGAAGTGCAAGTCGCGGCGACTGCCGGCCTGGCCAACGTAACTGAGCCTTTGAGAACTTTTTGTGATGTACTTTGTCAATCCGAAGCAGTAGTAGCAGTAGAGACCGTAGAAATTAAGTGCCGTTCCGGGTACGCAGGAGATTAGTGTTATTTTTGGTTTTTGGCGCTGCTGCTCAGTCCAGTCTCTGTCCGGCTGCAAAACGGGGGTTGATTTGTTTTTTGGGGGGGTCGATAGGTTCTGTGAGGGCCTGTGCCCGTGCCTGTGCCTTCGGCCTTCCGCCTTTTTGCCTTTGCCTGTGCCTGCAACCACCGCCCCCAAGACAGGACAAAATAGGGACCCTTTCTTCTTGGTTCTGGCCGCACTGCGAATCGTGCAAACAAAGGCCAACCTTCCACCCACAACCCTCTCCTCTCTAGTATGAACCAGTCTGAAGGAAACAAGCACTAATGCACTCAATCCACCCGTCACCGATGAGCTGTACACGAACGAGGCTCACAGGGACGTGTTTGAGGCGGGATTCAAATCAATATTAGATGATGAGCGAACGCGCCACAGTCACGCCAACATCAACACACCCCGACTCCAGCCCATGCGGTGATGCCGAATGGAGAACCATTCAATGTCACTTATTACAGAGCACTGTCAGAAGGTGCCGAGGAACAAGATTACAGTGTGGAAAAGGAAGAGAGAAGGAGTTATCGTGGATGAAGTTGTTTTGGGAGATGAAAGGAATAAAGAAATAAGAAGGGAAGTGAGAGAGAGGGAAAGATTGACAGCCAGGTGAACAACCTCTGAGATTGAAGCGCCGCCGCAGTCTCAAGCTAGGCCGCTTTCGGCTTGGCGCCTGGGGTGCCTGTTTGAGACACTTTTTGTCAAGATGGCCATATACTTCGGGAAGCCTTTGGTGTGGAGGGAAACTTCTTTGTGTACAGCCAGAAAGAAGTTAGCCCAGTCGACAATCACGTCTGCTTCTCCGTGATGCGATGTTGTTCTTCTTAAGTCCAGTGATTGCAAGGTCAAGATGAAAGTCAGCCTGCAACAATTCCACCCCAACTTACCGACTGCGGACCTTCATCCACGACCATCATGGCCTCCCGCATTCTGACTCTGCGGGACCGCCAGATAGGTGAGCACTCTTGCAGGATGGCTTGTTTGGCCCTTCACGATTCTCACATGTTCCAGCGTCGATCGAACGCATACTGAGCCTGAACCACGACCCGTCATCTACCTCAAATGGCGATGGCACCGTCAGCCCACCAGCGGCTTCGCTCCTGAACGAGGACGGAGAACCTATATGGAAAGTTCTTGTATTTGACAACCTTGGACGAGACATAATCAGCAGTGTCTTGCGGGTAAATGACCTGCGGAGCAAAGGAGTAACGATACACCTGTCAGTTTGCAAATGGTTTGCCCGGGGCAGAGCAACTACTGACCCATCCACAGAAACATAAATTCCCCTCGCTATCCCATACCCGATGTTCCTGTCCTGTACCTCGTCGAACCTACTCCGGTCAATATCCAGCTCATATGCTCCGATCTGGCCCGAGGGCTGTACTCTCCAGCCTATGTCAACTTCATCTCCTCGATATCTCGACCACTACTCGAAGAATTTGCCGCCCAGATCGCGTCCACAAATACCGCAGACTCCATCGCCCAAGTGTATGACCAATACCTGAATTTTGTTGTTGCCGAACCGGATTTATTCAGCCTGGCTATGGGAAAAGAGTCCTATTGGACGTTTAACAGTGCCAAAGCAGAAGCTGAGGTTCAGGATGCAGCTATAGACAGGATTGTGAGCGGGCTCTTCAGCGTCAGTGTGACAATGGGGTCGGTGCCAATTATACGATGTCCCCAGACCGAGCTGGCCAAAATGATCGCAACCAAACTGGACCGAAAACTAAGAGATCATGTCCTCAACTCCAAAGATAACTTGTTCTCAGCAAAAGGATCCGCCGCCAATCTATACTCCGCACCCTCGCGACCTGTTCTAATAATCCTAGACCGTAACATCGATCTGGTCCCGATGTTATCTCATTCGTGGACGTACCAGTCCTTGGTTCACGATGTCCTGAAAATGCACCTCAATCGGATTACGGTAGATGTTGGCGAGGAGGGTGACGCGCCCGCAAAACCCCGAGCATATGACCTTAATGCAAGCGACTTCTTCTGGGCGCGCAATGCAAGTGCACCTTTCCCTCAGGTCGCCGAAGACATCGACCAAGAACTCACAAAATACAAGACCGATGCAGAAGAGGTGACCAGAAAAACAGGCGTCAACAGCATCGAAGATCTCAACGACAGTTCAGCTTCGGCAGCCCACCTGAAAGCAGCAATAACACTACTGCCTGAGTTGCGAGAGCGCAAAGCCACGCTGGACATGCACATGAATATTGCGACCGCACTGCTCAAAGGCATCAAGGATCGCCAACTCGACAACTTCTTCCAGCTGGAAGAGACCATTACCAAACAAACCGCCGACCAAATGCTTTCTCTCATCAAAGCGGACGACAAGGGTAACAACCCGTTGGACAAGCTGCGAATATTCATCATCTGGTACCTCAGCGTCGACAGGGAACCCTCGAAATCGGAACTCTCGGAATTCGAGTCGGCACTCACAGCCGCCGGTGTGGGAGATGCCGTGACAGCAATCAAACATATCTCCAACGTTCGTCTGGAAACACGAGGGACGATGATGAGCTCCACAGCCCCATCTCAGCAACCGTCCTCACAAGCGCCGTTGTTTGGTGGCCTCTCCTCCCTCTCCAAAAATTTCACCGAAAAGCTCTCTTCCACTGCACTCGGGAACACTTTCAGCACCGTAAATCTTGAAGCCCTCGTTTCCGGAGTGAAGAATTTTTTGCCGGCGAACAGGGATCTCACGGTGACAAAGATAGTTGAGTCAATTATGGATCCTCCGGCCGCGAGCTCAAGCGCCATCGCCATGACCGAGGGATATCTATATTTTGACCCGAGAAGTGCACATGCACGGGGGATTCCTGGCACGGCAAGCGGCTCGAACCCGCCGTCGAGAGACGGGAGGGCAGGCCCTGGTGGTCAACCGGGTGGCGCAGGTGTGAATCCCAGCTTTGGCCAGAGGAGGCAGGGGTATACGGAGGCCGTTGTCTTCACTGTGGGAGGAGGCAGCATGGATGAATACGGCAATCTACAGGAATGGGTCAAGCGGACAAGTGGGCTTGGAGCCGCCGGTGGTGGTGGCGGAGTAGGCGCCAATGCCCCCAGGACAAGGAGGGTCGTCTATGGGAGCACCGAGCTGGTCAATGGGGAGGACTTTTTGTCCGAGTTGGTGAGGCTAGGACAGGAACTTTAACAGAGAAATACAGCGGCCACGTGATGGAAACGAGTCAATAGACTTGCAACTACAAGTAGCGAGACACCAATTAAACGGAATCTCAGAAGGTGAAACAGTGTTTCACTTGCTATCATTCTATCTATGTACAAACCTCGTTTTCCTTGTTTTCCTCGGACACATGCCCTCTGATCACCATCGTCAAGTGTACATACACGAACGGTCCAGACGAAAACCGACATCCCAAACCATCAACATCAAAATCAACGATAACAATAACAATAACAATGCAAGCCTCACGACCGTCGTGGCGTGATATAATCCGGCCGGACAAAAGTGCGCGAAATGCAGTGCGGCGACAAGCTTCCCCAAGGCTTTTCCTTCTTACCTATCGTACTCTTGGTCATTCACCTTCTGCCTCTGGAGAATCTACCTCCTCCAGCTCTCTTCGCCCGAGAGTTTTTGTTCTTGATCTTCAAGCTGCGGAAGTTCATATGCGCGTAGGCGTTCGGGTTGATCTTGCGCGTCGTCGTCATCATCTCGTCTTGGCCCGTGCTGCCGGATGAAGCGGTCTTCGAGGCTTTCGACTTAGGTTTCGTCCTTCCTGGATTTCCTTTTACGGGCTTATCCGAGTTGGGGAAGAGTTGTGATTCTGGAACCATGGTAGAAGATGATGTCTTCGACTTCGATGCGGCCTTTCTCCTGTTGACTGGTCGGTCATTTCTGGGTACGACCTCGTCTGCCTCTTCACATGTGTCTGGATCATAAAATCCATCATCATCTGATTCGTGGTGTTCAGCAGTGATATCCTCCGTGTCCGAGCCGTCTGGTTCGCCGAAAGTGGATTCATGGGCGAGAGCCAACTCGTCTTCGCTTTCTTCCCGGCCGATATCCTCAGCCTCATCATCATCCTCCTCCTCAGCGACAAATTTTGGTGCCGCAGACGGTTTCATCTTCACGGGCCTCATAATGACCCTCCTTGTCGTCCTTTTCTGGCCCTTCTTCTTCCATACTCTGGGGGCTGGTTCGTCTCCGGTGGCTTCCGTCGTCGGAACTGCATCTGCCGTCTGACTATCGTTGACAAGAACATTGATCTCGTTGGCTTCCATTTCTCTCAAGGCGTCAAGGTCATCTTCGTCGTCGTCGTTCCGCTGCTGTGTCTCCTGTTTGTTTTGCTCCAGATCTGCGATGATCTGACTCAAGGGCTTCGGCGCGCATTTGGCATATACTAGGCTTCTTCGCGGGCCCGGTCTGTTGGAGGTCGGACTCAGCTTACCGGCAGAAGCTCCTGACACAGCGAAAAGCCTCTCTTTAAATGAGAACGAACGTTTCAAATACGGCGGGGTGCAGTCGTTTCCATTCGCTATCAGGAGTCCTCCTTTACCCATCTCAGTGTCCTTCGCAGGAGAAGTTTTGAGGACGAAATCTCGAAGCGGGGTCTTGCTCTGTATTGTAACATCGGCGTCATCATCACCACTGACCATGGTTGCAAATCTGACAGCGCTGGGGGTTGTGAAGAAGTGATCGAGCATGAACTTTTTGCCTTCGCTTATCGGGGTTTTAAAATGCAGGCGGTTTCCGGCAGACAGCTTTGTTGATGGCGTAGTCGCCTGAAGACCTACATCTCCAGTGTAGCTCGATTGCCTCTGTTTCTGGCTTGGGGTTTGGGCCACTGGTACCTGTCTTGAGTCATTGTCGCCAGCTCCATCGTAGATTTCGTTGATCTTCCTCTTTCTGCTTCCCGGTGTGCTTTCGACGCTTCTCCTTGACACCGAATTAGGGAGCAAATCGAATATGCCCAACACAGTTCCATCTCTTCGCGGAGTTGGTCCGATGGCCTTAGGTATCACTTTTGGAGATATTGATGAGGGAGGGTCATACGGATCGATTTCGTTGGGATGCCGTGATGCCCTCGAAGGAGAGAAGCTCTTCCGGCCTCGATGAGGTGTCAGGCTGATCGCACTGTCTGTGCGTCCGTGCCTGTGAGCACTCTGGTGCCGATGGGGTGTGTTCAATGTGTCAATGCCGCGTTTCCCTGCGAGCACATCGCGTACTCGGCTATACTCCTTGTACTTCGCTGCAATAACGGCGTCGGCTTTTATGTCACCCTTGCCTGGCTTGCGGCCGCCGTTTCTCGCGACAAAGGTTCGTTCATATTCTTTTAGGTCGAGGCGAAGTGTGTCTGCTTGAGACTGCAGGGATACTCGTGTGGGTGTGTCGGGTAGAGGAATGGATGTGTCCATAATAACTCCACGGTATATCTCGTAGATTCAGCGATGAGCCATTCCGTCAACTAGTAGAGCATAGTGTTCTGCAACAGGACTGCGGAGTGCGGCTGATACGAGGTCCTGGCTACGACACGCTCGAGACGCGTCTCCAATTACGCGCCCTCACGAGGACAAAAATGAGGAAATGGGCAAGTCTGCCGACACATTTCGTGATCCACCCTAGAACGGGTCTGGACATGGGAAAGGGCGAAGCGAGCAACGAGGACAATAAACTAGGTGTCCTTAGAGCCTTTCACGGAAGAACAGTGCGATGAATTTGTCTCTTCTTGCATCGACACGATCATGGCTGAGACTGACGTGGCTGCACTGAATGGAAATCACCTCGATCTCCTTTAAGACTCGTCTGTTTCTATTTCCACTTTTCAAGTCCCACGTCGCCTCTTCTCAATAGAGACAATTTTTCGTAGACTTTGATTCCGATACTGCAGGATCAGCCGACCATTGTCTTCACTCTTTTGGCAGTAACGTTGTTGGACAACATATGTTTGACCATACCAAGCTCATCTGTCCACTCCGAGCATGCCATATCATCAATAAACAGAGACTTCGCTCATGCCACCAACTCGACCACACCCCCGGCCTCTTTGATCTTTCGCTCGGCCTCTTTGCTGAACCACCTTGCTCTTACAACGATCGGGATGTTGGGAATGCGGCCCTTTCCAAGGACTTTGGAGTATCCGAGAGGGAGGAGGTCAAGGACGGGAGCGGTATCGGTCTTCTTGCCAGAGACGTAGGCCTCACGGGTCTCCTCAGGGACCAGCGACCAGAGCTGTACGCCAATGTTAGATTCTTGTTTCCACATGTGAAACACGGATCAAGTTCTGACCTTGTCAAGGTTGATGGAGGGCTTCCAGTAGTGGTTTCTGAGTAGGTGGAAGTGTCTCATACCGACCTTACCGAAGTAACTGGTTCATCCGTCAGCAGTTTTTCGACCACAAAAGTCGAGCGTGGGCAGAATTGATCCAACAAGACCAACCCTCCGCAGCCTCGATTTTTTCCAGCAGCAGACGTACCCAGGATGGTATTTATCCATGTTTGTTCTGTGATGATGTTGACCACCCGCAAGACCACGACCACCAGGATGCTTCCGGTGCTTTCCTACACGACCGTGACCGGCGGATACATGGCCGCGGCTGAAGGATTCAACAGTTAGCCATATCCCTCTATCTCAGCGATGTCACGGTAGGAAGCCAAACGCGCTGTTCGCAAGTAGACAATTCGAGGTGGATTTGGTGCGTTCAGTTTGTGCGATGGCTGATTTGGTGATTGCATGATCGTGGTGTTGAGAGTGCGAATCTGATCGTCCGACAACTTGATCGGCTTGCGCAAGGCGACGCTCGCATTGTTGACAGAGGAAGAGAGAGCACGGGAGGTAGACTCACTGTTTTCTCGTCTTTGTCAGTCTCGTGGGCATTTTGGCGGCGTCGAGACTGAAGTTGTCGTTGATTGGAATCAAACGTTGGTGGTTGAAGTGGAAGTTCAAGAAAATGTGCGGTCTCCGGACTAGGGTTAGCGCACAGAACTCTTGGCAAAATTCTCTCCGAAGTTCTTCCGCCACCCTGTCCTCTGGCCTCGTCCAGTTCTAATCTCAAATAATTCAGGCAGATGACTGCCCAGACGGACTGTCAGTTGGATTCATGTCGTTCCGTCTGCGGAATATACTGTATGTACCGAGAGAAGGCGTGACAGATACAGAAGCTGCTAGGAAAACGGGACTATCATCTCATATACTGAATATACAAATTTAGCTTTGCAGGAAATACACAGAGTGCCGTATGGATATAACATTATTCATAATCACAGTCGAGGCTGCTCGATGAACATAACATGCCGACCGCCAGGATGGGCCTTGAGCTCAAACGCTCGGTTGGAAGCGCCGATCCGACTCTCTTCAGATATGTCGTGGACATATTCGACTCTGCGCACTCTTTTTCAATTGTGTCCTCGAAAGCCATCGCAGAGAGCCCTTCCAGACTCAACCGAGCGAATATGGCCCTAGTATCTGGGTAGTTCAGCCTCCACGCACAAATGCCGAGCACTAGACCAAATTGTGTTATGTCAATGCATTTCTCTCAGACCTCTCGCAGGACATCAAGCTGGGGTAAACGGCGGCCTTTTCTTCATGCTCCCAGGGGATGGAAAGGTAGCCTGGACTTGGGCAACATCCCAATGTACCGTCAGCGTATATGCAGGGGAGCATTAGAACGTCGACATCATTCCGACCATCGTCGGTTCATGAAACTTCATGATTGGCTTGGACAGCAAAGCGATAGTTGTGCGATCATGGTCATATAACTTTTCAGCCTCAATTCATCGAAGACCATTTGAGCCATAGCTAGTATCGAAGATTTCGGCGGCAACAGAGAGCCTTTAAGGCCAATGCAAGACAGTGAGCAGAACCCAACAACCAAAGGGTGGAAGAGCATCGGTGAAGGTAGTTCAGAAGCGAAGAAACAACTTGATTTTTACCATCGAAGAGGCTGAGGCCTGTTCTAAACACAACTGCACTTAGTCTGAGCGTATCGACAAGCCTAGAAAGTTAGCCCTAGTATGTCGTTTCAATCTTTGAGCCTTAGTCGCCGTCGACGAGGTCTGAAGAGGACTGGCGCTTGCTCCCATAGTCACGGATTGTGGGTTTTGGCAACACGGCGCGACGTCTACGCTGTCACCGGCGGTAGGAGATTATGGTCGAGGGGTATACATTGCGGGCTTTTCTTCGAGGAAAAGCCTTCGCTGCGTCATCCAGAGGAAAGATTGAGTGCTTTACTGGAGCAAGAGCAAGGGAATTGCCCTTCAGGGCAAAGGATACATCAGGCACGGGGTCGACAGTGAAAAGTCACACCTAGATACTGTATGTACGTGGGTGGGTAGCTAGCAAGGCTCCTACGGGTTCCTGTGTGCCCTGGCTAAGGTGCCTAGGTAATACTGTAGGTCCCTAGGAGATGCTGGACCCCGATTGACCGAACCCTCAAAGCCTGAAGAAGGCCACCTATTAATAATTCTGCAGGCGTCTTCTCCTCTGGGACAACCTATAGTAAAACTGCTACTTTAATCACCCAGGCACCCCCACCCGACCTGATGGTCCCGCACCTGGGGTGGCGTCAGGCTGGTGAGGCCGAGAAAGATCTAGACGTAATCACCAACAAAAAACTTTTTGCTATCCAGAGAGAAGAGTCACTGCCGGCTACCACCCAACAATATTTTCCTCTAGCTGCGCCTATCCCATCGCTAAAGCCAATGGAGACTGATGAACCTGACAGCGTCCCCTACGTGTTTCTACCGCCACATGCTTACTCCTCGCCACTCTAATTGGATATGGCTAACCTTGCAACTTCTCTTGTGACATGTTTTTGATATCAGCGACCTCAACTAACGAGGGCAGAGCGAGCCACTCATAGGTGCGCACCGTTCTGTTCATCTTTGATCCTCGTGTGACCATTATCTTCGTCCCTTATTGTGACATATGGTACACCAGCGCTCCGTGAGAAGCACCACAGGTTATTGCGACAATGGCGTCGGCCTTTGCCTTCCTTGAGACCCCGAATCGAGGTGTGCCTGACCGGAGACATTCGACTGAGCACCTTCGAGCGACCTCGACTCTGGTGCCGAGAAATAGCAGCAGCGTCTCCTTATCATCTCGCAAATCTGAGCCGGGATGGTTCGGCGCCATGAACAATGTGGATCGAAGCCGCGCCAGCTCTGTCCCAGTGCAGCCCTCCACAAAGCCGTCCAGCGGACTCAGCAAGCTGTTTGGCAGGAAGGAGAAGAAGGAGAAGAAAGACATGGATCACATCGTCCTCACTTCGCGACATGCAGCCGCTGTCAAGACTAAACTGGCGCTGGACCCGAAGTATAAGAACGTGCGCCGGGATTCTGCCTCTTCTGAACGACTCGCGGGTTCCCAGAACATCACACATATGAGCGCAGGAGAATTGGAGATGAGACATCCGCACTCCGGATCACCCTCGCTTCATGCAGCACGGAACAAAGCAGACCTACCTGCACTCACGCGCATTATCAGTGGCGATGAAGCTGATGAACCCGATGAGTGGGAGAAGATGCGGGACGAGTGGCGGCAGCGCAAGGTTCCTACATTGGACACGCAGATCATCGAAGGTCAAGTGCTAGACACTCGATGTTCAGGACCGTCGACACCCACAGAAAAGGACATGAAGGAACCCGAAACACCACCGCCGCAAGCCACAGAACCACGAGGCACCAGGATCCCTTCAGTCACAACCACTACGGGCGACGCAGACTATCAGCCACGGCCCGCGAGGACCCATACTCCGATTGGCGGGCGATGGAAAAAGGACGAGAAGGGTGTTTGGAAGAGATGAGACATTTGCGAATTTCGCCGCCATCTGTCAACACGACAGTCTCTTTCAGATCACATATCCTACTAATTCACATCATCCGGCACTGCGATTCACAGGCATATTTCGAACAATATGAACGTCAATTTGGGAAAGGGACATGAACGTTATTCCTAGTTACTACCGGCCATGCGAGCAAAGTCCGTCGATTGGTCTATAAGCGCTGGTCCGGGGTTCGACTCCAGCCTCACTGCTATTGCAGAGCAAATCTCACAACCCTGCTCGTTGAACATGTCACATTCGGCATATAAAAAATCCCGAATATGCCGAATATGCCAGCCCGCGCCACGTTCTTTGACGACTCCATATCCGAACCTGGTGGAAACAGAGTCGAGAAGCAAATCATCAACTGCGGATGGCGCTTTTGTGGAACAACATTCCGATCAGAATGGATCAAGCCGTTTGGTGCATGCGAGCCGATATGAGAAATCAATGGAACGATGCGGACTGGCGGCCACTGATCGCAAAGAACGACACCCTCCATAATTACTAATAGATGAAGTGTGGACTTCATTGATAAGAGGTATCCGACCACGTCTGGAATACGCGGTGCTCTGTCTTTGGATCTCTATCATTAAACTATATTTAGATAAAGTGGTTACCTTTTTGCAATCGAGGATTGTTTAGCAACTTGGGTGTAATACATATTCTGTGTCAATTTATATCATTATCTTTCAACATGACTCGGTACGCGTCTAAAAATCATCGGCGACAATTACATGCGAATTCCCCTCTTCCAACATTCATTATTCGCCATGTACCGACAACATCTCAGTCAGGCACTGACGCCTTCGATAAACCCTTCGCCCTGCAATGCTGTGGAGGGTGGACGCCAATGTCCCTCAGCCTCATCCCGTGCTTTAACGCGGACTCTCTCGACGATGCCCGCACCATCACGGCTCTACTTAAGCGCCATAACGACTACAGCAACAGCACACCGTGACGAGTTGGTAATACCATAAATGAAAAGTATGTATCCTGCAACCGGCGTCTTGCTGACAACCAAGTGATCCCAGTCACTAGACGATGGAATGAGGCGTCCCGCAGAACCTTTTTTTTATCTACTTTGCCTAGCAGGATTTTCCTCGCCGTGACGAGGATCGAAAATATTGCGGGCGGTCAACAGCTTAACAGTCGATCCGCCCCTGTGGCAAAAATCACGCCGGCTACGCAAACTGGTTTGAGAAGACCGACTTGGAGGGGCCAATAGCCGAAGCCACGGATAAGATCGCCTTGGATCTCAATACTCAATTCATTCTTCCGTCCTCGTCCTCGTCCTTCAATCCGCCGGATCAAATGGTCCAGGACCACGATTCCTTAAGCAGCTGTTTCAGACCATGGACGTGGAAAAGAAGACGCCCGTACGATACAGCAGCTTGATGAGGGATCGTGGGCCATGAAATACGAGGATCTGACATCTCCTCGTCCCACCCCCAAGCCACTACTAGTGCTGCTACTTTTTGTTGACGACATCCGGCAAATGACCCTCGTCTCAAACTTTCTGTGGGTGCAGACCGAGGCATTCTACCGGCACGACAACAAGGCAATCATTGGTGCCGGCCATCAACGCACTCTCTTTTGGTGAAAAATCACGAGCAGAAAACGGTGACTGCAAACATGGGGAATGTCCAGCAACCCCGCCACTGATTGAAGCACGTCTGGTGGCATAGATCAGAAAGTCGTTGACAGTGGCATGTTTCGCTGCACCACCACTTGTCACACATTGACTTATCTCCGGCTGCTCTGACTCTACATTTTCTTCATTCCCTTCTCCATCATAGTATGGATTGCCGCTCGTCCATTTCCCATCTTGGGTGCCCCGCCTACAAAATGCTGGGGCTCTACCATGACTGGTCTGCACGGCATCTCATTCCGAGACTTCAGCCAGCATACGCCCTTTCACCAAGTGTTGTAAGTACACCGCAAGAAGCCGTGTGGAAATTTCCAACTAGGTTTGTTTGTTCTTCGCCTCCCTGCTTCCCACCGTTTCCCTCGCCCTGGGTGACATCTGCTCGTTCTCTACTGCGCAATAAAAGGTGCTTCGGCTCGTTACCTTTCCTGTTTACTATTTCGAAGCCATTCCACGCGACAGATCTTCATCCCCCACAATGTCAGATCCAGAAAAGTCCATCCCGCCAGTCGTCATCTCCCAATACCCGAACAGTCCCTCCTCCTCTCCACAGACTCCTATTCACAAGGAATACTATTCACCCACCACCGACCAGTCTCCCACATCTTCTGTCTCTAGGTCTGAAAGTGACAATGATGAACGAGCCCTGACACTCACCATTACCCAAGCTTCGCGACAGTCTGCCACGAGAACGGCGACAAGAATAACCACTCATGGCACCGATCTCACACTAGATCCATCGTTCGAAGTGGACTTTGAGCCCGACGATCCTGGAAATCCTAGAAACTGGTCAATATGGTACAAATCTTATGCCATCTTTACGATATCCTTTGCCACGTTGGGAGTGGTAATGTACTCGACCTCATACACGTCGGGCATGGATGCCATGATGAAGGAATTCGGAATCACGTCGGAACCGATTGCCACGCTTGGTGTCACGACATATCTGTTCGGGCTGGCGGCGGGCTCCTTACTTCTCGCCCCGATTGCTGAGACATATGGGCGAAAACCGGCCTATACGATATGCATGGCCGGCTTTACCATCCTGATCATTCCAGCGGCGTTGGCTACTGACTTGCAAACCATCATTATCGTGAGGTTCTTTGGGGCTCTTTTTGGAAGCGCCATGATTGCCAATGCTCCTGGGTCCATTGCCGACTTGGTCTCGGACGAGTTCCGCGCGACGGCTTTCTCTATCTGGTCGATTGGACCCATGAACGGTCCCGTGGTTGGTCCGACGATTGGAGGTTTCGTGACCGAATATCTCGGCTGGCGATGGACCAATTGGATCGCCATGATCTGGGGAGGTTGCGCCTTTGTTTTCCTGCTGTTCTTGAATGAGACATATGCACCAGTCCTGCTGCAGCGGCGAGGCAAGACATTGCGACGGGTTCATGACGATGACAGGTACTGGACTCGGTACGACATTCGGGTTGGGTTTGTCGAACTGATGAAAATTAATCTCAAACGCCCGTTGTTACTCGCGGTCCAGGAGCCCATCTGCATATTTTGGAATGTTTATATCTCGATCGTCTATGGTTCGTGCCCTCTCCCTTGACCCTTCTTCCCTCAGGGCTATGTCCCTTCACATGGGCGACCACTGACTTCCATTCCCTTAGGCATTCTCTATCTGTGCTTCGTCGCCTACCCTATCGTCTTTACCGAATTGCGTGGCTGGTCTACTGGCATGAGCGGCCTCTCCTTCCTGGGAATTGGTATTGGGACACTGTTGGTAATCTCAAGCGCCACCCCAATCCGGAAGCTCATCAATTCGCACAAACGGGACAAAGACGGAAACGTGCCACCCGAGGCAATGATGAGCATCGTCTGCATCGCGGCCGTGCTGGTCCCCATCGGCGAATTGTGGTTCGCCTGGTCCTGTTACCCAACCAAGATCCACTGGGCTATCTCGATTGCCGCCGGGATCCCATTCGGATACGGCAATGGCGCCGTGTTCATCTACGCTGGGAACTACCTGGCCTACAGCTACGGAATTTACGCCGCGAGCGCCATGGCAGGCAATGCCGTGATGAGATCTCTGCTGGGAGGAACACTGCCTCTGGCCGGACCGGCCATGTATCGTGCCCTCGGACCCAACTGGGCGGGGACCTTGCTGGGCCTCCTCGAGGTCATCATCATCCCGATACCGTTCCTCTTCTACCGGTACGGCGGCCGCATTCGCGAAAAATCCACCCTGATCCGCCAGATGCGACAGGACGAAGAACGACAGGAGCGCAAGCGGAGAAAGGCCGAGGAGAGACTACGCATCGCGGTCATGAGCGGCGACGAGGAGGAGAAGGTCGAGGCCCGCAACGAGCTGGTCCGGGTCAGGAGTCGGCTGGACGACGAGAAGAATCTCGAAGTCGCCGGCCAGGAGACGCTGAATTGCATCCAGGGGCTAGGGCCTGGAAAGGAGACGGTTTAAAAGTCACGCATCTAACCACCCGGGAGGGCGAGGACGAGTGGGTGACATTCTGCCAACGTGCTGGCCCGGCACATATCAGCTCACAGATCTACCGACGCGACAGAGAGCGAAAGCGAGACCGTTTCCACCGAAAGCCAAAAATCTCTGCCATGCATCCCCTCCTTTCGTTAAAGACCCGCCGGAACGAAGAATCGAGATGTCGGCATTGATTGCAACACACTTCCTTCCTTCACGTTCGAAATTTCGACTACATAGACATAGACAGACAGGCACTGGGACCAGGAACATGAATTGGGGGTGAGCCGACGAAAACGACGGGCGACGACACCATTTATTTACATGACGACCGAACTCATAAGCAGGGAGTTTATTTATTCACGACCAGTCACGGCCATTGGTGGACGCGGGCTGGAACACAGGTGTTCGTTCACAACAGGACCAAAATGGTACATACAGCAGCATGGCGTTTGGGAGTTATCCTTTGGGGAGGGTGTGGCGCGATTGGAGGCAAAAGTGATGTGAGCGTCCGGATGCCGATGGGAGAATTTGGGGTTGAATACAGATGCATTTTGCTTCAACTTTCTATTTTTTGCTATTGCATGCTCTGTTTCGATCCGGAAATCCAATACCTCGATGTGTCAAGGATCCTAGGTTATCGAGCAAGCAAGCAAGCAAGCCAGCTAGCAAATAGCACAGCACACTTGATAAGTGTCACAGGCAAGGAAAGCAATGCTCATCATCGCCGATAGGAAGACAAGATAAAAAGGAGAGAAAAACATCCGAACACTTACCCTAGCTGTCTCCTCTCTCTCCTCTCTCCCTTTCAGTTCTAATTCGCTAACTGCACGCCGCAGCTACTGTAGTCGTAGTGGCAGTGGTGGTGGTGGTGGTGGTCAAAGAGCCACATCCCTGGTGATGACGATGTCAGTCCGTCGAGAACAATCCTCAGCTTTCTCCGACCTTGAGCCTTTGACGTTCACTCCGTGTTTCATTCATCATTGTATGTATGTCACTCGCTCGCCTGTGCTTGTGCTTTTGCCTTTTTGTAAGGAAGTGCCTTGAAACAAAGCCCCCCGGCACGGCACGATGAGGTCACTCACAGCGAGAGGGGAAAAAAAAGAAAGAAAGAGAGGAGTGAACGTGAAGGATCAAGAAATTGTCTTGTGTCTTCTGCCGACGTGTCTAACCATGATCTTTCCTTCGTCCAAAAAAAAGGTTCGTCATTCGCTGAGTGGGTATATATATACAGAAGCGAAGATTGCATATGCCACCATCCATCCCCCATCATCATCATGTATCACAAAATTCCATGCATGTTCAGTATGCCTCGTTGAAAACGAACAATCGTGTGTGTGCTTTTTTTCTTTCAAATACCGTTTTTGCAGATCATGAGAATCATAAAAGAAAGGAGTTAAGGCTGCCACAGAGAGAGAGTGAGTGAGCGAGCGGTATACAGCCTTCCCCTATACTCTAATCTCTGTTCACCACCCTCAGACTCCGTCTGGGGTTCAGGACCACGCCCAAGAAACTGGGCTCCTGACCAGCCATGAGGTCTTCCGTGCTGCTAGCCGCCGTGGCCGACCCAGCGCCCCCAGGGACGTTTCGGTACGGGTTGTTGCTGGATAACTGATTAGCGCGTCCTCCGCTGCTGCCGCTGCGATTGTCCGCGCTGTGGCGGCTGTCACTAGACTGGCTTTTGTCCGTGTATCTCCCAGCACCGGCTGCGAACCCCGCGCCAATGAATCGGGGATCGCCTGCGAGATCCTGCCTTTGAGCCATGGACACGTGGTTCTTGTAGAGCTTGAGCTGCTTACGATAGAGCCAGACGCAGAATGCGAGATAGGCCGCCACGACGGCAAGGACGCCAGCAATGACTCCGGCGACGATCGCTCCAACATTGGTGCCACTCGAAGAGCCTCCGTGGTCACCGCTGCCGCCTGGACCACTGCTAGTACCACTGGTGCCGCTTGTTCCGGTGGGAGCGGCAGTCTCGGTGGCTACAGCTCCACCAGACTGGGTGACCGTGTAGATGTGTGGTGTTCCTGTTGCTAGAGGTCCTTGAGTGGCCGACTGAGCAGGAGCAGAGACAGTGGCAGCTCCCACACCGTTACCCCCGATCACAGACTGAACAGCTTCCGGGACCGAGTATCCAAATGACCCTTGCAAGGCTGCAGGATCATCTTGCTGGCTTTCCTGCCTGTTGAGGTTGTCATCTGTCTGCAATGCAATATATCCGCTTTGCCATTGAAGGGAGCTGGTGTTGAAGACATAGATTCCCGGGCTGTCGCATGAGAGGTCCTGGCCAACATATCCTCCAACCACCACCATTTGAGCGTTCCAAACATTGCACATGTGTCCAGCTCGCCCAGGAGGATTCGCTTGGTTGGTGGTGTCGACTTGAATCCACGTGAAAGACGGGATGGTCAAAATCCACATATCATCATACTGCTTTTGTTCGCCGTAGGGTAGCAGGTTCTGGCCCCCGTACATATAGACCTGAACAGAGCTTCCGTCGGCAGCAGACAGCGCCACGGCACACGGATTGACTCGAATGTCGGGCGTCGGGCCTGACGTGGCTTGTTTGTACCAGGTGGACGAGTCGATATCGTACACGTCTATCACGTTCATCTGAGTGAATGTCGCATTCGTGCCACCTGCAAGGCCCAGAATGATTCCTGATTTCCCATACCCGGGCACGTAAACAAGAAGGCCGTCTGCCCGTTCGGGGAAGCCTGCTGAATCCTGCGTACCACCTTGAGTGATGTTGCGATATATCCCTGAGGATCCCGCCTTTTGCCCACCATTCACCGCAGCATTGCCGTAGCCGGGATAGGTGTACTCCAAAATGCCCCGAAGATAGACACGTGCAACCGACTCGGACCACCCCGGTGTGGTCAAAAAGTCGAGATGGCCACCGAAATAGTAGCCTCGACCGAGATTTGGTACCGATACCCCAGCGCCCTCGGCAGCACGTTGGACGGGTTGCCCTGCCGGCTCCGAATTCTGCCCAGCACTTGTTTGCGGATTCGACGACTCGGACCATGTCGATGAGGAGATGTCATATGCCCACAAGGAGAAGGGCACGGGAGATGCAATCGGCGTATCTGAGAACTCGCCGCCGTACAGATACAAAGCATCGTAGGAATTCCACAGGTAGCCAAGCGACACCGCAGGGGGTCCGCTGGGGACTGGCAGGCCAGTCAGTGACGGCGAAGAAATCTGCCAGGACTTGGTCAGGTCGAGTGTCAGGAAATCGTTATCTGCCACAACAACTGTCAGTAAAAACGGCGCAACTTATGTTGACGGGAACGTACTCCATTCGTTTGAGGTCTGGTCGGCACTAGTTGTTGCTCTTCCTCCGTAATAGAACAGTGTCCCGTTCACCAGGGCGCTCTGCCCTGACCACCTCTTGCAAACATCCGTGGCACTCTTCTCTCGTTTGACGTTTCCTGGAAGTGCATCCCTCTTGTTCCCCAGCCATGGCGCCCTCGCCAGCGACGATCCAGCTTTACGACTGAGGGGATTCGCCCCAGCGATCAACAATGGAGAATGGTGCAGACTTGGGACCACAAGCAAAATAACCAGAGCGAGAAAGAGCAATCTGGGCAGCGTGGGAAAATACGTAGACATTTGCGGACGGGGTAGTCTGTCAACGGGGGACGTTTCGGGCCTGTCGATTACTTTGGGTTCGACAACATCGACGTCGCTTCGAAAACGCACTTGGAGCTTTGGTCGGGAGTCTCTTCTCAGTTTCGAGTCGACAATGGCATCTTCACCGCCGAGGCCAACTTCGAGAAACGCAGAATTCCGGCGAGAGGGTTCCTTTTCCTTGTTACACGAAGGGGAGTCTCGGGAGCCACGAATCCTGTCAGATTCTACAGGGCTCCGGCGACGAGGGGGACTCGAGAGAGGTATCGTTGAGGTCGTGGAGGTGGATGTTGTGGCACAACCACTATCCCGCAGTTGGGGGTCGAGGGTGGTGGCCATTCTTCGGAGCACGGTGTGATGACGACTCGTTTAGCAACTGAGACAAGCTGATGAGGCCATGAGATACATAGACTCTAGAGGGTGGGGTGGCGAACGCGTATGTATGTTGGGTGTGGATGTGGCTGAGAAGCTCGTGGGATTGGAATATTTGGAACACAGTGAGATAGAGTCTCCCTTTTTTCCTGGTGTCCCAACTTGTCTTGTTCAAATTATGAATCCCAAGGGTGTGCCCCTGTAATAGTCTTCAGGAACCAACTCCCCCCAAACACTCCAGACAACAACAATCCTGGCTCTGGCCATGTCTGTTTTTCTCCCGTCCGACGTCAGAGGTCGGTTGGTCCCTGGCTTCGGTGGGCGCAGGCTGTCGGGGCTCCATCATGGTCAGAGGCTCAGAGCAGTGGGGACCCAACTCGTAGTGGTCCTAGGGCCAATGGTGGAGGATGGATGCGGTGGTTCCACGTCGGAGCACGATTCTCTGTTGCGTTAGAATTTGGGCGATGAATGAAGGGGGTAGGAAGATCATCTTCGATTCGTGAGGTCTCACAACGCTCCGACAACCTTGGCCACTGACGGCTGGCTTGCAGATGATATCGGAGGCGCACCCGCACGCCGGTGAAATTACCCAGCCCCTCAAGATCGCTGGTAGCGGCACGTCGACAAGAACTGGAGGTGGCGCTGAATCTCGATCACGGCCGCCCAACGATCCCTGTCTTCCACTCGTCAACGGGCAGCCTGCTCTATCTCACTAGGCTTTGATCGTCCCCTCCACCCCCGAATGCATAACGAACAACTACCAAACGCGTTGCAATCCTTTCTGCTCGTGCCGTCCCATTCTCCGGTACCTTTACCCGGGTTTCCACCAAATATGTCCACCATATCTACGAACCAGATATCCTCCGATTGTGCTTGTAAATTTCAGAGGTGGAGTGGAAAACCCTTCCGAGAAGTCAGGCACATACCAAAAGGACAATACAAAGGAACCTACATCCATTGCAGAGGCTCGGATTGACAATTTCAGCTACGTATGAGTCCACAGAAACATTCGACGCCAAGCCAGAAGGGTGTAGCTGAGGACACCCTGAGCAACCCAGGTAGATTACGGTGTACGTTGTGTGAATGGTAGGTATATTCACCTCCCTAGGTAGGTGTCCATAAGGCAAACATGCTGTATACATCATGCAAATTCATTCCATCATGAACGGACAAGCTCATCCCAAAGCGTAGTCCTCGAGGCATCGACATCGCCCACGACATGGAACACGCCGCCCGTACCCTCGAATGGCGTGATCTGGCCGGTCAGGGCCTTCTGGTCGCCGTAGTACCGGAACCTGTACATGCCCGGCTCGGTGCGCGATTCGATCTCCCACTCTAGCGTCACCTCGCTCGTACCCAGCGTCGTGGACGTGCGTTTCCACCGAAACGCCAGGAACCAGTCCTCGTCGGAGCGGACTTGCACCCACTCCCTGCGGTTCTCGTCGAACTTCTCGACCGCAGCGAAGGTGCCCTCGAGGCGGAAGTTGTTGCGCGGGTTCGCGCCCACGAATCGTGCACTGACGACGTCGCCGGGGCGGAAGGATCGTGCTGGATCCGGCGACGAGAGGGTCTCCCCGAACTTGCGGAAGATTCCGGCGTGGTCGACGATCACGGGCCGGATGAAAGACAGTGAGCGGTTCACGTTGATAGGCGGGTTTGGACCGGCGGGGAGACGGTCCAGGTGGGAGGTTTCCTCGTCCGATCCTAGATAGGGGAGGTACGTGATTGTCAGGTTGATGTATGCTTCCAGCGTGTGGGGGCCGTAGAGCGTGGACGCTCCTTCGTAGCGTTGCACGGCGTATTCTTCTTCGGTGGAGATGTAGTGGGCGTAGGTGTTTGCCGGGCCGCCGAGCACGAGTCGAGGAGACGAGACGTTCAGAATTGCCGGAGCCGCAGCCTCGAGTGCTGATTTCCACCGGCGGCCGGACATGGTTGTCGCTTCACCTGGCGATACGATGATTATCAAACTGCCGATGCGGAGCAGTTGGATGTCGACGATGTTGGGCGTCCACGCGTAGGGATCATCGGCGACACCGACGTCGAGGAGGATGGGTTTGGGACTCTGGCACGCTATCTGGGCGTCTGTTGGTGGATGAATCGCGCCTCTTGCGACCTTCCACAGCGGGTTTTTCAAGGCGGGCGAGCCGTTGGTGTCGTTGGTGCCCTGGGAGAAGTCGAAGCGGCCGGGCCCGTCGGTGGTGCCTCCTGCAAAGCCGTAGCCCAACGCGGCCGAACAGGTCCGGAGGATTCGGGAGTGGTTGAAGAACGAGGCGAAGGTGAACGATGAGAGATTGGCGTAGGTGTGGAAAAATGATATGGTGGATGCAGGTATCCGAGCTAAGCTGTCGTCTTCCAAGAGTATTTTGGCGGCAGCCATCTGGCGTTTCCCGATCTCGAAGCACGACTTCGTCCCTCGATCTTCTGTGTGAAACATCGGTCCACGTCCGTGACATGGCTGGCTCCGACCTCCGCATGTGCTGTCTTTGAATGCACATGGGAGGCCAGTATCTTCGCAGAACGCGCCTAGCGTGTTCGGAGAAGTGTCTCCGACATTTGCTTGCGAGAAGCCCGCGACGAAGGACGGGTTCCTCGCTTTCATGTACTCTTCCAGCAGGTATGCTGCTACGCCTTTATTGTCGCCAGCGATAAGTGTGTTGTTTTGATATAGAGATGTGCCATGGACCGGAAACCAAGATAGTGCCCCCAGGACTTCACCATCAGTCGCCCGTTCGAACTTCAGCAATGTCATATCCTTGTCGACATCGTCGGTGTATTTGTCTCGTTCGTCCTTCGGATTCTGGAGGTAGGCATATGGGCTTCTATTTACATTCGCACCTTCGACGGGGTGTTGTCCAATCCTGAGATAGCCTGGCGTCAGGCTGTCATGTGCCCGTTGGATGGCCAACACCGAGCCATTGACAATGGCATCGTAGCTCTCTCTGTGGAAGCCTAGACTCGTGATTTGTGGCAACAGGTAGTTCAACCAAGCCCCAGGCCCGCTGTGACTGTGGGTCCCGGTAACTGCGACATTGTTCTTGTTATATATTGCGTATTCAGGGCCCAACTCCTCGAGCCTCTGCAAGATGCCGTGGCGAATGGCAGTGTCGCCAGACTGGGTGTCAAGGACGAGGTAGACGATCCGCGAGGGATTCTTGGACAGGCTGCCCACAATGAACGCCCGGCAATAGATCCGTTGACGGACACCACTTCCCACTTGGTCTGTGTCAGCGTAGCCCATCAAGTTGATCTCGACAGCCGGTCTGAATAATTTGGAGTTAGCACATGCTCGTCGGCACAGACCCGCGCATTTCCATTACCCAGTGATATCGGCCTTGCCGACCCCCAGCAAGTAGTCGCCCTGCACAGCACCCCCGTCACTGTGCTGGCCTTGCTGCGTTTGTCCCTGTGCATTGGCTGGAAGTAGTTGCACATCGCGAGGCGGATTTGGGACAAAGATACCGTAGAACAGAAGGGCCGTCGCAAGGAAGATAGACAACACGCATAGAACTTGGGCTAGCACATCCCGTGCCATTTTCGTGTTGCCGTGAACGGCGATCTCTTTGCAGCTGACGACGGGCTGTGGATGTGGCTATCCCCGTTTGTTTTCGGGTCAGATAGGAAGTTTCCGGAATGGGTCATCGTCCTAAGTTGGCGCCTCTCTGACAATATACGACTATGGCAGAGTATAAAGTGTATGGTTTGACCACCATTGAAGAACTATATGAATTTGGCCGGATTCTTTTCGAGGCCGTGAGGCTCCGTTGCAATGAGCACACAATGTCGTCATCCTGACCAATCAGCAGTGATCGACCAGAGCCTTGTAGTAAGCAGACACACGAGTCATGCTAGCCAATCAGACACAACTATTCGCACAAGCGGCAAAGTCATGGGCTTGGCATCATTGAATCTTTATCGCAGTCAATGAATTTGCACCGACCAGCAGCCAGCTCAACTCGCAGCAACCAACATGGCCCTAATATGGGAGTCTTTTGACTCTCTCCCTTGTGAGTAATGCTGTGCTGGGCGGTGAGACTGTTCACGCATGCTGACCATGGTTCTCCTCAGACATCGACCCCGACATCACGGATGCCGAGCGCCAGAGAGCGAAAGCCTCGATTGCTCGACACCTCCCCAAGGACTATCTCAGCACACCTCACCCCTCTCTCGCCCCTCTTCCTGCAGTCAACTTCTCCGAAACATTCCGTCAAGAAATCAATCGGGTCGCTGCGGGTCAGCCCCGCCAGCAAGGGATAGACGTGTCGCGCTACGAGGCCCCCGACGAGCCAGCGAGTGACAGTGATCAGGCCACGCTGAAGGAGGTGCTGCGAAACGCGTACATCTTGACCACTTTCCTGTCAGATCGACACACCAACCTCCAGCTGCTCGACGAGTTTGGCAAGAACGCTTGGCTTATCGGCAATTCCCAGACAGAACAAATCCTGCAGGTGCTCGAACGCGAGCTTACCGGCCTTAAAACTGAGACCGAAAGCATCAACAGAGCTCGGAAAGCTACCCAAGAACAGTCTAAAGGCGAGCTGTTGACCCTTCAGGAAAATTGGAAGCGAGGTATAGGCAAAATACTTGAGATCCAGGTCGCTACAGACGAGCTCCGGCGACAACTGGGCCAGGGTCAACTGCATGCTGCAACATGAGATCCTTGAACGCACCGGGGCCGAAATCAGATAAGCAGGGATACAAGCTGAGGTGTGCTGCTGCATCAGTATCGCAGCGATCTGTCGGAACCAGATGCGGAGTGTGCCCGCTCGCGCCGTTTCGGCACAAATACGGGCGAGATCTCCGTCTATGCAGACCGCTTTCATGTACTAGGCACCCATAGGCACAGTCGACGCGTGCTTACCTGATTTCCCCGGACCTTGACATACAGCTCTGAAGGGGCTCTGTTCTGAGGCCTCTAAATCTGGGGACCTCGAGACAAAGGAAAGTCCCCTCGGGCACAAATCTTGCTGATGGTCTCCTGTGTGGGCAACATGTTCTCAGCAATACGAGAGGCTCCTTTGGTCCCGGACAGCAATTTGCCAGAATCCCGAACCGCTTCTGGGTGGGCCCGATATTCAAACCCGCTATTTTGAGACTCGAGAGGGGTGCTGCACCCAAGTCGGTCCAGGCTTTGCGTTGGCCCGAAGGATGACTCCCTGTACATCAAGAAGTTTGATGGAGCTGCACCCGTCTCAGAAAGAGAACAGCCGAGTCCTGCTCCTGTCTCTTGTCATGCTGAGATTCCTGTGTGACCTCCACATACGAGGAAGTCAACCCTGGACCAAGCTGCCAATACTCTAATCTCCAACATCTGAGTGCAACCTTCTCTATGGCGATAGGTCGGCTATGCATTTCTCCAATTTGTATCTTTCCTGGTACGGCTAGCCCTCGTCCTCTCCCCCGCAAACGGGGTTTAGCCGCTTTCCTTTTGGTTTCTTCCCATCAGTGCAACCTTCAGCATTAGTCGGGCGTTCCAGCTTATGCAGGATTTTCCCATTCTTTGCCAGCCACGCCGTGTGTATGCGGTGCCGCTTGATTGTGGAACTTCCCCGCGTTTCTTGCATTGGACGCCCCCTCCAAGCCACCCGGGTGGGGTGCTGAGCCGTTCAATCCGCTGGCGGTACTAACGGCACATCGCACCGCTAGTCTTGGGCTTCTTTTGGTCCTTTCGATATCAGCCGTGTGCCGATGCATTTTCCTGTGTGGTACCTCGTGCAAAAGCAATGTGAGTCGTTGCCTTTCTCGATGCAGGGGCTCTAGCTCGGGCCTCTGATAATTCAAGGCGGTTGAGACACGAGATACCAGAAGTGATAGGGATCCTCGTTGGAACTACCGAAACAGTCGTCTCCTGCTGCTCGCTGACGCTAGCCCTCTTGGGCTGTGGTGGACGATAATATCCTGGTCAGCCTGGACTTTAACCATGCCTTCTCATGCATCTTGATACATACACACTTCTGTTGACTTGATATCTTCAGCACCGGAACTCTGAAGGGCCCGGTCGCCTCGTACTGTGCCGGCAATGACTTCGCTTCGACGCAACACGGCCTCAGCTCATTGCCTAGCCGCTGTGGCGATGATCCTCGTCATCACCAACCTGATTGAACAAACCCCGCATATCAAACGCAAATCAGCTCGTCTCCAGGTTTGCTCCAGATGATCATACTTGCAAGGATGCTCAGACATGATCACAACCACTCTTTCGGTCTGTGGAGTTCCTGGTCCCCGGAAACGCGTCTGCATTGAACCCCTCTCCCCCCTCTCCTCCAGTCTCCCGAGAGGCAGAGCGGGACAGATGTTCAGAAGCCTTATATTGGGACGTCTCGCCCTCTGTCTCTTCTCTCTTTCTCCTCATCCAGCCCGCTCCTGGTAGAGCAAAGGACACATTCATCCGCACAAAGAGACGTTGATCCGTTCCATCGTTCATTGAACATACCCTCATCATGACTATTCCAGAAGAAGTTGATATTATTGTCTGCGGAGGTGGCAGTTCAGGATGTGTGCCAGCTGGACGTGAGTTATGCCAGCCTCAAGTCTCCTCGAGAGTGACACTGATAACGTCCTAGGTCTGGCCAATCTGGACCACAACCTCCAAGTCCTCTTGATTGAGGCTGGAGAGAGCAATCTCAACAACCCATGGGTCTACCGCCCGGGTATCTATCCCCGGAACATGAAGCTCGACTCGAAAACCGCCACGTTCTACTACTCTCGCCCATCCGAATGGCTCGATGGACGTCGTGCTGTTGTTCCCTGTGCGCACATTCTCGGCGGCGGCAGCTCTATCAACTTCATGATGTACACTCGCGCTAGCGCCAGCGACTACGATGATTTCCAAACGAAAGGATGGACTACCAAGGAGCTCATTCCGTTGATGAAGAAACATGAAACCTACCAACGGGCCTGCAACAACCGAGACCTCCACGGCTTCGAAGGACCAATCAAGGTCTCCTTTGGCAATTACACCTATCCTATCATGCAAGACTTCCTCCGAGCAGCTGAGTCCCAGGGCTTCCCGGTCACGGACGATCTCCAGGACCTTGTGACTGGCCATGGTGCCGAACACTGGCTCAAGTGGATCAACCGAGACACCGGCCGTCGTTCTGATGCTGCTCATGCCTACATCCATGCCACTCGTGCCAAGTACCAGAACCTCCACCTCCAGTGCAACACAAAGGTGGACCGTGTGGTGATCGAGAACGGCACCGCGGTCGGTGTCCTGACTGTGCCGACGAAGCCAGTTGGTGGATCCAACCCGGAACGCAAGCTCTGGAAAGCCCGCAAGCTCATCATCGTCAGCTGTGGTACGCTGAGCTCACCGCTCGTCCTGCAACGGTCTGGTATTGGTGACCCAGAGAAGCTTCGAAAGGCTGGTGTCAAATGCATTGTGGACCTTCCAGGTGTTGGCCTCAACTTCCAGGACCATTACCTACACTTTGCCACCTACCGTGCGAAGCCAGATACCGAGTCCTTTGATGACTTTGTCCGTGGTGTTCCAGAGGTCCAGAAAGCCGTCTTTGAGGAATGGAACCTCAAGGGCACCGGACCATTGGCGACCAACGGCATTGAGGCTGGCGTCAAGTCACGACCCACCGCCGAAGAACTCGAGGAGATGAAGAAGTGGCCTACCCCCGAGTTCGTCACCGAGGGAGGTTGGGACAGCTACTTCAAGAACAAGCCCGACAAGCCGGTCATGCATTACAGCGTGATTGCTGGATGGTTCGGCGACCACCTCGACATGCCGGCCGGCAAGTTTTTCACCATGTTCCATTTCTTGGAGTACCCCTTCTCTCGTGGCTTCACCCATATCGTGTCTCCAGACCCATACGAGGCACCAGACTTCGATGCCGGTTTCATGAACGACAAGCGTGATATGGCACCCATGGTCTGGGGTTATATCCAGTCCCGTGAGACGGCCCGTCGGATGCAAGCCTACGCCGGTGAAGTTACGGGCATGCATCCTCACTTCAAGCACGACTCACCCGCCCGAGCCCTGGACATGGATCTCATCACCCGTAACCAATACGCCGGACCTAACCACATCACTGCTAACATTCAACACGGTAGCTGGACTATGCCCCTTGAGGAGGGCGAGGTGCCCGGGCCTAGCTTCCTCAACTCGAACAAGCAGCACTTCCGACCACCTCTTAAGTACACCAAGGAAGATGGTTTGTTTCCCCGCTCTGTTGACACAGATAGCAACAATTGACTGACCTATGATCACAGTTGCTCACATCGAGAAGTGGGTTCAGCGCCATTGCGAGACCACCTGGCACAGCTTGGGAACCTGCTCGATGGCTCCGCGAGAGGGCAACAGCATCGTCAAGCACGGTGTCTTGGACCCGAGACTGAACGTCCATGGCGTCAAGAACCTCAAGGTTTCGGACCTGTCGGTCTGCCCCGACAATGTTGGCTGCAACACCTTCTCGGTAAGTTGTCTCACTCACTCACTCCCACCGTGAACGTGACTGTTTGTCGTTATCATTGTCAAGACATCAAACACTGACAGACGAACACAATCCTAGACCGCCCTGCTTATCGGCGAGAAGTGCGCCGTGCTATCTGCCGAGGACCTGGGCTACAGTGGAGCCGCCCTGGACATGAAGATCCCACCATACCACGCTCCTGGCGAGACTGTCGGTCTCGCTCGTCTGTAAACGTGTGTGAATGAGCGTGCGAAATTAAGCAAGCAGAATGGCCAAAATAAAAAGCAACTCTGACTGACTGACTGACTGACTGTGTGGGAGGATCTTGCAAAGCGGAATTGGATAGTCAAATTAATTTGATTATTGTATCTGGTTTCTCTCACTTCACTTTCGTTTGAGAGCTCGTCTCACTGGTGGTTTCTTGCCGTCGTCTCTCTTTTCACGCGTCTTCTAGATAAGAGGCGCTCTCATGGGCGCTCTCATGGGCCCTCTTTGTCACGTGTGACACTCTTCACTACTCAGTAGTACCTCGCAAAACCCCCCACCCAGCTCATGTCTTTTTCGTCTTCGGTCTTCGTCCTTATCGCGGCCGTGTTCTTCGAGGCAGGCACAGAAGCTGTTGTGGATTCATCGTGGCACGTGATATGATATTATCATTCTTTGTGTCCCCGTGAGTTTAGTGATTGGCCTGTTTTGGCGAGTTACTGCTGCTGCGGCTGCCGCCTCCGGTTATGGCGTCTGACCTCCTCGGGTGTGACCGGCGGCAGGACGACGCGGATGCCGTGGGTTTTCTGAAAGTGCCGCGCGAACGTCTTCTTGCCGACCTTGATCCCCGCGTGGGTTCTGCAGAGGAGGCACTTCCACGGCCGAGGGTCACCCTGGACATACTGGCCCCACATGTAGCAGTCGTTGTCGTCGTGGCCTTGGAAGTTCGAGTAGTTCTCGTTCTCGATTTTCATGGCCTTCAGGCCGGCCAGGCTATGCCGCTGGCGGAGATGGCTCTGGAGCGAGCCCTTCTCCGTGACTAGGCATCTGTCACAAAGGAGACACTTCCAGGGCCGTCCGACCCCGTGGGTGTATTGAGCGAAAGGAGTCAATCCGCCATCAATGGCTGTCGACCAAGTGATGATGCCTTGAGCATCCCGACCACGATAGAGGATGGTCTGGCCATTGTTGTCGGCGGCACTGTCGTTGTCACCATCGCCAGCGGATGTGACGGTGTCCTCGAGAGCGGCGAGCGCTGTGTCATCGATCTCCACCGTGTTGACATCTCTCGCACTTCCTTCTTCCTGCCCGTTATCTCCATCAATGATATTGCCATGATGGTGCGGGTTGTTGTGGACGCCCACCTCGGGCTCATTCCTTACCAGGGTGCCTTGTACCCACTCGGTCTCCCAGTCTCTTCCGCCGATGTATCGCTGAAACTCGTTGGCGTCAACAATATTAGCCTCGTGATGCGGCCAAAGGTTGAGTCTGGTCACTTCCTGCACCCAGATCTCGCGGTAAGTCGGGGCCAATTCAGTGAAGGATTTTCCAAGCGCCTGGAGGTTATCCATTTGCTCGAGTGTGAACTGCTCTGGCTGTTTGGTGGCTCGGATGATTTGGATTGCGAAGTCGACCTCGAGATCGAATCTCCTGACCAGGTCGAGGAAATTGTTTTCGACAGAAAGACGGAGGAAGTTATGAATGGCCGTACGGTAGCAATCGACAATGCTCATCTTGGGATTCCGCACCAGGGATGAGAGGGCTTCGGACACGACATGTTCGCGTACAGGAATGAGTCGAGCGTCGTAGGAGGCCATGTTGGGAAGAGACTCGTGGACGGGTGTGACAAGTCCAGAGGACGACTGGTAGATGAAGACTCGACTTCGCAGGAGTGAAGGAAACTCCCAAAATTCTGTAACCGTGAAACCATGCGAATGATTTCCCGGTGGCAGAGTGGAAATGGGAGAGGCCGAAAGAGAGTTCCTGATCCCGCAGGCGTCGGGTCGCGTGTTGGAGGAAGATCGAATGCAGACTGGACTGTCGTAGACCTTTTGGGGGTAAAGAAAATCTCTGACTCTCCAAAAGTTCATGGCGCGAGGAAGAAGGATAAAAACTGCAAGTCCATAAGGTGCGGCAGAATACTGCGCTTGGCGACGACTGTGAATGTCATTGTGGTTCTGTGCCATGCTGACGACTGTGAATGTCAGGGACCTGTCGTTCCACTTGCAGTTCAACGCGTGTCCAGTTGATCTTTTGCCAGTGATTCCAGATCTTCACTAGAAAAAGCAAGACTAGACCGGAAGGGTCAGAGTCGCCTTGTCGTGACTGAGAAATCGTACAACACGAGGAGAGGGTCGTGCCTATGAACCAGGCATACAAAGGTCAGACCCAAAAGGTCTGCACTTCCACACTAGCACTGACGCTGCCAGCGTTTCTCTGAGACCGAGATCTCGTCCCAAAATGTGAATGACGGAGTCGGAGTTGATACAAAGAAAGCAGCAGCTCGACAAGCTTGATTCTGAGTGGTATGAGCACAGATTTGAACCTGTGAGTGCAGGGATATATATAGATAAGTTGTGTCGCAGAAAAAGGTGGAGCCGTGAACTGTTCGACACTTGACCGCGATAAGATAAACCGCTTTCATTGAATGAGGGCGCGGAGTTCTTGTATGCATTCAGCAGTCACTCCGAGGGTGAAGCAAGAGTATATCATACACCCCGCGAAGCTTTGGCCCTTTGTTCCCCACCATTTCATCGCTCATCTGAAAAGGCAGTGGCGACGAATGGACAAAGGCATCTGCCACAGGTTGATGACTGGCGAGAGGACACACCAAGTCAAGGTGACCCGAGAGACAGTCAAGCATCCCGTCAGGTTGGGTGGTGCTGCCTTGAGCTTCAGGCCCACAAGTCTCAAGTCTTCTTCCAACGGACGCGTCGGACCCATTGAGACCATTTCTGGACATCCTCTCTCTGGCAAATCAACTCGACCGTGTACCATTCTCGGGCGAGCTCTTCGTTCGAAGCCATCTGATGAACAAAGTTGTGACAAGCTCGACACAGCCATGCCACGCTGTTTAACTGGTGTTCTTCATGCCAATTCCTCTTGAGCACTTTGGCGTGGATCTGCTTTGGTATCAAATGATGGTAGGTGAGTGGAACCCACTCCCTGTCGCAGATCTCGCACGCCTTTGTCTTTGTGTCTGACCATTTGGGTGGCGGCGTCGTCACAGCAGCAATGTAGCCCGAGAGCACCGGCGCCATGAAGGACTGCATGTCAGATTTGGGAGGTTCGATGAGTCCATATGCTTTCAGGCTGTCGTTTATGTCCCCTGGAAGATGGGCACAGAGCTCGTCAAGGACGGTCAAAGTCAGTGGAAGGGACCACTTGTCCGCGTGCACAGCGTCGTTTTGTAGTCCATGATAGGATAACTCCTGGAAAGGAACCGGCAGACTGGCAAAGATATCGGTGGCCAGGTAATCCGAGAAGTCAGCCAGCTCAGAAGGATCAGGCCCAGAAGCATCGAGTGCAGAGGGCTCAGACTGGTTCTGTCGGGCTTTCTTGCCTAGAGAGGAGCGTTTGGGGGCTTTTCTTGATCCTCCAGTGAGCTTCTCCACCACGTGTGAGAACAGGCAGTCTCTGAAAGCATCATAGTTGCCATTGCCAGTGTCTGTCATTGGAGCCGGACTATATATATATATATCGCAGAGAATGGACGGGCGACGTGAAGAGAGAAAAGACGTTGAAGCAAGCTCACAACCTAACCACGCCGCGGAAAGTCTGGCGATATGGATATTCCGTGCCGCGTATATTTTATATCAGGCCTAGTCGCGAGCTTTGGAGTCAATGAGCACAATGAGCAGCATTTTGTTGTATTTATATGTCAACGCCAATTTACCAATTATGCCTAGCTTTGTTGTAAAGATATCGAGCTGTGCGTAGGGTAGCCCAAGGCCAACTGGCGACCCTGTAAGATTTGTGTCGTCCGACAGAAAGCTGTTTGTCTGTATCGCTGACAGACCAATACCCATAATCGCCCAACCATCCTATGCATGGGTTACCAGGGGGTATCAAAGCCTCGGTAGAGGCTTTCACTTTTCTTCCATCCATGCAAATGGTAAGAACTGCTTTTCTCCTGCTGCATTAATCTCTGCCACGTCATCAAGCCTGCGCCCATAAAGATCATCACTCATTACATTATGAACAAAGGTCGCTGCTCCCCGGAAAGGGTCACCAAAATCCGCTTGTCCGAACAAACCTCTCCTGGTGTTCCTTTAGACTGGCCCAGTGGACCAGCTCTTCCTCTTCGATGTCCTCCGGCGTCCGTAGCATGCCGCCGGTATTGCTGTCAGCGACTCCGCGGAATCGACCGGGACCCAGGCGTTCCAACTTGGAGAGGATATCGAGGAAGACGTGAAGATAGGCGTTGACACTCTCGGAGTCGAGCGTGGGCATAACGCTCATTCGGGCGCGTTTGGTCTCCAGCAAGGTCGACGCGACGGTACGGATCTTGTTGCACTGGACAGAGTCAGCGAGAAGTCTTCCACAGGGACGATCGACTACTTACGAAGCTCATTCCATTGGGCTCCATGTTCACCTGGTTGATGCTCTTCAGAAGTAGGGCCATATCTCTCACAATGTCTTCTCGCTCAACAGCCATCATTTGTTCTCCGGCATCCATCATGCTGTCGCTGGGTGTACGACCTACGATCTGTCGATAGCTGTGTTCCATACCCGTCGTCACAATGCCTGCCGTGGGGGATGAGCTTGTGACTGACTTATCCGAAGGGAAAGTCAATTTGTCGCGATCCACGATTTCGTAGAGATTCCAAAATCTCTCGACCAGGTAAGACCTCGACGAAAGTTGCGTGGCGTATATATTTGCCTTCTGGATCTCAAACTGGATTGCTCTCTTGGATGGCATAGAAAATGACGTGCGTACGCTACCTGGGGTCGCGTGTGCATCGCCCTCACTTCCCTCGCGATCATTGAAGAGGTGGGAATATGCCGATATATCGGCTTGGGTAGGTGGCCACTCGCCGAATCCATTGGCCGGATTGAGCTGCAATTCCTTGGGAGCGTCCCGGGTAGCATCCTTGACGTGTTGGAGAGCACGTCGGATAATTTGTCGTTGACGATCCCAGTCATAGACGTTGTTTGCCCCAAACGCCATTTCCAGGGCAGCCAGAAAATGAAAGGCTCGGAAGACTTTGACATTGAGGTTGAACCCGACCATTTCAGAAACCACTCCCCGAGGTTGAGGGAAAATCTGCGTTTCAGTAATGTACTCATCATCTACCTCGACCGGCAGTGGTGGGAGCATTTCCGCGTGGGACACTGGAGGCATCAACAAGTCTCCTTCAGCTTCGTCAAGTTGTCGGGCCGACATGGCTCCCACGAACAGCAACCAGAAAAGCCTCCGACCGGATTCCTGATAGATGAAGTCGACCATCGGGGGTCGAGGCATATCGGCAGGACCATACGCTGCTGCTGGAGTCACAGCAGGCCGGTGGATCTCTGGCCGGTGAAATTGCAACTCCCGCATGATAATGGTGCATTCGCCCAGATAGAGTCGCATACGTGGGATATCAAGGGTGTATCCGGCGGCCAGTCCTGTCAGATAACTCGAAATAGCGTCGTACAGGTTCATCGGCCGGTCCATGTACCCTAGGCCGCGAGCCTCGACGAAGACTTGATGGCATCGGTCGATCAGACTCCCCGCATTTGGAAACTGTGACTTTCCTGGTTCCGTGATAAAAAGTTGTCTTGGTCGTCTCGGAAAACTAGCCACGAGACATTCGACCATGGCGGCAATGAGCGCGAGGAAGTTGTGATTTGTCCTATCCTCCCTCGCCTCAAACAACCTTCGGAATGTAGGTTCGTGTGGAAGCGGTATTAACGGATGGATATACGTAAAGTAATCGTCGAGGAGAACCCTCAAGGCCGGCAGGTCACATATTGACTCGGCGGACAGCGGCGTCGGCGCGGCGAGGGCAGCCAGGCTGTATGCGGCATCATGAGTCGGGGAGCTTCGTGAGCCGTCATAGTTACCACCTTCAAGTTTCTGCCTCTTGATGGCTTCGGCATGTTTGTTGGGCGGGCCACGCCGCCGACTCGGACGGTCGAAGGTGCAGGGTATGTCGAGGGCGGCGCATGATTTGCAAGGAGGACCAGTCTCGTCACACTGTTGGAAAGCAATCATGAGCGCATGAACCACAAAGATCTGGGGGAAGAAGGGAGTGGCGGCGCACTTACCTTGACCTTGCGCACACTACAGCTGTCACAGGCCTTTCTGAGACGGACTTTGGGTTCTGACGAACCTGAGGGCTGTGGCTTCGAGGGTTCTCGGGGTTGAGGTTCTGGTTCTGGACGCGCGATGGACAGAGGGACTTCGAATTGGTTTGTTGGGTAACCCGAGGGAATTTCGTACGCGGTGGGATCTGCGTACTTATAGGCGTTGCCCGCGTCCTGCGGCTGAGAGGACGAGTATGGGCCTTGCGGAGAGAGCGACGCCATTGGGAAGGATTCCTATCTTGCAGTGTCGCTGTTGAGCAGTCTGGGAGCCACGGGTGAACGTCGGCACATAGTATGGAGTATTATTTAGCACAAGGTTCCCAGGGGATTCTGAGATGTCGGCGAGGTCGGCAGGAGGAGTAGGTGGTCTGGATGGCTGGAGGTGGGAGCGAGCCAGGCGCAGGCAAAAGGGTGGAGATTTTCGCGGTCAAGGGACCGAGGAACAACCACGGCACGGCCTCTCGTTTTGCCTGTCACTTGTGAGATCTCACTTCCCTCGAAACGGCCCGTGACTTGTTGCGGGGGAATGTGCGTGAAGTGAGTGGTGAAGAGAATGAATCATCTCTGGAATGCAATCTGAGTGGACAGCTAACAGCAATAAGTCTTCACTCTCTGGAGAGGTGGGAAAGAGAGGGCTTGCCTGTAGGGTAGCATTGCGAAGGACGAGGTAGAAGTCTAGCAAAGGTCTTGCAGCACACCAACACCACGGTGGAGCTACGTATGAGTACCGAGTACACAATAATACCTGCCACTAGTAACAACCTACGCAGTAACAGAAGTCTTCATACTGCAGAAGTTGGGGAGGGACTGACCTGGAGTCCGGGGGGGAATTAGCCCAGTTTGGGTGGGGGCAGGATGTGATTAGGCTGCTGGATTAAGTGGCTAGTCCCTGTGCCATAGGTGCGACAGGCGGTAGGTCACCCCTACTACTCCCTAAGGGAGGGAGCTCCAGAACTCCTAGGGAAGGGGGGGTATTTCTGGCAGCTATCCTACTGTGCTGTAGGCACCGATTTGGATGTCTGTAAATGTCAACACGACTGTGTATCACTGTCGACCCGCAAGCGACCACAAGGGTGCGACGAGCTGGGCATAACCATCCTCCATCCACCACCCCGTCCTTTCAAGCCCATTTATTGAGATACATGGATAATGTGCAGCCAGAAAATATTTCCAAAAACCTCCACAATCTCGAAGCTGGATCAGCAACAGAAGGTTCCGGGGTAAGTTGGCAGCCGTCGAAACGATTCGTCCCTCTGTCCTCTGATTTCCCCTCCAGCAACCACAGTCATTATCGTTGACAGAGTGAATACAGAGGAAACTTCAGTTTTGGTAAAAGAGAAAAGAAAATTTGAGGACGAAACTGCGCGAGAAATATTAATAAAACCCGATGCGGAAACGAGGCTGAGACGCCGGGATTCTTCTATTGGCTGAGTGACATCACCACGCGAATCTGTCCCGCTTGCTCGTTGCCTGCGACTTGTAACACTGTTTCTCCCCTGTTAGTTAGCTCCCAACCGGTCTCATGGACATCTTTTGGTAGTTACAATGGCGGTGGAAGGGCGTTTACGAATGTGCAGCTCCCTTTGGGACGCTACCTGGCTCTATCCTCTGAAGGTGAGTATGTCGTCACGCGAAGAGGTTACCATTTCTAACTTGTCTTCGACGCCAGGGTCTCTACTACTTCCTGCTACATCCCTCTTTCTACCCTCTGTTTAAGGCGCGCCTGATTCCCATCGTGCTTCTCTCCGCCTTCATCTACGCGAATCTATTCCTCTGGACATTCCTCCCACAAGTTGCCTTCCTCGCCATCTTTCACGGTGCAGGAGCCTGGGTGAACGCAACATTTCTCGTGCTGGGTGAAGGGGCTGCGATTGTCGCGCTTCTTTTTGAGGCTTTCTTCGTCGATGAGACTCTCGTGGACACCTTTGATGCTGTCCTTATTGACCAAGGGTTGGCGGACCTGGTCAGTGAGGGGCGTACTCTCCATCCGATGGCTCAGAACTCGGTGAAGATGCTTGGAAAACCTACGTCCACGGCCATTTATGCCCCGTTTAGTTTCCGCCAAATCGTCGAATTCGTCATTCTTCTTCCCGTCAACCTCATTCCTTTCGTTGGTGTCCCGATCTTCCTCATCTTGACTGGATATCGGGCCGGACCTTTCCATCACTGGAGATACTTCAAGCTCCGGGGGTTTTCTAAGAAGGAAAGACAAGAATACGTCAGGAACCGTCAGCTCAAATACACGTGGTTCGGCATGGTTGCATTGGCATTGCAACTGATCCCTGTGCTCAGCATGTTCTTTTTGCTGACGTCGGCGGCCGGGAGTGCACTATGGGCCGCGAAAATGGAAAAGGCGCATCGATCGAGGGAAGCCGCGGCCACATCCAGGACCGAGCCATATCATGACGATGTAGCATAACCCCTGTTGCTCTGGAGCACTCTCACAATTTGGAGCCAGCAGCATGCTTCTCTACCACGTCGGCAACCTCCTCCAGACTTCTCACCACTACTGTAGGGCCCAGACCCAGGCTGTCCTGCCATCCATTCCCTGCTCGATCAACCCATGCAGCTTGCATCCCAATCGAGCGAGCACCGACCACATCAAATGGATTTCCTGAGACCAGCCACAACTGATCTTCTTCCCCCACCTTGTTGACCTGCTGGGCCAGGTAGTGATAAACCTCGGGAGCGGGCTTGAATACTTTGATTGCATCCACCGATACAAGGTCCTTGAACACGGAAGAATTGAGATCACTAGATTTGGTGACGGAGCTGGAGACCATGGCCTGGGTCCCATTGGAGAACACGACGCATTTAATGTTGGGGTTGTTGTCCAGGCGCTTCAGTGCTGGGTTGACATCTGGAAAGGTCGACAGGGAGTCGTATGCTTCCATGAGCTTGTCACTCTGAGCACTGTTGAGACTCAGCCCGTGCTCAGCCAGAGCATGCTGGAGAGATTTCCGGGTCACATCTGAAAAATCCTGATATTGTTCTTAATAAAATCAGTCAGTTATTGAGAGTTCCCTTTCGATATTGCCCTCACACGTACTCATGCTGTTCAACCTCCACGTATATTCCAATTGATATTTCCTCCATACCGCAGCGACCGAGGCGGCTTTTTCCTGCCCAAAGTGTGAAGCTAGCTCTTTGGCAATGCTCTCTGTCGACAGCAGTGTGCCGTAGAGATCGAATGCTACGACAATCTTGCTCATGGCTGGGTTTTGCTTCCCCCCTCTGCTTGCCTTGATGAATTACTGTTGCTGCTTCTTCTGTTCCTCCTGCTGCTGCTACCGCCGATGATAATGACAACAATGATAATATAAGTGTGACCTGGACTCTTGCTACTTTTATATAGACGGACCAAGTATCAATTATTCGGACAAGATCCCGAGAAGTTTCAGCATCGATTCCAAATCAACCCCGCGATTCGTGGCCCCGTGAAACTCTGCTAGCGCGATGCTGCCGATGGTATTATGGCGGATAGAACGGATTTTGTGGACAAACAGTTCCCTGACCTTTTTCTGTCCACCACACACCGTCCTTTGATATTATTCGGGAAAACCGTGAGCATTTCCCCCTGTCGAAAGCGGCAAGGTTCTATTTCCTGAAACATACAAGTGGTTGGCCATACCTGCTTTTTTCCCTTTCCCCCATTCATCCTTATTCCATCCAAGAAAGCGCGCTTAGTCTCCTCTCGGTATCGTACCCGAGTTATATCCCAAAACCCCTCCCCTCCTCCCCCGGCCCCCTTATCGATCTCACATTCTTCGGAGTAAGTTCTTTTTCCTTCCCGTCGGCGCGTCCTCCCTCTCCTCAAGGATGCTTTTTGGGGGGGGCCAACACACACAGGGCACGGCAGATGTTCGGCTTTTAGTTTTCGGTGCTGAGAGAACAGAGAAGCCATCCTTGGGAATTGGGGAGGGGGAACTGATCTCCGGCGCCTCATTTTTCTAATAACGGAACCATCCCAACCCAATCAATCACTAACACAGCCAGGCTGCTACCTAGTCGCGGGTGACGGACTGGATTGGATTGGTGGACCAACGATGGCTTCTTCTCAACCCGATCCCCGTGACGGCGGCGGCAAGGTCATTCCCATCGTGCGCTGGGGCACGCCGATCCTGCACCGCGAGTTGCGCCCCGTGACGACGTTCAATACCCAGGAGCTCGACGCCCTAGTCGCCGACATGTTCGCCACCATGTACGCCGCCGGCGGGGTCGGGTTGGCGGCGAATCAGGTCGGCGTGGACCTGCGGGTGTTTGTGTACGACATGGCGGACGCGCGGGGGACCCGGCGCTGGGGCGCCGTTTGCAATCCCGTCATCGAGCCCTCGAGCCAGAAGCCGGCCGGCGACGGCGGCGACGACGACCATCATCACCCGCCACACGTGTTGCAGCGGACGCTGTCCATCACCGAGGGCTGTCTCTCCTTCCCGGGCATTTCGGCATCGGTGTCCCGCCTGGGTGCCATCACCATCAACGGGCTGGACCCGCGCGGCGAGGCCCTGACCATCCACGCCTCGGGCCTGTTCGGACACGTCCTACAGCACGAGGTCGACCACCTGAACGGCATCGTCTACGGCGACCGCGTGTCCCTGGGCCGGAGGGACGAGATGGACCGGAAGTACCGAGACTTGGAGGCGAAGAGCGCGTATCCGGACGACTGGCCCGTCACGCAAACGGACCATAAATGGGGGGATTGAATTGAAATGCCAAAAAGGGGAAATCTGCATAGGAACTGCTGGACCACCTTGTTGTTGGGTTTCCGGAGAGTTTGTTTTGAGGAGGGGGGACTTTTCCTCTTCGATCTCTCCTTCTACACTAACTTCGTCCCCGTTGTGTGTTGGCGCTGGCAGCTCGCTGAACAACAACAACGACCTATCATAATCAGATCCTGTGGCACCACAGGCACGGGCGAGGGGCTGCAAGCTGGAAGGGAGGCAGTAATGGGACGGGAACTGTGTCCGAAGTGTTCGACGTGTTTTCTTTTCTGAACAACAACAATAACAACAACAACAACAGTGGTCCAGAAAATCAAACCAGAGCCACGCGCGGCATAAGTGGCACCGTTCTCTGACATGGGTGGTTTTGCTCAAATATCAAGTTTTGAGAGACAGAGAAAGGATGCTGCCTTGGTAATGATGGAGGCAGCTTTTTTTTCTTCATTCCTGATATAGGCCTGCTCTTTTCTCTCTCTTTTTTTACACACACAGGGGATGGTGGTTGCTCCCTCCTCCTCCCCCGAATCTCCTGGGTGAATTGACACAATTGACGTTATATTTGACACAATTAGTATCGTCATCGCCATGCCTTGTGGTACTTTCTCTCTCTCTCCTCTCTTCATTGAGTGACGCGCCTTATGAATAACGTCAGGGCGATAGCGGTTCCTTTCAAGCTCCCGACAAGGAATTACCAGGTGGAACTCTAACCCTATGACTTCCCAGTTTGACCCTGAGATGTCCCCTCATGTCGCCTTTCACGACGCCTTTGCGACCTCTAGATCTCCTCCTCCGTCTTCAAGAAGATGGCGGCACCTGGCTCGACACGATCGCTCCCTCAGCCGCCAACGTGACGTAGAAGAGCTCGGTCTCGGCGCAGATGACCATGCGGCCTTTGCCGGCAAAGTTGAAGTTGGACGACGTCGTGCCCAGGAAGATTTTGCCGAGCAGTTTTCCCGACGGGTCCCACACGTGCACGCCGTCGCCGACACCCGAGTAGACGTTGCCGTTTGTGTCACAGTGTATCCCGTCCGGAATGCCCACGCTCGCATACGCGAACAGCTTGCGATTCGCAAACGTCCCGTCGGGGAGGACAGTGAATTGATAGCTGGTTCGTAAATGTTAGATTGAAATGAAAAGGGAGGACCGAGACGACAATTGCGCCGATTGTCTCAGAGATCCAGGAACTGCAATCCCAACTTACATTGAGGCCGGCGCTGTCATGTTGTATCCGAAAAAGGAATACTGGGCACCGGTGTCGGTCACATACGCGAGTGTCCCGTTGGGAGAGAACGTGATGCCTTGTTGTGTTTGGTCAGTCTCCATTTTTCTGTCGCCGTGTGCAAACAGCGATTCGCAGCAGTTTTAACGTACCATTGGGCAAATCGAATCCATCAGCCACCACCGACACGGCTCCCGTCGCAGGTGTGAACCTGTACACTTGGTTTGGTATCTCTGGCGAAGGGCGGAAGTCTTGCAAATAGCCGTATAGAGTGTCTGTGAAATACACGTCGCCGTTCAGAGGATTGACCGCCACATCGTTGAGAGAATTCCATTGCCGGCCGAAGTAGTTATTCACAAGAACTGTGGCAAAAGTCAGCGACATCGAAGCGATATTCCGTGAGAGAGTTATCCGAGAAATTTGCGAATATCTGAACCTACTGGTCGTGTTGTAAGGAGGGCGAGGGTTCACGACGTACAACGCCGGAGCGGTGTTGTTGCCCTGTCCTTCGCCAGTAAAGAGAAGCTGGTCTCGATAGAGAGTCGCCCCTAATAAACATGTTTCAGCTTCCAAGGTCTGGGGTAACGGAGGAATAGCTGTGACTCTAACCGTTGGCGTTCACCACCGTAGGAGTAGCATTAACAGTCACAACATCCACCTGGCCACTCGCGTTGCGCAAGGACGAAACAGCGGCCGCCTGGCTCAAGGCGATCTTTTCTATAATGTTCGACTTATTCAGACCAGTTCCAGCGGCAGTTGCTCCGGCATTTTGTACGAAACTGTCAACTTCTGTTATCCTGGACCGATCATGGTGAAATTTTGACGAAGATACGGAGGGAGCACAGCAGTTTCTCAGAGAAAGGCGTTACTCACAAGACTTCATCCGTGGGAGGGTACCTAAGCAGCATATTTAGTCCTGGGACACGGGGATCAGAATAGCGAGGCTATCCAGTATTTGAAACATACCAGACGACAGCCTCATGGAAGAGAGGGTTACTGCTAGTGCTTGCAATGATCGTCAAGGTAGGGTTTGTCCCAATGATATCTAAGAAGGCTTCATCGTAGACGTGGAAAGGCTTCGCCAGGGCTTCTTGCAATGTGACGCCGGGAGGGACAAAAATCTACGTATTGGAATCAGCATGCTAACAGAGACGAGTTCCAGGAGGTTCCAGGGATCCGTCATTTCTCACCGTTGTAAGATTAGATTGTGAAGGAGGAGGGACAGGGGTCAAAACATTGAAGCTCTTTTGATCAATCACCAGTATCTGACTGGAATTCGACTGAGCAGAGGTCGACGCGATGAGAGCAGTCAAGCCGACGAGGAGGGCCCGTGGGAGCATCTTGGCGGATGTCTACCTTGCTTCTGGCAAGACTCCCAGGACCACAGAGCGCCTCATCACGGATATTTGAGCTTCCCCGTTGCTCCTCAAGCTTTAGGATTTCGTCAAACCCCGCACGAGATGACATGTTGTGCTCACCGCTTGCCATGTCGCAAAGTTCTGCTGAAGCCCTGGACAAAGGGGAAGCCAATGAATGACAGGGGTCGATGTCTCCAACTATCCGAAAGGGGAAGACATCTATGGCTTTTGCAAAAGCCGATTGTCAGACTATACGTCGGTATTTCCCCGATCAAGCCCGTTTGCGGGGATTGAAAATCAGGTTTCGCTCTAGAATTGACCGGAAGCAGGAACGAGCATTTCGACTGACTCTCACTGTATTGTGATTGGATTCCGTCTCGTGGATTTAGACCCTTATGGAATAAGTCTCGCAAATCCCCCGGAAAACTAAAGCTCGAGTGCGGAGAAAGCATCGGCAACCAAAAGGCAAGCTGGACCGGCCAAAAAGGTGACGGAACTGCTTCGAGGGCTTCTCTGGTTTTTTCCTGCGCAAGAGTCAGCCGGAGACAAAGGCGAAGTACTACCTCCCTGGCACAGCTATTGTCAGCACTCCAAACCCCTGCCTCTAACCGTGGTAAGGATGCCCAGACGCTTTCTTGAAGTGGTCCTGCACATAGTTGATAGGCCTTTAATATCTGCCCTTTCGATAGCCAGGAATCTTCTGAAAGAGCGTTGTGATCACAAGCGATTCCGCTAGCAGCCTCAATGCCTAGCTTGTCGCTTGGGAAGCTGTGTGATGTTCCCCAGCTTCACCTGGTTATTTCATCTGGCACATAAAACAGGAAAAAATATCATCATCCCCGTGCCTTGGCTTAAGTAAAGGAAGTGCAGGGGAGAAAAAAGGGTACCCGCACCTGTGACCACATGGGCAAATAGATAAGAGGAAGAATCACGACATAAACACCTTGCTTTGTATGAGAATTTTCTGTGACGACCTTCCATCGCGTGTTAGTGACGTCACAGCCTCAGCCTCAACGCGAAATCACGTGGATGGCGCAGCGCTTGTGCGATCTGTGGCGTCAAGCAATAAAATTCGACATTCAGCGTACGCATCCCGACCCAATACCCCGTCTAGACCTCAGTTCACCAACCCAGGATCAGCAGAATCGAGAAACAGCATAATGGCTAAAGAGTCCCTCATTGCAATGACCAAGTTACTAGGGTCTGGCTTGGTTGACTGAGATCATCCCAAACTGCGACGATCTCGGTGCAATTGTACCTTGGTGCTGCCGTATCAAATGACTGAATGAGGATCAAAGAGGCCTCGCACCGCAAACATGAAATCTATCTCTGGACCGTCAAATAGGAGGCCTTTTCTGTCGGGGCCATTTGGCTCTGCAGCACGCCGTCCAGGTGCGGCAATCGTACAAAAGTTCGACTCGGAAACAGGGCAGGTGTACTCTGAAGTAGAAGTACGTCCTACCCGAAACAAGTATTCAGATTGGATCGGTGAGCCCAAAACACCTGGTCTGGTCAAGAAGCCACCCCCGAACCCGAATGGCGCCCGTTCTTTGGCAGCTATGGCGAGGACCAAAGTTGCTATTCAGTTCAGAAATCTAACTCCGGAACACTTCGCCACAGTGCCGTGGTCAATAGCGCAGAAGGTCTGGGATCAACTATTGTCAATGTATTAGTCACAAGAAAGCCCCGTCTGGACAATCACTGACAGCTAGAGATAGGCGAGCAGAGAGCTTTCACGCTTGGAGGACTCTGGCGACGGCATATCCCAGTTCCGAAGAATTCGGAAGGCGTGAATACCGCTATCTCCTGGACATTAAGCAATTAGCAATGCCAATTACGGATTATTTCAACGGCATCACGTCCAAGGAATTAATGTGGCTCAGTTGCCTCCGAATCTCCCCCAAGCAAATGGCGACGAGCAGCCTTGTCTCGATCCACACTATTACCAACCTCGCTGTGCTTGATCTTTCGGACGGCCAGGTCACGATTGACAATGAGGTTTCTAAATTTGACGAACGTGTCCTGCGGTCTTGGGCGGAGCTTGCACGCTCCGGAGAGGCCTTTCAGCATCTGCGAGTGATACTCTTTGGTTGGCAGGAGCATCTGTCGGACTGGATCTTCAAATACGCTGACTGGTTCCCATCTCTATGTCACATCATTATCACGGATTGCCCGAGAATGCACCAGAGAAACCGAGCACTGTGGGAACCAACCGCGCAAGCCTCAGGATGGGAGGCTAGACATGCCAAAAAGAGTGCAAAAAGCCTCCGGCCGATCATTGGAAATCAGGACTTTGCCTTTGGCGCAATCTCGGGTTGCTACTATGACAGTTTGGAGCTGTACAGCCAGTTGTCGCACAATGGCTGGCCCGGCCTCACTGATAGCCGACCGTTACTGGAAGCGTGGATCGGCAATCCTCGACACTGGTCGCATATTGTTGACGACTTCCCCTCTACACGAACGATCTTTCTGGAGAATATCAAGACACATGGTCGGAAGGCTGGAGACGGACGTTCTACTAGCAGCAGCGACCACGAACCGGCGAAGAGGGTGAGGAACCAAGAACAAGCAACCTCTGAAGCGGCATCACCTCCTCGAAAGCGAGGGCCACGAGCAAGGCATGCAATGAAGTCGAATGAGAAGAATGTCACGGACATGTTGAAGGAGTTCTCGACATAGACGTAATTTAACTAGGGACGCTGTTCTCTGTATAGAAATCGCATCGTAGATATCTGGTCCTCCAAACATATGGATGATTGCGAAGGACGTTTTCCAATCACAATGATGTGCGTCCACCAAAGGCATGCCTCGTTGCTTGTCTTCGTAGTTCAGTGGCATGGAGGGCGTTCCTTGGCCGCCTTAATCCCCAGCCTCACATTATGACAAGTGTCGTGTCCCCAGCACGGAACAGCACACCTCGTAGAGCCGAGTTGCAAAGCACTCTCTCATGGGTCACCTTGTGCGTCTTTAACGAGCACCGGTCGAGCATCTAGAACAAGTTTTTGTTGATGCATGACCGTCTCAGTCATCGAAGATAACAAACATCACACCACTCGCGGTTGGCACGTAACAAACCTTTCCCCCTCACGGCCAATTGAGGTGCGACCCGTCCCCACCTCCACCGCATTTCCATCCTCAATCTCCCATACACCAGCGACGAGCAAACACGATCACTTGCTCCTTGGCCGATAGGAGGATGTCGACGCCTAACCGGGACCCGCCGGTCACCTCCCCCCCTTCAACGACTATATCTTCTCGCTCCAGCATGGAATCTCAGTCCCAGTCTCCTTCTACCACTGCCAGAACACCCTCCCTACGCATCCCGTCTATGCCCAGCGCGGCTGCCCATCACCGCCAGAGTTTCCACGAACTACGAGGTCATCCCCCTTCTCCTCGGTCGCAGAGACAGCCCTCGCTATCCCATCTCGCCGTGCAAGATTTGATTGACAATCCACCTATGAGAAATCCCGATCCTCGCTTCGCGGGGAGGAATTGGACGGAGGTGAAGGTCAAAGAGCTGGTCAATCCGGATGATCTGAGATTTGTGGACAATGAAACTCCTGTAGAGTCGGCTACCAATGTGAGTGTATCCTCGTCCCTTGTTCAAGGCCACGTCAGGACTGACAAAGGATCCTTGCTAGCTCCTCATCGAGTCAGGCGCTCCTGTCGTCCTTGTCCGCGAAAAGCCAGGCTCTCCAGTCATCGGTACATTTGACCACCGCGACCTCAATGCCTACCTGTTGCTGGTCGTGGGGCTTTCCCGCCCCGATGACGATGAACATGCCACAGACTTCATGGAACTGGCCCAGCGGGCAAGAGAAGGCAAACGTATACACTTGCGCGAGATCCAGGACTTGAGCAAGAAGGAACCTTTGACTTTCCTTGACGAAAACGCCGATTTGCTCAAGGCCATTGAGACGTTCGGACGAGGGGTACACCGAGTCGTGGTGGTGAATGAGACGACGAAGGAAGCAACGGGTGTGCTCAGCCAGAGCCGTCTGATCAGATTCTTATGGGAGAATGGCCGGAGTTTTCCTATGTTGGACCAGCTGTACCTCCAAAATCTTCGTGATTTGAGGATCGGATCCAGAGATGTGGTTGCTATCAAGTAAGTGCGAGCCCTTCCGTGGTGAAAACACACTCTGACCCGGTGTGCCGTTCAGTGGCGACCGACCCCTCTTCGAGGCCCTGACTTTACTGCTCAACGAAGGCGTCTCTTCCCTCCCTGTGGTCGACCATAACTACAATGTCATTGGTAACATCTCCAATGTCGACGTCAAGCTACTCACAAAGTCCACCTCTTTGCCCCTCCTCCGCAACACATGTATCCATTTCATCACCGTCATTCTCTCCACCCGCGGCATGTATGAAGGCAAAGACTCTTTCCCCGTCTTCCACGTAACTCCGCTCTCGACACTCGCGCACACCGTCGCGAAGCTGGTCGCCACAAAGTCGCACAGAATGTGGATCACCGAACCAGTCTCTCCCAGCTCCTCCGGCCCGCCCACGCCGGCGCTGCATAGTGCCACCCTTGTGCCGACGTCAAGCCACTCCTCCAACCTCTCACTAACTAGTGGGGGGAGTCACCATATCACACCTCCGACTGCGATGCCTACTCCCGCATCCGACCCGTTCTCGACATCTCCTGGGGCGGTAGTTGACAGTTCGCCAAAACCACCATTTATCGCGCCTACAGGTCCCTCGATCTCCGCATCTTCCCTTCCAGGAGCGCGGATCTCAGGTCGCCTTGTCGGCGTAGTCTCCCTTACCGACATTCTGATCTTGTTCGCCCGTGCGGGTGGCGTCTCGGACGTGGCGGACCCAAGTGAAATCAGGATGCGAAGGAGACGAAGCAGCTCGAGCAGTGTCAGGAGGAGTTTTGATCTGGGGCAACGGCCAAGTGTTGGTAGCAACGGGGGAAGCGGACTCAGGCCGAGTGGAGAGCTGAGTCGGAAGAGCAGTACGTCGCACCGCTGATTAGAGGAAGGAACAAAGTACAAGGAACCATGGTCGAACAATGGATCTTCGAACAAGACAAAGCTGGAAACGTCTGCCAGCTGACTCAGACTCCATGCTGAGAGAACGATTTGAATGACTCTTCATCGTCGACAAAAAGGCATAATGTTCAAATCCACGAAATGAAGCTTCACATGACGCGGTGTCGATGCCTTAGACGGCTGGGAATAACTGAGTCGACGCACAGCAGGATCCTGGAGGAGAGCACGGCCACTGATCGTACATGCGGACACAGGAGGACAGGCTCTTCTTCCTGCCCCCAACCTGTATGCCTCCCTGCCCACCATTCCCTATCCACAAAGCATGCAACTGATATATCGGCTCGCATGCAAAATGCGGTCCCAATTCCGTCGCTTTGTCAAAGACCAGTTATTCCCCGACCAATACACCACCTACAAAGGTGTGCAACGGTCTTCAGATGAGATAGAAATTCGGTTCCGAGGGTCCTCCTGCAATGGCCCCGAAGACTCCTCCATAGATAGAACTATCCACGCGGTAGCTAGTGACACAACTAGGCCTGGGCATTGTTGACACTAACAAAGGCCTCTTTGACATGAACGCTAATGCGTGTCCTTGATTAAGCCTCACCAGTGCTTCCCAAGAGATATGGCTATGCTACCACGCCGTGTACCGAGTAGTTAGTTCGATAGTCCTGGAGGCTGTGCCCCTCACTCAACGGATCACGGTCATTCTTGGTGTCATTAGAAAATCCCCCGAACCAATCATAAGCTTCCACGTGATCTGCCACCTGGATCCTGTCACGTGGGTTACGTGGGAACAGCAACAGAAGCTTGTCCTATCAAACCTGTCCAGTGTCCACAACATCAAGCAACAAGTCCCGATCTATTATTGTCATTCGTATGGTGCAGAATGAATGAACAAACTACAGTCCCCTGCCTCAGAAGAGCCTCGCGCTAGCTGCCTCAACGACTTCTTCTCCTTCCGCTAGAGGCTTTCTTCAGGCCAGCCTGATCCTTGATTGAGATGGGAGGTCTTGAAGCCATGTCATCTAAAGGATCAGTCTACCAGGCTCCCGACTCATAAGGCGGTGCAGCAAAGAAGGCACACGAGTAATGAAAGCCGAAGCTCCCGTGGAGAGAACAAAGCTGCGAGCTCAAGGCCTCATCGTTGATCCCTCGATTTCCACTCCGGTCCGTCGAGTTGCCAAGACCCCTTTGGCTCGGTGGCTTGCGCCAGTGTCCGCCCCAGCGGCTTTAGGAACCTCTCTCGCCTGCACATGGACGTCTAGATTCAGAGAGACCAAGCTACAAACTCATGCCATGTTTCATACGTCCAGAGCCAATCGAGGCCACGGGTTGCATCGGGAAGGAAAACACTATCAGCGCCCGATGACTTGCCCTGCTTGCTCCAGCATGTCACGATATCGACCAGAGACGTGATATTTTGGTCTTTTGGCATCGCAGGGCCCTGGGCGCCTCGCGGCGCTGCCCGTCAGGCCAAAAGGTCCGAAAGCCGTGGCTAGAGCTCGTTTGTCGGTAAATACAGCTTATGTGCTATTTCTCGTCATGCAGATAGAAGGCAGTCACTTCCCATGACTTTGCACCATTCCAGCCCTCCTTCCTGCGGGTTGGTACTGCATCAAAACATCTCGTTTGATGCGGCCTGTCCCCTCATGAAACATTGATAATTGAACTGTGAAAGGCTCCCATATCATGCTCATTCGTCAGACATGGTATCGGGTCTGCATGTGTGCGGTTTTGAATCTGCTGGGTCTGTGCTTGTTTTTCTCAGCCTTACCCACAGCCGCTCAAGCTGTGGCGGGATACCAACATCCCGCGCAGTTGGAGAGCGGGCTCTCAGCAAGGTCACCCTTACCAAAGCTGTCCCTGCGAGACGCAATTCCCAAATCTCCACCATGGGTATACCCGTCTGACCTGGGAGATCCGCCGGCCTGCCTCAGTCATGGTCCTGGCTGCCCCTTCGATCCAAACTACATGACTTCATGTTCGGCAGAAAAGTGTACCGCGACTTTCATCGGTTCTTGTGTGCAGACAGACACGTTGATCAATAAGGACTGCATCTGCAAAAATCTCTTCTCCTCAACTTGTTCCTCGCAGTGCTCTGGCGTGAGAGATCACGCGAGTTACCTCTACTGGTTAAATGCCACTTGTGGTGATCTGGACGACTGGGATGGACTTCCAAAGAACTGGACAAATGGACTGCTGAAGCCCTCCTTTCTCTTTGTTGGCTCGTGGGACAGCGGAGAAGGCTTCTGGGGCCTGGACAATGTCTACCCCTGTTTCGCATCAGCGGAGTGCTGGTACTCGGACAATTATGTGAGGCCGTGGGCTGTGAATTCAACGTGTGCTGGCTTTGAGGCGTCGATCTGGGAACCCAACCTTTATACAGCTGTAGAGGCTGCGGCGTTCTTTCCTGATGCACCGGGCAAAGGATATTCACCTTCTTACGTCTCGTCGGAGCCCTACGATCCGAAGCAAGACGACAGCATATTCATTGATCGGAATGGCTTCTGCAAAGAAGCATACAATGCAAGCCACGATGACTGTTCCGCCGCAGGACGAACAAGTCTCCTTCTCTGGGCCAGCGCCATCTGCCATCCTTCAGGGACCTATGGATGGCCGGTGAATTGGAGAGACAGTCTGCTTATCTACAATGCAACGCTTGTCAACAGCAGCACCTTGGTACCCCCCATCTCGCCCGGACCTAACCACTGTTCCGGTACAGTGAACAGCACGATACGTGACTGTACCTTTAGCGCGTGTACAGTCAGCGAAAACAACTGTACTGGTGTCGGGAACGCTGTGGATAAGAGATGTCTCTGCCAGAGCGTAGGCCTTCTGGACCAATGCAATGCGACAGCGATTGAAAAGACCGAATTAGATCTCTGGCTCAACAAGACTTGTCATGGCATACCAGACTTTGTGGGATTGCCCAACAACTGGGAAGATGGTCTTATGGTGATGAACGCCAGCTACCAGGACCAACAGAACTTCAGTTGGCCCTCATGCCTCAACGCACACAGTTGTTTCGACGTCTTGAGTGGCACGCAACAGAAATGTAGCATGTCTCTTTGTGACTTGGACCCTAGCGGAGGCAACTGCTCGTCCACCACGGTTGGATTCAAGGCTTCCTGTTTTTGCCGCCCTGGTAAGCTCGCCCTACCAACTGATGTCACGTCACGATGAGGATGACTTGTATGTTCGCAACTTACATGGCACAGTGACTTATGAGACCACCTGCACCGAAAATTGCAAGCTGTCTTGGGAACGGGAAGGATATCTCAGATGGATGAACTCGACCTGCAGCCCAGTCGCTGGTTGGGACGGCTTACCTCGTAATTGGACCAAACTTCTTTATGTTCAGAATGATGAATTACTACCCTGGAGCTGGCGCATTCAGATAGCGCCGGACAAGTCATTCAACACCACCAGCACAGGCTCGGATCCCCCGCAAGAATGCCCTTCGACCGTAAGCAGTCTGGTGGCATTCGCGGCTGTGAATGCTGCCATGGCCTTGTTGGTACCGATCTTTGGCCGACGCGACGTCATGAAGAAGCTGACGTTCCGTCAATGCGGCCATCGAGGCTCGCGCATGTGGCTACTGACGGGCCCAGCCGCCGTGATACTTCACGTGGCAAGCAATGTCGTTGGGGCGTACATCATCAAATCCACGCCAGGGTATGGCGGCGTGAATGTTGGGGAACTTGTCCTGTTGTGGTGTACCCGGCCGAGAATTTCCTGGATGATTATCGCCCTCATCCCCTGGCAGGCCGAAGATGCCATCTACTTTTCGGTGGCGAGCTCCACTCTCCTGGCCGAAGTCATCCTCCAGTTACTAGGAGCATACTACATGGGAGTGGCGACGAACTACGCACGTGTGCAGAAGTTCTACACGGTCGGTCGACTCCAGCACGCTTCCCGCGGGAAAGACGCGGCAGTCATGTATGCCGGATCTATCATGTGGCTCAGCGTCATGTTCATCGCGGTCGCGACATGTCTCTGGTCCATGCTGGGCATCAGCAATTATGTTGCGGTCCTTGCTTTTACGATTAGGGGTTTCAACAGAAAAGCAAAGAGATCGCGGGAACTTGCGAACGCTAGGGCAACAAAGCTTACGTCTCTCAGAACAGCTCACGACGCCTGGACTCCCGCTGTGGCCGACTTGGAAAGGGAAAAGCAGGCTCTGGGGGACGTTTACCCGCACGCTATCAGGGCCTTCCAAGCCCTGGCGAGGGGCTGGCAGGCTTTGCAGACATATGTAACTGATGACACGAACAGGCTGATCATTGCCTCCAAAGCGATCCGCCAGAACAAGAAAAAGCGGCCCTCGGACGGTGCCGATGCCGAAGAGGAGTACGCTGACGCCTACTACGTCTGGATCGAAACACCGAGCAAGCAACTTTCTGATTTGGCAACCTTTGGAGAGGCCGCCGCTGAGTTGTATTCCGAAGCACAGCAGCACAGAAATGCCTTGATGAGACAGAGCGAGTCCACCGCCGCCGAAAACAGCATGCTGAGAGTCCGCTTGGCCACCACGCACAGAAAGGTGCAGACCATCCAATCCCTGATCCGGGCATACCAGAAGCGGCGTCAGCAGCTGGCTGCGGTCCAACCCTCCATATCCGAGCAAAGTTTTGTGAGAGGGCGCCTCCGGGACCTGGAGAATCGGTTTCAGAAAAACCGCCAAGGCTGGCGGCTTTCACACCAATATCAGCTGGATCACCTGCGCCAAATATTCGATTCACTGACTCGCAGAATTAGCCTCAAGGCTCAGTTACGAGATCTAAGGGGCCCTGGGGACGCATTCAGAGACCAGAACACCCTCACCGGTCTCGAGACCTTGATACGCACCGGTGAGACGAAGTCGCAGTGCGAGAGACACGCTCTAGAAGCATGGCGCGGCTTGTGCACAAGCTGGGTGCAAATTGGGGCAGAGCACGCGCGGCTGATCAAGATATGGTCGGGACTGGAGAAGAAACGACGGAAAGAGGACGAGGAGCGCCAAAGGGGCAACAGTGCATTGTTGAAGAAGATTGCACTGCGGTCGATTGTAGGCATGTTTGGGTGCTGGGCCGCGCAGTGGGTGTGGTGGGTGGGATATGTTCGAGCATCTGGAGATGAGTGAGTCCAAGACGGATCTAACAGTTCTATCCGTCTGTTTTACTAAGAGGTTGACAGCTACTGTCCGCCGAAACTGAGCCAGATCGCCACCGTGTGGACAGTCTTCTCGACGATCGGTGAGTATGACCCAAGCTCCCTTTGCCAGGTTCTGGGGAACATCGTGCCAACTCACTTTGCCACAGGCGTCATGTTGGGCGGTTCGCTCTAGGACTTTCAACCCATTCTTGGCGCATATGGATTGCTATCACAGAGCGACCTGAGAGAAACCTTCCTCGCTCGGCAGGATTGTGGAATTGGTGCATGTACCACTCCAGCTTATACCTACAACCAGGTTCTTACAGCTTGCACATTCGGTTTGACCGACATATAGGCATATGGGCACATATACCAATATACATACTTATCCTGGTACATCGCATTTTTGCGGGACATGCTATTCTCCGTGCGGGATGGAGACCCTCCCATCTTATATATACATAGCGTCTACTCGTCCCCTCGCTCGGTTGCGTTAGATTCGACGTGTCAAAGCCAGAGGAAGTCACAGCCGTGAAGGGCTTCAAATACAAATGGGAAGCTTTTGGGAAAGCTTCATACTTCAGAACCTCGACAAGGGCAACAACAAAACCGCCGCGACCAAAGCCGCCGAAACTGGTGTAGAAGCAAGAAATAGAGTTCTACCACACCAGATATGTCTACGTCAGGGCGTGTGACAGACGTCGCGACCCGGTGAGACAGTTGCGTGACGGAAGCTGAGCGTGGCTGCGTGTCAATGCCTTCTCCCTATTTCCTGAGTATTTATTTAATCGGTACTTCCTGTCTTCTCCCATCAGAAGCTCTTCCACCAAATCATAGATATGTATAGTGCATACATTTTCCACGGCTTCCAACTGCCCCAGTCTCTCAATCCTCCGGGCTCCAAACACCCTCACAGCCTTTTCGGTCCCCCAACTGTAAGTATTCTCCAACTTGACCAGATCGAAAGACAGTGGACGACCTCTGTCTCGATTTTAGTCATGTACATGACTAAAATCGAGACAGGACATGATACTGACTTCAGATGGGCAGAGGACCCTGGAAACGCCCGTCCAGAACAACAGCTATTTCCTCCTCAATGAGCCAGCTCCCAGCAATGGAGACTTTGACTTTATTGGGCTGAGCTTTGTATATTGTGTTGGTATTCGAAAAAAGCCAATGCCAGCAGCTGAGGTCACAATGTCTTCGGCGGAGGTCACACTCAACGACCGGATACTCTGGCCCACTGTCCAACACCTCGGTTTCAAAAAATGGATATCGCCATTCGCGGGGTGGTCGAGGTCTCTGTGACCTACACGCTGTGTCCACCACGGCTAGAGCCCCAATGGTGAAGATCATGGATTGGATTAGGCAGTGTACAATGTCCCACCTTCAAGAGGAAAATGAGGGGACTTAACTTCGGTTCCAGCTACGAGAATGTACCTGCACTGACGAGAACTCCTACTCGATGGTCTTGTGCGTTGATCAGTGCTGTCTGGCGAATAAATAGTTCTGTCTGCGTACTTTCAAAGTGATGTACACTCACAAACGCTGCTAGCCGCATCTGGCAGTCAGGAACTACGCGGATTGCCCTATTACTTGGTGACTAGTGCCACGCTTAAACCATTTATCGGTCGCCGCCAAGAGCGCTAGTGGAATAACTCTGAAGCAGCACTTCACAGCCAAATGCTCTTCAGCCAGATTTGAAACGGCGCAGAATGAAGTCCAGAACTGTCAGAGGAATTGCGATGAGGTCAATATTCAATCTTTTTCCATACATGACTCCATTGGACCCTGGGTATTTCGACAATGAACCACACGTAGACTCCAGATAGAGTAGTCCTCATGTCGAGGACGGTCAGCGATGTGGAAAGCAGTTGCCTGTGTGAGCAGGAGCTGAAAGCTATTATCTATTGAGGTTGTGGCTCCGACTCAGGCTGAGATAAAAGAGTCGACTGTTCTTGTTTCTTTGATTCCAATGAATGAAGCGGCGAGGAGAAACTCACAGAAAAACAACAAGTGGTCATTGACACACCGAGTCACGTTCGACCCCTGGAGTATTGCCGCCTTATCCTGTAGCTTAATCTTGCCTCTCGACTTTCACGTTCATGTCCTCATCAACACCGTCTTGATTATCTCCCCTAAAAAAGGCGTGTGTTTCATTGTTGTCGCCATCCCAGCTCCCATCCCTGACAAAGTGGTCCCAAAAGCCGTCACCAGCAGGGGTCGCCTGACCTGAGTCCAGGCCATCAACAGCAGCGAAAAAGCTGGGTTCTCTGCTTTCCTGCTTAAGGCCAAAGTCCAGTCCTGAACTTTGACGAGAATTTGTCTCCGCAGATTCCGCAGAAACAGAAGTGTGTGCTGCCGTAGACATTGAAGGGGTATTACTGGGGCGTTTGGGTATTTCTTCGGGGGGGTTATCGAGCGCAGCGGGCGCGAGTGTCGCGTTCATTCCCTGGTACGTTGAATCGTTGCCAGATATGCCTTTGACCGGGTCGTGCGTACTTTTCCAAGGGTAGTATGAACTGCCTAAGTATTGATCTGAGCCACGCATCAGCATGGCGTAAAAAGGGTCATTCATGTCAAAGCCAGGAGCGTGTGCGAGCATCTGCTGTGACTCTGGAGGCAGTGACGTGGTGAAGAGCGCCATATCCTGCCACATTGGCGTGAATGAAGCCGATCTGGCTTGAGCCTGTGGCGGGAACTCATAGTTCGCGCTCGAGCCTTGGTCCTTAATATGCTGTCCCGTAAAATTGTTGCCAACCTGCGTGGGAGAGGGAAATGGCATACTGGCCTGTTCAATCCCACCTGATGGGTGTGCAGGTGCCGAAGGGGATATGGGCTCTTGTCCATTAGGAGCTGATGTCAAAGAGTCTGCTCTGGTGCCACTATTCTGGGGGAAACGAGGTTGATGTGGAGAAGGGTAAGGAGCAGGGCGTTGATATGCTCCTACTGACGGTGCCATAGGGTGTTGAGGAAGCATGGGAGAGGGAAACATATTAACTCCATTGTTGGAATACTGGCCGTGAGGATCTCGAGCCATCTGCTCTACCGCACTCCGGACCGCCACCTGGTGCGTCAAGTAGGCGGCGACGCGGCGATTGAACTCGGCCGAGCTGGTCTGCAAATGAGCGGTGAGGCGTCTGTATTGTATTGGTAGGTCGTCCCCTTCTTCTTCATACATCTCCTCGTTCATGACATCCTCAGCGGTTATACGCAGTGCTCGTCCGGTTCTTCGTTTGTGAACTTCTGATGCCCTCCGTGCCGACTCCACTCGAGCCTCAAGAGTTCGGTCACTCCTTCTCGACGCAGCGATATATGCTCTATGTCGATGTCAGTGCATATGGCCAAGCTGCACCGTCAGAAATGCTAACCTTTCCTGGTTCTCTTCCTGAGTTCTTTGGGACTTTACCGGCTTCTCACGCGGTGTGGTTCGCATTGGTGGCATTTTTATAGAGGCCTTCAGGTACCGGCGCCCAGCTCCTGTCTTAAGAATCTTCCCGCAGTTCGATAGACGTGCCTCTGGAGTGAATGGCGTTCTAATGGTCGAGTCGTGTGTGACTTGACGGATAGACAAACGGTGGTGCGGTAAATATAGCAACAGCAAGTATCTTTGAGTGGCTTTCGAGAGGCAGAGCATACGCAGCGGTAACCCAGTGCATCTACAAGGCGTAGAAAAGCGTTACGGAGCTTGTTCCCTGGGGGCGGTATGGGCTATAAAAGAGGAAGATGTAAGCGGCGAATGGCACAGTAATGTGCCAATACCAAGGAATCACCGTGTCTGGGATGAGGACGAGGGGTGACTGCACCGAGACAGCTCGTATCTGTCAGCTAGATTCAGACCAGGGCACAATGTCGCCAGAGGGTGGCCAAGTGGACTCGATTGCACATCAGATGGTCGAGGGGGGAGGCGATCCCCATGGATTTTGATCTAGGACCGAGCACGAGGATGGCGAGAAGACGGTGGCTGTGGGCTAGAGCAGCCAATCTGCAGGGGAAAGAGGGGGAGCAGAGCAGAACAAAGAGTTGAGAAAGCCATGGAGCATGGGAGCGGACGGAATACGTGGGCAGCAGGCCTTCAGAGGCTACTATTGGAGCGCCACGGGGGTGACCAACGAGAAAGGACCATGGACCATGGAGCAACCAGCCGGGAGAAACAAAGTCAATGCACGAGGTCCCTGACGAAGAATGGCGGAAAGAATGGGCAGCATCGAACAAGATGCTGGGATGTTTGGTATGAAGCCAGCAGAAGCTTGTCGACCAGGCCCAACGCGGCAGGTACGAGCACGATTGAGTTGATAGAGTTGGCCGAGCTGCAGGCAAGGCGCAGGCTAAGAGCGCGCAGCCAAATGCTCCCCTTCAGGCGGCCCCCCGTGATCGATTGCATTTCCGGCGGATGTTTGATCCGCCCATCGCGTCTTTCTTCCCTCGATCGTGCAGGTGCTGCTGCCACTTTGCTCTGGTGGCCTTAGATGGCACAGATCTCCTTTGCCTTGGCCTGGTCTCGACGAGTCGCCCTCTCTGTCATGCCTAATGCTTTGGTTGTATCTTAATGAACTCGGACCAACATCAGAGATTTCACGTTCCCCGTTGTTCAGCCTCCCTCCTACCACACGCCCCAATTCGCGATCTGCCACGAAGATCAGAATTCGATGGCCCCGAAGCAGCCCCTCACTTGCTTGTAGCGCCAGATCCTAGCGCTGTCGGCTATCGTCTCCGTGCCAACGGCCTACGCACACGCCTGAGTCGCGGAAGAGGAAAGAAGAGATGGCGGTCACAGACTTGAAGATGCTCGATCCCAGGCGAGTGGGAGACTCGAGTCCAGAGCATGGTTGCTAGTGTGAAGTTGGGAATCAAAGTTGAGGCTACTGCATTGAGATGGTTGTCACTCGTCTCTACCCTGTTCCGGGCAATTCACCTCGTCGGTGTCTGTGGTCCTCGATTAGACACATATTTCCAGATTCCCAGACCACTGCATCGTACTCTGTTCAATGCGAACTCCACCAACTTGAATCTGATGAGGCAGGTGTTCTCCCAAGATATGACGGGCGATTTGGTAGCCACTTACTTGGTACGTAGTACAATGCCCCATCTGCTATTAGGTCATGTTGGAGTGGTCGACTGGGATCCATTGCATTCGGCTTGAACCCCGTTCTCTGGGACCAAGTGCCACCGCCCCTGCGCAGCATGATACCCTTTCTCGACCAGCAAACACGGCAGGAAAGTCTCGCAGTGCCGCCATCTCTCGGATCGCACACTTCCGACACACGGCATATGGTCCTAGTTACGTGGCAGCAAGAGACGAGGGCTCTTGGCACGTAAAAGGCTGAGATGGGCAGCCCTTTGAATCGGTGATCTGGGCTGGCATCGTCAATTTGAAATATTCAGCCAGGTTGCGACCCCACAAGCTCCACGATCCCATCCCACCGTGACGCAAATTTGACGACGGCTTAGGTATCTCCGGGCGGCACTGTCACCACTATTGGTTACTCGCTGGCCCCCTGGAAGGACCCTCTAGGGCTCCTTGCGGTGCCCGTGGTGCCGCAAGATCGGAGCGATGTCTGGATCTCTCTTCCTTGTACAGATCGACCTGATCACCGTACCAGATCTCTCTTTTCTCGCCCCATTCGCCTTTCGTGTCTCGTATTTTTCATTTCTCTTGCCTCAACTGCTTACAAGGTAGCCGGGAGACCTATGCAGCCACGCAGTAACCGGTGCTGCTGGCGTCGGCGTGATTATGGACAAGCCGTGGCGACTGCCCACTAGAACCAACCCCCCCATTTTCTCCCATGACCTGCCGTTTCCTGCACCATGGGAGGAAAACAGAGATTTTAGGGCAACCTCTTGGGGGAAACGGCTGCAAGCCCTTTAAGGTTGTCGGCCCTTCTTTTTTCTGTGTGTGCGGGGGGGGGCAGGGGCAGCAAAGTTCCATGATTTGGAAGACAGCAATGGTGCGAAACCTTGAGAATGCCCATGTCAATTTCAATTCCACGGGCAACGCTACATACAAAATGATATCATGGCATCCATCCTCTCTGTCCCGCCTCCGACGGCTTTCACGGGGAAACTCGACCAACTCAAAGTATCGCCCTATTCCGTCCGAATGTGCATGCTGTGTGTGAGACACGGCACATCTCGCTAGGATCAAGCTGCCCCTAGCAGGCGGGCATTCACGTGGTATTCTAGTCTTAGAGCAAGTTGTCAAACTGTCAAACTCTGTGTCGCCGTTAACTAACTCCCAGTGGTGGAACATTGCCCTGTTGTTCCTGTGCTTGTCCGTTCAGTTGGTAAGATACTTTGTAACGCATCTTGACCTGGTTACCTTTTCCTGCTGGCACTCCATTGAGTAGAATTTCCTGCTGAACAGAGTGATGTGTGTTGGGAGCCAATTCACGCCCGCTTTGTGGCTTCAGGTGGAGTGAGTAGCTCTTTTCCACGGCCACTTGAAAATGTAACCCGGTGATTCTTTGCGGCGTCGTGTTGGAGAAACGCGCAGTTATCTGGATTACATTCTGTCCTCCTGTCCGTCGGGCTTCGAAGTCGATCCCGAGGGGTGATGAAAGCACCTGCACCGTCTGTGGTTCGGGTAACGACGACTCGAAAGTCCACTCGTCTTCAGCCGGAGCAGAGACCCCTTGGTTCATCCCTGTGACAGGCTGAGTTCCTGGGTGCGATGGGTTAGCTTGTCTCGAAGGGGTCGAAGGCCGCGAGTTGGACGACACCAGCGCTGCGAACGGGTCAGCCAGTGCTTGACTTGAGGGTCGCGGCGCCTGCGCCATAGGCGTCGGGGTTGCGGGTTTCGATGACGGGAGGGCGCTAATGAGTGAGGCAAAAGCATCGTAATTGGGTTTTGGTGATGTCTGCGCGGAAGTTTGGGGCACTGTCGGCTGACTGGGAGCGACATTGGAAGAGATGTTCGAGAAGATTGACCCCGAAGGAGCTGAAAAATTGGTGCCCGGTCCTAGAGAAATCGCTCCTAGTGTGCCGGCACCGGGGTCGTCCAGCGATAGACCTAACAAGTCATCTTCAACTGTCGTTGGTCTTGGCTGTGCAGCAGAAGAGGCAGGCCCAGCATCAAGGAGGGAGCCATTCGTATGTGTCGGTATTGTCGGGGCTGCTGGAGGTTCCGGCTCGAAATCAATCAACGACAATTCGTTTGCTGCGTTTTTGCCAACCCCGGTCGTGGTTCCCAATGTTCCCTTTTCGATCCTGTTGGCTGCTTCGATGTCTCCAGCTTTCATCAGCTTGTACCTTTCAATGGTCCGATGGATGCTGTCGTTGATCTCAAGCAGTTTGGCGACTGCTTCGGCGTCATCCGACTCTTCCTCGCACATCCTCTGGATCTTGGGATGGGCACTCTGGAGCGCACCCGCCAATTCCTAGTCTCATCAGCTGGTTGTACCAATTGCGGCGCAATGATTCGTACCTCGAAAACATCGCCATCCGCAAATTTTTCACCCTGTCGGTGGCTTTGAAGCATCTCCTCCAATATCCTAGCTTTCTGCTGGACCTTTGCAACCTCTTCCGCTGCCTTTGCCCGATAATCCGTCTTGTGCCTCGTATCGTACCCAGCCATGACCTTCATGAGTCTGTTCGCCTCTTGCAGATCTTGAGGTCGTCCTCGCCGAATCAGTTCTTGTAGCTTGGCCGATTGTGCCGCTCGGTCTTCTTCCTCCATCTCTTCGGCCGACTGGAGGTTCTGCGACGTATTAGAGGTGGACCGCTGTTCCTTTGGGGGGTATCTCATACATCACTAGGATTCAGGACAGCAGCATCCTCTCTCCGCACCTCCGGGAACATGTACCCCTTGTACAGCAGAAGCCTGTGCATATCCCGGATAAAACCCAAATCCTCCTTGTACCGCGACGTTTGACATATGGTCGACCGCCATTCTTCGATAGCTTCCAAGATCTTGCTCTGCACCCGGGTGGGCCGTAACGGAGGCCGTTCAGGAAACCGTCGGACAAGTTCGTTGAGGAATTCTTTGGTGCTGATTTGGAGGTGGAAAGGATAGCCGCAGTTCTTGACACAGATATCGAGTAACGACAAGGCCAGCAAAGACACATTAGGGTTGCGGTGGTTGACCAGCTGCACAATGGTAAATGCGGCCTCACGCGGGGCATTGCCCTTTTTGGAGTTGACCAGGTCGACGATCTCGAGGTTCAAGGCAAGGTTAGGTTCTAGGTTGGCGATAGGGTCACAGGCATTATATATGAAGCGCTGGAGGGTCGAACGAGGCGGGGCGAAGCCGTCGAAGACAAACTGATTTCGCGAAGCCATCCTCGCCGAGGTGGCTTCCATGATCAGGACTGGCGTGGAGGTGTGTGTCTCTGTCTAGATCGATCGCAGTCGTAGTTAGTAGAGGGGAATCTCCTGTTTGTTCAAGACATGCCGGACTCGGGGCTTCACTCGCGCATTCAGCCTGCAGTCAACGAATGCCAACCATTGACGAACGTCTTGGCAGGAGCGCTGAGAAAAGTAAGCGTCGCAGCGCCGCCTGGTAATTGGGAAGCGAGGGGCACCGGAGGGGCCATATTAATGTAACCACACTGCCACGCCAGCCTCAACCCGATCTGGTCGCCAGATAAATCCCAAAAAGGCAGAATCTCGACACAGAGATCCCTATAAATTGTTCCCATGTTCAAGATCTACAAGCTCGAAATTGCTCACAGTGTACTTGGTGAAACGCCAGGATCAAATGCTGTATAACACATGCCCATCCCTCACCCCATACCCATGCATGCCCCTGTTGCTCTTTTGCCACGATATGCTTGATGCAGCTCGCGTTCAAGCCAACTGCCATCATGTGCCCTTCGACGATGTTATCTGGGACGACGTGGGCTAGCTATTCCTGCACTCTTTATTGCTGGTGGCGCTGGTAGGTCTTTCATGGGAGGAGCCGGTAAGGGACCAGTTGGTGGAGGTTGTCGCACAGAAAGCGCTGGACTTACCAACGGGTTCCTGCCGTTGATGATGTTCCCGCTACTGCTTGTCCTCGGTGGAAACATGGGTCTTTGCGAAGGCTCGATGGCCGAAGCAGGCTCAGGGATATTGTCACGGTCGTTGTAGCCCAGGCGGTTAGCACGAGGACCAATTCCGTTTGGCGCATCCCTCGTCTCCAACGACAAATGCTGCAAGGATAGCGGGGGCGGCGGCGATCTTTCCACAATGCCGGTTGGTGTTCCTTGAAAGCCATATTGTGGCGGTGCCACCGTGATATTGCCAGATGTCGGACTAGTATATTGCTTGGCCGTCACCGGGGTGCCACGGAGATCACCTGCAAATGAGGCTGTCGACGTCGACGAGGCTGGGTGAGAGGAATCCGAACTTGTCCCATCGCTCTTCAGCGATTTTGGTGCAGGAGGTGCCAAGTAGGACTTTCGATTGTGTCGTTCCATCATCGAGACTGCCCATTCCTGCAAATCAACAGGTGTCCTCTTCGCAGCCTGCAAGAAGTTGTCTCTGTCATATAGCTCTCGAGGAGTTGGTCTCTCGTCTGGGTTCTTGAGGAGACACTTGGCCACAAAGTCTTCCAGGATAGACGGGAAGGCCTCGCTCTTCGGGAGCTTCGGTGCCGGCTCGTGAACTATAGTCTGCAAAAGGTCAAGAATCCCCATGGGTCCAGCACTGGCTCTGTCGCCTGCGGCAGAGTCGCTGGAATCAAATGGAAATCTTCCAATTGCAAGTTCCATCACTGTCAAACCCACGCTCCAGACGTCGGATTTGATCGTGTATGCTCCACCCTGAATTCGTTCCGGGGCCATGTACGTCGACGTTCCGACAAACGTGTTGGCTACTGAGTTGACAGTCTCCGTAGCCACGCCAAAATCGCACAGCTTGATCATTCCTCTAGAATTGACCAGGACGTTTGATGGCTTGATATCTCGGTGCATGATTCGGTGGGCTTCGTAAAGGTATACGAGACCTCCAAGAATAGATTCGGTAATTTTCCCCAGTACATCGACACGTGTGGGCCCAAAATCTTTTGATATGCGATCCAAGGAGCTGCAGGACGCCAGGTTAGCAAGCAGGACAGATCTAGACCGTAAGTGGCTCACCCGCAATCCATATATTCCATACAGAGCACAATATCCCGCGCTTCATTCTGGAAAGCTCCGTAGTATGTGATGACGTACGGCGAGCTGCAGTCGGCGCCCACTTGCAATTCTCGGACTATTTGTTTGCGGACGTTCTCTTTTGCGTCGACTCGAATGACCTGTATTCTCCCTCAGCATCTGGTCCACCTCCCCAACATGACCAACACATACCTTTCTCGCCATAATCACCTTGGTCGAAGCATGCATGACTTTGCTGACAGTACCCCCATTACCAGCACCCAACTCTTTCAACACGATCAGGTCTTCACTTCTGAGGTCGAGTTTGAATTCCAAGCCAATCTCCAAAGTGTCTGTTCGGTCACTCTCTGAGTTTCCAAGCGCCCCGGGGATTTGTGAGTCGCCATCCGAGGGCGCTGTCCGGGGAGCAGGTGCATTCAACGCCAACCCTTTCACATTCTTCCTTTTCAACGTCCGAGCCTTGAACGCGTCAGACATGGTGTAAGAATATTTCTGGCACGACGGTGGTAAGGATCTGTCGAAGAGGCTAGCGAGGGAAGAATGGAGGTCGAAAGAGGATATACGGGAGGCTTTGACGGAACGGCGAGCGTGACGTGCAGACGGGGAATCGAGGATTGAGGCGGCTATTTCAGACCCCAAGAACGATGCCCACCAAGGCCATCAGACACTTCGAGGGATGAATAGCTCGCTGCTTCTTCTGAGTTTTCAGCAAGATGAACCAACGCTGAACGGTGGAGTGCTGTCAAAATATCAAAACACCACGGTATAACCTGCCGTGCGGTCGAAGAGATTGTCAGTTGACTGATGGTGAAACTGAAACCACACCGGGGGAAGATAGGGGTCCAGGCGCTTCAGCACGGTCGTGAAAGGCACACGCTGTCGTTGACAGAAGAGGCGATATCAGTCAATAGTGCATGGCATAGGCCAGTAGTTCGCCCAATAGGTGTCAATAGGAGGTCAAGCGCAAGCGCCTATTCTCACGCTTCAAGTCAGAAGTTCCCCATGTTCAGAAAGAACCGCAAGCAGGCTGATTCGATTCATGTGAGGAGAAGGCCTAGCCAATCGCCGAAAGCGAGGACCCCACCTGTCCATATCTAGCTTGGCTCGTGGCGATCACTGTCTGAGGCGGCAGCTCTGCCGAGGCCGCGATTTAGCCGCAGCGTTAAGTTTGTCCTTTGGGGCTTTCGCAGGGCATTCAGACACCTGTCGCCGTCGCCGTAACTGCGACCCTTGCTGCCTGCGGATCGGATGCTCCTCGACCCTATCTCGATTTCCTGAGTCTGTTACCTGCGCTTGTCGTTTCCGTCAACATGGATCTCATCGATGATCGGGCAATTCTCGATGACGAAGAGGAGGACGAATCCTTCGATGAAGAAACTGGTGAAGCAAGACCGAAGTCGAATGGCGCGAACGGCCGATTTGACGATTCCTCCGACGAAGACGAGGAGGACGAAGATGAAGAGGCGGCAGCGGAGGTAAAATGCTTTCTTTCAAGAGACTTCTGGAAACCAATGCTAATGTTTATTCCAGATTGCCAAAGACTTCATTGTTGACGAGGATGAAGACGACGAAGAAGCGCGCCGAGAACGAAAACGAGAACGGAAGAAGCGCCGCCGGGAAGAGCGTGAAGACGAAGATCTCGATGAAGAGGATTTGGAGCTGATCGGGATGAAGCCCACCGAGGAGACGACCGAATCAAAATTCAAAAGACTCAAACGGGGACCCCGTGAAGACCGTGATGCACAACAACATTACGGCGTCAATGATATCTTTGGTCATTCCGATGAGGAAGAGGAGGCGGCCGACTATAGTCGGCGGAGTCGCCAGGACCGAAGAGGGCTGCAGGACGAGTTTGACGACTTCATAGAAGAGGACATCTTCTCCGATGAAGAGCAACAACGGCAACGTGAAGACGAAGAAGTGGCCAGACACAACCGGCGGGGAATCGCGGAGCTAGGTATCGCAGATGCAGCTGGCCTTGACGAACAGGCTCTGGAAGATTTCCGCGCTGCGTTTGGTGATGGAACCGACTACGACTTTGCTCTAGAAAAGGAGGAAGAGGCCGACGAGGAAGAGGCCAAAAAAGACAAGAATCTTCATCTCAGAGACGTCTTCGAGCCCTCGCAGCTGGCGGAGAAGCTTCTCACCGACGAGGACAATGAAATTCGATTCACCGACATTCCCGAACGGCACCAACTGGCTCGGAGACCATATCGCGACCTTGAACTGAACGAAGAGGAGGTCAAAGAAGAAGCAGCGTGGATAGCCAACCTGCTCCTACCCTCGAAAGGGCACGACGTTGCTTACGAGGAACCGTTCAGACGGGCAGTCGCAGATAATTTGGACTTGATGACCCGGCAGGATTTCGAACCCCCGTTTATTTACATGCATCGAAAGGATTATCTGTTGTTTCCTCAGACCAAGGTGGTCGGCGTTCAGGAAGATGGAACTCCCAAGGTCATTGATGACACCGTCAAACTCCTCAACCAGAAAGACCTATGGCGGATATTGGAGCTCGATCTCAAATATCGAGCTCTTATCGAGAGGAAAAGAGCCCTTCAGAAGACCTACGAAGATTTGAAATCGACCAATGTGCCCGAAGACCTGACGTTCGAACAACTCCTTCCCCGAGCTGCTTCGATGGAAGATCTTCAGGATTTACAGGATTATCTATACTTCGAGTACGCCTCGCAGCTCAAGGATTTGGCCCTGACCTCGAATGGCGAGAGCAACGGTGTGAATATGTCCCAGAAGAAAGCATCCACGAGGAGTGTTTACGAGGAAATTCGTGCTTCCAAGGCCTTCGGTCTCGTTCGTGCCTTCGGTATAACTGCGGACGCGTTTGCACGAAATGTCACCAGAGAGGGAGTTCGAACGTACACAGAAGATCCCTCTGACAGCCCCGAGAACCTTGCTGATACCATGGTCGACGAAGAGTTCCCTACTAGCGCCAGAGTGCTCAAGGCCGCGAAAGCAATGTTTATCGAACAGCTCGTCACCAGCCCACGGTTCCGACGTCTTATCAGAGAGAGAATCTTTCCCCAGGGGGTTATTGACTGCCATCGTACCGAAAAGGGCCTTCGCAAGATCGACGAACAACATCCATATTATGAGTTCAAATACCTCCGAAATCAGAAGTGCATCTATTTTAGTGAACGACCTGAACTGTTTCTCAAGATGTTAAGAGCCGAGGAAGAAGGCTTGATCGAGATCCGAGTTCGACTGCCAGGGTTGGATTCCTTTAAGAAAGAACTCAACAAGCACATCGAAACGGACAACTATTCTACCGTGGCAGATGCATGGAATCAGGAGCGTCGCGAAGCCGTATCGATTACTGTCGACAAGATCATGAAGCTGATGGCTCGATCAGTCAAAGAAAATCTCAAGGACCAATGCGAGGCAACCATTGGGAATGACTGCCGCGATGAATTCTATGCGAAGCTTGATCAAGCTCCCTGGAAACCAAGAGGGTTGGCTAAGGGCACTACTCCGCGCGTTTTGGCCATGACTAACGGTGGCGGGACGATTGGCCGGGATCCCATTCACTGGGCTTATGTCACTGATGAGGGTAGAGTCATTGAGCATGGTCAGTTCAAGGACCTCGGCCCTGGTAACCGAGAACGTGGCATCTCCGACGGCAAGGACGTTGAGGCACTATTAGAAGTCGTTCGAAGGAGGGACCCCGAAGTTATCGCGGTCTCGGGATGGTGTCCTGACACTCGCAAACTGGTAGCAAACTTGACCACCTTGGTCAGCAACCATGACCTTCGTGGCGCGACATACACGGACGACGATGATCAAGATCGAAGCGACCTTTTGGATGTCATTCTGGTCAACGACGAGGTGGCGCGCTTGTCAAAATCGGGCGACCGCATGAAAGCTGATAACCCCGGGGTCCCCGAAATGGCCCTCTACTGTGTTGGGCTAGCAAGATACATGCAATCCCCCCTGAAAGAGTACGCCGCTCTGGGTCGGGACATTGTATCCATCAACTTCCACCCAGCTCAGAACCTGTTGCCGCAAGACAAACTACTGAAGAAACTGGAAACTGCCCTTGTGGACACGGTCACCATGACGGGCGTGAACATCAATGACGCCGTGACGGATCCCGGGCTGGCAAATCTGCTGCCCTACGTGGCCGGTCTCGGGCCTCGAAAAGCTTCGCATCTGGTCAAGGTTATCAATCTTAACAATGGCTTTGTCACAGCTCGCGAGGATTTGCTAGGTCTCAACGATAAACATCAAGCTATGGGCCCCAAAGTGTGGGCAAACGCGGCCTCTTTCTTGTACATCGACTTCGACATGTCAGATCCAGACTCGGAATATCTGGACAACACACGTATACATCCCGAAGATTATGACATTGCTCGAAAAATGGCAGCCGATGCACTTGAACTCGATGAAGAAGATATTGAGGCCGAGAGACAGGAGGGGGGCTCGGGGGCGATCGTTCGCCGACTGATCCGGGAAGAGGCACAGGAACGAGTTCATGACCTGGTTCTTGAAGAATACGCCGCACAGCTGGAACAAAATCTCAACTCCAAAAAGCGAAGCACACTGGAGAACATCACCGCTGAACTCAACGATCCCTACGAAGAATTGAGAAATCCATTCCGGGTCAATCTAGGGGAGTCGGAGATCTTCACAATGCTCACAGGCGAGACGAGGGAGTCCCTACAGAGAGGCATGAATGTTCCAATGACGCTGAAGAGAATCACGGATGATCACATGGAGGGCAAACTCGAATGCGGGCTGGATGCAGTTGTCGAGGACCGTCAATGGGCAGACCCTGCATTGTCTCCAAAGCAGCTGTACAACATTCACCAGACCATTCAGGCTCACATCACGTCGATCAATCGCAAGGAGTTTATCGTCACTGTGAGTCTGAGAGACGAGCAGTTGAAAAAACCCTTCAGGCGATACAATCACAACGATCGGAACTACGACGAGTGGGACGAGCGCGAAGAAATTGCAGACAGGAAGCTGCTGGAAGAGAAGACAGATTTGGGCGGTCGAGTGACCCGAGTAATCAAGCACCCTCTATTCAGGCCATTCAACTCGAAACAAGCGGAAGAGTACTTGGGCAGCCAGAACCGTGGTGACGTTGTCATTCGGCCATCATCCAAAGGCAACGATCACTTGGCCGTGACCTGGAAGGTTGCGGACGGCATCTTCCAACACATTGACGTGCTGGAGCTGGACAAAGAGAACGAGTTCTCTCTTGGAAGGACTTTGAGGATAGGTGGACGATACAACTATTCAGACTTGGATGAGTTGATTGTGCTGCACGTCAAGGCCATGGCTCGAAAAGTGGACGAGATGTGCAACAACGAGAAATTCCAGAACAAATCCAAGGCTGCATTAGGTGAGTTTGTTTTGCTGTGAAATTGAGACCAGACGTGACTGACAACCGGACCAGAGGAATGGCTGACCACCTATACCAACGCAAACCCCAAACGCTCCATGTACCAATTCTGCCTCAACCGTGAGCGGCCAGGCCAATTCCATCTTGTCTTCAAGGCAGGCCAGAACGCGAAACTGATGGACTGGAGCGTGAGGGTTATTCCACAAGGATTCGAATTGATGAAGCAACCGTATCCCACAATGAGGGACCTGTGCAACGGCTTCAAGCTGATTTTCCAGAACATGCATGAGGCGGCGGCGATGGGCAGGCCCATGCGAAGATAGAGAGGAATATCTGGGTATTTGGGATGGCCGAACGTGCCCCATATTAGCCGCACATTGGGTGGCAATCTACAGCATTTCGGCGAATGCCTTTGTATTGGGACAAGAAAGGATTCCCGGGAGAAAAATCAATGTATTAGTACCGACATGATGCTCGAGGATGAAGCTCAACAGGTCATGATCCAATTATTATATGCTAGCCTCAGGAAATCTGATTCTGTCCGCCAAACCCACCGAGAGGCTCACGAACCCACATCACCAGTCCTGATGGCCACCCCATCCTGGGCTTCCGTATGTGCTGTCCTTGATTCAATTCTAGCCAATGTGTGCCGGCTTGTTCAACTCTGAACGGATACTATTTTCAGCTTCGAGGCAGCTCAGTGGCTGGAGTTGATGGCACCAATTGATAGGAGCATCAGCTCAAGGTCTGGCCTTGCATTAGCTCGTCCACCTTACTTCGACCGTCACCGCGAGCTGACTTCCTCAGAGCTGATCGGAGCACGTCCTACTGCATTGCACTGTTGTGGACCAGAACGTTGGAGGGGATCTAAGGCTCTGGAACAGCTTTGTATAGACAGCTACCACAGCCCGGCATTCATTCGCGAACACTTTGGCCCGTTTCAAGAGGCAACACCACACAATTAGGACATGGGCTTCGGAAGGACCTAAGAGCTAGAATCAGGCTGAATTTGCAGGCAGTGGCGGCGAGTCTCGACTCTGCAAGACCAAGTGATCTGGATACATACATAAAGTGGCAAGCCGTACCCACGGACTGGTGGCGCTGTCAAGTCGAACGAACGACAATTCTACTCACCGACAGTCCCACCTAACGACGACAACCAAAGATGAGGGAGACGATGCGAGTACTGTGCTTCCTCGGTCAAGCCGCCTTGCTGCTTCTGCCTGCCATCTCTGCCGCAGTTGCTCTGCCAGCTGATGTTGCTCCCAACGGTTCATGCAAATGTGTATGTTTCCTACAAGGCTGCTGGCCCCCTCCGCTATGGGCATTCTCTTGACGGATGGATAGATCTCTGGCGACAAGTGCTGGCCTTCCGAGAAGATCTGGGCCCTGTTCAATTCCACGGTCGGCGGAAACTTGATTAGGACGCAGCCCGTCGCCGTCTCCTGCTATCCCGGCCCGTCTTTCAATCCCGCTGAGTGTGCTGCGGTTGATGCCAACTGGGCCAACGCTACGTTCCAGGCCGATGATGTCGTCGGGCTCTCATTTCCAACCAATATCACTTGTCCCCCTGTCAATGTAACTGCCGGGGCGAGTGCCAACGGGACCTGCACCCTGGGAGTAAATCCAAGCTATGCTGTCAATTGTACAAATCCTCGACAGGTGGCTCGGACGATCGCCTTCTCCAAGCTCTTCAACCTCCGTCTGGTAGTCAAGAATACGGGACACGACCAGCTTGGTCGCTCTGAAGGGTCCAATGGCCTGGAGATCTGGATTCGCCATCTCCGCAACGGCATTGCTTTCCAGGGCACCTTTAAGTCTTCCACTGCCTGTAACGTGGGCAATTGGACTGGAAGTGCTTTCAAGATTGCAGGTGGGTATACTTGGGGTGATGTCGGCGCAGAGGCACAAAAGCACAATGTCGTTGTCGTCAATGGCGGCACTCCCTCCGTCGGCGCCATTGGAGGCTGGATGCAGGGTGGTGGTCACGGCCCTGCATCCCGAACCTTCGGTCTCGGAGCAGATCAAGTGCTGGAACTTGAGGTTGTTCTTGCAGACGGAAACCTCGTAACAGCCAATGCCTGCCGGTACAGTGACCTGTTCTTCGCCCTTCGTGGTGGCGGTGGTGGCACCTACGGCGTCGTGGTATCGAGCACGGTCAAAGCCTACGCCATGGTCAACGTCACTGTTCAACATCTGGCCATGTTTCCTTTGAGCGCTAACATCTCTGGACTTCTGGATGCTATTGCTGTGTTGTACTCTTCCTATCCCGATCTCAATGACGCCGGGTACGCCGGCTATGGTCAGTGGTCAGTCAACAGCCCAGCGCCTCTCTTCGCCGACGTGACAACCGGCTATGTTCACGGCTTCAGCATCTTCAACACCACGGTCACGCAAGCTCAGTCCGCTTTTGACGCGGCCCGAGCAAGACTGGCTCAATACAACCTGACCAGCATCTTCATCTCCGAAACTTACGCTTCCTATCCGGACTACTGGACGTACTACCAGGCCGAGTCCGGCGTTGAACCACCTGTTGGATCACCCGCGTATGGTGCTGGAAACCGTTTGTTCGACCGCGCCTCGGTGACGCAGAACTTCAGCGCCCTACGTACCATGATCCAAACCATTGCCGGCACGCCCGAGCAGTTCACAACGAACAACCTCGAGCTTGTCGGCGGCGGGCAGGTGTTTCGAGACGCATCCGACCCATTCTCCGGCGTCACCCCGGCCTGGCGTCTCTCTTACTTGAACAACATCGTGGCCCGGGTGTCGTCCTTCGACACTCCGCAATCAGTGCTCGACGAAAAGCAACACGACATCACGTACGTCAAGGTCCCCGCCATGAAGAAACTGGCGCCCAACACCGGCGCGTACATGAACGAAGGGGACAGATTCGACCCGGACTGGAAGGTCGATTTCTACGGTAGACGCCATTACGCCAGGCTGTTGGCCGTAAAGAGAAGATACGATCCGCGGGGACTGTTTTATTGCCCCACGTGTGTAGGAAGTGATGCGTTTGAGGTGGTTCAGGGTGGCAGGTTGTGTCGAGCCCGAGGCGGATATTTTCAGGAGCAGGACCGCACGAAGTAAAAAGATGGTATATCTCGGGAGGTATTCGTTTGGAAATAGCATAACGTCGTTGACGAGCTCCACGACGAGACGTATGGCTGGTGCTGATGTGCGGGATTGGTGGTCAATTCATTTCTCTCTGCCGCAAACCATGACTGTATTGCTTAATGAACATAGTACACGGATATGTATACACATGCAATGGCCAAATTGGAGCTGAAACCGGCGACCGTCTTCAGAGCTCTTGGAATATCGAGCACCCGCTAGAGTGCGTCCTTTTGAACCGGCAGCTCATCTTCGCCCAACATTGGTGCCGAGCGTCGACATCAGCATCAGCATCAGCATCAGCATCAGCGTCAAGACTCAGGCATGGTTCGACAAGCATCCCGTGGTGCTGTGCAATGCTTCTTATTCTTCGCAAGCCCTTGGACGTTGCTACCGGTGCTGTGTGTGGTGAATATGTAATCTTCTCCAAACAATACTGCAGTAAGTATTGTATCCACGAACGCAGTGCCGCTCACACAGTCCTTCCTTCTGCCCTCGACCTCATTTCCCTTCTGTCTCGTCGATACGAATCACGTACTTCTTCGCGCTCGCCCTTCCCTCTCGCAGATTCTTCAGTGCCACGGGCAGACCTCTCAACCCATTGGCCACGAGCTCATAAGGATGCGCACTGAGCCAGCCCTCCGCTAACCCCCTCGCTAACACACTCGAATACACGGCGCCAAAATCCTTCCCGTAGCCGTCCGGGTTGAACCTGATGCCCTTCTTTGCATCCACTGGAAAAGGTCCTGTATGGATATAACCCACAAAAGTGAGGGAAGTGAGGATCTTCTCAGCCACGAGACTATAATCCTTCTCGGGGAGAACAAATGTCGCGTGTCCCTCAGGAGCGAGCACCCGGGCCATCAGTTCTGGAGACCCATGCTCTGAGATACAGTCGAAAGCATGTCTGACGGAGTCGATCCCTCGCTCTTCCAGAGCTTGATGCACCCGAGTTATAATGTGCTCCTCGCCCTCCCGGTAGTCCACCACGAAGTCCCCTTTCGAACGATCAATCAGCTTCTCGACCATGGGCTGCCCATTGCCGGCGATGGCTATGATGGGATGGATATTTGATCTGCAAGCAAGCTTCAACACAAACGCCCCGACAGCACTGGAGGCCCCATAGACAATGAGAGGAGTTGGTGTAGCCGCCCGCTCCCATGGGGGTGTCAATTGCAGGCAATGGTATAATCCAACCGCAGCAGTGAAAGCAGCAAGGGGAATAGTTGCTGCCTGTTCACGCAACAAAATGTCAGTCTCCCTCCGCCAGGGCCGCCAGTCGTACATCTTACCTCTTCGAAAGTAACATGGTCCGGCAGATGCAGCGTGGTATGGGCGGGGGCAACGGCATACTCTGCAAAGCTGCCGTGTGCGGTACGCATCTGATGAAAAGCGGCAACCCTGTCCCCCTTTCGGAAACCCACCACCTTCTTTCCGACTTGCTCGACGATCCCTGCCATGTCATCTCCGGAGTTGAGTGGCTTACTGGTGTACACCACCGATTTCCAGTCCTTGCTGCAACTCTTCGCGTCAGTGGAGATCCGTCGGCCCATTGAGAATGGCTTTTTTCAAGGATGAGAAGAGCATTTCCAGATCGAGTGGCTTACGGATTACACCCTGTGCATATCACCTTGATCAGAAGTTCTCCTTCCCCGGCTCTTGGCACCGGGGACTGAACTATTTCCACCTCCAGGGAAGGTTGAACAATGGCTTCCAGCATTTCGAACGTCGGAGTTGGGGCCCTTTTTTTCGCGGTCGGCCAGCCCCAAGATCAGATCGAAGAAGAATTGCACGAGTCCCACCTTTTCGCCGATCCCTGGTATGCTCGGTGCTCAGTTGGCTGCAATGGACAATGCTCCTAGTGCCGCTAAGTGCTGTCAATATAAACCTGTTGTCGGGATTCGCGTGAAACCCGAATTACTTGAGCAGCTGTAAGACTGCTGGACTTCTCGGTCAAGGACGGTCAGCCGTGTTTTCCATCGGCTGGCCTCACGATGGTCCCATTTGGCATATAAGGGATATCCATTTGGGGGGAGAGGTGCTAACCAACTCGAAAGGGTATTGAAAAGCTCTTTGCCTGGACAGTCACCACCGACGAAAATGTACTGGCCTTTTGCCCTTCTACCTATCGTCTTTTTCGTCTATATCGCCTTCAGGCCTAGAACAAAATACAATCTCCCAGATGGCCCTGACATATTGGTTCCTGACAAGGACCGTCGGAGTAAACTCCACATCTACCTCACACCATGGGTAAAGACGTACGGAGACGTCTTCTCCTACAAGATGGGTCGCTCGACTGCAATCGTACTCAGCAGCGCCCAAGCCATCGAGGAACTCTTGGTCAAAAGGGGCCACATCTACAGCTCGCGACCGACAAGTTCACCCCAAGCGGACATCATCACCGGAAAGGCGAGAATTGTGAATATGCCATACGGCGAAGAATTCAGGGTACTGCCAACCTTCTTGGTGTGGCACCGGGGTTGGCAAGAACTGATTCGTCCCAGAAGCACCGCAAAATCATCCATACACTTCTCGGAATACAGAATGCGAAAATATTCCTCCCCTACCAGGAATACGAGTCTCGGCAAACGCTGAGAAATCTGCTGAACGCTCCCGACAGTTTCTACTCGGAAATGTCGCGGTACTCGGCTAGTGTAACGTTCTCGCTTCTGTGAGTTGGGAATACAATACCTTCCGAAGGGTTCTGTTGTTGCTGTGAAGCCTAGTCGACCATTCCTGACTTTGCTTTGGTCCGTTATCATAGAGTCGGCGCCCGCTTTGATCGCTCAGACGCTTTCCTTCCCATGTAAGTTTCCTCTTCTCATCGCAATGCCAGAGACCGCTTGCATTATTGGCGTCCAAGGCTCGAACGCCCTACAGTCTAGCCAGGGCTGAATAATATGACAGGACGATTGGTACAATGATGCAGAAGTTTTTTGGCAGTATGTGTTCCGGACCCAGGACCTCAATGGCGAACCCAAATTCTAACAATCTCCAAGGCATCACCCCGGGAGTCTGGTTCGTCGACCGCTACCCTCTCCTGAACTATCTTCCTGGACCGTTCGCCCCCTGGAGATCCAAGGCATACTCTATGCATCTCGAAATGCGCAATTTCTGGGGCGTCTTCCTCCACTCCATCGAACAGCGAGTCAAGATGGGTACCGCACCGGATTGCTTTCTGAGCAGATTTATTCAGAGCCCCGAGTCAGAGCACCTCAGTGAGGTCGAACGGATCAGCGTGACGGCAGAGTTGCTCACGGCGGGCACGTAAGTGTAACACTGGAAGCTCCCATCAGAGATGGAGAGTCTCTGATCCAGGCACAAGCGGCTGATTGAGACCCTGCAGGGAGACGACGGCGACGGCGCTGCAGTGGTTTTTCAAGGCGTGCGCCAAATATCCGGAATGGATACGTGACGCCCAGAAGGAGCTGGACACGGTCGTGGGGAGTGAGAGATTACCGGATTTCTCTGACCGGGAAAGTCTGCCATACATGACGGCGGTGGTTTCAGAACTCCATCGATGGGCATCGGCGACACCGTTGGCCTTTTTTCACGCAACATCTCAAACCGACACGTACCGTGGCTCGACAATCCCCAAATCTACAACGGTGATTCCGAATACGTACGCCGTGCATCACTCAGAGCAACACTTTCCCAACCCCTCAGCCTTTTTGCCCGGCCGATGGCTGCCACCTGACGATCCGCGACACGTCCCCAACGGTGCAAAGACTCCCCATCATCTCGCTTTCGGTGTAGGGAGGAGAGAGTGTCCCGGAAAACACGTCGCAGATTCGAGTCTGTTTATCGTTATCAGCCGAATTTTGTGGGCGTTTAATATCGACCGTGGCGATCACCCAGCCCCAAATGATGAAACAGGTGAGTTATGTTCCAATAGGTGGTTTGTTCCTTGAAATCTCTCCCCAGCCTCAGTGACGGGGCCAAGTAAGGAAGAGAAAATGGAGCCCTCAAGCTGACTGGCTGCATCTCGTCGTTCAGTGGGAGGCTTTCCTGTCTTAGGTCCTGCGCCCTTCAAGTGCAGGATAACCCCTCGGTCGAAAGATGCCGCGAACAAGATTCGCCTTTTGGCCGACCACGTCGATCCGGACCTGCATGTGGAGGATGGGAGCATCTACGACGCAAGCGTGAAGGCAGTCCTTGGTAATACTAAATCTTGAAAGGGGAGATGCATGTGTGAGCGGGCAGGGACAAGGATGCTTCCTGGTTGAGGCACTTTATGCCACATGTTCACAATGCACGGAGCAAAAGGGGCGTCGAACGGACGTAATTGCGCGGAGAGCATCGAGCAAGGGGACAGCATTACAGGGTCTGGATCATGTTCGTCATGCCTGTCTCTCTTACGGAATTGTTCTTTTTCACGAGGCGAACAGCCGCCGTGCCAAGGCTCTGACAAGTCCCTCGGGCTCATAGACAGAAATAAACCAGCTTCAAGGACTGATACTGGCCCCCAGGCCCTGAGGGAGAGCAGAGCAGAGCAGAGCATGGCAGGGCATTTGTCTGTCTCTGGAACCGCAGCAGGGGTGGTTTCACATGCTGGATCGATCACGTGGCTCGGCGGCTCGACAAGGCTGAACGTCCCCTTTTTTCCCTTTTTGCCCTTTTACCCTTTTGCCCTTTTTTAAGGACCTAGCGAGCTGGCGAAGGGGAGCATCCGGAAGTTGAGCCAGCCACGCCAGGAACTATATGTAATTATGTATGGAATAGTCGTTGTCGCACGAGGCAATCCTCAGAACAAGCAAGACGAGAACGGACGATTTCCTCGGAGGAGACTGGGAAGCAATCAATCAATCAATCAATCAATCAATCAAGCAAGCAATCAATCAATCAATCGATCGATCGCTCGCTTTTTGTTTGAGACCCAACCCAGTCTCAGCCAAGTACCGGGGAGAGGGAGGAGAGGGGTTCTTTCTCTGCCTGAAAATTCAGCCTCGTGTGGAAAAAGACATGTTCTCTCTCTCTGCCTCTGTCTGTCTGTCTGTTAGGCATGTAGAGCAGTGACGACATACACATAACCCCGTTCTCTCTCTAACTAGCCTGCTGCTATCCATTCCTCCATCTGTCTATCTGTCTGCCTGTCTACCGTGCACTGTGTACACCATTCGCTTCATCCAAGCCACAGAGTCGCAGAGAGTGAGTGAGTGAGTGAGTCGTGGCGTGACGTGCCCTCGCTCGTCTGTTCTGTTCTGTTCAGGCATCCGCCGCCGCCGCCGCCGTCGCACCCTTCAACTTCCCCTCGACGATCCCCGCCGCGGCCTCGGGGGCACGGTGGATGCCGACGACCTCAAGGCCGACGCCGTCGAACAGCTTGCGGAAGTCGGCCTCGGTGCGTTCCTTGCCGCCCATGACCATGCAGGCGACGTCCAGCGCGGCCGTGTGCGCCGCCGCGTCGGTCATGATCTCCGGCAGCAGCATGTCGGCGATGAGCACGCGCGAGTCCGGCGCCATGACCGGGATGATCTGCTTGAGTGCTTTCGCGCACAGCTCGTCACTGTAGTCGTGGAACACGCGTCGGAAGAAGTACGCCTTCGCACCTGTTGGGTGTTCGCAAAGGGGAAAGGGGAGACCACGTCAGCTACGTTGTTTCAGGCTCAGTCTGACGGAGCGGCAGACATAGATGAACTGAGAGAACATCAAGGGAATCAAGATCGGATATATAGATAGATCCCTCTGCTCTTTTGGGGGTGTGTGACTGCAGTAGGCAAACTCAACTCACCTTTGACGGGCTGCTCGGTCCAGAAATCATGTTCCATCAACTTCACTCCTTCCGGGGCGATCTTCTCCTTTTCGGCCATGGCGATGATCTCTTTCTGATCCTGCAACACCACGTTCTTGGGATCCAGCTCCTTGTACTCGTCCAGGACCTTCCTCAGGGTGTTGCCCACCCCACCGCCGATGTCCACCAGCGCCACGCGGTCGGGTGTACTCTGCAGCTCGTCCTCGGTCAATTTCAGGCCATTGAAATTGTAATAGCCGACGACGGGGACCAGATTGTCGCCCATCTTCAGCCCCAGCTGGAACGTCTTCAGCTTCTCCGGGTCCTTGGACATGATCTCCCACGTCGTCATGCCGGAGTCGCTGGCGTTGTGGTAGTCGGAGTACGGGTTGACGTAGAACGACGTCGGCTCGACGGCCCCGTGCTTGGCCAGGTACTTCGGCAGGTCCGTCATAGGCTGCAGGAAGTGGTCAAACATCAACGTGAAGAACATGCCTGGGAACGACGTGTAGGCCTGTGAGAATTTGGTGGAGCCATAGCTACCGTCCTCGGGCGACTGCGTGATGAATCCCGACGCGGCCAGAGGGCGCAATAGTCTTTCTGGTCACAGTTGTGTCAGCCCTCGCCCCTTTTTTTTGCTTGACCGTCTGTGATCGAGTGGGACTACAGTGGTTTCTGATCACCAGGCGTGAATCCAAGGAGAACAGAAGCCATACCAAGCAGCGCCTCCTGAACGCCCGACTTCTCACCCAACTCCTTGGCACTGATCGTCTTTCCCTCTTCCGCCGGCATCTTCTCAAACACCTTCAGGTCCAAGAGTGTGCGGATGGACACCAGCTCGGCCATTTGCAGGGAGTGGGCCTGGACCATCATCCCCGGATCCATTAAAGAGGAAATGATCTTCTTGGAAAGGCCGACCAGAGCCGCTTTGGGGGCGAGAGATGCCGCATCATGGCCTGTGGATGGCACGTAGGTGCTAGCCAGTCGTGAGAGCTCACTGACGAGTGACTTCAAATCTTCAGCCATATTTTTTTTATTGGCGGGTATCGTCGTCGTCCAGATGATTGTTTGAGAGAAGGTGTGTGGTTGGTCCGTTATGTGCCAAAGGACCGGTAATGTCTTGATGAGTCTGTGCCTCGTGCCTCGTACCTCAACCAGACGACGAATGCTATCTACGGGGGTGCCGTGTGTCTATTGATGGCAGTGACTTACAGAGCATCTTTCGACCACGAGTCGGCAGAGCAGTACTTGGGGACATCAAATATGTACCTCAGCCGGGTACGGACATGACGGATCCCACCCCAGTTGCATACATAGCGGCCCCTCCGCCGAATTGACGTGGTTGTTTGCTAGACAAGACGTTCGTCGGCTGGGCGGTAGTAGTTGCAGTTGGAGGAGGTACCTTTTGACAATCCGTTTCATGCACGTCGAGGTCGCGCGTTGCCAGCGCATCGCCGGGTGGAAAGGGGTCTGGTGCGGATTTTGACGCACGAGACGCTGCCTCCTACTGGATGGACTGGCCATTGGCATGGTGTCGGCTGGGCCTGGACAAATGGATTCTGTCAGAGTCGCAGCTAAAAGCCATGAAATGCGGGCATGTAGCGGGTGGATGCATCTTGGGTGCCTGTAGAGGCCCTAATTGATCCGCGGCAACTAAGGGATCTGCCAACACGGAGGGCTTTGCATGTGCTAGGATTGACACTGATTGACGCGGAAGAGAAGCCCTGAAGGGGACAAGGCGTAAGAACAGAACATATGTGATTTCCTGGGTGACTGGTCTAGTTACAAGTATGACTGACCGAAAGAGAGAGTGACGGTAGGAAAGATAACATTGATCCTTCTGACCATCCCCCAAAGCCTCCCTCCCTCCAACACCCTGTCTTGAGTTGAGATAATCCTTACCGCTTGAGCCCCTTTCCGAACGGTGCCTCCTGCAGCGTTTCTCACGCCCTATCCAGTTCCCATAACTCCGTGTGCCTCTGGTGTGGACCTGGTCAAAGAAAACAACCTCTCCAAAAGCATGTGTCTTGTCCTTAGCAGCCCAACAGACCAATCCAGAACCAAGCAGCCTGCAACGTTGATCCATCCATGGGTGTCCCTGGCCTGAGGACGCCGCCCAGACCGACATTGTCCCCGTGTGTATCATGACTCAATTCATACATCGTAGCTCCGAGTAATCATCTCTGCGGTCGCTCACGGCATCATCGCCTGCGCCTCTTCATCCGTGACAAAGATCTCGGCCACAGGGCAGTGGTCCTCGTCTCCAAAGTCACCGTCGTACAGCTTCTTTCGACCCCTCTCCCCATATCGTCCCAGCATATAGCTTGGTAGAAAGAGTTCGTCATTCCAGGTAAACCCTTGGCTATATTTCGTGTAGGTGATGAGTCGAGGAGGCTCGTCGGGATCATCGTGGTGTGCATTCAGGTTGATGGACTTGTACGAGCTGGAAGAGAGCATCGAAGGACCAAGGGGGGAGGAGGAAGCGTTGAAGAGCATCGGCATGCTACTGGGCGGCGGGAGGCCCGCCTTCTGCTTGTCCTTCCGCTGTGATGTGCTAGGATCGTCTTTGGGTCGACCACCCTCGCCTGACGATGGAGTGATGTTGTGGAGCAGCTGTTGAGACCGAGTGGGAAGAGGGCTGTAGGACCACGGCGAGTCTTGATCAGAGCCCGAGCCTAGCGAAGATGGACCAGCATCTGAAGCTTCGGCTCGTTCCGCATTATGCACGTAGCGTTCACTTCGTCGACGTCGGCTCGGAGGGGTGTAGTCTGTATGGCTACCAATATGTAAAGGGATCTTGATGGCACGGGAGCCGGGGGCAGGGGTGGCAGAGGAGTCGGGCATGTTATAAGCACCACCACCACCACCACCAGTAGTGGGATTCGAGAAGCCTTTGTAGGGAAGTGAAGAGGAGGATTGTAGAAAACGCCTTTCACCGAGCCCAAGAACAGCAAAGGGAAAATCCAAAGCCTGTAGTGATTACCTGTGTGTGATGTACATCACTCTGAAGGAGGGAAGAGGGAAGTGCAGTCAGTCGGTCATGTAGAATGCGCATGATTCAGGTCACGTTCACCGATGGAGTCACCACCGCCCGAGTCACAGGCTCGAGTGGATTAATCTATGGATTGTTTCCGCCTGCGCAGTTACTCGCTGCGACACCCCCGCACTATTTTCGTGATAACGATAAGACATACCCACGCACCCACCATGGCGAGGCGCTGGTTGGCCACAGCGGAACTCCGTGGCGCGTATGTGGCCGCTTCATATTAGGCTCCGGGCCCATCCATATCATGTTACTCGGTACAGTGCATTCAAATCCCCCTCTATGCATAATACCATGGCTCATCAAAGACATGGTATCTATGTCCTCGGACACCCTCACCACGGAACAACGCTGGGAATCTGCGTCCAGGCGGCACTTGCTCTTCAGGAATCCTCTCGTCCGTGTAGGAAGCCGGCTCTCCGACTACAAATTTGCCGACCTGTATTCTCAATCAGCCATGTTCACGAAACCATCATCTCAATGGGTACTTACCTGGATCTCCGTGTCTGTAATGGTACCCCTACTGATCCGGGCATACCCCACGCGTTTGATGTCTTTGTACAAGATGTACTCGCACCACCGGTCCCAATCCCGAGCATCAATGTCGTGCATTCCACTCAGTTCACTCACGTAGGTGTTGTAGTTGCCTTCCCCCGGCTTGACCACCAGGTAACTGAGCAAGATCGCTGGTCGAGACGTCGCACCCATCCGCCTCGACAAGAACTCCGTCTGAAGTCGCCGGTCTTCGGGATCTTCCTCTTGTCCAGAGTGAAAGACAAATACATCGACCTGAGTACCGTAGACATCCAGTGTAGCTTCAATGGCGGGTGCAAGTTCCCCCACCGGCGACGGTAGCAAATGGTGGGTGGAGTTGAGAATGGGGAATTTGGAAAGGAGAGCCGATCCCCAGGTGTGCTTGTTTGGCCCAGGACCATAGTCCACGTACATGCCCAAATCCTCGGCGAGATACTGCGTGGTGTCGCGGTTGCCCATGATGATTCGTTGCAGATCAGACTCCAGCAACCCAACCACATCTAGCTCCAATTCCTTGATGGCATCTCGCATCCTCCGCTCCGACGACCAGTCGTCGTTGTCCAGCGAAAAGTGGATGGTCCAGATTCCCGCGGTTATAAGCTTCTCTTCTGGATGGTAAGGTACATAATCGTAGGTTGGGAAGCGCAGATACGCAATCGAGGCCGTCAACAGCTGCAAAACAAGCAGGATATGGAGATAGTAGCTGGATTGCTTCCGTCCACGAGGGCTGGGCTTGTTCTTCGCTTGATAGCCCGAGTTGGTCGTCAAGGCTGAAAAGACACCGGCACCGATCAGAAGCATCGTAGTGATCATCACCCAATCGGTATGTTCTCGGACTAGGGGGCCTCCCGGGACGAATGCGTATGCCACAACCCAGACATGGAAGAGAACCATGATGTTGTACATGAAATAGCCGAAGCCAAAGGTAGACGCCGGGCTGTATTGGGCAGCGGACGAGATAAGGACTGGAGCGACTCCCATAGTGTAGAAGGCGAGAATCAGACCACCATAGTAGCCGGTCCAGTTGGCGTAGCCGGTGAGCAGGGCCGCACCGACAGCTCCCAACCCGTAGGCTGTCCACGATCCGAAAAAGCCAGGGATTGCAGCTCCCAGGAACAATCCAAGGCTCATCACGACAATCGTGACCGCACCATGGGGCACTGCCAATGGACCTCGTACAGGATAGCCTTCCCAGACCCATAGAACCATGGTGCTGGAGTCTGAGAGAAGAGAATGCATAGTGAAGAAGAGCCCTCCCAGACCAAGCCCAGCCAACAAACTTGACCCCTTCTTCGCATTTGGAGGAATGTAATCTGCGCTACTGGAGATGTCTGGGCGGGTGGAGCGCCACACGGCAGCCAGGGCGACCACCAAACCAGTCTTGTTCCAACCGCCAATTCCGGAGTGTAGGATTGGCCAGATAGGATTGTTGGTGTGATTCGCAAACTTGGCGATGCTCGACAGCACGAATCCAATGGTCCACGCCAGGATTCTCCTCTGAAGCCGCGCCGAGTTCCTTCGTTCAGCGTACCACTCTGCTGACCAGGCTATGCAGCCCACCATGACAGCAAATCCGACGGTGAATAGACGGTATGATGGATCCTTGACCAACCAAGCCACGAGCCCCACGAGGGAAGACATATGGAGCCAACGAAGGTTCTTGATTGCGAAAGATCGAACAAACGGGATGGCGAGTATCAGAGGCGAAGCAGGGGCCATGACCATAACCTCGTACCCGGAGATTCCCATGTGCCAGAGCGGGAAATACCATATCAGGACGCCGAGAGAGGTCAGGATAGACCAGAAGAAGAATCCATGGAGAATGTCGGCAGTGGCGTCCAGCATTGCAGACCAATAGTACGGTCCATCGAAGGTGGAAGTCTGGATGAGAGGACTCTCGCGTCTGAAGCCCGTTAGCAACGTCGACGGAATAACAAGGTTGAACATACTCTTTCTCTTTCAAAGCATCCTTCAGTAGCTTCGCATCACTGGAAGAGGATTAGTAAGTCACCAAGCCAAACTTCGACTTGTTCGTACATTTGAGTATTTTGGGAGCAACTGCACGTACCCTCTGGTGGAGCCATTGACATCTTTGATCACGAATTCGAAGGTTTCATAGTCAAGTGCGGTGACCGCATCAAAAGCCACATCGAACAAGATCAGAGACCATTCAAAGAAGGCATAGATGGTGTACGCTTGAGAAATTAGCCAATGCTCCATACCGTAGCTGAAAGACTCACCGCCAGCGACTTTATGGATTTTATGCTGGATGAAGAAATAGATCAAGGGCACAAGAGTGCCAAAGAACAAGCTAGCCAAAATTTTGCGGTACTTGACAGCCTTCGGATTCGGCGGACTCAAAGCGAGGCATCCCAGTGTCCAGGGGAGCGTAAAAATCAGGTATGAAATCATAAAAATATCATGCCAGTCATGGTCGTCCGTAGATGTCACGTATGTCCATCCTCCACATGTCAATGTTCTCAACAAACCGGTGGATGCGACGATCGTGGGAAGATTCGAATTGGGTCTTCTCGTAAGGAAGTACCATAAGGCGACCAGGGCAAATCGAGGTCCGGAGGTAATGGCAATAAAGACCATAAAGACTGATCGCTCAGGGTATCGGTCGCCAATGGTGGCCGAAACAGAGGGAAACCATTCATCGGGGTACCCATAGTGCTCGTTCTGCACAATCTTGTGGTAATGGAGGGAAACACCAACGATTAACGCTCCAAGGAAGGCTGCGTATGCGACGACTGTATGAGTCCATGACACCCATTTGCCGTTGAACTGCGACTCGTCAGGAACCTCGAACTGAAGGGGATGCGGTTTTCGGTGCTTACAGAGAACACCACGTCTCCGTCCTTCCTGGGCGCCATTTGGTGTATCAGCGGGGGATTAAAAGACGACCAGCTGCATCTGAAGAACAAGAAGAAAAGATTGAAAGAGTGACAAGAAGGCGTATGAAAAGGTCAACAGGTGGAATAATTGTACAAGCTACGCATGCGGACAAGTGGAAGTTCAGTAATAACTTCGAACCCCCTGATTATCCGCAGCCTAAGCAACCAAGCGGGAAAACTGCGGGCCAATTTATTCCTCACTTTACGAAAAATAAAAGTTCCGCCAAAGTCAGGTCTTCCTTCTCGATCAGACATACTACCAAGACCAATATCATGGCCGCCGCAAGTGACAAGGCTCGGTTTTTCCTCGAACAGTCAGTGCCAGAGCTGAAAGAATACGAACGCAAAGGTATCTTCAGCGCCGAGGAGATCACCAGCATTGCCCGCAAACGATCCGACTTTGAACACAAGATCAACGCCCGAGGATCCACGCCTGCGGACTTCGCTCGCTATGCCGAGTTCGAGATGAATGTGGACGCCCTGAGGCGCAAGAGAGTGAAGAGATTAGGAGTCAAGTCCACATCACACAATGGCAAGCGTCGCATCTTCTTCGTCTTCGACCGCGGCACCCGCAAGCATCCCGGCGACATCGGTCTTTGGATGGAGGCGATAGATTTTGCGAGGAAACAGAGGGCATATAAAAAATTGCAGGAGATGTTTACACAAGTACTTCGGCTACATCCTACAAAGTCCGATTTATGGATCCACGCCGCCCAATACGCGATGGAAGAGAATGGTGATATGGCTGAAGCAAGGAGCTACATGCAACGTGGTCTTCGATTTTGTAAAGGGTCAAGAGCTCTATGGTTGGGGTATGCGAGACTGGAAATGTCCTATGTCGCCAAAATTCACCTCCGTCGAGAAGTCCTGGGGATCACCACGGGGAATGCCGACCAACAAGGACCAGCAGACCAAGAGAATGCAGATGAGAATAATCTGCACTTGCCGAGACTAACGGCTATGGACATCGCGCCGACCGGCGAGCACGATGATATTGACACCTCCGCACTCCAGAAGCTGAAATCGACACCTGCAATGAGCGGGGCCATTCCAGTCGCAATCTTCGACGCTGCGATGGCCCAGTTCCTTGACCCCAAGTTTGGCTTGGACTTTTTCAAGATACTTCTCGACTACGATGACATTCCAGCCTGCCGCAGAGTTGCAGACCACGTGGCGACATTCCTTTTGAGAGAATACCCACAGAGTTGGTGCAGCCAGGCATGCCACATACAACTACCACTTGTCTCGATACCTCCCACTTCTCCCGAATTCCCTGCGGCTCTCAGAGATATGCTGTCGCGACTGAAGGACGCTCGCAGGAAGTCGCACAGCCCTGAGTTGCTCGGGTGGGCCAAAGAATCGCTTGAGAAGATCCTTCAAACACCGGATGTGGATCCAGCGATCAGGACAGTGGCAGATTCTGTTATCAAGTCCTTGGGCGTGCCCGTGTCGGCCTAGTCAATCCATACCTCCTTTTGACCTCGATTGCTTTTTGCTCGATTGCAATTTCTTCCTTTTCAATCTGGCCTCATTTTCTGCCCTTTGGAACTCTTTCACCTTTTCCTTCTGTTCTGCTGTTGTCTCCCCGGGGACTACGTTCTTGTACACATCCAATAGTAGCTCGTGTAGCTTCCGGAAGCAGGCATCTTTATTTGCTTGGGCCTTTCGACTCTCGTCTGCCTGGATGACCAAACTCGACGACTTCTCAGCGTAGTACCGAGAGGACAAGATGCCTTCATGGAGAATGGCAGGGATTAAGGGGAGGAGTCGATCAAGAGGGACGCGCAGCTGAGCCTTTGAGTTGACTCTGCAGCAGCCAAGTTAGACCTACTCGTCGCGAGAATCCTGAAGGTGATCATACTTGTTGACATTCTGACCGCCAGGACCGCTGGACCGGGCGTAAGTCACTTCTCCGACATCGCGCAGACACTGTAGTGTGTTCAGTCTGCTGTACCACTCCCTTGCCGCGGTGTAGTCAGGCCCTAAGCCCCCAGACTGTGCGGAGTAGTATCTCCAGAGATGCACATGTTTGAAGACAGTCCTCGTCGGCCAAGGGCGACACATATTCTGGCCGGTGAGCAAATGTTAACTGCAGCCAAAGCACAATCCGCCATTTTCAGCCTCAATGTCTCCATAATATTCCATGGCAGGTTAGCCGAGCGAGCTAACTGTACATGGAATGGCGTGAATGGTTGACTAAACGAAAGGCAACTGCAGTCTTCTTCTGGCGGCTTGCGACTCTTGTTCCTGCGCGCTGTTGTTCCAAGTCGTGGAGGAGCAAACTTCGCATCCCCTTCGACAGACAGTCAATCGCCAATTCTACCATCCTCATCATCAAGCTCAGTCTTCATTTCCTGTCTCTTCTTGTCTCCATATGGTGCGCTGATGTCGCCGGACTGCCTTTGACTTGTCCAACTTTTCTTCAGCCTCTTCCCCGCGCCAAAACAGCCTGATCAGGCAGCTTTTCTCCTTCACCTTGCCCTGAACATGACTTGCACCGCCTTCGCCGCCTCAAAATGACTGATGCAGACCCTCCACCAGAGGCCCAACGCTTTGGTAGATCTCAGACGCCTGAATCTCCTCGTCCGGTCCATATCCCTGAGCCTTCAACGATCCCGGTCCTGCTGAACCAGATGGATCCGGTTTTCAATGACACCGAGACCTATAACATCCCTCATAATCAAACTTTCTCTCCTTACTCAGACTCTGCCCGCGCTATGAATGAGAATGACTCAAACGATCCCAACTCGGAAGAGCAAGACGTGGTCCAAAATTTCCTGAGAGGAGCCGAAGAGCAAAACACTCGTCTCGACAACTCTGCCCGGTTTCCCTCCACGAACGGTCAGATAACCGCGAATGATGCCGCCATCGACGCCAATCTTGTCTCGGCCCTTGCAAACGCTTCGGCGTATCCGCAGTCGTCTGAAGCCCATGCCAATCCGCCTCAAGGTGCTGCCAGCCAGGTCCAAGATCCTGCGCAAACGACCACTGATACTTCGCCAGCCGCTGATCCCCCTGCCAACCCTGACACCAGCAACACTGCGCAAGCCGATGGAGAGAGCACGTCTGCGGCAGCGCCCGCCGTAAAGCCCAGCTTTCAAACACATGAAGGTGGAGTAGACTATCAGTCGCTTCTGGATACTATTTCTAAATCTGCTTCTACTGCTCCTGCCGCAGACCCTGTCTCTGCCCCAACTACTGCCGCTTCGCTTGCCAACCAAGGAGCCCAATCATTGTTTCCCGTTCCAGGTTTACCCCCCAAGCCACCAACTCAAGCACAATCTTCAGATTCTCCCGCTGTTCACACGTTTCCTAACTCCAACCACGACCAACTGGGGCCATATCAGCAAGTGAGTCCAGACCACGTCAACACCAATGGCACCGATCAATCTGCTCTTGCGCCCCCACAATTCCAGCCTCCACCCGCCTCGGCGCAAGCCCCCGGCATGTGGACATATTCCGGCGTCCAAGCGTCCCCCACAAGCACCGACCCGACCTCTCCTGCACACTCTCTCCAGGCGCCCGAACAGGGAAAGGGATTTGATGGGTATGAACGCCCTTGGTCTCCCAACACACAAGCACTCTATGACTCTTTCCTCGAGGATGAACGGAGGTATGTGGCGGAAGGGATTTGGGACAAATTTCCCCAGGGATCACGTCTCTTCGTGGGGAACCTGCCCAGTGAGAAGGTCTCTAAGCGGGACATCTTCTACATCTTCCACAAACATGGGAGACTTGCTCAGATCTCCATTAAACAGGCGTACGGGTTCGTCCAATATCTCGAGGCCTCCTCTTGTCAAGCAGCACTTCAAGCAGAACAAGGCGTGGAAATCAGAGGAAGGAAGATTCACCTCGAGATATCGAAGCCTCAGAAGAATTCACGGGGTCAACAAAACCAGCAAGGAAACAAAAGACGCCGATCTCGATCACCAGATCGCGGGACCTCGCGTCAAAGCGACAGATCTGGGCGTCCTAATTACAGTGATTTCCGAGATGAGCGCGGCAGGCGCGACGAGTATCGACGCAGCCCTTCGCCTAGAAGCTATCGGTCCAGGGACGACTATCGGCAACCTCTCCAAAGTCCTCGTTACGGCACGGGTGGGAGACCGATTTCGCCGTTTGCCAACAACTACTCCAATCCCCCCTCGGTAGGTTATGATGAGGAAACCACCCTTCCCTTACCCCGAAGAGACCCGCGAGATGTGCCGGACGTGCAACTCCTCATCCTGGAACCGTTGGTGGCTCCAAGCTTCATGAACTGGATCGAACAAGGCTTTCGCAACAAAGGTCTCCGTGCTTCCACAATATGGCTCAGTCCTCGACTACCACTGAACGCTGTCGTGAAACGGCAAATTATTGAAGGCGTGCAGGCGGTTGTGAAACTAACGCAGGCCAACCAGTACAACAGCAAGATCCCCTTGCAGGTTTTTGATCGGAGTCAAGGGACGTCGAATGTCAACTTTAACGAATATGTCGATCTCGATGTCCCCGTTGCTGCCGACATTGTGCTCCACGCTCGACAAAAGGAACGTGGAGGCGCGCAGCAAAGCCCTCAGTCCTATCAGTCACAAGGATATTCCCAGTATGGCTATCCTCCTCCACCAGCACAATACCCACCAGCACCTTTTCCCCAACACCATCAGCAACAACAACAACAACAACAACAACCACCCCCACCGCAACAACACAACCAGTATCAGTACGGCCAGAACGCCCACTACCATAACCCGGCACAGACGCCGGTGACTCCGACTTCTGCTACAGCCGCGCCAAACCTGCAGCAACTGCTCGCGAATCTTCGGCAGCCTGGTGACGGGCAGCCCGACAACGCTTCGCACCACAACAACCCCGCCGACTTGGCCGGTCTCTTAACCAACGTTGCTCGTCAACAGCAAGGTCATGGCGGAGCGCCATTCCCATCGCCACACGGCCCTCCACATCAGCAGCAGCAGCCACAGCAGCAAGGTTATGCACCTGGCGCACCGGCGTATGCAGCTGGACAACAGTCCCAACAGAACGTACAGAACATCATGGAGACGTTGGCAAGGTACAACAGATGACAGGGACGAACCAAGGTGCGAGTTGTTTTGATGCAAGATTAGATTTCCGTCATGAGCAAGAGTTTCATTTCGCCAGTTGAGTTTGTATTAGTTCGATCAACCAGGGTGGTCCCAGTCGAATACTTCTGTCGATGCCGTGGAGGTTTCCCTACAACCCATGCAGCGGAGGAGTTTTGTGGGAACGAACGGACATGGGCGGACGAGTACCACAGGGATATCTACATAGGTATCGCCTCTACCATGCTCATAGGCAGAAAATAGATTACATGTTTAGACATGAGGCTTCTGATCATCGTATCTCGTATACAAATTTCTCCCCGCACGTCGGAAATGCGCCGAAGCCGCGGCACATCATTCATTGAACATCGACAACCGACTCTTTCATATCGGATTTTTCTCAACATCACATTGCTTTCAACACTTCTTCCTTCCTCCTTGTTACCCTCCCTCTCTCCACCTGCCACAACGCCCTGCCGAACATGTCCAAGGCGACCCCCAACCCTGTTGCTTCGACCTACGGGTCTCCTGCGGCGAGTGGCGGGTCCACGGCCTCTTCGATCCCACACCCAGAACCCATGTCGTCAAGTACACACCATATTGCCGGGATTCTGGTGACGGTATTTGGTCTGGACGAGGTTCCCTCAGGCACCACCGACATCGCCGTCCTCTGGCTGCTGCACCCTCGCCTACAAACCCAGGCGTGCATGGCGCCGTTCGCGGCGCACATCATCTCGGAGTGGAACAAGCACCAGCCAACGTCACGGAGTAGTGGTGGTGGACGAGGCGGGCAGAAGAAGAAGAAGGGCCTGATCGCCGTGTCGTTTGACCAGCGGAACCACGGCTCGCGCCTGGTGTCGGCCATCGCCAACGAGGCCTGGCGGTCTGGGAACGAACACCACGCCCAGGACATGTTCGGCTGCTACGCCGGCACGGCGCTCGACACGTCGCTCCTACTCGACTACCTGCCCGGGTACATCTTCGGCGGGGCCAGCGACCCCCGGAAGATCGTGCAGAACCTGGTGCTGGGCATCAGCCTGGGCGGCCATGCGGCGTGGCACGTCCTGATCCACGACCCGCGCGTGTCGGCCGCGGTCGTCACCATCGGCTGCCCGGACTACACGCGGCTGATGACGGACCGGGCGCGGCTGTCGAAGCGCACCACGTACACGTCGTCGACCCCGCCGGGCCGCGACTTTCTGGGCTCGCGGGACTTCCCGCCCAGCCTGGTCGAGGCGATCAAGAAGTCCGACCCGGCGGGCCTGCTGTGGTCGCTGCCGGGGCTGAACTGGCGCGCCGACCAGGAGAAACTGCACACCGAACTGACCGAGCAGGAGCGCGCCGTGCTGCTGCCCGTCATGACGCGATGTTTCGGCAACAAGCGCCTCCTGAACCTCTCGGGCGGCGCCGACAAGCTGGTGCCGTACGCGCACTCGAAGCCGTTCGTCGACTGGCTCAAGGCGGTCAGCGGGCCAGGCGGCTGGTTCGAGGGCAGCGGATTCGTGCTGGAGGACATCGTGTTCGACGGCGTCGGCCACGACGTGCCCAGCGCCATGGTCCCGTACATGGTGAGATTCGTGACCGAGACGCTGGAGGATGAGGGCGTCGCGGCCATGGAGATGGGGGGAGGGGCAGCCCGGTTGGGGAGTAAGATATAACACGACACAACATAGAACGGGGAGGGGACGCGGCTTCATGTTCATGTTCGTGATTTGAGGGCACATACAATGTATAGAAGAATGTCATGTCATTTTGCCCAATTGAGCCTATGGCTGCCGGGTGGGACAAATCCATCTTTTTGTTGTCTTGCCCTTTACACCAGGTCAAGCACCTATGTACGCTTCAAGACCAATCGGCCCATGACTCGAAAAATCATCGGGGCGAAGACTGTTCTTTCCGCATCCACCACATCAGTGACCTTCTCAGTTGCTGGCTCTGCTGCCTATAACCACCAAAGCTTGTACTGACGGGACACCTGGGGGCCGCTGGACGAATTGCACAACCTGTGTGCACAGATATATCCCAAGGCTCAATAACTTGGGCTGGTCGTCCTTGATAGAGGTAGACATATTTAGGAAAGGCCAGCCCAAGATGATCGGTAGTCATCAGGAAGGGTCTCAGATCCGAGGTCGATCGGAGGTTCCTCCCTGCCATCAGATTGACCAGATCCGAAATGACACCTTGTATTCGGCTCTTCCTGGATGCCACTGCCAGCTGGATTCTGTTCTGTTGGACGACCAATGGAGGGTGGAAATATCCACCGGACAGGTCCAAACCCGGCTGTTCATCCGGCGTCCAGATGTGCAGTCTTAAAGAGACGATCATCTCTGACTATAGACCATCTCTTTGAGGCTCTGTAAACACGCAAGGTGGCTGTATTTGTCTACCAATTCCCTTTTCATCTCAATCGCACAGCACCCTTGAGGCGATTCCAGAATGATGTGGCCCATGATCGTCCCGGCGCCTCGTCCAGCTCCCGAACCAAATCATCATAGTAGGAAACATTGCTCTTGGGCTGGCGGACTGATTGCGGGAGCGGGTATTCCTTCGCGTATCGGTCTTCGAGCAGCGCGTACAGAGCATTGACTTGTCGCATTTCTTTCTGCTCATTAAAAGGCTCGGCAGGCGTCACGAGGGCATTGTTGGACTTGGACGAATCTGCAGCCGGTGCAGGTGACTCGAGCTTCTGCAGACGAGACTGCATGACCTTCTGAAAGTGGACATGACCTGGGCGGATGCGGTCGAGCGGCCATTGCTTGATGATGCGTGCCCAGTGCTTGAAAACGACCTGTAGGACAGAGAGAGATGAGCGGAGGGTCATTTGAGATCCTCTGACCTGGACTGACTTACAGATTGATTAGCTGCCATGGCGAGGGAAATTCTGAATCATCAGTCGTCAGAGCTATCACAGAGGACCTGACAAGTTCCTTAGCAATACATACGAGCACCAAGTGCGTGCTTTGATGATGACGCCTAAGGAGTTCGTCGCCGATCCCATAATCCCCCAGACCATACCGGAAATGGCCATGGCGGTGGCGGATGCTGGTCGATCCAGTGTCTGGCCACCTGGGCGGCACCATAACAAGGCCGCTGGGCCGCTGGGCCACAGGGCATTATTATTATTATTATTATTATTACCCGCAGGCTGCTCTTAGGTCTAGTTCTTATAGCCTACGCCCTCTGCCTGCGCCTGCGACTCTGTGCGGAGGACCACCCACTACTACTACTATTACTACTGGAAGCCCATCTCAACACCGCCTCACTCGCCCTCGGGTGTTCGTCCTTCCACTTCCACACCATTCCTTCCCTTCCCTCACCTCGTCCATCACTGCCCTATTTCCCTCATACACGCCATCCGACTTTCCTCATTTATCTTCAACACTCGATCTCTTTCATTGTTTCTGTGCATTGGGAGACACCTACGAGGTTGCCTGGCCGGAAATGGCCCCTCAACGTTATGAAGCAGTATGTTATTCTCTACCATCACGGCCTGGCAGGCCAGCTGTATCACTAACACTCCTCAGCTGAACACCCACGACGATGACATCGATTCTCCCGTCTCTCCAGATACCCCTCGACCCGTTCCATCCTCACCTCCACCGTCCTTCCGTTCCAGAGCCTCCTCGCCCACATCCAGGCGCTTATTGGCCCAGGATCCGTTATCTCCTCACGCGGACCAAGATCATTTGGAAGACACCTTTGACGACGGCGAGGATTCCGATGCCGAGAACGATGGCGACGACCGGCAACGCTTGATGAGGGCGGACACGGGGGCCCAGAGACAAGATGCCTCCCCCTCATCAACCTCTGTCCCCGAGACCCGGCCGGTGCCTACGGTCGAGCGACGAGTGACGGAACTGCCCGTCTTCAGACCGATGCCCGCCTCCATGAGAGCCACCGACGGTGTGTTCGCCAATCTCTCCGCCAAGCCTGAACGTGGTGAACAAGTGGATGAAAAGCCTCCTGTACGTGTTCGCCTGCAAGACCCCTCTGCGCATGATGACACTAACTGTTACTAGACATACGAACAAGCCGCTGCCGATGCGACGCCGCCTTATTGGGAAACCACTATTCTCGCGCCGGGAATGTCCTCAGACGAAGTCTACGTCGACGGTCTCCCCGTGGGATCTGTTTTCTCCTTTGTGTGGAACGGCATGATCTCCATGTCCTTCCAACTGGTCGGCTTCCTGCTCACTTATCTTCTGCACACCACTCACGCCGCCAAACATGGTAGCCGCGCCGGTCTGGGACTGACACTGGTACAATATGGTTTCTATATGAGCGGTTCCAACGATACCCCCTCGGACACGGGAAATCCAGGACAGTTTTCAAACTCCAGCCCACCCGATCCAAACAGTCACAGCTTTGACCCCAACGCCGTCAATGGGGGCGGAGATCAGTCTCCTGGAGGAAGCAGTGGCATGGGCGGTTTCACTAGCGCAGATTGGATTTCTTACATTCTCATGATCATTGGTTGGTTTATTTTGATCCGGGCGGTATCAGACTTTTTGCGGGCAAGAAGGCACGAGGCCCTCGTCCTGCAGAGTCCGAGTCGAGGATTGCCAGTCCCAGTCGTGGCAGAGGGCGAAACTCCTGAGCAGACCGCCTAAATCTCGTCCTAGAAGCATTTCTCCCGAAAGGGTTGGGCGAATGCGCACCTCTGGATGTGTCTTATGTGTAAACATACAATGCATGCTTGTAAAATGAATTGATCCACACCTCTTTTTTGAGACTGGCATCGTTATATAAAAAGCGCGTTCCATTGATTGAAAGACGGGCAAAGAGGAAGTTGGAAGTCAAATTCGGCTTGCACGTGTTTCTTTTTCTCATCGACAACGACCTGGTCTTCTCTTTCAGCTGGGAACAGGCCTCCTCCCTAGACTTTGAATGATTCCCCATCTGCGTGATCTGCGGTGCTTGCTGACCGTCGTCATGACAAGCTGTCTGTCTGTCGCTCTTCCGGCCTCCCCTGACTGACATCCATTGCCAACACAGTTTGTCTCGCTCCAAACTCAAAAGGGAATTTCTTTGCGGATGTGCAGATAAAAATGCAGCATTTTATCACAGACCATACATTTATTTGCCATTTGCATTCTAGCTTGTACCTCTCTCTCCCTCTCCTTCTCTCTCTCTCCTTGGCGACTCCTGCTTTGTTATCTTTCAGTCCCGGGGTGTGTCAGTCCAACCATCCATCTGTGTGACTGACTGACCAGCTATCTTACTGGCTGGCAGGGCAGGGCAGGGCAAGGAAGGACAGAGGAGCTTAGTGAGTCATGTCGATCCTGTTCTCCAGCCTCCTCTCGTCGCGCAGCTGGGTGAGGCGCTCCAGTGCCTTCTCGAGCGGGATCAGCTCGCCCATCCTCTGGGTGTCCGGGTCGTCGCGGTTGCGGATGTTGACGGTGCGGGTTTCCTTTTCTTTCGCGCCGACGACTGCATATATAGAAAAAAAAAGGATATAGGCGTCAGCGAATGGGGGTAAATAGGATACATAACAATCGTGAGGAAATAGCATGCATGCAAAGCAAAAGAACAGAAAAATGAGTGCCTCGGGGGAAAAGAGGAGAGGAGAGAGAGAGAGTACACGTACCAAAGATAAAGTTGTACTGCGCCAACTGGCCCGTGCGGATCTTCTTCTGCAGCGTGTTCCCGCTGACGTCGATGTCGACGTACATGCGCGCCTTGTGGAAGATGCCCTGGATCTCGCGCACGTAGTCCTCGGCCGACTTCATGACGGGGATGACCAGGATCTGGCGCGGCGAGAGCCAGAACGGCCACTTGCCCGCAAAGTGCTCGCACAGGATGGCGATGAAGCGCTCAAACGACCCGATGATGGCGCGGTGGATCATCACGGGGCGCGCCATGCCCGGGGCGGGCGCCTTGGGGTCGCGCTCGCGGTGTTCGTCGGACTGTTGAGCAGCCACATCCCCGCCCTCGCCGGTGCGGTATTCGAGCCTGAAGTTCTGCGGGCCCTGGAAGTCCAGCTGGATGGTGGCGCACTGAAACTCGCGGCCCAGCGCGTCCGAGATGGTAACATCGATCTTGGGCCCGTAAAAGGCGCCGTCGCCCTCGTTCATCTCCCAGTCGTCGCCGCGGAAGTTGACCAGGGCTTGCTTCAGGCGCGCCTCGGCGGCGTTCCAGTCCTCCAGCGTGCCCATGTACCCTTCGGGCCGGGTGGAGAACTTCAACTTGAAAGGAAACCCGAACAAGCCGTAGACGTGGGACATGAAGTCGAACAGGCCCTCGATTTCGCCCTGCACCTGCTCGTTGGTGCAGAAGATGTGGGTGTCGTCTTGCTGGAACTTGCGGACCCGAGTGAGCCCCGAGAGCGCGCCCGAGGCCTCGTTGCGGTGCAGCACGCCAAAGTCCGCCACTCGCCAGGGGAGTTCACGGTAGGAGCGCTCTTCGTCGCGGAACATGAGGCAGTGGCCGGGACAGTTCATCGGCTTGAGAGCGAACACACCCTTGTCTTTATCCTTGATTTCGGCGAGAGGGGTTTTGCCGTCGGGTTTCTTGTCGCTCAGGGGCATGGGGTCGGCAGAGTCGTCCTTCACAATCACCCGGAACATGTCGTCTTGGTAATGTTGCCAGTGGCCCGAGGTTTTCCAGAGGTCCACGTCGTACATGTTGGGGGACTGGACCTCCTGGTAGCCGCGTTCCCAGTATTGATCGCGGAGCATCTGTTGGAGGGCGTTGAAGATGCGAGTCCCGTGTGGGAGGAGGAACGGTGAACCGGGAGACATGCGACTGAACATGAAGAGTTTCTGCTGTTGGCCAATGACCTGGTGATCACGCTTCTTGGCCTCCTCGAGGAAATGTTCCCAATCCTTCAGTTGTTGTTTCGTGGGGAAAGCCACGCCGTGGATGCGCTGGAGGGAGTCGTTGTTCTGGTCGCCTAGGAAATAGGCGGAGCTGTTCTTCATGATCTTGAAGGATTCGATCTTGCGGGTGTTCTGGATGTGGGGTCCCTGGCACAAGTCCACCAGGGTGCCGTTACGGTACACCGTGGAGGATTCGCCGTCGGGCACAAACTTCTCGATGTAGTGCATCTTGTATTTGCTGTAGCCAAACATCTTGCGGAGGTTGTCCTTGGAGACTTCGAGACGTTCAAAGGCCTGTTTGTCCTTTGCAAATTTCTTCGCGCGGTTCTCTAGCGAGGGCCACTCGGCTTCACGCACGGCTTTGCCCGGTTCGAGCGCCATGTCGTAGAAGAAACCCATGGCCGTCGGAGGGCCGTGGGAGAGGCGACAGCCGTACTCGTGCTCGGCACATTCACCCAGCACGTGGGCTGAGGAGTGCCAAAAGACATCACGGCCTTCGGGGTCGTCGAACGTGAGGTATAACACCTTGCTGTCCTTTTCGAGTGGTCGGTCGAGATCCCAGAGTTCGCCGTCGACTTTGGCCACCACGACTTGACCCGCCCGTTCTTTGGGCAGATTCTTCAGCAGGTGGCCAGGCGTGGTTTCCCAGGCCTTGCCCTCGACTGTGGTCTCCTGGCCGGGGGCGGGAACCAATTTGACCTGGATGGCTGGTTTCTCCCTGCTGGCAAGTTCTTCGTCACGCTGCTTCTTCAGCTGGTCGAAGAGCTGGTTTCTTTCGACAATAAAGTCCGGCAGTGATTGGGGCGCCTGGTGCGCCGCAGGAGGTGCTGCTTGGGTAGACATTGTTTTGGGTCGATTGGGGATTTTCTTGGTAGAAGTTGGGCTCACCGGTCTCTTTGATGAGGAGGTGTTGTTGGCCTCAGGGGCCGATGAGTCAGGGCCAGCAGCGCCGTTTTGAGTCATATTGTCGCCTTTGAGAACCCCCCAGAGATCGTGAGGATTGAGACTGACCTTCTTCTGGTGGCTCATGGCGAAAGATCGGAGTGGGGAGGTATGGAGATTGAATAATATGCCCGCCGTGTGGGTATGGGACCTGGTGGTGGTCGTGGCAGAGTGTAAAAATGAAGGGTCAGTCACGTGCCGGCCGACCACCGCTCTAAACATGGAGGTGCAGTTGCAGATGCAGCAAAATTATTTTTCCCCCAAGATTCAAGGACAAGCCTGCCACAACTCCCGCTGTCCACAACAACAACAATGGCTTTCCGAGGTGATGCGCGAGGACGTGGCGGATTCCGAGGTGGTGACAGAGGAAGAGGATCGTTTGGTGGACGAGGTGGAGGTAAAATTATCTTGAAATTGCGACGCACTTTTCCCCTGCGCTGCGGCGGAGAAATGTGACTGACCGAACGGGTGTTGAGCAGGACGGGGTGGATTTCAACCACAGAGCTTTGGGCCACCTGCCCAGGTGTTTGGTAAGGGACTGGATGTATTTGCGACTTGTTCGACACTGACTGGGTGCAGAAATGGGCACGTTCATGCACGCCACCGAGGGTGAAATGGTCTGCGAGTCCGTCAACGCAAAGATCCCCTACTTCAACGCCCCCATCTACCTCGAGAACAAGGTACCGAGATCATCCTCTTCGGGTCGTCTGGACTTCTCTGACCGGCACAGACTACCATCGGAAAGGTGGACGAGATCCTAGGGCCCATCAACCAGGTCTACTTCACCATCAAGCCGCAAGAGGGCATTCAAGCTGCGTCGTTCAAGAAGGGTGACAAATTCTACATTGGAGGGGACAAATTATTACCGCTGGAGAAGTAGGTCTGAGACATCTCCGGTAGAAGGACAGTGTGCTAAGAAGTGGCAACAGGTTCTTGCCCAAACCCAAACCTCCGCCAGGTGAGGAGTCTCCAGCCTAACAGAGTCCTCCGACATACATGTGGCTGACATTTACACAGGTGCCGCGAAGGTCAGGAAGCCGGCAGGTGCATCAGGAGGGATGAGAGGGGGTCGAGGAGCAGGCAGAGGGCGAGGTGCACCTGGTCGGGGAGCACCCAGAGGCCGTGGCTCTTTCGGTGGCGGTGCTCGAGGTGCTCCTAGAGGTCGTGGAGGAGCACCCGGCGGACGGGGCTTTTCGAGAGGGGGTGGGTTCAGCTCAAGAGGCCGTGGCAGGTGGTGAAGCACAGCTTGACCAGAGATCTTTCTGCCCTCTGTTTCGCATCAGGATCGGCGTTAGGATGGATACCCGTGGTTAAAAAGTCGTGGTCAGAGATGACCTGGGATCGGGGTGTAAATACCCATTGAGCTGATGGTTCCTTGCCTCCGAATTGAGATTGCCTTGTCTGTTTGAATAGACTGAAAGGGAGAGGGAGGGAGTCTTCGTATCGTATGGCTTCTCTGTTCCTGGCACGTGATAGGACTTTTTTCTCTCCCAATAATTAGGTGCAAGCCACACACGCTGCATAATGACGACACGAGCCGCACCGCCTGAAGTTTGTGACTTGTTTGCAGTAAACTGCGGCTGTGCCTTGGTCTGTTCGTCAAGAGTCCCGAATCTACGAATCCCCCTCTGCCTGTTTGTTTCAAGAAAACATCTCTCTGTCTCGTCCTAGACGATTGATTCCTAGATTTCCCTTCCGGTCTCTTACACCCAACCATTACAGCCATGTCGCGGCGAGCGGGGCTCACGAATGGCGCTGAGAAACAGCCTCCTGCGCCAGCCAAGGACAATGCTCAATCGAAGCAGGCAATGCTTTTGTCTCAAGACTCGGGGCATTTCAGTCTGATCAGGTACCCTGGACGGCACCTTGAGAAGCGGCTAAGACTGACCACTGAATAGGGCGCTTCATCTCGCTGATCTGATCACTGAACTGAATGGTGAGACCTCCACACATGGCGAAACACGATACAAAAGCTAATACTGGACCAGGTTTCTGTGGATGTGCGTCTCTCGCCTCAGGCTGTGAGCGTTGCAGCTGACCTGTTTGCCAGTCATGTCAATTCTCTCGTCGATGCGCTATTGTCTCGCCGACCCCAACGATCTCACGAATCTATGGCTTGCCTTCGGTTTCATGCCATTTGGTCTGTTCTTCGACTTTTTTGACGGCAAGGTGGCACGGTGGAGAGAAAAGTCATCCCTCATGGGTCAAGAGCTGGATTCGCTGGCGGATCTGGTACGCTCGGAAGCTACACATTCCTCTTGGTTGATATTATGATTCTGACCGCCTGTTTGTTCTCCAGGTCACATTTGGTGTCGCAACTGCCGCTGCGGGATTCGCCATGGGATTCCGGACGAACGTTGACCAGATCTTCCTCGCCTTCTATGTCCTCTGCGGGTTGACTAGACTCGCTCGGTTCAATGTGACCGTCGCCATGCTGCCGAAGGACAAGACGGGGAAGTCGAAGTACTTTGAGGGTACTCCTATACCATTTGCCTGCCTGATGAGCTTGACCGTGATGGCGACTTGTGCGTGGTTTGGTTGGATACATGAGGATATACCTCTGGGGACTATCTTGGGTGGAACCGATCTCGAGTTTCATCCCATCGGGGTGATCTTTCTCGTTAATGGAATTCTCATGACGAGCAGAACGTTGCACGTTCCGAAGCCGTAACGAGTCCCTCGGGGTGGCTGCTCAAACGAACGGAACGCATTGGACGACACGGGATATTTCTGGGTTGGGGGGCTCAAAGCCTTCAGCGTCTATGGGATATTCGTGGTATACATGAATGACATGGCTTGTGCTTTTGGGGGTTTACGAATTCTACACGATCACCGACTACTCTCTCCCTCGTCCTTTTGGCCGATGCTTATGCCGCTGATATACAGTGAACAGTGGTGGTGGTGACGCTTCTTCAACGAAGTACATTGTCTGCCTGCCTGCCTGCCTGCCTTATGCATCCCGAGCCATTTCAATCAACTTGTTATCAACCTCCTCTAGCTGCACGTAACATATTTTATGAGCGAGGAAGTGACTGGTTACCAATTCATCTGACGCCATGAGCTACCACCCAGAATGCCACGGCACATAAATAGACTGAAATACCCATGCTATGCTATGCTATGCTATGCAATGTACTGTACTATTGCCTCTAGGTCCCGCCTGGGCTCTTTGCACCTTCTGTAGGTTCATGGCCTTGAAGAAGCCCTCTACAAGATTCTTTTCCGCCGTTCACCTCTTGTTCTCATTGCTCCCTCTGTTTCTCCTCCGGCATACATATAGGATGGTGTCGTAGTTATAGTTAGTTCATGCCAAAGTCAAAATCAAGAGACGTATTTATGTGGTATTGTATTGTGTTGTATTATATATTCAAGCACTCTCACACCAAACAAACCAAAACCAAAAAAAGGGTTAAAAAGAAAAAGGTAACCAACCCCCTTCGCTAAACGCCCAGCGCTGGATTAATGAACGCTCTAGAATTGCTGCTGCGGCCGCCGCCCTCCGACCCTCGAGCGCTGGATACCCTTGAGGGTCTGGATCCTCCGCAAACTGCGCATGCCCTGCATGGAAAAGATGGCACTCAACACGACACAGGCGGCGGTGATGTAGAAGAAGCCGTAAGGCGCCTCTTCGAGGTAATTGAGGAGGTTCATGCCGAACAGGCCCGCGGCCATGGTCCCCGCGGCCAGGCCCAGGGTGTGGATGGCGATGCGGGCCTCGAGGAACATGATCTGGTTGCGCTGGACGGCCAGCGACGAGCGGAAGGTGTTCTCCTTCTTGCGCAGCACGTCGACCGCCGCCTGCGCCGACTCCACCAGCGTGTCCGCCGCCTTGTGGTATGCCTCCAGCATGTACTCGGCCTCCTGGTGGTCGGCGGTCGCGTGCGGCGTCCCCGCCTCCCGGTCCGTCAGGTACATGCCCGCCAGGTCCTCGTCCGTGTCCAGCACCTCGCGGATCGTGTCGCGCACCAGCCGCGCCTTCTGTTCGATCTTGGCCAGCCGCCGCGTCCGGTCGAACACCTGGTTCAGCCCCACCGCCGCCAGGCCCGAGTCGAGACGCAGGCTGGCGGCCGACTCTTCCGCCTGGCGCCGGGCGTCGATCAGGTCGCGACGCAGCCCGGACAGCACCGCCACCAACGCGGCTTCCACGGCACGCAGCTCGTACGGCAGTTCGGGCACGTCGGCTGTTTCGATCGTGGGGCCTGACATGCGCCGCTCCAGTTCGTGATAGAACTCGCCCTCGTCTTTCTTTGGAGCACTGTCGTTGTTGTTCTCGTTGGCAACGCTGTCGCTGTCACCGTCACCGTCACTGCTGGTGTGCGGTTGACTGTAGATCAGGAGCGCCTCGTCCGCCTGGATGATCATACACAGCTGGAAGAATTGCAGGAGGATGGTGGTGGGCCGCACCAAGATGCGCGTGACCGCCTCGGATTTGAGGTCGATGTCCCGCAGGTCGCGGTGGCGGAGGTCGAACTGCTCTGCAATCTCGGCCTTGGTGAGCTGCTTGTGCGCGGCGTTGAAGCGGCCGGCCTTGTCGAAGTAGATGCAGGTAATTCGCCCGTTCTTCGCGTTGAGGCTAGAATCTGGCGCATCCAGCCCGCCGTCCTCCACCAGCTCGCTATCTGACGAGATTCTCTGGGTAGATGATGCCCGTCTCACGACGAAAGGCGAGCTAATGCGTGCATGTTGCGTCGGTGGTCTTTGCAGCTGCCGACTTCCTGGGGTCCTGGTCGAGAGGAGAGACCTTCTCGGCAGGGTGACCAGCGGACGAGGTGATAGTAGTCCGCAACACTCGACGGGCCGAAGCCTGAGTGAGCTCGAGATCCCGAGCGTGGTCCAGATCTTCATTGTTTATTTCTTTCGTTTCATCACTGAAAAGATTGAACTGCCATGACGCTCTGCCCTTGACTGCGGACTCGAGTCATCAACTGCTGGATTAAGGGGAGGGTGTTCGGAATACAGAGTAGAGATGATTTGGATGAAGGTTGATCAACAGTTGAAATCACAAACTGGTTGATTTATCAAGCGAGACAGCCTTGTGTCGACGAGGCTGAGGTGTGACGTCATGATTCATACGAAAGCAACTCGGAAGTTTCGCGCGTCAATTCACGGACCGTTACGACGTATATATATAATACATACCCCAAACTGTTCTTCGTCTATTACCATTTTCGTTCGGGAAAGGGAGCCAGGCCGCTTTCATTGCGCATGTGACGGAGCATCGAGGGCGGCCGGCCGAGCACGGGGGAGCACGCTTGACGACTGCCAATCTGCAGAAGCTGGTTCGGGCTCAGGGGTCTTATTTGGGCTTCAGCTATAGTGGCTCAGCTGTAACCCCTTATTTCGTTTCAGCCAAGCCTGCTGCCTGGAAATGTCTATCCTTTCTTCCTTTCCGATGCCAAATAATCTACGGAATCGTAAGAGGGCCATTGAGGCTCCCAGAGTCGATTCGAGCCCGTGAGAAGTCGCTTTTGGGGTCAATTTGGGTTGCTCACCACGGACCTTCTGAGAACCGCTGGACAATACCTGAGTATCCTGTCTCCAGAGGCTGCGAGTGGCCAGAGAAACCCGCAATTCTGCAATTCTGCTTAAGCCTACGTCCTCCAGGCGGAAACTTGAGGAGGGAAACAAGTCAATGGGCTCTCGACAACCCAAATTCCAGAAAATGGATACAGGAGCTGAGACAGAATGACTGGGTTAGTACAGGCTGGGAATTCTTATCCGTTTATATCCAATATGCCCGTACTGGGGAGGGTGTGACCGTGATTTCTGTCCTGCTGCCTAGCGGAGGCTGTAACGCAGGAGTGGAACATGCTCTGTTCTGTATAGGCGGCTAGATGCTACCTCCTTGTCTCTAGTCATAGGATTTTCTGCAGTGTCTTGGGATATCAGATAGAACTTCCTCGCCCTCATCCTCTTTCCTTATTGTGATAGAACCTGGACTTTTCCTGGACCTTGTAATTTCCAGACTATAAGATGCTGCTATCGATTACTTATGAGATAGCCTCGACTGCGGTGCTACGAACCTTTGGCGGTGGAAACTCGCCAACTGTGCAAGATCGAAGCTGTTGTTCATGGAACTTGAACAAGGAGCCTAAGTCTCAGATCCTCCGTTGGCACGATGTCTCTGCCCTTGATGATCTGTCTGTGGAGGGCATCGATGTTGTTGCTGGATTTCTTTGCTCAGCCATAACTTATCAAAGAACTCATCTAACACCGGTGTGGCGAGCTCATTCTCAGTCAATGATAGGGCTGGTTCGTCTAGAATATGGTCGATGGGCTCTGTTCTATTTTGTGGAGTTCCATGAACCGGTATCGACCATGAGTTTGTACTGTGGCTAGAAATGCGTGCGAGACGCTCGAGATTAAATGCATTTGTGGCTTTGAAGGGGACCTGGTTCGCTGAGGTCCGAACTCCATGATGCAACAAGATTCTGACGAACCCCGGCTATTTTCAGGTAAGGCTGTTTTCAACTAATTGGCGATGCCTGAAGAGACTAATATGTCTGGAGATTTTCCTGAGTTAAGACTAGATGATCGGTGGTGGCCTGAGGACAACAACCCAGGGGGTCATCTGCTCTCGGTTTTTCAGATCCTGTTGAAGGCGAGTGTGGACAGGGCAAACTTCTGAGTGCTCACGATGTCATATTTTGTATGCAAGAGACGTCGTCCTCGTCCTGCCTCAGACATCTTACACAGGTTCGAGCAGACGACTGCGAAAGAAAAACACCGACATGTTGAACTACGACCATGTTCGCCACACTTCCAAAGCTCTTGACGGAACACTACAGACAGGTGCTGAGAATGATCCCTTCTTGCCAGTGGGCCTACCGCATCTCAACGCGACCCTGGAAAAAGAGGTGCTATGTCGATCATCGCACGAAGCAGCCTGTGGAAATCTGGTCCAATCCTCGCTCGGTTTTGTCGTCCGCTAGACCGACGGAGGCATTTGGTGATGGCTGATGTGGACCAACATTCAAAATGCGGGGAGTCTAGTGGAGTGGTTGCAACCACGATGTGCCCGAAATCGTGGATTGTATTGGAAGGAAGGTTGAACCACGTACGAATTTCGCGCCAAATCAATGAGCTGACATGGTAAATGGGCAATGAGGCCTATGTTAGGAAGGGATTTTTCCGAACGAGCCTGATGCTAAACGTTGACACATTTGGTAGCGGCGACCCAGATGAATTGAACATCAGAGAAGGTTATTGTTAAGGTTATCACTAGTGCGCTGCAAAAATGGAGCCGTTGCAGATCTCTCTCGGCTAACCTTCCTTGCCATATTGATCCCCGTATTTGACCAGGAGTGCGGACTGCGCGCAACTTCATATCGAGCCATTCGTATCCAATCATGGAGTTTGCCAGCCATCCTTCTGTCACATGTAACCTAGACTGGGCGCTCACTGGCGCTTAAGGTCCGGCCGCGACTGCATTTCGCTGGCAACTAAATAAACCTGTCCATTCCTTTCTCCCTCACTTCGAGCAACCATGGCAGAACGAGACAGTGCAACCGCTCAGAAGACCAGACGGCAGTCCCTGAATCTGCCACCCCAAGGTTATTTATCTGCTTCCTCCTCCAGTACTCGACTGAACAGCAAAGGGACACTCCCTCAAGGCATTAAGGAAGGACAAAAAGAAACCCCTCTTCGACGGAGCGCCCGTTTGGACCGCTTAATTGAGGTTGATGAGACTCAACTAAACGCCGGCCAGCGGCCTCTACTATCTCCAGTTAGCGACATCAAAAGACCTAATGTAGGTCGCCAACGTTACTCTGTGATGGAAGACTGACCCAATACAGCGTGCGCACCCATCTCCTGCCCTTCTACCATCGAAGTCTCCAAAGCGGAAACGAGAAACTGAACAGCAACCAAACCCACCCTCCCCCAAACGGCCGCGAACATCTTGTCCGACACCCTCTCTTCAGGGCGTTGATCCTGTTACGTATTGGACGCAGACATACTACTGGCCGCAAGGATATTTCAACAGGGAATGTGGCGAAATGAGTCACTTATTGGCGAGGCAGAAATCCACCGCCTCCCTTCGCCGAAAGCGATCGGATAGCGAGTCTGGCGCACCCAGCACAACTACACCGAGTGACCAACAGTCAAGGGAGGAGAAGAGTGCTCCTTATCGAGACTCACGTTACAAGATCCTGCTCGAGGCTATGGGAAGCTATATGAAAAAGTCCGAGCTAGACATCACAAAAGAGGACAAAGTTCTCTGTCAGAACCTATTGACGAAGGAGCAAACGACCCTCAAGGATTCTATATTCTCCGATGACGTGTTTGAGAAAGCCTGCATAAAGTTCCAAGACAGAAATGAGGCAAGGGTCATCCAGGATATATCTCGACTAATCGTCCCATCTGCGGAAACGCTGGCCACATTGGGTGCCGAAGATCTCGATAAACTAATTGAGAGCGTCAATGAGGGTTGGAACAATTCAATTCCTGTTACCAAAACACGACCTCAACCAGACTACTCTGTGGGTTTCCAACGCTCTGCATTTACGGACGACCAGCTCAAGAAACTTCAGCCATTCGTTGGCAGCTTCAACGACCTCTCCTTCTTCATGGGAACATGGTACATGTACTTTCCCTTCTTCTCGAGCGAAGTGAAGTGCGGTGCGGCCGCACTCGAGGTGGCAGATCGACAGAATGCACACAGTATGACGCTCGCGGTTCGAGGAGTCGTGGAACTATTCCGGCTCGTAAAGCGCGAGAAAGAGGTTCATCGGAAGATCCTTGGCTTTTCTATCACCCACGATCACGAGAATGTGAGGATTTATGGCCACTATCCTATAATTGAGGGTAAAAAGACTACCTTCTACCGTCATCCGATTCATAAATTCGACTTCACCGCACTTGATGGGAAAGAGAAATGGACGGCATACAAGTTTACTAAAAACGTCTATGATACCTGGATGCCTACTCACTTCAAAATGCTTTGCTCGGCAATCGACGCAATACCACTCGATATAAATTTTGAAGTCTCCGAGGAATCGAATCTGCAATTCCCTTCATCATCGGGAATTTCACAAGGTCTGGAAAGCCACCACCTTTCGGAGTCAGCGCCTACAGATAACGACGGACTGGGCTCTCTCGGCCCCCCGGAAGTGACGCCAGATACTTTAATCACCCAAGTCTCAGAACCTCCGACGTTTAAGAAACCAAAGAAGAAATGAGACTTGGTATTCAAATGACAGGAGAACATCTGGAATCAGAGGGGAAAATTGTTGAGGTTGGCTACTAAGGGTTTGGACCGACCGAAAGCCTGAGAAGCTATACATAATTGACCTGGAATGTATCGCTACGTTTTAAACGAGCCCACTTGGCCAACCTTGCTACTTCCCGTGAGGACTGGTTGTGGTGAGCGCTTGACGGATGCTCGAGTATTGCCGCCTTCCATAAACGCAGAAGGCCCTTTACCTCTGGGCTTCCCTCAACTCGAATCTCTTTCTGCCTTCGGGCCGCAAAAGAAGGCGAAGTGACAAGGAGGAAGCCTCAAAAGGAAAATGCTCTCAAGCGTCCGGTCAAGGCACCGCTCCTGGAGGAAAAATGTGCGCAGTGCGGTCAATCGAGCTATTGCCGTTGCCGCCGTTGCTCCCCTTACGTTGGCGAGGTGTGCGGCAATTGCAAGGATGGCACAAATGGAGAGATCAACAAGGCTGTGGAGGTTCGTTCAAGCATCCCACCCCAAAAAGAGCCTCAAGATTGACGGTATGAATGCAATGTTCTGGAACTCGACCCTGCCTGACGTGTGTTCATGATCTGGGACGTTGTTCTCATGAAAGGTGTAATCTCCAGGCGGATAACCGTACAGGGAAACCCATGTCGGAAGTGGAAGACTGGCTAGCGGTATTAACAGATGATTGCTCTGTCCGACTATCCGGAAAGGTCGCTGGCGCCCTTGTCTGGTGAAGAATTCGGCTACTACTACATGGCGATGGGCAGTTCGGCTGACACGTTACAAGATGCTCATTAATGTCCACGCGAGCCGATGTCACAAGCATGACCTGGCGTACGGAACTCCGGACCATATATGTACAACTTGAATTAGACGAGACGGGGTTAGCCCTCCCCCCAGCTATATGTTCAGAGGCTCCTGAGTTATATGTTTATTCTCCATGTTCTGCTCGACAGCGATGGATGACCCAAATATCTCTTATATACAGAGAGAGAGAGAGAGGAACAAAGTGCCAGACTCATGGCAATAACATGTCTCCAATGTGGTCAGACCCGGAATTAAAGGGAAGAGGAACCCTTTCTCGCTGGACGTCATCTATCAAAGAACATATATAATATTGTGGGCGGAATACGCTGTTTGCAGATGCACTCAGCCGTAGGAATGACTAACACATGGCATGTGAACAGCACGATTAGAGGGGAATTCGTATTCAAGAGGGACAACCTCAAGGCTGGCCAGGAAGATGCCAGTAGAACAAACAAACCCCGCTCGATGTAAGGGCCCTCCCTGCCTCAAGCCCTGTACCACTCGCCGAAGAACCGGCGGCAGTCAGCGAGAATAATGTCCGGCCTTTCCAGTGCAGCAAAATGGCCACCATCGTCGCACTCTGTACACGGTCGTGAGATTGTGGAACATTTCCTTGGAGTACAGGTTGGCTGCAAGAGGAACTTACCATTGTAGAACACGAGCCGGCCCGTCTTCTTCACGCTTCTTTCCGTGGCAGGCCGTGTGTCATAGAGAAAGCTGGTGAAGCCCATAGGAACCCCAATGTAGTTCTCTGGCTTCAGGAAAAAACTGCCAAAATCCGCGTGCTTGACTCCTTCGAAATACGGTAGGGTCGAAGACATGATGCAGCCGGTGAAATAGTACAGAGAGCAGGTGGTGAGAATGGCCTGGTCCCACGCCGGATCTGGGGTCTCGACCTTTGCAGGTGCCACCGCTTCAATATATTTCTCGCCGACCCACGCGAGGATTCCAACCGGGTTATCATTCAGAGCCACACCGATGGTTTGTGGACGGGTCCGCATGCAAACGGCGTATCCGAGGTGGTTGTCCAACCAGTCATGATACCGTGCCCTGATCTTCATCTCGCGCGGTGTAGGGTCTGTGACGCTGTCATCCAGTTCGACCGGACAGAAGTTCAGGTGGACAGCTTTGCACGCCTTGAACTTGGCCCCCATTTCGCGCGCCACAAACGTTCCCCAGTCCCCCGCCTGCACGACGTAATGCGTATAACCAAGCTGGCCCATCAGTTTGTCAAAGATGCGTGCTGTGTCTTGTAAGGTCCAACCCCGTCGAGGGGGCGGAGCAGACCAGCAGAACCCAGGGAGACTTGGCACCACGACATGAAATGCTGGTTCCGAAGAGTCCTTGGGGTTGGCAAAGGCGTCGACTACACGGTCAAATTCGTGGAACGAGCCCGGCCAGCCGTGAACCATAATAAGAGGAATGGCATCGGCTCTTGCAGACTTGGTATGCGTAAAGTGTACTTTTAACTGGAAACTCTCATCATCAATGTCAGCGAGAAAGTGGTCATGTCGGTTGAGATGTTCTTGCACGGACAACCAGTCGAAATCATCACGCCACTTGTTGTAGAGACGGTGAAACCATTCAAGAGGAGGGCCTATCCAGGTCAGAGTCGCCAAAACAAACGAATAAATCAGAGTGTTCACGAACCATAGTCGCTACCGGCTCCAGGAACAATGGGGTCGTTGGGGATTCTCGTGTCTTGCAACTTCCTTTTTAGACGCTCAACTTCGGCATCGGATACGTCGATTTCGAAAGGCGATATCCTCATTGCGAATGCCCCGGGGGAGGTTGAGTGACTTGAGTAGTTGAGCAGCAAAGCAATGACTTAGAGCACTGCTTGACCGACTCAGAGTCTGGATGGCAGAACATCTAGCGCTATTTGGACTGGAACTGCTGAAATAGAACGGCGGAGACCCCTCTGCGGGGTGCCGTCTTGACGAGGTCGGAGCTGATCGGGCAAGTTCTTAAATGGCTCGATGGGCATAAGGAGTTGATTTAGCGGAGAGCAAGACAATAGACCTATCCAGCAGACCACAAATGTAGTCCGTCTGCAAGTGCTTGAGCAGGGAACCCTTGCTCAAAAAGTTGTACATAGCGGCATCAAGATCAATAGCTCCAATCCCAACCATCATCTTCTACAAGAAAGAATGGATCGTCCATTAAGGATTGTTGTATCGAGGATTGATCCAAGTTATTGATCTGGCTTGGATCGGGTCCATCGTTTGCTGCATAGGGCGGATTCGTAGCTGGGAGACCGCCAGGAAAATCGAAGCCAATTGGCAACCCAAGGGACATCGGCACCGAGTTTGACGTGGGATCCTGCTGCACCCCCAAGCTCGCTGTCGTCGACGGTTGTATGGCACTGGCCACGTTCGCGTCGGTGTGGACAGTGGGGTCGCTTGACGCGAAACCCGCGAAACCCTCTTCGGCAGGAGTCTGTCGCTTTGCCGGATTCTCGTCCTTTCCCTGAGAGACGTGATTGCGAACATTCTCGACATACTGTTTGGCAACTGCGAGAAGCTCGCCCGAAATTTCTGCCATGAACGATATTGTTTGCCCATCTAGTGTGTGTAGCATTCCGCGCATACAGTCCAATGTTCTCTCCATAAGAATTTGATCTGCCGTCACTTTTGGATCCAGAGGGGAATGTAGCATGAAGGCGAACAACGTCAAGAATGCCGAGAAAGGAAAGTATGGACTTATCCAAATGAGGTTGTTTCTTGGATCGGCCCAATTCTGCAAATATGTTACCGAGAGGTGAAGGATTGATCGTGCCGCCGCCAGACAGAGCGCATAGGAGGCGTGGACCCGAACGTTTAGTACACCGTCAACGCATAGGCCATCTAAACCTGAAGAAGAGGGATAAGACTCGCTGTTGTTGGATCCGTCGGTTTCCGAAGACCACAATTCATGGCTATGAGTATTTGTTAGCACACGTTAGAGACGATAGGAAGCCCACGTGCATCACCAGGGGAACTCACTGTGCATTGACTCGGTGGATAGCTCTCAGACAGTGGTAGTATCCAAAATGAAGAAGGACAATGGGAAACCTGCCCTCCGAGTCACATTGTATGGGGTGCTCCGGCCTGATCTCTACGGGAAAGCTCTCCTTCCATTCCTGAAGCTCCGTGTCTAGTCTGCTGATAGATTCGAGTCTCTCGCTCGTTGTTTTCAACCGAGCAGCATACGCGTACAGTTCTCTGTACACCTTACTCTGAATGCGCGCAAGAATGCACATGTGGCGAAAAGGGTAGAATCTCGTATGGTTGGGAGGAGCACCTGATATGTTGATTCCACCAGTTCCATGCGACTGTTCGGCAGGGAAATCGAAGCCGATGTCGTCGTCATCAATAGCGGAGGGTCTACCAACACGACTCGCCATGTCTTTCTCCAAGATGTACAATATCCAAAAGACTCTTTGTCGCTGCTCAAGCTCTGCTCGAGACAGGCCGAAGCCATCGAGCCATCGATGCAGGCCAAGAGCATTCCCCATTCGAGCGGCAACTCCAAGGAGTGCAAAAGCGCCTTCTGGATTCATGATTGCCTGCATGATGAAGGCCTGGACACGAGTCAATGATCGAGGATGCTATATTTGTGGGTAGCGGTGTATACCATTCCAATCACTGTCTGCACAGCCATAGGATCATTGGCGTGAAAGAGCATATCCAACAGTACTGACGAAGCGTTTTGGAAAAGCTTCCATGTCACGTCTGACACACTCAAGAAATAATACGGATCGGAGCTGCGAATGCTGTTCCAGATGGAGTCCGTGGCAGTGATGCAGCCGATGGACAGAACAACATTCAATGCGCCAGTCCATGATCGCTTGGTCGGAGGGTCCGCTGAATATTGTTGATGGAAAAGGACCCAGAACGATGTCTGGTCGAAGAGAGGGAAGATCGAATTGAAAGTCCTGAAATAGTCTGGTGGCTCGTTAATGGAGTTAGTCCATACACGTTGTGCAGGTTGGCCTCACTGTTCACGAGCTGTGCAGCTGCCTCTTTGGTTGGGAGGCGGCACCCAGCACGCCCACCCTCGGACAATTGACCGAGTCTATATGAGGGCCATATCGGACCGAATCGCCGAAGATGCTCGAACATGACCGCGACACGGGTTGATCCCGTCTTGCGCTGGATCCAGGCCAATCCTCGAGGGGAGAAAAGAGAGAATTCCGAGGGACCTGGGATGGTTAGCCTCATGATATCCCTCACAGGCAAGCAAAACAACAATTCAGACCTACCGACGTATTTCTGTTCGCCAGACTCTGATATGATTAGATTGGCAAGCTCTTTCTCTAATGCGTGTGGGGTTTCTGGAGTTTCAAGTGGTTTAAACTGAGCAGGCTCGTCGATGGTTGACTGTTTCTCCGCGAAACCAGACAGCAGCGCTTCCATCCGCTCAATTCGAGACTCGATTGAGTGAAGGAATTGTGCTCTGTAAGACGAGAAAAAGCGTCGTACTGTCAGCTGTGGCCTCTGTCAGAGTGGGACATTCTCCTCGGGACATACCTTCTCATTCTGGTGTTTTGCTTTTCCACTGGGGTGAGGATGCACGGCAAGCCTCGCGCCCGGCAGTTGGAACAGTAGTTGCTGGCCTGTCTGTCGCATCTTATCTGGACCAAAAAATGAGCCAGGATACACATGGGCGACAAAGACGTAAACCCATCTCCCCAGAAGAGTTCAAGGAACGTACCTTCATGCGCCGGCACGAATCACACGAGACCCGAGCCCCTCGCCTCGCCTTGGTGTCGACACTGTTGGGCGACATTGAATAGAACAGGTGTCTCGGGCGTGTGGAATCAGCAATGATGGGATCAAGACGATTTGCGATTGGCGGGGAGAGTTGCTAGGTTTGAGGTAAAGTCATACAGTAGAAGCAAGCGAACCTCAATGGGCCGAAGCTGAAACAAGCACAAGGCTGCATGAAGTTCACAAGTCAAAGTGGCGTGTGGTGTGAGTGACATGGACACAGCTCATTGACAAAGCAGAACTGGAGCCTGGAGAGAATCGTATTCGGCTAATGACACAGCGAGACAGGCACGAGATGCGACCGAAATCTAAAGCGCCATTGATTGGCTTGTCTGTGTCGTTTCACCCGCAGCCATCGTTATTCTTAACTGTGCTAACTGCGCTAACTGCGCTAACTGCGCTTGCTTCTTCCTCCAGCAACGGATCTCGGATGAAAACGACAGCGTTACGCCGTCTCGTCTCGCCATGGAAATTCACGCATCGTTCGACTCTCACACTCATATTGTCTCCTTTTCAATTGATGTGAATTCCCTTTACCCTTGTACTGGTCAGCGGAACACTATGTGCTCCGTCTACGGATCGAAGGTTTTGCGAGAGTCTCTGCAGGTGTCGTATCGGACGTATATCTCGGAAATACCTGTTCTTCTCGCTCAAGCTCAAACGAAAAATATCACGGCATTTAATTCTATCTGAACCAGTCCCAGCATCCTATAAAGCATATCCATGCATTTGATGCACGACTAGGGTATGTCTTTTTGATCTTGTTTGGTGCTTCATACCTGTATGCTGTTTTTATGATTCACGGAATACCTTACCCTCAAAATGAATTCTGGTAGTCATAATGACCAGGGCTCGACTGATCGAGAAATGCATGCAGGCGAAGACAAGCATGGTGAGCCGTGTTGGCTACAAAAGACACAAGCCCTACCGCTCAAAGGAGCCTCGACTAGACATGAATATCCTCGCGATGAACGGGCCACCCCGGAGAAAAAGACGCAAAATTCTCTTCGAGAGCGAATGACAACGGCAACGTCATCTGCAGAAGAGAGTCATGGCATCGTATCTCCAGTTGATGAGCTCCAGAAGCTAGGAGAGCTGCTGCACATGCAAAATCTGCCTCAGCAAGCATCCTGCTCATCAGTAGCCTTCATAGATGTCTCCGTCCGGCAGCCAGGATGCAACGTCGGAGCGCAACAAACCCTTATGGCGGTTTTCCAAAGACCGTTCAAGGCTGTGCGAGATATACTTCTACGAAGACGGCAATCCGAGAGCCTGTTGCTGCAGGGGGTCGATGGCGTAGTTAGGGAAGGCGAAATGCTGTTGGTATTAGGTCGGCCAGGCAGAGTCTCCAGCGCCCTCCTGAAGGCTCTGAGTGGTCAGAACCAGGATGGCTTGATTGTCAGAGGTGAAATCAAGTACAACGGAGTCGACATCAAGAAGTTCAAGGGTCGGTTCAAAGGCGATACAATTTACGTTCCTGATGGTATGCCCACACTCTTGATTTATTACAGGCTTTGCTAACAACCCCAATAGTCGACGTTCACTTTCCATATCTCCTCGTCCGCAATACATTGGATTTTGCTTCCGAGACAAAAACACCAAGGGCCAAAGTTGCCGACCGATCACGGTCCGAACTCATCAGGGACATGACAGACGTGTATGGAAGCCTGCTTGGAGTGCAGCACACTTTCCAGACGAGAGTCGGCAACGAATATGTTCAGGGCATCAGCGGTGGCGAACGCAAGCGCGTCTCTCTGGCAGAAGCTGTAAGTCTCCCTTCCTCTCTTTTAAAGCCAGGAGTTTCTGACACGTTCAGTTCGCAATGCGAGCTTCGGTCACGATGTGGGATAATCCCACTCATGGCCTTGACTCGTCAACATCACAGGAATTCATCCAAACAATTCGAGCCATGACAAAGACCTTTCGGCAAACTGCTGTTGTCGCACTATACCAAGGAGGTGAGACGTTGACGCAGGAGTTTGACAGAGTAACCCTGCTATATCAAGGCCGTCAAATCTTCTTTGGGACGGTCGCGGATGCCAAACACTATTTCGAAGACATGGGCTTCGAATGCCATCCGCATCAAACAACGGCAGACTTTCTGACAGCGATCAGCGACCCAACTGCCCGAAAGCCCAGGGCTGGCTGGGAAGCCAGAGTGCCAAGGTCACCAGACGACTTTGTGAAGCTTTGGAAAACCAGCCATCAGTATTCCAAGCTCCAGGAAGATATCCGGGAATACGCGAGGGAATTCGGGCAGCCCGACGTGGAAATGGCGAATTACGAGGCTTATCGATCAGCCACTCAGTCAAAGCATCAGCGACAGCGCAGCATTTACACCGTCGACACATTCACTCAGTTTGCTGCCAATCTCAGACGCAGCTTTTACCGACTCGTCGGCGACAAAGCATTCCTAGGCGCAACGGCATTCAGCTCTATCTTCATGTCTCTGATCATGGGCAGTATGTTCTACAATGTACCAGACTCGACCTCGGGGTTTTTCTCAAAGGGAGGCGCTTTGTTCTTTGCAATCCTGTTCAATTCTCTCCAAACCATGGCCGAAATTGGCGCTCTATATGTTCAGAGACCGATCATTCAACGCCAGAACTCGTACGCCATGTACCATCCTTTTCTGGACGCTTTGGCGACTTTGGTGGTGGAATATCCTTACAAGGTTGTCAACGTGACAATATTCGACATCATTCTTTACTTCCTGGTCGGGCTGAAGCAAAAGCCTAGCGCCTTTTTCGTCTTGTGGTTGACCACCTATTTAGCCACCCTGGTCATGAGTGCCTGGTTTCGAACAATAGCCGCCTTAACCAATAGCCCTGAAGCTGCCATTGGTGGTGCGGGCATATTGGTGCTGTCCTACGCCATTTATACCGGATACACCATCCCCAAACCCAGCATGCACCCTTGGTTCAAGTGGATCACTTACATCAACCCACTCTCCTTCGCTTTCGAGGCTCTGATTGCCAACGAGTTTCACGATACAACCGCACTGTGCGACGTCCTGGTCCCCTCTGGGCCCGGGTATAGAAATGCATCTGCTGCTAACCAGGTTTGTGCCGTCACAGGCTCAAACCCGGGGCAGCGGTCTGTGAGCGGTGACGCCTACATTGGACTTTCATTCGACTATCACTTTTCGAATGTATGGAGAAATGTGGGAATACTGTGTGCTTTCTTTTGCGGCTTTGTTGTCGCACTTTCTGCGGCGACGGAGTTCAGAACTGCGTCGTCACAACATACTCGAGAACGCCTGTATTACCGAAAAGGACATGAGCCAGAGCAGATGAAGAGACGTTTGGGGAAAGGATCAAGGCTTACCGACGGAGGAGAAGGGCAAGACTCCGAGGAGGTCATCACAGAAATCCCATCACACTCATCCACAACCAAAGCACTTGTTACTTGTCAGAAAGTCCTGACGTGGAAGGACGTGACATACGACATCACACTGAATGACGGTTCCCGTTGCAGGCTACTTGATAATATCACGGGCTACGTGGAGCCGGGTACCCTCACGGCTTTGATGGGAGAATCCGGGGCTGGTAAAACAACGCTCCTCAGAGCTCTTGCTGCACGGCTTCGCGGTGGCACACTCAATGGAGAATGTCTTGTCAACGGCAAGCTTCCTGATCGGTCATTCCACCGGATGACTGGCTATGTACAGCAAGAGGATGTTCACCTCTCCTCGTCTACCGTGCGAGAAGCTCTCCAATTCTCGGCCAAGCTACGTCAACCAAGGGAAATACCTCTTTCAGAGAAGCTTGACTACGTGGAGAAGGTCATTCACATGATGGAGATGGAGGACTTTGCCGAAGCCATCATAGGCGTTCCCGGCAGCGGAGGTCTCAACATCGAACAGAGAAAACGAACCACTATCGCCGTTGAGCTGGTTGCAAGACCGGAGATACTACTGTTCTTGGATGAGCCAACGAGCGGGCTTGACTCCCTGGCAGCATGGTCTATCGTGCGACTGCTGAGGAAGCTTGCCGACTCTGGACAAGCCATCCTGTGCACAATCCACCAACCCTCATCAATGATATTTGAGCAATTTGATCATTTGCTCTTGCTTGCGAAGGGTGGGAAGCCAGTGTACTTTGGTGAGATCGGTCAACACTCCCAAACCATCCTCGAGTATTTTGAGAAGAAGAGTGGCGAACGCTGTCCCTCGGGTGGAAATCCTGCCGAGTTTATACTCGACGTTATTGGCGCGGCTATGAGCCCGAAAACGAAACAAGACTGGAATACGACATGGACGAGCTCTGACGAGTGCAGTGATATGGCTCAAGCGATGGAGAGCCTGCTTGGCCAACATGTAGACGATCACGACCAGCGGCCAGAAAAGCAAGAGCATGCGAACCACAGGACCACAAGCTCCGGGACTACTTTCGCTGAACCCTGGACTACTCAATACCTTGCGGTCCAATTAAGGCTTTTCGTGCATTATTGGAGGATCCCGCAATATGTTATGGGCAAGATTATGTTGAACGTCGTCGCCGGACTGTTTCTCGGGTTCACATTTTACAAAGAGGATAACTCAGTGCAGGGTCTTCAGAACAAGGCGAGTCTTCTTTGATGTCTTCCATCGCAGACCTACCCGTCCCTTTCGAGTGCTGACAATTGTGCAGTTATTTGCAGCTTTCACGTCAGCCATTCTGGGCATGCCGACGATGAATCAATTCCAACCACAGTTTTCCAGTCTGGCAAAGATGTTCACTGAGCGGGAAAATCCCTCAGGCACGTACCACTGGAGCGTCTTTGTCCTGGCAAACCTTGTGACGGAAATACTTTTCAACATATTGGCGGGCACACTATTTTTCTTCCCATGGTACTTCCCAATCGGCTTCTCGCGAGGCTGGATGGGCAGCACTGCAGGGGACGGAGGAAGAGGATTTTACATGTGGCTCCTTCTCATGACCTACGAAATGTGGATTTCCACCTTTGGCGTTGCCATTGCCTCTCTTGCGCCCAACCCTCAGACGGCAGCTGTTTTGACCACAGTCTTTGCCTCCTTCGTGGTCGCCTTCAACGGTGTACTGCAACCGCTCAGCCAGCTTCCTCGGTTCTGGCATTTTATGTACCATGCTTCACCATACACCTATCTCATGAGTGGATACATCTCCAACGCCATCCACGGCACCCGCGTTGTCTGCACTGCCCAGGAAATTAACGTCTTTCAACCGCCGCTGGGACAGACATGTATGGAATACGCCGGTGCATTCGTCCAGCAACAGTTCGGATACCTCCTAAATCCGGACGCCATGTCGAACTGCCAGTACTGTCGGTATTCAAGTGGTGACCAATACCTTGTCACCCGCAACATGGACTACGGCGATCGTTGGAGAAATTTCGGTCTCATGTGCGTGTACATAAGCTTCAACGCCGGCATAGCCTTTCCACTATTTTACCTTGCAAAGATTGCAACAGTCGACATGAGACGACTCATGTTGTGGAGATCGAGGCCCAAGAAATAGAGCATGTTGGATTTTCAAACGATTCTGCTTGTACCTCTACTCGACACGCTGGAATGTCTGCGGAAAATCATATCATGCCTGGATTCAGAAACATTCTTCCAGCCCTGGTCTCAATGAGGTGACGAGAAAAAGGGGAGGCAGCCTTGTCAAGGAGACAACTGGCACTATCTCGTATTGAACAACCACTGAGATACTTCCGAGGCTCTGCCATGCTTGACCTTGCTTTCAGAGCGCTCGGAATCAAGACAAGTGCATCCTTCCATCAAGTAGACAGCCTACCGAACGCCACGTGCTTGCTGACAGGAAATCGAGTCCGCGTGGTGGGAAGAACCGGCAAACCGAGGCCAGGAATGAACCGGAATCGAGCAGATTTGCATGCTGCCCGGCTGATACGTGGGAGACTGAAGTAACGTTGCTTCCAAATTTGGCATACGGCGGACGTGCTGGTGCACGAAGAGGACTTGCCTGAGGCCTGATAAGTGAGTCGTCGAAAGCTCTCCGACCTTGCCCGGCGACCAGCGAACCGGGTTGTCAAAGATATCACAGTTTCGACTCCTCTACCCCTTTGTCATCATCTGTGGTCAATCTCCTGTGAGGAATCCACGCAGTCTTCTGCAGGCATGAGAACCCGACCTCTGGCGTTGCAGTTGATCCCTATCTCACTCTTCCTTCGTGTATGTCCTGAACGACTGCTCGAACTGGAGCCGGACGGCCTGAAGTCCAGTCAGCGACACCACCCGAAAGATTACCGTGAGCTGCTGGCCCTTAGCTCCATATGTATGATGACTACGACGGGGCCCCCGTGAAGAGAAAAAGACGAGGACCGAAGGGATCGAGCTAGTACATCTGCACCCCGACTTTTCCCTTGGATTTTTTTGGGTTTTTGGTTCTACCCCGGACGGGGAGTCGGCAATACATTTACGCCTCCGGGCCATCTTCTCGAGGCCACCAGCCTGCTCTCGCTGAGCTCTCCGCTATGCGAGGACTGCACACCTATCTACTTACTGCACCCCTCTCTGTGAAAGCGAGTGTGTGTGATGTGAGGGGGAGGATAAACAATGAGACGGTAAGGTGAGGTGCAGCTCGTGAGACCGTGGGATCGGGTGAGGGAGGAAGGAAACCATACGTGCAGACACAGACAGATGTGGACCGACATTCCGACGCGAGGAAGCTCATCTGCGTTGGAAGCACGGGCTATATCAGCCCGACATGCGTGCAGCACAGCAGCTCTCGCCTCATGCAGACACGGGTTCAGGGAATCGATAGGTCTGGATCCAGTGGATTTGATTCCCTTTTGTCTATCTATCTATCTATCTACCACCCATAGAGTGATGTTGAAATGGGGTATCTCAAGAGTTAGTTCGTTGTTGAAAGTCGTCAAACAAAAAAAAAGGGCAAGGCAGGCCACGCGTGCATACTGTACTGTAAATCCCGTTCGTTCGTTCGGTCTTTTTGGTTGTTTAAGCTGGCGCCACGCCATGCCACGCCAATCTAGAACAGCCCATCTATCTCGCCCGTCTCGGGGTCCACATCAACGTTCAAATATCCCGGCGCTGTCGGGAGACCAGGAATGGTCTGGATGTCCGCGGCCAGTGCGTACAGGTACCCTGCGCCGACGGCCAATCTGACGTCCCGGATCGGGACCGTGAAGCCCGTGGGCGCGCCCTTGAGGGCCGGGTCGTGGCTCAGCGAGTACTGAGTCTTTGCGATGCAGATGGGCAGGTTCCCAAAGCCCTGTCTAGTGTACATGTCGACCTTTTTCTGGGCCAGCTCGCTAAACTCGACCGCTCCGGCCCCGTACATCTCCTTTCCAATCTTCTCGATGCGCTCCTGCACGGTACCCTCCAGATCGTAGAGGAATTTGAAGGACTTGGGCTTCGACGAAGCCTCGATCACGGCCTTGGCCAGGTCGACGGCACCGGCACCCCCTTCCGCCCAGTGGTTGGCGGGGACCGCTGCTTCCGCACCGGCGGCCAGGGCTTCCTCTTCAATCACTTTGAGCTCGGCTTCGGTGTCGGTGTCGAACTTGTTGATCGCCACTACCACGGGGATGCCGTAGGACTTGGCATTGGCAATGTGCTTCTTGAGATTGACGCAGCCCGCGCGCAACATCTCCGTGTTTTCGGTGCGGTATGCTTCTGGGAGCGCAGATCCGACAATCTCGGGACCGCCGCCGTGGACCTTCAGTGCTCGAATGGTGGCCACCACGACAACGACATCAGGAACAAGACCGGAGTTTCGGCATTTGATATTGAAAAACCGTTCGCCGCCCATGGTAAAATCAAAGCCCGCTTCGGTGACAACAAAGCCAGCCTTGGCTTCGTGATCTTCATCGGGTTCCGTTCCTGCAAGCTTGAGTGCCAGCTTGTCAGCGAGAATAGAGCTGTTGCCGATGCTGATGTTTGCGAACGGCCCAGCATGGACAAAAACGGGGGTTCCCTCCAAACTCTGCATGAGATTAGGCTTGATAGCATCCTTCATGAGAGCGGTGAGGGCACCACCGGCGCCAATGTCATCACAAGTAACAGGGTCTCCCGCCTTCGAAGACCCAATCACTATTCGACCAAGCCGCTCCCGCATGTCTCGCAGGTCGTTGCTCAGTGCCAGGATGGCCATGCACTCGCTGGCAACAGAAATGTCGAAGGCTGTCTGTCTACTGTGGCCCTTCTCGGTGGGAGCCTGACCGATGGTGATGCCTCGCAGAAGACGGTCGTTGACATCCAGGACTCGCCTCCAAGTGATGGTCTCGGGATCAATGTCGAGCCGTGCAAACCGCCTGATCTCGTCCTCGGTCAGGTCGTCGGGGTTCGTTTTGTCTATCCCTAGCTTCTTCAGTCTCCGAAGCATGACCGGGGCGAACTCGCGCTTGCCCTTCTTGCTGGGCACCAGCCTTTTGTACAATGGCCCATCCTTCTGTGTAGATTCGTGAAACATGCGTGTGTCAATGGCGGCAGCCAGCAGGTTATTTGCGGCTGTGATGGCGTGGATGTCACCCGTCAGATGAAGGTTGAATTCGTCCATGGGGATGACCTGACTATAGCCACCACCTGCAGCACCACCCTTGATGCCAAAGGTCGGTCCCATGCTTGGCTGTCGGACATTGGCAAATGCTACTTTTCCCAAGTGAGCCCCCAAGGCCTGCGTAAGACCCATGGTCGTGGTGGATTTGCCTTCTCCCAGTGGCGTTGGAGTAATACCACTAACCAGGATATATTTTCCATCCCTCCGATGTGCCAGCCTGGAAAGAACGGACAGGTCCACTTTGGCTTTGTGGGCACCATACGGTTCCAATTCGTGAGGGGCGATGCCAATGTCAGAGGCAATTTGAGTGATGTGCCGGGGATGCTGCGATCTTGAAACTTCAATGTCTGACGGCACGGGCTTGACAAGCTTGAGCGGTAAAGGAGTGACGTGTCTTGCTTTCAGTCTCTCAAAGTAAGCCGAAGCGGCATCGACGACGTTCTGCATGAGCATGGCAACTGTCATCGGGCCAACACCACCAGGGACCGGGGTGATCTGAGAAGCAACCTGAACAGCCGACTCGAATTCAACGTCTCCGACAAGGCGCTGTCCCGAGCTCCTGGACGGATCCGAGATGTAGTTTGTGCCCACGTCGATGACCACCGCTCCTGGCTTCAACCAGTCACCTTTGACGAATGCTGGCTGTCCAATGGCGGCAACCAAGATATCAGCTTGCTTGACCACATCCGCGATGTTTTGGGTTTTGGAATGGCAGACTATGACCGTCGCATCGGCATTCTTCAGAAGGTAGCTGACCGGACTGCCCACGATATCACTACGACCGAGGACAACGGCCGTTTTGCCCCGAGGATCGACACCACTCTCTTGCAACAACACCATGACTCCCTTCGGAGTGCAGGGTACGAAGAAAGGTTTACCGCCGCGTTTTGCGAGCTCTCCAATGTTTGTCGCTCCAAACCCATCCACATCCTTTTCGTCCACGACGGCAGACGTGATGGTATGCTCTGAGAGATGTTTGGGGATAGGTAGCTGGACGAGAATCCCATGGACAGCAGGATCATTGTTGAAGTCAATGATCTGCTGCAAGAGTTCGGGTTCGGAAATGGAGTCTGGAAGATGAACCAGGGCACAATCAATACCCGCTTCCTCTGCTGCCTTCAGCTTCATCCGCACATAGGTAGTCGAATCAGGCCGATCACCGACTTGGATGATTTTCAAACAAGGCTTGTACCGCGGATTGACACTCTGTTTGTCGCGGACCTCGGTTGCCAGGCGTTCTCTGATCTTCTGGGCAATGGCTTTCCCATCGATCTTTGTAGCCCCCATCTTCTTTTGTGCTGAACTTGAGAAAGACCGTGAGTGTAGCGACGGTGAGGGCAGAAGAGGTTCGGCTCGTGTGACCCCGGTGGTGGAGGAGATGAGCGGCGTGAATTGGCCCAGCGTCGTGGAGACTGTTCTGGAGCAGGCAAGTGATTCTTGAGAGCACCGAGCACCTCTGCTGGCCAGGCTGGCTCCAGAGGCAGCCCTGATCGCAGTCGGGCTTATGGGAGACGAGAGTTGAGAGGGTAAAGTCGGAAGGCGGAGAGAAGAACTATTGGAGAAAATTGAGTGACGGAGAATGGCACGACCTGCCAATATTATATGATCTGGACGCGTCGCACTAGATAATCTGCTGGCCATGTCAGAGCCCCCCTCCCTCAGCTCCGTGGAAAACTCGTCTCAGGTGACCCAGGAACAGAGCTATCCCTGGTCTTTGAGTATATCTATCATTGTAAGAGCCGGCTAAAGGTTGAGACGATGTTTTCGAGCAATCCGTCACATAGAATTTTTCGAGGAGCCATGAGTCATGCCGGGGGGATTGCATGACTCGTGGGGATTCCGAGCTTGGCGGGTTTGCAGTTGCCAGTAAAGCGGCGGGAAAACTGCTCGTCGCTGAGAGCTCTTTGGGGACTCACCATATCTACCCAGCCAGATATTATCGTTATTAACCTTAGAATATTATGTCTTACTCTTTTGGTGGATAGTCGAAGAGTTTCCGTCTCCCCTGTGGTCAGTCCTCTCGAAGACTAACGCAGGTACAAGCGAAGAGAAGTAAGATCAACACGGGAGGAGGGGACTAGAACTGACACAAAATCTACACGGAGATGCGAAGGAAAGGGAGAGTGCCATTAGAAATGCTAGAACTAATAACAGGTTATCCAGAGACAACATCCGGATCAGAATGTAGCCTACGTTTCTGATTCCCTTTGCAATGTAAAGGGCTCGGAAACTAGCTTCTGGGCCGACAGAACCGGAGACAACAAAACTTTGGCTGGAGTTGATAAGAGCAATTAATGGTCACAACGACTGACTGACCGACCACAGACTCGCATCAGTTACAGTTCAACCAATTACAGTCATTCCCTCCTCCTCTTAGAGCAGGCATCACATTTCCAGAACAACAAAACAATGTCGGTGGAGAATCTGTTTCCAGGAGTCGCCCTGGTGACTGGTGCTGCTCAAGGTATGAAAAAGACGGCATTCTTTGGATATACTGCATATACCAAATTCATATCAAGTTACTTGTGACCTCTTTTTATATATCTATTGGTTCCAGAAGCAACAGCCAGCTCAAAACTAACAATACAATCTCTCTCCCCTTTTCAGGCATCGGCGCCGGCGTCGCGAGAGGGTTTGCATCTGCAGGATGCCGCCGAATCGCCATGACCGACCACAACGCTGCCGCCCTGCACCAGACCGCGGCCGAGATCGTCAAACTGTACCCAGAGACCCAGATGCTGGCCATCCCAGGCGACATCTCGTCCGAGTCGTTCGTCGAGTCGTTCGTCACGGCGGTCGTCGACAAGTTCGGCCGCCTCGACTACTGCGTCAACAATGCCGGCATCATCGGCCGCAGCGCGGACACGCTCGGCACCACCCCGCAGGACTTTGACGCCGTCAACGCGGTGAATTACCGGGGCTGTTTCCTCTGCTGTCGTGCAGAGCTTAAGGTCATGACCCGCCAAGAACCGCTGCCCTCGCATGATCCGGACCGCACACCTCAGCGCGGGAGCATCGTCAACACGGCGAGTCAACTGGGTCTGGTCGGCAGAAAGTGTGCTCGTAAGCTCTCTTCACCTTTTCCCCTCCTTTCTCTCTCTCTTCTCGAACCCCTCTATCAAAGCAAGCAAGCAAGCAACCCGAGAGGTCTAATGTGCGCAATGCAATTTACCGAAATAGCCGCCTACACCGCGTCGAAAGCCGCTGTGATCGCCCTGACCCGTGCCGACGCGATTGACTACGCCACGAAGGGGATCCGCGTGAATTGCGTCTGCCCGGGGCTCATCGACACACCCATGACCCGCGGCGACGAGGAGTTCAACCAGATCGTGGCCGGCCAGGTGACGTCCACACCCATCGAGCGCATGGGGAAAGTGTCCGAGGTGGTTGACTGTGTGCTGTTCCTGTCCTCTACCAAGGCGTCTTTTGTGCTCGGCCATGCCATGGTCGTCGATGGGGGGTATGTGATAGTATAGTACTGGCTAGTCCGGAGGATTAGTCAATGTATGGAACCAAACCAATATATCATATCCATATGGTATCGGAAATGCGCAAAAAACATGTGAAAACGATTTACTGCTTTGCGGGCAGGGCAAGCTTGCTTCCGGTCTTCTGTCAATTGCCGTGGAGCAGGCATATCTATATTCGTTATATACACGTGCTGTATGTACGTACTAATGTGCAAGTACAGGGTGCACAGTACCAGTACCAATATCTTGACGTGTACAGCTGCTTGAAATACATCCAACTATTCCCACTGGCTATCCTAGTCGTCCCTTCGGGCAGCCACATCATCCCGTTCAAACGGAGCCAGAGTTATCGGCGCAGGAAAAGGCGGAGCCTAGATGGTACGCAATTCACATTAGCCGAGGAGAGAGTTCTTCACCACCTGCGACAGGGTGAAAAGAGCAATCCATGGGACTGGACTCACCGATGATTCCCGCGGCGTACGCATCCTTGATTTGCACCACTGTCCCATAGGTCCCGCCGACCAGCATGAGGCCTCCGATCAGGACGAGAACGACGTGGGCCACATAAGCAGACCTCTGGAAGATGGTGCCGGTGAGGAACGACTTGTTGTCATACAGCCAAAACCACCCCGGCAGGATGATAGCCATGGGCGCAAAACAGACGGATCCTTCCAGAGCGATCAAGTAGTTGAAGATGGGAACGGCTTCGGCCAGAATGAAGGCAATGCTGCCAAGGGAGATGGTGCAGCCACTGGCAGACATACTTTGGGTGAGTATGGATTTCACAGGGGGGTTAGACAATAGCCGGGGGGAGACTCACAACCAAACACTCCAGTGCACGACAGAGTTTGTCTGCAAGTGCCTGGAATCTCGAAGAATTCGAACAAAGAGATTTTTAGCCGCAAGCTGGGGGCGTGGGTTGGGTCAGTATGGTTCACTCTCAAAAGGTATAGCTCGAGGTAGAGATGAAATACTCACATGAAGGAAAAGGCAGGCGCTAACACTCAAACCGATGATGCCCACACCATAAGCAACCTTTTTAATAGTCGGTCCGGCGCTCTAAAATGTGGGGAGATATATAGTCAGAATGCGGGTTCACGTATTCGTAAACGGAGCGCATAGAGAGATCTCTTACCCCGAGCGAGGGACTGGCCACCCACTGGCCACAGTAGGCGTACACCACCAGGGAGAAGGTCAAGTAGCACGCGTTGAGGAAGACCGAGGCCCAGATTAGGGCCTTCTTGTACTCCTTAGGTCGACGCATTTCTGCAATGACGGGTAAGAAGCCAGAGGCACCAGCGGACGAGACGAAAATGGTCGCCGAGGCCGTGATGCCAGCGACGAATGTCGGATACGCAACTGCTTTGAATCCCAGCTCGTAATCGCCTTCCTTTGGTGCAGCCGCTGGACGATCCAAAGTCGTAACGCCGACACTGGTTGGTTGAATGGGGTCAGAATGCAAGGTGATCTGCCACGTAGGAGAGGCGATGGCTTACACCACAATGAAGACAGCCACGAAAATGGATATCATTCCGACCCAGGACAGCCATCCGATCTTGGACAATCTGCGAAGACTGGCTGTAGCCACCGTGATGATCATGCCCACGAATCCGAACCAGACGGAGCAGGCGCCGTGGGTGGAGAGCGCATTCAGCGCGATGGACACTCCGAGAATTCCGGCACCGGCGCACAACACCCACCTAGATACCAGTTTCCCATGTCAGTTTAGTCCAGGTTAAGGAATACAGAATAAATGCACTCACGCCACAATGAAGAGGGCATCGGTGAGTTCACGTGCTGTGGCCCCTCCCACCACATTGGCCATATCTGCGAGACTGTAGCACGCCGGATGATTCTTGCGGAAGTTGCCCAGGATGATGGCGGTGTCTAGGCACATGGTACAGTGAGCTTCGATCTTGTTTGACTCGCTTTGAGCCCCGAGAGAAAGACTCACAGAAGTTGAGGGCGCCCCACGCAATGATGGAGAGTGCCCCTCCAACGGCCCCTATTACACTCCAGTGTCAATTCTTCTGGATTCCCATAAGCAGCAAAATACGAGTGCTACCGACCCAGAGCGTTCACGGCAACAGGAAGACTGAGAACTCCAGTGGAAAATTGAACTATGGGTGAAGTTAGAACATGCCCTTCTTGTTCGTGCATCGGGGGTCTCCAAATACTCTTGAGAAAGATGACAGCAGCTCGTTTCCATTCAACACTTCGGAAGTTGACGGCTCCATCTGCGACCTTGAACGTCTCCAGGTCGTCGACGGTCCCCGCTGTCTTTTCACCATATTGGTCTTGGATGGAGTCTGCCGACTGATGCTCCCCGATCTCAGGTTCGGGCATTTTATTGACGCTGTCAGTCATGGTGACGAGGTGGCCAGAGCAGGGATGAGAATAACGAAAGATAGATGGATGTACCAGGTGGTTATGGATGATGTTCTTCCCATCTCAGAGCGCCGGGGTCATCAAGTCTGATCTATGTCCTTGTATTCTATGCGCACCACAGCCTTGGGGAGATCGGCTGGTGGACAAGTTGCCGACCGCATCGGGAACCTTGCATCCTGCCGATAGCTGGATATGGTGATATGGGTGGCTATCAGACCCACAGGCTCAGCCATTGCCTCGGGCTTGTTAAGCGAACGGCTCACCTGGCCAGTCTGCTCCACTGCGGCTTGATGACTGGTATTTTGGGCTTCACTAGCTCTTGGTGAGTTCGTACTATGCAGTAATAAGTGAATGCTGGGGAGTGGTCGAAGTGGATCCGCCGACAAGGTCACGTGCAGTCACGTGCACTTGCCCTCCACCTCGACGGCGCTTTCAACTCCTCCATCATCGTTACTTGCAGTCACATTTTCTATCGAGTTACAGGCCCCTCAACCCTTCATGATCCAGTCGACTCCTAGGCCCCCTTGTACATGTGCGTAGGGAGGGCACAATGATCGCTCGGAAGCCGGCTTCACTCTCCGCCATCCCAACTAGTCTCCCTTTCATCAACCCGAACTCGGATCCACTCACTGATAAGAGTCTGGACTTTTGCGTCGTCCACCTCGGCCCCGATAACACGGGTGGGAGAGACATAGAGAACTACGTTGCCGTACCATAGTCTCTGGCGGGCCGGTCACGTATTGATGGCTTAATGTCATGTAGCCCTATCTTATGGCATAGCTAGTTTTCTTTCTCTTCAATCGATCCAATCGAGTCTAACAAACCAGAGACACCCCCCAGCTACTGTCGATGTAGGATCAAGACGAGTAAGGCACGAGCTACTATGGATGTCATCCCACTAACGGGCCCGAAACGCCCACGAGAGCCAAGGGTTGTTGTCGCTTGTCAGAGATGTAAGTCTCGCAAGCAGAAGGTGAGCGTTCGTTGGTCAACCAGTCAAGGCATCGTCCTTCACGTGGGTGTATATCTGACACGCATCTTGCAAGTGCAATGGCGAGTTCCCGAGCTGTGCGAAGTGTGCCTCGCTCGGGATCGCCTGCGAGTACAAAATCCCAGACAAGCCCATGCCGTTCGGGAAAAACCAATACATCCGATGTCTGGAGCAACGCATCGCCGACCTCGAGGCGTACATTCAACAAAAGGGGTTTCACGAATCTGAGATCCCTGTGACTCCATTCTCAGTCCAGTCCAGAAAGTATGTGCTGGAAGATCATCAACCAGGCCAAGAAACGCCCGAGGGTCTGGATGAGACACCCGAACCGTTGGTCGAAAAGCGCAAACTGGAAGATGACACTCGTGGGGTCGATTCCATGACCGACCTCCTCCGGGACCTCTCGCTCGACGCCAACGGAGGTTACATTGGTGCTTCGTCGTACATTTCCATCGGAAGGCTCATCGGTGACATTGTCCAGGAGCCCAGGGCACCCCAAAGTCAGTCACGATCCCCGTCCAAAAAGGCAAGGAAAGCGGCCTTCCCGCCTCAGGAAGCCCTGGCTCCCATCGCAAGGGGTCCCCTCAAGACGCAAAACTTGGCGGCCTTCGACTCTGCCGTTCTCGACCAGTTGCTCAACGGCTACATGAAATACGTGGCCACTCACTGGCCGGTCTTGCATTCCACCTGGATCCGAGAAGTGCATGCGAAGCGAAATAGCAACCTCGACAACTATGAGTATACGATGCTGCACTTGGTGTATGCTGTTGCAGGCCAGTTCCTCCACACAACGGGTCCCGTGGGAAATCTCCAGCCCGAGCGACACTACGCACTGGCCCACGAGCACGTCGATGAACTGTTGCAATATCGAGATATCCGGTCCGTCCAGGCCCTCATGCTCTTGGCCATCTACTCGCTGCGAACGTCTGCCGGTGTCGGTGCCTGGGCATATTGTCGCCTGGCCTTGTTGATCGCCATTGACCTGGGCCTTCACCGCAAAGGCAAACCCGATACGTGGCGAACCATCGACGATGAAATGAGAAAACGCATCTTTTGGTCGTGTTACGCCTTTGACGTCCAAGTGTCCATGCCACTGGGCCGACCCACAGGAATATCCGACCGAGATATTGACATTCCTCTTCCGCTGGAAGTTGAGGAACACGTCTCAGACCCAGAGTTGCTGGCCAAAGCAAACGGTGCAGAACCCACCCGTGCTCCAGATACGGGGACACCCATGTCGGCTTTCAATCACATCGTGCGGCTCCGTAAGATCGAGTCGGAAGTCCAGCAGACCGTGTATCGCGTCGACCGTTCCGAGCAGACCCCCACGGAGGAGGTGGAAAGAATTCTGGCCAAGCTGGGACGTTGGCAAACGCTGATCCCGCGGGATGCATACACCGCGACCGACCAAGAAAATGTTCCGTTTGATGGAGTTGACTACTATGTACAGAAACCTCCCACTCCTCGCTGACGAAAGCATGACTGGCCCAACTAATACTTGACACGCAGATGATCTTCTTCTGGAAATGTGTCCGCCTTCTTCTCTACCCCCAGATCGCTGGCTTCGGTTCCAACCCGAGATATCTGAAACCCTGCGCCACGGCGTGCGGCAACCTCTGCCAAACCTACAAACGACTGCACCAGTCCATGTCAATCGCGTACTCGATGATGTCCCTCCAAAGTGTCTTTATGGCCGGTGGGTTGCATTCCTCCTCGTTGTTGATGCACTGTCTGACTTGTCATGGGCTGTAGGCATTACGCTGGTGTATTGCGTCTGGGCCTCACCCCAGGAATTCTCCATGGCCTCGGTCAACGACGACGTCTCGGCGTGTAGTGTTGTGCTGTTCGTGATGGTGGAACGGCTCCGCACCGTGACGGCCAAGAAATACCGGGACGCCTTTGAACTTGTGCGGCACAAGGTGCTGGACCACGTCGGCCGTAACGCACAGCACGTCCCGCGCCAACAGATCGCGACGTTGAACAACGACGACGACTTTCAGTCCACGATTCGTCAGTTGGGGGAGGAGCACGATGATGATGACGCTGACGGATGCCTGCTGAACTTCACACATATTCTCACTGAGATTGCTGGAGAACAATTCAATCACAATGGTGGTGGTTCTGATCGCCCGAGCCACCATAACCAACACCAACAACCACCGCAACAGCAATCTCTTCCTCTTCCTCCTCCTGGACTGACTCCATCCAAGATTGGCGTGTCCCATGTTAGACAGCAGCAGCAGACCGTCGAGATCGTGGAACAGACACAGACATACAATAACAACAACAACGACAACAACAGACCAACGGACTCGTCGCCATCATCGCATTCGCATTCGCACTTAATTGCGTTCTCGGAAACAAACTTTCTGGAAGACGATGACGACGACGACTTGAACAATTGGGGCTTGATCGAGGGCATGACCCACACGTCGCCCGGGTTAGATACGTATCTTCGGCAGCTGTGTGAGTGAGTGAATGAGTGAATGAGTGGATGAATGATCGACACTGCAAAGCACGATGCCGCTGTTCTATATCTAGATGCACGCTGTCTATGTCTATTCGGGGGTTTCCTCCCCTAGTTGATGTATGCATGTGCACAACGGTACTCATCATATGCAGGGCCATCACCACCTGTATTGCCGCTATATTGTGCCGCTCTCCTCCCTCCCTCCCTCCCTCCCTTCCTTCCTTCAAGAGAAGACGGATAGATAGATAGGACGGAACAGGATAGAATAGATCATGACCCGATGAACTTCGGCGTCGTCCGACCCTTGACCACGCATTCAAACCCATACGCCAGGTCCAGCAACACCTGCTCGGAGAACTGGCGGCCAAGCATCTCGATCCCGACAGGCAACCCTCCTTCGCCCTCGCCCGACGACGACGTCGTCCTTGTGCTGCCCGCTGGAACTGTGATGGCCGGCAATGACGCCTGCGCCGCGAGAAAGGTGTTGGTCGGCAGGACGAAGGTCTCCAAAGACCCGGCCAGCGCCTGTGCGTGCTTGACCGCGGGGATCTGTGCCACCGGGTAGACCAGCGCCGCCAGCGATTCGCGCTCCATGGCCTCGAGAAGGACCTGTTGTAGGGGTCCGAGATCGTGCGCGGGCGTGGGGGTTGGGCCCCCTTCCTCCGGGAGAATCTGGCTGCCAGCGGGGGAAATGGAGGCGATGGTTCGGATCAGGTCGCACGCGGGATGGAAGAGATGATCCGAGACCAGCTTCGAACAGGTCATCCCTCGAAGCGCGGGTCTCTGGGCCATGAAGCCGTCGAGCGCCGCGCGGGACGTCTCGTACAGCCCCGGCGTGAGGTTGAGCTTGTCGTTGAGTGTGGGGAGATTGACGGGCACCAACGTACAGCCTGCTTGTTGGACCTTGTCGAGCGCGGTCCAGAGGACCCGGTTCACGTCGCGACTGGGCGGATCGGCGTCGTCGCCAAAGGCCGACGTCAAGACCCCTAACCGTGCATGCCGCAAGCGCTGTGCGTCGAGGTGGCTCGCGTAGCCTTGAGCAAGCGGTGCTCTCTGCTCGGAAATGACGTCCAGCATGATGGCCGCGTCCTTGACCGATCGTGCCATGGGCCCGGCCGAGTCAAACGCCCCGATCAGAGGGGAGGCTCCAGAACAGTCGACCAGGCCCGGCGTGCATTTCAACCCGACCAAGCTGCACCACGAGCACGGCAGTCTGATCGACCCGGCCGTGTCGCCCCCAACGCCCACAACGGCCAGACTGGCTGCCACGGCGGCTGCGGTGCCGCTGCTCGAGCCTCCGGTATCTCTTGACAGATCGTACGGGTTGCGGGTGATCCCAGAAACCGAGGAAGTGGAATAGAAGGATGTCGCCCAGTCTGCAACTCATTATCAATCAGTCTTGCCGAGCGGGTAGCTGGCTGCGGAGGCCCAAGCAAGGGATGTGGGTGAGTAACCAACGTACCGGGCATGGTGGTTTTGGCCAGAATGAGGGCACCTGCTTCCTTCAGTCTTCTGACCACCTCTGCATCCCGGTCCGGGACATTGTCCGACGCCGTCACAGATCCATAGCTCGTGCGCAACCCGGCCGTGTCGAATTGGTCCTTGACGACCACGGGGATGCCGTGAAGGGGACCGACGAAGCGAGACGTCTTCGCAAACACAGCGTCGAGCTCTTCTGCTTCCCGCAGCACCGTGGGCGACACGGTGACGATGCTGTTCAGCTTGGGTCCGTCCTGATCGAGGGCCCGGATCCGCGTCAGGAAGCCCTCGACCAGAGACCGACTCGTGTACGCACGGCGCAGGTAGTTGACGTGGACTTGGTCGATCGAGAGTTCTTCCACGTCGGGAACCTGGAAGCAGGCAGGAGCAGGAGCAGTGGGGAATGTCTCAAGGTTCGTTGCGCTATCGTCGCCTTCAGGGGCGAGAGGGATGATCAATGGCATGTCCAGAGTTTCGACAATGCTGTCCATCGTTTGCGCCATGACTCCAAGGACCAGTCACCCGCTCGCTCGATTCGGGATAGGAGGTGATAAGGTAGAAGGCACGTATAGGCTGGGGGAAGTGCTTTTGTTGGCCCATTTTCTTTCTTCGCCTTCTCGCCTTTCTCAGAGGCTTTCTCATCGTCGTCACGAAGTCGGAGACTCGACGTTGGTCCGGCCATGAGAGACAGAGCATTCTGCCCATGGCTTGTCGGCCTGGTGCACTGTTTCCGCGCCAAGTCCGAAGCATGGTGGCGCTTGGACACTGTTGAGTCTTGTCCCGAGAGACGCGGAGCCGTTCATCTTGTCTCAGTCGTCAGCGACCAATCACAAAATCGCAGAGATAACACTCCTAGCGAGCAGAACAGTGGGTCCATATAGGACCAACTAGGCAGTGAGAAGACAACCCTCCATCCATACTAACTCCAAGTAGAGTGGAGAATGGGTGAAGTTGTGGGTCTTGTAGGCAGCTAGTCGTCTTTCCGATCCCTCGGTTCTTCCGAGATAAGGATACGATGGAGAACAGCACGCAGGTATAGGAATCGAACGAGTCAGCAGCATGGCATTTGGGACCATAAAGATATCGGAGCGACATCTTTGGAAGAACCTGCCGTCTTGGTGGTGACTTTGTCGTAAAACCCACATTCTCGAAGAAGAACGATGGCGTTGCTGATACCCCCGATGATGGCGGAACTGGCCATCACAACTCCCAAGTATTTGGTCCTGGGGATCTTGTTGCTGGGCATCATTCTCTCCGTTGCCTGGGTACGTGGTGAAGAAGCCGACTTTAGCACTCTTTGCGTTAGTCCACGACAGGACTGACATTGTGCCAGAAACATCTCCAGAACGACAGGTCCCATGCCAGCCTTGAAGGCATCTCGGAGGCGCCTGGGGCCTTGCCGGTGATAGGACATCTACACCTGTTGGGTGGACGACGTGGGGAGAACGATGCCACCATGTATTCCCGGTGGGCACGGGCGACCAAGTCGGACCTGATCTCCTGCCGGATCGGCGACCAGGTGACGGTTGTGGTCAACACGTTCACGGCGGTGCGGGAGCTGTGGGTGAACCAATCTCCCGCCCTGGTTGACCGGCCCGCCCAGCCGGGCTTCCTGGACAAGGTCGGCGTCGACATCACCGGATCATCGCTCACCGACCAGATCCGGCGGTGTCGGGCGGCGTCCCTCAAGGCCCTAGGCAAGAGCATGTGGCCGGAATACTATCGACTCCTGGAACCGTCGTCCGAGGGGCTGGTGTTCTCCCTCCTGGCCGCCGACTCGGGCCTCATCAATCTCTACCCGAAGCTGCGTACCGTCATCTTCGACCTGGGCCTGTCGCTGACGTACGGCGTGCGGTATGGCCAGTTCGACGAGGCCTTCATGGACTCGTTTCTGCAATCGATCCTCGACATCACCGCCGTACGGGCGTCGACAGCCAATTTCCGCCACTATATCAAGTTCTTACGCTGGCTGCCAGAGTGGTCGAGCACCAAAAAGACAGCCGAGGCGGCAGTCCAAGTGCGCGCCGCCCACGTTCACCAGATCTACAACGCCTACCTGGATCGCGTCCGGGAGGAAGGCCACGTCAACTGCGTCGTCTCGTCTCTGGGATCCGACAAGCTCTCTGAGGAGGAGATCCACGGCACGTGTCTGTCCTTGCTTCAGGCCGCTCCTGACACCATCGCCACGGGCATCTATCAGTGCGTCGCCTGGCTCGCTTCTCCAGAAGGAATTGGCTTCCAGTCCACAATGTATCAGGCCATCTTGGACGTGTACGGGGGGGACCGCGACCTGGCCTGGTCCATGGCGTTTCGGGAGGAGAAAGTGCCCCTGGTCACATCTCTGTACAAAGAAGGCCTTCGCTTCTTCACCGTCACGCCGTACAGCGCGCCACGCCAGACGACCAAGGATGTGCAGTACAAGTCTGCCAAGATCCCCCGCGGCACCGCCGTCTACATGAACGCGCAACAGGCCAACCACGACCCGGCCCACTACGGCGCCGACGCCTGGTCGTTCAACCCGACACGCTTTCTCGGCGATACCTCGCCCTTGCCACATGTGTCCTTCGGCGCGGGCGGCCGGATTTGCCCCGCCATGGCCTTGAGTAACCGTCTCATGTCCGCGTTTTTGGTCCGTCTGACGCTGGCCTTTGAGATGAGACTGGCGGACCCCAAGGTCGATAAGAACGCGAGGTTCCCCGTCATCGATGGCGTTCGTTTCTCAGACGTCCTCGACGAACTGGTCGCTGCGCCTCGGATGTACGACTGCCGCTTCATTCCTCGGGACCCCGCTTGGTTGACTGAACTCTCAATGAAAGCGAAGGCCCCATGAAGAGCGCGGGTGGCCAGTGCTGGATGCTGCTAGGGTAGTATCCGCGCTGAGAACCCGTGTATATCGTATTTCTCTTTAGAGACCTCGAAAAAAAGGACTGATATAAATTCCCACCGATTTCGCCCACTGTCCAGCACCGTGGTGGTGATATCTGACTGAGTCGATTGATACTGGTAGATTTGTCATGGCTGCCATGGCCTGACAGTGAGTCTGTGGGGAGTACGGAGCGTTGTTGTCACCTGAGGATATCGAAAACACTGATATCCGTGGCAATCTCACAGTAGAACAGGCACAAAGCCATGGAGAAGGCTGGGGACAGATACATAATGGAGGAGTAGCTTGGGGCGCTGGTTTTGCTGTCGTCGGCCCTTCCAGGACAAAGACTCGGGGCAGATCCTGTTGATGCACTCAGTACTTACATCTCCAAACACGGATGATTGCAGAGAACGAGATGTTGCAGTGCCAAAATCTATATGTACATGTATAACTAACGAGTTATATAGTTATATATCGATGTGGGTAAATGTGTCCTTGTCTCGATTGACTCATGCGCGGAGCGTGGCATGACTCGCGGAGATCCAAGCTTGGCATCAAAGGCTAAACTCGGCCAGGCTGTGGCCCCTATTCTATCACCACTGACACTGGAGTGCCAATAAAGATCTGGAATTGGCGACGGCGACGTCCTCGGCCCATGTGTCTTGGAAGATCAATTCCCGTAGGGCTCCAACACCTTCTGTTGCAGAGGACAAAACGCCATAAGATATAGATAATGGGCTGGATTATGTATATTGGACGTATCTCGTACCACAGCGAATGTTCGCCGCAAAAAGAGAAGACTCCTAATGGAACAGAGGATTTTATCTGTGATTCCTCTCGACACCCTGCCTGTGACATCGATTAGTAGATCCACTATTGCTTGAAATCAAGCGACACGCTCACTTCTGGAGACAATCTTGACAAAACTCTCGTCACGCCCCGTGTCCACGGAGGGCTCAGGTTCCAAACGATTACATGGCCAAACTTTGTTTGGCAAGCCGCATATAGTCGCCTATTGAGATGCCTGAGCTCTTGATATAGCTTGCTGCTTGGGCTATATCAACCGGGTGGCCCGTCAGCATTTCAGACATCTTGATGGCCGCGTCCATGGAATCGTTGTCTTCGCAGAGAGTTTTCAAGAGCCGAGCTCCTTCCAAGGGCTTCAGTGGTTCCACTGGTATCATTAAAGACCTAGGTATCTTGACTTGACGGTTTCGAGATGTGATGATTATAGCACCATGTGTGTTTTCGGGTATCAATGACATCACAGCATCCGCGGAACCAACTTCGTCAAAGACTAGAAGCCAAGTTGTGTCTAAACAACCGGTCAGCGGACTTACAGCGAGAAGTATGAGAGGCTGAGGCGCGCTATACCTGTGCTTGAGAGCCATTCTCGTACTCGTTCAACCATGGCATCGTCTCCTGTTCTAATCCCTATGGCACGAGCCATGGAATAGAGCCCCTCTGAAAGTCGGATTCTGGACTCTGCATTTATCCAGAATATGGACGAGTACATATTTGACTGCCTATAGATGTACTCGAGGGCAATTTGCGTCTTTCCGATACCTGGTGGTCCATACAGAACACACGAACTGCCTTCGCCAAGTGGCTTTGGAAGCAGATGGTTCGACATCTGCTCCAATATCGGCTCTCGTCCGCAAAAACCAGTGTTTCGGGCTGGAGCATTGACAAGTTTAAGTGACCTCGATTCCTTAATTGGGGCATGTGAAGGGGCTGGAGAGTGCGACTCAATGATTGCCAAAGCACAACGTCGTAGTGACTCCCGAGCCTCGGCTCCGCGGAGGTATCGGTAAGTATGAGCTTTAATCTCGTCGATCGCGGTCCAGTCGTCGAGGGCAATGTCTCGTGAATATTGTGCAGCATCGAATCGGAAATAAGAAATACGGTTCGAGGATGCGGCAAAATGTGAAACAATACGATGGGCTTCTTCGGTGTCCGTAGCGACGTCTCGCAAAAGTCTGACCAAAGACCGTAAAGAAGAAGTTGGGTAACTGGGTTCAAATGGTCTGCGCCCCGAGCCAATGCTCACCAAACATATGTTGCCATCCGGCTCTCTGCTGATAACTTCATTCAGCGATAGTACCGACGGGTTGTTTGTTGATATGCCGCCGTCAAGAAATTTATCTCCATTGATCACAGCAGGCGGAAAATATGTGGGAGCAGCTGTGGTTGCCCTTGCGGCTTCCCAAATTTGATAAGAATAAGCCGGTTCCCGAATTTTGGCGCCAGATTCGTCTGAAAGAGTTTCATAGCTGCGCAAGAGGTGTGCACCAGTTTTTTCACGGTTAGAGAAAACCCCACTACTTATTGTTAGACTGCGTCCATGGTGAGAGCCACGCACTATTTACCATTTGCATTGCTCACCAGGTGCGGCAAAGCGATCTCTCTTATACCTCATGCCGCCGGGATTCGGGTCGAAGGAACCCACAACCTCCTCTGTCGCGTTGATGATTGACTTTTCGCTGTATTTCGTCGAGCTATATAGTCCGCGATGTAACTTGTAAGATCGTCGGGGATGGCGGAACAGTTCCATTGCGAACCTCTGGAAAGTCTCTTGGGCCTGCACCGAGGTCATTTTCAAGCGACCTAGCATGATAGCAACGACGCTAGGATCCAGGTCAGTATCCACTACCGTATGTGTAGATAAAGACTGTCTTCTGTCCTCACCCGCCACTGCTTGATCCAAAGATGTATCTGAATACTTCGTGAGGAGCTTTAGTGTTGAGGTTGACACTCGCTGTGAGATATTCAGCAGCCTTCACCGAGCAGCCTCACTGAAAGGCACATTACCTTTTGATTCGCGGAGGACAGCTTCAATCTCGTCCATGAGGGACCGTAGAATGAGGAGACTCGAGGTGCTGCGAACACCGCCTCCATCTAGGATACAGCTTCAGCCCCGCCACTCCCAACCAGTGAGAAAGCACACACTCACCAAGACAGAGAACTAGTGTACCACGGCTCTTGACATGTTCTTTTTGCTCTTCCCGTATACTTTTAATCCGGCCTGGACTACGTTCGACCTCTTTGACCAGCTCCTGCTGAAGTTTGAGCAATTGGTTGACTGAGTCTCTGATGTAACGTGTGGCCGAGACATCATCGTCGAAATGCCTAGCTCAATTGATTGTTATTAGCGAGATAGAACATAACCAGGGTGGCACATATAATCGAGTAAAGAATCCTGAATGTCCGTGGAATCTTCCAAATTCTTGGACAAAATACGCTGTTCGATTTGCCATTTTCCATAGACCCTCTTCATTGTGTTAGATTTTCGTACCTCATTGTGCCGGAAGGACCAGACAGCGATACTGACTGCCGGTCGAGTCCCTTTTCGATGTCGAGAAGGATTTTCCCGAAACCGGAAATTGTCGACGGGAATAAGATACTCAGTATCCTCAAGGTTTCTGAAATATACGCATCTGGAATCATCGTGTTAAAGTTTTCCAGCCAGATCTTCAGCTTGAGGAGACAATCATCCAGTGATTTCGCAGTGTCCACATCTCGTGCCGATTTGCTTTTGGCTGCCCCAGTAATCGAGGACGCGACCATCCTGTCGAACCGAACGACCAAGGTTTTCACCCGTTCCTCGAACTCTTTTGCATCTTTCGAGCGCTTCTCAGGGATGGAGGAGGACATTGCCGCAACGCGTGGAGGGGTGTTTCTCGAAGAATATGAGGCTGACGGTGGGGTAGATTGAGGATCGCTCTGTTCCGCTACAACAACACTTGGGTATCAGCCAAATTGACCCTCAGTTGCACAGGGGGCAACGAGTTCGATGGCAGTACGAGAGTTCTCGAGGAAGTCGAAGCTGTCGAGGATTGAAGAGCGGCGGTGATACCGATGGACTGCGAGCTGGAATTGCAGATGATCCCTCCGAGGCGCGCCAAGTACGTGGCTTGAGGTGCATGGTAAGGCAACGAACGGCTGAATGAGATGATGGCAATAGCTCTGGGGCACGTGCCGCAGCCTCAAGATGGGATGGAGGGGTATTTCTTCGACTTTCTTCCATCTGGACCTTTCAGCCGCATTATGAGATCCTCCTTCTCGCACAGCCTCACAGCTTCCTGGTATCTCGAAACAGCTTACACAATCGGAGGCCTCCCGATATCATCATACCACAAGGAATCTCTGGCACGTGTATCAGTCTCGATCACTCTAAAGTCCTAATATCTCGGCCCCAACTTCTGTTGGATTAGGTATTCATTTGTACCTTGCAGCCCAATATCTCTGGCGGTTCGAAATGGTGCTTGCCGAAGGCGCTGGAATCTTCGGCCTCGTATCTACCTGCATTGCTTTCTATTCGATGGTGTCTAACGGTGTGACATTAATCCACCAGGAGATCAAGGACTCGGAGCACTATAAGACCGATGTCAAGACGCTTATTGACAAAACAGGCAGGCAGGAGAGGAGGCTGCAACAATGGAAGAAGGACTGGTTCGTTTATGACGGTATAGATGAATCGTTTTACAGGAGCCTTTGGGGTGGGACAGAATATGCAACCATCCAAACCCAGCTCGAGAGCCTAGCGGAACGGTGTGGTGCCGCCAGAAAAGAGTTGGCTACTGTTCTTGAGTCCACGCAACCCGCAACAGGAAGGGGGTTATGGCAGCAGGTGAAGGCGAAAGTTCGCAAAGCCTGGTTCATCAAAACGAGAAAGAGAGTGTATTTGAGCGCTCTCCTAAGCGACAACACCGAAGCCTTAGACGCCATCGCACAGGCCAGCAAAGATGGTTGGCACCGACATGACGATCACCCGCCGGACAATGTCGATACCAACAGCGTCAAGCGATTCGCCATCGCGCATCTACTAGCGCCTGTGGCCAGTAAAACAACACCTTATGCAGATTATCTGTGGCTTTCTTCAACTTCTAACCGGGAAGCTCTCACGTCCGAATTGGATTTGGACATCTTCGGCACTTCGCATGCAACCACCAGAGCAGCATCCGAAAGCGCAATTGCCAGCGCAGCTGCCGGAAAGCGTGTACAGCTGACAATCTTGACAAGGCAGGCTGGTTGGCAAGCTGCCGACATGAACCGAATCTGCGTTCGACCATCCGAATCAACCGCGGATTCCCAGAGCGAGCCCTGGATCGACGCTCTTCGGCAAGCGAGCTCCAAAACTGATACTGATCCATACTCTTTCAGAGCGACAGATGAATTGGATCTACACCTCTTCAGATCTGCACAACCCTTGAATCCAGCGGGTGGAAATCGGAGATCATTACGGGACATCCAGTCCGGAAACCAGCCCCCACGTTTCGAAAATAATAATCTCCTTGGAATGATCTCGAAACTTAGAGTCGCATTTGAGCTTTCTCAGGCATGCTTTCTCTTCTATTTTAATGCGCATTGGTCCTCGAGGGTCTGCAGCTGCAGAGTGCGCCGCGGGACACCGGCGGACTATGGAATTGAGGGATACGACGAATCGCGTTGCGACTTTACGCTCCTACTCAGTGAAGTTGAGCATGAGCCTTCTCCGTGGGCGACTATGCAGTGGGAGAATCCCAACGACGCCCCCGCTGGCTGCTGGGGCGAAGCCAACCATGGCCCAGATATTGTGAATCCACTCCGGCGTCTCGCGGTGCTCCTGGTCGAAGTGACACTCGGTAGGACTGTCCTGGCGGCTGCATATGATGCCGAGGGCAGAATTGGAAGTATCGATTTCGTGGAGAGTCAAGACAATCGCCTCCAGCGTAACTCAGTCCTCCTCACAGCAGTGTTGGACGATGTCCTCCTGGCAATGGGCAGTGACATGGGCTTCAGAACTGCGGTGCATTTCTGTGCGACCACGCCAGGACCGCAGGGTTTTGGCGATGCTGCGGTAGAAACGTTTCTGAGAGGAGTCTACATCGACGCGGTGTACCCGTAAGCAAAATCATTGCCTTTCCAAACCAACATTGACGTTTCCAGTATCAAACATTTGTACGATACGTATCTGGAGCACCATCTTCGGCGAAGACGTGAACTAGGCCTAGTTGTATGAACGGTCTTCAGATCTGACAACGACATTACCAGCCGATACAATATGAAGCACAAGTACAACGACAAAAACGGCTCGAGACTGCCCTCAAGTACATAGCCTGTGGCATAGCCATGGAACAAGCTCCCCGAGCACGATGGTCCACGGCAAGCCGACGAGACGACTGATAAGCCGCGGTAGGTCACTGGCAGACGCCAGGCAAGGTTCATCAGACTGTCTATATAGATCGACTAGGGTACAGAAGGAATGGGGCAGCTTTTGGTGGTTTTCACCACCGGGGAGGTTGTGGGATGACACGGGCCTCTGCAGGTCAATTTTAAATTCACAAGTGTTTCCACTGGAAGGCTAGCCAAAAGTATATATTCTATCTGCCGTATATCAGGTTATGGCCATGACAACACGTACAAACCCCAGGGTTGACCAACTTTACGCAAGGAAACAGCTCTGGTACGAGAATGCTAGGGCGAAGAGCTTGATGGAAACAAGTTGAAAGGCTTTACGACCAGGTAGGAAATAGAATGACAAGGGCCAAGGGCATCTTCTGGCTGTTGAAGTATTTCTTCGACGCTTTCTCAGCAATATCGTGACTCGACCCCTCATCCTTGCAGTGGCGGAGGCCTATTTTCCGTTCGAAAGCCACATCTCTTGATATCTAGTCTTACGGCTTTGTCGAGGGACCACGGCCACCGCGTGTACAAGTGGATGTTGTAAAGACCGCATACCTTCAGAAGCGGGTTAGTGCCCTTTGTATTGGGGCCCCATGCTAATTAGGGCTAGCCCAGATATCCGTCTCCAGCTCACATCTTTCATTGGTTGAGAATATGCGCCAGTAGAGCAGCGTCGGCCTCATCCCAAAGTGGGGTGCAAGTGATCTTGGCGTAGATTTCTCCCACAGCCAACCCTCTCGCCGGTTCGTGACTCTTCGACTCCAAGGCGAAGATTCCACAAACAATCTTGTTGTCTTGATATTTCAGTCTCACAAACCCTCACCGTCCGAGGCAAATTCCCGAGGCAAAGTATTGCAGCAAAAGATGAGGCCAATTCTCTTGCAAGGCCATGTGAGTTGCCTCAGGGAAAAAAAGTTCACTGCAGACCAACTGACGAACATTTCAGGAGCGATCGCTCAACCAAATCAAATATAACAAAGACGGCGACCTCCTTTTCTCGGTTGCGAAAGACAAAGTGATCTGCGCCTGGTTCACTAGCAACGGAGAAAGGCTAGGAACATACAACGGCCATCAGGGTGCCATTTGGACCGTCGATGTATCTCCCAACACCGAACTCCTTGCCTCCGGCGCCGCAGACAACACGATAAAACTGTGGAATATCAGAACTGGTGAAAATGTCAAGACATGGGAGTTCCCGACTGCCGTCAAACGGGTCGCGTTCAGTGAAGACGGGAAGCAATTACTGGCAATCACAGAAAAGCGAATGGGATACTTGGGAACGATAGTGGTCTACGACATCCGATACGGCGATGACCTTTCAGACCAGACCGACGAATACAGTCTAAGGATCACGTGTGAGGAAAGCAAGGCCACAGTCGCGGGATGGAGTTACCTGGACAAGTATATCATCTCGGGCCATGAGGATGGGAGTGTGAGCCAATGGGATGCGAAAACAGGGGAACTTCTGTTGACCCAAGAAGCCCATGAGTACGACACCACCATCAATGATTTGCAGTTCTCTCCCGACCGGACCTACTTCATCACAGCTGGAAAAGATAAGACGGCCAAGATTCTGTCTTCGCGGGACCTGAGCGTTCTCAAGTCGTACTCGGCCGACACGCCCTTGAACACGGCTGCGATCACCCCCAAGAAGGACTTTGTCATCCTGGGAGGTGGTCAAGCGGCTATGGAAGTCACCACAACGTCTGCCCGACAAGGTAAATTCGAAGCTCGCTTCTACCACAAGATCTTCGAGGACGAAATCGGTCGTGTCCGAGGTCATTTCGGCCCCCTCAACACCATTGCCGTCCACCCCCAAGGCATCGCATACGCAAGTGGCGGCGAAGACGGCTACGTCAGAATGCATGCTTTCGACAAGGCTTATTTCGATTTCATGTACGAGGTGGAGAGAGAACAAGCACGGAAGTGAAAGGGAACATATTTTCTCTTTCGAATGATACCCCACAATGATACACTGTATGAACTATGCTGGATTGAATCAGCGAACGGCCCGTATGCATACAAAGGGTGACGGCTTCTCGTTCCTGAATGCTCTCTGCCATCGAGGTAGTCCTTCGTCCATCGCAACAGGTCTTTGGTTCCCGCATTCGAGCTTCTGGAAATGCTTCTATCAAAGCCGGAGCAGCCCTGCTGTCGGTCGCATCAAGAAGCTGAGAGAGGGAACAATCTAATGGGCAAGAGCTTCACAGTTTATCTCCCGAAGCAGTCAGCTGGGACTGGGATTACGCCAGTGAGCTACAGCATTTCCAAAAAATTTATCTACCAAAACAGCCGGTCAAAACGAAGGTGTAAAGTGTTCTTTGCAGATCTCCAGGGAAGTGGGGGCACCACCGCAGCCTTGTCTGCTGCTGCTTGCTACCTCAGCTGAGTGCAAGCAACGGACGGAAGGATTGCGAATGGTGACTCTCCGTCAGCACGCACGCTCCTGCAACAAAACAACCCCCCTGCGCAGGCATCGATATGAAGGCGGTGCCGCCGTCGAGTGCGGGTTGGATCTCTCGTATATACCCGCATGTTCTACGCCGGCAAATGGCCGCTTCTCGCAGCCCTATGGTCATGTCCTCTGTGGAGGTGCCGCATCTTCGAGTGGCTGAGCTGCAGTTTGGCCACGCTTCGAGTCTGGAAGAGACCGGCGGGAAAGAGGCGATTTCGTACTGTGGAGGTAGAACAGCAAGGATGGGTGGCCGATGGTGATGGCAAAGGAGAATTAGACACAATGATCATGACACGAGGCAGCCTCAAAATACACGTTGAATTGTCCTTGCTCCACCGAGTCCTATGCGTCCTTTATACCGAGTACTCTATCTCAGTTGCTAGTGCGTGCCTTGGACGTCGTATCGATGGGGAGATCGGCACTGTATTTCGTAGAGCTGATCCCGCCCCATCACATATCCGTACTTGTCACCGACCTCGGTGTTATGATTATTGCATTGCATAGAAATCCTCTGGTTTCTTTATTGGGCTAGCACTTGTTTTCCCTTTTTACTTCTGGCACAGCTAGTAGTATATTATATCCCTGGGTTCTTGAATCAATTAATTCCATGGGCAAAAACGGCTGCATTTCTTTTCGTCAGACAGACAGACATGACATGACAAGACAAGACAAGACAAGACAAGAAAAGACAACGTCCCCTGCGAATTTTGTATGTAATACTGGAAAAAACACTGAGGATGGACTGTTTCCCTCACCTCGTACCCTGTGTCTATCGTGCCGGCAAGATACTCGTCCTGCCGTGAGAATCTATCCATGAGAAGCATAGCGACAAACCAGCCACATCACCTCTGAGCGAGCGAGCGATGGATTCCCTTTCTGTTTCTGCCACACCCTCACCAGACATCATCACCCCTTCACTGTCCTCGATTGGCTCTCCAGTGCTATCTATGAGGCCTTGAAGAATTGACATTAGTCCGGTAAGTCAGTCTATCCAAATCCTCTCCTTCTTCTCCTTGTTCTTCTTCTTTTCTCATCCCCCTGTCTGGTCGACATTCTTTCCTCCACTACATCTCGTCCCTCGCAATGACTCCCCCGGCACCCTCCATCACCGAACTCATGAACATGGTCAAGGCCAGCATCAGAAGCTACCGTGCAAAACAACAAGCTGCCGGCGGTTCCGTCCCTGACAGGGTATCGCCCCTGTCTCTGATCAAGATGGCCACCGCCACCGAAGAAGACATCGAGTACACCGCGCGCACGGCAGACCAGGAAGTCGACACCGTCGCCATCTGCCCGACCCACCCGGACTACATGGTCGTCGGCACGTATTCACTCCTCAAGAAGGACGAGCCGGGCGACTACACGGGGCAGACGCGCCGTGGCTCTCTGCAGGTCATGACGGTTGTGTCGAGGTTCAGGCCGCGATACGCCGGCATGCTCCCCCCCTCGCTGGACCGGGTGGATTTCCCCTGCGCCGTGCTGGACATGCATTTCCACCCGGCGGACAGCACGCTGCTGGGGGTCGCCACGAGCAATGCCGCCGTGCACTTCTTCCGCTTCATTGCCCACGGCGACGTGCTCGGCCGGCGGGTGATCACGAAACTCCTCCCGCTGGGATTTGTCGTCGTGGCACAGAACGACGAGCATGGTCTGGTCCCTCTGGTCACGCAGTTCACCTGGTTCCCGGAGACGCGCACGCACGGGGTCGTCGGGATCAGCGATGTGATTGACGTGGGGTTCGCGGCGACCACGAGCTTCGGCGACACGAAAGTGGTCAAAGTCTCGGTGCCGGCGATCAAGGATCTCTTCGACCAGAGAGCTGATCAGTCTCTGCTTCGGCAGTTGACGCCCAGCTTGAACGAAGTCGTCCACAAACATGAATTGGAAGCTTGGACCGTCGCAGTCGTTGACTTTGGCGCCGCATCTTTGTCAGCAGGAGCAGCAGATGAAACCTGGAGCAGCAGCAGCAGCAGCAGCAGCAACGCTCGAGTAATCCTTAGTGGCGGCGACGACAGTGCCTTGATCGCCTCTTCAATCTCTCAAACCTGCACCGCCACCCATCCTGCTGGGCTGACTTCAACATCCCTATCCTCGGACGACACGACGCCCTTTAACGCGATGCCCCTCTGGAAAGACCGCCGCAGCCATACCGCCGGAGTGGTGGCCATACTTCCTCTGTCCCCCGTCAGGCTTCGGGCCGGCTATGACGCCGATACCAGGAAAGACATCGTCCCCGTCGTCACGGGCAGCTACGACGAGTTCATCCGCGTGTTTGAGATCGACACCAAGACCTACCGCGCCAGCTTCAAGACCGAACTGCGGCTCGACGGCGGCGTGTGGCGCCTGAAAGTGCTGGACCAGTACTACTCGACAACCAGGAGGAGTGAGGCCGGTCAGGATCAGGGCCAGGGTCAAGGTCACGCATACTCTCACCACCACACGCTCATCCTCGCGTCGCTGATGCACGCCGGCGCCGCAATCGTCCGCGTCACACGTGCTGCCTCTGCCGCCGCCGCCGCCACCATGTCCGGCTCATCTTCCCCAGCAGCAGCAGGAGGAGGAGGAGGAGGAGACACATGGACGATCACGCCCGTCACCTTCTTCCGCGGGAGTCATGAGAGTATGGTCTACTGCTGCGACGCACGGCTTGACAGTCACGGCGGCGGCGGCAGCAGCAGCGGCGGCGGCCAATATCAACAGGTTCGGAAACAGGCTCGAGGGGGCAGAGACGAAGAAGATGGAGATGAAGAAGACGCAGACGCGCGAGACGGCGGCTCGTCAGCACAGGACGCACAGAAAGCACCACCTGTGTACACGGTTGTCAGTACCAGCTTCTATGACATGAAGATATGTACGTGGAAATTTGTGGATGAGTTCAAGGTCCAGAACCAGTGACAAGGGAAAGCCGGTGTCGTCGAGAACAGCCAAACTGATCCGAAAGAAACGTCTCGATGTCTTGAAGCAGAATCACGTCAGGCAGGGCCGAGCAGAGCAAGCTCTAGGGGGAGGTTGGCAGGCGAAGCGAGAAAGAAGGTCGGGATTGGGGTCAAGCGGGTACAAGCAAGGTCAGAAGCCCATACACCAGGGACCTAGTATTCCTGCCGTTTGTGTCTAAGCGCTTTTGTCCCACGGCTTCCTCCCGTTCCACCGTCCTGTGCAAGGCTATGCTCTTGGGTACGAGTACAATAACCATCCCACTTGAAGTGTGTGTGAAACCCCACCACGCCCACTGACAGATTTCAAACGATGCTTTCCAATTCTCTTGCGTACTCAACCATGTGACTGATCACCTCCTTCTCGTCTCCTTCCTCCGCCTTCTTCGCCGCCTCCAGTCCGGGGAAATATATCCTCCCTTCTTCCAGACTCCAGCCCTGCTCCTGCGCAAATTCCACCACCGCACCTTCAGACTCTAAGAAGAGAAGATTCTTGGCCGATGCAATAGGAAGAGATGGATAGGATCGGGCGGCGCAGGAGGCGATTTCGACACGGATGGTGTTGATGAGGATCTAAGGTCGTCAACGTCAGTCACTTTTGCAGACAACGCAGGAAAAGGTGGTCATCCATACGTCGGAAAACAGTCCAAACTCTTCACCGGGCACGTCTCGCCCATTTGTCTTCCGCCAAACCTGGTCATAGCTACCTTCCATGAGACTTCTCTCCAACTCCATGGGGTATTTGATGAAGGGATCAGCCTCCACGCTCGACGACCCGTTCGCCCCTTCCGCGACGATCAGAGACTCCAAGAGGGTGTGGAAGCCCGCGTAATCACCCTGGCTGAGTAACAGGAGCAGATAGAGTCCCGTGATCTTCGACCGATCTCTCGAAGGCGTCTGCTGGAGACCGGGAAAATCGTAGAAGGGTTGTAGCTGGGAGTAGTATCTCACGAAAGACTTAGGGTCTCTTGATCGAATGGAGAGGAGAGCGCCGGCCTCCAGTATTGAACGAGCAGTTGCCAGTGTCTGTGGAGGTGCTTGAGGAGAGGGTATGAGGGCATTCTGTTGGAGGAGGGCGAGCTTCGCTTTTTGCAACTGTGACTGCGCTTGAGACGTGTCGTTATGGCTGAGAGACTGTTGGAGGATATGCAGGATCGAGTCGAGGGAGGGCGACTGTGAGCCCGTGGCTGCAGGCATCTTTGCTCTGCTTTCAGAGGCGCGAATGGGCCTGGGAGACGAGTTTCCGGAGAGTGCTCGCACTTGATTTTGAAGCCAGGAGTGACGAGCCAACGACAGGGAGAATTTGAATTAATAAGACAGGAGGAGAGTGAGAAGGAGGTGTGTCTATTACAGCGAAGCTGTGCAACTCCACTCCTAAACTCTGGACATGTATTGCGCGGTGTTCACAGTCAAGATGGTTGAAGGCAATGAGGGCTTGCGAGTCGCAGTCCAGCCTGCTGTCAAAAACTTGCTGGTTTTATCCATGTAATGAGTCTAGCCTAAAGAAGCAAGTGACTGCCCCGTCCACTTTTCGTCCCCAATCTCGGGATGGGATTTTCAAGTCCGTCGATCTATTACAGTGTACATGTCTCTCTATGTGTGAGCTGTGAGATATGTTCTAGTGATCCCCGAGATCCTCTCAAGCACTCCAACGTCCAGTCCCTCCGCAACCGGGACACCTGTAACCCCTCCATCCAGACCAGGACAACTATAGCATTCAGACAGCGGCCAACAGCTTCCGAGAGAGCTGCAGTCGTGCAAGACAAATGAAAAGCCCGCCGACCACCAGTGCACTTCCAGCGTACATGGAAAGGGCGAGGTAGCTGGACTTGATCAGCTGGCCGCTGATGGGAGAACCGAAGAGACCACTGGAAGGCAAAAGACATCAGCATCCGGATCCACTACATCAAGAATCGTGAACTCACGTGACAGAGACAATTCCCATGATCATGCCAACCGCAGTGCCATAGGCTTCTGGCGATGCTAGCTTCGTCCCGCACGCCACCTGGAGACTCATAATTGACTAGAAAGCGCGGACTTTTAGTAATGCTTGAAGCACCCGCCATCAATGGATTGACTTACACCCGAAGCATATCCATACGCCAAGCTCCACACCACCAAGCCCGCTGATGTTTGGGCGGCGGTCCAGCAGTATGCAACCAACGCGGATGTCATGGCGGCTACTGAGCACAAATTGAAATGTCCGTATCTATCGGCAGCCCAGCCGGCGGAGATTCTTCCAAACAGAGAGGCGGCGTTGAGGATGGAGACCAGGTAGAACCCGAAACTGGTGGATTGACCAACGCTGACGGCGTACGAGGTCACAAAGAAGAAAGGGGAGAACATCCCCAGGTAATAAATCCCGATGCCCAGACAAAAGGTGAGGAAGACACGATTCTTGACGATCGACAGGTCTGTTTTCTTTGGCTCCTTTTTGCTGGGTGCTGGGGAATTTTCCTCAGTCTTTGGCTTCTCTGCCGCTGGCGGAAGGACGGTGGCGCAGGTGATGACCACGAGCGGAAGCATTGTAAAGGCAACGATACGCATTGTCCAGCCGAAACTGACGCCATCCTTGTTCAGAAGTTGATCCACCATTATAGGCCATATCACGCCACCCAGGGAGGACCCTGCTATGGTGAAGCCGGTGGCCAAGCCGCGGTTCTTGTGAAAGTGAGAGCTCACCATGGCCAGCGTGGGGCAGACGAGAAATGCTTGCCCGGCGCCCAGGAGAAGTCCTTGTGCCAGGAAAAATTGGTAATATTTGTGACACAAAGAGACCATAAACATGGCCAGGAGGGTCATAATGCCACCTATAATGAGGAGAATCTAAAAACACATTAACTGGACTGATTTGGAGATATGTAAGTCTTTTATTTTCAGTGTTCTTACCGTAGGGCCCATTCGATCGACCAACAAGCCTGCTGGCGCCGCGGAGAGGAAAAAGATAAAGGTCGCGAACGAGCCAATCCAGGTTATGTCAAACTCGGACATGTCGGCCAATTGATGTGTTCGATAGTAGTTTATGAAGACGCCGAACGCATTGAGGAAGCCAACCGTGCAGAAGGTTGACATGGCGGCACCGACAAGGGTGAGCATCGACCTTGTGCTGTGGGAGACATGAGTCAACCAGCGCCAAAAGACTACGGAAAGAATACTTACTTGAATTCACGGCCGCCATTTTTTTCCTCCCTGTTCTCTGTCTTCTCAAGATCTTGAGTCAATTGGGCTTTCGTGTCTCGTTCCATATGGAAGATTGTGGAGTCGATTTTCCTGCTCGTATGTGCATGTTAACAAAGGAAACGAGGGCACGGTCTTTTATCAGCATTTCGGATCCTGAGCAGGCCGGAAAGTCCATGGGGCTGGGCATCAAAATGCAATTTGGCCATCGACTGAAAACAATGGGACGTGATGTCGTGGTAAATCATCGGGCATGGCATAGTTTTGGTGTAGCCTGTGCAGTATTCAGGAGTTGGCCACCACTGACCCGGGGCTTCCACGGACTTTCCTAGCGCCTAAATGACCCGCTTTGCAACCACATATCATTGGTCACACTAGTGTTAGTGGGCCTTTGTAGGTCATATTAGACCAATAGTAACAGACCATGATATTAATTAAACCGTCTAGACGTTCCCGTTTGGGCAACGCTCTCTGGTCTTCACTTAGACGTTCCATCTACACTGGAACTTCCGGCTGGATTGCTTTTACACTTTACCCGCTCAATATTCATCATCCATGCGAGAAATTAATCTGTCGATAATTCCTGGACACTGGGCGGTATCACGGTAGATGGGACTTTTTGCAACCCTTCTGGAAACCGAAGACTACCAGGCTCAAGAATGATGTCCCTGGGCATGCGTCGGCCGGATGGGCCTCCAAATCCCTTGAAGAGGCCCCGACAGGATCCTGTTTCTTGCCAGTTCTGCAGATCGAAGAAATTGAAGTGCAACAGGCAGCAACCGTGCTCGAATTGCGCATCAAGGGGGCTTGCTTGTGATGCCAAAGTCGCACCCTATGCCCCCACCCCACCCGTGGTGCTCCAAGATCCGATCGACCAGTCTGTGCTGGCGCGATTGAAACGGCTTGAGGACATTGTCATCGGGAGGACGTCCATCCTAGATGCGTCCAGCGCTGGCCTCGGGGTATCTCAGCCTCTCATCCAATCCAGAACCACCTCTTCTCCAAGCATTGCTTGCCTCTCACCGACCTCGGAATACGAACAAGCCGTTCACAGCCTCGAGGAGAGCGGTGCCCGCGAAGCACCACTGGTACTACCACGAGGCCATGACATCCGCATAGTGTCCGTACGCCAAATAGCTCTCGAGTTTGAGAAACCTTCCTATTTCCAGCCGGTCTCAAACCATCTTTGTCTCCCCCCGAAGGAGGAAGCGTCGTTGTTGCTGGACCACTATTTCAGATACATTAACGACCTTCAACATGTCGTCCACGTCCCGACCGTCCGGGAAATGATGCGAAATCTCTACTCCAGCTTAGAGCAAGGTCTATTCGTCCTCCCTTCCGAAGTGGCGCTCTTGTTCAGCATCTTCGCAAGTTCTCTGGCACTTTGTGTGTATTTTCTGGGGGACACCCAGCCCTCGTTTTCGCCGTCTGACGCTGCTCAAGCGTCCTCGTTCTGGACCAATGCCACGCAGGAGGTGATAGAGTCTTCTCGCCGCATCGCGACACGGAAGTTGGAGGATGTCCAGGCGGCCATCATCCTCGGCTTCCTTCTGTTTCATTGCGAAGGGTTTTCGACGAGAGCTCGTTGTGTCTTCGCCACTGCGGCGGCGATGTCGCGGGATCTGTCGCTGCACAAAATCGACGCACCAGGCAATGCTGCTACCCAGCGGAACACCTTGGAGACGGAGATAAAACGCAGGGTCTGGTGGCACGTCGTGGCGACCGATTGGTATGTCCTCGCGTTTTCGAACAAAATACCCAACGACTAACATGGATATTTTTGAAGGCTACTAAGTCTCAGTGGAGGTCCCCAGGAAGGGACATATTTGATTCAGCCACGACATATGCGTGTGAACATGCCACGGAATGTCGACGACGAAGACCTCTACCAGGAGAACCCCCCTGTTGACAAACCCTTGTCCGAGCCCACTATCATGTCATACTATATCCAGCGGATCAAGCTCGCCGATATCTGCCGGAGCGTCGTCGACGTGATGCCTCTATCCAGCCTAGACCTGGGAACGGTCGACTACCAAGACGTGATCCGCCTGGACGCCAAATTCGAGTCCTTCTTTCAGGAGCTCCCTCCATTCTTCAAGGTCGACGAATACCACATACGGGAGAGCGAATCGGTGATGCGTCGATACCCGCACATCCAAATCCAGCGCTTTGCCCTCAGCATGATCGGCCAGACGCGGCGGTGCAAATTGCACCAACCGTTTCTCATCCGCCGCGCCGTGCAGCGCCACTACGACTACTCGCGCGAGATCTCGCTCAAGTCGGCCCGCGCGGTCATCCGGATGAAGACGCTCTCCGAACTCGCCGCGACGGGCGACTTCATGGCCGCCATCACCAAGCACACCGGCGTCGTCTACCACATCTTCATGGCGACCATCGTGCTGGTGATGGACCTGTGCTTCAACGAGGCGGCCGAGGGCGAGGACGACGCCGCACGCAAAGCCGAGGTCGTGGAGGCGTGCCGCATGCTGGAGGAGGCCAAATCCCAGTCACGCATGGCCCACGAGTTTCTCGAGTCCCTCATGGACGTGCTGAGGAAGCACAAGGTGCGCCTGCATGCGCCTCACCCTCCGACGGCGCTGGACCCGGCCGTGGAGCCGCCGTCGTCTCAGCAACCTCTTCTTCAGTTGCCTCAAATCCCTCTGGAGCCTGTGGCACAACACCCGCCGGAGTCTTACAACAACGCCTGGCCGCCCTCCGAAGACATCGGGCAGCACTACCTGTCAGGTTTCGACGAGATATGGAAGGAGTATGTCGAGTTAGGGCCCAAGATGGGCATGCCGGGCTGGGACAGCCTCTTTTCCGACCTCGATTCGAGGATGTGAGTGTGTCTTCCATATACCAGGCGTAGGGTTTGTAGGCAGAAGCTCTCCACTTGAGGCGAGAAAAGTATTCATTAAGAGAATCGTATGTACTTTGGCGGCGGGTAACAGGATGGCTGATCATTTCCTCACCCTCCTCGCATGCCTGACCAGATTCTCGATGACGCCCTCGAACGCTTCCTTTTCCTTGACCAACCCATCCCTCCGTTTCAGCCAGTACTCGAGGACTTCACTCGTTCTGGCCGTCAGTTCGTTTAATTCCTCGACGTGGCTCTGCAGTTCTCCGTCAGTCAGGCCTTCCAGCTTTTCTTCGGTGGTGGCGCATAGGCGTTTGACAGCTGCGAGGTCTAATTCTGGCGGCGGAGGGGGTCCTTTTGGTTTCCTTGACCGGGCCACTCTTTGGCCATCCTTGGCGGCACCCGACTGTGTGCTGTCGAGCGAGGCGGATGAATCATTTGCACCGGCCTGTGCCCTGAGGCGTGCGAGGGAACCTATTGCCCGATCCCCTTCCGACTTGCGTGGTGAGGGTTCCAGGTTGATGTCCGGCAGAACAAGCTTCTTTTGTTTGCTCGGCGGCAGAATTTCGTCCAGGTCGACCGGTACCCCCAGGCTGACGAGGAATAACCGCCGGATCCGTGATTGCGTCCAATTCGGGGGTTGCAACGGAGGTGGTGTGATGAGTTGTTTCCAGAGTGAGCGTGAGCGGTCCGATGGGAAGATGGGCGAGGAATCCGAGATCGGTTGCTGTGGTGGAATTCGGGAGGAGTACTCGGGTGTGGAAGATGGGAACATGGCGTCTAGATGCATGTGTGCGGCAGTAAGAAAGTCTGGTATCGACGAAAGGGCATCAGAGTCGATCAAGGGCTGCAATTGAAGAGCTTATCAGCACACTAGAGGACAGAAACGAAGGTGGGAGACTCACGAAGGCATCAGCTGGTATAGAACTTGATTGAGAAGTAGATACAGGAGGCAGTGACTCGACACTTTCAGGTTCTTCAAAGCCATCGTCAAAGTCCCCAAAGTCATCATCAGCCCCAGCTTGTGCGCCTTCTTCAAAATCATCGAACTCGTCCCCGAAGTCGTTGTCATTACGGTCGTTGCCATCATCGTCATCGTCGTGGTTGTGTAGGGTGGATCTTCGTCTTGCGGCATTCAAAGATCTGTTGAGAATGGGTGACCCTGGATCAGGTCAATGGTCCTCCTGAAAGGCTGGTTCACACGCTGTATTTACCTGCTCCGTGGCCCTGCTTCTCGGTAATATCCGGTGCAGCATCAAGAGTTCGCTTCTGATGGGCTTCTGTGCCTGGGACTTCGCCATGGGCAGGGAAGCTATCGACTCGGGTCACGATGGTTTCTGGCACTTGAATATCGGGCGATGTAGAAGATCTTCCTCCGTCTCCTTCCTCATCGTCTGGGTCCAAATGTCTCCTCCCAGGCTCGGGAGTCTTCAAAATGACATCAGGAACGGCATCCATCTGCCTCTGAAGGTAGGCCGAAGTCTTTGGAATTTCACCATAACTTGGAGACTCAGGGTCAAGCTTCTCAACCACAGTACGTGGAATGAGAGTACCTCCAGGGGTTGTGGGCGGTTCAAGCAGCTGAGAAGAGCGTTTACTGAGGCGACCTTCCCGGACGATCTCGACTTCATCAGGTACAGCATCGAGTACCCGTTTCTCGTACGCAGGCGTGCCGGGGACCTCGCCATATCGTGGCTCATCGTCGACTTTTTCAATGCGTGTCTTTGGAATGGGAGAGGCCGGGGTGACTGGCCGGGAGGGTCTCTTCTGGCCTTCTGAGGCGTCTGAGAAGTGTTCGTCGTCCTCGCCTTCTGACGATACTGCGGGAGGCGTTAGTTCTTTCAGTGACTGTGATCGGGAATCTTCAGGCCGGCTTACGCTCATGAGCGCCAGGATCCTCTAGTTCGACACTTTTCCGTGGCGGCTCAAGATGCAGACTGTCTCTCGACGATGACGGTCTCGACATCTTTGTTGACTGGACAGTGTCTACCTACTTCCCGGTGTAGGGCCAGAATCGACTGATCGGACAGCCGGATGAGGACAGGGAGAGTCTTAGGTGGAGGTGGTGGAGGTGGTAAGTGGTGAGAGAGGGAAGAGGCATGCAGCAGTCCGCAGTTGGTTCAAGGCGCAGGCGAGCATTGGCGTCTGTTTCCCTTTTGGGCATTCACTCCGCGCACCACTGACTGCGTCTACACCAACTTTTCTGCTGCTCCGCGCCTGAGCGCGTCCTGATCACACATCTCATATCCTCAACTGCACCCCTTGCCCGACACCTTCTCTTTTGTGTGAGCACAGACATTGATCTGCCCTTGTCTCGTCTCTGTCCTGACCTTGGCCTCCTGCGATGCGATCCACCTGAATTCCTACCAGCTCATCAATAGGAAATTCCCCGTCCTGCTGTCGCGAACATGGCCTTCAATTTTGGGCAATCTTCTACAAGCGGTGGGAGTGCACCGTCATTATTTGGAACATCCAATACACCTAGTTCGTCGGGAGGAGGTCTGTTCTCAGGTGCGCCAACATCAACAGCAAACACGAACACGAACACGTTCACTTTTGGCGGATTCAAGCCATCGACAACAACACCAGCTCCACAGCAGAATCTCTTCACCACCGGTGGTGCGACAAATAACCAGCCTACTTCTTCTCCCAGCATCTTTGGACAGCAGAGTGGCGCCCCTGGCACTTCTGCACCCACGAACATATTCGGAGCAACGACGGCGAGCAGTGACGCTACAAAGACAACATTTGGAGGGCTTGGAGGGTTTGGTACACCAGACAAGTCGTCTACTCCTACAACATCTGCCTCCTCGTTGTTTGGCTCAACCACCCCTGCTCCCAGTAAGGGATTCAATTTCGGCACGACTTCAACCACGCCAGCCGGACCCCCTCCAACCAGCTCAACATTTGGCGCAAGTACAGGCGGTTCCAGCGCTGGCATGTTTGGCGCAAAACCAGCCGAAGATGTATCCAAGCCAGGTTTTCTAAGTAAACCAGCCGCGGCCGCCTCCTCAACTCCCGGAAGCCTCTTTGGCGGATTCGGACTTCCAAAACCAGCAGAGTCAACATCGACAGCTACACCGTCAATGACTGCTGCTTCTGCCCCTGAACAGAAGACTTGGACATTTTCCGTGCCAGCCTCGAATTCAGCAGTCACTTCTGCGCCAGCATCTTCACAGTCAACCGCTGCTCCGTTGTTTGGCGGAACGCTGGGACAAGGTGCATCCCAGAATCTCTTTGGGAAGCCAGCAACGACAGAAGCTCCAGGGTCAGCCCCCAAGCCGACGTTCCCCTTCTCACAACCTTCCGCAACACAGGCTTCAGGCACAGCGACACCTGCGACTTCTGCTCCTGCCCAAACACCGCTTTTTGGCGGGTTCAGCCTCGGCGGCACTTCGAGCTCGGCACCAGCAACCGCTACGGCTACCGCAACTGCGCCGACGACCACGAGCTCCCTCTTTGGTGCTCAAGCTGCTGCGACAACGTCTCAGCCTGCCAATACTTCAGCCGCCTCGGCAGGCCCCTCGCTTGCTTCAACAACAACAGCAACACAATCTGCCACAACATCGGCCCCTGCTTCTAGCCTTTTCTCGTTCGGCAAGACAGCAGCCTCATCCACCTCACAACCTGCTGCCACGTCCGCTCCGACAGTTGGGACCGCTGCTGCACCGACCTCATTTTCAGGTACAGTTGGCGGTCAAACTTCAACGGCAGGCCCTGCTCCACCCGCCCAGTCTCGTCTTCGCAATAAGACTATGGACGAAATCCTCACCCGCTGGGCGACCGACATGTCCCGCTACTCGAAAGAATTCAAGGACCATGCAGAGACCATCGCGCGGTGGGATCAATTGATCGTCGACAACTCGTCGAAGATCGACAAGCTGTACGTGCGCGCCCGGACGTGCGAACGACAGACTATGAGTGTGGATATGCAACTCACCGCCGTCGAGAACTCGCAAGCAGAACTGGAGGCCTGGCTGAGTAAATACGAGAACGATGTGGATGAGATGCTCGCCAAAGATTCCGCGGCTCCCAGTGAAATGGGTGGTCCGGATCAAGAGAGGGAGAGGACGTACAAGCTTGCGGAGAAATTAGGCGAGAGACTAGAGGAGATGGAGAGAGATTTGGAAAGTATGGTTGATGAAGTCAACGCTGCGAATGCGAGCCTGAGCAGGAGTGGAAAGGGAGACGAACCGGTAAGTGAAGATGGACTGATCCTTTACTATTTTGCGTTGAACGGGGAACTGACGAGCTCGACACAGATCACACAAATCGTAAAGATCCTCAATTCGCACTTGATCCAGCTGCAGGCCATCGATCAAGGCACACAGGCTTTGCAGGAGAAGGTCGCTGTGGCGCAAAAGTCTGCGAGTCAGTTGGGCTACCTGGGCGGCTTCCGGTCATCAACAACCGATGGGAGCAACAATAGTGCAGCCGTCCACGATTTCTATCGGAGTTACATGGGAAGGAGATCATGACATGGAAATTGACTTGATCAGCGTATCAAACAACGAACCAGCTTGGCTTTCTCATATGGAAGGTGCTTTGGGTAATGTGGGATGCAAGGGAACTAGGTGAACCAACACCTCTGCGAAAAATGCAAGTTTTGTAAGACTAGACCGGTCAGGTCTCTACGAGGTCGGACAGTGAAAATGCACTCTTGATAAAAAAACACGGGAGTGAAGACGTATGATATTGCCATGCCAGTAGGCGAACTTCTGTACAGCCAAAGAGTCGTGCTTGTCCAGTAAGCTAGTGTTTTTCATTGCCGTGCTTTTGGGGATTCATCCTCCACAGACTTGTATCTCAGCATGGCCGTTGTCCTCTCAACATCTGCTCCGACCCTCCAGTGCCACTTGAGGGGATAGAAGGCGAGGTTTGCAGTCTAATTGCCCTTGGTATGTTGAGGATCTTCACCAGCAGCGTCCCTCTCCAACTCTTGGATATGCTCATCCAGCTCATCAAGGTGTTTCCGCTGTTGGGCGAGTTTCTCCTTCAATTTTCGCAAACTGTTGTTGGAAGCGAAGGCACAGGTCAGCCACTTACAAAAGACCTTCTGCTCCAGGGGAAAATACCTCTCCATTTCTTTCTCTCTGATGAACTTTGTCTCGCTGGCTTGTTCGCGTCGAGTGAAGGCATCACTGGTTTTCATCAACCCCAACGTTAGCAGGAACATTGATAACTTCGTGTGACAGACATCACGGTGCAGGGTTACTTACCCAGCAGCAGATCCACCATATCTGGGTGCCCCAGTATCTCCCTCAGAAGCTCGCACGGCCGTGATGGAAAAGGATCGACGGACCGAGGGAGCCGCAGAAGCCCTGGCGAGCTTGATGACTTGTGTTCGTAACATTGTCTCGGATGACACAGGGTGGATTAGGGGTTGGATATGATCGAGGAAGGACGGTTGCTAGATGCAGGAAGTAGTAGTGGCAGTAGTTGAAGTCCGGGTGCGGGATTGATTGACTTGGGAAGCTCAGCCTGCAGACGACAGACAGCTCGGGGGTGGTGGAGCAAATGACGAACACAGACGAAGAGTCTACTGAGTGCCTGACCGTATGATTAGGCGTTCACCACGTACGGAGGAGCGAGAACACCAGTGAGCTGTTGGGATGAGCACGTGATGTATTTTTCCGAAGTGTCAAGCTGCTCCGTAAAAGCGGCAAAGAGGCATCGTCAGCATCAAGAGGCAGCGCTACAGGGGAAAGGACATATCTACTGCTGCGTAAGGGCGAACTTCCAGGGTCTGGATCTGCAGGAAGGGCCTCAGGCAATCAAATCTCTATCCGAACCGTCAATGCGTTGCCGATGAAACAAGTGAGGCTGGGGAGGAAATTTGAAGGCTGCAAAATCAAGCGGCGGCAGGTTATGTCAGTGGCAGCTGTGGCCCAGATGGCTGAGGGCCCTGGTGGCCCCTGCACCTTAATCGGGGCCAAGCCTCTCGCTGGCTTCTCCCTTCACTCCTGGCGCCCTGTTTGGGGCCTGCCATTCTCCAGTCACCGGCCAGTGCCACCCAGGTGCCCTCCCACTCTGCTCCTCCCACTCCCTGCGGCTACCTTTTTCACTACTGTAGGCGACGCCTGCAGGCTTGCGCACACTCTCCTTCGTCTTTCTTTCTCCCATACCAAACAACCAACACCTTTTTACAATCACCACCACCTACCTCTCTCTCTTCCTTTCGGATCGCCTGCAATCTTGCTCGATCTCTCGAGTCGTCAATACTACCAGTTCCATCGACTTCACCCTTTTCTTCCAACGGTAAGCTATCACCCCCCGGCATCGTCGCCTCCCTACAACGCTCTACACGTACCCCACGTCCTCTAGCACTTGCACGAGACAACCATCAACTGCGCCGCCAGTCACTTGAGCTTCAGTCGGATGCAGGGACCTCCCCTGGGTTCGCACCGGTCTCTCGATACATGTGTTTCATCCTTTCAACACTCTGTTCACTTGCGATCCCAACAGAAGTGGCCTCATTGACGTCAATTTCCGCTCCTGGACTGTCCACCCACTATCTCCGTTTTGCACAGCTACGACTGCGGCGGAACTGGAAGGCAGTCATTTCTTGTTGCCCGTCGTAGTCGCAACACCAAAAATTTCCCTGTTGTTGTCCTGCCTTATCGCTGTTCGGGCTCTTTGTTGACATTTTTGACATTTGTTTGTGTTGCATGACTGAGGCTAATCAATCACCTCTCGCAGGTCTCTTTCCTTCTTGAATCCCTTCGTGGTCTCCAACATCAAAAATGGGTGTAGAGGAGTCAGTTTACTTAGCAAAGCTTGCTGAGCAAGCGGAGCGATATGAGGGTAATTCTCACCCCCTGTCCGACCTGGCCCTGTCCCCAGCTAACCTTTGAGGCAGAGATGGTCGAGAACATGAAGGTCGTTGCCTCCGCAGACCAAGAGCTCTCCGTCGAAGAGCGAAATCTCCTCTCCGTTGCCTACAAGAACGTCATCGGTGCCCGGCGTGCTTCCTGGAGAATCGTCACCTCCATTGAACAAAAGGAGGAGTCGAAAGGCAACGAGGCCCAGGTCAAGCTGATCAAGGAATACCGCCAAAACATCGAGAAGGAGCTTTCCAAGATCTGCGAAGATATCCTCGATGTCCTCGACAAGCACCTGATCCCATCTGCTCAAACCGGTGAATCCAAGGTGTTCTACCACAAGATGTAAGCCGACCAGTCCCTATTAGTCCCCCCACAGTTCTGACTCGTTGAACAGGAAGGGCGACTACCACCGCTACCTTGCTGAATTCGCTACTGCCGAGAAGCGAAAGGAATCTGCGGACAAGTCTCTCGAGGCGTACAAAGCAGCCACCGAAGTCGCTCAAACCGATCTCGCGCCCACTCACCCCATCCGACTTGGTCTGGCCCTGAACTTCTCGGTCTTCTACTACGAGATCTTGAACTCTCCCGACCAAGCTTGCCACCTCGCCAAACAGGCCTTCGATGATGCTATTGCCGAGCTCGACACCCTGAGCGAAGAGAGCTACAAGGATTCGACGTTGATCATGCAACTGTTGAGAGACAACTTGGTGAGTTGCCCACGCCCACCTTTGGGCTACATATTTCTTGCTCTAACAGGTGTCTAGACTCTCTGGACTTCTTCCGAGGCCGAGCCGCAAGAGGCACCAGCTGCGCAGTCAAGCGAAGCGGCCAAGGACGAGCCTGCACCGGAGGACAGTGCAGCGAAGGCTGAGTAAAGACGACGTGTCCTTACTGGCCATGAAAGACACTGGCAAAGGTGTCCCCACGATGTTTCGGCGAGTAGACGATGAGGAAGGGCTGGGCGGCCGCATCAATTGCAACAATCTTTCCCACCTATCATCCTCCCACTGATATCACCAACCCCATTATCACCGACAGCCTTTTGCAGATGGACTACGGCGGACCAAGATAATCTGCGGTGGCTGTGCAACTACCAACAATCGTCCGATGGAAGTGTAGCTGCTTTAGGTACTTTTTTAGACCCAAAGACACAGGAGAAGAATAGCAATATGAATCGGATCATTATTTCTCCATCTGCGTGACACATTCCTTGATAATGTTACCATTGATCTTTTGGTGGTGATTACCTTCATCCTCGCCTTTTTGCAGTAGATCCTGTTTGATGGCTGATATTGATGATATGTGTCGACGCAAAGCCCAAAGTGCTCTCAGACTAGTACTGTGCAAATCCAAAACTGCGATACGCTCTCTGCTTCGCGCCTCCATTCCCTTCATCTCATTCAGACAGCAGCGCCGCCTGTCGCCTGGAGCGATTCTCCTATGCACTCTCTCCAGCTTGTTTGGTCATCATGCGACTGAACACCCAGCTCGTCATGCAGAGATCCTCCTCTGTGCACTGGCCCGAGCGGACCAGCTGTTCGCGACTTTGGAGCACGAGGTATCCAAACGACGGAGTCTCGGTGGTATCAGGAGAAGGAGGAGGAGGAGGAGGAGGAGGAGGAGCCCGACCACCAGTCCAAATGAACTTGGATGAAGAAGCTGGAAAATTCATGAGACTGTGCGTGGTAGCGTCGTGACGGAGAAGGGCATAGCCGTAGCAATAGCCGAAGCCGTAGCCGTCGTCGTTGTCGTCGTCGTCGTAGTCGGACGTGTATCGGTGGCTGACCTCTTCGAGCCCAACACCGGCCGTGGACGAAGGTGTCGTTGTCAACGTGCCGGCACCGCCGTGGCTGCTGCTGCTGCTGCTGGATGACTTCAGGCTTCCGGGCGTGATGGGGGAAATGCTTGTGGCTGTTGTGTCCCTCGGCGTCATGCTCGGGGTCGAGGCCCTGGTCGGTGGTGGTGATGGCCGTGACTCTGCCCCAACTTCATCCTCGACCTGGCCGTGGGAAGGAGGATTGTTGGTGTCACTGCTTCCAAGTTGATCATCCTTGGTTGTTCCCGCGGCCACTGCCGCCCTGCAATTCTCTTCTTCTACCTCCTCCTTCCTGTGCCTATGATTGTTCACGCCGTCATCGCTCGCGAGGCTGCAAACCCCGGTGCGGCCAGAGACTACGTATCTTCCTTCACCTTCACCTTCCCCTGCGCCCTGGCTACCGCGACCACGACCACGACCTTCATCGACCACAAGCACATCATCCACCGCATTGACCCACTGCCCATTGCACCGCTTGAAATATAGCCCCTTGGCGAGGGAGCTGGTGGCGAGACACGCCTGCAACCGCTTCTTTTCGGCGCGGAGGAAGACCTGCGCCTCGCGGGCGGCGGCGGCGCGAACATCGCTGGACAGCAGCAAAGCCATGGAAGAGGACGAGCACGAGGACATGTCCTTGCAGCACTTGGAGGAGGTCAGGGTGCTCTCGCCGAGTAGAGACTCCGTATCCTCCGCGTCCGCGTCTGTGGTGTCGGCGTCGATGTCGATGTCGATGTCGAGCCCGGGGCCCAGACTGCTACTAACGCCGTTGTCCAGCAACGCTGTGATATTCTTCAGCCTCTCCCGCGCGTACTGGTCCATGGCCTCCACCGCCGCCTTCGGCTTGAGCACCACCTCTGGCTCGGGGGAGGCGATGCAGCCGCCGCCATGCGCGTACGTGATCTCGGGCCACGGCAGGTCCACCTCACCGCTTCTGCTGCTGCTGCTCGAAGGTGTAGTGTCACCCGTGCCGGAGAAGGTGTGACGCCCGTTGCCCGCCGCCGTCGCCGTGAAACGCGCTTCCCCTGCGGTGACGACGCCTCGAGCCGTGACGGCGTCGTGCCCAGCTGCCGTGGTGATCTTCACCTTCTTGCGCAGGTCTTCCCTCGACGTGGCCGTGATCGAGCTCGTGCTCGTGGCGAGGGGGAATGTCGGCACCGGCGAGTACAGTGGGTGGACGAGGGTGCGGATATCCTTCAGCACACTGTCAAACAATTCCGTGGATTCGACTCTGGTTCCGGCATCGCGACTGGGGCGGGGGAGCCAAATCAGTCAGTTTTTCTGTCTCTCTTTTCTCCTATGTCTCTTTTCCTCTTTCGGGACCGCGTGTGGAGTGGCAGTTGCATGTATATTGGCAAGAGAATTAGAACAAGGTTAGGGGGAAAAGACGTAACGAGAGTTTCTGATTGCAGGTCTCAGGTCTGACAGCGAGCTTATGCAGATCTCAACTGGGAGCAGATGCCATAGATAACTTGAAGATCACGGGGAGGGGACAGAGGTAGGTAAATACGGTCGATAGCGTTGATGACTCAAACCCGCCCGCGCTCACCTTATCACGGGCAGTATAAGGCTCTTCAGAAGCAGGGGATGAAAAGACAGTGACATGCCCACTCTTCCTTGATATCCCTTTCAAGGGTGACCCGTGGCCGATTGAGGGATTGCTGAAAGTCAAAGCACGAATATGTCACAGAAGAGCACATAAAGGGAGGGAAGGAGAGAGAAATCGAGGTCCAGAATGCACAATCTGATCAAAAGACACCGGTGGAATAGACTCACATGTCTCTGTGCCTAGAGCAGATCTCAAAGGTGACTTTGGTCTTGCCGTCGCATGTTCTGAGTTCGTGGGCACGGACACAGGCCGGACATGCCTCATAGATATCGTGGTCCCAGTGGAAGGAAAGCGGACTGGACAGCGAAGTCTTGAAGACAATGAAGCACACCATCGTGTTCAGCTCTCAGTTCAGTTCCAGGAGGCGATGAAAGGTCGGCAAGGAAGAAGAAATGGAACAGGGGGTGGCAGAGGTATTTATAAGGGAAGAGGGAGGAGCAGTCCGTTCACAGGCACGAGTGTCCTCCCAATAAGGCCTCAGCATGCGGTCGACTTGATGTGAGGTATAGGTGAACAGATTCTCAATCCATTTATCCTCTGGTAACTCATCTTTCTCCTTCGATCAATGAACACAATAGTTCTGAGTTGGATGATGGCCCTTGGGATCACAACGAAGCTGTTCGGAATCAAATGCTTTGTACACCCCTATACATCGCTGGTCGTTATGATCCTAGACCCAGCCCTCTTTTTCCCGTCGTCCTAACCGTTTACGAAGGGCACCATTTGCATCATCCTCCACATCACCGGAGAAATAGGGCTCTGGACTGTACTGAAAAGTCACATCTGCTTGAAAATTCTTGGCCGGTCTGTGACAATGGTTGTCTTGTTGGTAGCCTTTGGAGGAAATCAGGATAGAAGCATGTTTGGGATGTGGACAACCGGTTCTGTTGACATAGTATAGTTTCTGGCATGATATATCCTCAAGCCCCCAGAAATCGGTCTCGGCAGAATGGCAAGATAGGGTTGATAAGAGGCGACTGGCTCAAATGCGGATCGTCCAACGCAGGAACAAGTTGATGTCTCAGAGCGGCCAATAGTTCCAACTGTATAGCACGAGATATTGGGCTGCGAAATATTCATTGCTTGATATGGGTTCGTGCTCCGTCAATTTCTCTTGAGAGCGAGACCACTCCCACAGCACGATCGAGAATGGAAGGCTAGCCCAGCACACAGCTCAAAATGGCGGCAGCATTCAACTTTGCTAAAGAGACCACTCGTTCTCGGAATGCTCTGGGAGGGACAGATCGCCGAGTAGGAAGCTAAGCAATATCGTCACTTACATGGTTCCTCGGACTTTGATTCTGAGACATCTGCTCTTTCCGTGGAATGTTTCCTGACGGGACGTAGGAGACGGTGGCAGAGACCAAAACCAACCAGGCACAGAACGATCAAGTCGACGATGTGGACAGCCCACCAGAGCTTGATGTTCAGACCGCACATCTGGATGCGGGATCTCCATTCGCCCGTTTCGTCGTCGAACCAAGCACTAAGGAGTCCAGCATTGCCTCCATAGTCCCCCATCATGCTTCGGAGCGTAATCTCTCGAATTCCCGTATGTGCAACGCTGTGATTGGCGTGCTGCCATCTACAGGCGTCCCATGCAGTCTGCGGCTGTTCTCCACCGTGGTCCTCTGATGTTGATCCGACAGATTCAGAAGGAAGAAAATGCCAGACATCGCAGCCTTCGTGGTCATGGCCTGTCAGGATGAGACCCCTTCTACCCTTGCCTTGAGCTGGCGCACCAAGATCACCGCTCATACCGAACAATGCCTGCAAAGTACCCCTCTGACTCGTTTGCTCGCTCAAGTGATTTTGTTCTCTCACCCCGTGGGGCTTGTAAACCCCACCGCCATTGTCATCACCCCAGTAGTCGAAAAAGGGGGCGTCGACGCAAATGCCTTCCTTCTTGTGGAGTGGCAGGTGTGTGAGCAAAAGTGTGAAAGACGAGCGATCTTCCACAGGGCGCAGACGGTGAGAGATCAGATCGTTCAAGTAGTCGAAAGTTTCAGTCTGAACGTCCTCCGACAGGGCAGGGGAGTCTAGAACAAGACTGTTCAAGACAATCAGATGCAACGATGGCTGGACATTTGTCTGAGCCGTAGGCTCGGTGGCGTTAAGCACGGGATATCTGAATCTGGCATCCCAGTTGGCTCTCCCAAAGATCTTTTCGAATCGGTCGATCCTCCTTCGAGAAGCGTCCCCAGCATATCCAATGTCATGGTTCCCGGCAACATTGATGAGTCTTCGCCTCCAAGTCGCATCATCCATCTCGAAAATCTTTTCTTGGTCTGTGTTGCTGGATTCTGTGACATCGTCTTCTACCTTCCGGGCGCCGGCAAAGACTCTATTCCAAAACCTCCACCCTCTCCATGCAAATTCTTCGTCCGTGACCCATTGGCTGCCGATGAGATCTCCAAGCACGGCGACGTGTGTAGGCTTCGCCCACCAATAAAGCGTTCTATATATGTGGCCCAAATAGTAGTCATTGCCAAATAGATCCAGTCGTTTCCGCAGGGCCCGCAATGCCTCGGGGAGGTCTTTCAGAAGCACTTCTTGCACGGTCTCGCGCGCCAAAGGTAGCCAGTGTCGTCGGTCTTCTGCGGACAGCTTCGCCCAATGCTGCCTTAGCTTCGGTATCAGATCATCCGCGGGTTTGGGAAGGGAGCTGTCGCCTTCGAGCTGGGGATCGGCGAGGGCCAACAGTCGGAAGGGCACATGGGGCGGGCCTTGATGAATGTCCAAGCCGCGCAAAGGGGTGAAGTGTTGCTTAAGTGTCTCAGCGAGTGCAGCCACCGGCGAGGTGTCTCTCGATGGAAAGGCACATCCGTGGAAGATGGGGTAGAGGTAGAGATAGGTGGTCAAGCCGATGGCAACTAGGGTCAGAAGGCGCAGCGACTTGTCTGCATGTCCATACATGTACATCGAACCAACATGGAAACAGAAACAGAGCCCCAAGAACGAAACGCAGGAGCAAATACAGAAGAAACAGCAATCAAGAAACGTGGCTCATCGTCGAGTTGTCGAGGGAAAAGGAGGCGTCGAGCGCGACTTGAGACGACGCGGTTGTATGGCACTCCACTGATTGGCCAGCCTTGCCATTATGAGACGGACCACCGGCCGTGACGATTTACTCGCAGCTGCTGTACCAGGGAGCAAACGGGTGAGGAGTATTATGTATTCCCGGAGATATATATATTATATAGGCAGGACAAGATAAACAAATCTTCCCCCCTGTTGATCATCATGTCTTTATTTCCTGGTCCGCATCATCCTCGGGACGTGCTGTAGTCCCGCTCATCAGACCTGTGCCGATTTGAAGATTCATGTCCGACTCGTTGAAATCCAGTCCTTTTATATTCAAGCCACTCTCTTGCTCGCTCTTCCCTTCCTGTGGAGTCGGCCTCTCAGCCAATTCCGCTATATCCTCTGTGCCTTTCAGGGCCGGGGGTCGTTCTTTTCGTGCCCGGGCTTTCGCCAAGCTGATGGTCTTTTGCCGATTGGTAGTCTCAAAGTTTGCTAGATCATGCTCGATGGTGGCTTTCAGAATCTCAGCCATCCATTTCCTTCCCGCAGTGATGTTTTCAACCTGGAAAACGTGAATGGTAGGCTTCGTGAACTGGACTGCTCTGGAAGCTCCGGCTTTGGGGGGGACAAGCTTGAAATAGAAAGGCGAGCTTCCTCCCGCGTTCCGTGTGGCATTTGGCGAAGTGTCTGTAGACGATCCAGAGACACTGATGGGAGGCGTAGATTTGGCTCCCGTTATGGTGGCTTGAAGGGAGGTGATGGGGTCGGCCGTCGTGACAAGAACTTTATGCCCGGATATGTCGATGATCCCCTTCTCCTCTGTGTCGTTCTCTGAGTAGTAATATGAGAGCCGACGGCCTCGAAGGATGAACAGCCTCGGTTTCCACTGTGACACAATGCCGCTAGATCTTTTCTTCATCCATCCGTAATGATCACAGTGCTTCCGTGCTTCCGCAGGCGATATTTGGAGCAAGCCCCTTGTGTAGGCGCTTGTTTGTCGCTTGGTCTTTGGATTGGTCCGCACGGGGGTTTTCGTGTGCAACAAAGGCCCCAGCTGTTCAGTTGTACCTTTGGAAGAGGTGTCCGTATTGTCCATTTCGAAGCTACGCGACGTCGCCGAGGGAGTTTGGGACCCAGAAGGTGACGCGGTCGGGCTCTCCCTCAAGGGGTCGGATGTAATGTTTGAAGAAGTGGCGGCTTCCTTCTCGGTGCCGGTAACAGCCTCAGATGCAGCTCGGATACCCAACAATTTTCGTGCCTTTGATGATGACGTCCAGGGAGCTGGGGCTGCTGCAGCGGCGGTAGCAGGGGATGCTGATCCACCGACGGCCTTGGGTGAGGACACTGCTGAGAGACCGTCATCCTCTAAGTTCGTCACTGTCGGGGACTGTGCGATGGGTGAGCGTTGCATGGTCAAATTCCTCGCACTGGCAGAGCGAAATCGTCCTTTATATGATCTGCTGTGATATGCTTTTGCGGCCGAAGTAATGGGAGCGGCGCCTCGGATGGAATCAAGGCTGCTGAGTCGCGAATGTCGTTTCATGCCTACACCATCCTTGGACGAGTCATCGAGCACGCTCGATTGACGGGAATGGCTTGCACTTTCCATGCCTCCCCGCTTCTTCAGGAGGTTCCTCGCCTTTCTATTGTCGACCTCGTTCCCACTAAAGTAGCCGCGGTCAAGATCGAAGTTAGAAAGCTCGCCGCTGAATCCAGCATCTCCTTCCAGGTCCACACTGGTCGCCGGATTGCTGATATGCAGCCTCAGCGACGGGGTGCTCCCGCCGTTGTTTGCAGTCGTTGCGTTGCTCATCGACCAGTTTTTATCGAATGATGCCTTTTTCTTATGCGGGGGGGGAAGGCTGGCGCCGACCGCCGCCGAGCTATCCTGAACCCCTGGTTTGGCGAAGTCGATCGAGGAATGACGGCGAGACTGGTTGAGTTCTCGTATCGAAGAGGCCGACCGTCGTGTCGGAGAGTCAGCAGCCATCGAAGCTCTCCAAGGGGATGGGGGCGTGCTTCGTTCAAGCTGGGACCGGGTAAAGGAAGACGGAGACATGGGTTGCTCGGAGGACGGTGGTGAGGTAGGTATGACATATGGGAAAGTGTGCTGCGTCTGGCGGATAGAGAGTCCTGGTTGCTCCATCAGACTGGGTATTCGTGGCAACAAGGTAGTGCTTCGTCCCGGGACCCGCGCGACGTCCTCATTAGAGCCATTCGGCTTGAGGCTGCTCTTTCGCGACGCTGTGCCGCTGCGGACTTGATGCTGAAAATCTCTGATCTTGTGCCATGTCTTCAGACGGCGGCCCATCAGGCCAAAATCGAATTCCTTCATGTGGATGAAGGACTGGTCCATTTCTAGCAAAACGTCGCCTGTGATTTCCTGCTCTTCAAAAATGTCGCAGTGTTTTGAGTCAACCCCTAGGCTTCTCAGGTATTCGGCCGTCTCTTTCGCGTCCCATTGCTTGACCTCGGCTTCGGTGGGGCGAGGGTTGTCCTCGCTGTCGGTCTCAGGGCCGGCGATGTAGGAGGCTCGGTCGAGATGGCTGCTATATTCACTCTCGGAATCTTCCTTCAACGGCAGCGGCGGGGACAGGCTCTGACGGGGCGTGCTCAGATCCGTAATGTGTTCGTTGATAACGCTTAATGTTTCGTTCATAACTGGGCTTTCCTCTCCACTTCCTCTGCTTGACAGAGCCTGACTGATGCTCCGATGAATATACGAGGTGGGGGACGACGGTACCGAGCTTCGTAGAGGCAGATTAGACTGTGGCGGGGTGGGCGATAAGAGTGTGCGGTGTCCGGAGGTGTCAGTGGTCGGGCTTGCTTGTCTGAGTGGTTCGCTTTTTGACTCGGGGGACGGTGTCCCAAGGAATTGAGGGCTTTTGGCGGCTGAAGCGCCCACAGGTGCGAAGTTTGGAGGAAGCTTAGCAGTGTAGACTGAGCACAGGTCAGACTCTTTTGAATGAACATAGTGTCGGGGTAGGAAACAATATAAATACCTCCAGGGAAGAGACCTGTTGTCCCTGTCCCAAGATGCTTCCCTAGAAACCATCCATCGCCAAACCCATCGTCCAACTCAACCAAGACGATCTGATCGGTTTTCCGGAGGGTCAGCTCATCAGCACTTCTTGCATCGAAGTCATCTAGACAGAGTCTGTCAGCGAAACATCTTCACCCAATGGTGAAGCAAGTAGTGAACGCACGGATGGCCACCAGGATGTCACCGGGCTGCAGAGCCGCCCGAGGGCGTTGTTGAAGAGAGGTGGACATGGTGTGATGCTCAGGCACCGACATGCAGGCCTCCAAGAGCAGGAATCAGCCAGCTAACCCAACAGACGGTGGACTGAAAGTTGTAACTGAATTGTCGGGAGATCGACCGGACGCGCAGGGACAAGTGCCTGCATGATAGAATAGCTCTTCCCACTGCACCGACAGGGTGAAAGGCACGGGGAGAGGTCGAGCTGGGTAGAAAAGATCGGTCGGGAGAGTCGCACGAGGTTGGTGGCACGGAGAAGCAGGAGGATTTGATGCTGTGCAGGCTGATCTGATTGATGGTGATGCTGCCGTCCGAGGAGGAGAGGTCACCATCGGCTACACGTCAGGGCTGTCATTGACTGCTTGATCTCGTTTTCGTTTCGATGAGGTACAACAAAAAGTCTGAGGCCTGCCGTTGATTGCACCCTCTTTCTCACTCTCGCACACACTCTCTCACTCACTCTCTGTATCTCTCACCCGTCAATGTTGCAATGGCTCCAAATGAGACCAGCCTGCGCACCCTGCGCACCCTGCCAAACAGCGGCTGGCCAGAGCCAGTATGGACTGCAGGGGGGCTCCCCCAAATTATCCTTAGAGTCCCCTATGATTCGTGGTCATCGCGGCTAGTGAGTTTATTGGCATTGTTCTCGGGCTGTTTAACTAGCAGTGACTGGCTAATTGGTGACTAGCCCTCTTCGAGGTTACAATAGGCACCCAATAGGCACCCAACAGGCAGAGGGTCGATAGGACCTTGAGCTTATGTAGTAGCCCTAGCCCATGCCCAGCTTCTTATTATTATTGTTGTTAAAAGTGCGTCGCTGGCCATGATTTCCTGCTGATGAAGTTTCTTCATCAACCTCTCTCACCCACAAAGACGGTGTCCTCTGCAAACTCTCCCAATTAATAATTGCTCTTTCCCTCTTCTATCTCTTTCACCACCTTCTGCACAGACTGGACAAACTCCCACCATCACTGGCGTCCTTTGTGTGTGCAGCTTTGCAGCGACGCATCATCCTTGCTTCACCTTCAGCCCCGCTTAATAAGTGGGACTTGACCACGGCTGGTCAACAAGCCTTCCTCACTGTTTCCTTCTAAACCTGATCCTTCATCTTGTGTATCGATGACCTCCTCTTCGATCACTTTGACGATCTCTCTCGCCTCTTGCTCGTCCGAAATGAAGATTTGACGTGTGGCATTTGATATTGGATGCCGTTGAAATTTCGCTAGAGCAGGGGGTGGACGCCATCTTCAGCCGGGCTCTTGTTCCCTTGATTCTTCAACATCCTCCAGCTTCTCGCTGTTGCCAGAGTCGCGGCCTCTTTGGCTTTGCCATCGTCGCAAATGGCTGACAAGGGACTTCGACATGGGAAAGCGAGTCCTAAGCCTACAAAACGACGGTCTCGTACCAGTGCAGTTGCTATCCCGCGCTTCGAAGACGACGACAATTCATGCATTCGAGTACCACTCCCCCCCAGCGTAATTACTGCAATGCGCACGAACCCGACTGTTCCCAAGACTGGCACAGATGGATTGAGATCGGTCCCGGCCCCGGATCATGGCGGCCAGAATGCGCGACAGAATTTGTTGACGCCGCCGACGGAAGGGCCTTCCCACCGCGACAGCTGCTCACCCGCTGGCCGAGATTCTCAGGCAATTCTCCCGGAGAGCTCGGCAGGCATCGATCGGCAAGGGGATTCAGCACCACCGTCAGAACATGCTCGCGGTAGTCGTCTAACGGGAGGATTCGGAATCTTGAGCCCACGTCATAGGCTGCAGGTAACGGGACCGTCAGCCATGACAAGCCAACGCAACGAGTCTAGTGTGGTAGAGCCACCAGACACCCATTCAAGTTTTCGGGCACGGATGCCAACGAGCGGTGAGGTGGTCCAAAGATCGCCTCTGTCAATGTGCAATCTGCCCGAGTCCAACATCGCTCCCCAGGTCTCGGAGCAGCTTACTTCAACAGGCGTTGCCAAAAAGCGGAAAGCAGACACAAGTGAGTTGGCCGAACGAACAGTCTCTCCAATGACCTCTTCAACAGTCGTTGCCAAAAAGCGGAAAGCAGACACAAGTGACTCGGCCGAACGAACAGTCCCTCCAATGACTTCTTCACCACGCTTACCAAGCCCCCATTCCTCGTCACCCGTGTCACATACAGCCTCCCTACAAGCATCACTCCCCAAATCCCGGCACAGTCTCGAGAGGACAGGCCAACAGGCACTACAACTCTATGATGCGAATTTTAGTTCCTCGACTTCGTTGGCGAATGGGCAGCAGCACCCGATGCCCCCTGTGCAGTTATCCCGAACAGGACCACCCGCAACAGAATCTCATCCTCATTACTGTGCATTTGTCGAGGATTCGGTGGTACTCCGGGAATGTGTTCAGGGAACCGATTATATAAGTAATTGGAATGTGCACATTTCAGAAGACCAATGGAAGCGGAAATCAACTCGTACTCAAACCAAGGTGGAACAGACTGGTTCTGGAGAAAGCTGTGTCTCGAAGGGCAGTTTGGAGTTCACGCTGAGATCGGTTCTTGTCGACGGGGACGGAAGGCAACCCTTTATACCCACTCAGTCAGACTTTCATCGTCGTACGTCCAAGTGGCCGAAATATTTGGCCGTATCGATCAACGAGGAATTTGACACCACCCCTATCCCCTATGATGGCGTCATTGATGTGACCCATTTATTGAGAGAGGGCGACAATCAAGTCACGATTTCGACCTGGGAACTTGGTGAGACGTTTATGTATCTCATTGCACTTGAGATCACGTGGGTGGGGACTTACGAGGAGATGAAAGACATGCCGACTCGAATCCCTGCGGCAGACGTTATTGGGACGATTACGGAGTTCTTGCGGAGCAGAAGTGATGGACTTAACGGCGATGATTTGATCGACCCCAACCCAGTCATGGGCATTAACCTGATTGACCCACTCACGCCTGAAATCTGGAGAACACCAGTCCGAGGCAGGGGGTGTCAACACCACGAATGTTTCGACCTAGAAGTATTTCTGTCCAGTCGTGCTCGCGACTTTGCTGAAGGGGGTCTAACGCGTCCCGACCAATGGAGGTGTCCCATATGCAGAGGTGATGCACGTCCCAGCTTGCTTGTGATTGACGAATTTTTACTAGGTGTACGGAACAGTCTCGAGGAGAACAACCAATTGGATGCACGCCGAATTCTTGTCAAAGAAGGTGGCTCTTGGGAACCACTCTTTGGGTCCCCGTCCTCCAGATACCCGTCGACTCTTCCATCGTGAGCTCGCCGCAAGCAGTCACCAGCATCAGCAGCTCGTCAAGCAGTTGCAACCTCATCTAACCCTCCGAAATGCAACATCGATGCTTGTTACCGGTAAGCATCAACGGAAGGCTCGAAGCGTCTACAAGCAGAACAAGACGTGCTTACAAGCACGGCCCTTTTCAACCCCATCTCGGAGGCCTCTTACCCGGCTTTCCAACAAGTCTGGTGAAGCCTTCTTCAAATTCAGCCCAACCAGGCTATTCCCTCTCACTGTCTTTGAATGGACATACAAAACTGCATCGGCCATACTCGGCAATACATATTATGAGGTCAAGACTTGCGACACGAACATTCTCACCACCATTTATTTTCCTGCTTTTTGAATGTCTACCAATGGGTGGGTTGGTATACGGGAACTCTTTTGGGGAGTTATCCGTGGCTGTTTTCTAGATACCCATTGCGCGGCAGATTTTGCCGTTCGTTGCATGTGCGCTTTGCTTCTGGCGCAACGTTATAGTGCAAGGGAAACGGGTCGGCACATAGGCCAGTGCCATGGGCAGAAGGACTGGGCATGAAATCTGCATTTGGAACACTCCTAAACTTCGCGCGTCTGTCCCATGACAGGCAAATGCAACCACGATACGTGTACGCTAACAAGCGTGGAGCACCAAAAGGTTTGGCGCTATCGAGAGCCAGTTCGGACGAGATGGATATTCCTGCAGCCGGAGATGGTGCCATGGAACCAGGCCGTGGTTTTCCTGCCTTGTAAAGCAGATCCAAAAACGTTAAGGAGGAAAGGAAGACGGCAAAAAGGAGGGGCTTTTGGACACGATACCAATATTATTAGCAGGAAGAACATTGACTATCCAAATCTGGTAAATGTGACTTGATAATGTTATTTACTGTACATCCATACCGATGATGCTGTTTCTGCACTCGAACTCTCGAGGTCCGAGTCACCTTCGTTTAGCTTTGCAGAAGAACCATGATCATGCTCCCTTCCATTATTATTTTCTATTACCTCCTTTAGGTGTTCCTCCCCTCTCCACCTCACCTCGAACCATGGGACGACGTACAGAGACCTGGAATAACAGGAATGGTGGCGCAACAGCACGAGAATCAACGGGGAGCCAGCCCCCTTTGCAGACATGGTCGGTCGGTCGAGCGATCTCAGCTCTAAGATGCTGACCGGGCTTAAGCTCGATAATGATCTGATTTACTTCCGACAAAGAAAGATCTCTTGGCTGGGAGGAGGAGGAGAGGGAGGAAGAGGAGCTCATGACGGCCAATGAGATAGGTGGATAGATAGATGGATGATCAATCAAGTATTGTATTGTCATTGTTGTTGTACCTGCATGTATCAAAAACTCGCTTTTTCTCTTTTCCAACATGACTACCTCGCACACCCCTGACAATCAGACAATAGATTGCTCTCTTCTTCTCTTCCTTTGTTATATCCCTACTTACCTACCATCCCGTCAGGCAGACGCCCGATCTTGAACAAAGAAAAGGCTCCTGCTCAAGGAAGTCCCGCATGAAGCTGGGCGCCTTGTGCTCTGCGTCGGGCGCGAGTCATAGGCCCTGGGCCTGGCGCTGGTGGGGTCGTCTTCTTCTTTTTCTTTTGAATTCTGGTCCCTTGTCGAACCTTATTCTTCGTAGTAGCAGCAGATTTGCCTTTGTTTGTCGTCTTGGTGAATTTGGCGCGAGTCCCAGCTCGAGCGGCGGTGCCGGCTCTGCCTCTTGCTACTGTTCTGGCGACTGGGCCATTTGGTTGCATGGATGCTGGAGTTGGAGTTGTAGTCGGGGCAGGCTTGGGTGCTCGCGACCTAAGGTTCATGTGATGTATCTTTGCAACGGGCGTAGCTGCTCTCATTATGAGCTTGAGTCTTTTGGGAGGCTTTTGCTCCTCTTCGTCTTCGTTATCATCGTCGGGTACTTCATGTCCTTGTGGGGCAGCATCTTGGTCTGGTGATGGCGATTGACTGGCTACAGATCTTCTAATTGATTCTGGACCAACTGGAGTCGAGATAGTTGGACTGGTCGAATCGCGAGGGCCTGAGCGTAGCAACAATCGAATACGTAGGACGGGCTGCCGAGGGTAGCTGAATGGGCTGAAATCGCGCTCGCCGTTCTGGTACACCTTGATCAAGGTCTCCCAGGCCTGATTCACTTCGTCTGGCGACATCTCGACCGCGGTCTGTTCGGGATCTCGGTGCTGACCAGTATAAGAAACGTCGGAAAGTCCTCCTGGGATGTCCGTGTCGAGACGAGGGACGCGTTCAAGTAGTAGCCTTCGCAGCCGCGCAGCGGACTGCACTGATGTTTGCGTCGCGGGAACCGAAGAGGGCTTGGTGCGTGACGAACCCCGCGGCTGGTAACCTCTCTTGCGCTTCTTCAGATGATTCATGAAAGTCTGGGCCATGGTTCCCCGGCCAGATGGTGATGATGAGGAAGAGCCATCTGATGCCGACGAATCCAAGGCCGACAACCTGGATTTCGATGCCTCTCGCCACGTTCCGAATGGATTACCTGACAATGGAGCCGCTGGATGTGTGGTTTTGATACTGCTCTGCGATTCCTGAAAGCGGTTGTATGAGGGTTGCCCTTGAGAAACATGCGCTTGTGATGATTCTTGAGAGTTGGTAGGCTGCACCCCAGGCTGAGTCGATTGAGAACCTGGGTTCTGGTCTCCTTGTGGAGGCTTTGATTCCAGTGATGGCATAGCTGGCCTCCTGGTTCTCGGGCCGGCGGGCCTGTCATTGATATCTGCATCATCGTAATGATTCTCCAGCAAATCTATCGGACGGCCATCGGCTGATATCCAATGTTCAGCATCGTAAAAAGCGTTGATGACGCCGCCGTCTTCAGGGTTGAAAGTGGATTGTGTTTTAGGACTGCTGGGGTGGTCTAGAGGCACCTTTCTCGGTTCTGGATTCCAATCCACCATACGAAAACTTAGATCCTTCCATTGCACTCGGGGTATATGCCAGACGAATTCTTCCAGCGGCAGTTCGGGCTCAGTGTGAATGTTGTCGTCAACAGGCATGGGCAGGTCGTTGCGGGACATGGCCTCACGATGAGCGGCGCAGTATGTTGGAAGATAACAAATCTTCACTGAAGGTTCGCATTTCGACGATTCGTTTGCCCAACCGGTGAAGGGGAAGGTGTATTGGGGAACTCCATCTTTGTGCTTGTCACAAACTTCGACGAAGCAGGGTAATTTTAGCTCCTCAACGCCGCCATCGCAAAGATTTTCTGGGGTATGTTCATCATAGTCATCACCCGCATCCGAGGGCCTGTAGCACTTAGTATAGCGAAACCTGATGATCTTGCACATGTTGAACAAGAAGGACATGTGATTCTCGAAGCAGTTTTGGGGAGGACAATCAGTTGATCATCATGAATAGAGAGAGGAAAGTAAACAACAGGTCTTCGAGTCAATGGGACATGGGACCATGAGCAATATCACTGTGGTGGACTCTTTGAGGCACAGGTCTCCCTACCTTTGAAATGGGATGTTCCAAAATAACTTTCTATTCAGACTCTTTCGTTGTCGTCCATTGTGAATAGAGCCTGGACATCAACAATAGACTCTTTGATATCAGGCTCAGTGAATTTGTGAAAGACAAAAGAGCATGAACAATGTGATGGCCGTAAGTGAATAGAAGCCATTGTGGACAAAAAAAGTGTGAAAAGGAGTGAATAGGGCTTCACTGAGTATATGTGCCGAGGAGATGGAGTTATTGTTGTTCACAGACGAATGTCCTACCTTTTCCATGATGGAGGATGAGATGGTGTAAATCGTAGTAGTAAAGGATGAGAAATGAGGGAGAGCGTCAGGGGCATGTGCAATCCATCACGTGATAACGCGTCTGCTCAGACGAGTTCGTCGAGTCAGTGTAGTGTACGAGGACCTCGGCAACGACTCCGCCAATGTGCTAGGGGTTCTAGTGGGCTTCTAGGCATACTCTGGGTAAGAATTCCGGCTTAGCGAGGCCTTTGAGCGGTCACTGCGGGGGACCCCTGCCTATTAGATGCCCATTAATTACCCATTAACTCCCGATTAACTGCCCTTATAACGCTCGCTCGGCCCACTACAGCGATCCTCCGAAATGAGTACAATGTAAACACTCGCTTTTCGTCAGCGCAGTTAATTTCTGGTCTTCTCCTCCTGCCTCCGTATCAACCCGGTTCAGGTTGTGCCTGCGCTGTGTGTGTCCTCTTCTTCTTACAATGTTCTTTTCTTCATCTTGAGCGTCTTAAGCAGCCTCTCCTTGAGCAAAGCAGATTTTCCCTTCTCGCATTCCTTTGCTTTTAGAGCACCGTATTGCATCACGCCTCGCGGTGCGAGGTCTGGAATGTTGGTTAATTTCAATTCTGTCGAATCATTTGCCCTTCCACAACCCAAGCTCTGTCTACTAGCATTTCCTGCCGTGCCTGTCACCAATGGTAAGCGTCATTGCGCTTGCGAATCATCCCAGCATTGTCAGAGCTCCATGACAACATAATTCTTTAGCCACAAGACTATGGACGACGCTCATGCCCACCCCCCATCACCGGCGCCACCCTCCACACCCGCTCACAATCAATACCGCCGTCGTTGCGCGAGTTTCCTGTAAGCCAAACAACTCCCAAGTCTGCCCCTCACACTCGACAGCAGAGACTTCTCCAGACCCGTCATGCGAAGTTCTCAGCGCAGAGACTTTCTGGCAATGGCATCAACGTCTCATTTCCTCCGCTGAACCGCTCCGCCGAGAACGACTCTCCATACTTTCCTTCAGCACGATTTCACAGACGAGAAGAGAATGGCAGCGACACAAACAAGGCCGAGAAGTTGAGCAGTGCATCCACTGAGTCTGCCATCTTGGCCGAAATCTCGAATGCCAATATTTGCCGCATCCGAGGATTGAAGAAACGAGCTGCTATACCAGTCTTTCAGGATTCACCGGAAAGGCCGACCGCCCGAGACACAAGAGCCACTACACCTTCAGTCTACCACGACGCATCCAGTGATATACACCCTCCCTCGGTTCCTAGTTCTTTGCAAGAAAGTCCGACCAATATGGGCCTTAGAGAAGTCTCGGTCAACCTTCAGAGGCCATCGCCTCGCAAAGATTCACCGTATTATCGCTCGGCGCGCCCAGGGTCAACCAGGAAAGCATCTCAGACAAAACACCGGTTCAACTCGGAGGAGTACATCGAGCACATTGAAAATGAGTTGCAGATGGTCAAGGACGCCATGTATTCACCGACCACTCATATGCCCTGGAAAGAAAAGCTCCGAAAAGCAAAGGAAGAGAATGACCGCCTAAAGAAGGAAATGGATGCCATTAGAGCCTCGTTTGAATTCGAACTTCATGAAACAGTCGAACGGTCTACGGAGACAGAGCTGAAGCTGAAGCGCCGGATTAAGGATCTTGAAGATGAAGTCGAACTTAAGAAGTCGGTCATCCACGATCTAGAATGCGATCGCGAGGAAAAGAGATGTGATCAAAATGCCTTGGAGATCCTGAAGGCAAGGATTGAGAAGCTGGAAGAAGAAAGATTTAGCCTGGAGACCACGAATCGCGATATGACGAAGCGGAATGAGGTATTAACCCAACTTCTAGCCCTGTCACCGACAAAAGCCCAGCCCACCATAGGAATTCCTACGCCGAGACGCAAAAGTGGCCGTCCTATGTCGCTCGTCATCCCAAGATTGCCGACATCGCCAGGCCTTCAAACATCTCAGAGCAGACCCCAATCTATCGTGGCATCTCCAGCCCTTGCGGCTTCTGACTACTTCGCTGCACACCTTCCATCCTCGCCCTTGTCCTCGAGTCCGTTCGACACAGCTAGCCGTTCCCCAGAGGCCATTGATGACAGGCACTCGATCGACTCCGTGTTAGGAGAGTCCGAGATGCAAGGCGGGGATAGGACTGAATCGAGGCAATCAACGCTTGTCTCTAGTTCTTCAAACAGCCCTGATATGCCTGTTGGCGGCCATGTTCGTTCAGAAAGTCGGTCACAGACAGTCCTGAGACATCCTTCAAGGAGAAGGCCTCGGAAATTCATGCCTGGATCTACACAGCTCAAGCCATTGCTCTTGCCAACGTTCACGGCTGAAAGTGGCAATCTTCCGTCAACTTCACCCATCACGTCGCCAGTTCGACCACTCCCCATCCACATTAGCTCTGAGATAAGCAGATCTGAACAACCTCTGGTTACGCATGCGACCATTCCAGACTGCCTGGAGACTCCCTTTCCAAGCCCTGAAAATGTCATTGGTCGACCGTTATCAGATTATCAGAGCTTAGATGAGGTCTTCGCCAACGATGAGCAACTTTTCCAGCCGGAGATTCTCGAAGATCCCCTTGTTGGACTTTCCTCTCCAAGCCACATAGTGCAGCATCAGACTCCAGTCCAGATCAACCAGATTGAGGCTACCGTGGAGCCTTGCTCCAACCCACGTATCAGGTCCTGGGTTTCAAAGACAGTATCTTCATTGCCGGGGGATGTGGCGTGCGAGTCCCGTCACTCTGTAGTTACTATTGCTGGGATAAGACGAGGGAAGGGTCCTGAGATACCGGGAAATATCGAGGTTTACAATCAGCAGGGCACTGCCGCGGACTTCGAAACCGCTCATACATTTCATTTTCGAGATTATGTCGAAATACCTCGTCCGTTATTCTCGAAACATCGGACCCGAGGCGGAGGTTGCTCGTCTTCCTACAATGATTACCCTGACTCGCCACTCAATCCTCGAAAGCGGAGGAAAACAAGCTCGATATACGAGTCGCGCGGCTCAGAAAATAAGGACGTCAAGCATGGATCCTGCGATATACAGATCTGCCCACCTGCTTGCGAAGATGTCTTCACACCTGGGTCTGTCACTGAGCGGGAGACGAAGAGGTCCGTGGACGAGCACTTGACCCTTCCTAAGAAACAAGCGTCCGCTCCAGCCCGCACTCCACTTGAGATGCTCCAGCATCGCAATATAGGTTCGAGGCCTTTGGCGACCTTGACAATCCAAACGGTTTATGCGACCTTGTCGAGGTACACTACGTACATTCAAGGCTTCAAACGAGATCCTCTGTCTCTAGCACGACGGGTTATAGCAAATGCTTGGAGGTCAAACTGGGTAATGTTTGGAAAACTGAGTTGGTGGGTGCTTGGATTGTTCATTGGCTACCGGCGACAAAAGGCTGATCACCAAGACTGGGATTGGACAAAGTACGACGGTGAAAGTATTGCTCACGAATGTTGTCTGACGGATGTTGCTCCTCCTCTCATCGAAGCTTCAAGCCAACTTACACGCGAGATCAGTCCGCACCACTCCGGTGACAAGATCGTGGCGTCAGAAAGTCAAGCACGGACACCTGCTACTCTACCGGCGTCTCCATCGAACGCGCCCAAAACTGGCTGGGGCCGGTCGTTATACCTCTGGGGCAAATTTAGTGTAGCGATTATGCTCGCTGTGGGCGGTGCCATCGTCAAAGGGCCGGCTGAGATGTTACGAGACACTGACGATCGCAGGAAGTCTCGGAGTAACAGCCTTGTCGAAGATGCGTCAGCAAGCTGCAACTCCCGGCACGCCGAATTTAACAAAGCAAATCGAGCCACTGAGGATATCAATCACTTTTGCCACAGGCATCGTGCGAGTCCATCGAGGGTCAATGAGACTCTGGGTGTTGCTCGGAAGGCTCGAAGTGTCAGCTCTCCGCCGATCTCGCCACTGATGCACCGTGGTGCGAATGAGGATCCACAGCAACGCGGACCATCTACCGAAGATGTATTGCATTCGTCCATCGAACCCAACCTGGGGAAAGAAGACATGACTTATTGGAGTGAAGACACTCTAAAACCTGCCAGGAGTGACCGCAAAGGATTAGACTCCGTCTTCCGACCGCCAGACCCTATCACATCTAGGCCTGATCAATCTGTTGCTGAGATAAATGGTACGCAGAGCACAGCGTAAACTTCAGTGCAGAGAATGTGATGTGAAGGCTCCGAACACAAACGACTTCATACATATTAGGGCATGGGCTGCGTTCAGGCAGCTGACAACTTGAAGGGGGTATTGCAAAGTGAAGAGGCCACCACTCGTTTGTATGATTGATGACTTGTATGAATCACATCAATGGTCAATGCATTGAACTTGAACTTGTGAACATGGAACTATTAGCTGTGAAAGACGACGAGCGCATGGAGATGAATGAGATGAATGATGCAGGCAATGGATTACAACTCCAAATGTATTGAAGTTGGACAGGACAGTCTTGGACAAGAGACAAGATTGGCGTCGACCAACAAGTCCGATAAAAGTACACAGAGGCACCTCTGGTGGCTTACAATGTGTTCACTTTCTTCGCTCTCCCTTTTCTTCAAATCCGTATCACGAAGTAATCTGAATGCACGCGGCATTCGCTCCGTAATGACGTTTGCTATCCTCTATCCAGCAGGAGCTTGTCAGCCTCGCCAGTCACACGCTGAAATTGCCACTATCATTGTTCGCTACCGCAGTATGTAGGGTATATCGCGAACATCATCCCCCATACCTCCAGTCCAAACTCCGACAATCCAAAAGCACTCAGCCGACCAATTCCAGAAGCCTGGGCACGGTGCATTGCATCAAAATGGCCGCATCGTGCCTGTTGTGTCGAGATGGTTTCGGGTCCAACCGAGCAAGAGGCGAAAGGGGGTGGGTGTTCACATATTTCGGCTAGACATGGGTGGTTTGACAGTCCAGAACTGGTCACTCACGACATCAAACAAGGCATATGTAGTTGATCGGCTTCCAGGTAGGCAGACTGCGGCGTGCAGCTTGAAGTCCCCTGCCACTTTGACACGGCCTTTCCAGTGCATTTGGTCAGCTGCCAATTCACAGTCTCATGGGATGTGATGTTGGGGTGGTGGACGATTCCGATTCCAGCCACGTTGGATGAGGCATGATGTCGGAAGGACGTTATTGGCATCCCTGTTGAAGGAGATGTGTGCATGTCTGAAAACGACATCCAGATCGACAATGTTGGGCGGGGGTCCCAGCGTGCAGATTTGGCGCTAGAGTTCGCAGCTGTGCCGCGGGTATAAGGGTTTGGCTGAAAAGGAGCGGTTTGGCCTTTTCGTGTCTGAGGTGAGTGACAGAGACGGCGACGAGCAACAACAACGGACCAACGTATCCCTTCAGACCTCTCAGTCCTTGTCCCTCCCACTATCTCCCGCAGGCAGCTTCCCTTGGGCCCTCAGCTTCCGCTTTTCACCCACGTCCCAATTGTGCACTCTCGCAATGGCGACCTCGAGCGTCGTGATCTGCACCCGCAGAAACTCGAGGTCCTCGTCGCACGCACTTAGACTTTCCTTGGCCTTGTCCAGTTTCCCCTGTAGGAGCTCTTCTGCCTCGTCGAGAGGGTACGCGACCATGACGTTGGCGCCGAGCCACAGGTAGACTTCGTCGATCTCGGCCGGCTTGATGACTGCTTTGGCGTACAGCGTGTCTTGCAGACTGAAGGTGGTCTCGATCTCGTCTCTGCCCGTGGACTTCTCTCCGAGTAAATCGTCACTTCCTGCTTCATCATCATCATCATCATCATCCCCCTTTTTGTCGGCGAGATCCCGTCTCTTCTTTTTCAAAAACCGGACCACCTCCAGCGTCCGCTTCATCTCCGGCAACTTCTCCTTCAACCCGATCGCCCGACGCTCCACGTTCTGCTGCATGAATGTGTACTTGGACACCATCTCTTGGAATCGCTGCAGCGTGGGCTCCACCTCCTCGACGGACTTAACGTAGTCGGTCACATTGTACATGAAAGGAAAGGCAGGGATGCCTCGGGGGTTGGCTTCGGTCTCCACTGTAGTCGTCGTCATGTCTATCGGCTTGGTTCACGGCTTGAGAGTGACGGATCAAGACTTATTGGTAGGGAAATTATCAACTGTAGTATCATAAGGTGTGTGCTGGCGTCCCAAACTCGAGCTTTTGTTATGGATCGAAGGACATTCACGTTGTTGGACGTGAAAAGCAATAATAATGGCGGTGCGGGGATTGAGTTGCTTAGTCTCCACCGGAACTTTTATTTTTCCGTGTCGACCGATTGGGAATACCTGAGACTTATTAGTATTACCTTGTACTGTGTAGGGATAAGATACTCCTACAAGCGTTCCGTGTCTTCAATGGTTCACTGGGCTGCGAAAGATCAGAGGGACATTGTATATCATCAATTGATTTCAATTCGAAAAGCACAAGCTATGGGTGTCGCCTTTGTGAGGACCATGCTTTTGTCCAGTGCCCCTTTTTTTCTGAAAATCATCCTTTTGCTCGTGAGAGCCTCATATCTCTGGTTCCAGTCAGTCTTCACAAAGGCCCCAAAATCTTCTAGCCGATAATCAACCCGTTCTCGCTCGTAATTCTTCATGGTGTATCGTTACACATTTGCCGAGACTTCTCTTGATGGCTCGGTGCGGTAGCAGTAGCCGCAATCCATTATCCCTCTCAAATTCCAAAACCGTGTCGTTAAAAAGGAACATTGTCTAGTACAATGTTGTACATTATGCCTTCAGACCCTCGTCAGTGCCCCTCCCTTTCATCTTCTGTTGGGTCTCCCATCTTTGTCGGCTCCTATTCATCTCGTCTGCGTCAAACGCTGGCACCTCCTGAATGGCTGGTTCTCCGTGGCGACTGGGAGGACGCGTACCGGAAACCTCTGTGAGAGCAGTGTTTGACCGCATTCTCCGTATGCTAAGCTTGCTCTTCAAGCTGCGGTCTTTTGCAGGTGTCGGTGGTGGTCGATCATGGTTGTCCGGTCCGTTCATTTCTGCAGAATATGATGGGGTGCGTGGACGGAAGTCGTCTTTGACGTTTGTCCGACTCTTCATCTTTCGAAGTTCGCGAGCGATTCGCTCCAATGTTGACCCCGACGACTTCTGCGTCACAGTGATTTCATCGTCCTTGGGCGGCGGCAGTGGCTTATCAAGCAATTGTCTGTCTTGAGAGGTGTGTCGACTATGGTTATGGCTGCCATTGCTGAAGCTGCTGCTTGTGCTAGGTCTGGTCGTGTGGCTCTTCTGGCTCTGCGCAGACTTGTTGCTTTGGGCAGAGTTGCGGTTCGACGAGCCTGCAGAGCCAAAGGAAATCGCCGAGTCAACCTTCCGACGACCCTCCTCCTCATGATCAAGAGACTTGAACGAGGTAGTGGTTGGGGAGGGACTGGCGCCGGTGATGTCGTAACATTCTTCGATGATGTTGTTCGCCATGCGGACATATTTGTCCAGAGTGTCTCGAAGGCTGACCCAGCCATTGGGATCATCTGCTTTCTTGGCCTGGTTCATCAGGTTGGACAAGACCGCTGGTCCATTTTTTTCCACCGCCGTGATATACTTGAAGAACCCGTTGCGTTGCTGAGTCAAAATTTGAGGCGTCAGCTGTGCGGTTGGTTGCACAAAACGTGAGGCATTCATGTTAATTGGGGGATAAAGGGTGTTGAGCATCGCCAGACAATTGCCTTTGTCGAAAGGCGTCAAGGTAAGCTCATTGATCAAGGTCCATCTTCTTAGCCCAATATAGACCTGAGTATAAAGCGCTTCAACTTTGCGCTCCCTCTCTTCGATGTCGGATACCCAGCGTAGAACGCCGGGATACTTCTGTGCCAGCTTGTCTCGGTGACTGAGGTCATCTCGTTCGATACCAAGCTTGTCCAGAGCCGCCACCACCTCCCGCCGACGTCTAACTTCCAGATCCTTCAGGTAATCCATGGCAGTTAAAGCTTGTGGGAAGTCAACCTGATCCAATTCGCGAGGGAAACATTTTCGAACAAAGCTTGTGATGAAGCTTGGGGGCAAGGATGTTGGTTGGGATGGCAACTGCAGTATGTGTTGCATAACATTGGCGCGCAGTTGAGCGGCGGCAGTCATTGTGGACATATTCGGCTGCTCCTCGGTGACAGAGGGCTTTCGAGGAAACGCATTACCAGGAACCCCAGTCGGCGACGGTGTTGGCGGACACTGCTGTTGATGTTGAGTCGTTGCATTGAGAGTGTACATGGTTCGGAGGGGGATCTCATAGGTTGCAGGGTAGGTTATCAAATGCTCCAAAACCCAAGGGTAAGCCGCACTCCGCGCGTTGTAATCTCCTTCGAGGGAAGACATTATGCCTGTCTCAGGGCGACGTTGGTCTGTCAACAGATTTCCAGTGCTCAAAGATAAATAGACAATGGAACACGGTCCAAATGAAGACTTGAGCTCAAGATCTGACTTTTGGGACAAGGAGGATAGCGGAACTCTCCCACGGCCTTGCAACCGCGACGTTATAGCTGTAACGCGTCGGAAACAAGAAGGATTCAGTGTCCCCAATTCCTCGAGGTCCTACTCTTGTGGTCGAACGTGCTGTGTTTGTGGTACCCGATCGTCCGTTCGTTGTTTACGGCATTGAGAATTTGTCAACAAAAGCGAGATTGTGAAACCTTTCAGGATTGCAGGTCAATGCAGCAAAGATGACTGCAAAGTTTGTGAACCGTGCTGCAACCAAAGACCAGCATGCAAGTTCGACGTAGGGCACCGCAGGAGTTGGGCACCGAATCTTTGGAGGAGTTTAGCCGGACCGAAGGGCAGGTGATGTTAATTGACAGATGCTAAGATGCCCAAGTAGGCTTGAACGAGAGGCAAAGTCGGAGAAAGCGAAGATCAATGAGGGACAAGGCGTGCAGGGTGTTGTGTTGTATGTGCACTGGCACGAAAAGCAAGCTTGAAGGAGTGTAGGGTATGATGCAGCAGAACAACAACCAACTGCGGTGGTGGTGGGTGTGTATGTAGATGTCTCGGAAACTGAGGTCGAGTGATTGTACACGACTGAGTCCAGAGGTTCGAGTTCTTGAGGATGTTGTAGGGACTGGGTACGAGGAGGGTGACTGACGCTAGGATACGGGAACAAGAGTCGAAAATGCAAGATTTTAGTGTTGTGGAGCCCAGTTCAAGGTGGAGTTGTTGACCCATGGTGGCCGGACGGCGGAAGGGCGACAGGGGGGTGAGTTCTGGGTGTGGCGCTATGGTTTTCTAGGTATAGCTTACAGTCATGGGCATCGCTCGTAGCGAGGGTTCACCAAGACTGACTATGCCGTAATGCGTAACGGCACCTCGGCAGCCCTTAACTTTTGGAGCCCAGTGACTTTGGGTCGGCACTTCGGGGGCTACGAGTAATGGAGGGTAGGTGGTGGGCGTAGGTGGGCAGCAATCATAACAACCACTGCATCGGGCTCGCCCAGAGATACCCAGCACGCCTACGAGTTCTCCATCCTTCGGCAATACTGTGTATACAAGGTCCCTATCTCTAGGGAAGATGGTCTACCCACGTAGGCACAGTAACAACAGTAGTTGCATCGGTAACTCAAGTTTGACACTCCCTTCTCTTCCCTCCCGTGTCTCGCACTGACTGCCGTCTTCCTCCTCCCTCCACCGTGTTCAGCCCAGCAGTTGATATTCCGTAGTGACCTGTGGATGCCCCTCTCAGGAGGGGGCTGTCGCTGTCAAACTTTCATTATTGCGTGCAGATTGCTGCGTGACCGTGTTTGGTGTGCGGTCAGTTACCCTGACCGAGTCTTGTTTGAGTTGAGTTCTACCCTGATGTGCCTCACTTTTGACTTATTCTCCGGTGCTTCTGTTATCTTCAAGTTTTACCTTTTACCCTGCAGTGAACATCCAGTTCTCGTGCCATGTAGGGATCAATTCAAAAGTCAGTTTCAGCGTTTTCTCGACAAAGCAGGCCAGCTTTGGCATCACCCGACTTGTACCTGGGAACACCGCAGGCCCACCAAAAATGTCCGCAGTATTGGCTCGCTAACATGCAGCCTCAGGCCCTAACAGCCCCTTCCCCCTTGGGCCATCCAGTCGGCTTCCAAGCAGAATTTTCGACTTTAGCTTCACTTACTGACCCCAGTACGCAGGCTTAGCTGGCGAGTTGGCGAGGAGCTCATTCTGAGTGATCACAGTCCTCCTCCTTGCAGAACAGCTGCATGTGCAAGCTGCCGGAAACGACTTCCCCTTCATCATTCTTCCACTGCATCCAGCCATACCAGAATCGGCCTTCGCCGCTTGCGGAGCACAGCCCCCAGGATGTGGGTGTACAGAGTCCTATAATGAGGTTGATATCCATCACGATAGACATACTGAGGCTTGTGTTGACACTCCTGGCTGATCAGTCATATCAGACATGTCTTCGCCCCTCGTGGCTGTGAGGGCTTGTGCCCTGACAAACACGGGGTATACCCAGGGTAGCCAACTACTGTACAAGACATGACCGGGATCATGAACTCTGGGCAGACGCGTCAAAACAAAGTTATGCCATGGGCTCCAGCAAGATTTCAATCTCCTGAGTCACGTTTGACTTCCTCGTCAAGGTCCTTAGTGAATTGCTCCCTGCCTCGTACACACCAGATCAACTTCTTGGGGGGCGAGCATCAGGCTTGATTTCCTGCCCTCTGCTCTGCCTTCACATCGAGAGTGGTGCGGCGACCATCTCCCACCCTAAGAAGGTCCAGGGCAGGCGTCGTCACGCCAAGGTCCCTGGGATGGAATGCCCGCCGGAGAAAATTCTGTGCAAGCTTGCAGGGATTCTTTTAGGCTCTTCTGCGCCAACCTTGGGTACATGATACCCGACATGGTTTCGCGCCTCCACTCTTACCCTGGTCCCGGGTTCCTACGAGCTGCATTCGGTAGAGTATGCGGATTATGCAGGGGAACGGACAAATCGCGACTGGCCGCGGATGCAAAATCTTGAGCCTGGCGTCCTTTCGCTTGTTGGGAATCTGGAAGCTCGGTCTCGACTCTCTCCCTCAAGTTCTGCTCATGTCGGACCCCCAAGCTACCCCTCTAGGCGAGCCCCTCCAGGAATCGCAGGCTTGAGCTATTAATCAAACAATCAATATCACCAATACCGACCATTATTGACCCTATCACCCCCTCCCCGGAAAGTCACGCCCGGCAAACAACCATCCGGGCAAAAGACCTGTGAGTGGGATTTCTGGTGTCTCGAATGTGTGTCAGAATTCATGACGTCTTCAAATGTTATGTGGAGTATGCCTCCGTCGAAAATTTCGATTGAGATTCATCATACTCGTAGCAGTCGCAGCTGTGGTCATCAGCTGGCTGCATCCTGTGCAACCTCCGGAGGCCGTTGCTCGATGTGAAAAGGGGTCCAAACCAAAAACTCACCAGAGATCAAGGGTCCCAAAACGTGAAGACAGGCAAGATTCTGAGCCGTTGGGCTTGTGACTGGGCTGTGATGCTCTCTATCTTGTACCCTGTCGTGTAACCAACCCAGACAGTCACTGCCACAACGACGCAGTTTGCACTTCGCAGTTTGCCCGCTTTGTTTGTGCATCCTTCTCCCCTCCTATCCTCGAGGGTCATCCACAATCTCGTGGTGATCATCGCTAAGAGGCATTTCACCTCGTTTGGGAAGTCCGACGTTGGAAGAGATCCTCCACAAACTTACTGAGCCCTGGCAGGTGATCATCGTCATCCGCTATGTATATACAGGTATGTCTACCCACCTACCCAAACCCTAGCAAGGTTCGCAAGAACCCATGGAATCGGCCCGGATCCGTGCCAACTTTGTCGCACTAGTCTGTGATCAGGTAGCAAATGTCGATCACCTACTGAAAGGAAAACAAACATCGCAGATCACAGCACAGTTCAGGAATGGAACACACCAGCGCCTTGGAATCCCCCTCACTCACGAGCTCCTGGCATCCATAGCCTGCCTGGTGGTCCGTCTCCGGCTTACTCACGCCTCGCCGGTTATAACCAATACCCAAGAGCCAGCGGCGGTCTATTTGGATCGACCGTGCGTTAGGGAACAAGAACCGGCGAGCTATATTGAGCTGGTTCCGAAGGCGGTACAAGCGTCCCGGTACACGCATCCGGCATGCGGTTCTCCATCTCCCGCACCACTGGGACTTAATACCATACTATATTACTGGCCACTCTCGACCATATTGACCAACAGCAAACACTATTGTGGTTTGAAACCCATCATCTGACACCTCAGCAAGCTGGGGGCTTCCGTACCATGGAAGTCCTGCTTCTCCGAGGACACTCCTGCATGATCATTGAGATCAAGCACGTCCATCAACCATCCCTATCTTCCTCGCTGGACACAGCTTGACTGTTGTCGGATTCAGCAAGATCGCTCAATGCCCACTCACCCAGGAATCCTTCCTCTTTGACGGGGCTTCTCAGGTCGACGCCGTTCTTCTCCGCCCACTCCACTATGCTTGAGCGATTGATGACCACAGTTGCCAATTCTTCTGGGTCAATTTCCGCCCCATGAGCGAAACTCGCGGATGCCATCCCGTTCACCTCGGGCGTGGAAGACTTTGCCTTCTTCCTCTTAGGCGCTACCACTTTACACAGGCCCATCTCTGTCAGCGCAGCGACTACATCCTCTCCCAGCATTCCGGTCCTATCCCCAATCTCCTTGACAGTCATCTCCTCCTTTCTTGATTGAATTGTCTTTCTCTTCCTGCCACCCACCTTGGCTTGGTCGAAAACCCTTTTGGCGTCCGCATCCGCCGTCTGGCCCATCAGAAACCGCGCAATGCGTTCGGACCAAAACCTAAGGTATGACTTCCGGCCCATGGCGCTCAAGGGCTTTTCGGGGCCGCCAATTACCCCGCCTTCCCATTCCCACCCGCTAAGCTTGTACGAGACGGCCATCAGCAGCTGGCCTAGCTGCCGATGCTGAAAGGGAGGGAAGATTAATATGCACGCGAGGTTGTTCGAGTCCCACGAGAGATTCTCCTTGGAAAAGAATCCCAACACGCGCGTGCGGTAGAGGGCGCCATCTTCCTCTGAGGTATTCGCCGACGTGCTCCTTTGTTTCCGTCCTCGGGTCTTGGTTGTCGCAGGTGTTGGTGATGGGGTGGGATTCTCAGGCTTCGTATACGTCAGGACGTAGTACTTGAATCCTGCGGTATCAAAAAAGACACTTTTCTGCTCCAAGAACAACTTCCCGAACAGACTCAAATTCTGGCAGTAGAGTTTTTCCTTCTCGCCGTCTATTTCCCAGACCGCATACCCGTCCCATTCGTAGACCTTGAATGCGGATGGTGGGACAGGTTGGTCTGGTTCAAGGTTTTCAGAGCGGAGACGGCGGTGGTGGGCAAGGTGTTGAATGAATTGTTCTTTCAGAGGTGTGTAGCGAAAACAGCACGGGCAAACATACAGGAGGCGGCAGGTCGGCTCCTCTGTCTTTATCACACTGTGAAATCTGCCCAGCTGGCCGTGAGAGTGGCCATTTCTCAGGTCTGTTGATGCCGAGCCGCCGCCTGGTTGCGGGACGATGATGGTGTCAGGGTAGGGCGAATAATACCACGCATCGAAAAGCAAGTTTCCCAGGACGACCTGATGGATGTTTCGATTCAGAACCTGTAATGAGAGACGACGGGAGCGATGAGGGGAGCCTTCTTGGAGGACTGAGGTTGAGACGTTGTTTGTTTTGACCACCGCAGAAGGCATGTTCGTTGGTTGCATCATTCAGTGCGCGTGCAAAGGTCATGACTCTCCACAAGCCATCACACGGGCCAGAATGAATGCCAATACTATACTGGAATGATACGTTGGAGAAAGCAGTGGGTGTCTTTTGGATCGGATCAGTGCAACCAACCCATCCATATCCCAAGGTTCGAATATCGAAATCAACATTGCAGCCACCACCGCAAAGATGGCTAGAAGCGGCTGAGGCGCGGTCATCCAATCACGAGCGACTGTGGCTGAGGCGAATGTGGAATGTGGCTGCGGATTCTTTGAGAATCTACGACGGTTGTAAGAGGACAGATTGGTAGGGACATTCGCAGCAACACCTTCACTCATTCATTTCACATCTCTTTGTCAATCTGCTCTGTTTCCGTTCTTTTGGCCTTAGACCCGCTCACTTTCTCCTTTGCCCTGTACACCAGCTGCCCTCACACTATGCTACAATGATTCTTACGTTGCAACGACTCGGCCTCCTCGCTGCTCTTCTCGGGCTCTACCTCTCGTCTTTCGGTAACGTCGATGCCGTCGACATACCGTCTGACGCTCCGCTTTCTTCTTTAATCGCGTCAGGGAAAGCTGCACGTGCCCGAGGAGCCAACAGTGAGGCTCTCGCATACTTCGATGCCGCCGTCTCCAAGGACTCGACCGATTACCTCACACTTTACCAACGAGGAATCACCTATTTGTCCTTAGGAAGGAACGCGCAGGCAGGTGCTGATTTCGATAATGTGTTAAAAATAAAACCTGGGTTTGAAGGGGCGTTGTTGCAGAGGGCGAAGATCAGGGCGAAGAATGCAGACTGGGCTGCGGCACGGGAAGATTATGTGGCGTTGGGAAACCGAGGAGCGGCAGACCTGGCCCAACTCGAAGAGGCAGAGGGTGCAGCATATCTCGCAGTCGAAGCGGAGAAGAAGCAAGATTGGGAAACGTGTATCAACCAGGCAGGTATTGCCATCATGACAGCAGGTACGGCCTTGTCATTGCGCCAATTACGGGCTCGATGTCGATTTGAGCGTGGTGAGGTACAAGAGGGCATCAGCGATCTCCAACATGTCCTCCAAATCCATCCAGGTCTAGTGGAACCACACCTACAAATTTCGGCCATGTTATTCTACAGTCTGGGGGATACAAAGCTGGGCATGGACCAGATCAAGAAATGTTTGCATTCGGATCCGGACTCGAAGCCCTGCAAGTCTCTCTTCCGGGAGGAGAAGAGTATTTTGAAGCAAGTCGACCAGGTTCAGGCTCTTTTCGACAAACGACAATTCAACTCTGGGAGCAAGGTGCTGGTGGGGAAGGGCACCGACGACGAGCCTGGACTCCTCGCGCAACTCAAGTCTCACATCGAGTCTCACCGTGCACAGGGAATTATCCATGCAAAAGCGCCCTCGGATCTCTACACCAACATGCTGGAGAAGACCTGCGAAGCATTCATGTCGCTGAACAACATGAACAAGGCCGGCAAGTACTGCTCCGAAGTGCTGACTCTGAGACCCAACTCTCTTCATGGGCTGTTGTACCAAGCGCAGAAACACATGGACGCCGAAAATTTCGACGCCGCAATTTCGACCCTCAACACGGCACGGGACAACCACCCAGACGCTCAAGGGACGATCAATTCCAAATTGCACGAAGCGCAAGTTGCTCTGAAGCGTAGTAAAACCAAGGACTATTACAAGGTCTTGGGCGTGTCTCGCGACGCTGACGAAGCCACCATAAAGAAGGCCTACCGCACCGCGACCAAGTTGTACCACCCGGACAAGGCCGCTGCGAGAGGGATATCCAAAGAGGAAGCGGAGAAGAAAATGACATCGATCAATGAGGCCTACGAAGTCCTCAGTGACCCCGAATTGAAGGCTAAATTCGACAATGGAGACGACCCCAATGATCCCATGGCCAACCAGGGAGGCAACCCTTTTCAAGGCAGCCCATTCGGTGCAGGAGGCCAGCAGTTTTTCTTCCAACAAGGATCCCCTGGCGGCGGCGGCGGTGGACAGAGGCAGTTCAAATTCTCGACCGGTGGCGGAGGTTTTCCTGGAGGAAATCCTTTTGCAGGCTTTCCAGGTTTCGGGTAGAGTGGGAGCCATTTGGCCTGGGTTCCTGGCATTTGCATATTTTGTTCCTTGTCACTTCACGAATCGATACCCCCATGTTCTTCTCAGACAACGAGTCCTCTGTCTCCTCTTTCAGCTTTTGACTTCACGCCGGTACTGCTAGTTGTGGCAGGATTTGCAAAAAGAAAAAAAGCTTAGGCCACCTTTCCCTTCGTGGAATAAGGCAGGCTTGTTTAGACCTTTGCCGAACGTGCCATCACATCTTCGAGCCGCTTTTGGTGCCCGCTCATTGATCTTCGAAACACAGCCGTCCTTCACCCCATGTCATTGAAGGTGGGATTCCGGCCATGCTGGTGACTTTGGAGCTAGGAGGACGGACGATGGGCTGTGCTATCCTTGAAGAACCTCCCGATTGTACCGAGCTCCGTTTTACTGTTGAAGGATTACAACGGTCCCGCATTTCGCGCTGGCTATCATTACCGAGCTCAACGCCATCCCAAAAGAGCAGTGGGGAAACACTCTGCCTGTGGAAACGATCAAGCTAATTCAACGCCCTGGGGATGCATTGTCTATCATCCGGGGATGGATCTGCCCCTACACCTGCTGCTCGAGCCCAACACCTATTCGAGTCCGTCGTTGATTACACCCGACCAGGTATGCAGTGGTTTGCATACCCTTGTCGTGCCCCCAAGCAGGCGGTTTCCCGACCCGCTTCGCCTCGCCCGCCAATGGTTCTGCGGCGCATATGGTCTGAGACCACAGAGGTAGTGAAACACTTTACATCGGCCAGTGTGTACGAGAAGCTTTTGCAAGCGACGCACCTTCGATTGCTAGCAGAACATTGCCTCGTTCAGGACGCAGCTGAACGCCCCTGCCAACCCAAGACGCCGCAACTACCTTTCACATGCCAGGGTCAAAGGCCGCTTCGATCAAGCCCAGGAGTCGCCGGGGGGAGCAAGGGGCCTGGACTCATCACATCGCTAAGTCCTTAGTTCATACATATACCTTGTGAGGAGAACACGCTTCGAGGATGTCATCACATCAAAATCTGCTGCTGCGGTTGAGTCGACATCAGGATTCACTACTGGGTAGACGAGATTAGGCCGTCTGTTGGTGGTCCGGTGGACACGGGTTCTGCTGTACGACGATAAGTGCCAGTCCGTTATCCCCTGCGACCGGTCACGGTGACTCTACATGTCCCTCCCCGAGGGTGGTGGCACAAGTGAGTGCGAGCGAGAACATTCCGGATGACAGCAGGAGTAAGGCATACGCACGGGGAGCGACAAGCCTGCTCTCGGTCGTTGAGGGTAGACACAGGGGCTTCTGGCTGCTGCTGCTGCTGCTGCTGCTGCTGCTGCTATCTTATCGGATCCTCGAGCAGAACTATCATGTCCCTTCCCAGCGCCAATATAACGGGCTTTAATCAGAGAGTTTATATAGTGAAGCTATTGGTCTGCCCTGATGCTGCTTCTAGATGGTCGAATGTATGTTATGTCTACGTCTGACGGTTCTTCGGGGCTCTTTGATTGTCAAATAGGGTGGTTCACTTTCTTCTTCTTCTTCGTCGTGGTCTTCTCACCCAGGTAGATAAATAGACCGATATCTTGATTTCTGCAAAAACAGTATATGCAGCCGCAACAACCAGAAGCGTTTTCGTCATCGGTCTGCGTTCTTGCCATGTACATGGATGAAGACCATGAACCAATTGACATTGAGCCAGCCAGCCAGCCGTCTGGATTCTGATAGACCTGATGCTACCGGCGTAGGACACTGACTACCTCTACCTACACCTCCACGCCGATTTCGTCGTACCTCCTCGTCCTCCTCCTCCAGTCTAAACCAGATGCCTTCCTGGAGACGGCGGCCATCTCCTCAGAGCAGAGAATGACGGTCGAGACGCAGTTGAGTACCTGCACCGACACGGCATGGCATGGCATGATTCGGCCCATCTCCTGTGGCCATGTAGCCATCCAGCACCTCCATGAGAGAACAAATACCCTTGGGCTCTGAGCCACCACCACACCAGCTGATCGACGACGATGGAATGAGAGATGTATGTGAGTCGTGTCATGTCTTTCTCACCAGCGAAACCTCGATGCGACACACACACACACACACACACACACACACAACATACACGCATCGGCGTGACAAGTCGATAGACAGACAGACAGACCCGGGGAGCTCGCTGCCAACCCACCCGAAGCGCGAGCGACGGGACTGACTCCTCTTGAGATGTGAAGCCAACAGCCGTCGTCGTCAGCAAGCGGTATGGCATTTAGTCCTGCCGTGTACATATATATATCTATATATGTATGCACAAGAGGCAGATATACAAAGCAAAGAGCCTGGACAGGCACATCATGCGACAACGGCAACGACAACGGCAACGGGCCGGTACACCTAGGAAGAGACAGACAGACAGACAGACAGACCGTGCCTGCTTACCCTTACAATCATCAGTCTCCTCTTCTGCCGGAGCCTTGCCTTGCCTTGCCACATACATACATACATGCATATTACTATTGGCAGCCTTCTTCCTCGTGCTTCTCTGTCTTCCCGATTACATGTGTAGCATGCATGCGCTCCCACATTCATTTACATATGACTCTAACTGGTTGATTGATTGATTGATCGATCAGATCAGCCCCCGACCTAGCTGGCAGGAGGCTCTCTCTTTTTTTTCCCTTCGAGTGATAATTCCATTGATTGAATTGCTGCCTTTCCCCAACCTCGACGATCTCAACCTGAAGTCATTTCCATCGTGATTGACGTCATTTGGAGAAAAGGGGAGAAGAGATACAAGACAACCAAACATTAATAATATGAGTGAGTGAGTATTGGGTGAGGGATTTCCCAGCCGGCTACATAGAATTGTTTTGTTCAGTTGTTGCAATTGATTGATTGACCCTTAAGTCATTCATCTGTACTCAGTTGAGAACCCCAGGGACTAATTACCCAGTCTTCATGATCTATTGAAATCTGAAAGCAACAAACAAACCCGTGTCATCTTCATCATGTCGGCGGCGGGCAAGAATGTCCTCATCGTCGGCCCAGGCTTCATCGGCTGGAACGTCCTCGACCACCTGGTTCGAGAAGGCTACAATGTGACTGGATTGGTCCGACGCGCGTCCCATGGGCAACAGATCCAGTTCTGCGGAGCGAAAGCCGTGGTGGGAGACCTGAACGACACCACCGTCATCAAAACCCAGGCCCTTCAGAACGATATCATCTTCCACACGGCAACCGCCGACCACAAGCCCAGCGCCGAGGCCGTCTGCCAGGCCGTGGCGGAGCGTGCAGAGCAGGGGAAGTCCACCATATACATCCACACGTCCGGCACTAGTGTCTTGGACGACAACGCGCGTGGCGAGTTCAAGGGCGACAAGGTCTACCACGACAACAACCGCGCCGAAATAGATTCTGTCCCGGACGACGCGCCGCACCGTCAGATCGACCTGACCATCCTGAAATACCAGAAAGACATCGGCGACAAGGCCAAGATCGCCATCATGATTCCACCGTTGATCTACGGGTATAACCCGCAGCACCGACGATTGACGATCCAGATCCCGACCCTCACCCGGTTCGCCATAAAGCACGGTTTTGCGGGACACCTGGGGAAAGGTTTGGCGGTCGAATCACAAATTCACGTGCTTGACCTGGCGCAGGCGTATGTGACCTTGCTGCATCACATGGAACATGCACCGGCCCAGGAGTTTCTTGACAACCCGTACTTTTTCTGCGAAAATGGTCGGGAGGCTTCATGGCGTGAAGTCGCAGAGATGATCGGCGAGGGCCTCCACAAGGCTGGCAAAATCAAGGATCCAACGCCAAAGACCATTCCGGAGGACATGTGGGGTGACCTCTTCGGGGAGTATTCCGCTGCAGTTGTCGGGCTGAATAGTCGGAGTCGAGCGATCAGGTTGAGGGAGCTCGGATGGGAACCCACACAGAGGAGTATGGAGGACAGTTTCCAAATGTTCGAGTTGGCCGAGATATTGAAGGAAGAAGGGGCCGACTTCCATGGATATACTGGAACAGCCGCCTCATAGGGTGGAAGAGGGCACGAATGTCGAAGCCAGAAGGTTGTCAACCGAAGAATATCGAATCGAAGACGTGAAGTCAGATAATGCTGATAGCAGGACGAATGGGACTCCAATCCTCCCAGTCTGGCTCATAGTCCTTTCGCCCAGGTCGTGTTCCCAATCTTCCACGTCCTAGCGAGCCATGGTACCAAAGATTAGACACCGCCGTTCGAATCTCCGGAGAGGGCATTCCTCTGTCAATATTTCAACTCGTTAGTCCACGGTCTCTCAGGGTTCTGGTGGAAAGGCCAGGATGCTTTCTCTCCGGCCAGCCTTCGAAGGCTTCTTCAGTCCAATCCTTTCGGTCAACATAACTTCCGATTGCCCTTTGTCGAAGCTCAAATAGGCTAGAACAATGCACTTCTGCCACAAGATACTGCTGTACTGCGAACGCATAAAAGGGGTGGAGGCGGTGCAATCATCGCTCAATCGAGGTTGAAAGAAGTTGCTTCATATGTCTCTGTTCAATTATACATTGTGGTCTCCTCTCACAGTCACCATCTCATAGCTTGAACCGGCGTCATTCCTCATGCCCCTGCCCGGGCTGCCTCGTATATGGTCATCAACGACGGCCACCTCGGCCGATCCATTGGCTGTATCAGTCACTTTCCTAGGCGCCGGAGTTCCGAAAGAAATAGGTTGCATTTCGCGATACCGACAAGCCCAAACGCCGCAAATAATCATCAACACCGCGCTGGAGGCTTCCAGACCCCACCATAAGAGATTCGTCGGCACGGCGCCCGTGTAGAAAGAGGTGATGAGGAGGTGGATGAAGTGGATCGTCAAGGCGAAATCAGGCACAAGTTTCGAGCGGGTGATGAGGAGGAGGATTGGTATTACTCTTTCGGAGGACTGTTAGTTCAAAACACCATCCAACGTTCTAAAGGGGAGGGAAGCACGTACGTTATAAACCCATCAACAACCCATAAGAAGCCGACGGTCCAGCCGACGGTCGTGTCCCCACGCACGCTATTCCAATCAAAGATCAAGTTCAAGGAGAATCGCTGGCCCAGGACTAAGGTCGTGAACAGTATCAGCACAAACGCCGTGGTGTAGTACGAGAGTTGCAGGAGGAGGATGGAGCGGACGATCTTTAGAGGCGGCAGTTCGGTCAGGGCGCCTGCGCGGGGAGGTTTGCGCCGTCGAGGGGGCATGAGCAGTCAGTCACTCCTCGTTTATTTTATTTTTTAACTCGAGAAGCCGGTGGACGGGTGGATTAGGAGTGCCGACATTAGCATCGCCACGAAGCTGGGGAGTGCCCTAGATCGTTAGGCATGATGGTCGCGGTTTGTTGAAAGGTGTCTGAAATAAATAAATGGGAGTCGAAGGAGACGCAACGAAACCCCGAAAAGATGACGATGCATGACGATCACGTGCAGGTCTGGGGTAGTTGATTACATAACCCATCTACCGTCCATTTTTGGAGAACTGAAGGGCAATTAAATTGTCCAACGCTATTGAGATCTCATGAGGGTGAGGGACATTTAGACACAACCTGCGCAAATACAGCTTCAGGAAGGCACATAAAAGCAGTCGCCCTTGTACCCTCTCGAATTCGACCTCTGAAGGATCCCTGTCGCCCTCCCAGTCTCCTGCGCCTTTCCTCCTTCACATCCTCCATTTCCGAGAAACTATGGCCTGGGGTCTCCCGACCTGGCTGGGCGGCTCTGCCTCCTCGAATCCCTCTCTCCCGCAGTCATCGAACCTTCCGCCGCGATCCAAAGACGGCGGCTACGTGGCCCCCGACCGCACCTCTCGCGAACAGTGCTACGAGTCCCGCGACATTTTCTTCCAGTGCCTGGACCGGCATGACATCTTGGACGCCGTCAAGGAGGATGAGAAGGCCCGGAAGGTCTGCCCGACAGAGGTGGCTGCGTACGAGAAGGACTGTGCGAGAAGCTGGGTGAGTATAAACCCTGATTGAGTGTCCCATCCCCCATCCTGTGGCAAGTCCGCAAAGCAAAGCTGCATCCGGCGATCACCATCAAAGACTAATCGGTGGCTTTGCTTTGTGATTCCAGATCAAATATTTCAAGGAGAAGAGAGTCGTCGACTACAAGCGAGATCGCACGTTAGAGCAGATTGCCAAGGAAGATGCCGAGGCGGCTGCAAAGGCAAAATCCGAGAGAAGAGGCAAGTCATGGTTTGGTTGAGGGAACAGACGGATATGTTGGGTGTATATACAGCTTCGACCGGGGTTGCAACATGTTTGCGAGCATGCCACGGTCACCAGGCGCCCACGGGCATCTCATATCAAAGTTGGGACTCTGGTGGCTCGAGAGAGTTGATCGTGCTTATCATTAAGAGAAGGGCCACCAATTCGACCTATGACGATGAAGAGAAATGTACAGGCAGGGCTGCAATTGTACCATAAACCGAGAGAATTGCATAGCGTGGATGTCAGGAAATCACCTCTGATGCTGTTCCATGGTGGGAAGGGCGTTCTGAATTAAACATCTTCACTCGTGTTGGGCAGCATCAAAGGCATCTGCTGTGACAGACGCCTCGGTTTTCTACCGCCCTAGCAATCCCACAACGCTCCCAACCATCACCGCCGCCTCCCGTTCCCAATTTTCAACCACTTGCTCGCCCTTTGCCGTCGACATTGCTTTGGGATCACCCGCCAGCACAGTCCTCGAAAGCTTCGAGCCTCGGAGGACACATTCGCGGATCTCCTGTCGCACAGTGTCGCGTTGACTCCGTAGCGTGCGTGCAGAAACACCTCCTCTGTTCAGGATCTCTTGGACACGGACGGATAGCGAGGACGCCAGTGAGCGCCAGAAATATGAGGGAAGTGAGGCTGTGTCGAGGGCACTGAGGAGCAACGAGAGAAAATTGTCAGAAGGAGTAGTGGTTTGGGCGGTCTCCATGACTTCTTCTTCTTCATCCTCATCCGAGTCGTCCTCGTCGTCCTCGTTGGTGACTTTCTTGTCGTCCAGGTTGTCACCTTGAAGTAGTGGGTGGTCGGGAGCAGAGATACCGCGCAGCATTGCTTCAAGAGCCACAATGTTTTGACACCGTGCACTCGTTTCAAGCAAAGCACGCTCTAACATCGGTAATTGCCCCAGAGCTCTCCCGATCGATGCAGAACTGGACGTGATAGCCGTCTGCAAATAGCCCTGCAACGCACGAAGTAGGTATTCGGGCTCAAAGTCCTTCTTCTTCATCTTCTCTCCATCTATCCTCGGTGCCGGGGAGAGGAGATAGAGAATGTGTACTGCGCTCGTGGACCGCGCACGGCTGTCCTCGACTTCTCGATACGTGGGGCTAGAGGTTGTCGAAACTCCCACCCCGGGGCCAGAGGACAGCGTGCTCATGGAAAATTCCCGGACGACGCGCCGTGCAAAGTCGAGGATCCGCGCTTCACCATCTTCGAAGACTCTCCCACGCAGAGTTTTCACAAGGTTAACCCGAGCCAAGTCAGCACCGTCCTTTCCAGTGATGACATCGCGAAACCCAAGAATTGAAAGGGATGCACGCACGAGTGCACCGTGGTCCTCCTTGCCAGCTCTCGCACCTCCTCCGAGTCCGGATTCCGCGAGGATCACTTCGAATTGCCTTGCCAGGTTGAGAATGCGCTGCACACCCCTCCCCAAACGCAGGACGTCCCAGCTCCGTTGCGCCGTGGTTTTTGCATCCACCGCTTTCTGATGCCGGACTAGGACTTCCTTCTCTAGCCGTTCGTAGCCAGCGTTGAGACGTGCCCGTTCATCCTCTATTCTAGTGAGAATTCGTTGAGCAGCGGCATTCTGGGTGGCGGTGTATGTCAGGATGTCGAGGGCCGAGCGGGCGGTCAGAGTGTGAATATGTGAATCGATCTCTTGCAGGTCGAAAAGGACGCGGGACAGAGGTGTCGTGAGATCGATGGTTGGATCAGACGAGTTGTTGGTAGCAAGGATGAGGGTATTTGCATGTGTGTAAGGTGAGAAGTCGTCCGAGGTGAGGGCGTCAATGTCGATATAGGTCGACGTGGCATTGCCCGATTCTGCTCGGCTCGTCGTTGTAGCCATGTCCACACTCAGACCCCAGGCGAAGTAGAGGCCTAATCCTCCCCTCTCATACTCCACTCAAAGGCTCGCCTTGCGGTGGATAGATGAGGCTCTTCTTTGGAACTTTGGAACTTGGCGAAGAATGTCGACGTGGTCAGAGGTGTCAACCATGAAGAAGAGTTGTTTTCTTGCCAGGTGCAAGGCTGAGGTTAGCCATATCGGTACTAGACTGTGTTTGTTATCGTTATCGCCATTTCCCGGCGGGGGGAAGTTGAGGCTCGTGAGGGTCTATGTATGAATACTAATTGAGTCTCTCTGTCCGAATCTCTCCGTCCGAAGACATCCCTCGTGTAGAGAGGGCCAGTCCTAATCACAGGACGCTAGGGAGCATGCGGGCGCCTCCAGGTGTCCAACCTGTGGGGTTAGTGCACAAACTATGATTTCTATCACATGCCATTTCTTGCCGGCTGAGGCAATACTCTCAGGCAGGTTGGGTGAAAATATCAAAGTGTGTATGATTCTAGACACCAGGAGAGGCATAACAAGTCATCTGATACGTGTGTTACGGGTATCCGGAGCAAAGGATGAGGGACTGGACTGGGGCATGGATCCTGGAACTCGGCGTACCTGGCGCCTGTGCCTGTTCCTGGACCGAGTTGAGGGAGTTTCCTGCAAGCCCAGCCGTGGCCTGTTAGAGTCAGTGATGTCCACTCTCCACGTATCATGTACCTGACAGATGAGAGAGCTGAACGAGCCTAGGGCCAAACATCGCACGTTCTATTGGACCATTCAAGCCGACAGACCCGGGGGCATCCTGCGGCCGGTATGCGGTCAGCGAGGACGAAATGCTGTCAGAAAAGTGCCTATGAACACAATCTCGGGGGCTCGAGAGAGTGGCGGGCCACGGATTGGGCGGGGTATTCCGCGTGCAGAGGGGTCCTGTACCTCGTACGCGCAACAACAGGTGAGTCAGGCGAAGAGATACACGAAATGTAAGACCGGGATGACAGGCTCGGTCTCGCTGTTAGGCTCCTGCATGACGACAAGGTGATTCGATCACAGAAAGGCTGAGCTGTGTGGGATTACAGGAGAGTCGCAGGGAGGGTGGTAAGAAAAGCATAAAAGTTCAGGAACCAAACCTCGATCCTGGGGGACTTGTCCCACGGGTTCATTTTTTGTCATAAAGCCGCAAGCAGGAGGCGAGGGGCAGTCGGTCAGTCGGTCGGTTGGCCAGTGCATGAGCAAAGGGCAAGTCTGGATGGATAAGTCCTGGCCTCGTTCGGGTAAAGTGTGGCCCTTGAAGGAGGGTTGCTAACGAGCGACGAGTTGTCGAAAGATGTGGAGGAAGAGGCCTTTTAAGATTTCCCTGGCGAAGCTCAGTGGCCACGATGTTGATCTCGCAGGGATGCTGGGAGTTGATTGACGCCGGACTAATCATGCACATCAACAACGGGTGTTGAACTGCGGTAAAGTAATAGGCACGAGTTACAGCCTACGACGCAGTACTTCGGAGCGGCGCTGGTGGGCTGTGCCCTGAAATATCCTCTTTCGTTAAAAACTCAGCCAGTGGCGCCCAGCCCACCAGCCCACCAGGCCCAACCACCCAGCAGTTAACCACCTGGAGGCATGGCTGCTTCTAGCTTAACCATCAGCCTTGCCCCGCCAATCACTCCTGCCCCTCGCATTTCAACAGGTGCCCCCCAGGTGAGCCTAGCTCACTACCTAGACAGGCACCACGCACAGGAACCATCCAAGCAACTCCGTCCAAGGTGGCACAGCGTGTGGGATGAGGGATGATGATGACGGCACAATCGGCTTAACGGGCCTGCACACTGCACAACTCGCAAAGAAAGTCTTGGGTCAATGCGCTGCTGCTGCTGCTGCACGGCACGGCAACTGCACACTGCACACTGCACATGCAACTCATTGCCTTTTCTTCGCATGATTCATCAACCATCCATCCCATCGCCTCTAGACCATCAACCATCGCCTGTAGGCCATCAACCGTCACCACACAACCCCATCGAACCCATCAGCCAAACGCCTGCATCATCCATCGTCACCTATTTCTCGTATCGACCTACTCGGTACATCGTGGCAAACCACTGCTGACTAAATCCCAGCACCCCCTTCCCATCCTCACCGAATCCTGTCCCTCGTTGCCCAGTGTCCCTCCCACTGGGCGGCCTTTCTGACGCCCGCTAGACCCACCCATGGTGCCCTTAAGGCTCGTCATCTGCCACCCGCCTGGAGCCCACCGTCGAAGCCCTGCTTTACTTAACTTTACTTAGCACCGACTCCACCATTCACACCAGGGGCATGCCTCGCCGCCAACAATAACCCTCCTCCCGCTTCATTACCTCCCGAGTCCTGCGTCTGCGATCAACCGCATCTGTCGACTCTCAAGTCTCTCTGAGATCTCTCGCTAGCTGCTTCATCGCTTTGCTTCTTCCCTCCCCCCTCCTACCACCCCTCCCTTCGGGCTACACGTCGATCATATGGATTGTTCGCTTTCGCAACCACATCCTTGACCTGAACCCTTCTTCGCGCCCGGAAAACCTTAGGCCTTGTCACCGTTCCCCAGCCCCTCCGAGAGTGTCCGTTACATCGCCACCTTCCACTGCGGCGTTGTCTATCGAGTCCTCCAGCCCGACACCCTCCTCTAATCACCGTAAAATTCAATTTCAGCGACACCACGCCGCAGCCTCATTGTGAAACCACGGCCGCTCCGGATGTGCAATCATTGTGTGGCGTAGAGCCGCAGCCTCTCGAGTGCCTGACCCTCGCACTGGCCTTGCCTCATTTCACAACCCCACTATGGCAGCCATCTCCAGCCTCGTTCTGAGCGACAATTTGCCGCCCAAGGACAAGAGAGACGACTTGGAGTCACCGACCACCCCGCGGCCGGATCGGTATGCGTCGACAGCCATGGACGACGCCAAAGTTGCGGTCCAAGACCATGCTTTCCAGTCCCGACCAGGCGCTTCGACGGCCTCCCGGCCATCGAGTCAGGGGACCCAGATCGATCATGGCGATGAAGAACGAGACGAGTCTACAATGAGAAGAGATGGCGGCGAGGCGTTGTCGAGCGCCATGGATATGGACGATGATGACACCGGCCAGCCTGGCTCGGACAACGAACTCGAGCCAGGTGAGGTGGACCTTTCGGCGAGGAAGAAGAAGGGCCAGAGATTCTTCTGCACTGGCTACCCGCCCTGTAACCTCAGTTTCACTCGAAGCGAGCATCTGGCTCGTCATATCAGAAAACACACGGGCGAACGCCCGTTCCAATGTCACTGCAACCGCAGATTCTCCCGCTTGGACAACCTACGCCAACATGCTCAGACAGTGCATGTCAACGAGGAGATCCCCACCGACTCCCTTGCTGCCACCGGGACTCGATTTCAGCGGCAAATCCGTACCGATCGTGTTAGACCAACAGGTCGCCCACGAACAGGCACCGCCGGCAGCACTGGAAGTCACAGCCGTGGCCACAGCCGAAACCTATCGGCCTCGAGTATTGGCTCGACCTCGTCCAACTATAGCATAGTCACCGATGGGAAACGACGGCCGCCGCCTCTGCTTATGGCCAACGACAACGTGAGAGGACTGGGGATCGAGCCACCTCATACACCCCCCGCTCAGTACCGTGGGTACAATCCCAATTCTCCCGGTGGTCTGAGTACGCCCACCTCTGCCAACTTCTCGGCGACACCTGGTAGCCCGGGCTTCTTGTCCTCGATGGCTTCACCAGTGTCGAGTAATGCCCGCTTGGGCGGCTTTTTTGGCTCGAGGCCGCATTCCCGTCGCCTGTCTGTGCCATCAGGGCCGAATCCGTACCAGAATCAATATCCGCCCGGGTACCCTGTTGGCTATCTGAACCAGATGGGCCCACCAAGCTCCCACGCATCATCGAATTCAAGTGTATTTGCTAGTCCGACTTCTGCAACATTTTCTATCGGCGGCCAACCTGTTCCACCTGGGGAAGACTGGCGCAGGCGGACGTGGCATGCATCAACTTACCCGGCTGGCAATTTCAACTATGGACGTCCTGCTACAAGCGGGCTGACATATTCGCAGACTCCGGACGCCCCTCAACCTGCACATGCTCAACATGCCACGGCCGCCGCCGCACAAGCCCCTCGACTGCCAGGAATTGAAAGTTTTGATCATGTCCAACACCGCTCCTACACCCCCCCGCGCCGCCAGCCGAGTCCTATGCAGATCGATGCGAACCAGTCCTCGTCGGCTGCGAGCCAAGATTCTCGGACACGCCAAGGTCATGTTTCGTGGGAAGGCCATCGTCCCAGCCAGTACCCGGAGCTTGACGAACACACGGACCGACATCACGGAGCGGGGTCATGGGGTCAGCAGACCATCAATGAGATCCAGAGTGTGGGTATGCGATTCAACGAGCCGCCGAGGCACGTCGACATGGGACCTCCGCCGCCGTCCATGATGACGGCTCAACAGCATCAGCAAATGACGCGCGAAGCACTGGAGGGACAGTCGTCAGGCCAAAGAACAAAACGACAAGCATGGTACGGTGGACCTACGCCGACACGGACGTCGCCGGAAGACTCCAGCAGCAGTGATGGTATTCCTACACCCGGCATGACGGCGGTTGAAGTGCACCCCATGATCATGCCCAGTAGTGGATACATGGAACCACAGCACGGGCCAATGCCTCCGGAGACACATCAGAATGTGAGTCAACCATGGTTTTTATGTTTGAGCTTTGTCCCCCTTTGAATAGAAACTGATCCTCGGCCAGGTTTGTCTTGCCCCCGCTCCATACATCGAACAAAGAGGTCACCACAATACAACATCGTTTGGTGATCGCAACGGAACTGGGGGAGGAATGAATCGACTGGAAGCTCTGGTAGCTGTGGCTACAAGTGGGGATAATGCTGCCCGATGAACAGGGCGAACGGTACCCGATGGGAGATGACGACGACGACTTCTTAATAGGAATAGGGAAGATGTTCCTTGGACGAAACGACCTTTCGAATTCGACACGACCCTCCGAGCGGAGGTAGACGTTCGAGGCGCAGCGCTTCTGATCATTGAGTCTTGACGGCCTGCATTGAGAGATACCCATGACGACTCTTTCTTCTTCTGATACATGTATTCTCTGCCTTTGTTGCTCCATGGCTCCTGGTTGACACGACGCATGCATTTGGGGGCGGAGGTTGTGCTTTTTTTTGGTGCAAGCAAGCGTTTAGCGGTGGTATCTTTGGGCGCATCACGAAATACCCACGACCATTTACGATCAATTGTGCTTTTTGTATACGAAGGATTGATGCGGTTGGAACTTGAATTGTTGGAGAAGCTTGGATTATTGCATTCAATCTGGACGATTCGCACCTCAACAGTTCCGCTCCTCAAACACATCCACCTCTTCTCGTTGTACGGTCTGACGATCGTGTATGTTAGTGATGCCAGCAGGTAATGAATGGAATTGTTTTGTTGCAGATTGCTCGTTGGAGGAGTCTGGAACCATGTGCTTCTTCCGGAGACTCTTTTGTGCTAGCTTTGCCATCTCTTCTACCCAGGCATAAATCCGTCTCTGGCTTGTCGTGGTAATTAGGGCACGGACGGCTAGCGTCGGGATATAAGCCAGCGAGCAGCCAAGAGTCTAACCACGTTGGTTTGGGCCTTCGACGGCGTCCCAGTCGATCAGGAGCTTCTCGTCAACTTGCAAGCGGTCTCGGAGGGCAATGGGTGATCTGCAGGGCGAGGCGTGGAAGCAGCTCAAGAGAGGAGGCTTGTGAAGAGACCTGCTCGAAGGCAAGTGGAACGCAACTGGCTGCGGTCTCGCGAGGCTTCCTTCGGAATGTCTGTAGATTGCAGTCTGGCGGCGTCTCACATCTGGACAGGTTGGTGATCTAATCAGGCAGTTTAAGGCCAAGCTCCAGACTGAGGTTTCATCGAGCTGAGCTGTGTGTCACTAAATTTCCGGCATGAGGGTCAACAGCTGTAGGTACCCGGTGGATTTGGAAGGGAAATTCTATGCCAACCTCGAGGCTACCGCACCAGGGCGAAGCGGATAAGTACCTTTGGAGATGAAACTGACAGATATCCAGCCGATAGCAAACATCTTGGTGTCCATCTCATAGGTCCAATACACGGTTCTACCTCCGCCTGATGGACAAATCAACCGGCTAAATGGAGATCACAACTGGAATGATGACCGGAGCAAGGACTGTGGCTCGCAGGAGATCCAGGAGAGACTTGCATGAGGCATGCAGCTGTACGAGGTGGGTGCGCGATTCTTTGTCCTTCCACCATGCTTCCGCCACGTGCTAGGATCTGCTCCGCCGTGATTTTACTGAAGCGGTTTGGGGATGAGCAAAGGGAGGAATATGTCACCGCAGCCAGCTCGGTTGACTGGCTGGCTGGCTGGCTGAATCGACGGCGAGGCGCAGACTGCGCACACAGCATGGTATCATGGTACAATGAGTGACCAGGTTCCAGAAAAGGTGAAAGGAACTAACTGGCTGTGTAAGGTGTTCTGGCTGGTGAGAGGCGACAAGGGCCATGTGGGAGAGGAGACACCGAACGTGAATACCACTGCAGTCTTGCTGAAAGGGTTGAAGGTCAACGTGACAAAAGCGACAGTGAGAGGCGCGTGGGAGAGGCTCTCAAGAAAGTGGTCAACTGCGATCCATGACCAATTCGGTCTTCCCTGCACCGCCGACTCTCTCTCTCACTCTTCTCTTGAGTCATCAACGCTCTCACCTTGTCGACGCTCCTTTAAATTCCTCCTGATCTCTCGTCTTCATCTCCCACAACCCATCACTCTTTTCCTCTCTTCGCCAGTGACAGTGACAGTGACACCACTCCCTCCTTGTCATCATCTGGTCATTCTTTCAAGTCATCAGGCTTGGACTCCTTGACTGGGAGAAAGAACCAGACACTGAGGCCAAGTGACGACGACATTGTCACCATGAAAGTCGCAAATTCTGCCCTCCTTCTGGGTGCGGTATTTGCCATCTGTGAAGGCGGTATCTTGCCCATCAGACAAGCGTGAGCAGAGATCCCCATGCCCCCCCTTCTCTTGACCCTGAACTGACTGAGGTCCGGCAGGCCATGCTCTCCCGTGACCCTCTGGAACTACATGACGGTCACTCAAACTGTTATTCCTCCAACGGTCACGATCCTTCAGCAAGATCCCAATTCGATTGCCAGCTCCGCCGCGAGCGTGGACACTGCGCAAGTCAGCATCGAGAGTATCGAGAATCCTGTTTCCGCTCAACCGTACCCTGAAACCACCACCTTCATTCACTCAATCTACGTCTCTGGCTATGAAGCCACTGAAGTTCCCAACCCCGGTGCATCCGTTTTCTACCTGTCCAAGGGTCCTGGCAACACGAATCCGACCTATACGCCGTCAGCGTCGATATTTGCGGAGGTCACCACTGTCACTGTCAAACCTGTTCCTGCCGTCACATCGGCTCAACAGCAAGCTCAGTACAATACCACCAACGGTACCTTTAACCCCTCCTTCTCCAGTCCATCTGCTGGTTGGAATGGCACTTTGAGTGGCTCATCTACTGTTGGTGTTACAGCTAGTTCTGCCGTCTCTTACGGACCGCCCCAGCCCACTCAGCCTGTGTACACAGCCACAGTCACGGCAGTTGCCACCGTCTTCGCAACGACCGTCGTCTCCGTGACCGCATCGGACGGCTATGATGCAAGCTCGCCCTCCAATGAAGCCCTTGATAAGAGACAGACGTGTGTGTGGATTTCTGCCACGATCGGTGGGCAAGAGGTTGGATGGTGCAACAATTGGGCCGGAGGGTCAACATTGACTTTCACTTCATGGGAAACAACCAGTCCGTTCGTCCAGCCACACACCGTCCGATCACACACTGACTGAATCTTAGCAACTCCTTCTTACATCCCAGGTATTGGTCCCATCACCAAGCCAGGCACCACCTCGACCGATTCTGCCGGAGGATCCGTCACGATCCAGACGTCCACCAACTGGGCCAGCACCCCACCACCGGCCGCGACACCCAGCGCTTGTGGCCAAACCGGTCCTTTCCAGATTGGAGTAGGTTCTATTGAAAGTCTCTGGACATTGGCTGGTTGCTGACCACATATAGTTTGACGACCTGCCCGTCTTCTCTACAACGGACAACAATACCGCAGACTTTCCGCCTATTTTCAATCCCTATGAGCACTTCTTCTGGGGCAACGGATGGACCTATGTCCCCCCACCGACAGAGCCTTTCCCTCCACAGTCAGGTAACCGACTGGCTCAGTTTATCCCGTCGCTCAACAACACGGTCGACGGTTCTCCGGATGCCGGTTCCATTCCTCCCAGTTCGTTCGGCGCCGGGCCCCGCAATTATGACAACAACTACTGGTTCAGCGCCAGCTCTGCCTATGTTGGATGCGACAATGGGTCCAGGAACTTGAGCCAGATCTGTGACTTTGTTGCCACCGCCTATCAGTGGGATAATATCACGCAGACGGAGGTGGTGGTAGCAACACAGCATTTCCGCATCCCCCCGTGTCCCGATTTCACCAAGTGCCAACTCACGGAAATTGATTTCAACTACCTCTTCTACAAGATGTCGACGCTGAGCTTCTACGCCAACGTTCAAGGTCAGGTTAGTCAGTTCTGGATTGACAGCATCGACATGAATTGGTACAACAACACCTGTGCCGCTGGACTGGCTCGTTTGCAGTCACGGAAGGTTTGAAACCACAGACACCCGCGGGAACGTCAGGCCACCTTGCTTTGTGAATACTCAAACTACGAAAGGAAGATGCTTGGAGTAACTGAGCTGGAAGGCGAACATGTTCAGGCATGACGGAGCATAAGGATCAGGCATCGTACAGCAGTCAGCATACAGACACATGGTGGGAGCTACTCCAATTTTGTAACCAAAGTGGACAAGTCAGCGCAGAGGCGGGCCGTTGCAATGAACCGACGAAGGTCATGAAGGGGGCTCAACGTAATTCAATCCAGGTTCTCTCCTCTCATTGTCTGTGTCGTGTCCTTTCCATTTTGTCGACCTGTTGAGGGCTTAGTGCGCGACGACGGGCAGCCCACGTGCTCGAACCGGCGTCGGTGGTAGACGTCGAGAAAACGCCAGGCGATGCCAAGCCCGCCTCGTCGACGTCATGGCCATTGGCGCCGAGGCGCATCATTTTATATTATGTCTGGTATGCACTCACTCCTTCACAGTATGGCAGCGACAAACGTGGTCCGCAGATCTTCTTCCTTCCTTTGCTTCCTCATCATCCGGAAAGGGGCATGTCCAGCACATATGACCAGCCGGACTCTCTCAACGGCCACTCCGGCCTCCTCCTCGCCGTCTTCTGCGTCGTGTCCGTCCTGGTTATCTGGCCGGTCAAGATTGCATTGCCGGCGTCCCTTCAACGGCTTCTCCTCTCAACACTCCTGACCACGAGAGTCATCGGGCGCCGTGACTTTGAAGCCCTATCCAACCGTCGGCTGCATATCCACCTGTCTCTCACGACAGCCCCCGTCCTCGCCGTCATTCTGCTCCTCGCGACAACGACGCTACATGGCTCCACCATTCGCCTGGGTATCGTCGGGGACGAGACCGTCAAACCCTACGACGTCCTTGTCCTCTTTATCTCGCTCGCCTACATCTCAATCGCCCTGGACGGTACCGGTGCCCTCGAGGCCACCGCGTTCTATGTGTCCAAACGTGGTGGCAGCTCCGGCCGCTTGCTTTTCACGTACCTGTACGCCTTCTTTCTGCTCACCGCATGTATCGTGGGCAACGACCCGCTCATCCTCTCTGGGACACCGTTTCTGGCATACCTGAGCCAGCATACCGATCTTGACCCGACGGCCTGGGTGTTTGCCGAGTTCATGGCGGCAAATACTGCCTCCGCCGTGCTGGTGAGCAGCAATCCGACCAACATTCTCATCACCGGCAGTTTTGGGCTCAACTACTTGACCGACTTTACCAAGTGGACGGTTCTTCCCTCGCTGATCCCGGCGGTCTTGAACTATCCGATTCTTTTGGGCATGTTCTGGCAGCAGATCCCGAAGACGCTGACTCCGTTGACGGACGACCCGTGGAGCAAACTCCGTGACCGCGCCGGGGCTTTCTTTCTGAGTGCGTTGATGCTGGTCACAGTGTCAGTGCTGGTCGGGACGAGCTTCGTGCCGGGCCATGCGGTGCAGGTCTGGATGGTGACCGCGCCAGCTGGTGTCTCTGCTTTCCTGTTCAATGTGGTCCATGACTGGTTCCATCCGGAGATTGGTCGAGAAATCGTTCGGCAACAGTCACGAGATTCGGCGGCGGAAATGTCAGAGATTGATCACCGGCGGTCGAGACCGATCCAAGTGCATGTCCCGCAGGAGGACCAGCGGCATGGGCCTTCGGATCTCAAGGACGGGCTCCTCCGGTCACCCAAGGGCTCTGAGTCCGTATCTCCCTCGCCGCCAATACCGGGCAAGGACGAGGGCAACGCAACGCAAACCGATCACGATACCCTGCCTCCCGAATCTCGGCCTCGACCTCCTCCTCTCCCGCTTTCTGCAAAGGGTCTGCCCTCGTCCAAGCCGAACACCAAGGGCGATCACACATCCCTTGTCTCTCTCCTCCGCGCTCTGTCATCACGCTTCCCCTCCACGGCACACACCATCTCCCTTCTCCCCATCCAGCTTCTCCCTTTCGCCATGGCCGAATTCATCCTTGTGCGCGGCCTCTCACAGCGCGGGTGGATCCGCGTCTTCGCGATTGGGTTCGCCCGCGCCTGCACCTCTCCTGCCGCGACCGTGTTCTTCTTCGGCTTCGTCAGTGCCGCATTCCTGTGTCCTCTGGCCGGGACGAATATCGGGGCGACCATCATCCTCGTGGAGATTCTGCGAGATCCGCAGTTTACGCGCTCCACCACTGTGCAGCGTGACCCGAGGGTCTTGCTCGGTGCCATATACAGCGTGGCCATGGGGAGCAACATTGGGGCGTTCAGCTACACGTTCGCCGGGTCTCTGGCGGGACTGCTTTGGCGGGGTCTGCTGGCGCACAAGGGCGTGCGGGTGAGTCAGTGGAAGTTCGCCCGGGTCAACATGCTGCCGCTGCTGATGCAGATTGCGGTGTCCAGCGCCATTGTGCTGGGCGAGGTATACTGGTTTGCTTGACCGCTACCCGCTTTGAGAAGAAGATGCGACTTATTGATGTCGCACAGTCTTTTGTAGCATAGAACGGACTTTGATCGACCTGCAATACGTCGATCGATACGGTACTGTAGGTCAGTAATGAACCTCCTCCCGCTAAGACAATAAAAATATAACAACCAAAATAAGAATCGAGATAACTTTGTGCATATTCACATTCTGGTGGTTTGCCATAATCCAAGTCCGACCGAGCATGTATATATATATATTCGACGAGACGTCAATGAATTCAATGGAATCAGTCAATCAACCGCTTTTTGCTGACCCATCGCGCTTACTGCGATGCCCTGACATATCAACACACCACGCTACGTGGTAATCTGAAGACCATATGTAGAATAGAACCCAGTTGGCGCGACGTCACCAGAGCCCGTGATTTCGCTCAACAGGCTCAGATGTCCCCACACCACGACGTCGATTTATGGGATACTCGGTGTGGCCGGAGCTGTAGCTGTAACTGTAGCTCTTTGTAGCTGTCCTGGGTCATTCTGTCTGGCACTCAACTCAGGCCTTCTTGTCCTGCGCAGCACTCGAAGATCCTTCTGCCGTCGTCGTCGTCGTCGTCTTCTCCTGCGCTTCGCGGTCGGCTCGGATCTGCGAGACCGGGGCAATCGGGTTAGTGAAAAGAGTGTGCACTCCAGTAACCATATATCGTTGTTTTCTTCAAACCAATAATTACATAAAACAACGAGGGCAGAGGGGGAGGACGGTATGATGATATTCACTTTTTCCACAACACCAAGCTGGTCCTCGAGGCAACGGAACGTATGCATCCCTATGCAATCCACCTATACAAAAAAAAAGGAATATGCAAACTCCCCAAAAGAAACTCAACCCTCCGATCTTGAGACAGAGGAACAAATCAACGACTCAGCGACTCAGCGACTCATCGGCTCAACGGCTCTCCACGACACGACACGACACCTTGTGGTAAATAAGTCAAGTAAAGTAAAGCAAAGAGAAAAAAACCAAGCAAGTGAACAAATAAATCACGGAAACAAAACAAAACAAAACAAAACTCACATCCGCCTCGCTCACGGTGGCATTGTCCTCGGTCCAGTGCCGATTGCCCTTCTTGTCCGGCAACTTCTCCTGCGTGACGGCGGCCTCCGGGTGCGCCTTGAGGTCCGAGGCGCGTTCGGCGCGGGCGAGCGCGGTCGGGAACCGCGCCGGGCGCGTCGGCGTGTAGTAGTTGCGGCTCGTGAGGCGGGGGACGCTCCCGCTCCTGCCCAGGAGGCGGCGTGCGGTCGAGTTCATCATCGTTCTGGTGGGGCGGGGATGTTGGGGGTCGAGATGAAATGGATCAAGAGGGAGGAAGGCAGGTAGGGAGAGAAGAGAAATCAGAGAGATATGGTAAAGAGGGAGACAGGGGAACTCTTTCGTAAATCCGAGGTGGATAGGTAGAAAGGTAGGAAGGTAGGTAGGTAGGGGATTGAGTAGGGTAGGGTACGGTAGGGTACGGTAGGGTACGGTAGGGTACGGTAGGTAGGATGTCCTTCCTATATGTATATGTCCCGTATGTCCTGTGTGTACAGGATACTGGGTAGGTACGTGTAGTAATTATGTTATGTATATCTCTGTGTGTAAAAGGGATGAAAGAGCCCTTTAATCAAGAAAAGAAAAAAAATATATAAAATTCCACACAACACGTTATCAAGCAAAAAAGGAGTCTGGATTCAGACAGAGCTCAAAGCACACGACACACACTCAGACACATGCACACGCACACGCGCACGCACATGCACGCAGACGCAGACGTGGCGTGACTTCGAATGCGTGAACTTTAACGCCCCGATTGATATCAATCTTGAGATCGTCCCTCCCTACCTCCCTCACGCCACTTATTTATTACTCGTCAACCAACGGCGGGCCGGACGGCATGGAAACTTGCCAAGTTTCCCATTGATTGATATGATGATACATACCGTAGGTACAGTGTGCTTCCAGCGTTATCAATCAACCAACCAACCATGCCCCATGGAGGAGGGAGAATTAATGAGAGTTCTACAGAGCCAACCCAGCCCAGCCAGCCCAGCCAGGCACTCGGCCTTGGCCTTATTCGAGATACACAGATATCTAGTGAGATAATCATCAATAGTGAGATACTGTAGTGTTACGAGGTGCTGTACATACTGTATGAGATATCACGGCGAGTCCGTACACAGTAGTAGTATACTGATAAAAGAATGACAGTGGTTCGTTCTGGTTGACCATATTTAATGTATGATGTACTCCCTGACACCACTTACAAACATACATACTATCATCTCCCTTCTTTGCTTGAGTCTCTCTCACCCACCAGTCAGCCAGCAGGAAAGTCGAAAATTAGCCATGGTGTCGTGACATGGACTGATTCATTTTTTCTTGGGTATTGATAGAAATATGCTCGACACTTGTTGCGATTGTTCGCTATCGGCCCATTATTACCTGTCACCAAGGCTGATCCAACGCTACCTGTCGCGGGCAACGCAAATCCTTGAAACACGACTTGACCATATGGAAAAAAGAAGAGGAAAGAAGAGAAAAAAGAACCCTCGTTTGATGTGTCCTCTCCAGAACAACACTCCCCGGGCTAGTCTCCTTGTCAGCCGTCTCGAACAATGCCTAGGTAACCTACCAGTCTGCGCCCCTACTTCGTGTGACTGGAACTCCCTTTCCCAGCTTTCGCAGGAGTCGTCGCCGTCGTCGTCATCGTCACATCTCCTCCCGTCGGCACCTTGACAATCCGCAGGTCCATCAAGTCTTCATACTCGCCGTCCCCCAGGTATTGGCGCAACGGTGCCTCAGGCAGGGACCGCAGTTTCGACTGGGCCGGGCCAGCTCTTTCTCCCCAGGACTTGTGAGCTTTTTCCCACTCCCCGAGGGTTTTTCTGACCCGAATTTCGTAGATTTTTCCCTTTTCCTCCAAGGTCCTCTCGCAGTGATAGGACCAATGCTGAGTCAGTGAATAATAGTTTTCCGCAGGGACGGCGAAGACTTGCTCCTCCTTGCTGGGATCCATTAGAAACTCTTGGACGAGGGAGCAATACTCGCATTTGTTCCAGCAGGGCTTGAATGCGTCCGGTTGGGACCAGTCCTGCGGCTTGGGGGGCTCTTTCTGAACCACTCTCTCGCTGTAGGTGGTGATGATTTGGCGGTAGAACCGAGAAGCCTCGGCCGGTTGGAGCGCAGTGACGTCGATCATTTCGCGCAGCAGCGGGATGATGAAGCGGTTTAGATCATCTTCCTTGACGCTTCTCGTGTCGTCGGCGATCTTTTCCAGGAGCTGTGCCGCCTTGTCCAAGTCGTCCTCCGCAAGGAGACGATACAGAGACGCAACGACAGCAGCATCCTTTTTGCCTTTCTCGGCATCAGGTGTACCAGGCCACAAAGAAAACGGGTGGTCCATGGCAGGCTCCCACCGCTTCGAAAAAGACGAAAATTGTTCCAGCCGGAAATACGAGATGGCCCGGTCCAGGATGAGTGGGACAAGATGTTCCACAACGGTGTGCGACTTCGTCGCCTTCTCGCCTGTGCGGGAGTAGCAAAGGACTTCCGACAAGAGAGCGCCGAGAAAGGTGGCCTCAGCCAAAAAGCGACCGATGAAAGCGTCCACGCTATATAAGGAGCAGAGTTTTAGCCAGTGTCATGGGGAAAAAAAAAAGAAACGGGCAAGAAACCTACCGTTTCCACAGAGGTTTGTCCTCATAGGCAGCCATGATCTGAACCACAGCTCCGGCATCCTTGGCTGAGACCTTTTTAATCGAATCGAGAGCTGTGCGGAGAGTAGCCACTGCCCATTTGTGGACGGCGTCTCCTGATTTTCGGGTAGTGTCCGGCTGAGCCGCCTTGGACACACCAGAGCGGAAGGCTCGAAGCCCACGATCAACGAGGTGCAGTTTCGACATGCGAGAAAAGGCTTCGGTGACACTAAAATAACGAAGTCAGCAGAGGCCCAGAAGCACACATTTCAAAATTCACAATGCAAGCTTACAACTCTTTCGTTCTCTGGAACCCGAGTTGGCCAATGCTCTCGAAGGTATATGTGTCGAAGCTATCCGTCACAGCGTCAAGAGCGGCCATGGCCATGTCGAAATCTTCGAAACGCAGGGATGCCAGGGCGGTAAAGCCCATGTGACGATCTTTGTCGCTACTGGTGGGGTAGCGTGCTTGAATGTGATTTTGGCAGGTCTGGACGAGCATTTCGCAGAAGAGACTTCGCTCATCGCTGTCTTCGTCCTCGATGCCGGTGAGAAGCCGTTGCAGGAATGTCCAGTATTGTTCAAGTTTATGACCACGTCCCAGAAGCAATTGTGTCACAATGTCTCGAGGAGCAATGAGAGCAACCTATGTAGACTGTCAGCGTAGCGCTTCGAACTTGGTGCAACAGCTTACGGTATCACGATAGACTTGGCTGATTTCCGCATGCTGATTGCCCAAGTGTTCGCCTCCCCATTGTTCGTCGTGCTGACGGTCATCATAGAGATTGCTTGGAACAAGATTCGTATCAGAGATCTTTAAAGCATCCCGAAGCTTGAAGCCCTGCAGAGTGACAACCCCTTCGAGACGGAGCTCTTCCTGCGCCGAGTCATCGTATTCGTCCTCGTCGTTGATTCGTGTCACGGTCAATTTCATCCGAGATAGAAGAACGCAGAAATGACCGTTGGACTGACAAGCTTGGTCAAGCTGGAAACAACGGTAGTAGTCGTCCCCTTTGAGATTAGCCAACTGGAGATGGGCAGCGGTATATTTGTGCCGAAGCGCGTAACACATGAACTGTGGTCTGTCTTTCATAGAAGACCACTTGTCGAGCATCTGCCCAATTCTCGATTGTTCCATGTCCAGTACAGTAGCCGAGGGTTGATGCTTGATACCTGTGTGGGCGAGGTTGTACGTCAAAACGAGTCGATATCCGGATTGAACTGGCAACACCTGCTTGTCGTCAGTGATGATACGATATACCTACTTGACAGGTGGGTCCACCTCATGAGACACGTCGCTATACCTTCGACACGAGTCAGTATGAACTATCTAGAACCAGAGGGGAAGAACTTACCAAGCCAAATAAGAGACCCCGTAGGCAGACCCCTTGTCTGTTTCGAGAACTGTCTCTTCTTTCCCGTGAATCAACCGCACCCCACCACCAACATGTTGAGAGGGCAAGCAAATGACCAGTGTTCCAAACATGTTGTGGGTCTTCTCCGTGCTGTAGACAGTTAGCAGACCTGGAATGATGCTTTGTCTCGGACCTACTCTTTGTGAGGTTTGAAAAAAGCACCTTCCTCGTACACCAAGAGCTTGTAAAGCTCAGCTTGCACATTGCTACCATCACCAGGGATCCCCAGGCCCTCAGAAACTTTGCCGAGAACCCCCTTGAGCCAGTCATCCCACTTTTCATTTTCGAACGACAACTCTTTTCCGTCAATTTCCCAAGTCTTCCTCACTGTCTCATCCACCAGCGTGTTTCTTCCCTTGCCAAAAGGGGCCCGAAGGCTCACTTTAATGAGAGCTTGGGCATCGTCATGGGACAAAGGGAGTCTAATAGGTCCGACGCCTTTGACAGTCAGACCAGGGTGGATGTGCTCGACGTTGTTGTCAGATGTTGCAAAAGATCCCGCACTGTGAATTCCACTGAGACAACCCGTAATTTGACGTCTCAAGGGCTCCAAATAGTCTTCTTCTTCTGAATAATCTTCGTCAGACTCCATGGTGATTGGTGACAAGATCTATGCGCCGTCCGACAATGAAGAGCTTGCGCGGGAGTGAAAAAGAAATATGGAAAAATGACCAGATTTTATACTTTTTCTTTTCCGAGCAAAACATGGTGAATATTTTCTTTGTTTGTCCCTCCTGTGGTGAAGGGAAGAATGTCGACGTGACCCACCTCTCCTGTAAGGGGTGGCCGTCGACGGTGACGGATGGCCAACCACTGCACATGTCCAGAGCGGGAGCCTAGGACTGCCTAATTCTTGACAGGACTGGATTTTGTGTTACCATACCACCCCGGTCTTGACGTCTTGGCGTCCTGTCTTGAGGTGTTGCTCATTTCATTGTGCTTTAGCAGCAAATTGAGTCCTTACATGTGTTGCTGGCAGAGAGAGGCAGCACTGGCGGTCAGATGCACGTTTTCAGATGTGAGAGTATCCAGCTAATCAAGTCTCAGGAGTCTAGGTTGGCGCCAAGATCAGCAAGTCCAGGCCAACGTCATGGAGAAAACACCAGGGATAACAAAGGTACAGGATGAGTACACTCCACAACTGGCGATATGTAAACAACTCCGATGACTACGGGCGCGTCAGCCGTGTGGAGGAGGAGGACCAGCCTTGTATCCTCGGAAGCTCGCCGGATCCAACACGTTGTCGCCTCAACTCATGCCATGTGGAGAATGAGTATGAACCCGGCGATGCGGTTGCTGATCGTGAGGGTCGCTGACTCTGTTGTCATGCTTATGAATTGCCCAATCTGGAGTGAGGCCGTAATCAGGGCAAAAGTGAGCCTGTGTCTGATATCAACCTGGGGGGAAAGGGAGACACCTTGGGACATATAACCAATATATTAGGTCCTACCTCCGCCTCAGAGAACAACTGTGCCTTGATCCCATAGTGCTTGTCGACATGGTGCACTTCTCAGACTCCATTTTGAGCCATTCTTCGGCTTTGGCAGCCGTTGCCTCGTCGTTGCTGATCGTCGCTTTCTTTCTCAAGCGCTATTCCCGCCTTCGCCACGTTCCAGGCCCTTTTCTTGCAGCTTTCACAGACCTTTGGTTCGCCTATAGGTATTGGACAGGCACAAACTTTGCTCGGCTCACCACAGAACTCCATCACAAGTATGGCCCGGTGGTAAGGCTGGGACCCAACCGCTTGATCTTCAGCAAGGCGGCCGCCGTTCCTGTGATATACAGAACGACTGATGTTATGCCAAAAGTGAGGTCGACCCTGTCCAGAACTTGTCCGTCGAAGATTGGGCAGGCGCTGACTAGGAGTTTGAACAGTCGTCATTCTATCTCCCACTCCGAATCATGATCCGAGGTCGTGAGATAACTTCATTTGTCAGCGTTCTCGACGAGAAAAGAATGAGTGCCATCAAGCGCCTTCTGCTGGGAAATTTCACCATGAATTCCTTTCTTCGACAAGAATCCGAGCTCGACCGTACAATATCCTCGTTGGTGAGTTATCTCCAGGACACCAAAACCAACGTCGCGATAGGCACCACGCTGGGGTATTGGGCTTTTGACAGCATTTCGCGCATTGCGTTTACAGAAGACCAAGCCTTTTTGAGCCAGCAGCAGGACTGCGGAAACACCATCGGAGGCGCAGCTGAGCGTATCACGCACCAGCATTATTGGGGAGCCATGCCAACGTTGGAACGGTGGTTGTTCAAGAATGCCATCATGCAAAGGCTGGAAAAGTCGTCAATGCTGGGCGCTCTTGCGGCCCAACGGTTGCAGAAGAGGCTGCGCCAAGAAAAGGACGCAGAAAGCCAACTCGACCTCTTGGGGAAATACCTGACAGCCAGTCGAAGGGCACCTGAGTTGATCAAAATCAATGACGTTGTAGGCTTCCTGGTGTCGACCATGCACGCCGGCAGCGAGACGATCGGACAGACGACGGCAGCCATCCTCATAAATCTGTTACAGCATCCGGAGAAAATGGCGAAGCTGGAGAAGGAAATCCTTTCCGCGTCACTGAGTGACATGCCGCAGTTTTCCGAGGTGCACAATCTTCCCTACCTAGATAGTGTCATTCGTGAGTCTCTAAGGTGGAACATGGCTGCCGTGGGCTGGTTGGAACGGACAGTCCCGGGAACTGGAGCCATGATCGATGGCGTCTGGGTATCTAGTGGCACTGATGTGTCGGTCAGCAAAGCAGTATTGCACAGAGATGCGGATGTCTTTGGGCCCGACCCTGAACTGTTCATGCCAGAACGATGGATCGGGCTCAGTGACGAGGAGCTCAGGCGGATGGACCAGGCAGATCTCAGCTTCAGCACTGGACGCCGGATTTGCATCGGGCGCAATCTAGCAATGATTGAGATCAAGAAGGCCATTGCGCGGCTCATCAGGACGTTCAAGGTAGGATTGAGCCTTCCATAACGCATGGGTGGGAGACCACGTGCTGAAACAGATGATAGATTGCTCCCACTGATCCCAACGATGACCTGCAGCCAACCGCACGGGGGCCGAGACGACCAGTCTACAACGCAAACCTGGATTTCATAAGTCGGGCGGAGACAGACGCCACAGAAGAACACGCTATAGCTTGGTAAGGATGGCACATGCGACGTAACTATCATCGAATGAGGGATGATGGATGATAGAGATTACGAGTCCATAGCGAGATGGAGTGGAGGGGATTTCGATGTCGCGGCGTTAAAGCAGCGGAACTTTGTTCGGTTGCCGTGGCAGCGCCTCCAATGGAGACAACTGTAAATACGACAGCGCCCTGCTGCCCGTTCAATGTTCAACGACAGCGACATCATCCCTCTTGATTATCCATAGCAGAGCAGCAAACATGTCTGCATACTCGTCTGAAGACGACTTTCCACAGCTCAGCGCCATCCTCGCGCCCAAACCACTGATGGCTACCTGCACAAATCCCATCCTGCGACGATCACCACGCAAGAAGGGACCAGTTGAGGAGTCTACATCGCCTCAGAAGAGACAACGAGAAGTGCCGAGCCCAGTCAAGAGAGTTGGACACAATAACTTCCAAGCCCCGGCGAATGGGCGTAACCGCAAAGAAACTACGAAGCCCGAGAAGACAAAGTCGTCCCTTCTCAAAGACATCCCGCCTCTCCCGCGAAATCTCACTGTTGCCGAAACCCATGTCACTTCCAACAACCGCCGCTCTCCAATGAGCCCGCAACGGAGCCTCAGGCTAGCCCATGTCGACTCACTGCTGGTTCCATTGAAGGCACTGGCCATGGAAGATGGTGAGCTGTTGTCTGTATTGGCAGATTCGAAAAAGCCCGTCAGGTCTCCAATACGAGAGAACGCAATACGGCCAAGAGAGAATAATGTGCAGAAGAAGAAGGCGGCGCACAACCCTGTGAGCAGATTTTTCCTTAAGGAGGCTCGATGCAACGACGATAGCGGAGATTCAGGCAGGGACGACGACGAGGATGAAGACACAGATCTGAGTGGCTTTATTGTCGATGACGATGCGGAACTGAGCTACCACGAGTCTTCAGCGTCAATTTCGGACGATGATGATTATACAAGGCCGACAATAAAACTCCCCAAAACGCGTCCGCGAAGAAGGCTGCACCGTGGATCGCCAACTCGACGGCGCCTTAGCTTTGGTGATCATGAAGGCTCGGACAAGGAGAACGATCCGGCAGAGACGCTATCAAAAGCACTGCGAGATATTTCTCTAGGGGGCAAGGGCATCAAGATGAAGAAGGAGGAAGTTGAAGTGATTGATCTTACCTCCTCCCCAGAGCCCAAAATTAACGCTGGACCCGATTTACTCTCATCTCGACCTCACCGTGCTCTCCCATCGAGGGATCTTTTTCAAGACTCGAATCCCTTCAAGAACTTTGAGCCTCATTGTCAACTCCCTCCACCTGCTGCAGAGCCTACCCTCATGATTCCCTCAAAGGATCAACTTGTCGACCGTTATTCCGACGACGCCTCTACAGACGCAGGAGTGAAACCTGTCGACAAGATGGAAGACCACTTCAAGACACCACCTGCCACACCACCCCGATCACCGTCGAAACTCAAGTCGCCCTCAAAGTTGCTGTCCCCTTCCAAGCGACAGGCCATTCCACAGTCACCGCATCGCCAGAGTATGGACGCGTTCTGGGATCATAATGTGATCAACGAGTGGAACGATGAATACTCTCCGAAGAAAGCACCAGTAGCGTCTCCAAGGAAAGGTCTCCTTGGTCGATTTCAGGTGTGGTCAGACTCAGAGGATGAGGAGCAGGACAAATCTTTTGACAAATGTGACTCACTTCCCAGCCCTTGCTCTTCATCACGCAAGTCAAAGTCAAGGACCAAAAGTCCAGAGAAGGAAGAAAAGAAACGCCTGGCAGAAGAGAAACGGGCTGCCGCAGCACGGAAGAAGGCCTTCGACTCCCAGAAACAACACCTTGCATGGGACTTGCTACGTGAGCTCGATGATAAAGTCGCCGGCTCCCAACTCGACCGCTTATCGTCCAGCACAGGCGGTGTGCGCATCATCTGGTCCAAAACCCTGCGTTCCACAGCCGGTCGAGCAAATTGGAAACGAACCGTCACAAAGCCATCCGGTTCGCCCGTGAAAGGCAACAGCATGAACGAACACAGCGGTCCCGAGGTAAAGGTGCAGCACTTTGCGTCGATTGAACTCGCCGAAAAGATCATTGACTGTGAAGACCGTCTGGTCAACACGCTTGCACACGAGTTCTGCCATCTGACCAACTTCATGATCAGTAACGTGCGCGATCAGCCTCATGGTGCCAGCTTCAAGAAATGGGCCGCCAAAGTCACGTCGCATCTGCGATCCACTGATGTTGAATCCTGGCGGAACGTGCAGGTCACCACCAAACACAACTACGCGATCAACCACAAATATCTCTGGGTGTGCGTCGGCCCCAAGGAGAAGACTGCGGCGACGGACTCTCTCAACTGGGAGGAGCAGGAAGAGGGATGTGGAGCGGAGTATGGACGGCATAGCAAGAGTGTTGATGTCGATAAACACCGATGCGGGAAATGTAGAGGGAGACTGGTCCAAGTCAGGCCGAAGCCCCGAGCGAGTCCCATCAAGAAAGAAACAAAAGCAAGAGGTGTGCCAGGTTTGAAGAGGGAAGAGAGCGCAGAGAGCACAGTCTCGAGTAGCAGTGGCAGTGGTGGACTGGGCAGGATGATTGAGACGATTGATTTGAGCGACTGACGGACTGATTGAGTCACTCTTCGTTGGATTACGTCTTGGGAATGGTTCATACCGGGGAACGGGTGTATTGGAGCCGGGTCAAGGGATTGGATTGTGATGGCTTCGTATGGTTGAATATGTGCCAGGCATATGAGCAAGCGAGCGAGTGTCTGGCGTCTAACGACTGGAGCCTGTTCTAGGACTGTCACCGGGATAGACAGCTGTGAGATATCAATGTGAGCTTTCAAGCCTCATGCAGTCGAGTTGCTTCTCCGTGCCTGTGCCGTGTTCAGTGCGCGTTGAATGAATCGTCGAGCTCGTGAGGAAGGGTTGTTGGGTTCGCGATTTTTTGATTTCGTCGCTATCTAACGTGACTCGCTCCTTGTCGAGTGTCTGTGTAGCTAACCTTAACCTACGTACATACATACATACATGTGGTGTCTGTCCCCACGCAGAGGCAGCGAAAAGACTCGATTTCCAGGACATACATGCCGTGGTGGTGGGATCTGTCCGCCTCAGAGCCTCTCCTCCCTAGCCAGCCTTTTCTTTTCATGTGCCACTCACTGCCTCCAATTTCTCCGTCATATTCCCTCGATAGAGGTTACGTCCAGTTCAATCGAAGACCCTCCCTCCTCTCTCCATCCGTTCGGTCCCAAAGATTTCCGCTCAAAAGGCCAATCAATTCAATGTCGGTCAATTATCCATCCATCCGTCCATCCACCGTGCTCGGTCAACCAATCTTAAAAAACATCCCTTAGGCGTTGAAGAGGTGCCAGTCCCTGACAGCCAGGGTGCCGACGACGCGGGCGAGGACGTCGCGCGCGTGGCCGACCTCCTGGGCGATCATGGCCTCGATTGCGCCGCCGTCGGGCGTGGCGCCGGCGCGCTGGCCGGCCTCGACAAACTCCTTGACGGGCACGTTGATGCGCACGCACAGATCGGCGTTGCAGGGCTGCAGCCGCACGAGCAGCGCGAGCTGGTGTACCAGCGACGCCAGCCGGGCGGGCGAAGGTGACGAAGACGATGAAGCTGTTGTTCTGGCCCCGGCGCCTTGGCTTTGGCTTTGGCTCGAGTTCGGGTTCCGCCGCGGCGCCATCTCGTCGCTGTGGATGTTGCCCGCCAGCATGTACGCCGGGTAGCTGGCCAGGCTGGGGTCGATCATCTTCACGGGCTGCGGATTGGGCAGGGGCGCCGCCAGCGTGTCCGGCGGCGCGATCACGTCGGTGAAGTGGTATTTGGCGGCTTCGGCGTCCAGTTCTTCCTGTGGACGCTGCAATTGTGCGGCGCTACCGTTGACGATGACCTGGCTGACGGCCGTGGTGGTGGTCGTCGTCGTGGTCCCGTCCGGAGTGGTGGTGGTGGAGGTCGTGGTCGTCGGGCCCGGCGAGGGGCTGGGGGCCGTGGCGCCAGGTCGGACGTAGTCGTTGATCTCGAAGATGATGGAGGTGAGGGTCGTCGGCGAGAGGAAGACTTCTTGGTGGTCGGGGATCTGGCGGATGTCGCTGGTGAAAATGACATGTCACTTTTGTCAGCCTCAAAATCTTGCAAGGACCAGTCAGATAGGAGAGGGGTCCCCCTTGCTTGATGGAGACGACTTCCTTTCTCTCTGTATCCCTGCCTCGCAGCTTCGACGTCTGTCATTCATTCTCGCCTGCTGTTGGCCCCGCTCTCTTCAAAGCAGTCTCGATATGCCACCAGAAAAACTCTGTGAATGAAAGACTCACCTTGAATCAATCAGATCCACGGGCAATTCCACGGTGATCGCCCCTCCATAGAGCTGACGGACGCCGTACGTGGTGGCCATGGTTTTCTTTCTGTCTGTCTCTCTGTCTCTGACCTGGGCGGAGAATAGTGGATATCTTTGGTTGAGGGGCAACGGTAAAACAGTAGTGAGGGGGATTCTCGTCGACGACGCTAGACAGCAACAGAGACTCTCTGCTCTTCTCGAGTCAAGGCTGTGAAAGACGGTCGAAAGAGGTAAGGGAGCAGCAGTGAGAGAATGAATGGGACTGCTAAAGCTCGGGATATCTTGTCTCCTCACCAACAGGCAGCACAGCGAGGATTGGAGCCTGGATGGTCCTACGATGTCGCCTGAGGCATCCCTAGCCTGCCCATAATTGCAACCAGTCTGCTGCTAATCTTAGAGGTACAGTGATTCAGAGAAATACCCCTGTTGCTACTTAGAGATGTTCCAAATGCTACGAAACTTGGGGCTTGGACGTTGCTGCAGTGGTCTGACCATGTTCAGCCGATAATCATCCGGCTACAAATCAGGCTGCAAATCACGAAGGAGAATCTCGTATATCGTGCTTGCATGCCACTTCAAGATAGCGCTTTTTCAGTATGTTTTGATTGTTTTTGGGTGCTATTCGGGGGCATCCTCCCTAAACCAACTGAATGGGGTGCTCGCTAAACTCCACTGATGCCGTCAATTACATCGCCATCACCCGAAGTAGGTGGCAAGCTGTGACCATGAAGGACTCTGCAAACCCATATGAACAAGCCCGTATCGCTGGTAACCAATGTAACTACACGCCATCTTTCACTCGTCTCTTGGCTCCTACAACAAAATCATACCAGCTCCCGAAACAAATGCAATCGTGAGATAGACCACGAGCTGCAAAACACCCATGTGGCTCGGAGCGGAAAATCCAGGCATGCCGGCATTTGATGTGCTGCCGCTGCCACCAGATCCAGAGCTAGATCCAGAACTAGAGCCGGAGCTCGATCCCGAGCCAGCCGTGCCGCTGGGTGCTGAGGTGACCGTACCAGTGCCTGCATTACCAGCCTGGCTGATCAATGTCGCACAGTTTCCAGTCGGGCTGGTAGGAGATGCGGTCGTGGCTGATCCACTGAAGTCGCAGGCCGAGGCGCCGTTTCCTTGGGCGGCTTGTTGTTCGTAGTAGCTGTTGAGTGCCCAACCGAGCTGTTGCTGAGGGTTGCACATGCCGTAGGCACCATAGTCACCGGTGGTGGCGTTGGCGGCAATACCGTCACAGACACCATCGGCAAGACCGCAAACAATGCCAAACAGGTCACCAATGTCGTCGGTGGGGACGTTGTTGGGTCGACAGGTCAAAGCATTGTACATGCATTCGCAAAGTTCTTCGTTGGGTGTCGGAGGCAGGTCGGATGATGCTTGCCAATCTGCGCCAACGCTCGGGCAGGAAGCAGGAGCAGTATTGGTGGGATTGTAGTCGTTTGCGTTGACACCGGTCGGATGGATTTGCGCAATCTGGGTGGACAGCGCATTGAAGTCGCCCAGGGTGCTCACCGAGCTACCAGACACAGTGACCAGACCTACCAAGTCGTCAGTATGATGCACAGGGAAAATTAGGATCGTCCCTCACCATAATCATTTGCCTCTTGGAAATACATGTAGACAATGCCGCCCGACCAGACCTGGTTCATTTGAGGGCCAAATAAGGCCTGGACTTCGGTGAATTCACGGGGTTGAACGGTGTTGCATCCGTACTCAGCAAAGAAAACGGGTACGTTGTAGTCCTGGAATTCCTCCGTGCGTTGGTCGTAGCCAGACTCCGTGAAGCTGGAGTTTCCGCACCACGAGTAGATGTTGTAACCCCAGAAATCAATAGCGTCGGTCGGGTCTCCGCAGTCGAAGTAGTTGGCAAGATTGACACGAATGTCGGCGTCGTCATTGGTGGCATAGCCCACTCCTATGGGGCGGTAGTTTTGTCGCTTGATGTAAGCCTTCATGTCACGGACAGCAGCCTTGACAAAGGCGCTGGCATCAGTGTTGGTGTTATTGTTGGACACCTCATTGCCTGCGAAGAAACCCAGGGTATTCTTGTATTGTGACAGGTTGTCAATGACCGCGGTATAGCGAGCGTACAGATCGTCGTTCCAGGTGGGAGTGTCTCGGTTGATGGAGGTGCCAGGGGACGACAAGTCAGAAATGACATAGATACCGGCATCTGCCAGCATATTCATGCAATCATCGTGATTTTGAGTAGGGTCGACCGCGTAGACACGGATCGTGTTAGTTCCTAGTTGGAGGAGGTAGGGAATGTCTCGCTGGCATGTCGAGGCGTCGGCCAGAGGGTCAACATAGTTGTCATCACCGGTGGTGGTTGTGCCATTGCCTAGATAATCCTCTTTTCCACTTGTTAATGGCTTGTCAACGAGGAACCGAGGAGAAGAACGCACGTTGATAGGCAACGCCTTTAATATAGCTGTATGTCGTGTAAGTCAACAGTCAGTGGAGAAACATCAGCGTCCACACTCACAATTGCGTTCCGTTGGTCTGGTAGAAGAATTTGGAGCCCTAGACGCAACAAAAGGTTCAGTGCTGCTCATCCATGCAGGCGGCGGAAGAATGTATCGTACTTTAATGACAATAGGGTCTACATCTGCATATGCGGCCCGGAAGAAAAGAGTAGCACCGGCGACAGCAGCCGCAGCGGCGGAGAAACTCTTCATGGTGATGAGAATGTGCGAGAAAAGTAGTTGAACACAGACAAGCAGTCTTTCAAGAGTGTGCGCGTGTGGCTAAGAGGTGTGCAGATGATCTCAAGATACCTGATAGCAGGAATGCTGTTTCCCCAGGTGAGAAAGGAGTAACGAGCTGTCACTGCCCAGCAAGCAGGCAGGAACGAAGGACAACAATGTTATTGATGTGGAAAGAATGTCACGAAGGTGAATACAAAGGTGAAGAGCAACGAAGGTGGTAAACAAGGGGCGCAGGAGAGTAACAAAAAAAATCAAGTACAATCCAGTTCTACAGGAGGGACTGACGACGACTGCGACTCCAGATCAAGGGGGACAGATTTCAAGGGATTAGCAGTAGTCGTAGTCGCTGTCGTATCGTCCTCCCCTCATCCATGGGGTATGGTCCGCTTCGGGAGTGGGCATTTTATGGACCAGTACGAGCACCGAGGACACCACCCCCCTGGGCATCCCCATCCCTCTTCAGGCACCTCGAGGGCCATTGAACCACTGAACAGCAGTCCGAGGATTCAGTTCTCACAGGCACTGCCGTCTCGCCCATTCCCGCCTCCCACGTTCTTTTCTGGGGCACTTACGCCTAATGCGAGGGCATTCCCGTTAACAGATCAGGCCCTACTCGTGGCAGCCCATCCAGCCCAACAGAACCGTTAGGGGTACCTGAACTCGCCTGCCCGTCTAAATCATTGGTCCTCGGACTTGTTGCAGATCTGTTTTCGATAGCGTTTGCCGCCATTGCCGGCGCAACATCAAGCAGTCGACACGCGTCCCTTCTCCATCATGCCATACACAGAAGGACTGGTTCGTCGAGGCGGTGCAATGCAGGTAGGAGTAGTACCTATTCCGTATGTGATCTGTGATGATTTCCCAGTACGAGGCACCACAGCTAATTTGTTTACTGACAGCAATTTTGGCCAGGTTTCCGGATACAGAGAATGGTGAACACGAAGAGAATGAAAAGAAATACAAAGAAACAATTAAAATACTGGGTGAGCGAGCCTTCGATATTATTACGGCCATCCCCAGCTGAAAGGACTCCTCCTCCTCCTTGAAATTATCCTGCTGTACGTACTGCCAACAACATTTTCTTCACGGCTACAACCCGTCCTCTCTTTCCGTCCGGCTCCGTGCAAAGAAAGTGGTTTGCTGATTTGCCACAGGTATTTACAACAAATGGTGTGGTGCCGGGGTGGAGGAAAGTCTCTGCATGTCTCACGGCTCTTTCACCCTGGGCACTCCTCTCAAGCTCAAACAAAGTACAGATGTGTCTCGGCCTTGCAACAGAATCGAGATGATGGTGACCCTGATATGCCCACTCAGTTCTCCGCAACCTGGTTCCCATTTGCTCAGGACGAAATTGGATTTGTCGGGATCATTGACCAGATCAGGGCGTCCATTGGAGGATGGCCCCTATTTCCTCTGCGTGGCGTCCAATTGCCAGGGTTATTACAAGCCCGACAATGTTCCTTCTCCATCCAGCCCCTGGGATATGACGACTCCTGGCTCCTCATCAGTCCATGCCCGGCCTGTCCCACCTGTAATAGCAATTCGCCACTCCATGCCGGTCCAGCACCTATTGTTCCTAGCAAAGCTTGTTTCACCCAGGGGAGCCAGAGCATGACACTAAATGCCGTGTCTTTAGGTGGACAAAAGCAGGTTTTGCATGCTCGGACGGATAGGTAGACTACTCACACAGTATTTGCAGGATCTGCTGAACTTGTAAGATCATGTGTCCCAAAGAAGAGAAACTCTGTGAGTTGGCGAAAGATCGATGATAGAACCATGCTGGAACCTGGATCTTCTTGGTTTGTTTGAGAGGATTCTTGATAAGGAAATACAAAGCCTCCACCGGCGTCAATGGCTGCCGATCCGATGTCAAACAGACCCACAGAATCATTTATGATGGCTCTGTCGGCTTCACGCCACAGAAGCCCACAGTGGGATCATGGAAGCAGAAGAACAAATGCTCGAATGAACCACATTATTATACAGGGGGCATTTGTATGCAGTGCAGACTCAAGTGGGTTCATGCCTTGTAAGCTGTACTGAATACGAGGTTGTTGTGCCATGCACAAGGAATGTCAAAGGGATGCATGACAGAACAAAGGACAAACATGGATATGTTGTAGCGTGGCATTTTGTCTTGGTCAGAGTAAACTCATCCACGTGTATATCAGGTAGCCTACGGAGTATATAATACTGATAACGGCCACCTGTTAAACCATACAGAAGACAATTCCGTACTCCGAATCTAATGTAGATACCACATGCCTGGAAGTATATCCAGAGATGTGGTCACGGTGCCCGGAGTCAGTCAGGCCGTTGGGACGGAGTATACTTGACCTCGTTGGGACTTCTGTTCCTGAAGAACCAGGTACTTTTCGACCGTCCGTCGGACACCTCTTTGTCAGCCGCATGATTTGTGCATCTCTTCGCAACCCCCAATGGCTGGTTATTGCTGATGCACGGATACTGCTTATCGTCCAGGACAGTATCTGTCAGATAGGACCAGCTCGTGCAGCCGAACAACAAGAGGGCGGAGGGGCAGTACTTCCGGGGCCACAGTCCGTCCACCGCATCCGCCAGCACAAGGCCCACGGATACATGCAGCATTTTCCCGCCAGCAAAATTGTCCGAGACGCAGTTGAGATCTGCAGTGGAAAAGCCCTCACGATATGAAACACGGGTTGTGTGACCCGCGAACCGGGCAAAGTCTCCGCCAACGAAACAAAGATGAGCTTCATCCCTCTTGCCTATGTGGTAAATGATGACCGATTATCTTGGATGTGGTTCACCTGTCAAAGGGAAGAAGGCACATAAAGCAAGGCATTTAGCGTGAGGCTCGATCTTGCTGCACTCTCATGCATAGCCACCACCCCAGCAACGAATTAAGTTGAGGGTGTGCCAGAGATAGCAGTCGCGCTGCAGCAAGGCGGGAAGCGTGTCCGTAGCGCAATAAGCGATGTAGGTCAAGTGGAGACGTAGATGACGCTCTTGATGTGTCGCAATCAAGGACTGAGGAACAAATGGCAAGGACAGGAGGCATTCCTTTGTTGACCGTTAGTGTGTCTGCCGTGGCCAAAGAAGCCACTGTGATGAGGAAAAGCCGGTCGTGGAGACAAACAGAGCATCAAAAAGGTGGTGTGGCGTTGCTCATGGGCCTGGTTCAGATTTGCCCATAGCCCATTGCCCTGTGCCTAGCGTCTAGCCCACCAGCCCCCCTTGTTTGTTGATCCCTGCCACATCTGGTCGGGGTGCCTGGGCGTCTGCCACCAGTTAAGCCTCATTTGTTCTTCACCCGTTGGTTGCAGTTGGGCGACCCCCTGCCGGCCCGAAATTCACAACCTGGAGGCAACATCCACCGAACCACCCACCGACAAATCCCATGGGCCACTGGGCCACTCTAGCCTGCGCACACTCTACACACCAGCAGTCGGCCCCCCTAAATCTAAGCCCGAAACAAGCATGTCCTGAGGGACCCCCGTCTCGCCCAAGTCTCCTCCAATCCTGCTTCGCTCCCTGGCCCTGCAGTGCCCAGCTCCCTTTGTCGTCCATTTTCCCATTATTCAAACTTACCAGCCTCGCAACTTGGTCTCTCGTCGATAATTCTCCTTCGTACTGTCGTTTTTCTCCCTCGTGATCCCCCTTCACTCGCTTCTATCGCTGCGAGAAGAAGGCAGGAACAACGAGGACTGCTCATCCTCGTCCCGGGAAGGTGCAATTGTCAGCTCGGGTTCCGTAAAGACGGGCCACGCCTGTCCGCAACGCGCCTCTGCAGCTGCACATTGGCTGAGCAACCACCGCACCTCCCCCTTCGATCGTTTCACAACAACCACCGCTCAGTTCACCAACTTCCGTTCCCTCCACCTTTCACCTGCGTTTGGGACGCTTGAGCCAGCTTTCGTTCGAGGCACTGTCGTGTTGGAATTCCTCAAAAACAGACACTGGCAATTTCGACGCGCTGCTCTGCAAGAATTCCATCATTTCATCACGCCGCTTACCCCCTATCCAACATTCGCTGCTTATACTTTGTATCACGCCTAATATTACGCACACCACAAGCTACACGGGATCAACCTTTTCGCGTGTGACGCATCTTGGAAACTAAAAGAGATTGTTCATGGGAAATCTCTGAGGTGAGTGGAACAAGGCATGAACCTGCCCGTTTGCTGTGCAAACAATTGTAATTCTTTACTCTGGCTTACAGCAGGCTGACCGTGAATTTTGCCGCAGGAACTGTACCCAAAATGTCAGGCCATCCACCACCACATCAAGGTGACTATGATGATGGCTACGGCCAGCCTCATGGCAACGATGCCTATTACCAGGAGGACCAACACGGTTACCACGACCAGTATGATTATGGTCACCAGCAGCAACATGGAGGCGAAGGTTACTACGATGAATCGTAAGAAATACATATCTTGTTCCTTGGACATACACCTGATTGACACAAACCAGGGGCTACTACAATGCCGATGCATCAAACCCATACCACAACGATGGGGGCTACTACGAAGGTCACCAAGGCTATCAAGATGATTACTATGACGGCCAATACTATGATCAAGGGGCTGCTGGCCAGCAATACCATCAGGGACAGCGCCCAAGACGCCGTGGTCACGATTCTGAAGAGGATTCAGAGACGTTCAGCGATTTCACTATGAGGTCTGACATGGCTCGTGCAGCCGAGATGGACTATTATGGTAGAGGCGACGAGCGATATAATTCTGGCTACGATAACCAGGGTGGTCGCGGGTATCGACCTCCATCGTCTCAAATATCATACGGCGGCAACAGGTCTTCTGGTGCATCGACGCCCATCTATGGCATGGATTACAACAATGCTTTACCGGCCGGCCAACGATCTCGCGAACCTTACCCAGCGTGGACCTCTGATGCTCAAATCCCCCTTTCGAAAGAAGAGGTTGAAGACATATTTCTGGACTTGACGGCCAAGTTCGGCTTCCAACGAG